GAGCAGGTGAGAGGGGGAGATGTCATGTGGAACTGCAAGATGGGGGACGAGGGGTACCGAGTCAGAAATGCCAGTGGAGGTTGTTGGGGGTGAGGACACTGCATAGATGGTGATGGGGGGGATGAGAAGGTCATCCCTGTCAGCTGTGGGGTCATAAAGGGATTCTGTAACAGGGAGGTTGGCATAGTCATTCTCAGTATTGACTGAACAGGGGGAGTCCATCAGTTTCAAAGATGATGGGTGAGTTTGTACTGGTCGAGTGCTTCCAAAGCATGATCTTTTATATGTTCTTTGGGTTCCCAGGTATTCAATGAATGGGGGAACCCTTTCCATTTAACCAAATACTTTCATTTACCTCTGTGCCCATCTATCTTGTGATTGATTATGGACTCAACCTCCCATTCAATTTCATCATTGACTAGTTCAGGGAGTGGTGCAGAAGGCACAGCTCTGTAAGTGTCATTTTCAATGAAAGGAAAGATCCAGGAGGCATGGAACACCAGGTGAACCTTCCAGGGCTTGGGGAGTTCCAATCAGAAAATGACCAGAGAAACCACCTGAGTCACCTTGAAGGGCCCAAGATGTCTAGGTGCAATCTTATCACACTGGTTTTTGATCCTTAGATGCCCAGTATCCAGGAGAACTTGATCTCCAACTTGGGGCAGTGTGTAGGACCCTTTGCTGTGCAAATGCATCAGTTCCTGTGCTTTCTTGTGTGCCAGGATGGCAACATCTTGATTCAAGGCCAGCCTTTCCAATCTTTCATCAACAGATGGAACAGCTGTAAGGCATACCTCTGGATAAGGGGAAGGGTCATATCCAAGGAGAAGGGAAAAGGGGGTCATTTGATGGATGGAATGGACCTGGGAATTGTGAGCAAACTCAGCTGATGGGAGTTTAGCAGCCCAGGAGTTAGGAGCTTCAGTGCAATACAACTGAAGATACCCTTCCACCTCTTGATTGACCCACTCACTTTCTCTGTTAGTTTGTGGATGATACCCTGTTGAAAGTTTAGGGGTTACCCCTATCACTTTGTACAACTCCTTCATAAATGAAGAAGCAAACTGTGGTCCACAATCCAAGATAACCAATTCTGGTACTCCAAAATGGGAATAAATGAACTGATGGAAAAGCCAGGCAATCCCGACAGAGTCAATAGTTTTATGACACAGGATGAACAGGGTGGCCTTTGTCAGACCCTGATCGACAACCATGAGAATGGAGTCATATTTTTGTTCTCCTGAAACAGGGAGATCTGTGATGAGATCCATAGATATATTGCTGAAATGGGAATGCAGTTTTGGGCATGTTGTGAAGAACCACAGGCAGTGTAGGTGGGTGAGTCACAACCTTTGTCATTTGGCAGATTGGGCAGCCTGCAATGCAAGCTCTGATATCCTTTTCCCATTCCTTCCCACCATACCTCTTTGCACATCTTCCCAAACATAGCCTTCTTACCAGGGTGTCCAGCAGACTCATGGTCATGATAAGAACACATACAGTGCTGGCAATCTTCCAGGGGAATGTAAAGCTGGGTTGTCCCAAACCTTTTCATTCTGTCATCCACAATGGTTATATTACCTTTAGGCTCTGGGCCTGCAGAATCCTTTGACATGCTATTCCTGACATGTTCATACAGGTCTGCAGAAATCACATACACCCCCCATGCCCCTTTTTCTGGTTTCCTCACAGGGCAGGTGTTAGGGTTGCTGATTCTTCCTTGGTTTTTCCTCAGATGGGCGAGAATATGGCTTGGAGTGTGTTTTGCTACATGCTATTCATGCCAGGAGATGACCAATTCATGTAAGGCAGTTGAGTTTAAGATGTTTTTGTATTTTCATAAGGGAAAAAGTTGGGGAAACAAGACAAATAGTAGGGTCCACCCCTCTTGAAAGCCAAAGGTTCTCCAGGAGAACCATGGCCACAGGCAGCAGTTCCTCAGTGGTGTCCCAGCATGAAAGAGTGTCAGCAGGGACCTGCAAGCAGCCAGCCTGCCAAGAGAAATGAAGTGGGTAAGACTGAACAGTAGCAGCCCACTGAGGCTGCTGCAGAGTTAGTTGCTGTGGCTCATGGTAATACTCCAGGTTCTTGTGGTCAGTAAAGACCACTGTTGGTTCCACCAGAGAGAGAAGGTAGGGCCAGAAAACCTTGAGAGCTCAGATGACAGCAAGCATTTCTAGGTCATACACCTGGTATCACTGCTCAGCACTGACCAGGGACTGGGAAAGGTAGGAGCATGGATGCCATTCATCATCATTTCCTTTCTGGGAAAGCATGGCTCTGGTTCCCAACTTTGAAGCATCTGTAAAGAGCACAAAGGGCTTCAAGAAGTCAGGGATTGTGAGGACTGGAGAAGAGCATAACAAAGACTTTAACTTGGTGAAGGCTGCATCTCATTCTGGTGTCCAGGAGTAGGACACCCCTTTCTTTGTCAGGTCATGTAGGGGTCTAGCAATGCTTGAGAAGGAGGGGATAAACTTCCAGTAGAAGTTACAGAATCCTAGGAACTGACAAAGCTTGGTTAGGTTATTAGGGGCTTCCCAGGTTGAAATGGCATCAGTCTTCATAGGCAAAGTCTCAATATGCCCTTTTCCAATGATCATCCCTAGGAATTCCACTTCTTTGGCCTCAAAGTAACATTTGCTAAGCTTGAGGCATAATTTCTCAGTGGTGCAGATTTTCAGGAACTCCCACACACATTGGCAAAGTTCTTCAAGGGTCTTTCCATGAACAATGGCATCATCCATGTAACCCACCTGCTTACCACATTGAGATTCAAAGGTTTGATCCATATACCTTTGGAAAGAGGGTGGTGAGTTGCTTTGACTGAAAAACATTACCATTGGTTCAAACAATCCTCTTGGGGTAATGAATGCCCCTTTCCACTCATCCCCTTCCTTTATGTGAAGGTTGGTAAATCCCCACCAAACATCAAACTTGGTGTAATACTTGGATTCAACTAGTTCATTGAATAAAGCTTGAGCATTCAGTAGTGGATGCACATCCTGGATGGTAAACAAGTTAAGGTATTGGTAATCCTGAATCAACCTTTTCTTCCCATCTTTCTTGGCAACAAAGAACACTGGCATGGCCTGCAGGGAAGTTGACAGTCAAATTTTTCTGCATTTCAGGTTTTCCTCCAGGAATTCATCCAAGACCTTGAGTTCATCAGGGGACATGGGATATACTGATGCCTTCTTTGGTTTGATGTCCTCTTTTAACTGGATTTCATGATCCAATCCAGGGTGATGGTCTGGCAGTGGGATATTGTCTTCCACAAACACCTTGGCAAATTCCTTGTACCATTCTGGAAGAATTACTTCTTCCTTCTGAGAGGCCAAGGTGGCTTTGAGCTCTGTAGACAGAGTGGTTTTGTTAACTTTTACTTTGGGGGTTTCACCTGATTCCTGTTCTACTACCTGTGAAACCTTAGCCTCCTTGTCAGGATAGACAAACCCATCATCCCAGCATGTAATCTTCCCTGTTTCCCAGTTCATTCTTGGCTTGAACTCTTTGAGGAAAGGCATTCTGAGAAGGACATGTTCTTTTCTGACAAGGGGTCCCACATAGCATTTGACCTGAACAATGCACTCCTTGATTTCCATCTTTAGAGTAACCTTGTGAGTTACCCATTCTTCATCCTTTCTGGTAAATGACATGGTCTTGAACTTCCACTTGACTTGATAGGTCAGGATCCCAAGCTTCTGAACCATTCATTCTGAGATGAGGGAAACCTTGGCACCTGAGTCAATACAGGCCCAAATTCCTGCTTTGTAGTCCAGTAAAATGACTAACCCAAGAGGGGAATGGATTTGCATATTCAATTCATGGACAGTGGATCAGACACAGAATCCAACTTCTTCAAGGAAGAAGTTGCTAGTTTGTTTTAGTTACATCCACCATGTACTAGCTTCTGATATCTAATCCAATCTTTGTTTGATGCACATGCTAGAGGGATGCCAACACATCTGACATTATTCATTTCTGTAGCTAGATACACTGACTCATGCTACACATACTACATGGTGGGGGGGGGGGGGTTGCTAGCACCTTGGAAAAAAGCTGTCATACATGTCTGATACATATGCATGATGGGATTGTTCATCAGGTAAAGCTATAAAAATGGTGGCAGGGTTAGATATACCAGAAAACTGATGCATCATAAATGCATGATGGTGGGGAGGGATCTTGGAATCTTTGTATAGCATTTGCATAGCCATCTGGACTGTGATCAATGGACCCATGAAAGTCATCACCAACTGGTCCCCCAGGTGCTGGATTGTGTTGCCAATCAATATGACTGTGATGGTGTGAGAGCTGGAAGGTTGAGGCTTCATCTTGCTGGAAGATTGAACAGATGTTTGGCTGCACTTACTACTATGAATGGATGAGATGGGAGTTGTTGGGGGATACTGATTTGTTGAGAATAGGAGGGAAGGGGATGCCATTTCTGTGATATCAGTAGACATCATGGTGAATGAGCACTTTCTGGCAAGTGTGGCAATGGAGGGGGGGATGGATGGGATGGAGGTGGTACTGTCAGTAGTTGTCATAGGGTTGGGGGGGACAGAGAGCATAAAGCTACTATCAGTGGTCATGGTGAGTGTGGTGAGTGTGGGGTTTAACACCCCAGGATGGAAAGCATGGGAGCTGGTTGTGCCACCCTGTGGAAAAATATCCTCCATCATTGGAAGATACTGCCAGCCCTTGTTGTGGAATGGCTTCATGGCCACATTTCACTGCAATGTCTCAGCAAACTGATCATAGTTACCTGTAAGATCAAATACATACCTTCACACTGACAAATTTTGCCCATTTCTCTGCATCAGCTGCTCCACAGATATTTGCACCATTCTCATTGTCCCAATGTTTGCCTGATCCACTGTGATAAGTCATGATTGCATTGTATGTATGTTTAAGCTACATCCAGTGTTAACATAGCAATGTTAGAATAGATGAGGATGTACTGATCCCCATTTAATCAACACATTCTTCAAGTCCTTGATTTTACTGGACCTGTGGAGCTTGCAAATGCTCTCTGCAGCTTTGGCATATGTCACTTGTCAGAAGTTGCCAGCATCAGCCCACTCTGTGCAATTTGTGTGTAGATAATTGACAAGGGCAGCAACCTCCCCATCAGTCCACTTGGCATGCTTGGATTCTTCCTCTATTTCCCCTGCTGTTTCCATTAGTTCAACAATATTTGATCCTAAGATGTCAAAAAGTTCAATTAGTACTCACTGGATGTGATCACATCAAGTATCAGCAGAGGCGAGATAGGGAGGGAGAGACATGCTACCATCAGGAGGGAAACCACCATTTCAATCTCCAATGCTTTGGCCTGGATTTTTCCACCACCCATCAAACAAGAACAATCTGACAAGTTTGTGAACTGCAGCTGAACTGTGCTTTCTGTACAAGCCCTTATGTGGACCACATGAAAAAGACAGATATCAGAGCATGCTTGCACCACTGAGGACAGGAGAACAATATTCCATATTAGCAATACCTAGACGACTATGACGCAAAGAACTTGAGAGCTGGCTTGGGCACATTTTGACACCCAGAAAAGGGGCCATGTGGACTGGAGAGTAGGACCTCATATAAGACAGACTGGAATTCAGTTGTTGACCTGCTGAGACATGCATGATTTCAACAACCGGAGGAAGAACCTCTTGACACGTTGTTGGATGTGATCACGGCAAGACGGCAAAGTTTCAAGCCTTCGCATCACCATTGCTCAAATCGAGTCTGTCACTGTTGCAAGTCCAGCAGCATTCGATTGCACACTTCGGAACGTTGGCAGCTACCTGAAACGCAGTCAGCACTCGATACTTGTTGATTGAGAGGGTTGCAGATTCCTTCCATTAGCCTCATCCGCATCTCGTTACTCGACACTAGTAATACAGACAACACTGTAAAGTCAACCGTCACTCGGTCCCGGAATCTAGCAAGATCAAATGCGATGAGTTTTACGAATATCAATGTAAGAGAACTCCACAGCATTGCCCGCAGTCAGCCCATCGATCCTTTCCTTGCTCGCAGGACCCAGAAGGAATAAAGGCCCTTCTCGAACAGCTAAGAGCGTCGCAAGTGTGGCAGGTCGACCGTGAATGCTGCCGCGCCTCCTGCTAGTCCCAGTGCTCGCGCTCCGACGACGTCGGAGGTAGGGGCAAGCAATGAAAACACCAGCACCGGACTGTCATCGGCTTCATTATTGTCACCTCAGTCTCAGCCCTTACAACCAAGACCTGGACTCGCGACTACAGACTCCTATACAAAGACTCCATTCAACGACCCCGTCGGTCGCGTCGCTGCTCTCCCAGTTGAACGCGTCCCAATGGAAGCAATCAACGTCAACTACTGCCTCGGAGGATGTACTTCCTTTCTCTTCGACTGGGAACGCGGGACCATCACGCGTGCCACATTCTCGATCCTCGTCGTCCTTGGGCTTCGTTCATCAATCGTTTCCCTCGGAACCAAAGCAACAACTGACCCGGCCTTTACGAACGCCAAATCCACTACAACCCCCCATAACGACAACGCCACCAGAAGAGGACGTTCGATTTATATCCTTCCAACAGGCATTGCCACATTTGTCTCAGCTAGCTTCGGATTCCGAGTTCATCGCTGCCGTAGGCCGTGTACGCGTCTTTAATCCCTCAGTTTTTCACTCATTGACGGTACCATTTGTTCTCTTTGTTGTCATGTTATACTGTCCTTCCTCGACCGCAGCTGAGGGGTGATCAGAAAGAACTCGAGCAAAAATTATGGGAAGAACGATGTGCAATACGCCGAAAACATGAGGAAAAAGTTAAGGTCGCTCGTACGAAGTGCGTATGGTGTTCCGCATCAGCTTGCTCTCCGGTCTAAGCTTGATCTGGTTTTCTACTTTCACAACATCCGGTCGTGTATGGAATATCATTGCTACGCCACCTTCAATCGCGTCACTGCAGGGCGAACATGACCGGCGCTGAGTTGTCCAAACACGAAGTGGATGTTTGTATTACTTTCGATTACTCGTCATGATGCCCAAATTTTACTCTCCGGACAGATGTTCAACGAGGCATTCCGACGGGAGGTGCAGAAGTTCGACACCGAACGTGTTCTGGTTGCATGGGATGCATTGGCCGAGAAGCAGCAGGCCGCTCTGGAAACGCTTGGTGTTCCCACCATGTTTCGGACGGGCTCAAAGGAAAATCTCGAGGTAAGTGGCAGCTAGTCGAATGTCATTTATTTCTGGACGCGATTTTTGCCGTTGCCACAACTGCGGGTATTCGGTGATACTGCTGTATCAGAAACAGAGGAAGATTATGCAGGTCCTGGAGGGATTGATCCAATGAATATGGTCAGGCACGTGGTGTCTCTCCATCACTGTAGCGTGGCTGCTCCAACTGACTGAAGTACTCCGAGCTATTGCAGCGAAGCAGATCCACTAGCCGCTCCGCTAGGTACCCTCGGAATCAGCATGATTGTACTACGTACACTGTCGCATGACATGAACTGCGCGTTGCTGTACATAGTCACTACTAGCTCAGCGCCGCCACTCAGAGTATTCAGGGTTCGGTGATTCACACCTAAGTAGCGCCGAGTCGTGGAGATGGGCTTTCGCAAGCGTCGAGGCCGCTTGCTCAACCACAATTCTGTGTTCTGCGTTGACTACAATGAGCTCAGAGTCTCAATCAGGTCCTATTCCCCGTAAAACTCCCCACACGCGAGATTATTTCTACGTCGGTGGCTCCTACGTGACCGGGTCAGAGGGATCAGAGATTGTTCATGGACAGCTATACGTCGAACACCTCGCACCGATTGAAACGACTCGCAGCATTCCAGTCCTTTTCATCCATGGAAATGGAATGACAGCTTCGAATTTCCTGAACACGCCCGATGGGCGACCAGGATGGGCGGACCACTTCTTAGCTCAGGGGTACGAGGTAAAGACGCTTTGCATCTGTGCCCACGATTTCGAGCGAGGCACTTGCTCACCCGGGTATGTTCTGCCAGGTTTACCTCGTCGACCAGCCTTGCCGCGGTCGATCCCCATGGCATCCAGGTGTCGACGGGCGTCGGAGCACAATGAGTGTCTACACGATCGAATCTCGGTGCACGGCGACGGCTAAATATAAGCTCTGGCCGCAGGCCGCTCTCCACACTCAATGGCCGGGATCTGGAACCAAGGGCGATCCGGTGTTCGATGCGTTCTACAAATCGATTGTGCCGAACCTCGCGTCATCGGTGGAAGTTTCGGAGCTGGTGAAGGCTGCAGGGACGCAGCTGCTGGATAGGATCGGGGTAGGTCAAGCCTAATCTATGCCGTCTTTGATTGCTGTATCCCTCACTATCGCCCGTGGCCACGGCGTAATGTAGCCCGTCGTCCTAGCCACTCATTCGCAATCCGGTTTTCTGGGCTGGATACTGGGAGATGCACGCCCACATCTAGTCAAAGCCATAGTTGCCCTTGAGCCAAGTGGACCTCCCTTTCAACAGGCCATTTTCGCATCGACTCCGACCCGTGCATATGGCATTACCGACATCCCCCTCACCTTCGACCCGCCTGTGTTGTCTCCATCAGATCTCACACCAGTCACTTTGGAGCGGACACCGCTTTACACCAATATCCAGCAGGCACACCCCGCACGACGGCTGGCGCACCTTGCAGTGTGTACCCGTGCTCGTGGTGACATCTGAGTCTGGATATCATGCCGTGTATGATCATTGTACAGTGCAGTTTATGCGGGACTGCTGCGGTAGACGTTACACACGTCCGCCTTGAAGCCCTTGGGATTCGTGGTAATGGCCATATGATGTTCATGGAGCGGAACTCTGCGGAGATCGCGGAGGTCGTAGAGAAATGGATCTCGAAGGTACTACCTACGAACGAGGGTTGATGACACGCTTTCTGCTAAGCTTAAGTTGTGGGTCACTGATAAGTGTAGTACGGTGCCTAAGAAACCCCCAACAAGTGTTTCTGCAGACTTTTCTTGTCACTGGTATTCAGTTTCACGCATTCATATGACCTCATGAATAATTGAATATGCTGCGGATGGTAGAACCCTCCCAGGTGCACCCTTAGATTCCTGTGGGATTCAGGGATCGCTCAGGATCCAAGGTTCTGTCATTTATGTGGACACTTCGCCGCCTCAGACACTTAATGTTAACAGTAAACAACAGGCTGTCCCAGCGCAGATGGTGGTGCGTCAACCCGGGTCGTGTTCACACATTTCGCGGAGCCTGCACACGACTCACACTTCATGGGTAAACTTTGGATCAGCTCCTTCGGCCTTCTGCCCGAGGGTTAGAACATAAGTACCGATATCTAAGGTTCGTTGTTCACAATCCCTACGACGTTTTCACCTCGAGGCGGAAAACGTGGAGAGAAACTTTGTATCGTGTTTGATGTATGTTTCGCACACTATAGCGATCACTCGGTCTATAATCGGGCGAAACTTGGGGATTCCGTACAAAAGTGGGCGATAAGGTGTGCAAAAGGCTGCTTCGGATTCGTCGTACCGGGGGCAGTGGTTTGCTGCGGAGAATGACAAAGTAGCGTGGGGGTGGAAAGGTGGTCGCCATGAGATTAGTTCCTATTCGTTCTCGTAATACTTCCGCAGTGGAGGACCTCATGCACGCAAACCAGTGAAGACGGCGCTTGACTTGGACCATGCACCAAGTTTAGGTCGGATGGTCGGAATAAGGCAAGTACATACATATCACTACAGAAGTTTAGGTAGACCCCGGGGAGTCCTGTACAAAAAGTGCGCGGAAATTAAGTACGAGTACTTACCAGGTTATACGCCTCACTGAACTGATAAATGGGTCCCCCACACATGAATTCGCAGTTAGCTCCAGAATTGCGACAGCAAAACAAAAATATGGTAGGAAATGGGGGGGAGATAACGCGTTGTTATGACATCTCTACGTCTTGATCAGGACGTGGCTCGCCTCTTGCAACGGAATTAATCAATTCTCTCCGTACTTCTGGACCAATTTGTGCGTGAGGGTTCGCCCGGACGACGTCCAACAGCGCGTCCTTTTGATCCGGTGTAAGGTCGGGAGAGTACCTTCGTAACAAGATAAATGAAACAAGCATAGAAGAATGCAAACTCAGGTATACCTCTGACAGAACGCGAGCAGACTCTGGTGCCACAAGACCGGAAGTTTTTCGCTATCGCCGCGAGAGCGAGCTTTGTACGTATTTGATAACCTAATGAAGTGGAACACGAGCGCATCGACAACCTTGTACGGTAATTGATATTTCTTGTCTACGAGCACTCGGATGAACAAAGAGTTTGGACCTACGGTATCCACTGAGATCGATTTTCAAGAGGAAGGTGCGACTGCACGTACCTGTATAGTCCATTTGGGCGATCCGCAGCAATGCTGCAGCTGAATGAAGGACGGGCACCTTCTTTTTAGCGATAATAGATGCTACAATGGCAGCCTCTTTGAGCGTACACCCACTCTTGGAAAGCTTTGATGAGTAGAGATATACGATGTCCAGTGCTAACCATCTACCTCGAGCATAGGAAATACAACTCCCTTAAAGAAGGCACCAGGCTTGTACAATGCACGCTTCAGCGCTTCATAATATTGCACATTGAGCTTTTTGTTGCTCTGTATGTCTTCTCGTATGGCGTCAAGCAAGACGACAGATAGGAATAACTGAGCCTGCGGAGGCTTCATGGTAGAGACGAAAATTCTTGTGGCAGCTCGACATGCATGGGGACTCCAATCTTCCGGTTTGGTCAAAGCCAATATTCGAGCCCACGCGGGAAGAGTGGGTATGACTTTGAAGAGTTTTGGAAGAGGACCGGATCTGTATCCATGCAAGAAGACGGCCAATCTATTTGCATGGCCGTGTAAATGTCGACGCTGACGGGGTATCGGGACAACATACTTTGAATATGCTTCGACCAGCCTAGGGTCAAGTCCAAGGGCAGGGTCGGGACACTCTTTATCTGGATTTGGTATTGGGTGTCGGAACAAGCTGCAAGCCGTAGCAAAATCGGCGAACCTTGTTGTACTTTTTGCACGACAGCCACGCCATCTGGCTGCTTCCCGCTTTCGAGTTTGGAGAAGATCACGTCTGCCAATGTCCGTCGTTCTCCTATGTTGGTGGGAAGAAGAGTATCCAGCGTTTGCATGTCCACGGAGTCCAGTTGCTGGCGTCGGGCATAAGACGTTGTAACGGATAGTATAGACGGCACCCACAAACATGTCCTCTGCGTCGCCCATGTCGCTCATGTCTTCCATGGCTTCCCCTTCCTCACTGTCCTCGGACAAAGCGTCATCTGGTCGCGATCGGGGCTGCAGTCTTGTGTCCGCATGTGCTGGGGCATCCTCCACTTCGTCGTCTGGGACCTCTAGCTCGTCTTGTTGATCGCGAGCGAGTTGGAATATTTTACGAGATGTTTTTGGGTCAAGAATCACCTATAATAACGGTCTATATTTTGCGAGTTTGATGAAGCCATCAATAACCACCTCGCCGCCTTCGTCGTCTGATCTGCTCTTGCGCGACTTGTTTCGTTTTCCTGGTTGAGACACGCGTCCATACTTTGCGATGAGCTCATCCTCATGGATCTGGGCGAGGAGGGGATCGTGTCTTGGTTTTGTAGATTTCTGTGCTCTAGGCATGTGGATTGAAGGAAGTGATTATTATCTTTTAGGTTTGCGGTGATGCGGAGTCCGGGGGGGTGTCCGGGGTCTTCCGCCGTGTTGCCTGGAAATGACAGACCTGCGCTATCGCAACAGGCACTGGTCCCAAAATGAGCGCGTCTGGATCCAAAGTCGTCGACCCTGTAAGTGCCTCTTGCAACCTGTCATACACCCTCCGAGGTTGTTTGCCATCCGTTCTTCTTCCTCTCCCTCCTCGTCATGTCCCAGCTACTCCCAGCCGAACTTGTACCCTCCCTATCTTTCTTCGTTTGACAAGTCAATCTGACGTGCCGTCTCTCCTACAGATTAAGACCCTCGACAAGAACGGTCAGGAAATCAAATCCGTCGGCTTTCAACGCTTTGGCTTCGACAGCGAAGTGCCCATCGACATCTTGCGATCGCTTTACCTACGATCGCACTATGTCCTTTCTGCTCCCGTAGAGAAAGTTGAGGAGCTCGACGCAAAAGAGCTCGCCGACCACGCACGCTTCACTCAGGGTCTCAACGCCTACCAATCCAAGTCTGTCTACCACCCCGATACCAACACTATCTCCTACACTACGTTATCTCGCTTTCCCCCTGTCAAGTTACTTGCTCCCTCAGAGAGGAAACGTATCCTTGTCACCGGCGGTGCAGGGTTCGTCGGATCACACCTCGTCGACCGCCTCATGCTCCTCGGACATGAAGTCACCGTACTAGATAACTTTTTCACCGGTTCAAAGACTACCGTCAGTCACTGGGTAGGACATCCCAACTTTGAAATGGTTCGCCACGACGTCGTCGAACCTTTTATGATTGAGTGTGATCGTACGTTCTCCCGCTTTCCTGCTTCGATCTTGCGTCGCTTACACTTGAGCTGCAACACAGAGATATACCATCTCGCATGTCCCGCATCACCACCTCATTATCAGTTCAATGCCGTTAAAACCGTAAAAACTTCCTTTATGGGCACGCTTAACATGCTCGGTTTGGCAAAGCGAACCAAGGCTCGCTTCTTGATCAGCAGCACCTCCGGTATGTCAATCCTCCTCTCTTTTAGTCTAGTACGAGAACCGTTATCTTACTGGCACTTCTTAGAGGTATATGGTGATCCCGAAGTCCATCCTCAACACGAAGACTAGTAAGTTAGGTTCATTCGCCTATTTCGGTCTGAGGTCAGGCATATTCTCCTTCCTTTACTAGCTGGGGCCATGTGAATCCCATCGGGCCCCGTGCCTGTTACGACGAGGGTAAACGGGTTGCCGAGACACTTACATACGGCTTCCATCGCCAGGACGGCGTTGACGTACGTGTAGCACGCATTTTTAACACATACGGTGCGTTTAATGTCTTTTCATCTCTTCACTGCGGTTTGCTAATCCAATCCTCAGGACCGCGTAGTATGTACCTTGCGCTGGATCTCGATATAGATGCACGATCTGATGCTTACCACTTGTAGTGAACCCCCACGATGGCCGCGTCGTCTCTAACTTCATCGTGCAAGCCCTCCGCGGCGAAGACCTCACCGTTTACGGAGACGGCAAACAAACCCGTTCATTCCAATATATTCACGACCTAATTGATGGTCTTATCGTACTGATGAACTCTGATGAGACGCGGCCCGTTAATATTGGCAATGGCGACGAATTCACAATAGGCGAGTTCGCAGAGCTGGTCCGCGAGATTGTTGAGAAGGTCCAGCTGGAGGATGGCGTTCTCCCTGAAAAACGTGTTCAGATCGTATACAAGCCGATACCCACTGATGACCCGCAACGCAGGCGCCCGGATACGACCAGGGCGAAGGAGTCCCTCGGTTGGCAACCTCGCTGGACGGTCCGAATGGGTCTTGAGGAAATGGTCAGGTACTACAAGGCCAAGATGGCTGAAGGAAGCATCTAGATGGGCAGCAACACTTCCAAGACATTTCATTGACAGTTTCGTTGGACGGGTGTTTAAGTGTACAGACAGTTGTGTTCGTTGTCGCGTTATGGACTCCTGATAGTTACTAAAATTTTCAAAATTATCCTGAGTACAAGTAGTGGGCCTAGTCTTGATCGGTAGTGTGTAGTTAGTCAATATACACGAGACAGAAGTCATCTTCCCAGATATCGTTGCCCGACGAAATAAAGTAAGAAAACTATCAACGTAGTATGTACGTTAGCTCTACAGAGAATCTCCAAGGTGGGGTACTCATTATACAATCGGTGTGGGTATGCAATGTGCGATAGGTTCCGTATTGGAACCTGCGAGAAAGATGTAAGACGTGATATACTAATGACGAAGAAAGAGACACAACCCCCAATCATAGGAAGCCTCCCACTCGTGGCAACGGGTTCCCTTGGTTGTTCGTCTTGACGCCAGCGCTCTGCGTGACAACTTTGGTCATCGAACCCTTGACGACCTGCTTCTCAACCGAGTTCGTGTTGAACGTCGTCCGCCGCATCCGACCATCTTGAGCAATATCCTCCGTGACGAGGTCGTTCCCGTTCGCAGTCAACTGCCCAGCAATTGGGCGTTCCGGGGATTGCGACTTGTAATTCTTCTGTGCTACCAACAGCGCTGCGCTATCTGATTACGGAGGATCGGTGAGAATGTCGACCCTGCAACGGAAAAAATGGAGAGGATGTATACCGATTTGGCTCATTCCACGATGATCTCCGTGGAACCAGTGTGATTTTTGCCGTTCAGAATATCTATACACGCATCAACGTTGACGAAGGGGAAACGAATTAAGCGAGTGCTCACTTGCGCAGGGGCCGCCCATCTCTTCCGAGGGGGCAGTAAGCACTCTCAATGTCACGTGCGTAGAACCTGAGGTTCTCAAGCTGGCTCCGAGCCACCTCCGACGACACGCACGAAAATGAAAGGATAGACCGCGGATCCCGCTGAGCATAAGAAGGGTCCCCGATGAGATCACCCAACGTGCGCAACGCCATCTTCGTGCGCTCCGATACCGGGATCTTGGGAGGAATGAGGTCCGTCCGTGCCTTTGGCAACGTGGCGAGGAACTTGGAGAACGCCTGGTTGACCAGGGACGCGCTTCCGGGCATGATAGACATGCATGCCTTGGCACCTATACGGAGCAGTCACGAAGGGTCAAGATATCACTTCATGCCGATACTGGTACTTACCTTTTATCGTGAAGAGAGGTATATCGCCTTTGGCGTTGATCAGTTGTTTCTTCAGGTTTTCGGCGTGTTTCAGAGGTGCAACGTCACTCTGCTCATTCTGTTGACGGTTAGCATGGAGCGGAAGTCGGACCGAGGGCCGTATTCACTTGTATAATTAAAACGGGACATCTTATACAAGCCAACTCCTTTTGGGTTAAAGGTGTCCGCTGCCCACGAGATGCAACCCATGAGAACCACACGGGATCAACTGTCCAATCACTCACATTCATCATAATATTTACAAGCTCCACGATTCGTAACCGTTTCGTCGGTGGCGTCCACGCCTCCCAATATGCAATCAGCTAGAATATGATTTTAGCTCAAGTGTCACGCGTGCGTCAGTTAACGTACGGCGTCTTGCAGATCCGTATTAGATGTCTAGACAAGAAGTATGTTTGGTGAGCGGACTCTTCCAAAGCAGTGCAAAAAAAAATGATGGCGCAAGACTTACCTCACCGGTCATGAACGTGACGACTTCACTAGCTGCGTGCTCAAACGCGTCGAGATCGGCAGCGTAACACCAGAGTTGCAAGAGTTCGTCGTAGGCATTGAAGACCCATTTGAGCCTGTAAAAAAAGTAGATAAGCAACCCGTAGGGATCGTTATTCTTTCTCAGGGTAGGCACGCACTCCGTGGGGGGCGGTACATTGCACAGGGTTAGGCTCAAGACGAGTTCTGGCCACCTAAACGGCAGATATGAAGAATGATGTAAGGGACGAAGGAAGAATGCACACACAACGCGGTTAGCCTAAGAACGGCGTTTACAGCTATACATTCGAAGGCGAGAAAATGACAAGCCGGGAGGAATAAGGCCTTGGGTGTCTATCAGTGCCAGAGGACGACAATTATCGAGAACGACGACGTATACCTGCATGGCTAAAGCAAGGTCTGCTGCATCAACATAGCAATCATGTAATTCGCTCGGCCGACAACGCGAACGACCCATGGTACGTTGATCGAAGGCAATGGTGTTGTATTGAAGGCTGAGCCGTGGGTCATCGAAATGTCTCTGCAACCATGTAGAGTCGAGGAAGAGAGGGTGTAGCATGATGATAGTAGGCTTGGATGGATCGAAACTGCCCACGTTCCCGTATACTGAGTTTGTCCTGTACCATAATGAAACGTAGTCTCCTCGAGAGGGTATGTCAACGAAAGGCATCGTTCGCTGTGGGGAGACGGTGACCGCGGACGGGGACACCCACAAATATGACAGGGCAGAGAAAAAATTCAATGGCTGTATTGCACTTGAGTGCTGTCATGACAGCCCTGGAAAGCAATCATGGCAGACATATGCCCTCCGTTATCCGACGCCAACCTTTTTAGTCGTCTCCGCCGGACCCGCTTGCCATACTCGCTGTGGTCCAAGTCCGGACTCTTTCTCTCCAGCTAGTCGCCTTAACAAATCCGCCGGCATTTAATAGTTCTGCAGCAAATACAACACTCTAGTACACTTCCTTCGCAGAGTAGGCGGTGGAGTGGCCCAGGCATCGAATTGGTCACCAAGAAACTGCATACTTCTCACGGAATCAATTTATTACTGAAAGAAGTCTGACATAATAGCCAACAGACCCCGAGTCGAGCAACCCGTATTGAAGCCCAGTGGTGGCTAAACTGGGCTAAACTCTGCGGCCATGCCAGTAAGCGTGACTAATGCCACCGGCCACTACCGCCGAAGAGGTGATTCCAAAGGCGCTAACACTCCAGCAAACCGAACGGTCGTAAAAATGGGACGGATGGCGTGGAGCGCTTAAATTCCCCCCGGAATCTCCCCGACCTCCACAGCGGATGGCCATTAAATCATGGATTTGACATAATAAACTTTTCGTGGAACCGTCAGGGCGGAGGAGGTTATGACCTGATGTCACCTCCTGGCACCCGAATTACTGGGACATTCCACATCGTCCCCATCATGAATGACTTGTACAAATGCTACCATTACCTTCGTCCTCAGGTGGTTTCAGAACGGGGTGACCCCGGCCCAGCCTCATCACCATCATCCCACACAGGATGGGCTAACCTTCGATCCCAAGCTTGAGCAATGTGTGAGGGCCACTTGGTGCCTGTCGCCACCGTTCAGTACGGCGTGCGCCACCCGATGACTTGAGATGAGCCCTGATGAGCACCACGCAGACAGAGCACGCACATCAGATATACATATATAAATAACCTCGTTCTATTGTCTGCCGTCTTGCAACGTACCTATCATTTTCATCATGTCCAACAGGATAGGCAGATATCACCCGATAGGGCTTTATATCACATCCTGAGACCTTCATAGAATCAAAGGAGAGTAAAACCGATGGAAAGTCGTGCAAATTTGAGGTGACTAACGGAACATGGATGACTCCATCAAATACGCACCATGGACAATGAGACCTTGACAGAACAATGGAGAAACACCAAAGAACTAACGAAATTCCCGGCGTTCTACGCCATCACTGCGGTCCTGACAAGTTTACAGGGTGATTGTAGGCATCTGGACAGAAGTATGAGTGCTTGAGCTCTAACCGCAATGGTCAAGAAACAGATACTTATGGCACCACGCTAACACTCAAGTACGTACTGTCGAAGACGACGGTACCTGTAGTAGCGTTAGTAATATGTGTATCGGCGGTCGCAGGAAGAAGTGAAGAAGGGGTCATGAGACCGTTGCCTGACAAATTATCCGATAAGCAAAAAATGCACATTCTGTACCTGTGCTCTCACTCCCAACTGCCCCTGAAGGCCACCTAATGGATATCAAACTACTGTAGTGGTCAGCACACTGAAAGACCGCAAAAACATACGCCAGGCCGTGACAACAAAGCAACATACCAGTAATCCTACGATCGCGGGATTAATCGTGTCCAGTCTCTGGGTACTTACTTACCGCTATGATCGACCCCACTTGAGGCTCTAAACCTTCGGCGGTATATACGCTATTTCCGTAGCAGACACCGACAACTAGGAAGTTCAATTGAACTTGTGACTAGTACTTCGACAGCTTCGTTATCACGAACCTACAGTGACTGTGAGTCATTGGTCTCCAAACTTATCTGCAAAAGCGTCGAATTACGCTATGCGCGTGCGCTTGCTGCTCTGATTGGACAATTTAGACTTCCTTTAGATAATAATGAAGACAAGGTTTACGACAAAACTAAGTCAAACGGGGACACTTTCCCAAGATATATCCTCGCCTATTACTGACAGACCGAGTAGGGACCGGGCCAGGATGTACACTAATATGTGAACCTTGTGTTCTGGTGAGTTGGATATGGTATGATCGTACTCACGTGTGCCACTTATCATTAACAAGTTTACTCACGCTCCAAACGCTATCTGTATCCCGTCTTTGCCTCGAGTGCTTCGACTCGTTAGATGCCTACAATTCATTGCCACCATGGTTTGAATTGGGCTTTGTTTATGGGAAGATTGCGGATGTCGAAAAATGAGCGACGAATTCCCAGGTGCAGTGACCTTGTAAACAAGGTGATGCTCTGCCTTATAAGGAATTATATGTCTTCTCCTACCACGATCTTGTCATCACATGGCCAAGGTTGGGAAGTGTCGCTTGGAGAGGCCTGTTAGCATGTAATTGCTTAATCGCGTACGCTGACATGGTCAGTGCGCCGCCGTTTACATTGCTCCAGTGTTGGTCACTATACTCGCAGCGGTCCCCCGGGTTCCACAGGGTAAGGATGCCTGGCCTGAAAGAGACAGGTACCTGTGAGCCAGACCCATACACTTCCTGCACTTACTATCTAGCCATTGAATTATCTTGAAAGGTTGAAGTAGGTCGACTTGGGAGCCGGAGATGATTCAGCATCAAGAAGTATGTGCTGAAACTTATCATGTGGCATCCCCGATTCCTCTCACCTTTTTAGACCGGTGTGTCTACTGCATATGTACACTGGTTCCTTCAAGCATAAGCGCCGGAACAGGTCGGTGCTTACAGAATGATTCACCTGTTTAGAATAGTTTCAGGGACGTTACCATCACTGATTCATAACTTACAGGACATAGTATAAGTCATCTTCAAGCTTTTGATAGTTCGTACTGCCAGAGTATGGTGGGCTATGGTGTACACTCGTTTGTGCCATCAGTCTTCTCCGAGAGCAGTTAAATTGAAGGCAGCAGATGTCAAGTATCAGTGCTACTTATGCTTAAACCTGTGTTTGATCCAAGCTCGGAATCAGGCGTGATGTGATAAATGAAGGGTACATCATTGCATTGTCACGACATGTGTAGGCTCGCAACTATACACGGAAACCCTCGATTTCAGAAGGACATTGGTGGTAGATCACAATTGGCCCCATGTTGAAACGGTCGAAACGTTGAAGCCTGGCCGCCTACGGTTGGCTAATATATGCTGCGGAAAATAATCACGATGTGATATGATGAAGGTCAGTGAAATGACTCAATGTCTGTGATTTAACCTTACGCCTCGGTTGTAACCTTGCACTATGATGTCCTGCTCAGATCAATTAATGGCGCCTAGGGTCGACAGGCGAACAGGCGACGTCACGGCTCCGGTGTGCATGCAGATGGACCGGATCCCGGGTCGCTTTTACGGGCACCGTAGACAATGATTGATGACGTCGTCGCAAGATAAACAATATAGAATGCATCCAGTCAATGAGTGTTGCTGCAACACGAGTATATCGCTGTAGGCGCGTTCCCGAATAACAACCGGTAGTTTGTCTGATCTCCTAGAAGGGCCGGAAGTCCAAAACTTCAGGTGGGCGGTGTCACACGATGCATGGGATATTAGTGCAGGACCGGCCCACAGACGTGTCGAGGTTCCGCCCTGTGTACATAGATCGTGGGGACGTTGCCTGAAATTCGGCCGCCCGCAAATTGCACAGCTTTAATACACCATCATGGGCGTAACTGGCAGTGTAGAGTAACGCCTAGTAAAGATCACCGGTGCGACCAGTGGTTGAAGTGTTGCGGAACCCGCTGGGAGAAGTTTCGTATCAAAGGATAATAGTGGAAGACCTTTTAGAACAGATGTCGAACGTGGGATTTGAGTTACATATGTCGGGTTTGGGATTTTGATATCTGGTTCCATCACTAATTTCTGCACAGCATATATCTGTTTCAGCGGGATCATCGGGCGCGACGACACCCGCCTGCACTGTAACCGGCTGTAACATTGACGACAGAGCGATGGGCCGACCCGAGGCCATCCACAGTGCTATACGAACAGGTACGAACTTCGTACCTGTGTGGACACACTATGCCCAGCCTTCCGTGCGCCACAATTGTTCCTGAAACGTTCAATACGGGCGAATCTGTTTGGATCATAGGCGAATTCCGATGGTCAGAGAAAGTGTGGATGAAACTTGAGGTCGGGAACATAGTTCGCTGATGGCGATGGTCTCCCTCAAACCTCCCTGACACGTTAATGTGTCTTCTACTCCACACTGCCACATACCGGGACAGCTAATAATGGTGGGGAAAAACATATCCGGACCAAGTCAATGGACGTCTTCAAACTTCGACTGAGGCGGAAACAGCACCTGCTCTGCGGGCACGAACAAAGCAACAGCACCATATATATTTTTTCTTCCATGGAACGTGAGAAGTGCACAGGGGGACTAACTAATACTTAGTAGACTGTAAGCCAGAAGAGGGTCACCTGCTAGCTGGATGTGCTAGAAGCGGACGCCAACGGCAGATGAAAATTTACTCGGCAGTCGGTGCTAGGGCCGTTGGGAACGTAGACACACACCGAAAGAAAGTCCGGGCTGTGCAACGGATCTTGCAAATACGTAGTGGACAAAGCATGTACTCCGCGCAGTGCGAAGTGCCTCGCTCGCCATGGGAACGTACACCCCGAAAAGAGCCGTCATGCATCATGGCAGCTCCTGTCTGTAGATCATTGGGTCTTTGGCGTGATTTGATTAGCCATTTCCTCTTCTCGGAGAAAGGCGTGCTCATTGCTGATTCTACTGCACCTTGCATGACTTCCTCGGAAGCTGGATATCAACAGCCATGGAGTAGGTTTGCGCACTGCTTGAGAGGCTAATTAGGGAGTTGACTGACGACATAAGTCAGCACGTCAGTTTTCCCCTATGTGCTATTTGACAGCGCGAGATGGAAGTTCCGGGTCGGAGTCTGTCGGAATATTGCGAGGCTGTTCGACTTGATCCCGAGGTGCCAAGTTCCACTCCTCCAGGGGCCGACACCAAGTGAAAAAAAAACCTATTACATCGTCGGAACATCGTGTGGGTGATGCGCGCTTCAGCTCAAACCCGGGTCGAGTCCCGTGACACACATCTCGATGGTACGGCACCGTGTTTCGTCGGAATGGACGAGATGTAACACCAACAAGATGTAACTCTATTGTGTTGTAATACATGAGTCGATATACAGCAGCTTTTCGTAATTCCATCGTCTGATGCGGATAACAGCGAGACACGAGTGATTCCTTGACGCCAACTTGTGCGCGTGCCACGGGTGTCGTGCAGCCTGAAGCTGAAGGGTAGCTCCCGGAATGCACATCGGTTCGGGTGTCAACGTGATGTCGAGACGACGCAATGTGGCGAGTATTCCGACTCACAACGTTTGCGATAGACGCTCAGAGACGATAGTGCACAAGGAGATAACGACGAGGATTTGATTGGCGGCTGACAAAAATGATGTGACGGGGGGTTACTAATAATTTATGGCGGCCGCCCGACATTACGGCATGGCGAAAATAATAATGGAGAATTATCAAATCAAACCAAATAAATAAGGCAGTTCTGCCCACGCGCCAAGGTCGTTCTTCTACCCTGCTCCCCTCCGATCGACGACAACCCGTCTCCTCCTTTCATATTTCATCTTCTGTTTCTGTTCTGGTTTCCATCTTCTTCCTTCTTCTTGACAGACACCCCTCGTTCCCTTCCCTTTCGCAATGTCAACAGAGCAGGCAGACCAACAATCCCAATCGTGCTCGTCCCACATGATGAAGACAACAAAGCGCGGGAGGCCCTTCCTCAAGGTGTGCCCTCCGATTCCGTCATTCAACTCCTCTAACCCATCTCCCAATACACTCAGGATACTCTCGACCTCTTTGCCACTCTCATCGTGTCTCTTCAATTGACTCCTCACAAGCAATACTTTCGCACTTTTCCAAATTCTTTTACTACGTTGGTTTCATCCCATCTATCCCAGAATTCACTCTCTGAGCTCCCATTTCTCCAGCGATGAAGCAGCCCACAACCTGGCATCCTTGAAATTCTCGCAATCGAACCGCGGGCCGGATCCAAGAGACAAATCACGAATAGTGACGACCACCACCACGACTACCTTTTCCATGACCAGGGACATGGCCAAGGCGATGTGTCAACACTTTATGGATGCCCGTCTGATTGAGAATGCTGCGGATCAGGGCTCAAATCTCTTCAAGGATCGTGGTACTTATGTCCTCACTCCCAAGGGTCTCCACGTTCTAGAGCGGTTCATCTCGAAAAACGGCATCAACGCGGATCATCTGCAGCAGGCTTTTGCTTCCCAGCCCATCTGCGTCAGGTTGTTACACTTGGAGCGTCGCGCGGCAGATGATGAGATTATCGTCACCCAATCTGTCATCACCGCTCTTTTCCGTCGATTTGTTGGCCGTCAGGCAAACTATCTTCCTTCTCAATCCATCCCTTCGGACACCTTCCAAGAATACCAAGAACGAACAAAAGGCATCCAGTTGAGTAATATTCAGGACAAGGCGACCATTCCTGGCAAAGGAGTTGTCACCCACAAGTACTGTTTCTCCGCTGTCAGTGCGTTGGAATGGCTCTGTGATTTCACCTCCGTCGTGGGAAGAGAGGAGGCTGCAGAAATGGCCGCCCAGTTTGTTCGTTTCGGTCTCATCACCCTCGTCAGTGACAAGAGAAAGAACAACGACTCTGCCATCATTTTCACCGTCCGTGGATCGACACCCGGAGGCAACTCGCCAGTCAGTGTGAGTATCCCGTTTGTCTCGTTTTTGGTTGTTCTCCTCATGCTCGTCGTTTCAGCCGCACGGCGAGTTCCGATGCACCGCGAAAGCCATCTACAAAATTACGGAAGAAGGAAAACGTGTTGCTCAGTGGGACGAGTCGACTCCGTCACCTTTCAGCTCGACAACTAATCTCCATGGTGACCGTGCTTCGCTCGACAGTGCCGCAGTTGAGACGGGGTCCAAGTGTGGGCCCGATGCTGCTGTTAGCGCTGCGGATGCCAAGATCCACCGTCGTATTTCCATGGCCGAGAAACTCCACGCTTCCTATGAAGCAGGAGAGAAGAAGGGTAACGTCAAGAGCAACATGGATCGTTTGAACTACATCCTCGAAGAGCCTGCGTATCGCGGACTTTTCCGAGACTTCCTCAAGGCCAATTTCTGCGAAGAGAACCTGGCCTTTTGGTTGGACGTCGAGGATTTCAAGCGCAAGTTTAGCACCACCTCGAGCGCACAAGCTACTGCTTCTCCCCGACTTGGCAAGTCTACGCCAGGCCAAGCTGCTATGGAGCGTCCACCACGAATGTCTCATCCAGACTGCCCTTCAGATCTACCACAAATATCTTGCGCCGTCAAGTCAACACGAGCTCAACATTGATCACGGTTTGCGGCTGGATCTTGCGAGCTACCTTGGTGAAGTCATTACCAACTTGAATGGAAAGTCATTCGATGGCCAAGTCAATCCAAACCACTTCAATGCGACGCAGCTACAAATGCTTATTAAGCTGTACTCACGCATTCAAACCCATGTCCTTCGATTGATGGCGACGGATTCGTTGCCGAAGGTACGTACTCACTTAACTTCTTCGTCGCGTTGCCGACGCATCGTATCTAGTTTGTCAAGACTCCGCGCTTTGTAGAGGCACGCCAACATCTTGGAGAAGGCGTTGGAGCGAACGAAGATGTACTCTTCCTGACGAGCCCTCACGCGCCACCTGGTCTTGGAGAAGAAGAGGCTGGAGGGGCGTATATGACCGTCTCCGCGAAGGCGAGCGAGCAGCGTGAACACAGAAGCCAGATATCTGAATCTCATACATCCTCATGAACCGCGATCATCCGTTCATCCACATTCCTCATGTCATGAGTCTATTACTCGTCGACGCAACCCTTGGCGCATTACCCTGCAATATCTCCATCGCTACTGTGCTCTCGATTTCGTGTCATGTTTTGACAATGATTCCAGTCCTTACCCGGGGGGAGGAACTTTTTTTTATTCATTCATATTTTCTCCACAATAATTTTTCCTTATGGTTGACCGCATTAGTAGTTTTTCTTTCATGGGTACGTTCGTCGTACTTTGATATCCCATCCCACTTTCTCTTCCCTTCACAACACACGATGAACCTCCTCCCTCCGACATTTTTACATTCACTCTGCGATGTACCATTTATTAATACTTTACACATACCACACTGCCTCCTCGCATCGGTACTTGACTAATGGCCCCTCGTAGTCCCTAGCATGGTGTCGTATATTATCTATTTTGTGGGTGACCTTGCACCCAGAGGATCAGATCTTCAGATTGATTTGTGTGCACCCATGGAAGCATTTTGTGCATTATGTAATCGTCGGTCTAGCATTCACCTCTCTGCTTGCCTCGCGCATGCAAGACTAGTGTCACTGCACCACCACAAGTCCCGGGTTGATCGCACTCAATTTTTCCTTGAAACCCGTTGACCTGTGACAACTTGACCCTGTTCCCTTCGTCAGGCCATGTCGTGGATTTTGAAGCCGAGTGGGGATGTACCTCGACCTCCAGGCTCAACGGAGGAGCTCGTGGAGGACCCCACTGATCCGTCCCGCAAAGTGAGACGAAAAGCTGCGAACCAGCCCTTCCTCGCGTAAGTGGAGCTCCCCACGGCCTCCGGTGAAGCCTATATCCGTCCCATTCACTCACCGCGCGACTATCTGCAGGTACAAGGAGTATCGGAAGAAACAGGAACAGGAGCACCAAGCATGGCTCCTTCGGAAGCAGGAACGCGAGGAGAAGCTCTCGCGGGGTGAAACAGTCGGACCGGAAGAGCGCGATCCAACCGCGGAGGAAGAAGTTGGACTTCTTGGCTTATTGAAGTTCACGGTTTACATGCTCCTGATTATCGTTCTCGCCGGCAAGTTCTTCACCGGAAGCTTCTTGTGGGAGTATGACGGGAAATGGGTTAGGCTGAAGACGTATTTGCCTGTGAGTGATGAGTTGTAGTGGTTTCGCGTTATGTGTATATTGATTTTAGGTTCTGATGTTCCCTCGTTATATGCCGGTGGGAAATGTGTAGGAAAACAATGGCCGCTTATTCTCTGAATCGTACCTCGCAACATTCGATGGGAGGGATGAAAACAAGCCCCTGTATCTTGCGGTACGGCATTCTTACTTGAGTTGATCCTTGAGCCCAACCGCGGAGTATTGACGATGCACAAAAGATTGACGGCGACGTGTACGATGTTTCCAGTAACAGGAGGACGTACGGTCCTGGAGGACCCTATCGCCACATGTAGGTTCTGCTCCATCATCCACGTACTAATCGAGTATTTCTTCATGGGACGTCGTTCACACGATCTACACAGGGCCGGAGTTGATGCCGCAAGGTCTTTTGCTACGGGATGTTTCGCAACACACCGTACCCACGACTTGCGGGGACTCTCCGAGGAGGAGCTTCAGGTGGGCAAGGCCTCCGATGGTCATGAACTGCATATTAGTACTCTATCTCACTCGTATTTGAATTACAGAGCGTTCGACATTGGAAACGTTTCTTTGCCGATCACAAGACATACTTCAAGGTAGGAAGGGTGCTTCACCCACCCGTTGATCCAGAGAGCCCGATCCCGGAGCCATGTGATCCATCCAAAGCACACGTGCAACCCACGGAGAATGATCTGAAAAAGGGAAGGAGACTAGTGGAATTTAAGCATTCAGTACCTAGCCACAAAGAACATGCGGAACTCTAGATTAAGCGGAGGCTTGTACATATCTAACTAGCATGCTTTAGGTGGCGTGATTTCTCAGGCTGATACGATCAGCCGGCGGAAAAGCACGAGAAAACATAGGAGTTTGCGCTGCGTGAATTAGAACATGAAAGCCTTAAGCTAGTAGGGTGTAGAAGGGATATCTAAAGTGAGATGGGATGTGGGCCGGGGTCTAGAGGGATGCAGAGTGGATGGCATTAACATGGCCCTGATTCATTGGCAGTGGTGTCTGCGCGCCAGGTACTCCGTGGGTTAAGAAGTAATTTCTCAGGATAGGGAAATCCGCAATGGATCCATTTACCATTGACGAGAAGGGGCTCTCTCGGTATTTTGCTACGATGATATTGCCTCGCCACGCGGTTGCCTCTCGGAATGATTTCCCCTGAATCTGAATTTCGCGGATGAACTTGTTGACTGGGAAGGGCATTCCGTCTCGGGACACGACTGGGTAGAATATAACATATGGATGCGTAAACTTCTTGTTCATGCAATCCAACGCTTCCACAAGCTGATCAAGCATTCCACCAATGTTAGCGCCACGAAATCGAGTTCATAGATTACTCACGTGGTAGCTCCAAGCGCGAGGTCCAAGTCCCTCGGCGATGTAGTCCATGTAGACCTCGGGATGAGGCATACGGACAGGCAGTCCACTGTACGGTGCTAGTGGATCCTGCACCGTCGCGGGGCTGGTCATGAGGGGGACCATATGAGGGTTGCGACCGTCGGATGGGAAGAGGAGGGCTTCGAAGGACACAAGCTGATCCATCAGGAGAAACGACAAAAATATGCGTTGACGGAAGAGTCTGGAAGTACGCTGACAATCGAGAGGCGGCGGATGTCTGGGGAGACTGTCGACTCATCTTCGAGTCCTTTATATCCATACAGCTAAGAAACAGAATTACTTGCGGTCACATTGCCGTGAGCTGTGATTGGTGACCTAAGCGGAGACTCGCCGAGGGGTTTTTCTAAATGGACGTCCATACACAGAAACTAAGGGTAGTAAAAAAAAAGAAGGGGAAACACACCGCGAGACACGAGGTAGTCCATCGATCGCTAAATTCTACCACATATTGGTGAATGAAAAGCTTTGTTCTCCGCGACACGATCGTACGAGGTACCTGCGATCCAGTCTTCTGAGAGCATTCACGCCTTTGAGACTGAAGATTCTCCCTCCAACTCCAATTCTCCGACTAGGCCAGTTGTGTTGGACGTCCTCCTAGTGGACAACGTAATGGCCTGGGCCGCGGCTGAATGATTAGTGGTGGCGGGACCCTGGCAAGTATCCTGGACCGCCCATCGGTTAAGTAGAACAAATGTAGAACGTGCATGTCAGCCGCCATCAAAGTTGCATTGGAGTGAACAGTTTGAGATGTGTTGATCACAAAGGGCCCGTCCTCGGGATCTCATCTGCGGGTGTTGGACGATCACCTGGTACATACTACCGTCAGTTCGTTTCCATCCCCGTGTGTCTGCCCGGAATATACCACAGCGCAACGAAATGCTAGTTGCTTTGAGTCAATTGGAGTGACAGTTCCACTTTATGGCTGTGCCACTGTCGGTCCGACTGATTGAGCCCGCCAAGACCCACTAATCACCCAGTGCACCCTAAACGTTGTTCGGTGCCAAAAGCCTTTTTAGCAAGGCTTTCACTCTAATAATATCGGACATCCGACTTACTGATGGAGACCTGTCATAGTACTCATGCTAGGTGCCAGGCTAACGTTTACTCCGCGAACGTTAGAAGAAGCATGCGTGGTCGATATGTCATGGCCAGTGCTGTCTTCCATCACTGAAATTACCCATCATGTTTGAGGTCCAGAACGATGCAGAGACATGAACAGTTGTTCCATTTTACCGATTCTGTGGTCCACATTCCACATTGACGGCACACATTTTTCTTTTCTGTTTTTGAAAGGTGCGTTTTCATTTGCAACGCGACAGGCCCAGCGATTTTGCCCTGATACGTGTTCCCCATTGGGGTGATGTGCCCAAGGATATTATGTATTCATGACCAGAACTCGCTGGCTCTGGGGTGGATCATTATTGATATTGAGATGTCGCTCGTTCATGTATGGCAACCTAGGCTCTCGACTCGCAACCGCATGCAAATACTTGTAAATGCGGCTCTGGACCCCCAAGATCTGCAGTCAATGGAACGAGCGGGAATATACTGCGACTCGCTGGCTGGAGGACTACATTTCAAAGGCTGACCCGCTTGCAGATCCCTCCTCGCATAGCCTACCCATCTCATCAATTTTAAAGTAGTCTCCCGTTGGCCATTGCCAACGGTTGCGTGAATGGTGCCATTCACATTGGCCCTCCCGCAGTAGTGATTTCAGTTTGCAAACTTGTTAGATGGAACCTCTTGCTGAGCGGTGTTTGGTGGTCGTTTTGTCATACTGCAGTCTCTGACCATCCGGCACAAGACAACCAGCTTCTCAGGGTGATTTGCACGTAACGTGCGGCAAAATGCACGCTCGGGTAAGTCGCAGACGACCAAATGTGCGGCAGAGCGACTCTGTGTACCTACTTCATGACATACCATATAAGGCAATCGCGAAGGTAGTTGTCGTGTTTTGGTGGTTTGACGTAGTACCAACTTGAAGCTTGCGGCGAGACAGACAAGCTCACAGCAGGTTGTCAGTGTCAGCCTCAAGTCTTTCTGGAAACATGAGTGCTGGACGAATATTGGTGGCCGCTCAACTCTCAACCCTTTTCCCGTCCTCAAATCCGCCATCGGTTGTACTTCAGTCTTCGAGACAAACCCTACAAACGGTTTTGCAGCCTGACACGGATGTCTACCCCGAACACGCAGTTTTCTCGTCCATATACCACACGCCACACACCGGGTCCATCCTTCTGCGCGTTATTCACGGAGGCTTGATTGTGGAACTCATCTCCCTGTCGGCGCTTGCTCCTCCGATACGTTTCGTCTTCCCGGCGTCGGTCGTCTCAACACCCGCGGTCTGTTCTTGGGGCGATCAGGAGTTGCATCTGTTGGCGGTCACTGTTACTGGCTCTCTTTACCGTTTGGTATTACCAACAACCAACCCAACTCGGCTGTGGCACGACGAAGTGGCGAGAAACTGGTGTAGGGAATACATCATCAAAAACGCCTCGGACCTGTCTGGCAGTATCGTTCACGTCCAGGGTCCGCATGGTGTTGCGATAGGGCTCGGAAATGGTTCTCTTCTCAGAGTTGAAGTAGAACGCATCGGCGATACTGTTAGTGACGGTACGTACTTGGAAGTGACCGAGAAGCGTTCCGCTCATGAGTATCTGTAGATCTTTGGACAGAAACTGTCAGTCAACCCAAATCACTGCTGGGCACGTTCACGTCCTACATTCCCGGTTTTCACTCTGGCACCAACGCGGCCTCGGAATTTCTTTGTGTGGCCGGTCTACCTGAACCCACTGAGTTCGGTTACATATGGACCCTTTCTCGTGATCGTACTCTGCGTCTGTGGTCCGCTAGCCGCGGCTGTGTAGCTTCAAAACCCCTTTCACTCCACGCGCTCTATCAGCCAAGTTCAGCGAGTGACAACAAACTTGTTTCACTTAACGGGGAAGCAGGCAACCTTCTGCGTGTATACTCTCTTTCACCTAACGGTGACAAGTCATTTGCTGTAGTCTTCACTCCAACGTCAGGCGGCCCACATTGCGGTGGGTATTTCCAGATCGTGGACTCATCACTAGATCAGTTGCACGAACTCCGAACTGTCGAGTGTTCCCCCACGAGCGTCAATTGCCATTTACAGGATTTCATCCTTAATGACGGTGTGCTATACACGTTGTGGGAGCGTCACGGCACCTCGATGGTTCAGTCAATCAAGCTGGACGCAGGTAGCCTCATGGCCGTGAATGACGCAGCGTGGGAGACGTCTAACTATGGCGAAGAGACTGACTTGACACCCGCATTTCTTGATGAAGTTCTCCTTGCTCCAGGCTCGTTGACGGAGAAATTCATGGAAGTCATCCTCCGGCCTGGAATTTTTTCGCCATTAACGATCCGTACAGCCTTGGAGCAATACATCGATGCATGCCTTTCTCTTCCCGGCCCACCTCCTCCAGAGCTAACCTCCTCCTACACCTCGGTAGCGGAGAATATTGTTGCTGTGGTGGGCTGCACTGTAACGCTAGTTCAAGATCCTCATACAGGAGCTACCCAGCATGACCGCTACTGGAGCGCCTTGAAACGTGATTGGGAAGGGTTCATCGCTCGTTGTCGCGAAGTGGAACGCAGCGCTCGGTGGCCACTTGCGCTGAGTAAGGGCCAGCATAGCGACGAGGTGATCGCCGTCGAACGTGAACGAGTTAGTGTCCTTGCGAGGGAAGACTTGCCAATTATTGTCCATCGACACCTCAGCGACTCTCTCCCAATCGAATCTCACTTCTCCGTCTTAGACATTGCGTGGACACTCTGCTACAAAATTGGAACGGAAGTTCTCCGAAATATGGAAAATAGTATCATCGATGTTCTGCACCAGGAAATTGCCTTTTCCATTGTTGACATCATGATAGACCAAGTGCGACGGTCTGACCTCAGGGGGATACTGGATGAAGGCACACAAAATTGGGTAGTAGCGAAGCTACAGGAAGTCGAAGATTTGGAGAGGAGCATCAAGATTACCCTCGACCTTGCTGCTGGCTTTGACTTGGAGGTCAAGCGAGAAGAGGACGAGGTGGAACTGCTTTTGCCCCCGTCTCGGTCAGAGTGGAAGGCCGCAATTGCTGCCGGTTACATTTCCACTTCACTGAACGCTCGTTATGACATCTGTCTTGCGCTGATAATTTTACTATTTTTCATGGCGGATGATCTCGGGGAATGGGACCCATGCCTGCTGGAGGATGTTTTTGCGGTATTCCGAGGATTGTCCATGCTACGCTACGTTGCGGGACAGCCAACCGTGGATCAAAGTCATGATCACCAGTCGTCACAAGCTGGGTCCACGGATGACGTGATCGCTCGTATGGGCAGTATGCAAGTTTCGGGGAATCAGCCAAACTTTGCCCCGATCCTTTCCCTTGCTCATCGCCTGATTTCACAGTCAAGCGAACATGTTGAGCTGCCGAGTTCTGCCCACCGGTTCCTTGATGATACTGGGCTACTCCAATCCACTTCTCCAGCGCATGTCACTCACTTCGAGGCCTCATTCTGCGAGCGTTTGCGAGACCTTGGTTATTACCAGGCTGCCAGAGCAATGCTTGCGTGGCTTCCCAGGACACCTGGTGTCACTTTCGTAACAGCTCGGCTGTTTATCAACCTTGGCCGTGGTGACGACGCTGCCTATTTAATGGAAAAAGTTGCTGCAAGTTTTGGTACGTTTCCACTTCCTTCGATATTCTGATTACCCTTACCATGTGTGACAGGGCCGGATAGCGGTTTATCGTTTGAGGATGCGGAAACTCTATCTGCAGTTCTTCCTGGGAAGACATTACACGATTCGGAGTTCATATTCTATTTGGAAGCATCTTCAATTTTCAGGGAGAACGGCCTTACGCAACATGAGGTTGGGTTCCTTCAGCTTGCTTTATCTGTAGCACCCCCAGGGATCAACGCTCCTGACTTGTGGTATGGACTCATCCGTGGTCGTATCGACCTAGGCTTTTGGGAAGAAGCGTATTCGGCGATCATTGCAACACCTTTTAATAGCGTGTAAGTCAGGCCTGATACACATTTCAGGGCACCAGTTGTTCAGCCTTTTTCACATCACAGGCGGAGGGAATGCATATCGCAGTTGGTATACCGCATGTGCGAGGAGAATGCTGTCGAAGAGTTGATTTCGCTCAACTTTGCGGGCTTCAGTTCTGAAGTAGATGACGCCCTTGCATTTAAGGCACGCAACACGGATCCTCGTGTTCGACCCTTCTATTCGAGGATATTATATACTTGGTACACGTGTCGTGGAGACCATCGAAGTGGTAACTCTTTTGCTATACCTATCACCAGAGTCGTTCTATCTGAGTCATTGGTTATCCAGCTGCACGGACCATGTACATGCGGACGCAAAAGTTGCAGGAGATCGAGATCTCCAGTAGCCCCGCTGAAATAAGCTCCTTAATGGACGACCAGGCGGAATCATACTTGCTGGCTATTAATTCTCTCTCGCTTCTAGAAGAGAAGAAGGCTTGGTTCGTCGTGCAGACATTCACAAATAATGTCCACGAGCTGGAGGTGAGTTGTTAACTTGTGTTGAGAAAATCACTCAATACCAAACTTTGCAAAAGTCTAGAAAACGACAGAGACTGATCCAGAATCTCCCTTCTTCGAGCACAGGTAGCGGCTCGGAAATAATAGATCTCCATGCCCTTCGCTTCGATTACGCACTGCTATCTGCAAAGAAACACTTGATACGCCGTGACCCAATGTTGCTCACAGCCCCAGGTACTTTTCATTACTTGAGCTCGCATCTAAAGAAGTTCATCGTTGTGATAGAAGCGCTGTTATCACCGCATTTTATTATCCAGCGGCTTGGACAAGCAAATCAATTTGACTTTGCAATGGCAACAGCCCGTGCTCTGGACCTTGACATGAGTGAACTATTCGTCATGCTTGCCATGCAATGCATGCGACTATCACGAAATCCAGACGCTGTTTTGTTGTAAGTGCTGGTTTTAATCGTACCTGTATCTCAAACAAAGAACTGCCTCTGAAAACGTTTTCGGGATCATTTTCCAATTGCCCCAATAGTCAGGAAGAAACCTCCGACTGGCTCCTGACAGATAACTCTGCGTCGTGGCCCGGGTCGCCTGCGAATCGAGGATGGCGGTACCTCAAGATGTCGCTGGAGCGTCATGACGGGCTAGAAACAGACTATAAATATAGCAAGGCAACATTGGAAGCAATACTCGCGCACGACAGGAGTTTGTCGCCACCGCCATGGTTGTTGCACGTCTTAGAGGTTTGTCAATTCCCAACGTGTTGTTCTTCGATTTTGCATTTTACTCGTAGTTTGAGGCATGAGACCTTCACGTTGTTTCTGTTCGATCATCAATTCTTGTTGGTGTTTTGATAGGCATCAGGGCGGGTGGTTGTTGGCTTTGATTGACTCTGACCCACCCTTGCTAGGATTACCATCACGAATATCTCGTCCGGACAAGTCTTAAGTTCGATGCATTAGAAAGCGCACTTGAACACACACTCTCCCTCATCCGAAAAGTGGGTTCCCTAGCCAATAACTCTCTTACCTCATTCCCCCCGTGTCTCTCACATTACATGTGAATTATTTACACGCCACTGCAGGCCAACTTCAAACTGTCCCGTTCTGCAAAAATGCCGGGGGTGACGTGGTTGCCCTACACGCTGATCGACCAGGTGCTTGCCGCTTCAGCTGCCCAGGATGACTTGGGCGCGCGTGGGCAAATGCTGCGGAAGGAGTTGCAGACGGAAGTGAGCAATCGCGTAAAGAGAACGCAGAAAGTCAGCCTGTCTTCAAAGTGACACAGATTGTACTCGTACGGCGTCTTTGGCGCCACAACAGGAACAAGCATTACTGTTGCATAATGTACAGCCGTGTGTAGGATGTCGGGAAAGACGACATTCAAAAAAATCTCTTTTCCCTTTTCTTTGCGGACCTTTCCATGACCACCCTACCGCCTTCCCGGGAAACACCTGAAACTATACACTTCGCGTAATCGCCTACTTGGTTATCTCAAGATTTGGCTTTAGCCAGCTCATCGGGGATGCAACTTTAAGCTGTCACCCACGGAGCAGCGCACTTGAGCCACTGCCAAAACTTTCGGGGAAAATCATTATCTTAGTTTATCAAGTTGCCGTCTGAATGAGGAGCGCCCTTGTGAATGGGAAAGTCGGGGGAACTAGATACGAGCATTGTTGGCAAGCCCGGGGTACAATCCGACAAGCTGCCTGAATAATTCGGCTTGTCAATGCCATCTTTCAAATACCACGATACCGCACTATTCCAGGTGTGCGTTTTGCTTACTGCATTTCATTACATGTTTGACCACGCACAGCGGTGGCCAGGCGGAAACGAGAACACCAATCGATCGTCACGACCCACTGCGCAATACTATGCAAGAGCTGCCACATATTGGCTAAATTTCAACAAACCTGGTTGCGGAGTACGCCGTCGCGTGTGCTAATGTCCACTTGATGCCGAGCTGTATCTGTTGCAAGAGTTCCTCGTTGCACAATATGTCATTCAGAATGAGTGAATCAAATTTAGTACTTCGCGAAAACTCATGTTTTTTAAGATCGGTTGTTTTAGCCGGTGTTTTTAGGTTTAGCAATCTGCTGAAAACTCAGGCAGGAAAACGGGGCGTTAAAAATCGTCAAATCACTAATATCGTGTACGATCATGCGAAGGCCAAGGCGGAACTTCGCACCACTATCCATGGGCCATTAGAGAATGGTCAACCAGACGAGATTTAGCACCTCGGGCATGTCTGCCACGTGTATCGTAGACGATGGATCACGGCAGGCGGTAAGCACAACAGTCAAGAGAACATCCTCGTACTTTGCATCCTGCAATAATGCATTTCGACGAGCTCGAATTTGGAAAGGTTCCTTGGTGAACCAGGCGGAAAGGCAGCGGCACAAACAGCACCAGATCTCCCTTTCATCGTGAACGCATGCTCAAAACGGATCCCTCTGAAATGAATGTGCCGTTTCAGTGGCCCTTCTATATGTCCCCCTGCTGAATACGGGAATACGATTGCCTAGACACAAACAGAGGAGCATACCTCGGTCGTCCATGGATTCGATAAGTCGCCGAAGTGACGGGGATTTGCCAGGTGATTTAAATTTTTTTGCGACATTTGACCGATACGTGGATACAAACACTCAGAGGAAAGAATGGGCGGAATGCCAAAGCCTCGGACGAGGCGACACATCCACTATAAATCCTGCGGGACTGCGCCGGGCCGTCCACATGTACACCATTGTTGTGAGGACAGACACAGCGGTTGGGGACATGTTGCACCACGCATGACCTTCGAACGGATCGAGATTCATATATGGTGCAACGACCCTCTGGACTTGCTTAATTCGCCTGGGCGGCCGCCAGCAAGATCAAGAATATCAATCAATCAACGAAGTGTACATATACCAATGCGCAGGCTGTTCTAAACCACAGGTGCCAAGTCACAGCTTAAGTTGGACCAAGTTGATCGGAAATGGCAAAGACCTCGGAACTGTCTTGGCTAACATCTTGAGAAACAGACAGCCTGCACGATCGTAACAAATTTAGCGTCGACCTGGGCTAAGCTACACTACCACTTGCCTTGGCAAGACAAATATAATACGATCATGGTACTGTCTGATAAGGCGTCAGCTATGACATCAGATAAAAACTTGTCAAATGCCTCGCCGGTCACCAGGGTCGCATAGAACGTACTTGCTGCCGCTGTAAGGCAGAGATCGATCGATCAAGAGTCGTGACACCAAACGTGCGCTTAGATAGCACATATCGCGCTGTAGGCATAGCATCATGGAAGTTGTGTACATACGGGGGTACGGGGGTAACGCGAAGGACGTTGCCATGGTACGGCATTCTCAGCGGCACTCAGTTGCAGCTTAATAATAGCTTCGATATATTCGGGATTGGCAGTTGGGTATGGGGTATGGGATAGTATGGAATTTCCGAGAACTATTCGAGGGGAGTTTGGGAACTTCGGAAGTGGAAGAATGTATGGGTTACCTAAGGTATGGGTTAGGAGGGAGTCGACTGTGATCACGTCCGCATTTGCTTTGCACTTAATGACGAACGGTGCTCTCTGATTAGTGGTCATGCACATAAGCGGAGACTTACCAAGCATTTGCCAAATGGATGTCTCTTGTTTAACAGGAACTCTCACATTGAACTGGCATCCTAAGGTTTGCAGGTGAGTAAGTATCTACTCCATCCTATTCCCAGACTCGGAGGGGGCCACCACGTCCGTGTTTTAGGCGAGCCGATATTATAGACCCACGTTTGCAGGTGGCTCGGTAAGTCTCTGCTTAATAGGTGCGCAACCACCCGCTCTAAACTGTGAACGTACCACAGTGTTTTTTGTTGTTTCCTTTCGATGCGCCAGGGCGTCTCACTGGAAACTCGGTTTTCTGTATCCAAGTCGTCTGTTAAATACTTAAACCTGTGGAGAATGAAACAAATTATAGAGTATGTGAGCACAACTGGTATGCTGTTCGCCTCCGAGTCGCTCCCGCACATATGTTGCTGCTTTCCCACAGCGTACAGCCAATCCTGATTATATAATATAGCCGTGTGTACTCTTTGTCTGCTCACAACGTATTTGTCTTTGTTTGTACCAAAAGACCATCTTCAGTCAGCCATACGCGTCTCGACCCACAGAGGACTGCCGGCCCTAGAGATGGTGTGTTACTGCGCTTCAGATTGTGCTGCTACACTCAATTCTCATATCCTATTGTCAAAATTAACTGAGGCCTTGTCTTTGTCGGCTGCAAGAAATCTGACAGTGGAATATTGTTTTTGTGAAGCTAATGGAGTTCTCAGCAAATATATACAGCGAACCACACAACTACTACGGGAGTATCATGTACAGAGGTATATATACATAACTATTCTTCATCATGTAAAAACGTGGAGTCGTATGCACGAGCTGGTCCACATAACAATTCGTGCACGTCTGCCGCAAGAAAGAATAAGAGAGAAACACACACTATGAAAATACATATACCACCTATCCAGCCCATTAAACCAAAAGAAACGTGGTCGTCATGTTGTCCAATGCTGATCGAGGTTCCGCGAGCGTGAATCTTCCAACGATGCCCCCTCCCACCACACTAAATTGAGATAGTGGCTGCTGCTTCCTCTACGTATGTCCGCATGACACGTCTACTACCCCCTCCCACCCCCTGGTCGCTGCATCGCGTTCAAGAAATTGACCCACTCCGACTGGCTCACAGAAGCGCCCCACATTGTCTCACTTTCGACGGCATGATATACTCCCCCTCCCCCTGTCCCCCCGGCGTACCCACTACCACCTCCAGTATACCTTCCGCTGGCACCACTATGGTGATGTCCTGGATCCCCCCCAGCGACGTAAGGCTGCCGCGAAGAATCAGCATACGGCTGGCGCGCAGAGACTGTATAATGCCGCGACGGCGAGGGATCATATGGAGGTGGAGGGTGGGTCGTACCGCGTGCACTGTATGTATCCGCATACGGTGTATTGGTCGCTGTCCCTCCGCTGGATTCGCTGGAACCGGGGTTATTTGTGGTTCGCGAATCAGAGTATCCCGCAACGGGTACTTGACCCGTATCAGGCGCAGCTCCAGGATGGATATTTCGCGTGGTCGGATCTCTATACATCTGCGACTGAGAGTGTAGCGTGTATGGGACAGGGGGTGACACAGACGGTACCATTGTCTGTATTGGCGTCTGTGTAGGACGAAGGACTGGCGGTGTAGCCCACGAGCGGCGTCGATGACGGCGGCCCAGTAGGCGGAAGCCCCCTCGTCAAGGTGCTCATGCCCACGCCGCCTATGCCAACGCCCATACCGTAATCTGTCGAACCTCGGTGGTAAGCTTGCGGGCTGCCAGAATGTCCCGTTCCAGGCGAACTCCCGTTCCCACTTCCCATTGCATTCGGCGAGTCGAGAGAGTTCGTGCGAGGGTATTTCGGCGAATCATGATAGGGGAATGCAAGCGTCTTGACGAGACCCAACACCCGCAACTTTTTCTGTTCTCTTTCTCCCTCGTCCTCAGTTGCAAAGTCCGGCGAATACAATGGTGCGAGGGCGTGCAGGATATCAAGTGCCTTGTCCGCAACGGGTGCACCCCGGCTCAGCTCCAGTGTTGTGAGCGCCTTTTGGATGTTCGCCCTGAATAACGATGCACCAGGCTGCTCCGGATTCGCGACGAGTTGGAATGAGAAGAACATGGCGGCGCTAAATACATGGAATGGACCCCAGTTCATGTGACCGGGCACTGCAAGCGAAGCATTGGCAAGGAAGTCAGGACGTGCTTGACCTACCAGGGTAATTAACTTGTCGGCAGACCCGACAGCGATATCGAGCGAGTTGGCAGCCTTGAGGTCCTTTCCGTCTTTCGGCACAGCATTAGAGGAACTTGCGGTAGCCGACGGTGATTCATTGTCGCCGTCCTTAGGGGTCTTGGGACCTCCGGAGGGTGCAGTAGCGTAGGGGCGATGAAGGGTGAAACGAATATGATAGTAGCTAGTGCGAATGATGACGCTCTGCACGCCGATTCGACGGGTAGTCACATCCGGGCTTGCTAGGCTTCGTGCCACCTTGAACTCGTCTAAATCGAGTTCCGAGGGTAGTGAGTCCATCCATTGCGTCAGCGAGCGGTCGTTGGCCTGTACGACTTCGTACGGAACGGGCCGAAGCGACACGGCGCTGTCCATGATGTCACCCAGGATATAGGCAAGGCGGAAAAGTGCAAGATTGGGAAGATATATGCGCGGTTCGGAGGGGTATTGGACGGGGTCATTTGCACTGGGTAATTGTGTGTCAAAATGATGGGATGCGATCGCTAGGGGGCGACCGAACATGAATGCTTGCCATCTGCGCGGGGGTGAGTTTTGACGATGAGCCGGCCCATTGACCACTAACCTTTCTAGCAAGATGATATGCCACCAGGCCCACCGACGTCTCTCTGCGACCTCCCTGGACATGCGCCATTTGAGAGGATCACGATGGAGACCCATCGCAGTGCCGATAGCAATAAGCTCACCGCGGACAGTCCATATTTCTTCGCTATCGGTTTTGCTGAGGGTGAGATAGTGACAACGGACGAGTAAGCACTCGACCAGTTCTAGACTGTAAGTTTTGCACTCCGCACGATGTCGATTGAGCGCTGTGCGCATGACTTCGTAAAATTTTCTACCCAGCTCCTGGTGCGTTTCTCCGAGATCGGACACGAGGTGGTGGTTTGGTGGTAGGTAATGGACTGCGACGGCCATAACGTTGCATAAGGTAGGCGAGTGTGATGCGGTCTGCGGATGCGCCGGTCTTGAATCGTTCCCATGCGGCAGTAAATGCGGGACGATTGACATGTCTGTATATCCAGTTGCAGTATTCAAAATAATAGGTAACGAGGCCGTCCATGATTTCGATACTGGGTAGGTGTGCAATGAGGTCCTTGTCATATTCGTTAGAGGCCGTGAAGTCATCTATGAAGTCCTGGCTTGGATGTCGTTCTCCTTCTTCTGACTGTCTGCTTACGTCGCCCTGGAATTGGGATGTGAGTCCACTAAACGAAAGTGGCGCGGGAGGAGATAGGAAATACCAGAGCAAGATGGGTGACTGCGGCAGTTGGGCCGGCGTAAAAGCCCTGGTGACCATGGCTTCCCAGCATGCCTGGGGCGTTGTCCTTGTCTGAATTTTCACCATCTGTTGATTCTTTCTTAGGTGATATCAAATTGGATGGATTGTCGAGTGTGCGTTTAAGATGTGGGGGGAGAGATGGGTTGCCTGGACGGTGGTTTGCGATGATGTATGTCTCCAGAAGGGAGACGGAGTGCTTTAGTCGTACAATTTCTTGCATTGGGTCTACTCTACTGGCGTTTCTGCACGGTAATGCTGCTTAAGAGATGGAAAGTATACCGGGAGGACAAGTGCACGCACTGGTCGTCATTTCGCGACAGGATCCCGCCTTCAGTGAGCACGGGCATCCTGGTAACAAAGTGCAATGGTGCCTTACAGATGCCTGGTGAGCTGGGAGAGCCACAAGAGGAGAAGGAGAGACATACCTCGGAGGACACAACTGGAGCAAGGTCGATTTCTGTAGGTAGCAACATTTAGCGAGTGCATCCCCCCGGCCAAGGGTGGTGGGGATACCTGTCACACTTGAGTTTGCTGTTTCTGCAAGGTTCGCAGTTGATGGCCTTCCTTGCACGCTTTGTTGGAGGTCTGGCGTCTTGTTCCCCCGGAGGCGGGGATGTTCTTGAACGCACGTTTGGCTTGTGATGCTGTTTCTGACGGGGATGTGTGGACGACGCTGTCGAGGATGGGTCGTTTGTGTCGTCTGGCATGGCGGTGGGATGGATGAGCAGGAGAAGGAGAGGAAAGGAGACAAATCACATATGACCGCGCCGAGGAGAAGTGGACAACGTTGCAGGACAATCCAGATCAGGAAATACTCTTTCTGCTCGCTGACAACCCACAGGCACGCGGGACCTTTTTTTCCCTGCTGTATTATGTAATTTGAATTTTTTTTCCTCGCTCGGCGATCAGCGATCGACGAATTTTGTCCGAATTTGAATTTCATTAAATTAAATCCCGGCCGCACCATCCCCGCATGCTACAGGGAAGAGCTCTCTGCCATCTCTCATGTACATCTCTTCACAGTACTGTCTGTGTGCTCACATGTGGACCCCACTGCTGCGAGTCTGAATATCTAGACTAGACAGAAAGAATACACCCGCAGTTGACAGCCAACTTGATATTACGTCACCGACGTCTCCGCCGGTTTTCGCGGGGCTTGCACTCCCAGAGCTGTTTAGCAGGGTCGACCATCTGCCCCGAAATCAAATCGGGGAACTACATACCAGTACACACCCCACTTACGCCCGGATCTGACATTCTCCATCAATTGACCATAACATACTGAGCCAACCACTCCACCCCCCAAACGACAAGTAACTGATCAGGGTGTGGTGTTTACGCGAACTTTGTTCCCATCAAGAAAGATCCTTGTTCTGATGTGAGCGCTATGTAGGATCTAACCATGTATTGCGATATCGTGTTAAATTAGTCCCCGACAACGTTTCCATACGCATCACTTCTACCCAGCTACTCGCTATAAACCATTAGGTGTCGCGTGACAGTCCTCAAGCCTCCCGCATTGATCCAATATTCAGTTCTATCATCAAACCTTGGCAAGGGCACAGTCCCCGTCCTGTTCCGTTACTCGCCGACGACGAACTCGCCAGCAATTTCATCATGCTTCTCCACAGCCAAATACGTTGTTGACATCAACTCACTCGGATCCAATTAGTACAGAGCAGACTAGAAGAGAGAATGTCCGCGTACTGGCCACCCCACAAACACCACCGGAGGTTTGAACGCTCCCAGCGCTGTGCGACCAGATCGGAAAATCCGTTTAAGCTATTGCTTCCACCTGCCGTGAAGGGGCGGACACGATGCACGAACAAGAGCAGCTGGTTGGGTCACTTGGGTATGTATTTGTCACACCCAAAATTGACATATTTGGGTTGCAGCGTCTCCCGAACATCAAACGACCCCATTTTTATGTGCCGTCGTGATTGTACGCTGAGTGGAGGTTTCTGAAAACAGTACTTACGGACATGACGGATTTATTGTTTCTCTTCTCATCTTCCTTTCTTTGATAGATTGGCTGTTGGTCTTCTACTTACTACCAAAGTTCCAGCTTCAGGAAGCTTTCTCCCCCAAGTCGGCACCAATACCGGCAGGCCCTCAACGACCACACATCGATATGTCTGGGCAACTTGCCATACATACCAAGCTCAGCAGACCTCTCTTCGGCCGGGCTGCGGGGGATGTATAACCGAAAGCTCAACGAGATGCCGCCGCATAGATATTTTCTGGACACTTCCAGGTCAAATACCGCTATCAGCGCCAGCCGCGCCGATGTGGAGAACGTGCTTCCATGGATCAAGGTGGGGTTGAGGAGTGCTATATCAATCCTTCTCGCGTGCCTCTGTCACAAAGTGTCAAGTACTAGGTCGATCTCCAGTCGGTCCCGCACAAGACTACCGAGGCTGTCCGGTGTCCCTGAGCAACAATGTCATGTCCGTGACAGTTGGAGACGGCACCGTCGACGGACAGACCACCCCTTTGTTCGAGACACCAAGACGAGCGCTCGTTGGTCGGACACGAAGCATCCAGCGTGTCGTATTGTTCTTCGTCCGACTCGGCCTTCCTGCAGTCCACCTATGTAACGAGACTCGCACGCCCTTCTTTGCCACTTTTTTGCCATACGTTCACTCGAATCGCTCACAAACTCCTCGGAGGTTCGGAGATACCAATCAGGGTCAGACCGGTCAACCTCAACTATGTACACTGATTATCTCACGTCCTTGCAAGTATTCGCTTATAGTGTCGTCGCTGGAGACGTTCGACAAACCAAAGTCCAAAATCTGATGGGTACTACTGTGACATCGGGCCCGCCGATCCAAGGCTATACAGTACGTGCAAATGTCAAACTCGACCACGCGATTGTAAACTCCTCGGAGATGAGTCGACACTTCCGAATCACCCCGAGGAGTTTCGACCGGTTTCGATGTTGCAATGTCGAGCTCATTGCCCACAGCTGCTTCCTCGAATGGTGGGTTGCCATGTCGTGTTACTCGTCGTTATTCACTTACATATACATGTAACAAAGGGGGTTGCAGTTATGGACATCCGATGTCCGGGCTTGCGGCAGAAGTTGGGAAGCTGAACTCTAGATCATGTCTTACAGGAAGACTCAACGCTGCACACAGAAGTTCATCGATTCATCGGTGGCAGTATATCTTCTTTTCGGTGTGACCAAGAAGGCAATGGCTTTAGGCGTCTAGTAAGTACTTTGATAGCGCCGCGCGACACCCATACACATAGTGACACTGACAGGCCCCCCATGTAACTTAACACTTACCCAAGGTTCAACACTTGATCAGTGGCGTACGTATGTGCGCTAGAAATGCGGTTGGATTCAAAACGTGTCTCAGAAGGACTTCGGAGAACTCGCGATCTGTGCGGGCGTACGACCATAATACCGACCTCGTATACCTGGTATAGACTTGTCGGGCTATGTAGCGCAGTACACCAGATACGATAAGGGGATGCGACAGTCGAATCGAAGTCTGCAATAATCCGTCTTGGGGCCACAGGCTGGTGTGGCGACTCCCGGTTCTTGACGCGGTAGCCACTTACGTAGTTTCCGTAACAAATGATCATGGCAGGTGAAGGATTCGGTGTATCTACATGATATGATGGATCATGATCATGAATGCTTCGTTGCTCGTCTACATAGCCTGTGCGAATAGGTTAGCTAATTGTACACTGTTGCCAATAATACCGAAATCCGTAAATGCGTGTCCCACGAAAAAAAGGCCTTTCCCCCCCCCCCCCTTCTCCGAAGTACACATGCGTGCCGGAATTGTCGTGGACGCAGTGATGGGGCCGATGCCCCCCAAAATGAACACTCCTCGAGTCAAGCCAGGAATGTTTACTTGTCACAAACAAGCGGGTATACCAAGTCTCTCTGACAAAGATTTTACGCGTACCACTCGTACATCTTCACCTCCTCAAGCGGACGGCTATCGGTGCCTAATGGTCAAGGATATCAGCGCATCGTTCATCATCGCGCTCCCCAAACGGATACGAGAGAACGACTCGATATAGAGAAATAAATGGCTATGTACTCACCCGCATGGTAGTACGGATTACCGGTAGACTTGTGTCCCCACCACATCACAGGTGACCATTCGTCAATCAGATTCGCTAGCGTCTGTATGTGCCCGTACGCTGCTTGGCTGGGGCCCCGATCGCCCGACGACCGTGACGATTGTAAAAATAAAAGCAAAGACAAAGAGAGCTCCGGTCAGGTTGAGAATCTGAGTAGGAGGAGTGTCAGCTACGCAAGGCTAATAGCATCGAGGGGACATACCTGTATTGGGAACATGCTCACTGCAACGGCCGTCAGAAGTTCTGAGTCGGCGGTACCCGCTAAACTGATCGCTAGACCCATCATCCAGTCTAAAATGGAGGCTGTCAGTCGCTCATGAACATATGAAAGCGACATTATCTCAAAGCTACTATCTTGAGCACTAGCCCACCCCCATCGACAACAAACGACTAGAACGAATGTATTTAAAGACGGAAAAAAAACACTCACGCAGCACTGGCTTCGCACACAGCAACGCTAAGTTTAACGGACTCCCGAATACTAAAACTAGCGGATTCGTCGACAGCTTGGCACCATTCTTCCCAGTTGCATGTCGCCATGCATTCTCGTCCCTGATCACGTTTGTCACGAGTTCCGAACAGTGCAACACCAGCGTCAAAGGACCTTGTACAAGCGCCGTGTTCAGGTAATAGAGCACCCAGTAGAACCATGCGAGTCCAGTATGGAGAGGGATGTTGTATGCCTTCACATATGACTGTGAATTTGGGAAAAAGGACCACGTAGAAATCGCAGCGGACATGTTCCCTCCAATCAAGTGGACCACGACGAGTCCCCATCCGAGACAAGCGATTACGAGCACCCACAACGTGACGACGACTTTGCGCACGCTCGGGCGAGCAGTCCATGCTGAGGGCTGCTTTTTGCGTGGTTGAGCTGGTCCATTTTCTCTTCGAGCATCAACGCCACGCATACACCGTCCTGGGACAGGAATGACCTGTGCATGGTGTACGAGCGCAGCTGTGATATCGAACGGGGACGAGCTCCATGTCGTGACATCTGCAGAGCACATGCCCGCGATGGCGATGATCGCTTGCAGTAGGAGTGACGTCCCAAGTACAATTAATGGTACGTCGCTCACGCAGATCGCCACGGTCGATGGCACGGCGGCATTTCCTGTTTCATCGTCGGATGTATCCATATTGACAGCGAGGGTGGCTAGGATGCTTGAACTGTACGATATGACGAGCAGGAATGCCATGAGAATGTTGCATACAGTGCCATTCGGATTGAACACTCCTTTTGCGGCAGTGACCAGCCTCAAGTTGGTGTTGAACTTCAATCGGCTTTCAGACGCAAGTGCAGCCCGAAGTGTAATGTTATGGACGAATCCAGTTGCTTCCGTACATACTGCCACAAGCAGATTAAGGCCTAGGGAGATTGCCTCGCGCTGCCACTCGTGTTGGAACGAGAGGACGATGACCCCTGCTGAGATCGTTTCGTTAGAGAGAAAGATTTTGGTGCCGCCGAAGATACAGGCGATGCCGAACACCACAGTGACGAAGATACCGAACAGAGCGATTCGACGGGATATGAGCGAGCGATCAAAAAATTCGGGACCTGTGATAGGTTTGTGCTTCCAGGTGATCTCTTCGAAGTCGGTTGCATACACGGTTGCGCGTGAATACCACGAATCCGTGTATGAGCTTCTGTCAGAATAGCTTTGGAAAGGCGGTGGAGCCTGCATATCTGGCAGAGCGGGAGGAAGGAAGTTGCAGACAGGTTACTGCCAATGGGAAGGGATGGGAACTGGGAGAACCTCCTGCAGCCGTGAGCGTGAGGACCGGAAAGTGGACAGCCTGCAAGGACAGGCATGGTCCACAAGGTTTAGTTAAGAAGTACCTTGTCCCTAAAATGCCATCCGAGAATCCTCCCCTGATTGATGTGATTGGCAACCCAGATCTTGGCAGTGCGGACTTTGCGGATGCGAAAATCGAGACACATGGATGTACTTGAGTGGGCCGCACTCGAGCACTTGAATATTCTCACTGGCAAGTGTAGTCCGTTGCAGGATTTTTTGGAAAGGAAGTTCTCTATTTCGATGGCGGATGACACGGGGCCAATCCGCACAGGAACTGCCAAACCCTGAAGCACCGGTCATCTTCGACCCACGGGTAAGCCGTTATGGGCGCTGGGCGCTCAAATAATGGGACCCCCCACTGGCAGACAGGCCAACGTTCGTGGTGGTCAACCCAACTGATGATGCGTAATATGTGCCAGAATATTACTGCAGCCAGGCAGGCAGGCCGGTGATTTATTAGCACCGTGTACACACTTGGTAGACTCGATCGTACTATCTAGGACTTTCCAAAGTCGATTCTAAGAAAATTCGAGAAGGTTCCTCAGCCAACGTCCAAGTCCAAGGGTAAAGGAGGTATATTAGCAAGAGACACGGCCATCCCACAGCGACAGACAAGCTCATCGGTACTGTACTATGTCCGACGTGAGTATCCACTATCGTCCACGGTGGGCACGTTGATACATCGTGGGGTGGACAGGCAAACACACTAAAAGATCTAGGCAACAAGGCCTTTCAAGCCAAGGATTACGACAAGGCCATCCAACTGTTTTCACAAGCAATCACCCTCGATCCCTCCAATCACGTCCTCTACTCCAATCGCAGCGCTGCAAAAGCTGGCAAGAAGCTCTATAGCGATGCACTCGAAGACGCAGACAAGGTTTCGCCCATTTCAGATCATTACTCGTTTTTCTTCTGATGAGAAGGTGACCTGCAGTGCGTAAGTATCAACCCTACTTGGGGAAAGGGTTACGCGAGGAAGGGTGCTGCACTTCACTGGCTTGCGGAGATATCCTGAGGCCATCGCCGCATACTCCGATGGTCCTCAAATATGAGGACAGCCCCGCACTACGCAAAGGTCTCCAGGAGGTCCAAGATGCCCAGGGTACCCTCTTAGTCCTCCTCTCCTCAATTCCGTCTCTTACACCCCCCACCAGCCAAGGATGATCGTGTTGCAGACTCTGGTCTGGCTAAGATGTTCCAGGACCCTAATCTCGTCAGCAAGCTTGCAGCCAACCCCAGAACACAGAAACACCTTACCGACCCAGCTTTTGTCCAAAAGGTAATCTCATATCGTGCAAGTTCCCCGCTTATCTACCCTGCTAACATTTTATTTCGCGCTTAGCTGAACATGATGCAGCAATATCCCAAACTTGCCGAGACGTGAGTGTAGATTCCCCTCTACCCCTGAGACTAACGTCGACGTCACTACCAACCACACCAGCGCACTCTGTTCGGACCCCCGCATGATCGACGTCCTCGGCGTAGCAATGGGTATCGACATGCAAGGTTTCTCGCGCGAAGAAGGTTCAGACGAACTCCCTCCGGGCTTCCAACATCAACCACCACCACCTTCCCGGTTTGGGTCGAACCCACCGCAATCATCGTCTCCCCCGCGATCGTCGTCCTCAACATCGAAGCCCGCACCTGAACCAGCGCCCGAACCACCAGCGGAAGATGTCGAGATGACAGAGGAAGAACAGGAAGAGGCTAAGGCTAAGGCTGAGGCGTTGGAGCTCAAGACAAAGGGCTCCGCTTCTTACAAGGAGAGGAGATTCGACGAAGCTGCAAAGTGCTTCTCCAAAGCTTGGGACCTCTGGCCGAAGGATGTTACCTTCCTCACCAACCTTGCTGCAGTTTACTTCGAGCAAGGAGACTATGACAAGTGCATTGAGTCGTGCGAGAAAGCCGTCGAGGAGGGCAGATCGGTGAGTTTTTGATAGCCTACAGCGCTGAGCTGTATCCTGAATAAACCCCGCGTGTCACATAGCTCCGTGCAGATTTCAAGCTCCTCGCTAAAGCCCTTGGCCGTATTGGTTCTGCATACTCCCAGAAAGGCGACTTGCCCTCTGCTGTAAAGTACTTCCAAAAGTCTCTTTCCGAGCACCGAGACGCCGCCATCTTGGCAAAACTCCAGTCGACAGAGAGGGCCATCGCAGAGGCAGAGCGCAAGGCGTACATTGATCCCGCAAAATCTGCTATAGCTCGCGAAGAGGGCAACACTGCCTTCAAGAACGGAGACTTTGTTGGCGCTGTGAAGTTGTACGCGGAGAGCATTAAGCGCGACCCTTCGGATGCCAGGGGTTACAATAACAGAGCAGCGGCATACATGAAGCTGATGGCCCTTCCCGAAGCATTGAAGGATGCCGAAGAAGCTATCAAGGTTGACCCCAGCTTCGGTAGGTTAACAACCTGTCTCGGCCTCCGATCGGAGCTCTTTTTTTGCTGATACGGAGATACAGTAAAGGCATACATTCGCAAAGCCAATATCCTTCACTCCATGCGCGAGTATACCAAGGCGTTGGAAGCACTCCAGGCTGCGGAGAATGCTGACACAGCCAGTGCCCATACGTCTGAAATTCACGCCCAAGAGCTCAAAATTCAGCAAGCACTCTTTGCCCAGCGTGCTGGGGAGACAGAGGAACAAACCCTGGAGCGTGCAATGAGGGATCCAGAAGTTGCTGTACGGACTTCTCTCTCAGCATACTCGTTAAATTCGAGGTTGACTACCTGAGCAGAAAATTATGTCAGATCCTGTGATGCAGCAAATCCTCCAGCAGGCACAGGGCAACCCTGCTGCATTGCAAGATCACATGAAGAGCCCCATCATTCGCGAGAAGATTATGAAGCTCGTCAATGCGGGTATTATCAAAACGAGGTGATTTGGACGGGTCGAAGGTCGCTAGTCGCACTTCCTTGTGTATGTATTATACAATACACTCGTGTCTGTAAGAATAATTTGTGCATCCTCCATTTTACATGTCCACAACAATTGCACACCCAAAAACGTGGAATTCAAGAAAAAGATGGGTTTTCCCAAGACTCGTCGAGTACGTTTTCTGCTTCGAAGAAGCGCGTTATAGCTTCGACGTGTGTCTCCCATCCTGCCTTCAAGTTTCCCGACTGGACTTGTTGCCAAATGCGAGCGCATGCGTGGACATCCTCGACGCTGCTGAGTCCGATCACCGTTGGAGTTTGTGCTTTCAACGCTTGTCCGAACGCATACCCCAACGCAAGTTCGCTGATCGTCGGACTTATGCTGCCCTCACCAATTCGTTCGTTATGCATAGCAAAAGCCTTTGCGACGGCCACCTTAATTTCATCTGACGCAGGGTGCCACGCAGGCGGTTTCGGACTTAGTAAGCCCATGCTGAACGGTGAAGCAGATACGACTTGCTTCAGTTTGGCACGTTCCAGGAAGGCGGGTTTGAATGCCTCAAACGTCCGGTTTTGAAGGTTCAGATGGCTGTATGACATCACGATGTCAAGTGGTTTACCTGTCGTGTGGAGGACCAGGACGGCAATACGAAGGAGTGTCGGGAGGGGGTATCCTATACCACCCCATCATGGCAATTAGTTTCTGAGAGTACACGAGCCGTCGAACGCCGTACCGCTAATTCCCACTTTCCTCACGATCCCTCTTTCCTGGAGTTCCCTCAGCGCTGCGATTGCACCCAACACCTCCTGATCGCCCTCCCCGAGCACTTGGTCGGCCTGATGCTCTTTGAGACCATACGCTTCCCTCTCACTTCCAAGGGCAGAGAGGTGATTCCCTACTGTGCGTGGTGCACGAACGTCTGCTATGAACTCGACGTCGTGTACATAAACCACGTCCAGGTAGTCTGTATACAGTCGTGAGAGGCTGCGTGCCACGCTGGCGCGGACGCCTGCCCAGGTGAGGTCAAAGTCTGCCCGCGTGCTTCCAAAGCGGCCACATTTCGTTATCTGTGAGTGGATGTGGATGACGAAGTGAACGGGGGGTCAGGATCTGGGACGTACAAGCTGGTAAGAGGATCGAGGGAATTCGCTTTCCAGTGCTTTCAATGCATTCCCCAGTATAATTTCGGAGGGTCCGTAGTACGGTGAGGTATCGAAAGCGTTAATGCCGTACCTACAGACCGGTAAGAGCGCCTTTAGGGAACGACGATCAAGCGCACCTCAATGCGAGCCTCGTTGCCCGGAAGGGCTTCGTACTGCTAATGTGATTGTCCGTGTTGTAAAATGCAGAAAACGAAGCTGCACCGAAGACAACAGCAGGAAGCTCATCGAAGCATGTCGTCTACCACGCAGAGAGGAGCCCTCTCGTTAGCGCCGGCTGGACACACGCCCCCCTAAAAAGCCTCACTGACAATCTGGTTGCTTGCCTCAGGTCTATCGATCTCGTCGTCTGGAATCTGCTCGATGCGCGGAAGTGGATACACAGGTTGCACTGCATCCAGACGCTCGACCATGGTGATGACAGAGGACCCACTCAAGCAATAATATAAATACTGTCACTACTGTCGTCTGTCGCCCCTGTGGGGCGCCGAAGAAAACGTCCGATCACACGGAAGCGATCGGTGAAAAGAAAGGAGATGTATCCATGTTATTGAACAGTAAAGGGAAACAGCAGCAAGGCAAATGAACTGTCAGTTCCTTCCTGTAGCTTGGGATGTTTATAGCTTGTCTCGCGACCAGCTATACAAGTTCGCTCATTAGTTTGCCGAGGATCGAAAAAGCGCGAAAAAAAAAAGTGACAAACCTCTTGGCAAACCTGTTGTTCACGTCCAACATCTTTACGTTTTCGTCCGGTTTGACGTCGTTCCAAGGAGTGGGGTTGCTCTTCGTCCAGACGACTATGTAACAGATATTCGTTAGCAAAAGGGTATATGGGAATTCTGTGGTAGAAACTCAAGTCTCACCGGTTGGCCCACGAGCAAGGCGGGTTAGATACCACGTTGCGCCACCTACGGCCAGACCCATAACAGCATAACTGGAAGCGCCACTTTCGTCAATCTTGGACCACCCAGCAGCAGGAAACAGACCTACAGTGGAATGGCCTATTCATAACCAAACCATGAGACCAACCAACACAGTGAATGATAGATATAATAAAACAGACAGACCTCGATGGCAAACCAGTGACGCATGAACTTGCTCCTTGCACTAGAAACCATGATGACTACGCTGCGGTTGTAGGTCGAGTTGGATTGTAGTTGGTCTCAGACGGGCAACACCACCGGAAACTGCCGAAAGGAATTTCGGCTGCATTCGGAAGAGTTCAGGGGCTTTCGACACACCATCTCTCAAGTCGAACTTTGTCGACATTAACGATCTGCCTTTACAGTCTAGCTTGCGTGGATATATCCTGTTTGTACTCGGGTCTTGCGTCTTTGATGCACCACGACATCCTCTCCCTGAGGGCTCACCATGATCAATTTACTCAGTGACAGTTGACGAGTTGTTGTCGTTGTTGATAGGCGAACATCTTTTTGCCAAGGAAGGCGGTAGCATAATGCTGTTTGAATGGCGGGGTTACACGTTCGTAACTTTTGACCCTTGACGTGGTTCCAAGTAACTACGCGGCGCAGGATCGCAAGCTCGTAGAATCATCACGGAATGCTGCAAAACTATGCGAGTTCACCTCACCACAGTATCTGCATCCTCGACGGTCGGTCCAATCAACCCATTTCCGTCTCGTACATTATATTCAGGTTGCGCCGCCGCGGTGCTATTACGCCCAACACAAAGGCTGTGGCGAACCAGGTGATATTCCTCCAATGCATCGTGCAGGAGGGCTGCCACCTGGTGCGTTTTAACTCACACTTTTCCAGAAAGATTGTGCTCATCTGATGTAACAGCTTATTATCATTCCACAATGATCCCCGCATCGACATTTTTGGTTGGGGTTCGGATACACCTCATTAAATACCAGGGTGATGATCGTAGAGTTATGACATAATTCTCCTTTTCTTTGGAAGCTTGATGTGTTTTCGGACATCGCTATGTAAGTTACTCGAACTTTATCGGTGTTAACCCCTTGATATACTTTGGCAGGCTAGCTCGTACGGATATATCCTGTTTACCTTGTGTCTTTGCTGCACTACTCGCTGGGAGTTTACAGGTCCTCGCAAAGGATGATGATGACATCGACTGAGTTGCCCGTCGCAGATTTCGAGTCCTCGACGCGATTATGAGTCACAGCACGGCGGAGGATCACGAGTTCACCACATCACGGCACCCCTGATTCGAATTTCACCACCTCTATTCCATTCAGTTCGCGCCACTAACGCAAAAGCTGTAGTGGACGGGCGTTTTCAGCAAACGACAATGATGACGGAGGTTATCACCTGACACCCCTTAATCCCCGTTTTCACCGGAAAGAGTAAGTTCATCTGCTCATTTCACGACTCCTATCATTCTACGAGGATCCGCGCATGAACGTTTTTGGAGGGAGTTTGGATGCTTATCACTAATGACGAGATCAACGGCCGTAGAGTTCTGACATAATTGTTCGGTCATCCCTACGTCCATTCCATGCTAGTACCGTTTATGACCCAGACCCGTACTTAAATACGCCCAGACTGCGCTCTCCTTCTCCCATCTCCCATCTCACTTTGACATCCCCCATCCCATACCCATACCTGACTGAGAAGATTGTGCTATAAAGTGCGTCTGCCAATTTATGGAAGAACCTATGAATGACCAATTTTCCGTAGACAAAGCTTCGAAGCTTTTAGTACTGATGCCTGTCATGTTAGAAAACCCCACCCGTAAATGCCTTGTAACAGGAGGCTATGGATTTATAGTAAGTGCTGCCTTGCCTTTTTGTGGGATACTGCCGAACTTTTCATCCGATTTATTAGGGTTCTCACGTAGCGAAGGCCCTCTTCGAGCGTGGTCATTTCGTACGCATCGCTAGCGATACCTCTTCATCTCCCTTCGCAGAAAAAATCAGCACCGAGGTCCTTGTCGGGAACGTGTGTGACCCATCCTTTTGCGAGCGTGCCGTGAGAGGAATCGACACTGTCCTTCACTTCGCGGCCAACATGGGTGGCATGGGGGTCATCCACGAAGAGAATGAATTGATGATATATCGGGATAATCTGACCATGACGCATAACATGCTCTCTGCGTCTCGTCTCGCAGGTGTACGCTCCTTCTTCTATGCGTCCTCAGCTTGCGTGTACCCTGTATCCCTACAAGGGGATTCCCAAGCTGACGTTTTCCTGAAGGAAAGCGACACTTGGAAGGACTGCGCACCACCCAACCCCCAGGGTCTCTACGGTTTGGAGAAACTCTCCTCGGAGCTACTGCTGTTGCACGGCGGGGGAGACATGGATATTCGCATTGCCCGTTTCCACAATGTGTATGGACCTCGTGGCGCGTGGATGGACGGCCGCGAGAAAGTTCCCGCTGCATTGATCCGAAAGGCACTCGCAGCAGCAGCGCTGCAGGAGGCCACTCTGACACTGGAAATTTGGGGGGACGGAAAACAGCGCCGCAGTTTCCTTTACATCGACGACTGTGTCGATGCAGTCCTGCTACTTCTTAATTCCTCGTGCAGGGACCCCCTCAACATCGGTTCAGACCGCTCCGTAACGATCGATTATCTGGCAGAAGTTGCGTGCTCATGCGCAGGACTGCAAACGAAAGATGTCCGGTTTAATCACGTTGAAGCTTCTGGGCTGGTCGGTGTGTCGGCACGGAACTCAGACAACACGTCCATCCAGGGAACACTGGGGTGGTCTCCCAAGGTATCGTTGGAGGATGGGATTAAAAGGACCACCGAATGGATCAAGGATGAAATGCAGAAGATGTTTGTAGCTATCACTGATGAGGAACGCGCACTTGCGCTGCGGAACCTTAAACGCAGTCGAGTACTCGCTTTATCAAGCGGATACATCACATTTGCAGTCCTCCTTCCAATCACTTCCCGTGGTTCGGAACCTCCGACTCGGTGCCTGTCCACGTTGAGTACATTTGCCGAATCACTTCAGAACACTACGTGGCGGGACACACATCAAATAGGTGGTCTCCGCTTCAAGGTCAAGGTCTATCTTGCCATCGATGAGGACGATCCAGTTCTCAGGAAATGTGACGACACCGGGGTCAACGTTGCTGAAGCCGTCCTTCTGTCGAAGAACATCACTTCCGTTGCTATCGAGATATGCAACCAGCCGCCTGGCCACGTATGTGCTATCTGGCGCCAATGTGCAGAGCGGGCTATGAAGGATGGGTGCGATTATTTTGTTCTGATGGGAGATGACGTTGTATTGGAGGACGAAGGCTGGATGCGAGTTGTGCATGCCGAGTTCCTCGAAATATCCAAACGTCAACACGTTCCCAATGGTTTTGGCTGCGTTGCCTTCACCGACATCACGTTCCCCGGGTTTCCTACCTTCCCAATCATCCACCGCACCCACATGGACATTTTTTCCGGGCGTGTAGTTCCGGACAACTTCATTAATCAAGACGGAGATCCGTTCCTCTACCAGCTCTACCGTCGCTGGAACTGCTCTGCGATGGTTCCGTTACGGATTTCGAATGTAATCGGCGGTGCCCGCCTAGCACGGTATGATAAACAACACGCTGATGGCTGGAGATTTGGGCCACTGGACAAGGCTACAGACGCCACTGAGCGGTGGCTGCTACAGCACTGCCCAGTTGCCCCAAGGTTGTTGACGATTGACGTGGTCATTCCAAGCTATCGCGTACAACTCCCTTTTCTGGATCGCATACTTAGCCTTCAGTCGTCCTCGGCATGTGTCGTGATGTTCATCATCATTGTCGACGATCCATGTGCATCGTCAATATGTGAATTGGAAAAGAAGTATGGCTGCCGGCCGGACGTTTGTATCCGCGTCAATACCGAGAACTTGGGCGCCTCAGCCTCGCGCAACAGAGGCATGAAGGAGTCGGCCGCTGATTGGATCGTATTTCTCGACGATGACGTACATCCGGATCCAAGCCTCCTTCAAGAAGCCGAAAGAGTTATTCGCGAACACCCCAAAGCGGCTGGTTTTATAGGGTGTACATACTTCCCGCCCGCAGAAACAATCTTCGAGACTGCCGTGCACCTGGCAGGGGTTTCGTATTTCTGGGATATCGCAGAGAAGATGGCAGGTGAAAGCGACATGCCATGGGGCGTAACCGCGAATATCATCGTACGCCGCGTCGAAGATGGGGTAGAGTTTGGATTGCAGTTTCCGAAGACGGGTGGAGGTGAAGATATCGATTTCATTCGCCAGAAAAGGGAGTATTCGATTTCCCATGGAGGAGAGGGCTTCCATGCCGCCCCGAATGTTTTAGCCACTCACCCATGGTGGAACGGCGGGAAAAGGTCATACTGGCGTTTTTACTGGTGGTCCAAAGGCGATGGTCAGCTTATCAAGATGTACCCTGACTTGACCTACATGGATCATGCTCCCAACAGCGCGGAGCTCCTCCTACTGAGCTTGGTACTGGCACTGGCCGGTTCGGTGGTATATGCTTTTGCTGGCGTCAATTTACCGCTTATCCTCGGAATTCATCTTGCAGCAGCGACGTTCATAGGAAACATTGCGCACGACGTGTTTCGCCATCTTTGGAGAGACACAGCTCGCGCAGCTCGCCACAACTCCACGATCACTGGTTCAAAATGGCCCCTGGCGGTGCTTGAAAGCGCCATAATTAGGATGACGAGTGAGATGGGCCGCCAGGTCGGCCAGCTGGAGAGGAAAGAGTTTCTCCCTGGGAGACGCTTCGAATGGTTCACACACAGAGCAGGGTCTGGGCCAAGAGATGAAGAGAGGTTGAATTCCAGGCAGAGATTTATCGTCGTAGTTGGTATTCTTGCCGTCAGTCTTGCTAGTGTGTATCAGTAAGTTCTCTTCGAAGCTCTCGCGTAGTATGCATGTCAGTCTTTCCCCTTCTTCCGATAGTTTCTCTGTATGCTTGTCCTGTCCTTGTCCAATGCCGCATTTTCGGTACCTTCCACCTTGCGCTAAATCTTACAGTACCTAGCCTTCGTTCGGCCTGGAACCTGACGCGCGCGACGGGACGGCAACGTGAGAATCAGCCGCACCTGGTGGCATTGCGGTCTGTCTTAGTGCAGTCCTTCGGTTGGCCCGCAACGGCCCCCGTGAGTTTTGTGTCATCACTTCATACCATCGCGTATGCATCAATATGAGTGATTTCCTTACCCTGATGTCTGTTTGAAACAACTATGCCCTCTATCACGTCTTCCGTAACGCCTTTCGGATTATTCGCTGTGGGCCCGGACCTGAGACCTCTCACTGTACCACCTACGCAACCGCTCTTCAATGTACCTCGGGAGCTTTGTTTCCCGCGGAGCTCAGGGTGTACAGTGAGGTTAAAGGTACTGTTTTCGTGACGAACAGTCACCGGGGAAATAGGCTTCGGCGGTGGTGTGGGCGACTGTGTCAGCAGCAGGAAGAGTCCGCTGGAATCATCCCATTCCTCGGCGACCAACCTTCAGATACGTACCCCGTACCAGGGTGCTTTGCCCGATTGACTGTCCGCATCCCCTTCGTAAGCGGTCTCGGGGTTCATCCCTTGCGAAGCGGAAACTCTGGTGGGTGTGGCTCGAAGAGGTTCCGGGTTATTTCCTCCAATATTGTGGAGGGTGGCGGCCAGACACGAACGACTGTTTTATATGTCCCCTAGTTCTTGAATCCTCTTACACTCAGCCAATCTTGTCCGACCGCCGCTCTGGCACGGTGCGGTTGTGTGTTTCGATGGTAAAAGCCCTCGGTGAAGAAACCCACCCGTCCCATGGGTGGATACCGTCCTACCATGGGTTGCCTTGAGGTCAATATTGCCGGAAACCTGCATTCTTACCATTTGGGTACCATTCATACGAGTAAGTCTGTTTATAGTGAATATCGACTCCATCTCGTATCACCTTTGCCTTTGTCTAGGTATATCCGCGAAACGTGTCTCGACATCCGAGTCTTCGCAGGTGTCCGTTCGATCTTCGGCATTCTCTGGGATTCATGAGTTCAACCTGTCCTGAACCATTCCTGTCAGGTCCAATTTTCAGCTTCTCCACAATTGCAACGCAATGGTTACTGGCGGAGCGCTGAGCAGCCAAGTGAAAATTGGAGTTAGTCACTCGAAAGCATCTCGAAACCATGATATATATAAATAATACGCATGTCCTTGAAACGCATAACGATAACATGAATACAGCGACAACAATGTTGACACATCATAACAAGACTTGCCCCACTAACGCCACCACCAAGGGGTAGCGAACGGAGGAGGAAGTAGGGGGAAAAGCGTGAACTATGTGACAGACCGATGGAAGTGAAGTCGCTGGAAAACATGTTGAAAATGTTTATAGAAGCATAAGTCATATGGGCCGGGATCAGGAGCAGCACTGCATAGGCTAAGATACGCGACAAGCTGAGCACAATTAACAACCAAGGGCAAGAAAAAAAGCACGTACGATTACAAGGAAACCTCGGTTGCCCTGCAACCCTTGCAGGCGCTCACCATGAAACAGGAACCAGTCCCGGTAAAGGTTTCCTGACTTAATCTGCTCTTCAACTTCTCCAACTGCTTGTCCCTGCAGACAAATCCTCGCTCGGTAGTGCATTGCGCATGGTCTTCAGCACAGGACATCAAAGGAACTGACTCGAAACCGTCCGGATTTTGGCTGGGTGAGCCGCTACTGGACATGATGCACGACGCGATCGCAGTCGCACCTGGCGTCCACGAAAAAGGTATAAAATTTGACAGCTTTTGTAATTTCTGCAATGAAAATCGTGCCGAAAGCGGAGAGGGCATGATAGAAGGTAGCGATACTGAAGGAATTTGCTGCTGATGATAACGATCACCACCACTGGGCTCGTAACTGGTCACCTCCGGCGTGGCGCCGCCACTTTCCGGGGGGCATCTGAAGGTGGACACGACATCGTTGGCTGTGAAACGCAAGAGGAAGAAAATGAGTTAAGCGTACTCATGGATAATCTAGGCTGAGGCTTAGTCGAACCGTTTGGATTTCGGGAGAGATCTTTTGCAGTACGGACTACGGATGCTCTTGGTTTTGTCGGCGTAGACTGTGCGACAGCTGACGGCAAAGGTTTGGGTTGCGGTATGAAGGTTGAAACATTGCCTCCTTTCTTGGATGGAGGAGTGATGAACGAACACCTAGGGAGGTCAGCTAGTGTCGAACGACCTGTCGGCGGCTTTGACGGTGTGAGCGGCGCTGATGGTGACTGAGTGAATGAACGAAGCACAGTTGCACGCGGGATCGAAGACGGCGACATTGTAGTTCTGCTAGAGGGCCGGCTATCGCAACTAGCGCTGGGCTGCACAGGAGATGGAGTAGCAGGTGCCTCGGGTAGGGCCCGAACATCAACTGGAGGGAATTGGGAAATTGGTGGTTCCTGCTCTTCGTAAACGGGCACAAGTTTTCTTGGCACTGAGTGAGATTCCGACTCAACTGGAGCTATGGTTGTGGTAGGCGGCGAAACACAAATTTGTGGTGGGGTGATGCAAATAGTAGGAGGTGGGTTGAAGATGAAGCGAATACCACCTTCGACTTCCTCGCCTACAAACTCGTCGTCTGTATCTTCCTCATCATCCTCATGCACCGTATCAAGGCTCCTCACCGGAGCTGGCGGTTCAACCACGACGCCAATGTCAGCAGGCAAAACGAACGGTGGCATTTCATCCTCGTCATCCGCAGGACAGAAGGCAGATGCAAATAAGCCCTTCGTCCTCTCTTCCGAACCAAGGTGGGGAGACATGTCAACGTCGTCCAGACAACCAAAGAAGTGGTCTACATCTTCCTTTTGCTCCGATAGAACAATGGCATGGCCTCTTGGGAAAGTCCACGTCTTAGAAAGCGTTGCGTGGCGACCGTGAGCGGGGTTGTTGAGAGGTTTGGCAGCCTCACCCCCGCTCGCGACATCGAATTTGAGTACCATTTCCTCTGCCGAGCCAGCGGATGAACCACCCGGACTCTGGAAACTGAGATCTGAGTCGTCTTCGTCTTCGTATCCAGCCAGGGCATCCACCTCTTCTTCGGAGAGATCCTCTTCAGCAACCACGTCCAAGGTCGAACCCGCCTTCATAAAGCTGTCATCTAGCGACTCGACCTCGGTGGAACTTTCGGAATCGATGGATTGGAAGCCGAATTCACGGGAACCGCCGAATCGTGAGGGCATGATTGACTTTATTCCAAAACCATTCGTGAGACGAGGGACCGCAGGCGCGTTGAAAAGGCCAGCATCGTCCAAAAGGTGTTCTAACTCTTGCCTGCGTTCGCGTTCTTGTTCGAGAGCAGCACGAAGTTGCGCACATTCGTCAACTGTCGCATCAGCATCCTGTAGGCGCTCTTTGAGTTTATTGACTTCTTCCTCGAGTTCGTCCCGTTCGCGTGTCAGCGCTGTCTTTTCAACCAAAGAGAGATCGAGAGCGGCAATTTTGTCTTCTATCGCCTTTTCAAGTTGCGTTTTTTCAACCTCGAGCAGACCAAGGCGGGAACGTGCAACCCAGGCATCCCGCCTCTCAACTTCAATGCGTTTGGCGAGCACGCCCGCCCGTTCGTCAGCGTCAGAAACGCGCTTTCGCCAACCGTCTACGTCCCGCTTGAGCTCGTCGCGTTCAGCCTTCAAGTCAGAGATTAACTGAAGCATCTCGTCGCTAGGCTCAGAAGAGCCCACAGAAACCTCTGAGGAATATGAAAGAGGGCGAGGGGAGTACAAGGACGATCTTTTGCGGAGGGTACGCTCCAGTTCGGTGATGCGGGTCAAGAGCACGTTGTGAGACCTAAATAAAAAATGCTGCTCCGCTACTGTAAGAGGCTTCTCGACGGCAAGAGATTGGTCACTCGAAATAGAAAAGTGACGGTCAGATGTGGGGGTCATTTCAGGCGACGGCAATGTTACCACATCCCGTGGTGTCGAGTCCACCGAACGCTTGTAGGAAATGCTGCTACGCCGCTTGATGACGCTAGACGTGTTGGTCAGAGAGTGCCTCCTGCTGAATGAACGGGGAACGGCCGACGGGTGAGCTATGGAATCGGTCTCGCTTGTCGTAATATCAGACGATAACGTAAGAGCTCTCAAACCGGCGCGAGGGCTGGGAGTAGTTGAGGGAGTCGGCAAGCCACCGGAAGTAACTACCGCAATGCCGCTGACGAGGGAGAGCGGACGCAGATTGAGGCTGGTAGGGCGTGGACGGGAGGGTTTAGCATGCTCTACTGAATGGACAGGTGGGGATGTCTCCTTTGGCTGTTCTGGAAACGTGTCGTTTTGCTCCTCTAACTCCTCTTCCTCTTCTTCTTCCTCAATGAGGGTGTGGAGCTGATCCTTTGCAACCGAGGACACAAACATCTTACCAGAGTCGCGCTTTCCCATGAGACCAGTAACGCCAAGGTTGTTGATGGCGGAAGTTGGAGGGAAGGCAGATTTCGTAGCTATGTTCTATATTAGTTCCCAGTGCACCACAAATAGCGATGGTCGTCAACCCACGGAAATCAAAAGTCTTGGTTGCGTCCGGGGAAGTTATGTCTGGGATTTCCACCTTGGAGAACGCGAGATCAGGCTTTCCCTCGAGTGCAAGGAGGGCGCGACGACGGATAGAGTCCCTGTCACCCAAATTGATGTTGTCATCCGAGTGCGCTGACGGAAGGTCCGGAACAGAAACGCCCATCAACTCTGCCGACTCGCGGCGCGTAGAGACTGAGGAGCGGCGCTTGTGGTGGGAGCCGCGTTTGGTTTGGGCCACGTTAGATGGTACATGGGTACTTGAAGAGAAGTCGAACGCTGGAACAGAGGGAACAGACGTGGAGATAGACAGAGAAATAGAGTTGTTTCGAGAATGAGATCGTCTGTGAGAGAGTTTGCTGAGGGTGTGAGCGGGGGCACTGCCGCCCATCTTGAATGATTCAAACTAAGAAGGGGTCAAGAGGGGTATGAGCAATGAGCGAGGGGACAGTACAGACCCTCAGTTTGGCCGCCGTATCGGAGTCTTGAGCCGGGTTAGAGACGTTGACAGAAGGGTCCATAATGTGTGTGACAATGAAAGAGCGTGGGGTGAGCAAACAAAAGAATGGAATGGGTCCGTCTCGAGTAGATGGCCAGCGGTGGAGACGAGATGGCAGCAGCGAAGAAATTCCAACCGTCTGCAAACAAGTCCTATCACCAACTTCAAACTCCGCTCCCCCGCATTCGACTTCCTTACTCGGATTAGCAAACGGGTGCCTGGTAATACGAACGATGCCTCAGATCGCCAGGCTGGACCCAGCCAAGACCGCATTCTTTCTCTGTGACTTGCAGACACGCTTCAGTAAGTCGGACTGGTGTCTTTCGTGCAGCGAGACAACATCTCCTCAGAGCAAGCGATATATGGCTTCGACGAACTTGTCTTGACCGCCAACAAGATGCTCAAAGTCGCTAAGGTGGGCGTGCCTCGCTGGAAGGTCGAGGTGACCACTCACGACATCAGCTCTTGAATATACCCGTCGTTGTGACAGAACAGAACCCCAAAGGTAGCGATCGTGGTCATCGACGATCACTCACTTACACTCGCACATAGGCCTCGGGCCAACCACACCGGAAATAGATCTGGATTCACTTGGTGATTTGTGCATCCTGACCATCGAGAAAGTCCTTTTCTCGATGATGGTCCCTGAGGTCAAAACCCAGCTCCAAGAACGACCTCATATTAGGTCAGTTGTCTTGTTCGGCATCGAGGTCAGTTAGATTCCCAGCGCACGAGAAACCGCTCAAGTATACAACGCCGAGCATGCACTTTAGTCTCACGTTTGCGTGTTGCAAACTGCCTTGGACCTTCTCGAGGAGGGTTACGACGTACATGTCCTCGCCGATGGAGTATCGAGTTGCAACCGCGAAGAAGTACCAGTCGCATTGTCTCGAATGCAACAGGCAGGGGGATACATCACCACGAGCGAAAGCGCGGCTTTTCAGTTGCAACGTGTGTTCAAAGCTGGTTTATATGCGGTCCATCGTCTGACAATACTTCTTCAGGGGGAGCTGGAACGACCCAATTCAAAGAGTTTGCAAAGATTATCAAGGATGAGAAAGACAACACTACGCGTGCGATACAGAAATTGGTTCAGTTGCGCAGCTCACTGTAAACTACACGTACCAAGAGAATGAAGTGTACTCTTAAGACATACAGCGTGAGAAAACAGAAGTAAAGGCGTGTTACTCCTGGCGCCTCGTTCCTCGTCAAGCCAAGTCAGCCAACACACCAGACCCTCACCTTTCAACACCACCCAGAATGTTTGGAAAGCTCATCCACCTTGGCATAGATGCCCTCCTAGTCAGCGCGCTGCTAGCTGGTGTTCGCCGGACAACCGGTCTCACGTGCGTCGGGACTTGACTCTGCTCTGATGTACTGAGACGGATCTATGGGCCCGTTTAGACCTGCACTCTCCCAAGTGCCCAACAAGGACATTCGCCGTAAGTAATTACGATAACTTCTACGTCTCCCATTAACCCGAGATAAGAATTCCTGCGCACATATCTCGAATTCGGTGAGTTGTTATATATCTCCCCTGTAGTCTAGTATCCCCATAACGCGTTTCGCAGGAGAGTATGCGTTCGACTTTGCGGTCGTCATCTTCGGGGTACTTTGCGATCGCCGTAAACCCTCCAATTGTCACTGACGTGGTCTCTTGCAGCGGTCAAGTTCCTTTGAGCGCAAGTGATAAGTCACCTGTGCAGCGCTAATCGCCCGGCGTCTCCTCCTCCTGATTTCCGTCCAGTTGTCGCCTCATTCCTTCGCTTTTGCATTCACGTGGAAACAGGTTATATGCGGACTCACCATTACTCATGCTCTGTACTTACAAATCCGGGAAATAATTATTCTGATCCAAACGCCTCTAGGGATGTAGCTATTTGGTGGGAGAGCAATGACGAACAGTCTTGGACAAGGATGAGGGTGAGGTATCTTATACGGCCAAGGCTAGACATTCATCCAAGGAAATTGTACACGAAGAAATGCAGTACTATTGAGCCCAAGGCAAAATCTGCAAATGCTCTGTGGGGGAAATGTCAATGAGCGCGTATCCCTTCCTTGTCCATGGGGGCAACTAACCGTTCTGGGGAGACATCGTTGAATTCCGACCGGTTTCCGGGGTTAACTTGTGCCCGAAGGGAAGCTGTAAGGACGAACTGTCCTACACAGCTGGCAAAGCTGTCAGTCGTACACCATTCCGTGAGACATGAAATACTTCTTGTATAGGCCGCGAAGCAAAACTCACCCAGCCAAGAAAGCATTGAAAGGGAAGTTGGTTACAAGGACGCAGTACGCGAATTGCATGATTCCCGAGAACATAATGAACACCAGGAAGGCGTCGACGATCTTGAGTCGGTCTGGCGTGTTTTGAATGTAAGACTTCCACATGGCTGAAAGCGCGACTGAAGTCTCGGATGCCACAGATGCTTTTGAAGTCTTCGGTGCAGTCATTCTGTCTGTTGGTGGTATGGACGAGTCTATTGGCAACGGCGGGTGACGTTCCTCAGACTCGGATTATGTAATCAAACTACCCGGCTTCAGAAAAATGAATTAACCCAAGGAGCAGGCCTGTCAGTGCGTCGATTGCTGACCTTCTACCAGTACTCACCCTATGGCCGCTGCAATAACACGCTCCGTGTTTTCGTCTTCGCGCTCTGTCCTTGCGACGTCAAGGTCACCTGTGTGTTCGCAGCGGCGGGTCACGCGGAGAACCTTGCACACACGCAAGGAGCTCCCATACAAAGTTGAAGATGGTCTCGGGAACTTCATGTCGCCTTCTACACTGAACATGGTCGCTATGGAGTACCAGCAGGGGCTCCTGGACCGTCTGAACGAATATATACGTGGTAAGCAACCGACGCTGTTAATTTAACTTGCAAGAGTTCCCCCGAATTCAAAGTTTTTTGCGGACATTGTTGCTGGCAGATACCGACTGACAGACGCAAAACGATTGCCCAGGTTGTACTCGATACAGCTGAGCGGCCGGACAAAACCATGACGTTCAGATACGCCAGTCACGCGCTGAACAACAGCTTCTTCCTAAATTGTCTGGTGCGCATCTACAAACCCTATGCCGCAATCATGTACTCATTCCATTACCTTGGTTTTGGTTTCTAGCGTCCACCGACAGGCGACTTCGGTGAAAGTGACGTAGAGCGGTCCATGCTCGGTCCATCCATCCGTAAACAATTCGGAAACTTCGACACTCTTCGTTCACAGTTCTCCGCCGCCGTCTCGGGTATGTCTGGCTCGGGCTACGTCTGGTTTGTCACCGACGCGAAGGGCAATCTCGCCTTCGTGCCCACCTTCGCGGCCGGTACACTTCTTGTCCGTTCGCGCACGGGCACCGTCGACCCGCTCAACCAACCTATTCTCGGGGAAGGACACGATATCCTTCTCCCTAACCAAAATAACCAGCGCTCGTTAGATCAACTTCGGAACTCCCATTCGCCTTCAGGCCCCGGGGCAGCACCGATGTCACCTACAACCGGCGCGTCACACGAACTCCCACCGCACAATCCCAACCCGCTCTCCCGCATGCTGCACACCTCGGCGTCGTCCCAAAGCCTTTTTTCGTCTCGCGCACGTTCTGTGTACGACCCATCAACGGGGACTGCTTCATGGGGAATTATGAACGACGCTGATATGCGCGACCTGAGGACCATCGGAGAGTATATTTACCCCTTGTTCTGCGTCAGCGTACATGAACATTGTTGGTTGCTTGACCATGGTATATGGGGCAAGGAAAAGTACATGAAGGAGTTCTGGTCGGTGGTGGACTGGGAACAGGTCGTACACAGGTTTGACACTTTCTCTGCTACAAGGAACACATAACTTTACAGTAATTACTATGGGTCTATCCATGAATAGAGCTATGTAACGCACATATACCGCACCCCCACTACACTCCCTTCTCCTTCATACGTTCAGGGCCTGAAGCCGCACATGATGACCCGATGTAATTGCCAAATATTCGATTACATTGGACCAAGGGCTACCACCTCCACTCGACGGATCCACAACTTTGCATCCGGACACCCTTGTACATCTTATACGTTTCCGAAGACAGTCGGACATGGTCGATTTTGAGGGAAGAGAAACTGTAAGACGGAAGCTCGAAACGTATTTGAAACGCGTGTGCTGGCCTTGGAACTTGCGCTCTAAGGAGTTGCGAGATCTGAGCACTCGTATGTCAACTGAAGATACGTAAATGCCTCACTTGGATGTCCACGAGCCGCGTAGTATTCGACTGCCTGATGAATGCATACTTGGTATCTCCCACCGCAGGATCTAAAAAACTCGGACATTCCAACAGCCTCCAAAACGAACACAAAGCATTTACCTTTTTTCGGGAATCGAACGTCCACGAACCCTCTGCTCCTCCAGTCGATCCGACACCTGAACCGGCCCCTGACAACGTGCATTGCGCACCAGTCGCATCCTCGCCTAGATACCATTCTATCTTCACATTCTCCATGGCCTTCATCATTCGCGACGTAAATGTGACCGTGAAGCTCCCTGAATCGAAAAGAAATGCGTCAACGAACCCAAGTCTGTGCCTGACGAGAATACGAACCACCAAGTTCACCGATAATAATGTTTGGTTTGAGAGCGATAGGGATGGGGAGATTGTTCACCACTACTTTTTGCGGTGGCGCGTATTGGTATTCCCCTAGTACGAATTTGCCATCCGGTGGAATAAAAGACAGTGTCTGTTCGCGTTTCCAACGTTGCAAGCTGACCATGACTAGAGTTCCGATTCAAAAGATGATGTGGCCGAAACAGAACGTACCGTACACAAGGATGAAAAGTACACTCTGCCATCACGTTAGGATTTGAAAAGCTCGCGAGCAAGTCTGGCATTCCTGCTATCTAGTAAGATCGGTGGTAATTTCATAGCCCCCACGGTTTCCGTACCTGACAGCCGTGAATTGCACTCAATCGTTCCGATCACATTGCTCGCAAGGGCGGCGCCGTTCCTATATAATCGTGAGAACTTGGTTTCAGGAAATCGCTCACAGACAAATGCAGATTCGGAAAATCACGCACCTCCCGACTATGGCACGCATTTCTTCGGTGACATCAAAAAGAATCTCGTTGGAATTGTGTCGTACTCCCACTTTGCGCCATGGTATCGGTGATGCGAACGCTCCACCGGTGTTATTCAATGATGTTGGACCTAAGGAGCATCGTAAAACCCCATTTCAGCAGCCTTCATGCGAAAACGTGCAAACGAGACCCACCTCCTGAACGGCCAACCGATGGTGCAGAAGCTGGGAGGGATGCAAGGAGTGTAGAAAGAAGGGAGGGCGGGATAACTATGTCACGCAGAATACTCGGCGAAGTCGTGAGAGGGTGCCCGGAAGAATCAAGAATTTCCTCTATTAGCTACGCCAGGGGGTTCTGAACTGCCCCACAGATCCAAACCAGCCATGACACACCTGGTACACAGTGTCAAAGTTACCTTTGAGCGTGACAGTGCTGACTGTTCCAAAATAGTCCTGAAGTATGTCGTGGAACGCTTGGAGAAATGCGAAGGCGACCAAAGGATCCACTGCAAACACGTGATTATGGGTAAGTGCGTTGACTAGCCTGACTGTCCGCGGGTCACAAATACTTACGGTCTCCCGAAATGCTAGCCAACATTCTCATTTCACGGACCTGGATATGACAACAAGCGCTGCCGTCCGGCATGTCGCCACCCCCACCGGACGCAACATATATTATTGGATCTATAATACCAGACGAAGGCGCTTTTGCGAGCTCGTTGTTGAGTGCATCGATGTGAAGGAGTGGGTATGCGGGGGGAAAGGAGGTGTACCCTGACTGGATGATCGGTCGCCTGGATAGGTTCAGCCGGAGTAGCCTCAGCAGAACAACGCGTAGAAGACACACCCGTTCGCGTCCAGAATTATGAGACCATCGATGGCCATCTTTGCTGAACCAGCCGCCTCGACGAGACACAGGTCGAGGATTACATGATCAGACGTTTTCCAAAAAGGCAATGAGCTATTAGTCATAATATACACTGGCGCGAGTCCGCGGTTTCATGTGGTGGTGTGAGCTGTGCTCTGTCAACTGTCATTCCATTATTTCGTCCGAATATATATATCCCCTGTGGATGCTAAGAGACACCCGAGACAAGTAAAATCCAGGAGCAATAGGATCATTAGGATGACGTTGGGTTACTGACCCCGGACGAGCCGGTGCTCCTTATGTAAAGTGCTACGCGTTTCAAGTGTACTGGATAGCACAACGCACACTCAAATCTGATCTGAAGATTATCTATGATACAAGGATTAGCGATAAGTTTGCGAATCCGGTTGGGCCGCAGTTGGAAACGAGAACACTTGGCTATTATAATCAGTTGTGTTATAAACATTGGGTACCTCTCGGTGTACAGTACAGCTGACCCGACTATCCCCGGACTTGATTAAAAACCCGTTGCACTGCTCCACCGTGACGCTATCTCTGTACCTCTATCTCTGACAGGACTGGCATGCCGCAGACGCATGCGATATACGCCCACACTGGCGAGGACGTCCTCTCGTCCGTCTTCCAGCAACTTGATGTCGACGATGACCGTCTCTTTAATATCACGATGACTTTCTTGCATGAAATGTGGGACGGTCTGAATAACTACGGACATGATATGGCGATGATGTGCGTTATCAGATGTCCTACGCAGTAACACGACAGCCAACCACCTATGTAGCCCAACATTCGTGAGGAGCATCCCGGACGGTTCAGAGAAGGGGTATGTTGACGTTACACACGAATGTTCCCCGGCAACTGATCTCGACGCTGCCAGCACTTTCCTCGCCCTCGATCTAGGCGGCACTAATCTGTAGGTCCCTGAAATATAGCTCCATAAAAAATGGCACTAGAATATTGTCAGTCGTGTTTGCGAGGTTAACCTCCACGGCGACAAGACATTCTCTCTTCGCCAACAGAAATACAAGGTCTCTGACGCGCTTAAAACTGGCGAGGCGACTACCCTCTTCGGTGCGAACAGTGTTTTTCGTCGTCTCCTAGGCTAAATCCCCTCCCCCTCTCCTCTCCTCAGACTATCTCGCAGACTCCGTCGATGCGTTCCTCACAGACTCTGGCTCACCAAACTGCGCTCTTCCTCCATCCCTCGCCCGCAGGAATCTTGCTGAAGTGTCCGACGAGGAGGACGTGCCATACATTCCTCTTGGTCTGACTTTTTCTTTCCCTGTGGAACAGACAGCACTTGATTCGGGCAAACTCCTCACATGGACCAAAGGCTTCGCCGCCAAAAATGCTATCGGGAATGACGTCGTCAAACTCCTTCAAGATGCCTTCGATCGCAAAAATATGCACGTCCGGTGTGTCGCGCTGGTGAACGACGTGAGTAAATCTATCTCTCTTGTTTACCCACTCCGTTCACATCGCATTCCTCGTCACCTTCACTATGCGTAATCCTCATTCTCAGACTGTCGGTGCCCTGCTTTCTCGGGCTTATACTTCGGGCGGTTGCATCCTTGGTGCTATTTTTGGTACCGGGACAAACGGGGCATATGTCGAAGACATGGCCAGCATTTCGAAGCTTGGGAGAAGTACAGCCGTTAAGGAAGGGAACTTGATGGTCGTGAACACAGAGTGGGGAGGGTTCAACAATTCGGTGCGTACTCCCCGAACTCCCATTTAATCTCACCCGAACACATACTCGCCAAGCGGTCGGCATTGCCAAGTACGCCTTACGACAACAAGGTTGACCGCGAATCCATCAACCCCGGAAAACAAGCCTTCGAGAAGTTTATCTCCGGAATGTACCTCGGCGAAATCACTCGCAACGTCATCGTGAGCCTGATCGACGCAGCTCCGAAACCGCTTCTCTTCTCTGGGCATTCATCCAAACAGCTCAACAAGCAATGGGGTGTAGATACAGCTGTGCTGAGCGAAGTCGAGGAAGCATGGGAGGGAATTGGGCGATTTGTGCCCGAAGACACGGGATCAACGGCAGAAGCCACGAACGCAGGAGAGGGGACAGAGACAAGTAATGGCACAAATTCGACAAGGCAACCGTCCGTGCAACAGAAACTAGAACGCATACGAGATGTGATCGTTAAGAGGATGGAACTGCCTCCTGACTCAGTTTCGTTGGATGATGCAGACGTCGTACGAAAGATATGTACCCACATTGCCTGGCGGGCGGCGCGGTTGAGCTCGTGTGCGGTTGCTGCTGTCTTGTTTCAAACGGGGCGGGCACGCCTCACAAGAGGCGGGGAGGAAACGAAGAATACGGCACCATTAGTCGACGAAGGAAAGAGGATTGGGGTGGGTGTCGACGGAAGGTGAGTGTCTTTGCGCATTGGGTGAAATTGAGATGTTAATGCTACTTGACGGTCTTCCACCGATATTATAGTTTGGTCGAACATTACCCCTGCTTCGAGAAGAAACTGAGGGCGTCATTGCGCGTTCTCGTCGGGGAGGACGTGGAGCGCCGTGTCGATATCGGCTTGGCGAAAGACGGCAGTGGTGTTGGAGGTGCGACACTCTTTTCTGCCTGGCACCCGTTCCCCCGTCTGTTCCATCCACTAAGTACTGACATGTCTTCATCAGCTGCGCTTTGTGCCCTCGTGGCATACCGGCAGAACATGGTTAAACAGTGTCATACCGTGTACGAACATGAGGTTGCCAACGGGGTGTCCGAGTCGCGTGGGGCGGAGCACTTCGCCTGCCCCGACTCGTTGGCGCGGACATAAACTAGGATTCTCGATACATGGACTTCGGCTCTTCATCCTTATCTCATCTTCGTCGAGTTTTGCATGCGCCGCCGTTATCAGGTTCGTTGGGGGAGTATCTATGTAAGTAAGCCAACGCACGGCCGCAACCGAAACGGTATTAATATTATGGTGGATGCCAATGGTGTGTCACACGAGCAACATTTCTGTTCAATGCGGCGCATGATTTAGATCAGTAGAACACAACGAACTTTCCACACTGGCGTGTGTCCTAGTTCCCGATCCTTTCCCTATCTACTTATCATCTCACTTTCTGGCATGTTCCACTGCTACACGTATGTGTACGTTCGTGTATGTATTACATATATGATGAACCACGAGATCGTTGTACGCCATACAAACGTGGTGTCCACACCGTGTGTCCATTCTTATTACATATATCCCCTTTTGCCTCCGAAACCCTAAAGTGCCCTCTCAGACAGTCCCCTGTTGCCCCATTCCCATCCCTCAATAACAGGCGGCGGTAATTATAACTTGAATTTCTGTAACAAGGGACTGGCTGAACGCAGTTTGCGCAATTAATGACCGGCTGCCCCGAAAAACATGAAATTCTGTCAGGTCGGGAGGGAGAGCATCGCAACGTGGCAGTCAGATGACGGACAACCAAGACAACAGGTGATTTGCATCGGGCTGACAGGGGTCCTCCATCTCAACCCCCGCCCTGTAATTAATACTAGCACACGGTTACAAGGTGAAATGAATAATACATCGCATGCAAGGAAAGCACCGGATAGCGACGACAGCGGGTGAGTAAAGCAAAACAGACTTTACTTGGGAGGTGTGCGGAGAATGTATGTATATGCGTATGTATTATATGTGCTAGTTGGACATATCGTACAGAACATTATTCGACATTCAATTCCACATTTGATCTTGATTTTCCTCTTGAGGAAAAATTCGGTAGGTTGAGAGGGATGAGGCGAGCTATGATAACAGTCGTATGTGTGTGTGATGAGGATGCAAAGGAAACGAGAGTGATGTGAGTGAAGGAGGATAAGCGATCGTAGTCGTGCTTGGGAGATTGAATTCGGAATAACTGCGCGAGGGCTGGCAGCTGCACGCAGCAGACAGGCCATGTCGTACACGCGTAATCCTAGATAGTTGCAGCACCGGCCCTGTGAAATGTGCCGTACGCATCATATCGCAAAACAGTGCAGCGGAGTAGAATCGACAGAAGACAAGGTAGGCGCCCCAGGCATGTGAAATCAAGTCAGATATTTGAAGCTGTATCTGAACAAACGAAACAAGAGGTTGGGTAATGCAACATAGCGTTGAAAGCGAACGAAAATGAGAGAACGGAGGGAAGACGATAAATCGAAGCTCAGGAAACACCGAGCTTCGTGGAGCGGGAGTCTTTAAGGAAATTCGAAAGTGTCTTATTGACTCTCCTGGATGTCCACCAGTCACTGCTTGAATTGTGCGCATGCACGGATATGGGTGGCGGACCCACTACGTATACGGGGCCGGAAGATATCCGCGACGCGGACCACTGGGTCGCACACGGGCCAGGGGCGTGTCAGTAACCGTATGATACCCGTGCTGGAGCCGCACCAGTGGCGGCGCCACCCTTCGCACCCATGTTCATACTCATGCTCACAGGTTGGCCGTTCGATACGACCGTTGTGGCTGGTGGCACGACACTTGGGCCCACAGTTGGTCCTCCCGGACCAATAACCGCACCACCGACGAGTGCGGATAATCGTGATATTTCCTCCCGAGAGGATACAAGCGCAGCTGTCAGCCGCTCGTTCTCAGTCGTGAGGTACTCGACCTTGGCCTGGAGGGACGCTAACCACGCCTTTTTACGCTGACGACATTTCAAGGCGGCTACTCGTGTTTTAGTAGGTGTGGCACCGGAACCACAAGCAGATATATACCTTGTCGGTTACGTTCCAGGAAGTTTCTCCGCTTCTCCTCCTCGGTCTCCGGCTTTTTCTGTTGTCTCCCCTTCGTCGTCGTACCTTGTGCAGTGAGATGCTGTTGCGATTGTTCCTCCCTTTCTTCGTCGTCGTCATCGTCCTCCTCCTCTTCCTCCCCAGACTCCTTGCTGTGTCCGTTGGTACTGACACTAGTGATGGTATTGGCCCGCGTACGCTTTGCTTGGGCAGGAGAATGGCCTGCTGCCCTTGTAGTGGGCACAGGCGGAGGACTGCCAACGTCATACGATTTCCGTTTCGTCCCTCTTCGGCCGTTCGCGGGTGCGGCAGTCGCACCATTAGCGCGTGCTTGAGCTTCCTCGCGCTTGGTGAGCTCTTGATGCGCTTGTGAAAGTAGATATAACCCATTGGCCGCTGTGCTCGCTGCGTTGTTGGTACCGCCATAACCGGAATCTGCGGTTTCTTGACTTGCAGCAGTGACTGAGTTGGCGAGGTTCGAGCTTGTGGTCGGAGCGCGAGTGGCCGAGCTATACTGGCTAGATGGATTGTTAAGGACACCCGTTATGGCCGAAAGAGTGTTTGGGGTGATTGTCGGATTCGCCGAGGTGGCCGAGCTATTATTCATGAGAGCGAGGAACGCGGCTGTGTTTGGGGAGGGGGGCGGGAAGGACACGGGACCTCCTACGAGGGGAGTAAGACTGGGAGTCAGACCGGTACGTGGAGTAAGGCCTGTGCGGGGAGTTAGGCCTGTACGGAAGGAGGCCGGATCGAAGGGGAGATGAGGGCCTGCATCTGAGCCCTGCTGTGGACCAGCGAGCATGGCTGGGGAGAGAGGCCCCGCACGGAGAGAGTTTGCGAGGGTAGAAGAGAACTGCCATGCATAGGTGGGGTCTGAAGGAGATGCAAGGGCTGCGACAGGAGGGAGGACGGTTCTGGGTGAAGAGGGACGGGCAGTATCGTTCTTTGGGTGCGACGTGGATGATGATGATGGGGGTCTCTCAGCATGGGAGTTCTTGGAGTGGTCGGATGCGGGGCTTGCAGAGTCTCTCTGGGAGGTGGAGGTGTGTCGAATGTTGGACGGGCGGGAGAAAGACTGCTCGAATGGGTTGGGTTCGAGGTCGAAGTCGGAGCGGATCTGTCGAGTCGGGGGGTGTCTGGGGAGCTGGGTTGCAGTCTGGTGGTGTTCAGGGGAAGCTGAGGGCTTCGGGACGGAGTCACTGTAGTTGGGGGGAGTAGAGGACATTGCAATGACGATAAGACTACGTAGTGTGAGGGGGGGCAGTCACTGTCTGGGTTGAGTGCTGTGATGACGACAGAGCAAAGCTTACAAGGTTCGGTGACGACACTGGTGTGGCCCGCGGAGGGTTGCTTCTGAATAGATGGCCGACTCCGGTGTGAGAGGTTTTTCAATTCCTCCGCTAACTTTTTTTCGGGAAATACACTGATTCCGGCCCCAAGAAAACTTCTCCTCCTCGTCTGCTGTGTTGGCCCGTGCGTTTGCCCCGGCTTTCTCAGATGGGGAGGGTTGCAAAAAGATGACGACGTCTGACGTAGTCGTGTTATATTCAACTTCAGGCGGAGCTCCAATCCTTCCCCTTACCTTCCTGTTATATCGCAGATCCGACACACGTCATATGCCCGTCGCTCGCAAGGACTCCTATCACCCCCAGCTTATAATTCTGATTCAGCGCTTCAGTCTTCGGCGGCGAAACTTGTGTGTATACAGAATCGAAGAGAGTATGGTACATATGGTAGCTTTGACATAGACACCCACACCTACCGCGTGTTTGGCCAGCCTTCGCCTCATGTCCACCCCAATATCCCCACCTGACCTAATAAGGATACGGCAACATACCTTCATCTGGCCCGTCCGTGATCCCCTCCTTCTCTGCACACTCGTCCAGATACCCTAGCAGCACATCTCGATACATATCCCTCCCCTTGTAAACAGCAACCTCCTCCGGCCAACTCCGGACGGCACTCGCCAACCGTCCTGCAACGCCCCTCTCTCGAACAAGATCTTCCACCTTGAATAGGTAAGTGCGTATGCCAAATACGATAGCTCCTGTGCGTGGGAGCCGCCTCAACGTTTGCCTCTCGCTCCGCAATCGCAACGTCGCCGGACAAAGGTACACCGCTGGATCTGCACTATGTCCGTGTCCACTGCTTCAGGCTGTCCTCGGGTCCGTTCGTAGACTCTGACCACCCCAATTCTTCAGGGTCGACATCCGACGCCGTTTCCCCTTCGATATCGTATGATCGGCCATCACCCGCCGCTCGCGTATCCTTGCTCGGTTTGACCACCTGAATGAAATAATTATTCCGTATTACAGGTTTGTCCACGGCCATCCGCCTGAAAAATCGCTCCATGCTCGTCTTCAGTTTTTCCTTGACTACATGTCGTTGATCAATCGAAAGACCCGCAACACCTTCCACCACAACAGGAACCAGCTCGAACAGCACTCACATTGCGGTACATTCCCTGACAAATGAATTTCATCAAGCGGCTTCCCAATCTTGTCCCTCATCCGCCAAAACCCTGCGGTGCGGGAGCGACGGTGAATAGAATAAAATACAGTTCGCCGTCACCCCACGTTGGTTACACACCTGGTACACATATCGACCCTGCTTGGAAGTAGTACTTGCCATCTGTTCCTGTAACGCCGCAAACGTCAGATGACCTCAATCCAAAAGCCTCCGCCCACAAGCCCCGCTTAAGCTGCACGAGACAAAAACAGCAAGTCACACACCTTCGATCATAATTGCCATGTCCTCCTGGACCCTTTTTGGAGAACGTTCAACGGCAGTCAATCGCCTGCATCACATAATTGAAGCGAATAACGTAAGCAACTCACAGACCCGTCACAATTTTCATTGCCTCCTCGCCCATCTCAGTGCACTGCAGAGTCTCTAGTTTGCTGAGATCATAGGTAACACCCGTCGCGAGTGCTGTGATGGTCCAGATGGGCATTTTATCATCCCAACCGAGAGGAATACCGCCAACGGATGGAACACGAGATGTCCACGGGTGGAGTCGCGTAATTTGGAAAGAGCAAGGGTACCGACGGGCAAGGTATTCTGCCAATTCATAAATCAGTTCCTTGGCTGCATCCGATTGGTCACCCGTATTTCATGTTGGAAAGAGAGAAAAATCAGAGACACGAAATAATTCTCTACACTCGTTGCCCACATACCAGCATCAGCTCCCCCTGGGGTAATTACCAAGCCGTCTGACCTTGGAGGTAAAACGCGTACGATATCTCTGCCGCGCGTGCAAAGCCTAAATTGGCGCACACGCTGGTAATAAACAAAGTCCGAGTCCAGTTCGATCCATTCGTTCCATGGCATAGACCGGATACCCATAGTGACACTGGAATCAAAACGAATGAGAAACCCTTGAAACAGCAAAGCGAGGCATGATTGCTGGAGTGAAACCCGCGGAACAATAACACCGAACCGCTGTGCACTGTTCCCGCACATAGATATGGTTGACCTCAGGTGCAGTCACAAAGCACTTAGTTCGAAGTACAAAGTAACATGGAACCAGTGATGTCACGTCTGCTGGCCCACCAATCCTATACCTAAACAGAAGGAATCACTGTAGGAGACTCACTGATACTGCCCCCATCTAAACGGACGGTAGGGGATTGGTTGAATTTCCATGATATCGCGAGAGGGCGATATTTCTGGGTAATTAAATTTCTGGGGAGTCCATACTTACGTACCATATGATTCAAAATTAAAAGTAAATGAGAAACTGCTCCCGATAGGTGAGTGGCTCATTCGGACTCACATCCGACCTCACGATTCTTGTTTGTGTCCAATGGTTTGTGGGGACCAGCGTTGACAGAGTCCTTAGGTGATTTTTCCGCAGCACCACTCGGTATGGTAGGATGTGCCGCGGTCGACGTGCGGATCCACCGAAAGACGCTGCAAATCACGAAGAACGCAAGGGCCTGAAGAATGAGATAAAGAAACGTATATGATATCCACGGGGTCGTTCGCGGTGTATTGATATCGTCTCCAACTACCTTCCCGTGTGTATTCAAGGCGCTAGAGCCCACGATGGTGACAATGTAGGTTAACCGTTTGCACATGTGCACGAGAGCGGGAATGGCGACCATGTGTGACTGTTTCACTGAGGGGAAGCTCCACTCAAAATGTGGAGTTGAGAATCCGCCGGGAGCGTATCTAGGACAGAAGGAATTGAGTAAGAGCAGGGAGTCGAGATACAGGGACGTTGTAACTTAAGTCTGCTGATACGGACCGAGATAAGGACGCACTACAGCCGTATCACGGTGCAGTCCCCCCCCTCTCCCCGGCTCTATTGGTTACGAATGGCACCTTTCTGCAATCACAGGCAAAAGTGTGACCATTCGCTTTCCCAGACGACGCTTGGCCCGGGCGTAGTACTGATATTACATGAAGCCAATCACGTGCCAGCGGGGGGATATGTACTACGAAAGGTTGCGTGGAGTGTTCATGCCCAAACTCGGGTCATACGCAGTCTGAGAACGGCATCAGCGTAGCGCCGTAGCCAGATAGATACTTGCCATTCATTGATAAGGGGAAGGGTGCAGATTCACAATACAATCAGAGTGTCAGACGTAGCCTTGAACCAGACAGAATTCAGTCCCACCCTCAGATCAATCCTCCGGTTGCAGCCATGCCTTCGGAATCCTCCGGGGACAGGAGGACAAGAAACGGGGGTATTAGTGCACGAGGCATAAGTTCCTCATCGGAGTGAATATTCTTTGCTCCTCTCTGCACTCCCATGAGCACCCAACCGACACGCAATGCTCTCCTTGGCCTATATGGCGCGACACTACGCGCAGCCAGGTCATTCAAATCCTACAACTTTCGCAATTACTTCCTGCAACGAACGAGAGACAACTTCCGCAGTTTACTGGTAAGTACTTGGTTTCTCGAATGCATCTCGCGACAAATGTACTAACAATGCCTTTCATGCTACCTCCGTTTCATTGCAGGCTGAGACTGACTCCGACAAGGTGTCCCGCGCATACGAGCAGGCCGTCGGAGAGCTTGCAATGCTAAAGCGGAGCGCAATCGTCAACCAGCTCTACGCTGGTCCGCCTCTACCCGTAGAGGTACACGGCGCTGAGAAGGGCGGCGTTTGACTGCGAGCGTCCCTGGAGGACAGCACACAGTTGCCACGTCGTACCGATGCTGCAAATTCACAAGTCAGGCACATATGGAGGTGGCAGAGAATGCGGCAGAAGATATTGGCGGAGATTGTAGCTTTTGCGACCGGGAAAGTGAACTGCAGCGACGTCTTGCCGGCAGCGCAACCTGAGGGCTTATCTTTTTCCCCATCGACGATCACCGCCATCCCAACTATGAGGACTGCATTGCTGTGGGACCTCTTAAGTTAGACAACTCCTCGGACTTCATTCAGCCCTCCATAGATGATCCAATGACTTGGACATCCGCTGGCATTCAATCGTAGTGTGATGACTGATCCGGGTGACCCGTCTAAGTGGTTACAGACATGTCGCATTTGCAAAACGTGTATTGCGAGAGTACTAGGGAAGGAACCCACGATTGGACGACGCATCGGCCACGGGACTGGATAATAGATGCCAGCGTAGTGGTAGGTGCCAGAAGCTAAGGTAGCAGAGGTTCAAGGTGTAGCTCGAGGAACAATGTCATTTGTTATCCTTCGCAGCTTGGCTTTGCTTCGCAGACCCGCCCCACAGCCAACTCATCTTCCACCAACTGGCTCCCGAAGTCGTCGACGCGTCTGCGACGACCTTACTGCCATCCGTCTCCGGAATGGTAGGCTGTTCCACTCCTTTGTGTTCAAGAGAGTCGCCTTGGTCCGCTTTCCACTGGTTTTCGGCACCCTTGAGTCTCGTCAAAAACTCTTGCCTATCCTTATTTTCACGTTGCTCCCGTTTCGCCGAGGCTTCGTCAAGATGCCTCGTCTTCTCAACTTCACCCGGACTCCTACTGTAGTAGTAGACGCACATCGCTCCAACCGTGAAGGCTTGCGCGGCAACACGCGCACGCATCCAATATTGCATGTTCCAGGATTGGCGTTTTCGGAAACTGAGAATAGCCATGGTCAGTGCACCCGTGGTGGCGAGGACACCTGCATGATATGTGTTGTCAAGTTCATGGACACACATCGAAAGTTGATTGAGGGCACCGACCTATGGGGACCAACGGCTCCTCCTTTGATTTACGCCAAACTTTTTCAGACCATGGGACAATTTCAGTCTCCGTTGGGTCTGGCCCCGAGTGTACGTGTGTAGTGGAGGCCATTTTGTCTGTAAACCAGTCCTCGCAAGGACATAATACTTGTACCAAGCCGGGTCGTTGAGGGTCGGAAACTCGGAGTAAGCGACGGCCGGCAGTTCCCGGCCTTACCTCCACCCAAATTCTTGCGCAAGGCGGATTCTGTTTTAGAGCACAGTACCAGTGAGTCTACGTTCGTGGCAAGCCTTCCTATTACGCGAAGCTGACCGAACAATTCATAGCTCATGGCCACCAAAGTAGCCGCTGCCGCGGTCGTGAGTTTTCCAATGACTTGTTGACAACTGGTCCACAGCGTTCAACATTTCACTTCACTCACTACAAACAGGATTTCACGCGGATTTACTCAACCCTCGGTCTAGGCAAAGGTCGGGCCGCTTTGAATAATGGCGGGGTGGGGACGTTGATGTTTTTCTTCGCGTAGAGACTATTGCCGCCCTCCAGGCGTTCCGCAAGCGGTATGCAGATGCTCAGCGTATCCATGGTCAATACGCATCGCAACCTACGACGGTCGATTTTTCACACTACCGCTCAGGTCCTGAAGAACCAGGCTATTGTTGACGAAGCCGAGAAGCTCTTCAAAGATTTCAAGCCGGTCACGTACGATGTGAATGCACACATAAAAGCTATCGAGGCTTTCGAGACAAAGGCGGTGGGTGGATACCATTTTTGTGTGTGGGAGGGAGTGTTCTTGGTTCTTAAGAGTTGAACTGCCACAGGTGGCAAAGGCTCAGGAAACTGCTGAAAAGATCGACGTTGAGCTGAAGGAGCTTCAGACTACGCTCGCCAACATTGAGGAGGCTCGTCCATTCGAGGACCTATCTGTGAGTGTTTTCGCACCATAAACGTCGTACAAGTCTAAGCGTCCGTTTCAAATAGTGCGAAGACGTCGGCAAGGCACATCCACGGATAGAGGAGGCTGTTGCGACCATGGTGAAGAAGGGCAAGTGGACTGTACCCGGTATGAATTTCTGTTTCTTCCTGGAACAACTATTCAACGTTTGTTGCAGGTTACAAGGAGAAGTTCGGAGACCTTTCTCTCATGTAAACTGGCTTGTATATCCCCTCTTTAGAATAATCGACAGTTGTTAGAACCTTTTCATATTGTGTGATAACAAAGTGGGCTGCGCTTTGAGATACGGTGACCATGACCACATTGTTCATCAACGTCGGATGACGTAAGCGTGGCATTGCGGTGTGCAATGAGCCGGCCCGCTGAGCATACGTTAGCCACGCACGACCACGGCCACCCGCCATCGCTTTGGTTCCACCACAGTACATAAGGGAACAATGGCATCGAGGCCCCCCTCACCTACGAAAATGGAGTCGTCTGCGATGGGGATGGGGTACTTTTCTGCACCTTTTGAACGTTTCATTCGAGATGAAGCCTCAGACTGGACTGGCGCATTTACATTGCTTGGTGTGTTCAGTCGACCATTCCCCACCGTCTCGGTGTGGTTGACTTTGCCTCCACAGACACCATGGAGACCTACTTCGATTCCCGTATAGATTTGCTCCAGAGGCAAATCCAGAAACACAGCGATAGACTCAAGATGAAGGCAGAGGTCGCGTTGAAGAAACACGCTCAATCCAGTGATATCCTAGCGGAGAACTTCGATCGCGAGATTAGGAATTTTAAGCTGAAGGTACGTTCACGCTCTCCTATTCGTGCGCCACATATCCCTCATGGTTTTCATAGGTTTCCGGGCGGATGCAGTCCCTTGTTAATTCCTGGCAGTCTGCAAAGGTCGTCCGGACACGCGAAAAGGTCTCGTTTTTCTTCGGCGTGATGTCGCTACTGGTATCAGCTCTGTTATTTGGTATGGCACCAGAGTAAGCGAACGGTGTTCAATACCTGGTTACGTTGCTGATACCGCATGCCATAGGTGGGTACACGTAGCATATACGATTCAGGGGCTATATCTGCTACCCTTGCGTGCTTATACCTATAAGAAGCGGTCGTGGCATTACTTCCTCTTCGACCTTTGCTATTACGTGACCATCCTCAACTTCATCTATATCTGGTTCCTGCCTTCTAGTCCGACACTTTTTGTTGCATGCTATTGCCTTTCGCATGGCGCACTCGCGAGCGCGGTCATCACTTGGAGAAATAGTCTTGTCTTCCATGACTCCGACAAGGTGACGTCGCTTTTCGTGCACATTTACGCGCCGTTCACGTTCACGGTCATTCGGTAAGCCATTGCATTTATGAGCCATCCACGGTTTGTATATGAATTCCCACAGACATTTCTACCCAAATGCGCAAGAACGTTTCCCCGCATTGACACAGCTCCCACGCCTAAATCCCGGTCACGCTCTACTCCTCAGTGGCGTTATTTGTAAGATAAGCTTGGTTACCTGATTGTTAAACCAACTCATGTGGTCTGGAAGATCTTCATTGGCAATTGTTGTACTGGAAGGTAACTGCGTGCTATACTTCAAAACCAATCGGCATAGGCTGATCGTCCGTTCCAGTTTGTTCTTGTAGACCGCCGGACTAAAATCTCGTCTGGTCAACGTACTACATCGTTTTCTTGGCTTCTCAACAATAAACGTGGCAAGATCGGGCAGTTACTGTCTAGGGTTACTCCTGAACGTCGCGCGCCCTACTTCATGGTTGGCCAGTTTGGTACGCTTCTCTAGCGCAATTGATCAACGGAGTTGTACTAACGGACTGTCAGTATACTCGATACTGACCGAATTACCTGCCATTTATCTGCTTTACGACAGTCCTCGCTGGAGCGGAGCTTTTCTTATTCTAATCTTTGCCGTTAGCGTCTGGAACGGCGGCGGTTACTACATTGAGGTCTTTGGTCGGAAGTGCGTTTCTTGCTACTTTGGATATACCTTTTACTTGTGCTGATTGGCAACCAACTAGGTTCGAGCGTGAATTGGAGGCGCTGCGCAAGGAACTAGCTGAAAATAGCAACCGTTCTGGCCGCTCGAGTCCGACTCTTACTGAGAATGGATCAGCCGCCAATTCCCCTGACACTACTACGACATCGTTACCACTCGCATCGCTTGACACATTGGCAGGGGACACCAGCCCAACAAATGATAAGGAACTATAACACCACCCGACGGACGTTATGTGTGGATACGACTGGTAGATCATGCTTTGTCTTACTTTCGATGAATATTATCGCGTCCCCGTAGTGCTGACTTATATGCAATTCTCGATTCATGTCAATGGCGATATTTTTACTGTTTTTTTTTTGGGCCAATACCCAGGTAGCCACATATGTACATTTTGTGTCCCTTTTTCTGAGTCTATTAGTCTTATGATTGGTCTATAACCCAATAATCTTGCCCCCTAGAGTTCATTCAAGGTGTAATCGCGAAATTTTCCCATTGTTCCCCACTTGTAATCCACCTTGCGAATGCGCACCCTTCCGCCTGAAGGCATCGCCTTGCCGCTTGATAATGTGAAACGGCTTGCTTTATTTCAAAATAGGTGCGTAGATCGCTGCAAGACTTCTAGACCCCAGAAAGAACAGCATTCTCTGGACTCACCTTCTTGCATCCACTCCCAAAGTAACTAGAGTATCATGATACATATGCAACATCGATATTTTGGAAACTCGTGGCCTGTGTGAGGAGTGGGGAAGACAATACGACAATTCATGCGAGAAAGTAACCTGAACATGCTTTTGAAGCGATGCTTGGGCGGAACACCTCGTTTGAGTCCATTGATCAGTACCTCGTGCGTAGGAGAGTCCGAGATCCAGCACAGAGCTACCCAATCAACGTGTTAGCACACCCAATGAAGTAGGTCGATGGGAGCGAATGTTACACTCATTGGAGGAACGGCAGTCACCACCCTTCATCGCCGACGCGACCGCGACCTTTGAGAACGGAAATAGCACCGAAGTAAAGGCAATCACAGGCCGATGGATCTGGAAGCCTCGAGGCAAATCTTGTTTTATTCGATTAGCAAGGGGTTGGGAGAGAATGCCATATCATATTATTGATATCTTGACATCGAAGGAGTACTTACTAGATACGTCTAGACGTCCCCAGAAAGCTCGTTCACAATCGATTTTCACATCCCCACGGATGTCCTCGTTTACTTCACCAATAATGATCCGAGAAAGGTACACCGGATGTAAGAAAGCAGAGCCAAGGGCACCTTGAATACCAAGAACATTCCACCGCGCAATTTTATCGCTACATGACATCGATAGCGTCGCCGGGGAGTCAGCACGGCCGGGTTTGGTCCTCAACACCCCAAAAAGAGCATAATTGTTGCGGCCCCTCGAAACCGCACTGGGAGGCAAGGCCTCGTGGACGGCCGAGTTCTTGAGCTGAGCCATTTCATCATTCTGAAAGGATGCGAGAAAACGCATTGAAGCATCTCCACCTTTTTTTGCAGAGTTATCGTAACTTCAGAGCGCGGAAAGGGTGATGGTAGGGTGCGATGCCTTACAGGGAGGAGTGGATATATACATGATCACCTGAACACCTTCTTTGACTCGAAACTTTCCGTCACTTTCATCTTTAGCAAGCCACTGGGACGATCCTCCAGATGTGACATACCGCTGGATTTCCTCGAGAAACCAGCGGCGCGCGCACCGACGAGCAAGGACTTCTGCATGGGAATCGTGGAGGGCATCACCTTTCTCCGGAAGTCGGCTCTTTGGAAGACATTTACAACCTGTAGCGAGTCCAATTATCTTCGTCTCGCCAAGATAAGATAGGGCGATGGCGGCCAAAATAGTATAAGTTCCGTTGTGCGGGGTCACGCTTAAAGAGAGATATTTCTTCAAGGCGTCCTGTACAAAAGCCGAGTCTTCATCTGCAGTCATGTATTTGTGACTCCGTGAAAAATTCCCGGTGCACGGATGGGTGGCCACTCGGAGCTTAGGAAGTGGTCATCAGATTTTGAGAGGTGGCCCCACATCGTTCCTATTCCAAACACATGCAAACACATATCCGATCACCCCACCTCGCGAGCCCCAGAGTTTGTGGTGCTAAACGCAAAACATGCTGTGCGTAGTGATGGAGTTCGTGACGACATCATCGGAGATATTTTAAGCCGTTATAAGAGCCCTCTCTCCACGTATCAGGGAAACACTATTCATTCACTGTCTAAAGTTCAGGCAAAGAAACCATGCCTTTGTTCCACACTACCCGCAGCTACGGCGAGCATGAGCGGCCCCGTCGCCGAGAGCTTAATATGTTCAGAAAGGACAGAGACCGAGTTGCAGGAGGGTACAGTAGGTGTTCTCTTGTGTGTTGATTGTTCTGGATGCAACTCACCGTGACAACACCTACCCGTAATTTTCGACTACCCAGAAGCAGCTCTTTCCAATCCAAACACGACCAGATCTGGCAGGGAGCATGCAAAACATGAGCTTAGAATGATGGTGCGTACGTCATGTGATTTGGTCAACAGTCCGCTCAGAAAATGAATCTGCTAGGGAAGGGAACGCGATACCCATGTCCCACTTATGGTGAAGGTCAAGCGGGCGCTAGGTATCCGCAGCACACCCAGAAATAGAAGATGACCATGATTATGTTTGATAATTGGTTCGTCTTACTTCGAAGGACCCTTCTTCTATACCGAAGAAAAGGAATGGACAGGAGCCCTGTAATGATATCGCCCCATTGTACACCTGAAGTAAACCAGTTACTAAACGCGTACGGATTTGTGAGGTCTACCCACTTGTTGTGTCATGCGGCAGCGAATCGTATAAAGGAAGCGCATATAGGGGAGGGAGCTGTTTGAACTCCATCCAGCTAGCCAGTGGGCCATCCTGTGTATTGGGGTACCCGGCGCCACATGGCCCCCGAGGCTGTGGGTCGCGAACAAAATAGGGGAGGTCAGGTGAGGCGCGTTCCGACTCAAGTAATAATCAAGAAGACGCCGCGTGATATGGTATCAGTATGAACATTTGTTCCTCTACCAATGACCGCCATGAGGTTTCATTTGGAGCTCTGTTTCATCTTAGATCTTGACAAGCGGCCATCTCAACTTTCGCTTTCAGAGCATATGTATGCGTGCTGTTGTGTCCTTCGACGTTGGAAAATGATCAAATAATCAATGTCTAGACAACTTACCATGCAGCGTGGGCTATCTTGGAGTGTTGACTGTCAGTCCCTGAACGGTTCGGCGTCGACCCGGATATGATGTTCATTTGACGCCCACTTTGGAATTCGTTCTTGTTTCAAACAATGACAAACAAGTATCCACCTGCTCCCGCATTTACTGATACGTGGACGGCATCATGTGGGGACGACGTCTAACGCCGTTCGCGTCGAGATATATGTGGGGCTTCTAGGTTCTATCTGTGAACCAATATCACACCGTAGCCACCCAGGATCCTATCGTTTTTTCTCTGGAAACGGGTTCTGTCACGAGTATCGGTTCACAATCTTCAGCGAATCGAACATTCTCCAAGGGAGTGGTCGTGCTTCCGAAGCTGGTTTTATTAAGCAGCAGACTCCTAACTGTCACCATCTGCAGGCAATTGAGTATATGATAGCTGATACCCTGGGCCCTGTCTGATCGTCTTCGCTGTTCCGAGTCGTGAACGTGGTGTTCACGAGTAGGTGAAGGTGATACTACGCAAAATTTTGAACTATAGAATGACAGTGAAAACGTCAAACGTGGGCTCTGTGGAGAATTTCCTTCCTAGGATGTAAGGGGAACCAGATGTTCCCTTTGTACAATATGATGATAAGATCAGAACCCAGGGTCGAGTCAGCAACTGGGGAGTCGGTTCAGAGCGCCGATGGCTAATATGAACAATAGGACTGCATGGCTATCCGCTCCAACTCATGCAGTCCTCAAAGAATGTCAAGGATTGGTGGGCTGTGACATACAACGAGTGGCTATCTGTACGGGGGGTGAGTACTTGAGTTGGGCAGGCTGATCACAATGCTTGGGGGAAAGAAAAAGGCAGTAAACTGCGGGCGGCAGGGTACGGGATTCATAATTTCATCCCCGCAGCAATAGGAGAAGCTTCCCGGAACAGCCCTCGCCAAAATGAATGAATGAGCACGGAGGAAGCAATTACGATTCGGTCATCGCCGTTGGGATCTTCTCTGTCATGCTACGGAGAGCCCGGGATTCCCTTGGGTTGCATTCCCCACCAACGAGATCGTGACTTGTCGTTAAATTTCGTCAATGGGTAAATGATACATGCTTACAGCGAATAACATAAAAACTACCGTACAACAATCAGCTATGAAGAGTAGGCAAACACAACAATCCAGTACACCGGGTACGTGATGGCATGCAACGGCCTAGAAATGTGAGACGCGACGTCTGGCGACCAGTCTAATGAACATTCATTTTTAGGTGCCACGATCCCGGCGTCATCTCTTCCAAGTATTGTATTTCCACTTGATTCCAGTGGATAGGAATGGCGTTTGCCTTAAGAGGAAAGTCGTGTCAAGGGAAGGAACAATGGTCGAAGCAAGTTTACTCACTTGAATATAGTGTGAGACTGCACGGGCAACTCTTCGTACCAGTGAATGTAGGTCAACCAAACCGCTGTAACTATCCACTGGTATCTCGTAGGTAAGGGGAGAATATCCGGGCCACTGAGATACACAGATTAGATAGCGTTGATAGGGGTTTTAGATACGACACTTACCCTGACATGAACAAATATTTTTCCCCTGTAGTCCACACTTAGATCATCCAACGTGTACGAGTCTTGACCCGATAGCAAAATATTTGCCTGGGCCTCCCCGAGGGTGATCCCCGAGCGGAAAGCACCCTTACGCTTGAACTTCACTATCCCACCTCCACCTCTCGAGTACGGCGAGAAGCCATCAAACAAACTAGGCACAGAGGAATAAGAAACAGACGATCCACGACGAGGACGATTGATGCCTATCGGGTGTACTGATGGAGTGCGGTAATACGAGTCACGATAGCTGAGGTCATCGTAGGCTGAGGGAAATGTGACATGAATTGAAGCAAGGCGACGTATATGGTACTCCACGTACAACGAGGGAGATACGGGTTGCTGAAGTTTCCGCCATATGATGAGTATGGATAAGACTTTGGGCAAGCTTGTAAGGTGATTGATTACAATGAGAGAAGAAGCTGGAAGTGTACCTGAGGTATCGGGTCATAATAAGAAGAGGACGTCAGCGGGATACCCCCTGCGCGGAAGCTCGCAGGTGTTGAGGTGTAGCTCAAAGAAGGTCTACGGGACCTTGTGCCAGGTGTAATATGGATCAGCTGAGTATGAGGAGTATGCCGTAGAAAAGGCCATCTTGCAGGACGGATGAGATGAGTGAGAGGGAGTGGAAAGGAACGTACTGTGACTAAGGAGTTTTTATAGTAGTGACGCGGAGCGGCACAGATTTTATGGCGGGAACCTCCGCAGACTGCCTCGAGGACGCATCGAGGTGGTGAGCGATGTGGCAAGGGGAGCTTTGGTCCAGGAATACCAGATCTAAGTCATTCAATTGCAAAATCGGATCCATGAACTTTCGCCTAGAAAGGAACCCCTAGCAGTCCTCTGACACTGTGCTCCGCAAAATATGACGGACAAGCGGAGTGCCAGGCAGTTCAAAGATCTACGTGACATTCTAGAATATCCCATTTGAAGCAATGAAGTCCAGTCTTACCTAATAGGATGGGTCCAATGTGACGGCGCGACGCCAGTAAAAAGACAGACACCTCTCAATGGTTGTGGTGGCGGAGGGATCAGACGAACATTGCCTCGAGGAAGGCTCATGTCATAGTATTGACGGCGTTTTCTTGCCATGTCTGTCGGTGAGGTGCGCCCATAGCGGTGCCACCACATTCCCACACCATATCATCCTCGCGGCGCGGCGCCGACAGAACCAAGTTCAGAGACTCCGAAAAAACTGGGAATAGTGGCAAGGCGATGTCCCAAGGTTTTATCGCCCCATTACCGCAACGGCGAGCCGAATGATAACGTGCGGAGTCACACCGCAGCCTATCCCCATGTCACTGGTGCCGCGTGCCGTGTGATGGACCGCACAACACCAAATTTCCAATGCCAGAGTTTGCCCTACAAAAACGATGTGCAAGGCTTGATCGTTGATGAGACGATGAGGCTGATAAGACTCTTCCCGTGTTCGTGGCAAGACCCGCTCTGTTTTACTCCAAATATTATTTGGCCCTCAGACTGTTGAACAGACACTGAGAGGCAAGCCGACTCACCCTCATGGATGAATCGATGAGCATCCATACGGGCCGCCAAAGGTTTCACACTATCGCGAGAACCATCAATCGCGGTATGGGAGTCCATCCCGATCCATACCGCGCCCCACTTGATACGGGTGCCTTTCCCGGTGCACTCTTTCCTAAAATCCGATGCCGCTCATATTTAGCTAGGGATGGTTGCCCTTTAGCGGCGCCTCAGTCTTTCCTCAGATTGGACTTGGTTGATTGCAGAGGACTCCGTGGCTGATCGGAAGTCGTTAGCCTCTGAAGCAACGAATCTTCAATCAGGACAGTCTCCTTTGGCCACTATCCCGGTCCGTGAGTTTCCAGGCTGATCCTTCCGTCGGCTCTCCGTCCTGCCCCCTCTTCCTGGTACGTACAGGACGGAAGGGGATATGTAGTGGTAGTACACAGTATTGGATATTTCCTCATCGATACCCGGTGAGTGTGGAGGTATTTATACACGAAATAGCCAACCCCATGCGCCCTGTATTAACATGTCCCCACGCCATTCGCGTCGTCAGGCTAGAACGACTTACTTGATATTAATGCTCTACTGTTGATCGTCCGGCGAGGGCGACGTATGGTCGTACCTACACTCCATGACGGTTACAAGCGTAATCAATGGTATGGGTCATAGCAACCTTGTCAGAACTCGTCGTACGTAACGCGATTGTGCAAGCCAACACCAATATTGGCTTGCGTAATGTTATGCTAGAAATGGCCTTCTAGACCTGCTGTCGGCGGCGAATCCGGAGGTAACGGACTCCTTCGCCAGAACGTCACTTGCATGGTTTTCAAGAATCATCCTTGCCTGGAAATGTGGGTCAGATATGATTGAGATGTTAGATATGCATAGTTAAAACTTACCCATCTTGCGAGGGGTCGGATAAGCACAATACTCTGAATATTAGGTCCCAATCGAGAAGGAAGTTATTTGTGGGTGGAGAAGGGACCAGTGCGGGAGCCTTGGACATATTGGAACGAGGAATGACCTCGAGATCGACTTCCATAGTCTGTGGAAACTCCGCCTCATCCAGACGAGCCAACGCGTCTATTACAAGCGCCTTCTTCAGACCGACAGCACGCGGACGACGAGGAGACCTGGGTCCCGCGGGTTTTCGTCTGTGCGAGTAGTTGACGCCAGACCAGGACTGTGCGTCGTCGAAGGCAGATGAGCAGTCCGTTGTAGATGACGACGTCGAAGAAGAACAGAGGGAGAGGCGCGAATCATGTCCACCGTATGTCCAACCCCACTCCTCGGAACTTTCTGTGGAGGACGAGCGCAAGGACCAGGTACTGCAAGGTCGAGGGCCTTGTACCCGTGAAGGCCTTCTGCGGAAAGGGGCCTGAGATGAATTTGTTTGCATATCTAGCATGTTGCGCAGTAGCGTGTGGGGGATGAAGATGGGGACAGAGTACTTGTGGGTATTTCAAGCCCCTCCAAACTATCGCCGTAGTTGGCGGTGACTAGATTTGCAGCCAAGTGCTGAGAGAGCGGCTTGTGGATACGAGGATACGAGTAGCGACGGGGCATTGATAAGTCACCGGAATATGCTGCTGTAAATACATCGACCGATCAAATTTACACCAAATAGGGCGCACAGCAACAATACTTGCACTGCAATAATGCTGATGGTGAGAACCAGATTAAATTGTATGGAGGGCCCTTTGAATAGAAGAATATTCTCTGGGGTACAGATTTGGTTTCATTAGGATTGTTGGGAGAGAGGTCTGCTGTCAGGTACGCTTCCCTCGGTCTAATTTGGTGTCCATGTGCACCCTACCCCTGGAGCTTGTAGGCCTCCCATAGACACAAGAACTCGCCGAGGTCACCGAAACCGTCAATATCGTACTTATGATGGTCGTCGGAAGCACACAACCATCGATTATCGATCCATTCATCCTTGCCGACGAGATCGCTCTGGACGAGGCCCTGGACGTGCTCGACCCCCTTCGTCACCTCAGAAACCAAGACGACCCCAGCGATGACATCTTACTAGTTCCAACCCAGCCGCGTTCCGTTCAGAACCAATGCATTAATTTGACGTTCCCCAAACCTGCCCCGCAAGGCAGTTCTACAGCGATACAAATCACTCTCAGGGTGGACGCGTCTCCTGGATGTGGCGGGATAGCATGGCCAGCCGGCGAGGTAGGTGCTTTGCGATCATAGAACTATCTCCGGTATGACACCGATCTGACGGATTCAGGTTCTCTCGAATTACATCGCTCTCCGGGGTGAACAGTACTGTCATGGAAAAACGATCTTGGAGCTGGGAAGCGGGACCGGTCTAGTCGGGCTGGTTGCTGGTGCGCTCGGTGGGCATGTCTGGATTACGGATCAAGCGTTTGTACTCGCTCCCTCAAAGTGCAAGGGTATATGACCCAGTGGTTGCTGTCTACTTCTCAGGCCACTACTCGGGATCATGAAAGATAATGTGAATGTGAACAACTTGCAATCCTTGGTCACGGTCGCCGAGCTCAACTGGTGTCGTGTATACGTTCCTTGCTGTATTCCGACTTACAAAGTATCAGGGGGGAAAATGTGCCATCAGATATTCCCCGCCCTGATATGATCCTAGCAGCGGATTGCGTGTATTATGAGCCGGCTTTCCCCCTTCTGGTTAAGACGCTATCAGAGCTCTCGGGAGAAAAAACGGAAATCTTATTCTGTTACAAGAAGAGGAGAAAGGTAATGCATATCCTTTGTGCTGAGTTCCCTGGAAACTCAAAATCCCATGGGCCGACAAGCGTTTCTTTACTCTCCTTAAGAAGCAGTTCAACTGGAGAGAGGTACCAGAACCAGAGCCCCCTTCAAAGGGGTAGTACTGATTTGTATCACACGCAGGTTAACGATGATCCAAATCAAGAAAGCTATGCACGCGCGGCAATTTCACTGCTGCTGCTGACGAGAAGGGAGTTAGCTGTGTATGGTGATAAAGTCTAGTGCCTTGAAGCTTAAATGTGTAGATAAGTAATCACCCTGCATGTCGTAGTACTTGATGGCACAATGGCAGCCCACATGGCATGATGTTGCCCATGTAGAAGCGCATCGATAAGGGGCAGGTGCAAACGAGAGTACGATAGGCCACGAGCAATCGACCCTGCATGGGCGGCGACAGGATCATGCGTGGTCCTACATAGATGCCCCACAGTTCCTAGTCTAGTCTGAGTCTGTTCTATGGTTTCGGGAACAGACGAATCAGCATGTCCCTGCAATGTAGTGTCAAGAGTCTGGTGGTATTGTCTTGATCTTCAAAAGCGGTTGGTTGTTGTAGCCGCGCACTGGAGACGACGTACTTGTAATCCATGTATTCCTCCGATTTCTTTCTTCAATACTTCGGTAACAAGCATGTGCTGTTTGACTGTTGGCAAGCCCCTGAACTTCTCACTTGCAACTTTGATTGCAAAAAAGGCACCACAGCCTCCTACAGTAAAAATTCGATATTAATTCCTAGGGTAATGTTCCACACCAAGGACGGACGTACCTGACACGTCTTGCACCGCGAGTTCTGTCGGAGAAAAGCGCTCGGTCAACTTGGAGATGATGGCTTTCTCCATATCGGTCACTGACGTCGAGAGTGCTCGCGGCCAGGATGGCCTCGAAACAACTATTCTCCTCGTTAGCGAAAGCATGTTCGGGAGTTCACCGTACGTCCAGTGAAGGTAGAGAACCTGAAGAGTGGCGCTCGAGAGGCTCGCAGGGCTCTGCTTGTCACGTGATTTTGAATTTCTGGCGCTGGCATCGGATTTGCCGTGTCAAAGTCATCTGCTTGCTGCCTCGCAGACACTAAATGCAAGCGAAGTTGGTGGACGCACTCGCGCGTCCATGTATTCGAAATGGTTTTCGAATCATGCGAGGTTTCTCCTCGCTTTTTGCCCCACGGACTTCGTCAATCGGTTTGAAGCGTAACCCCATAATGAACCCACTTGATCCATTACCCCGCCTTCGATCACCCCCGTTGCAATGTAACTCGGTCATCGCGTTCCATAAATCTACCAAGTTTGCAGAACTTGGTCCGCGCTTTTTCTCTTCCAATTCCGTCGGCCTAGGAGTTGGTGCATCGTCGTTGCCGGTACTTGCACCTCCAGTAGTCGGCCGGTGGCTTTTAGTCTCCTCCGCACTTGTTTTTGCGGTCATAGTTGTTGGAGGCGTTACGCGCCTCACTGAGTCAGGTCTTAGCATTACGGAGTGGCGGCCTGTCACTGGTGTCCTGCCACCGCGGACTGCGGAAGACTGGAATGCGGAATTCGACAAATACAAGTCAACTCCTGAATTCAAACTGTCAGTCAGTCATGTTTTGAAATGAGTCTGCGAACATCCTTTGTCTAACAGCTATTCTTAGGATGAACCACTCCATATCCTTGGATGAGTTTAAGAATATCTTTTACATGGAATGGGGACACCGCATCCTGGGGCGTCTGATTGGCATCACGTTTATTGCGCCGCTAGCGTACTTTGCGTTACGGAAGAAACTATCACCATCGATGCCTGCCAAATTAAGCGGAATGGCCACTCTGATCGGTTTTCAGGGTGTCCTGGGATGGTACATGGTAAAGTCTGGTCTGGAGGACTCAATTATGGACACCCCAGGCGCAGTTCCGCGTGTATCGCAGTATCGTCTTGCTGCGCATCTCGGTACTGCACTTGTCTTGTACGGAGGTATGCTTGCCACAGGACTGGCTGTAATACAAGATTGGAGATATGCACGCAGCGGGGCGTGGGGCGGCTCCAAGACCGTGTCATGGGAAAGCGTATTATCAAATCCGGTTATCAGATCGTTCACCAGGAAATCCCGTACTTTGACAGCATTAGTGTTTCTGACTGCCCTGTCAGGTCCGTCGTATCATTTACTGAGGTTCTAGCCACTGATTTTTATGGACAGGTGCTTTTGTGGCCGGATTGGATGCCGGGCTACTGTATAACGAGTTCCCTCTGATGGGCGGGCGCATTGTGCCTCCCATGGATGAGTTGTTCTCTGCAGCATATGCCAAGGCCGCGGATAGGTCCGATATTTGGTGGAGAAACATTTTTGAAAATCCAACTGCCGTTCAATTTGACCACCGACTTTTGGTAAGTTATTTTCCATTTCCTTCGCACGAGTGGCCTTCTCAGATTACCCGCTCCAGGCCATGACAACGTATATGAGTACTTGTCTCCTATATCTGCATAGCCGTCGTAATGCGGTTCGCAATCTGTTGCCACCCGCCGCTCGCAGGTCAATAACGGCAGCTTTTCTGATGGCCAATGTACAAGTGATACTTGGCTTGGCCACTCTTCTATATCTTGTACCCGTTCCTGTCGCAGCCGCGCACCAGGCAGGTAGTGTGGCACTGTTGAGCACGATGATCTCTACGCTGGTTGCACTGCGCCGTCCAAGCATGGCAGCTCAGCTGTCGCGGAAAGCCAAAGCTAGCACGCCCCAAACCAGTCATTAATGTTGTACTCAGCTCGCTTCCCTCCTTTGTTCAGATAGTTGCTACATACAACACACCTTCCCCACTCATTGTCTAAATCGCGCGGGTTTCGAACGTTATACGAACAGTGGGTTATACATACTAGTAAGTGTCACAACTATCCGGTCATTTGTACATCTTCGTCTGCCGTTGCAGGGGCTACTGGTGCTCCATCACCTGGCTCCTTCCGATCCATGTTTTGTAGGTATACTGCAACGGGTTCACCTTCGATAATGCGGAATTTACCTGGCGGAGATAACGGCTTTTCATGCAAACCGGTGGGCCCAATAATACCAATGGATGTGTTGTTCGCATTGAGTTCCTTGTCTTGCTGGAGGGTCTCCCTGAGTGCATGGAGACCATGTTTTATGAGCTCTTCCAGAGTACCTGCGTTGCAAGTGACAAGTAAGCCAATCTCAACGGACAGTAATAGAGCCAGCGAGACGAAACGAACAGTCTTCAAAACTCTTGTAATGCTTCTCGAGATAAGTCTTGGCACTCTGACTGCGCGCACCGATAGACATGGCGATGTATTCATATGAATTTCCGGATGGCGAGAATTCAAAGAGGTGCGGTCCGGACTGGTCCTGTCCAATGACAAGGAAGCCGACACCGTAAGGTCGCCGACCGTATTCTTGGGTGTTCACTTGTGCCTCTGTTCACCTTAAATTTAAGGAAACCGGAGATGCACAGGTATAGAGAAGGGACGTACTGTCAGCGATAGTGGACACGAGACGGTTGACTGGCATTGGCCTGTTGAAGACCATGCGCTCACTCATAGCTTGTTGTCGCATAAAGTTGCTGTAGTATGACACTCAACGTCGCGCTTCTCCAGCAAACCCGTACTGCCTCATACCTGAGTACTCGTGCGTCCGACGTCAGACCAGCAATAGCGATACCAACGTGGTCGTCTATTCGGAACATCTTCTGTTGGTACGATGCCAATTCTCCAGTGGAGCGCTGCTCGCCATCAGCGAGCGTGTTCATAGAGCGGGTAGTATTGAATTAACCTTCAGAGCCAAAAGGATGGCGTGTGTCTTTGATCGCAGGCCGACCGCTGCAGATCCTTGTTTGACGGCCTCAAGGGCATATTCGACCTGATGAAGACGGCCCTGGGGTGAAAAGACAGTATTATCCGAGTCGTAGGTATTCCTAAACTGCGCAAGTTCGTCACCATGCTGAACGGACAATCCGTTCGACCTGTCCACGTACCATCGTAGTAGAAGATATCTGAAGCTCAAATCTTGCATGTACAGGGTGACGCGTCTGCCTTGTATCGCGGAATCACGTGACTCTACCGTTGGTGCAGACCTACCAAAAATGACCTCTAGCGACCATTCAGACAACCCCAAAGCAAATTGCAGAAGCTGGTGATTTCTTCAAACAATTCTGATAAAATACTGGGAAAGCTGTAGACTATTCAACGTGTACCCTTCTTATCTGCTCGCCACTCCTTGAATATGCCATCAAGGCTCTTGTATATCAAGTGCGAGGGCAGACAGCGAATGATTTCACCCATTCTTTCTTCCGCATCTGCTTTTCCCTTGTCTCCCTTCGTCTTTTCGGCAAAGTCGACCGCCATGTGGAAGATTGCGAGGACGGCGAGGGAAACATGGGTCTGCTGTGCACCATGTGCAGCTGATTGAGTGAGAGCGGCAAGGAGTGGCCCAGATATACTTGGCGCAGATATAGCAGGTGTGGATTGCGAGAAAGGGGTGGCACGCTCTCCGCGCACAAGCCTCAACAGTATCTCGAGTAGGTTATCTGCTTCGGTCATATGTGTCTTGAGGAAGCGTTGCCGCTCAGTTTGCACTCCTACAGGTGAATTCACGGCCCATCCCTCCAGTACTGTCCATATCGTCGGAGCCTTTGATAGATATCAGTAAAAACCAGACGGTAACAAGGGAATATGGGCATACCGGATCTGGATCCGTGACTTCAATTTTCTTCTCCCATCCATCGGCTGCTGCACCAGCAACCCAAAACATCCGTCCAAATATACTCTTTAGCCACTCCTGCACGTCGCCCGACTTGACCCACTTCGGTTCAGATAATGGTCGTTCTGTGTCCAAGTAGACAATCAAGTTCATTTTTAACGGTAACGAGTGTTTCCAAAACGGAGGGATTGTCTCATCTGCACCGGAAGCCTCGCAAACCGTTGGTAAAAGAGAACACGACTTCGTTGCTTCGGAGAGCCCCTCGATCTGTGATAACATGAGCGAGAAGCTCGGTCTTAGTAACCAATTGACGTACTGAAACGCCCTTTATGCTGTCATCACCTTCCTTCTCGAGTGTCATAAGCACTTCGATGCGGCCTTCAGCCCTATACACGCGAAGATAGTGGACAACTTCAGCGTCGACAACCAAACGCCGGGTCCCCGCTGCATACGATATCGACAGTCGGTTCGCAGATGGCACTCGCCCTTGCGTTGGCGCAACAGTGGTCGGTATCTGGGCAGAGTCGCCACAAGCAGAACCAGAAGAGGTGGATAACAGTGTGTTGGACGAGGGCGACGCAGGTGGCTCTGGGAGGTGTTCTTGGTCGTTGTCGCGACCGACGGTTTTATCATCCTCTGGAATCACGTTCGCAGAATGGTTATCTCTGCCATGTTGGGGGATACCCTCTTCTTCTGGCGAAAATAGGCCTCCATCCTGAGCATCGTCTATTGTGGTAGACGCGAGCGAAGCAAAAGCTTGTAGTGGCTTGGGTCTCGAATGAACGTCGGGAACTTGCAACTGATAGGGTCCTGCAGGGTCAGCAGACTGCTCCGTCGCAGAGCGAGGTTTATCAGACTGAGTAGCAGGCTGCGTGGAAGCACGACTAGATGACACATCGAATGAAGAACTCAAGGATGCATTTGACTGGGAAGCAAGACGAGACGACTCGGCAAGAGGAGAATTGAACAGATTATCCCTCTCGCCACCAACAGCCGAGGGCTGTGTTGCTTCTGGAGTGGTGCCATTGGCCTCCTCCTCAGGAAGAACAAGGACAATATCCATGTCCCGCTGTGCGGGGACAACGTCAGAATTTGGACGCAAAGAATCTCCTTCAGGGGGTCCTGGCAGCCCATATTTGCCAACGGCCATGTTATCATTGACCTCAGGACGCATCAAAGGCAACGAAAGACCAGTACCGTCTGGAATGGTATCCGAGTCCAGAACAGCAGCAGAGCTGTCTTCAGAATACACGTCAGCCGTACGAAGCCTTCCTACCGTCAGATGGACGCCTCCATCACAACCCGAGAGCATCCACCAGAAACGGAGAGCAAATAAGTCGGAAACTCACCATCGCCTGCAATGCCAGCCTCGGTATTCAGAACGTTTGCTTCAATGACAGCAGTCTGAGATTCCTCAACCTGGCTCACGCAAAGTTGGTCTTCATCATCGCCATGAGTATCAACGTGCGCAGCTTCAGCTTCGTCCTCGGCAATAGCGGCCATTAGCCAGTCGCCTTCACTAGCAGTTTCGGCAACGCTAGGGTCAACGCTAGCCCTGCCCACCCTATCAAATTCATTGCTAGCCGCATCGCTCATCTGGCTGCTGTGTGGTACAGGCGGACGCTCGCGTCCCTCCTCAGCATCAGCATCAGCATCAGCATCAGCATCAGCATCATCATCCTCAAGTTTCTTGCGCTTCCCTTTGCGGGAGTCCATTGGTGCAACACGGAGCGCGGAAGGGCAATTGTGTGGGATGGGATGTGAATCATCCGCAGACGCAGGTGTGTGGAAATAAACGCGGATGCGAGACGGAGGTGCAGTATGCATTACGTTGGAAGCTTCAGCTTTGACCTCCGCAGTCGCTGACTCTCCGCTTTGCACATAAGCATTATCGCTTTTGAGTGCAAGCTCAGTAGTTTTCCCACTAAGGGAAGTATCGGCTTCGACTGTTTCCTGTTTAACGGGATGTGAAGATTCGACGAGAGTGGCAACTACTTCTTTTTCCTTTGCTTTGACAGCGGTGGGAAGCACTCCCCAAGTCCATCCAAGCTCAGGCATTTCAAGCCCGATAATCTTAAAGTCTGTCAGAGTGCGCCGGTTTTCATCTTTCTTACCACTGCTGCCAAAGTTAGCCATCGGCGCGTCACGATTTCCAGTGTGACTGCCCGCTCCATCCTGTCGCCCACTGCGACCTTGGCCATGACCTCGAGCTCGGAAACTGGTATTACCCGTATTTCCCTGATGGTGTCCAGCGCCGAACGACCCACCTCTGCGGTTGTGGAAGTCTTGTTTGCCAAAACCACCTCTGGAGCCGTGACCACGAAGTGAACCGTGCTGACCGCCGCCGCGGCCGGCTCCGCCACTCATGAACATGTTTCCTCGGCCACGATGATGGTTTACACCTCCTCGGCCGCCCATTGGACCCTTTCCTCTCCCTCCACCGACGGCACCACCTCGATTACTCATAGAAGTCCTATTACCACCAAGTGGTAGCTGGATAGCGCCCTGTTGGTTCTGATTTTGACCATGACCGTACAGACTTGCCCCCGCCGGGTTGGAGGGTGGAGGTGAGGGTTGGAACTGGGGTTGCGGGGGTGGAGGACCTGCTTGGCGTTGCTGGTTTGCACCAGGGCCGTCGAATCGCTGTCTTTTGGCGGGAGGCAGATTTTGCGGTGGTGTATGATGGATGCTGTGGCTGGGCCGTGGTTGTTGTGGAGGTTGCTGTTGTGTAAAGTAAGATTGTGGCGGGGCCATATGCTGGGGTGGTTGTTGGTACGTCGGCTGTGAAATGACGGGTTGCGAAGCCTGGGGTTGGTACGCCTGAAAGCCGACGGACGCATGGTAAGGATTGTACTGAGGTTGGGGTTGGGGAGGCGGGGGAAGCGGGGGGGCAACTGGAGGTACATGTTGGTAGGGCTGCTGCTGCTGCTGTTGACGTTGCCAATGCAAATTCTGTCCGCCATACCCATAATTCGCATACAGGGCGCTTTGCTCCGGCGGTGGCCTCTGTGGTTGTGGTGCAGTCCAGGGTGCCGTGTAAACAGGTGCAGTCGGTTGTTGAGCTTGCTGCTGTTGAGCAGAAGCTGCCACTGCTGCCCAGTATGCAGAGTAGTCTGGGGGTGCTGCAGGTGGTGGGCCAGGTGGCAGAGGCGGTTGCGGAGGGTTGTAAGTTGGCTGGGGAACAAACGGATTCTTGTTCATCGCACAGTCCAGATGGGATGCGATTTGTCTCAGACGAGGAGGACAAAGAACATAAAGCGAGGCTTAGTCATCGGTACAGCCACTCCGCCTCCCATTTACACTCTATTCCAAAGACAGTGTAGACGTGAATATTCGTGCTACAACTCTCCACTTTGAAGTAGCAAATTAAGTTAAAGAGCGTCATAGTTGCAACTAACCTTGCACTCCGAGCTTTCACTTTCAGCTCTGGCGTGCCGATAATTCCTGTAATTGGCTGCCCGCGTAATTCCCTGTTCTGGTTTTCTGGGGCACTAATAACTCTCCGATGGATGTCTCAGAGCAAGTGTCGAGGGCAACCAGTATTTCATATCCGTGGGAGCTGGATACATGTATGGGAGACCTCAGACACCGTAACGATAAGGGAAACCCTCTCTCTTCCCGCCAGTAGCATTGAGTGGAGCATCGGTGGATACTCAGGCCACCTCCATTCCTTCCTCTCACCATCCATCGCTGCGAGTCCCTATCACGAACGCGTCGTGAATAACTTGATGTGACCTGGTGGAAAGCGTCAGGAAGAAAAACATACGTAAATTAACAGTTTCCGCGCGACTTGATGATGGGCCAGCTCCACCCTGCACCAACACTCCCACTACCGCACGGCGCTTTCACGCCTCGCGGCGACGAGCCAGAAGACTACAAGTCGACAGACTTGTCACGTCTTCCACCCAGTACATCTGTTACAAGCGTGTCTCAGGCTGACTTTTGGGACGCGTCGGCATCCCATTCCCAAGAAAGACTCGTATCAAGCCCCTCGATACTACCTTCGATGGGGAATAGACAAAACAGCCAGTGTTCAAGTTCCGAGCAGAACACCAAGCAGTCTGCCAGCCAGAGACCGACGGTTCATTATCCTGACAACGTCACTCGCGCCCCAAGTCCAAGCTACTTCAATACTCCTCCCAAGATAGACACTGTACCATCCTCGACTGCCGGAAGCGACGCAGAGGATGAAGAGGACGATGACTTCGATTGGAGCGGGGACGACGACTTGGCAGAGGAAGAAGCCAAGTTTGAAAAGCAGACTGGTGTTAAGCTCAAGTCTAGGCACTCGCTGTTGAGGTTCGCACTATTTGTTTTATGGTAACCGGCCGCCTCTCACCTACTCCAGACTGTTCACCTTCTTGTTCTCTACCCTTGTTGGCTCGATTTTTCTTGCAGGCGTCCTGGTGACGCCAGCATTAATTGTTCATTTCTTTTGGTATAAACCTCATCCAACCGACCACCGCCGCTACGTCTCCCAGAATGTGGAGGCATGGCTGTTCTGGGCCGCTGCCAATGTTGTTATATCCTGGGGACTCGCCATGATTGTGGACATAATACCTGTCATCATACGGATGTTGATATCCTTGTCTTGGGGTCATGTCTCGGAGGAAACCAAGACACGCATCGAACTGTACAATGCCGTCAAAGATACCCTTAAACCTGTGCTGTATGCGGCGAGTGCATGGATCAGTTGGATCATTCTGTTCCAAAACATTTTTCAACTGCACGACAGCTCTGAGGCTCAAAGTTATGCCGCGTACACCGACCGTGTAGGCTGCACGAGGTTTTCTTGAGCTTCCATAGATTCTCATTCGTCTTTTCAGGTCGTTCAAGTCATCGAGTTTCTGTTCTTCTTTGCGCTAGTGTTTTGTGCTCAAAGAATGCTGTCTCACGCTATCGGTAGTGTCTACCTCGTCAGTAGGCTTTCTCGTACTTACGATTCCTAGCTTTCGCATTCCATCAGACAGCCTATCGGGAACGCCTCCAGGAACTGAAAGTTGGCCTCCGTGTCATCGAACAGCTGCGCACATTTAAACCAAAACACCGGCACGCTAAATCGAGTAGCCACGCACCTATGTTCTCCATGCTTGGTTTCATGACCCCTTTCAGTGGAGAGAAGGAGCCCATTGGCTCTCATGCGAATCGTCAGCATTCTAGTCCAGCCGATACAACGGACGACGCAGATGATGCAGATGATGAGCACGTGTTAAAGGGTCGAAAAGGAAAGGGCAAACGCAAGCTAAGGGAGTCAAAGACATTTGAACAAATGGTCGAGAAAACGCCGACAGAGACGCCAGCCTCGGAGTACCCTTCCCCAGCTGCATGTGTATCAGACACCGATTCCCCACATGGGGTGCCGGGTACCCCTCACCGATACCCTCCAACACCTGTCCGTCGGTTGTCCGGGACAGACCAACAACATGAGGACTTCAACCCTGCCGTTCAAGCTGCTAGAGTTCTCAAGTCTGCTGTCCTTCACGACGCACGTAACATCAAAGGCAACAACTATGACCTGAGCAAACTCGTGAGCAGCGTTAACACTGCACAGGAGGCCAAGGTACGACCCCCGGCACGTCGACGTGTAGTTTGGGAGTGTTCTCACTGCGACTGGACAGCGTCTGGCCAGAGCTATCTATACCACATTCCGTGATCGTCATCGACAATACCTGGTTCCCTCGGACTTTTACCCTGCGTTCCACACACATCAGGAGGCACAAGATGCTTTCCGTGTCTTCGACAGAGATAATAATGGTGATATATCACGCTCTGAGATCAAGTCTACCGTGTTGCGGATCTATAAGGAGCGGCGCTTTCTGTCGCGGAGTATCCGTGATGCAGGGGCAGCTCTGAAGCTGCTGAATCAAATCTTATTGTTTATTGCTATCATCATGCTGTTCTTCATATCGCTCAGCGTATTCGGCGTGGACGTCACGCAATCGCTGACCAGCGTGTATACCTTGGGCATTGCTGCCAGTTTTGTCTTCAAAAATTCCGCAAGTAATGCGTTTGATGCGATTATGTTCTTGTTTGTGACACAGTACATCTCCACACAATCACCGCGAAAATTGTGCTGATATGTTTTTCTAGCCCGTTCGATACCGGTGATCGCTGTTTTATTGATAGTAAGTCCAGCCGGGTAGTCATTTACCTAGACTTACCCGCGATCAGCTGAGAATCTCGTTGTTAAAAAGATGGGTTTATTTGCGGTGAGTGAAGATCAAATGCCTCCATGATGATGATGATAGCCCAACAAGCTTTCATAACAGACGGTATTCCTTCGCTCCGATGGCACAGAGAGTTACTATTTCAATAGTCAGCTCTTCACAAAATTCATGTAAGTTTCACATTGCTTTTGTCCGGCATTACATATATAACACCCTGTAGAACCAACGTTCGCCGCAGTGATGTCTGTTTCCCTTGTAGTGCCATAAAGCGAAGGAAACTGACATGTGCACTAGAAAATGGCGGAGGGACTTACAATGCAAGTGGCATGGCGTACACCGCTTGCGAAGTTAGATGAACTCGAGAAACTTCTCAATGAATGGCTCGCAACTGAAGAGAACAGGTGGTTCGAGCCTTCGACCTCGATTATGTTGCAGAGCATCAACTTCCAACGCTACCTAGAAATCACCATTGCCATACCTCACAACTCGTGCGTGCCCTCGTTTCTGAGAAGGGTATGGAGTAACTGAGCTATTCTGCAGCACATGGCAGGACTGGGGTTTACGAACTACATGCAGGACAGCATTCCACGCTGCGGTACAATACTACTGTCGGCAGCTCGGTATCGTCTGCTTTGAGTCTCCGATGCCTATCGAATTTGCGGATGCCGACACGCAGTTGTTTACTCCTTCGCCAGAGGCTGACGCCGGATTTGAAAATGCATCAGGTGAGGGTGATGGGGCGGCACGGAATCTTTTGGGCTTTACGCCACCTCATTCGACTGGTTCACATTTGAGGGCGAGGAAGAGCAGAAGTCGCAAGGCAGCTATGCGTACTGCTGATGGTTGACTTAGAATGTCTTTCGCAATGGAAGTTTTGATAGGAATGCTACATAGGTACATTTCAATGAGAACGTCGTGGACGGTCTCCGAGATGTGCTCCCAAGTCACGTGTCACGAGTACGTTATCATGCCATGCTATACGGAAGAGTTAAATAGCGGAAGTGGTTGGATGCAAACTTTGTTCGTCCCAATTACGACGACGTTGAAGCGATGGATGACGGTGACTTGCACGACGTCGAACTCGTCTGGTAGGTAGTAATAAATCCGCGCCGAAAATCCCTCTTACATGTTATCCCGTCGCGTCAGGCCTCATACCGGCCCAAACGATGTCATTGTCACCGGTACATTTGACCAGGTGAGCAAACTCATCCGTTTCCAATATCCCCCTCCGGCGTGCTCAAGGCCGTACTTTATGTGCTTCCAGTGGTCGTCTTCCATTCATTTGGTCAAAGGCGACACTGGCTTCCATGGCACGGTCAAGCTCCCCTGGGGTGAGAAGGTTGCCTACAAGTTTATCGTCGACGGCTACTGGTTCTGTCGTGACGACCGGCCCATGGAAGACGATGGTAGCGGTCATGTTAATAACATACTCTACGTTCCTCAAAAGCCCTTGTCCCTGTTGGGAGAGAACGCATCGGCTGTGGAGGCTACCCTTCCCTCCGAACCCAAAGGAGTCGCACCTATCGTGCCTATGGTCGTCGTCCCGGTCAACGATGTTGCGAGCGGGGGTCTTCCTCCCCATGAGGTCCACCCAGCGGAACCCGGAAATTCGGAACAACTAAACGGCCCTTCTACACATAGCCCAGAAATTCCACCTGCCCAATTGGAGGCTGTAACCGAGTCTCTCGTGGGCATGCCCAGCTCAGGCGTGTCTGGGAGCACGGAGAATCAAAGTTCTAAACCACTCGATGCGGTAGTTACTCCTGTCGTTTTGGAATCTGTCGCGGAGCAACGTGTTGCACCTACCGACTCTGCACCGCATCTGTCTGATGAACAACATACGTCCCTGCCTACCGCTGTCCAACAGAACTCGTCCTCTACTACTATGGAGTCCGGCGTTACAGCCAAGAAGAAGCGACTGTCGATGTTCCAGAGGCTGAAGCGTGTCTTCCACAAAGACAACGCCGAGCGGCGAAAATCATGAGCGTCCGTACTTACTGCGACATTATTCTCTCCTCTTCTCTTCTCATTTTTGGCCGACCTAGTTTTCCTAGGTTGGCATCCTATCGACACGATTTACACGACCTTTTATGTCCATACATGCTATTCACGCTGAATCTAGTTTTACATCTACTCTCAAGTTGGTTATTGTGTATCGCAGACGTTTCGGTCATCCTTTCAAGTTGTACTGGATAGATTTCACTGTGGTTCGAATCTCACACGATTACGTTGAGCATAATACCTAAGCAAGTGAGTCGATGAAGGCCAATCTGCAAGACACGGCTTACCTGCAGCGATTGTTTCACCACCACGTCTAACCAAGATCCTTCCCATGTCTTTATTGACGGAAAATGGCTCCAATGGGATTGGGCGGCCTGTGGCTGACGGCGCTGACAATGTCCCTCCGCGCAGGGTAATCTCAACCTCAGCAGAAGTACCTCTGGATAGAACGCTGAACATGAATGGTACAGGATAAGATATACGACCAGTTGCATGGACAGTGAGGGAAGACTTGCCGAGGGTTCTTCTTTACCACAGAGCCTGACGCACGATCGATTGTTGCGACCAATTTTGAGAGCGTCGCTGGGACATCTCGCGAATGATGGAACAGCTCTATCTGACAAGGCAGGAACAAACTTAACTTCATCTAGACCACGCTCAGACAAGGTACACGCACAGAAGTTCCAACGGTGATCGGCACCTGGATGTCGAAGACGATGATACGTGCACTAAATGCAGTAGCAAGTGGAACAAGATTCCCGGGTGGACAGAGGATGCTTCCAACGGCAAGGTAGATGGGGTCAATGGCTACAAGGTATAGTGTAGCATTGGAGCCAGCTGCAGCCCATGGTACATTATTCTCGTCAACCTCGATAGCTGCAAACGTTCAGGAAGGGTTTCGAGGGGAAGCGAAAACTTACATCGAACGACAGCGGTTTCGTCTCCTGGTAACACTCGTACCCGCTCTCCTACTTGTACAACACCACCACATACCCTGCCACTAACGCCGGTGCCGGAGCCCTGAGCCTTGAAGACGTTAGATATCGGTATTCGCAGCGGCGACTCAATATCGCGAACAGGAGGCTCCAATTTGTCTACAAAATCGCAACATTATGTTGGTTTTCCTTCTGGTAATCGAAAGAACGCACCTAACAGGTCTACCAGGGTGGGACCCTTGTACCACTTCGTCAACCCAGACCCCTCTATAGAACTTCGATCCACCAAATTGACACCAAGCATTGCAGCAACTGGCACAAACCCTATCTTGGGGGACTGAAACCCCGATTGGCTAAGGAAGGCCTTCAGGAGGCGGCATATTTCTTTGTATCTACTCTCCGCCCATTTGACCTATGATTTGAAGTTGCATTCCCGTCCTATACATCAGCATCCAAATGTCATGAAATAGGTGACATACCTGATCCAGTTTATTCACAGCCACGATAACCTGAGACACACCAAGACTGCGTACGAGTAGTATGTGTTCTCGAGTTTGCCCACCTCGATCAAAGCCTGCCTCGAATTCGCCAGTAGCTGCATCAACGACGAGGAGGGCACAATCAGCTTGCGAAGCACCCGAGATCATGTTTGGTATGAAATCCTTATGACCTGGTGCATCCAGAATCGTAATCTGCCTATTAGACGTCGTGAGAGACTGCAATGCGATATCCATAGTGATTCCTCTGTGAGGAGTTCAGTAGCAGGCCGTTGCAGGAGGCTGCAGCCCCATACCGCTCGCGCTCTTCCGTCGTTTCGTCCAGTCCCCATGCCCAGCTAAAACTACTCTTCCCCACTTTGCTGCTTCCCCGTTCATTCGCGACTCGGGTTTTTTCATCCACATGACCGAGTTCATATAAAAGGCGCCCCATGAGGGTCGATTTCCCCGCGTCTACGTGCCCTGAAGTAGTGTTGGGCCAAGGTCGTGGGGAGCACAAGTCACAACCTTACCAATAACCACCAGGCTGACTGACTTTTTTCCATCCTTACCCGCACCTTCGAGAACCCTTTTAGCTTCTTCCAGTAGCTTTCCTCGTTCTAACGCCACCTTAGGAGGTGGTTCCTCAATGCGGACTATATCCTCCTTCGAAGTCAGGTTCAGGGCTGCAATGTCAAATATCTTCTGGTCAGCACCTCCACTGCTCCGCCTGGATGGCGTCCCCTCCCCTGTTCGCCTTGGAGTCTGCACAACTCCCCCTGGTCTCCTCACTGATTTGACTGGTGAGGTGATAGGAGACATTGCCCGGGAGACGGGAGTCGTATACCCCGAGGAGCCCGTTCCTTTTCTCTGTTGAGCGGCCTTCTGCGCCTTCTCGCGCTCCTTGGCGGCTGCAGCAACAAGTTGAGGATAATCAGCATCAAAATTCCATTCAAACAGTAACACGTTACAACTACAGATGATCAGCACAACAACCGAGAAGAAAAGAACAACAATGCAGTTTAGGAAGATGAATAATTAAACAAAGGGACATAAATGGAAGCTAGATCATTGCTGTTGAGCCAGAGAAGTGCCACGGCGGGCATTGAAAACGATGTCGTCTGGACTGGGGACGTCGAACGCGAAACCAAGCTGGACTGTCATATCTGGAAGGTTCGGTTTCGTACGGCGACATCTTTGCTGACCCCTAGCATCTAGATCAAGCGTTGACCGGCTCTGAGAAGAGTACACCTCGACTAGCTTTAGTTGCTCTCTCCCATATCGAGAATTTTTTCTGTGTTTGCCCGCTTCATGGAATGTTAGACGATCGTCGAGTAGCAAGGAGGCGAATGCCGAAGGTGACGCACGAGAATGACATGACTTCGAGAGGAAGAGTGGAGATTGAGCAGGAATGCTGCCCTCATCGTCAGTCGCACTTGATTGCGAAGGGGGTTTCGCTTGGGCCTTCTTCGCCTTCGATGCCAGTTTCGACTGCTTTACCTCGGTGCCGGGCATCTGTACAAGTGGCACAGGCTGTGGGGTCTTAGACGTCGAAAGACTGTGAAGGGTTTGATAAGAGGTGGTGATGGCTGTGGTAGCTGTAGCGCCATTGGCTATCGGTGTGAAATATTCCGTGCGAGGTTTCGGAAGTGGGACTGGGGGAACATGGGGGATAGATTTAGGAATCAAGGGCACGACGCCATTAGCCTTCGCTTGCGCGAGCTTCGCAAGTTTGGATTGAGGACGCGATTGTGCGCCAGACTCACTGTGCGTCACGGGCGTCTCAGGAGTTCCACCAGGAATCGAAGGCGATGTCTCAGAAGGCTTGGTCGCTGATATAGAAGTTTTAGATAAACTCTTCGCGAGAGCCTGCGGAGCTGTCTCGCGACTATTTTGTTGCTCCAATTCCATGGCCTTGTCGATTGCCCTCCGCACAAGAGAAGACATTGATGATGGAGTAGTAGATGGTGCTTTGACTGAAGATAACGTCTTCTCTGAAGGTGCGGGGATGCCTCGAATGGTTCCCTCCGAGTTTTCGGATGCCTCAGAAGGGGGAGCCTTGACGGTTGTAGTGCGTGAAGCAAACGAAAGACGAGACTCGGGGGAGGGCCGCAGAGCAGGATACGTGAGTACCGAGGTGGTTTCCAAGGCTGATGAGCGCGAGCTTGATATAGTACTCGCACGCGAGCTGGCAAGGGTTGCCAGTTTAGAGCGTTTCGCAGGCTGTGGACGAGAAGGAAAATCCTTCTTGGGCGGAGGCGGAGGCACATCGCTGGCTTTCGATAAGGAATCGGGAATATCTGGGATAGTATCTACTGGGGGAACAGAGACACTAGGTGCCCGAAACCTTGGGCCATCGGCAGATACTTCTGATCCCGTCTCCGAGGAAAGGGCTGATGGTGCAGAATCGTAGGTTGACAGTCTATGTACAGCCGAGGGTGACGGTGAAGGCGGTATCTCGTTTGGATCTAAGGGCTGTGGGGGATAATACATGTTTGAATAGCGATCTGAGGGGCGGCCTGCGATATGTAAGCTCGATAACTGACTCAAGATAAAGCTCAACTCACCTATAACCTGACCGTACGAGGATGTTGTACCTGTAGATAGCGATGCGCGGGCACCATTAACCAGCTGCCGTCTGGAATGTCTGTGGCAGGAAGGCTCAGTCCGCTCGGTAAGTTCCGTTATGGTGCTGAGTCGAGAGGCGCGAGGCATAAAACCCATGGGCAAATCGTCAGGATCTACATCTGGGCTACACGCGACACAATCCACTGGGCAGTAGTCTGGCTGATAGTGGCCATGCTGTGCCAACATAATTAGGGGGCCACGAGGTCGCTCTATATCCTCCGGATAAAGTCCCGCTTCTGCGGCCGAGTAGGGCGGTTCGTATTGGCCCGAAGTGCCCTGTTCATGCACTGGAAAAAAAGACGCAAAAACAAGGACGGTGAATTTGAGTCGTTTCTTGAGCAACGGTAAGGAGGGACGACTAGGGAGCGACATGCACCTTCCTGTTCATCATCTCCTTTGCGGCGAAAGCGGTCCCACCAATGGGATTTAGAACGGGGGAAAGCAATATACGAACGAAGCAAAAGCAAAACTACCCTAAGAACGATGAATTGGGGAATAACCTACCTTTACGCTCCTGAGCCGCAATCCTCCTCTCTTGTTCTTCTGTAATAGCATGGTGTCATTAATGTCGGGGAAAAGTATGAGGCACTATACACACCGTAAAGCCACCCTACAGCTTTCTCTATGTCGAAATAACTCTCCCATAGGGCATCCTTGATGACAACATCATCGAGCGCTGATGTAGCTTCGTCTCCCATGACAGCTCTGACGTGTGCTAGGCCACTTTCCAATTGGGCTATAAGACGGAGATGCGAAAGCAGAGAAGTTAGACCCAACACGCGGCACTGATAGGAAGAAGTATACCATATTGTTCGTCCGTCACTTCGTCCCCTCCGTCGGAAAGAGCATTGTCGTCTAATTCGTCTGATCACGATCACGATCAGCACTGTAAGCCAGAAGCCTGGAAAATATGCTCACCTTGTATGTTGATATTGCGTACAAGCCTATGTCGTGACATGATGAAGATAAAATACACAGATCATACAGCCGACCGAAGTGTGTCGGGGTGGATATGTTTTGGCAGCTGAACACACAAACACATACAAACATCACTCCGGTCGGAAGAACGGAAAAAGTGGGCGACTTCTGCCATTCAGCACAATGTTCTCCGCTGCAAGGCTTGCTTTCTCGAACGGGCAGAGGCGTGTAAGTTTTCACTTGATGCCATTTGACGATCATTCTAGAACAACGTACAGGCCTTCTCTACTTCGCCGTCGCGGTCGTATGATGTAGCTAAACTCATACTTGTCGGCCGCCTGGGCAAAGACCCCGAGGTGCGCACGACGAAGAGCGACCGTGAATATGTCGCGTAAGTATGGTGTCTGGTTGATCATGTCGGCCCCTGACCTTGCATACTCAGATACACCGTCGCGACCACCAACTATCCACCACCACCACCCAACCCTGACGGCAGTGAGTCTCGTCGATGACCTTTACGACTGGCAGTAACTTAATAAATCTTCCTTAGTTCGGCAGGAAGCCGGGACGTCTTGGCACCATGTTATCTCATTCAACCCCGCTCAGAATAATTACCTCAAGTCACTCTCCAAAGGAGCTCAGGTTTACGTCGAGGCCAACTTCGAACTGCGTGAACCCGACCAGAACTCAGATCCGTCCACGCCTGCGGGTCAACGCCAGATTTTCCTTCGACATGGTAAGCTGCTCTACCTTCATTATTTGCTCTCCTGCCTTCATAATTTGGCCAGAGACGATTCGGGTGCTCCGAAATCCGCACACACAGAACACCTCTGAGTAGATTCTGGTCATCTTATCAAGTCTACTGGTCATGTGGTATCATTATATAGTATGCTATCTCAATCCGTAACCTCAAAAGAGCTACGACGATGGATCGATTCTTCGTGAACACTTTCCCTCCGTTGAATGTAACGGGCGTCGCCAATGTGTAGTTCAGAAGAACCTTCACCCGCACCTCGCAGCTCAGGGTTTGCAACCGCTGGAATAGGCATCTCCGTGGGGGCAAAGGAAGAGAGTGATAGTCTTGAGGACCCTGGCTCTCCCCGCATCTTGTGCAGGTAATCACGAACTGTACTCATGAGCAGCTGCGGATTGCCTGTGAGAAGCGATGATGAGTAACTGAATAGCGAATGCACCTTGTGATCATCCTGGCTAGAGCCGGAGTAACAAGCAGCTACAGCTATTGGACAGCAAGGCGCATTCTTGATGTTGATCAGCGAACGATTAGCAAAATGGAATTGTCTAACCCTACCTCTAGCCAGATAGGGAGTGCTACAAAGAAACCGGTAAAAAGTTGGTACAATGGTCATGTTGTGACGCATCACTGACCTCCACCACATATCGCAACGCCAGAATCCAAGCCCATTTGCTTCGCTGTCTTTCCCATCGCATTCATTCCCTTCTCGATGTAATAGCTTGAGTGACTCGTCCGTTTCACAATGTCGATCATTCCCTGGAGACATGTCCAGCTATCCAGGCTGACATCTCCAGCGCCAGAGGGATGTCCCAAGTCACCCGCAGTGCACGCGAACAGAGTATGGCCGGCAATTGATTGTATCGAAATCACCATCCCTTTGCCTCTTGCATGGCGACTACTTCCGCGAAAGCGTTTGCGAATCGACAGACCGAGGGTGACTGCGTCATTGGCAGTGAAACTTGAAAAACGATAGCTGGTTTCATCTGCGAGGGCTTGGTTGGCTAGTTCTGCATCAGAGGGCATTGGACTGTGAATAGCAGAGTACATCGGGGCTGTTGCGGTTTTGACTGAAATGGTGGGGCTTCTGGCACGGGCCTTTTTAGAAGAAAAGTGACTGATATCGGAAGCGCGCCGAGCTTTCAAACGGGAGACACTTGTGGGGGACAAATGGTAGTTGGAACCTGTCGGAACCAGTCAGGTCGGTGCAACGAGGTCTTGTACTACGTGGCGAAACATCATGCCGATGGGAAGAATGTCGATGACAACTTCGATTATCCGAACAGTTTCAAAATCCAGTCTACATATGCAGTACACACCTAGCAACGGATTGGCAACGCAAGCTTTCTGTAATAAAAACCTGGGGATGAAGTGCACGGTTGGTGACGCCCAAGAACAGAGTAACATAAATGATCTCGCTCGCCTTGCATATTACTACGTAGGCTGTAGCCAGCTTTGATAATTGGAGGCCTGTTCTACAAGTCACGACGGAACGGATGTATTTTCTGAAGAGTAGATGTCTCTTAACCACCACGGTAACTAAAACTGCTGTCATTTAGATCTCGCCGTGGTAAGACAGGAGGAATGTAATAGCAAGTCCTGCAGACCGCACGAGTTCGAAGCAGTCAATCATCTCGTTTATGAACTAGAATTGGTGGCTTGAGAATCGTCGACATGATCTGAAGCCCTCAACTACAGCGAAAGCTTTGCAACGCGTCCACCTGGTTTTCTTGCCACCAAATACTCAAAATATCAGACTTCTTCACCGAATGTGTTTTGACTTTGGCTGATTTCGCGGTTTCACGTGATTCAAATCACTGAAGTATTGATCCGAGTTCCCAGCAGCGACACCGCCATGGAATTCTTCAGCGACATTGGCGGGGACCCACTTAAGCCCTCTCTCTTTGAGCTGATTGCACAGGAGCAGCTCCGAGACTTACTTCAGCCTGCACTCAAGTATGTATTAGCGGTGAGCCTAGTTTCAGCTCTATCGTGCCTTGTAGTACTCACGTCTGTAGGTGTTTGCTCAGCGCTATCCCCGCTACTTGATCCGTATCGTTAACAGACATGAAGAGTTTTACGCGGCGATCATGCTCTTCGTAGAGCGTTACTATCTCTTGAAATACAGTGAGAATTTGGTGGTGGGAGTGCAGAATACCTCTGACTGCAGTCTCAGGCGCCTCTTTTGCGGAGAGATTTTATGGGCTCAAGCGATGTAGGAAAGCTTGGATACCAACTGAGCGCTCAACTGCTGCAGTAGGTGGGATACCTCAGGGAGAAAGGCTCAGAGGCAGGGAAATATGGCGTTCCCTTTTCTTTCTGGTTTGTGCTTCGCGGTCCAGCCAAACTATCAGGTTGTTGATGCTGATTAGGTCGCTGTTCCTTATCTCAGAGCGAAAGCTCATGATTATTATGAGCAGTTGGGCGGAGGCGTGTCCTCGGACATACTGGACGATGGCGGGAGCGTCCGAATACCCAGCGACGAGGAGGTATGACATAGTGGAGGACAACAAGCTTTCCTTCTGATATGAGATCCCGCAGACATTTGCAAAACGCTGGCGTTATGCCTACAAGAAAATGTTCCCTTGGGTAAACACTTCATATGAAGTTTGGCTACTGGCATACAACGTAGCATACTTGTTTGAACGTTCGCCGTTCTATCGCCCCTGGTTAGCCTGGATAGGGGTTGACCTACGCAGATTGGGACCGGATGATTTTGTGAGTCGGGATTGTCTCCCTTGCCATATTCTCGCTCTTATGCAATTTCAAAAGCGTTCTGAAAGTCGAAAGCAAGAAGCACTCGACAATGTCAATATGCAGTTGGGCATAGTGAAAAGATTGCGTCGCGTTCTGATGAACTCTCCACGAATGATCCTCGATTCTTTGAGGTTTCTGCTACCGACTGCGATTTTTTTTGTCAAATTCCTGAAGTGGTGGTACTCTCCTGGATCCCCTGCGCGTTCACTACCAAGTTCCCCTCTCGGCCCGGCAGTACCACCCCCGCGCATGCTTCCGCCTCACCCTGATGGAATGCCCGTGGGCGACACGACTTTCGGGCATTGCCCATTGTGTAAGAACTCCATCAACAACGCTACTGCGCTGCCATCTGGTTACGTTTTTTGCTACCGATGTGCTTTTGACTACGTCGAGCGCCACGGTACTTGCCCAGTAACCTTATTACCAGCCGAACCCTGGCAACTGAGAAAAGTGCTCGTTTGACATGGGGCAGCGATAGTTGTTTCTACATATCTATTTCCCCCGGGGACCTCGGGTGGAGATATGGGCCGAGTGCTTTCTGGCACGCCTCCTGACAGCATGTATTTACTGTTTGTTGTGCGCACGTGCATGATGGTAGCAACCCGGGAGTGAAACCGCCTGGCACCAAGCTGGCGGCAGCAGTGATCGATTTGTACCTATCCGAATCAATATCTTCTATGTTCCACAGCATGATTTGAGACGAGCAGTCAAAATTTTTTTTACGAGGCCGATACTTCTCTCTCAGACATTAAACCTAGTCTCCCCCTTGTCCGACCCTGGTTCTCGATATAACAGTAGCCGATTAGTGTTATGAAGGTCAGTTGCACGCTCGTGCCCCAAGATCCGAGATTCAAATTCTCGTTTGTGATCCTGTAGTTTGGCAAGCAAATTCAGGCTGAGCAAGTGCCAGGATGGTCTGCATACTACCTGGACTACAAGTTCCTCAAGAAGATAATATCGTCTCTGGCCGCCAACCGACCAGCATCGGAGGCTGCTGCGTTGGCATTAGGAATCCGACCTGCCGATATCTTTAATCCATCAGGGAGCGCTTCTGCGATCACGGTACTGCCCACTGCAACCCAGGATGTCGCGACAACGCCCGCACTCGGTGATGCTGAACAACCTCCGATATTATCGTCCCTGAGACAAGATGATGATCGGGGTGCAGACTTTCATGCCCATAAGGCTGCGTTCTTTTTCAAGTTAGAACGAGAGCTCGAAAAAGTGTGTAGGTTTTCATTATCACTTTTTTTGATTAGCGAACCTAGGTTACCCTCTGTTTAGATCAATACTTTCTACCTCCAGAAGGAAGCAGAACTGAAGCTCCGTCTTGAGACCCTTCTCTCAAAACGGCGTGCGGCTGCTTTGAGAGGCCTTCCTGATGGCAATGATGGCTCAACTCTGAACCATGTTGAATGGAGTGCAGTGGAAGAAGGGTTCCGGCTGCTGGAAAGAGATCTGGGCAAGTTGCAGGTGAGGATGCTATTCCTTAGTCTTTGTGAACCTGCTAACACAGATCCCTAGCATTTTATCGAGATCAATGGGACGGGCTTCCGTAAAATCTTGAAAAAGTGGGATAAACACTCCCGTTCATCAACGAAAGAGTTGTACCTTGCTCGTCAGGTCGAGGTTCAGCCTGTTTTCAACAGACAGGTAACATCTCTTCTAATCAATAATACTGTAATTATTCTGATAGGCATTAGCTCATCTCGGAATTTTCTGATATTGTGGCCTCCAGTTTATTGGACATCACAGACCTCTCGACCGGGTTACGGTTCGAGGGCGCAGCTGCCCGTGACACACTTGATCTTCAGCTGTATGTGGAACGAAACGTATATTCCGGCCCCTTCCGAGAGTTTGAGCTTGACTTGCGAAAGGCCGTCGAGAATTCTGATAGATCATCCATCAAGGATCTTGTGCGCCACTCTGACATTCTTACTTCACAGAATGGTGGCAAAAGTGACGTTACCCGTGTGCTGTGGAAGGTTATAGTGGATGCACCTCCGGGCCTTGCAGACTTGATTCTGGAAAGCGTTGGAGTTCCCTTCGACTTCAATTTTGTGGATGATATCAATGGAAGAACTTGCCTCCACGAGGCTGCGGCAGCGGGAGCGTTACGGCTTGTGAACCTTTGCCTCGAGAAGGGTTCACAGAAGGACAAACTCGATGTTTATGGACGCTCGGCGCTGCACTACGCCGCTATGCATGGTCATGCTGACGTTTGCAAGCACCTCGTGGAGGCCAACGTGCCACCACATGTCCTGGATGCGGACAATTGCAGCCCCCTCGTTTACGCAACACTCCGAGGCAGTGTGGAATGCGTCCGGTACCTGGTGTGCGAACAATGTGTATCACCTTCTCCAGAGTCTCTGGTCATGGACAGTCTGGTTCCCCTGTCTCTGGCAAGTCAACTCGGACACACCGATGTCGTTGCCCTGCTCTTGAAAGGAGGAGCTAAATGTCTGCCTAACACAAACGGCGAATACCCTATCCATCTTGCCGCCCGGGAGGGGCATGCGGATGTGTGTCGACTATTGCTGGATCAAGGAGGGTGGGACTTCCCGGACAAATATCACGAATGGACGCCGCTCTTCCATGCTGCTAGGAATGGACACGTGGCGTGTTTAGAAGTCTTACTGCAAACTGGTACAAAGGTCGACAGAACGGACGAATTTGGACATCAAGCTATACATTATGCAGCCTGGTATGGACATCGGCATTGCGTCCAAGTTCTGTTCGCCGCGATTGCCAAAGTCCCACGTACTGTCAGTTTCAAGAGAAGGTCTGGTCTATCACAATCTGTGGTGGACATGCAGATTGATATGGAAGCTGACGCAATTCCATCCCTGTCGCTACCCCCGCCGATAATGCCTCATCGGGTTTACGGACACAACTACCTTGACAAAAATCATTTGGTGACTGTCACGGTAGGTTTACCCATCCCCTCGCATAGCAAGGGTGGTGGGAAGGGAGTGAAACTATACTCTCGCTTGTCGGAGTCCGTGTTCACACAGAGCGCATATCTGCCTTCCCTAAATCGATTGAAAATGGTGATCACCGCAGGCCCTAGCGTGAATGCAGTTCCGTACACCGTCTCTCTACCCCAGAAGGATGTGCAAGATACATTTATCTTTCAAACCGCAGATCTCAGCGTCCTTTCCTTGGAGTTTTCCATCTATCCCAATTTTGGAACGAAGACCATTGGCCGTGCTGTAGCGCATCCGTCCATTTTTCAATTTCCCGGAGATCGTCCCATCACCTTATCCATACTGGATCATCGTCTACATTGTATTGGCGAAGTAAGCATAAATCTTCACATGGTACCACGTTGATTTGAAGCTCCATATAGGTCACCTTTTCCGTTACAGTCACCTCACCTTTTCAAGGAGTCACCCTCGAGGTTGGGGGTGCGGTAGAAACGTACTGGAAATCCCTTACCTTACCGCAAAGTGGCGTCCTCAACCCTAATCCACGCCTAACACTTCCTTGGAGACATTCTCCCAAGTCTCCGGATTCTATCCATACGTCGCCTTCCATTCAATCGACTACTGGTTCTCCAATCCACACAGTTACGTTGTCATCCTTATCAGGTCATTATGTCCATGCTGTAGTGCAGGTCACGCGAGACCTCCACCCGGTATTATACTACAATATGCTGCTGCCCGAGACACCTTTTGATCTACGAGTTGCCGACGTCACTCTCTCGCAGTTTGAGGCCCTAGCCAATAGACTTGACCACGAAGAACAGCTTATTCGTAGGGTGAACTCAGGCCAGGAATTGCACAAAGTACTACCGTGTTTGATGATATCGCTTTCTCGGTTTATGCAGGTAAGAGGCCACTCACTATCACAGGGAAGATATGCTCTTCATAATGGTTTTCATAGCTTCTCCCTGCCCATTTGGGTTTGACCCTAGAAGTGGCCCTTTTCCCGATAACTCGGGCCTCCAATCAGTATACCAATTATCGCCTAGATCCTAATGCATCTGTTAATGCTATCCTCCGTACGATACGCCAGACCTCATCCTCACTTGGCGGAGCGTTCGCTCGGCGGCGTATAGCTTTCACATCATTCTCTCCGCAAGTCTGTGCCGCACTAAACTGGAAACAACCGAATTGTGGGTATTTTCAATTCAGTTGCTCCAGTGTTCGAGGTGCCTTTAACAGTCATATTTCTTCAGATCCTGTCTTCTTCTCGTCCCGCTGTGGTCAAATTGGCGAAGACCCTATTGTTGGATCTACGCCCAACCCTGCGCTTCGTGACGTAGGGGATGATTACTATGCCTCAAGTGTCTCTGCTGGCGTGGAATTCGCGAAGATGAACAATCTTCTGGGCATCTTCTTTGATTCTGAACTATTGGTAATTGGTATATGGTTGTTCCGTGCATTCCCTGACAGATCCTATTATGCAGCTGCAGGTTCCCTCGCTCATTCAGGGTATACGAGACGCTGGTCTATTGGTGGGCATACACGGTGGACAGGCCACATCCGGCATTCCGGTTTGCTCCACGGAGGGCGCTCAGGTCGATGCCTATATCCGTGATGGTACGGTAACCTACATGGATAATTCGGCAGGAGAACAAATCTGATATTACAAACATTGTATATTCTATGGTTCTAAAGTACGGGAGTGGCTATTGGAAGTATATTTGGGTTGTGGTTGCCATGTTGTAGCGTAATTCCGGCGTCTCTATAATGTGGTACGACAAATGTGCCAACACTCCGTTTCAGACGGACGCTTTGTAGAGCGCCGCATATGAACCGCCCCTTTCCATTAATTCTTCATGAGTACCAAACTCTGTTATTGTCTGGAAGAAAAAGCGAGACGGTCATTAAACTCTGGGTGGCATAACTATCATATATGAACGTACCCCTTGCTCCATCATTGCGATCTTGTCGGCGCGACGTGCGGTGGAAAGCCGGTGGGTGATAAAAATGACGGATTTAGTTCTTTTACCAGATGGAGAACGAGAGATGTCTTCGATGGTATCGAAAATCTTGTTTTGTGCATGCCCGTCCAAAGATGAAGTCTAGAGAGTATCATTAGCATGCCCGAAAAAAAAAAAAAAACTAGATGAATGAGAAACCGCTTACAGGTTCATCAAAGAGTAAAAGTCCAACCTCTGGTCGATCAGCTCGCATAAAGGCACGCGATATTGCTATCCTCTGCCACTGCCGTAACGGAGTCAATGCTTAACGTAGCGCTTTACTAGTCCATCAGACACACCTCGCCACCAGACAAACCATGATGTTGCCGTGAAGGCGCGCCATAGCCTGGATTCGAACCACAGTTGGATGTGTACGGCATGGTATCATATCCCGAGGCATCCAACTTCGTCCTCAAGCCATTGGGCAGGATGTCCACGAACGAGTCCGCGCCGCCAAGGTGGACGGCACGGGAAACAGCGGATTGCGATTGCAGCTTCTGCACATATCCGAGGCCCACGTTTTCCCTTACGGTGGAGTTGTACTTTGAGAACCCTTGGAAGACAGTAGTGACGTGACGGTGATACTCTGCCGGCGACAGGCGTCGGATATCGACACCATTGACGGTGAGCCCACCTTGGTCAAAATCTATTATTCGCAATAAAACCTTGGCCAGTGTGGACTTGCCTATATCCAACCAGAGGTCAAATCAGGAATCGGCATTGAGAGGGCTGAAACGGAACTTACCTGATCCGTTGCATCCCACAACTGCAAGGGTTTCTCCGGCATCCAAACTGAAGCTCACGTCTTTCAAGGCAGCCTCTTTACTACCCGGGTAAGTGTATGACAGGTTTCTCGTCACAAGTTAGACGCGGGAACGAATGAAAGGAAAATTATAAACACCTGGCTTCCATTTTCATGCCGCAGGGTAGACGGGGGAAACTCATAACGTCCTCATCAGCGGGCTCCAATTCTGGGTGGATATTCATCGCAGCACAAAATGCTCCCATTAAGAAAATGCTTTGAAATGCCATGCGTGCCGTTGTTAGGAGATTGCCGAATGTGAATACCACGGCCTGAATGGAACTCCGGTAGAGTGCCAAGGACCCTAGTGACGCGGATGACGATTGGAACATTAACAATAGGGGAACCTGCAACCATCTTTCTCATTCAGTCATCTCACATTAATGGCAAAACGCTTACGTTTTGCAACGCAAATAGGAGGTCCGATACATTGATCTGGTTCAGGAGTTGTGGCAGGGTCAGCTGGCTTGTTTGAGATGTCCGATCATGGTACATCATCGTCCTCCGCGCATTAGCCCAAGACTGAAGAATCCACGGTCCCAGGCCGAAGAGAAGCACTTCTGGACGGTGGGAGTCGTTGTAAGCCAGATTCCGCAGTCTTTCTTGCCGTTCCGCAGTTCGAGCCTCCTCGGTGGTGTAATTAGAATCTGGCACGGATGGCGTACTGCCGCAACGATTCATGAACAACGGAAACAAGGCAGAAATAATTGACAGCAGCAGCGCTCCCATATTTGTAGAGCCACCGGTTAGGGACAAGAGGACTAAGAGATGGGACGCCAGTTCAGAAATGAGACCGAGTACTTGAATGAAGTCAAACGGTGAAAGCAATCCAAAACTTCCCATGCCATTGAAAGATCTAACGAATAAATCGGATTCCTGGAGACAATCACGGATTACAGGATCTGCGAGAGTGGGGATATCGAGGCATAACCGCTGAGCAATCTGTTGATACTCGACATAGAATTTGGCAGACTCTTGGACGATGCTCTCATTCGACGTGCTGAAGATAACGTGTTGAGGGAGCGGTGCATGGCAAATTAAAGAGGACACGTACGCAAAAGTATCGATGGCTGTTTCCGCAGCACGCCGAAAGATTTCAGCAACCAAAAGACGCAAGAAGCGCGACCAGGAGAAACATCCTGAGGATACAAGTGTTTGCAGCTGCACGACCAGATGTGAGTATGACCATGAGATAGAGACGAATGGTTGTAGTTACCTCGTCGACGATCATTGCCTGCGAATAGCCCCTGAAAGCGGGGAAGATGGCACGGATGATGTGGAGAACCACCATTAGGGATGTCCGAACGGGATGGAGCGACCACAGTGCCTTTACAAGATCGAAGACACATGCGCGAAAGATAGTGAGGGCGAGCCTGATGTTTTTCTCGTTTATAGGACGCTGTGCACCGGGCATGAGATAGGTCCCCCTGCGACGAGGGACGACGCGTGAAGCGAGCCATGACTGCAGCAGGCAGCGACAAGAGGGGGGTGGTGCAAGCTTGTGCTGAGAACGGTGCCTGTTCGGATGAGAAGGATGGGAAGATGACCAACGTCCGAGCCGACGTTGAGGTTTCGGATGGTGACACATATCTGGGGGCTGGCTCGGAGGGCTACATGTCAAGGGGGGTTTAAGAATCCTGGAAGAGCCACAGGTTTGACGGATGTTCACGTCAAGATGGCAATTGTGACGGAAGGAGCAGGTCCGCCTTACCTCGCCAGTGAGATCCGAGGTGATGTCTGAGCGGTGTAAGACGAGTTCGGCAGAGGAGACCCGACACATACTTGAAGTTACTCGCACTGGCTGATGCTGAGAAGAAAGGAAAGTTGGATTTATATGAAACTTTAGGTTCATTTTAGGAATCAAGGACAGTGCTGCGTGAGAGGTAAGGAAACTGAGGGCCCACCGGGCGGTCTGCTGTCCCTGCTACCGGCGCCAAGGCCTTGCTCATCGTCCGAGTCGTGCACAGGCCTGTCGCGTGTGATTGTGGCCATCCCTGGCGCCGTACCAGCCCGAACCGCTCCACGCCGGGTGTGTCAGTGTGAGACGAGGCAGCTTTCCTTTGAGATATCCGTTTTAGGTGGCTCGACCATCCCCACCCACGTCCTCCCGGCCCTTCCACTGTGTCCTCCCCGGCTATCCTTTTCTCCCCTGCTTCCGATAATTATCCTCTCTGTTTACCCGCCAACTGCCCCCTTCATTAATCTATTCAATACAGATTCCTTTTTTTCCCTTTTCTTTTTTGAAATTTCTACCGTCCCACATGCCCACTCATAGCGAGCTCTTGTCTGACGGTTTACGCCAGCTTCAGCTTGAACAGAGTCAGCAGTCATCCGAGGCCCAGCTGTCTCCAAATGGTGTCGATCATCCTTTGCAGGGTGATCCGGCGTCTGACCCCTCACGAGACACCGATTCTCAGCACCCTTCCCCCACTGCCTTAGCCCTGCGCACTCCGTGGCCTCATGTTCGTGAAGGTTACGGGTTTCGAACGCCTTCTGGTGCATCGACTCCTCAAACGTTGGTATCCCAGCCCGGTGAGAGGGCGAGTCCCCTGCCCGATCCACACGGCTTGGGCTGGCCGGGTAGGCACTGCCATCCTCTTCATGCTTATTGTGCTTAGTTGTTCCCCGTCAGCCAAGTCCACTATTTCTCGTCTTCACGCCACCCCCGCGGAGCGTGCTGTCCGCGAGAAGAGAATGATTGCTGCAGTTCGAACCATTCTCGAATGCATCGGCGAGGATCCTGATCGCGAGGGCCTGCTCAGAACCCCCGAACGCTATGCAAATGCCGTCATGTGGATGACTAGGGGTTATGAGGAACGCCTTGTGGGTCAGTCTTCTTCCTTTACTTTTTGGCGTGAGCCGTAGTAATACCCTGCATACATGCTCCGCTAGATGTCATCAATGATGCTGTGTTTACGGAGGACCACGATGAAATGGTCTTGGTTCGTGAAATCGACTTCTCCAGTCTGTGTGAACATCACCTTGTCCCGTTCACAGGGAAAGTGAGTGTGGTGGATCCCCAGCTAGCATTGAATCTCACGACCAACATGTTCGGCCGTATCATTAGGTTGCCATAGGCTACATTCCCAACCAACTGGTCCTTGGTCTTTCCAAGCTCGCACGTATAGCCGAAACTTTCAGCCGCCGTTTGCAGGTCCAAGAACGGCTGACCAAACAGATCGCTATCGCAGTTCAAGAGGCAATCAAGCCACGTGGGGTGGCAGTCGTCATGGAGGCAACGTGGGTACTTTCTCTGCCAGTGGGTCTCGTTCTCATTCTTCTGGTCCTTGTTAGCCATATGTGCATGACGATGCGAGGGGTGCAGAAGCCCGGCTCCATAACGGTCACATCGTGTATGCTAGGCTGTTTCAGGACGCAACAAAAGACTCGGGAAGAGTTCCTTACGCTAATAAAGAAGTAATCCCACCAACCCTGGGCGATTCAACTCGTATAATCGATTCAACTCGCGCTAACTTTATTATCTCATAATTCACATGGGTGGAGAGTGGGCTGGGATCAAACTGTCAGGGCACCGATTACCAGAAAAGAGCTGGTAGGAAATGTAATGATATCCGGAAAAGATTTCGTAGGCAATGTAATGATATCCTGAAAAATTAAAGACACAATTGGCAGTGGCACAGCTTAACATCACGAGCACTCATTGGTCCTTTCTCCCGGGTCGTGACTTATCACCTGCTTGAGGGTCAATTGGAAGCGTCCTTCTGGCTAACCCGCCATGGACAGGGGTGTATCGGTGACGATTGATTTTCGGTCTTTTCAGTGGCTGTGACGATATGTCACCTGGCACTGAATTTGGGTCACCCATCTCCTTGTCACGTTCTACATGAATGTCAGTTTCAGAGTGAATTTACGTTACTGAAAACTGTGCATGACCAGTCACTTACCTGCTAGAGTACGCTTCCTATTATCACGGTCATCATCCCTAGGGGGAAGCTCGGAAGAACGGTAAAGGCCCGTGGGTGGAACCGAACGAGGAGCCTCTTTCTCGCCTATCCGCGAACGTAAGCTGGGTGGCATGTCCGACACATTGCTCCCTGAACCAGGTCCTCCTTGAAAGCTGGTGGAGTGGTCACGCTGACTCTTCCAGTCACCACCTGATCGGCTGGGAATATCACCCTTGCCGCCACTCCTAGACGGGTCTGCGGCTGACATGGCTCTTGGTGCAGAGGGCGTCGTAGGCGGGAGGTTTTTCGGGCCGTCTGGTATTCGTTTCTCAATAGGCTGTGGTCGCTTCGTTAGAAACGTAAGAATAACTCCGAAGTAGACGAAATACCTTGTCTGCGGGAGGTGGACGAGAATCACCGTCTGATGGTTCACGCTCCGTCCGGCGTCTATCTGATTCCCTACCTCGGTCATGACTTTCCTTTTCGGAGCGTCGACTACGATCTTCCCTGTGACTATCTTTCCGGGAGCTCCGCTTGGACGTCCTGTCAGCCTGCCATCGATGCTCAGCAACTTCAGACAATAAGCCCAATTCGGAAACCAACCTCATCATCAGTGGGTCGTCGCCTTTTACCGAGTGCGTCATCACTTGGCTGTGCCGTGCTCCGATGTCGGATTGGATCAGGGCGAGTCGGAACGGCTCGACCTTCCGGTGCTGAAGTGGGGCCGGTAGGTATGATCATACGACCTGACCCATCACGCTCCTTCCTCGATTCACGGTCACGATCTTTATCATCCCGACGGTGTCGATCACGATCCCGGTCACGATCCCTGTCGCGTTCCCTGTCGCGTTCGCGTCGCTCACGGTCCTTCTCCCGATCTCTTTCCTTCTCTCGCTCCTTGTCACGCTCCCGATCACGGTCGCCATGTCTATCGCGCGTCCGCTCTCTGTCACGTTCGCGGTCGCTTTCCCTGTCCCGATCACTTTCACGAGCCCTGGTATTCCTCTCCCCACGTGACATAGTGAGTGCTCCATTGTCCCTTCGAGACATCCCACGAGGTTCCTGTCGCGGTTCTCTGTCAGACGACCTTTCCTCACCACGATCCATATCTCCACGATCTGAAGGACGTCCACCACTCGTTCGACTTTCTTGACTGTGGTTTCTTGTTCCTGCACGGGGAACAGGAGATGACGAACGATGGTGCGGCAGCGGTGATGATCCCTTCGAGCCAGGCTGACTACGCGATTCCACTGGCTTACGGTCACCATCAGGCCTTTCGGAGGAGCGCTGACCCATAGTTTGCTTCGCAGTTTCGCGAAGTTCTTGAGCCGACAACGTTTGACTTGGAGCAATGGGAGGTGGCATCGATTCCCCAGGTGATTCTCGGGGGCTTGGCACTGCACTTGGGGGTGCCATTCTACTAGGTCTGGACGGTGGAGTTGGGGTTGGCACCCGCGTGTCAGTGGGGGTTCCAGGAAGCGAAGGCTGGCCAGGGCCAGTGGAAGGACGGGCTCCCAAACGTGCCAAGTCAGGTTGCTGAGCTTGAGATACCCTGTCTTCCTTCGGTGCAGACACAGCATCTACGTCCATGCTGTCTGACTTCGTAGCTGGTTTCACTTCATTCTCGGGCGCTGGGGACTGGCTGTCCTTCTCTGTCCTTACCCGTTTGACCTTTTCAGGCCGAGGTATACTTAAGCAAGCATGCAGTCAGTACGAAACGACATTGGTAGGTAAAAGAACAATACCTATCCATCGCCGACTTGGTTGAATTAGCAGGAGTGGAAGGCCTGTCATGAACCATCTGAGATGATCCATTGACAGCCTGGGCCCTGGGTGCAGTTGGTATATTCGGAGTGGCAATGGGACCATCACGACGAGTGTCGGTCGTCGAAGCTGGAGCGGTAGCAGTGCTAGTTGCTTGAGTTGCACGTGGTTTGTCAGGCAGCTGTGTAGCAGGTTTCGGCGACGCTGTAACACCGTTTTGCTGCCATCCGAGTTAGCCCTATGAACTACGAACTAAAGCTAGGAAATACCTTTGGAACCGGTCTTGGCACTGCCCACAGAGGTTCACGTTTCTTCAACGCAGCAGAGTAACTGCAGGAACGTTAGCAGAAGATTTAGCTTCCAAGCACCACTTGGCTCACGCTCTGCCCAGAATCTTCAGGTCTCCACGTTCCTCACTTTCCACTAGTTTTTCAACCATTGCATCGATCACGGGTCCGTAATCGCTACTAGCGGCCATCGGAAAGACAGGGAGTATTTCCTTCAAGACGATAATGGTATTGTAGACATGCATAAATTCCCCCGTTTCGATACAACTGCAGAGGCTCTGTGACAATACGTTAGTCCTTCACTTTCTGCAATGTTAGATGACGTACTCTTCCTAGCTTCCTGTGCCACTTGCGCAGGATTTGCTTGAAGCTAATCCAATTCAAAACATCGTCGGGTCGGATGTCCGCAAGATCTTTGTTTGTCCAGCGGGGTTGGAAACCGGGAAGAAGAACCGCTCTGCCAGCTATCTTCGTCCTGTTGTCTTGGACGTAAAGCTGCTCGTCCTGTGCCCATTTCCACAGGTCAGCAAGGAGACTTAGCAGGAATCGACCTGGAAACAAAAGTCGGCTGCCACTGCAATGAGGATGTAGTGCATATTCATACCATAATTTTTGGCTTCGTATTCACTACAAGAGAAAATCACGGCCTTCACATGATCGCCGAGTAACTGCAGAAAGATTGTGATATTCTGGTAGAATAACACAATAATATTGCTCACCTTGTCGTAAACCATGAGCGTCGGAAAACCGGGAGTGCCTTGAGTGTGTATCACTTTTATAATCTGGGCACAGTAATCGGCGTCCATAGGCGACAAGAGGCACCTTGGTTGGATGCAATGCTCGATGATCGCAGAAGCCAGCACAGCGGACCGGTGTTCGACTGGGCTCCAAATGAGATGAAGTATATATTAACTATGTATGAACGATCTCACCGTGAGCAAACCAGTGCTGTTTCTCCCGTGCTAGACGCTTCAGTGTGAAGGATCTCGAGTCCAACTGCTCTTTGAATTCCTGCGCAAGCGTATTGACAAAGGAAGTGTATCGATCGCGCCTGGCTCGGTGCGCACTAGCGCTAAGCCGCTTTGCCCTGTCAGTCGAACGATCGGCATGAATGTACTTGTGATCTTCCTGATGACTTAAGGTTCGGAGAGCAGCACATTCTTCGTCGTATCGCGAGGCTGGTGGAACAAGGTCGTACATTGACAATTGCCAGAAAGTAAGATAGAAGGCAGGACTGAGAAGTATATCACGTAAATACACCGAATATCGCAAGGCGTGAGTAAGAAGCGCCTACCCAATGACATCTATGGCATTGCTCTTCGCGATTTTCCTAACGTCGTCAAATAGTGCTTCGAGCTCTGGAATCCATGGACTCTGCTTAACGTATAAGGTTTCCCAAGAAACATGCAAGGCGAACAGCGGACTACACACCTCGGCTGTGGGAATCGTAGTATCTGTCTCGAGCTCCATCGCAGAATCCTCTCCACGACTAGCCCTTGATGAAACCTTCTGGTCATGGGAGTCTCGTGAGGTGTTTGTCCCATTAGGTGTATCTAGTCGGGGAGTCGCGGAAGGGTCACGCTTGGCGGCTGTGAGATGAGCCTTGAGCCGTTTCTCGGCCTCTTCGTTTGCAGCACGTTCTTTCTCCTGTATCGACAACGCAGTTTTCTATCAAATGGTCATCAAGAGAACAAGGCACCGAGACGGCGTCCCCCTACCAAAAGAGCGTGATTGAGCATTGGCCTGATAATCTGCATGCAGATCGGGGCAGAAATCCCATACAACTCCCCAAGTTCAGCCAGCGGTGGAAGAATCTTCTTCGCATAGTCCTCGGGAGTGATCACAGAGGGAGAGGTAAGAAGCTCCAAATATTGTAGCAGTACCCCATGGATCTGAATTCAAGCCACTTCTGAGACCATGAAGCCAGGACGACGTGACGCGCAACCTACAGTGTCGAACAGGCTTGCGAGAGACTTCAGATGGGCATCCGGAGCCCGGAACACGCAAGACTGGCGTTGTTGAGCGACTTGAATCAAAAGCGGCAATGCGAGGTTGTTCTCTAATAGCGTCTTCCCCAAACGATGAGGACCCTTTAAGACCGCATCGCTAGGATCCAAGCGGGCGCCTCGAGTTGTTGAGGCAACCGCTTCGATACGCAGAGCCGGACCACCAGCCATGGCAGAAATCTGCGAGTCCGAGAGGCTCGGCAGCGGCTCGATACCTGCCATTTTCCAAATAAGCTCCTTCAGCACGACTATGTCCGTTGTTTGACCATTGTACAACTGGTGCACGACATATTTCAACAACGGAGATAGGTCGGCGCTGTACCGGCGGAACAGCATACCCGTGAATGATGCAAGGCCTGCAATTATCAGATACATTTTTCAAAGACAAAACCAGAAAAAAAGACCTACTTTGCAACCAGTCCGAAATATTCACTCCATCGTCCTTCACCCGGTTCTTGTGCGGATTCGATAGCGCGTCCAAAATTACAAATACCAATACATCAAAACCCATGTTTGTGACATATCTAAGGGCCTGAATAACCACACTCGCGAGGTTGTCGTACGCCATGATCTGGTTTACAACGTTTGTGAAGAAAATTGCGGGGTTAGAGTGTACCAATTTGGCAACGGTGCCAGAAAGGGTGTCAATTGTATTGTGAGACAGCCGCCTCAAGATACCTTTCGACTCGCGATCTGCTTGCACCTGTCGTATACGCAATTCGGGGTGCGAATTATACGTCTTTTGCCTCCATTCTCCATAAAGCCTCCAGCGAGAGGTTGTTTCGTATTGACGAATAACGTTCCAAATCTCCACCGTACACACGGCGTTACCTCGAATGAGTGGGAGGGCGGGAAGGAAGTACTTCCTCAGCATCTTGTACCAAAAAAGGCGCACAGGGTGATTGGAGTCAGGTTCCGTGGATGGCTTCTTCGTCACTGGATCTAGTGGTACCTAAGTGATTGAACTCAGGCTGCTATAGTATTGTATAGGTAGGTTACTCACAGTTGCCATCAGCTGAGACCGTCCAAGGCGGGTCACTTTGGACACAAACAACGGATCGCGGGCAATATGTGGCCCAATGAAGCTCATGAGAGGTTCAATGATATCAATTAGGTCACTGTGAGTAGTCGACATCGGAACTCGCTCAGACCAATCAGGGAAGAAGAACACAAAGTCCGTGGAAGCAGTACTCGGAGGTGTTGGTGCGGTTAAAGTGAGCTGGGGCTTGCGAGTGGGAAGTTGGATCACACCATTAGGGCCAAACCTTGCGCGAGCCCGAGTGAAGCTGAGGTTCCGCTCCTTCAATACGAAGGTTGAGTCATAGACGGGAGCAATCGAGTGCTTGAGGATCCTGAGCATGATATCCGCAATCTCTACATGGGCATCAACTAGCCAAGGAAACCTCGTCAGAATAGCTACGGCGGGCCGCAGCGCCCCGACAGCGAGTAGAGCACTGGCGAGGCCAGCTCTCTGGTTTGGTGCTTTGAAAACCGGTATTTCCTTCGTTTCCTCTGGAGCCTCTGCACGTGGTTTCTGTCCAGAGTTTGCAGACTCTAATGGCCCGGCCATTGCCAATTGAGTTACCTTGGCCGTCGAAATACGTTCTTGTACCTGATCGAGGTAATCCCGTCTGTATGATTCCATATCTGCATCTGGAGGCGACAACTATATCTCGATGAGAGCTCGAACGTCCATAAATTCCATAAATGGCATACATGAGGATAGAGGTCATCCAATGTAATGAATCCCTCGCGAATAAGGATGGCAGCTGTGAGGTATACATTCCGTTGCGACTGCTCATTGGCATCCGGACACTACGAGACATGAACCAACGGTACACGAACAAAAAGCTAACCACGAACCTGATAGTGAGCAAACTTGAATCCAAGAACCTGCGCCAACACCTGCGAGCCTGATTTGTCCGTGTCACATTCTGAACCGGTATGGCCTGGCAATAACGATTCCGCTATCCTCAACACTTCATCGAAGGTCTTTCCTGTATACAAGTCAGGGACCGGGTTGACTGCTATGGTCGCCTCCAGCTTCGCATCAGTGGGTCGCTTATAAGAGCCTACCCATGGCGAGAACGACAGCAGCGAAAGGAAAAAATGATAATGTGTCGCCAAATTTACGGTGAGAACGTCCAAAATGATATCGAGGGCACGGTTTGGATCTAGGTCGAAATAGCCTATGAGACTCATCACCTTTGCCCATACTGCGCGGGCCCGCTCCTGTATAGACGCAAAGCTCTCCGTGGGTCGAGCGTCGAGTGAAGAATGCGAAGGACCCAGAGAACTTGTTATTTCCACGGTGAGCTTACTGTAGCCCTCCGTCTGCTCGCGAAGCAGGTTGAACTTATTTTGTTTGTAGCTATGCAAGTTGTTGTCAGTTATAATAGTGGTCGCTCAAAGTTACATAACTTACAACAACCCGGTCCGAGTCCGTATTTCCTTCTTGTCGAACGCAGACCTGTCAGTAATGAGACCAATACTGGCAAGGAGTGAAACGTCGAGTCGCTCTCTGCACAACGCAATATCGATTATGTTTGCAGACTAGGTTGAGTGACGTTGGAAATAGCTCAGAGGGTTGGAAAGTCTATTTGCTCACCAAAAACCTTCTAACGATGTCTGTTAGTATCTCCTTGTCATGTTCCAACGATTGCTTCGTTTGTGAGGCTCTGGAGGCATCCTTGGACTCTTGCCCTGCGGGCGGAGGGTCGGGAGTTGCAAGAACGGTTTTTGAATCCGTCAATAGCTCGTCGAGATGAGCATCAATGGACCAAATGAGATCGACAAACATCTCTCCGTAGGCATCGTTGTTTGTTGAACGTCCGCGTTGGGCAGATGAGGACGGGAGAGAAAGGAGAACGGACTGCACGAGATTAGTCACGGCGTGCGGAGTAAGTGGAGGTTTTGAGGACCAGGTCTTCAGGACAGAGAATATCAGCTTCTGATACGCAGAATTCAATGTCACTGCATCGTTGGGATTGACCGGGCTCGAATGCAGAGCAACAAGAAAATTGCGACTTCAGACAGTCCTGTGAGCTCTCCTGTGCAAGGCATACGGTGGCTCACGTACCATTCAGCCTCCCCTCCCTTGGTCCAGGTCTCCAAATACTTTGTTATTTTGTCAATGACGTCCATGAGTGCGAGTACTCCGAACGACGAGCACACAGCAACAAGAAGCTTCCTAGCAGCTGACCCTAGCACGGGATAGGCATTGTGTTGGCATTGTTGACACTTATTGTGGTTTATTGACCAATAGCTTTGGTTCCAAACATTGCTACGGCCTTGGAGCTAATGTTTCCTCATGGCCCAGGTAAGCTTTCAGCAACGGAACACCCTATGTACTGCACTGTAGGGAAACTGGGATCTGATATACATAGCACGCCCAGTCAGCTAGCGTGACATACCACATCCATCCTCGCACCATATTATCATTGAAGTCGTTAACTCTTTCTGAGGGCAGAATCATTCCACGTTACATGAACGGTAAGTTGATCGCCGATGTCTGCGAGGGGTAGTCCATATCACAGTTGGGAGCCAACCTGCACATGCACAACCCTTGTGTCCTCTCGTATAAGTATGATGCCAGCGCATGCCTAGAAATCTACACATACTACGTAACGTTATACATATGTACATCCACGCAAGCGGGTCAAAGGTTAGAATGCAAATAGCTCCTGGCACTTTTGAACACCTTGCCATGCTCCTGCAAGTCAACTAAAGTGCCTTCTAGGCAAGTCCAATCAGTTCAACACTCAGAGGTAACAGGCAAGTCGTCACTGAAGCTGACACAAGCTCGTGAAGCCCACGATGTTTGTGCCAAGCCTGGCAGGGGTACAGGTGAGGCTTTCGCGTGTGGCATAGCCTACGCGCAAGCCGCACAGCTCGATCTTCCGCGTTCGGTATTCTTCGTTCACTATGGTCTTGTTCGGGATGAGAATTCCTGCGACTTCACTGTTCCGTACCGGTGATCATATTCTAACCGTTACCGGTTCGCCAAGTCAAAAACGCACCACCCCAGTTCATAGGAATGTTCTTAATTGCTCACGTTATGAAAGTCCAGACTAACGCATCGTGGCAATTTGCCACTGCCATTCACACACACCACCCGAAACTTAAAAGGGAGAACTCTCAGGAAACACCTGTTCCACTCTTCCGCCACCCTCCAACATGGATGTAGAGAACAGCGGTGCTGTGTCTATGCCCAGACGGGGATATAGTGAAGCAATCCATGGTGGGTCGGTGGGACCGCTTCAGACGTAAGGGGAAGAAAAATGTAGGCGTCTTGGTGAGCGTCAAGAACATCATGACTTGTTCTTGTAGGTCTGTAGCATTTTTTTTTTCCACCGTAAGTTGAAGCAGCGCTTGCAGGGCTTAATGTCTTGCTTCTCCTGACCCCGCTAGCATGGTGGGCTCACTTCAGCGGGCGATTACATTATTCAATTGTTTTTTCTTGTGAGATTGTTTCTACCGCAATGATGCAAGAATTCGAATCCCCTTTCCCTCTCCAGTGTGCTTTCTCTCCATCATCCCGCATGAAAAGCTGTTCGACTTCTATGGTGAACAAATGCACCTGTACCTTGGCAAGGACGTAGGGGACCTGCTAACCATCACACTCAATAAGTAAGTGTCTGCCATAATCTGCGCGAAACCTAATTGACGCGTGCTGCAGTGTTGTGGAAGCCACGCTTGCAATCATCTTGCTCACCAAGTGCAGGTATGCCAAAAGGTCTCATTCGAGGCTACACTGATTAACAAACTTGGGTCGACAGGTTAAAATTGCTGCAGTCGACCATCACTGGTGCGGGCGTTGTAGTCACAGGACAACCTGACCCTCAACCATTGTTTTATAGGTGTTGTTGTCCTACACCTTCTCCTTATCCCTGGTGCCGCCTTTTTTACGGGCGGAGCGCAGATTTGGGAACAGGATTTACACCCTGCCCATACTCAGCTCAACCATAGTCTGCTAACTGTTGGGTGGGTGTTTTGCGAGTGAGCACTATGTATCCCAAACGTAACAACTTTTGTCAGCGTGCTAGCTCTTCTGCTCCCCGCTGTTCTCTATGCTGGAGCAACGAGCGATTCCGCTTCCAGCTCTACTCCATCTTCTGAGGTATTGCAAACAGACTTCTTGCAAATGAGTCGAGGTCTTGCTGTGATTCTTCTCTTAATGTAAAGTAGTCGTCTGGCCGCGATGCTAGTTTCTCACTCGCTGTCAGCTATATCGCATCCCGCATATACTACCACAATCCTCCCGGAAAGGGCCATAACATGCTTAGCCACCCCGATGCACCAGAAGAACTCAGGAATACGGAAGATAAACTGGCAAGCACGGAACCTGAAGTCAACCAATGGGTTTGTCTTGCCTTTCTCGTCGCCAACGTCGGAGTCATGGCTGCCACTGCAGAGTGGGTAAGTGCTGACCCTTCAGCTGTACATTATCATGTTCTAAGATGTGTAGCTTTTGGACAGTATTGACCCTGTGGTGGAGGCTACAATCATGACCCAAGAATGGTCGGGGATAGTTCTTCTCCCGATAGTATCATTTTCGGCAGATGGGGCCATTGCTGTTGGGTACTTCATACACCGCAACCTGAGCCGCTTGCTGAAGTTCAGGACGCCTGATCCACCAACCACCCTGGCCAAGGCTGAGGCCATCGATTTGAGCATCCAATTCTTACTATTCTGGACTCCGGTCGTGACTTTGTTGGGCTGGTGGACGGGTAAACCTTTCAACCTCTTATTTGGTAGGTAACAATCTTCAAGGTGCCGTGTTCCTTCAGTAATTGATCTTTACTTCCCTCAGACTGGTTTGAAGTAGCTTTACTGATTGGCGCATGTTTCTTGGTCAACTATGTAACGCAAGATGCCAAAACAAACTGGATAGAGGGCTTTGCATTGTTGTGCTTCTACACCATGATAGTATGCATTTCAGTATCTTCAGTGCTTCAGTCCTCTGACCGTTTCATCGTCCCAAGGTGCTCTGTACCTGGTTCTACAGTGGCCAACCTGCCATCGCTAGCCTGCTTCTGTGTCCTGGCGAAACTGTGGAGGAATAGTGCCGACCTCAGCGTCAGGATTAAACTACCTCTTGAATGTATATACCATAATGATACGCTGATATCCTCTATGGACAACATCTAAGTTAGTCGTTACAAAAGGACTCCGGCTGCCAGGTAGCTACTGCTCTATTTGTGATCAGACGAGAGGTCGATCCAGCTGATTACCCGACACCTTCCTCCCCAAGTTCTCGACGGCGCGTTGAATAATAGCAGTTACCTCACTTCGAGTGTAATCGATCTCCATTTCTTGCGTGATGGCCTTCCGACCAACAAGAAATTTCTCACCTGTGGCCCCATGTCGTCCACGGGGATTTTCAGTGATGGAGTGTGTATGTAAAGCTTCGTTCCCCTGGGAAGAACTGAACGAACTGCGGGCGAGCCTGCCCTCGTCATTGGGTAAAGTGTCCAGAAGAGTGAGGATCCTCGCTGGAGGTATTGGATCTCCAAATGCAACTCCTAGCTTCACACCAAGTTTGGGAAAGAACTTGAAGGGAAATCGCCGACCTTCAGGCATTAACTTATCAAAGCCTGGCGGCCACGTGAAGTACGTGAGATACAGGAGGGCAAAAGACCTACCAGTTAGCCACATCGGTATTATGATCGGTAAAATATTGGCCTCTATTATGATGCGTGCACTGCAGAAAAATCCAGATGAATGGACTGGGAGCGGTTTTAGGTGGAAGTCCGACACGCACACACCCCATTTAAATCGCTGCAAGTGCGCTACACCGTTCACTTGGGGATAACGTGGGGGCTGGCAAACTTTGCCTTCTCCGAATAGATGAACCTAATTTATTTAAGCAACAGCCGTGGGTGGGGGAAAGACGTGGGACGCACCCAATGACCCTGGTTGAGCTTGTCTATTGCTGCATCTAGGGCGGGCTGGAAAATACCTTCTCCGCGGAAGGTTTCTATGACCTGACCGTTACGAAAGAAAGCAGAGAAGACACTTCCTGACCGGAGCGCGGGGTCAAAATTCGGGAGGGCCTCTAGGATATGCATCACCGTGAACTTACGGATTTGTGAACATGATGTCCGATGCGCCCAACGCCCACCGTATCGTACGTGGGTTCATATAGCATCTTGAAGGCAATACACCCCATGTGACAGGGTCGTCAAGGCTGATAGGACAAAGCGTGGGTGAAAGGTGCGGGAGAAGAGCAGTCCATACACACGTAGACAAATGATTGGAAACTACATACCCTCGAAATTGTGAGTGCAATTCAGCAAGGATGATGAGAATAGAAACCCACCGGTTATCAAACCCTGGCCTTTGCGCCTTGATTGGTCCTGGAGGGCATCTAAGAGCACAGGCAGGTTGCTGATGGTAATAGAACAGAGACCCGAATTGAGGAAGGCTTTGCAAGTGAGACCTGTGGCCGTGATGACTGCTGTGGACAGCAGTTGGGACATATATGCACTGGACAGCCACGTATCAGTACCTCAAGTCACAACGACAATGACAACTTCATCAGCAACCGCCTCGCGTCGAGTCCAGCGACATCGCGGAACAGAAGTCTGATAGATGTATTTGTCATGCTGACTAAGCCACGTCTAAGGCGGTATTAGTCCTCCAAAACCAACGCCCCAGATGCTACTCGTCCCCCGTTGACCTCACCCAGTCTGCCTCTGTCATCACGACGTGCGACGTTCAGCTTCGCCTCCTGGGTGCTGTGCGCCACTGCTGCCTAGCCACGTAACGGCTTCGTCATGTTCTCCATGTGTCTCTTCACCCTCCTCACTACCATCGTGCTACTATTCCTCTGTTCGCCAGCGGTGCGAAGGTCTCTCATAGCAGGTGACGACGCCCTTGACGCACACGAGGCTGGAATTGTTTTCGTCGCGTCTAGTACGTATTTTGAATTACCGTTACCGCTATCGTGCTCATTGTTCGCCCAGGGAACCCCATCAGGGAGACTGGTCCTCCCGCATGTATGGCAAAATTGATAATGCTAAGACATAAAGTGAGCCTGGACCCAATGCTTCCTTTTCACGACGTCGAACTCTCCCCCATAGATGCAGACTAGCACACACAAGCGCAGAACTCCCGTACGCCAGCCACGAAATTTCGCACTTAATCAACCTCCACGTCCTCGTGCCTCCTGGGTGCGGTTGGGTAGACCGTTTGGAGGGAAAAACTACCACTGAAGTCAATTTGTCAATCCATCTAACGACCAAGCTCTCCGAGATTTCTCGGGTTGGCTATTTATCACGGCGATACCCTCTCATTCTACCTTTTTTTTTCTCCGTATCTTGTCGTAGAGATGCCTTTACTTTACAACATATTCGTATTATTTCCGCTTTGTTATATCTGGTTTGTTTCTTTGTGGGTTTTCGTTACATACATGCTGGAGGGGACGAAGAATACAAATGGAAATGTAGAAATTGTGCTAACCAAATCTACTACTCCTGTCGGACACCGCGGACAACATACTGGGCGCTTTCGACAACCTGCTGGTTCCAGCCCTTGGCTCATTATCGGCTCCGTTTGTCACTCTCGATCTCAAAGAGCCGCATCCACTCTTCACCTTTGCATGACCTGTGACGGCAGCCCCAGTTGCCGACCGACCCGTCCCATGGTGTCGGCCACCTTGATCTTTCGCCCATGATAACCATTGCTTTTGCTCCGAGTCGTTTTCGATGGATCGTTTTGGTGCCTATAATGTTGTATCCAGAGGATCTTCTCAGTGTCTCGAATTACAAGACTCACCTCTACATCGAAGTCGACGTTGCCATGATTTGGCCGGCGCGAAGTTCTGGTCGGGCGTGACATGACTTTGACTCTAACACCCACTGGGTCATCTGCGGTTGGCTCGTCAATCCAGTCTGTATTCGTAGGATCAAGTGGTTTAACCGCCTGTAGAATACGTGTCAAACTTTCCGCCGGACAATCCAACGCCGAATTCTTACCGATGGGTTTCTAGCAGCCTCCCGCACGCGCTCGAGTACTTCAGAGACTGAAATTGATTCTGGCTCGGGCTCGTCGTCGTCGTCACTCTCGTTTGTGGGAGCGTCACGTAGATGTTTGAATTCGTCATCCCCGTCATCTACCAAGTCGTGGTGGTATGTATTGTAGAATGCCCTCGTTTCCTCGCTTTGACCTGTCGAGGAGCGGGAGCAAGGTATAAGCTACGACGAAAAAAAGAGATAATATTCCAACCTAAGGCTTCAAGATTATCACCATCGATCTTGCGCTTCTTGTTTACTCGCTGCCGAATCTTTCGGTCTGCCTCATCGTCCTCATCATCGCTGTCTTCGTCCAAGTTTAACCCACGACCCAGGCGCTTCTTTCGGTATTTTCCTTCAACAACTTCTTGGTGGAACCTCTCGCGTCTTTGATCATCTTCCGCCTCGTGTTCTCTGGCAGAATGTGTTCAGCCGTCAGCACATTCCACTTTACTCGGTACACACCTGAACTTCTCCTGGACAAGATCGGGTCGCTCCATTTCCGCGTCCATCACGGTATCATCTACAAGCCCTTCCACCATTTTAGCTTCATCTTCCCCGTCCTCCTCCTCGTCATCCTTCTTGGGACCGCCAAAGCCGAACATATCGTCTTCATCCGACTCTTCTGCTTCTGCTGCCACAAACTCGGAATCCTTTAGCTTTTCCTTCGGTACTTTCGGCCTTTTCGAGGCGTTGCCCAGAACATCCAAGGTATTGACCTTGGGTGGATATGCCATTATGGATGCTGGCTCACGGTAAGTAGGGTTAGCCGTAGGTGGCAGAGGGGATGCACTGCGTCGTCTTAGTCGCCTCAGTGGCTGACGTCCGGGAGAGTCTGGAGTAGCCGTGAACGACAATGTACCAAGTGGTACGCGCTCTGCTGTTCGTTGCGTCGCATCCACCTGCTGGGTCCCGATATACCTAGAAATCTGTGAAGGTGTCATATGATACACCTGAGGACTTTCGCCCTCGGGTCGAGTCTGGGTGAGGAATCTTGACTGTCATCAGCAGCTGCAGCGGTTTAACGTCTTCACTACTTCTTACCCATGGTCATTGACATACAACACCTCTTTCGGTTTTTGCTCCTTCTGCGCGGCAGCCACCACATATTCTTGTTCTTTCTCGAATATCATGTCGGCCTTGTGGCGAAGTGTGCTGCTGACTTCTAGGGCTGGTTGAAATCCCACATCAAGGGTCAAAGATAACTCATTTCTGCTTGGACTAGGGACCTTCCGAGGACCTGCGTCATCATCCTGTACATAATGAAAGATCATGAACTTTTTTTCAAGCCTCCAGGGAAAGTAGAGAAACTGACAGAGAAAAGCTGCGACAATCCACGGTTAGCAGCATTGAAGGGCATGAGACAGGCTTCAGGGCTGCGTTTCACTGATGTTTCCACGAGGGATAACAGGAGAGGTTGGGGTTTGAAACCAGGTGGATCGTTTTCATCGTTCCCTCCTTCGGAAGAGATCAGACTGTGCCTCCAGAAACGTTCACTTCGCAGACTTGCAGGTGAACCTAGACCTCCCTTCGGGGATGATATTGTCCGAGGTGGCGTCGATGGCCCACTCCGAAGGAGGCATTCTGTGAATGAATTTCTTGACGCAGATGCAGGCTGCAAAAATGGATCGTCGTCCTCCCTTGGCAGCTCCTTCAACGGTGTTCTTATGATTTCTTCCTTCTGCGAGGCCACCATGTGGTCGTAATTGGCTGGAGAAATGACCGACGGGCTACGCTGGACACCACCTTCGAGGGAAAAGAGTGGTCCCACTCGCAAACCCAGAACTGGCCGTGTCGATACGGGCGAATGCCGGACGACTGCCTTATTCTCCTTGTCTTCGCTACGATCGAACATGAGTTTAGTATTGTTTTCCTTGTCATTCTCATCCTCTGTCTGCGAACCAGTGGAAGAGGCAAACCCACGATTTTGAGGCGCGTCCTGGCCAACAACCTCCGACGTGGATGTGCCGGACTGCTCGGGTCGCACGTTATCCTCATCATCGGAGCCGAGAACCATCCTCGTAGACTTGCGTAACCCAGACTGACGTCTTAAGGGTGCTACATTTTCCTCGTCGTCCGTTAGCTGCGCGCTCTGGTCCGAAACTGTCATGGAATGCTCCTCTCTGTCACTGTCAGTGTCGCCTTCAGCTTTCACTGCTAGTTCAGCGTTCGGGGAACCTCGAATGCTGGGAACATAATCGCCATCACTTTCATCATCACCCACTCCACTGTCCATTGCCTCTGCCTCCTCTGCTGCGTTGAGTGCTCTGTGCGCGTAAGTTTCCACCGCTTGCGAGAGCGACGCTTGGGTGGTGTTACTTTCGCCTTCTCGAAGGACACGACCCCCCTTCTGAATCCACTCTTCCTCCCGCTGCTTAATGAGCCTCAACTTTTCCTGTTCGTGTTGTCGCATCATCATGCGGTCAAGTTCTTGCTTGCGCAGCCCCTCTTTATCAGCCTTACTGTCGCGGGCGAAGACAGGCTTCGCCAAGTGTTTCAATTGTTGCTCGGAGAAGATTGGCAGTGAAGTTCGTTTTAAGCCGCTGCCGCATACTTTTGAGATACCTTTGCGTCCCATTGCCATGGCCAGGACCTTCATCTTGACAGGACTTCGTTGAGATTTGTCTGCTCTCCGCTTCGCCACTGCTTCGCGTGCGACCGAGTGCATGTCGTCTTTTACAATTTCCAGGTCGTCGTCCTCTTCAGTGGCATTTGAGGAACCAGTTCGGCTTTTTAAAAGGGCCAATTTCTTTGCCTGGAGACTCTGTCGTAGCTCTTCCACTTTGGGCTTGTCCTGTTCTTGTCGGATGATGTGTCCAATAGGAGGCATATCCTCGTCAGAGGACTCCGCAGGATTGGCAAGCCCTTGACCATCTGCATGGCTACCCGTACCTGGAACGGAGTCTGCCAAAAGGCGCGTCGGTCTGCCAAACAAGCCTCCATTGTTCAAGGGATTGGAGGAGGGTGAAGAGAACTTTTCGATGGGATCCGAGGGTAGCTCTGCTGGGAGGGTCGTATTTGGGATGCGTGTGCCAGGATTCGCATGCCTTGAAAGACCAGCGTGAGCTCGATGAAAATGACACGACGCAAAAGATCATACTGGACGCGTGCAAAAAATGAAGCCTTTGTGTACTTCGCTTGATCGGTGCGAGGAACCTCAACTGGACGACTGGCAGCAATGCGCGACGATTCTATAGCAGCCTCGCGGCACGCTTTCTTCGTTGGTGCCTGTCATCAATTAATCAACGAATAGCACGTGGCAAATATATGAACAAGTGAATCACCTTTGTTTTGATGCGATGCCCGGAGCTTTCTCGTCGCTTTCCTTTGCTTTCTGGCCCGGAGAACAGGCTCGTAGATAGACCTTCACTATTAAATCGTAGTGGTGGAACGCTTCGAACGGGTGCTTTGCCCTTGGCTTTACTGCTCTTCTTCGTTGTCGGCATCTCAATCTCGGAAGTGGGTGGCGTCGGCGGGGAGTGCAAGTGCGGCGTATTAAGGCTATGACGGACTAGGGGAAACAGAAGATGAATTACTTGGAGGGTCTGACTCCGAGTCCGATACCGCTGGGTGTTTTGCGCGTCCTTTGACTAGTCTGGAAATGATGGGGGAATTGTCAAGGGAACTTGTTGTGGCATTGGGAGGCGATGGCCTTAGAGGCGACAATGAGCCACTGGATGGATCCTCGGACGTAAGCGCCTTTTCATGAGGTAGAGACGTGGTGTCCGGCGCATCCATGACACTCCGCACATCCATCTGAAGAGAAAGAGGAACTTCAGCGGCTTCTGGGAAAGCCGGGAACGATTTGGAACGTGGAATCTGAGGGAGTGGCTCATCGTGATTGTCAAATCCCTCGTCAATTTCCTTCATCTGGCGCCTAAAGTGGAACTGGAAGTGCGACGTGGCTCCGGGGTCGTCCGATTCCTCATCGGATGAGGCATTCGACAGGCATTGCGACTGCCCGTTTGGTTGTGGAAGGTACTGTCCTGCCCACAGCGCTGTCCTGAGTGTGAGACGAGGCGGACAACCACTCAGCAGCGGGTTCCGCAGTTGATGGGTGAGCGGCGGTGTCGCGCTGAACCTGCTCTGGTTCTGCGTTCTTGCGCTTGCCGTAGACGAACGTGGTGCGCTTTATGGGTTGCGCCATGGGTTCTGACGTGTCTTTCGTGGTATTGTCTGCTCCGCCCATGTCGCAGGAGGTAGAAGAAGAGCTGGCGACCCCCAGACCAATAGCCAGGGCAACAAGTACGTCCTTCGGGATGATGGCAAGCGTGACATCCCACGATGTGACAACCACACCAGACGCGTCGCGACGCGTCAACTCAATTTACGATAACGTGACCTGTGCTCAACTCACGTCTGTCCATGTCGGACATACGTAGATGCTATCGACAAGGGCGCGTATCTCAGACGCCGTTCTTCGTGATGGCCCGCGTGAAAGACACAGGCGGGGAAGGGTGTGGTCCGGGTAAATGTCCTGTCAAAAGTGGAACAACGGGCTAAACATCCAAGCGAACGTCCCACTAGTTGTTGCGGAGATAAACCAAATGGGACTAGCAATTATCCGACATCCTCGTCTCATGGAGGTGGGCAAAAATCTAATCACGTCGGCCGCGCAAACACCAGAGACACCCAAACAGCATCGCACCACGATGCAATACTTCTCTGACCTGCCCTTCTTAAGATCTTGAGACTGCGTGACTACTCGACGGAAATGTACTGAGACCGCTGGAATGCCACATCCACCCACGTTGCGCTGTAAGAAGTGAGAGACCTACTAGGATTACGAGGGAGATAAGACCACCAGCCCGCTGGTGAGCGGGGAAGGGAAGACCCGAAATGGGAACTGACTGTACAGTATTTCAGCCACCGACCCGGCAACCTCCGTCCCACCACTGTACACCCTCTCGGGGACCAGGCCAAAATCTCGCAGCCCACCCCGTCTTCAAGACCCTCCCAAGATGAGGTGAGTATCGATCAATCAAATCTACGCCGCGACGAAGGATCTCATTGTGCACCGCGTTTTCTAGTCACCGTAAGGTTCGTTGGAATCGTCAGGCAATTATGTCCGCGTGCTCAAACTACCCGAACAGTACGAAGCCCCCCGCCACGGCTCTCTCGGATTCCTTCCTCGCAAACGTGCCGCTCGTCACCGCGGAAAGGTCAAATCGTTCCCCAAGGTATGTCTATTCTCAGAGACGCGCGAGGGGTTTTCGATCTTGATTTTTTATTTATTAGGATGACCCTAAAAAACCCGTCCACTTGACCGCCTTCATGGGCTACAAGGCTGGTATGACCCATATCGTCCGCGAGCTCGACCGTCCAGGATCCAGTATGTCGCGATTCTTCCCTTTGAAATTCCTATTGACTTGTTTCGCAGAGATGCACAAGCGCGAGATTGTGGAGGCAGTTACGATTGTCGAGACTCCACCAATGATTGTCGTTGGTGTTGTCGGTTACGTCGAAACTCCCCGCGGTCTCCGCACGCTCACCACCGTTTGGACTTCCCACCTATCAGACGCAGTTAAGCGTCGGTTCTACAAGAACTGGTACCGCTCGAAGAAGAAGGCGTTCACTCGCTACGCCAAGAAGCACGCCGAGGACGGTGGCAAGTCCACGGCTCGCGAACTCGAGCGTATCCGCAAATACTGCACTGTCGTCCGTGTCCTCGCACACACTCAAATTCGCTTGACGGGTCTCAGCCAGAAGAAAGCACACCTTATGGAGATCCAGGTTAACGGTGGTTCGATCGCCGACAAGGTCGACTTTGCATACGGCCTCTTCGAGAAGCCGGTCGAGATCCCTACCGTCTTCGAGCAGAACGAGTGTATTGATGTTATCGCTGTCACCAAGGGTCACGGTTTCGAGGGTGTTACCCACCGTTGGGGTACCAAGAAGCTTCCTCGCAAGACTCACAAGGGTCTTCGCAAAGTTGCTTGTATTGGTGCATGGCATCCTTCCAAGGTCATGTTCTCTGTTGCCCGTGCTGGTCAACGTATGTGTTCAATGTGTTGATCCGGGATGGCAACTAACCCAACGAATCACGCAGACGGCTACCACCACCGCACTGAGATAAACAAGAAAATCTACCGCATTGGCCGGGGCGACGATGATGCTAACGCGTCGACGGAGTCGGATGTCACGAAGAAGTTGATTACACCCATGGGTGGTTTCCCCCATTATGGTATTGTAAAGAACGACTTCTTGATGCTCAAGGGTGCGATCCCCGGTACCAAGAAACGTGTCATCACCCTCCGCAAGTCTCTCATGGTTCACACCTCCCGCCGGGATCTCGAAAAAATCGATCTCAAGTTCATCGACACGTCCTCGAAGTTCGGTGTAAGGAATACCATCCTATCATGGGAGTCTTGTTCGCTCACGCGTTTGCAATATAGCACGGTTCCTTCCAAACCCCTGCAGAAAAAGCTGCGTTCCTGGGGACGCTCAAGCCCCGGGCTTAGTCGCACCACATCCGTACTTAGGTTTTATATGTTCTGCTATGCTTCGGTTCACTTTCTATGCAACGTAGTCCTACGTACCACCAATGCCATTACTTTCCGCATGCACAATACGTAAATTTGTAGGATGGAGTGTGAAACCATGAATACTTTTGAAGCAACGATAGAGTCGGCGGCCGATTTTTCTCGCTTTTGCAATGTTTTTGCAGGCTTAGTAGCGCTCTGTACCATTGGGTCCATCAACGTTTCAACACTAGCAGTCAGTGCCAGTCGCGGTAGGTTCTACGAGTTGATACCTACGTCTCATTCAACTCAATCACGACACAAGGATGACTGCACTGGATAGTTATGCTTGCAGGGTCCAAGCTGGGCCTAGGATGTTTTGTGTGGAGTCTGCCTCGTCCAGCGCAACGACGCTGCCTCACATCATGCAAGTTCACCCGGTGCGTGCAAACATCCGCGAGGGAGGTAATCCGACGGGCGAAGGGCAAGGGGGCTGTAGCCGTGCACGACGAACGCTATCTTGTGGACGGGGCCGAGATAACGGGCACTGGCCACACGGCTCCACCGACATGGATGTACAAGTCGAACAAATTCACTTCCAAGACTCGTACAGCGGCTGCAAAGCGCCGTCTTGGGGACGAAAACGCCGAATATCGTTGCGCTGGCGGTGTTTCGCACTCGTATACCCACCGTGGTCGCCAAAAGCTCCCGGTCCCAACCCAAAGTCCACAAGGGTATCAAGCAGCCCCGAGAGACAAGCGACTCGAACAACGACTCCATGTCTTGCTCACTGCGCCAACCATTCCCAACGCGTGGACAGCCTACCAATATCTCATAACCAACTATCCATACAATCCCCTCCAGAAGCCCGTCATACCATATGGTCACCTCCATCGCCTAGCTGCACGCCTCGCGTCTGTCAAGCCTCGAACACGCACCCTGTACCTTCAGTTGTCATCTGTCCTTGCAACCCTCCACAGGACAGGCGGTCGCATTTTCGTATGGGAATGGAACGCGTTGATCGATTGTGCGGGAAAGCAGTGGAGGAAAACGAGCATTGCAGACTACAGAACTGCATTAGATATTTTCAATGACATGAAGACGCTACCATGTCTGCCAGAACACTCAGCCTCCGATGATCCCTTCTCCAACAGCTCTCCTTCACAGCCTTCATTCCCCACTGCGTCTTGGTCTCCAGTAAAGCCGGATATTACGACTTATACCACTCTATTGTCTATTGCCGCTCGCTCCAAACAGGACGTTGCCGTCCGCCATGCCTCAAAACTGTTGCGAATGTCGGACTTCTCGCCCACCCGATTTACCTACTTAACCCTGCTTAGTTTCTACGCCCGTACCAACCAGTTGTCCGAGGTCCGATCCACACTACAGAAGATGAAACAGCAGGGCGTGGAGGTCGGTATGATAGGGCTCAACACCTGCATTTGGGCATTCGCAAATAACGGCCGCATGGACATCGCTTGCATGATTTATCGCGTACTCCGTTATAATGTTGTGCGAGAGACCGGCTCCATGGCGGACGACGTTGCCGCAGCTGCTCGCCATCTGAGGGACGCGGAACACCTCGACATCCCACCTGGCTTCTCACCAAACCGGGCCGTTTATACGTCTATGATCCAGTGCTCCGCGTACCGAGGAAATATGGTCCAAGCATTGCATGTCTTCGCGGATATGCTATCGATGCCGTCACGTCATCTACCATCCATGGCAGCCTTTCGTGCAATCTTCCTTGGGTTTTACCGACATGGACGCAGACTCGGACCAACGAAGTTCACGGACGGTCTGACTACACAAGAGCAGCGACATCTGCCGGAGCTATCAGCCTGGAATCTCGATAATCTTACGCTAGTTTTCAAGGCATTCATGGATCTCCCGAAAGGCATCAAAGCAAATGGGCGACTTCTGTATTGGATCATTGTCGCTTTTGGGAGGTTGAGTGGGAATGACCCAGTGGTATTGCGTAATGTATGGGAGCAGCTGGAGGGCAAGTACGGTCGAGGCTGGGATGGCCGGCTGGAACGTATAGGAAGGGCAATTTATTCCTCCCAGGCGATAGACAGGAAAGACCGAGCGTGATGCAGTTACAGTAAAGTGGCATTCTTTCTAGAGAGTACAGCACATACACCTTTCCCGTTAATCAATACAATTGTGAAGAGATAGTCCAAAATGACTGGATGGGGGACATTATTGGCGTTAGATCGTTTCATCTCCGTTGTTTCTTCGCCACTGAACAAAGTCATCCCAGTCCACTGTGCATTTCGCACTCTGATATCTGCGAAGTCTGACACTCCGTCGCGTGTCTTCTGAGATTGGTCCTGCCCAGCCAGCTTTACGCATTGCACTTTCAACAGCTTCTATCTTGTCCCAACCCTGGGCGGGTATCACGTCCGGCAGATATGTGGCCGTCAAGGTCCGTCTGGAAGTAAAGCGTGGGAGAAACGAGGAAGAGGAGAAAGGTGACGAGGCGGAGGACGATGACCGGGACGTCGGGTATAATGCAGGATCTGGAAAAGTGATATATATGCCATGTGTGCCAATCGTCCAATCAAGATAGGACGAAGCGTCCTCGAAATTGGTCAACAATGAGACGCTGTGAAATGATATGATTACAAGCGTGTGAGCGAGAAGCACGAATAGTGTAGTTGACACCCGCTCACGGATATCGAAATGAAAGGGAAGGACCAACCAGCATTCGAGGAAGGATAGTTCCTTCTCCTCTATTCGACTGAACCGACTATCCTTGAAAGCGCTGATTAGGGCGTATTCGGCAATGCCATCTCGCAAAGGAAGCGGCTCAAAGTTTCCAATACAGCCCCGGAGCCTGGGTGCACGGCCGGGGCGAGATGACTTTGTATTCCAGGTCACAAAGAGTGGGCTGACAGCGGGTGAGCAAGTATGTACCGAGGGTTGGCACGCGGCACGTACAACTTCTCGTCTGGAAAGTCAGGGGGAATGGGTGCGCTGTCTGTCAGCGCACAGTACAGGGCATCGAATGCATGGAAGCAGTGCGCTTGGGTGCAGATGTTATCGTCCTCGACGGTGGTCTCGCCTGCCTCAGGCAGGAGGGACATGGCAGTAGGGGGCAAGAGAGGGGCACCCCAATAATGACTGATCTGCCTTATCGGGCTTGTCCACCTCTAATATCACACCATCACCGTGCCAGATTTGAAAGTTGCTGGGAGTCCAGAAGTGACTATGGACATATCTACTTAATGTAATGAATATGGTATGAAAGGATAAGTCAAGTCAATAATGGTAGACGGCAAAAATGAACAGGTTGGGCGTAGATGTCAATGTAACCTAGGACTCGTAGTAGACATAGCGGCTTGTGTGTGGGAGGACAAATAGAGGAAGACAGCATGAGTTATTAATGATATGAACAGGACGGAAGATGACAGCGGGGATGCGGGCCGAACTGCCGTGACAGCTTCATCACGAAGAACAGCAGCTCCATCCCCCAGAGACACGCATCTTCTCCAGGGCCTCGTCTCCACCCTGGCCATCGCAGGTAGGCGTGCTCGTAGGCGATAAGAAAACACTGTCCCGCTTCTTGAGCTCGTTCTCGTGGTCGATGGCATCCCGTCTCTCTATGATTGCAGCGATAAGCGAATCAAAGAGCGTTTGGATCCCTAACAGAGCTGTCAGTTGCCACGAAACCAAACTACTATGAAATCCGACAGTTACCGAGATCGTCTTTGGCGGAGACTTCGAAGAGTTCCATGCCCTTCTCAAGGCCCCATTCTTGGTCATCTTCAAACTCTTCGTCCTCAGGGAGACTGTTGCTGCTTGTCTCGGTCGCATCATTCCAATTCCCCCCATATCTTCCGAAATGGGAACCATATCGGGATTGATCAGATCTCGCCGTTTCGACAACGGTCCGCGATCTGTGGAGAGATGTTGCCTTGGACTTGTGTTGCGATAATCCACCAGTAGTTTTAGAACGAGAGAACCCGACACTACTGTGTTGCAATGCTGGCGTTGTGCTGACTGCAGGATCAAGATAAGAAGCACTGTGTGGTGGGGAGGATTTGGTGGGAGTGTTGTTGAGGGGAACGGATCGGATACTGGTGAAGGATGTGAACCTCGGGCGGATGTAGGGGAATGTAGATGAAGGCGGTGGGGGAGGCGGTGGGGATGGTGGCCTTGGAGGAGGGAACCAATTATGTAGAGAGAGGCGTGCAAGGTCTGACGTGACCTGACGTTGCCGGTGTAGGTCGGCTTTGGATCCAACAATATAGATGATAAGGTCCGGAGAACAATTCTTCTTCAATTCTGTAGGACAAGGGAGCTGAGCAGGCCTAACCTGGGGGAGAGGCAAGACGCACCTTCCAACCAGCCCCGTACATCATCAAAAGAGGCAGCGTTCGTGATATCGTACAAGAGGAGGGCAGCGTTGGCTCCTCGATAATACATTGGGGCCTGATTGAGATTGGGTTAGAGGCCGAGAGCCAAAGGAACAAGTACGTGGAGACTGGGTGCTCACCATGCTTCGGAATCGCTCCTGGCCCGCAGTGTCCCACAGTTGTAGAGAGACCTTCAACCCGTCAACATAGACTTTCTTGGTGACGAAGAAAGCCCCGGTGGTGGATGTCATATTCCTGGGATCAAACCTGTTTTGAGTGTACCGGAAGAGGAGGCTGGTCTTGCCAACACCTATGGAGGATGAGAGGATGAAGTGACGGTGTGAATGGGTTATGATTGCTGTAGGCGCAATGCAGACAAACCCGTGTTGCCCATGACCACTATTTTTGCGTCTATCCCATGGTGTTCGTACCTGGACCTTTTGTAAGGGTCCATAGGAGGATAGTCCGCCATCCAGGACGACGTCGACGGTAAGGAGAGAATGCCACCGAGGGCGAGTAGTGAGAGGGGGGAACGAAAGACAGCAACGGAGTGCAACCAAAACTTTGAGCAAGTGAGACCAACTAGGAAAGTTCTGACGCGACCCCCGCGACTCACGTGCCTCAAGCCAACTACTCCTCAAATTAACAGTACTTTGGTATTTATCCCTGAGCTCGGCTTGCGAGCTATCCGGTACAGTACCGTCGGTGGTACAGCCCGTGCACGTTGCGACCTCCATTACTCGGGTGACTGCTGACTTGCTCCACAGCACAGCGCCTCTAGTTTTGATGCGCGTCATTGACGGTGGCGAGTTCCAACAGCCTATCCCATAAGTATCTTGGCAATTGGGACCCGAACACTCAGTTGTTGGCCGGAAGCAGATAATGAATTTACCTCCTATGTTAGGCTGGGATCCTGTGCCACCCTTTCAAATTAGCCACATGCCTGGGGTTCTCCTCGGCTCATCAGGCACGGGTCGGCTCACCCCTCGTCCCGTACAGAGCGCTGTCCGCTTATTCAGGCTTGTCATCCAGAAAGGGGCTCCCTCCCTGTCCTAGCGTCTCGCTACTGCATCAGGACAACCTAGGGGGTCTAGCATTAAAGAGACAGTGCTGTCATTCGCCACCTCTAGTCCGCTTGAACTCCTCCACCCAATTTTGCTCTACCTCGCCTTTCGGCAGGACTGCGAAGGTAAGATACCCATCTTTCAGTTCCAAACCATCCATCGGCTCCCCGGGTTTCTCCATCGCCACCCTACAGACATCTCCCAGCGTCATTTTCTTGCCGATTCTGAGAAGGCGTTTCCGACGCGTTATCGCGTATACTACCAAATTAGTTGCAGCGTACTCGTTCCTGAGGTCCCAGCTGGGTGGTGGTGCCTGGGGCGGGAACATCTGGGATAGGTGTGCTGAAAAGGCAGTGTCCTCCGCGAAGTCGGATATGACATCTGAGGTCGCATGCTGGGGATACTAGAAAGAATACCGGAAAGATCAACCTCGATTTACTAGTGTCTTCAGGGTCAAAATGTGGCGAGTAGGGGTTCGCTGACGTCCCTTGCGGACTCGTCATCCGATACAAGTGTCTCTCCTACATTCTGATCCGTCAACACGTGGTTTTCAGTCAATAGGGGATTTCTTGCCTCGAGGGCTGCTTGTAGCGCACGCTCTTCGTCTCGTTCCTTTCGTAAATGGTCTTCCTTTTCTCGTTGCTTACGATCCCGTCTCCGCTTTGGCCTTCGCTGCCCGGTCACGGACGCTTTTAACGCCTTGATTGTGTGTGTCGAACGACAGACATCTATCACAACAATCTAGCGCTTCCTCTGAGCGGTCCAAGCAAAGCAAAGCCACGGCTGAGCGATAGTATGCTTTCGATGACTCTGGGTTGATGTTCAACACCCTCGAGCAGTCGCGTAGTACAGATCCGTAATTCTCTGACTACGTTCAACAGCACTTGTTAAACCAGAATTTGTCCAGGTCACGTACGAAGTTCCAGATTACAAGCTGCGCGATTGCATAGAAGACCCTCTAGGAGTGCATTGTCCGTTGGTTTCGCATCGATTCCCTGCGTGTAAAATCCCATGGCTTCGCGATACCTTTTCCCCTTAAAATAGTCGTTCCCCTGTTCCTTGAAATTTTGGGCAATCTCTTGCCGGGTAAATTGGAAGCTCGTGAGGTAAGTCTAAGGGCAGTAGGAGCCGTAGTACCAACCATCAGGGCGTCCCCTCGTGCGCCAGACTCTGCAAGCGCTTGCACCGCAACGTCATCCGTGCTATCAGTGGGGAGTGACTTCATGAACAGCGGCAAGTTTTCTACCGCCGCCATCTTCCTGTCGAAATCCTCCCGTGGAGCCTCATCCGGGCCTATGAACGCCATCTCAATTGTTGATCTCTGTCCGTGCCACTGTCAAGCCGCAGGATCGCTTTGTCCGACCTCCGTGGTCGATCCGGAGATGACTGAGGCGGGTGGCTGCAGGGAACCAGTCGTAGCAGGATCTAATTGAATTATCTAATCACTTATTATCGATTCAATACATAATGTATTAGTGCTGCCCCAATACTGCAGTGGTGCGCACTTCATGTCTGCTTCACGAATACGCGGTTTGACTGCCGCATTGAATTCGGCAGGAAAGCACAAGTACAAGGTTTGTGCCCGTAGCTGTCGTGACTTCCTACCAACAGTTCGTACCAGAGTCCCGACGGAGCTGTTGACTTTCTGGTTGTCGGAGGTGGTACGAACCATCATCCGCATCTCTACACAGTTCATCGCCGTGGATAAGCCATTTTTGTAGGCGTCGTGGGCTTGGCTGTTGCCCAGAGATTGGTGGAACGCTTTCCGGACAAGTCCACATATCTTGTTGAAAGACACGGGGGTGCCGGGGAAGAGACAAGGTGTGCACCAGGGTAATGTCTCGACAAAATGCTACACATTTAACGCTTCACTCAGCTCCCGCAACTCAGAAGTTATACATGCGGGTAACCAGCCGCTGATGGTGATACTTTCGACTTTAACTAACCAAATGCTACAGGACTTTATTATCCAGCGGATTCACTCAAGACACAGCTATGCCTGCGGGGCAGACATCTCATGTATGACCGATGTCAGCGCCATAATATCCCACATTTGAAGACAGGAAAACTCGTAGTCGCACACGAGGGTCAACGCCCATACGTAGAAGGCCTTTACGAGAAGTCCCGTCAACTTGGGTGGCCAAAACACTTCACACAACACTCCCGCAATGGTGCAGTCCTTCCTACCAGACTTATCACTGGGGACGAAGCCCGCGTGCTAGAACCTGACCTCTCCAAAGACATAACCACCGCCCTTTGGAGCCCAGAAACTGGCATCGTAGACTCCCATGCGCTCATGGAAAGCCTCGAGAAAGATATTACGGAGTCGACAGGGGGCGAACTTGTGTATTCCACACGTGTGGTCCGCGTCGACCCCCACAACAAGAGGGAGGTGTCGTCTGCATCGACCAGTGCACAAGATGGCTGGGTTGTACAAACCACGACGGGTGACGCACGAGATGGAGACGCGCTCTTCGCGAAAACCCTTATCAACGCGTCAGGCCTATCAGCCACCCTCATACTGAACTCACTTCTCTTCGAATCTTCCCGCATTCCAATGTACTTTGCCCGTGGGTCATACGCAGCGTACAGGGGTCCGGGTGTGTCGAACATTAAACACCTCATATACCCTTGCGCACAGACTGGACCGAACATACATGCATTCCAATCCCTCGGAACTCATCTCACCCTGGATATGCGTGGCAATGTACGCTTCGGACCAGACTTGGAGTGGATATCACCACCGTCCAGTTCGGCCGACGATGTTTCTGACGAAGCCCACGCAGACTTCTGGACCAAATATCTGGTACCAGACGAATCCAGGCTAGAGGACATGCATGGTGCGGTGACCAAGTATTTGCCGAATGTCCAGAAGAAGAATTTCAGGCCGGACTACGTTGGCATCCGTCCTAAGCTCGTGGTTTCAGGATTTCAAGACTTTGTCATCCGCAAAGACTATGCGGACGGCATCGGCAGCGGATTGATGGTCAGTCTGATGGGTATTGAGAGTCCAGGTCTCACCTCCTGCCTGGCCATTGCAGAGCATGTGACCGAGGACATCATTGCCCGGGAGCAAAACGACTCGTAGAAATAAAGTATATTACGATCTAGAGGATACCACTGCATTGTGATCCGTCAGAATCTCGCTCATCAACCCCGAACCATGACCTTTGGCTCCCATGCACTGATTTTAGGCGCAGCGGTGTTGTACGGGCGATACGCACCGCGTGTGCCAGTTAAATTTTCTACCCATGGCTATAACGACAGTTCGAGTCGGGGGTCAACCGGTTGCACAGTACAAGGGTACATACCGCCTTCCAGGGTGGTGATAAGTTCTGCATCACTTTGTCCTCAGTTGGTGGTAGCAAGCGAATGTGCTGCAGCCAAGAATGCCATTCCGCAGGGACTTGGGTTGCATTGTTGTAATGCTGTCGGAGGGCATCAGTGAGAAAGGGAGTGAGCGAGCTCCGGGAAGTTTGTTACGAACCTGCGCAAAGTCAACCCATCGGTGACGGCCTAGTGATACCATAAGTAGCGGTTTCTGAGAACATCCGACGACTCATGCGCACCAGGAATTTCGTCGTCGGGGTTCAGGTTCTCGTAGTATTTATTACCGAACCTGTCCACGCGTAGAGCAAGTCAACTTTGAGTATCCGGTAGTTTGTCAACGACTACTCTCACTGATCAGTCCCAACTAGAGCACCAGCCTTTGCGTCGCCAATGTTTTGCATTTGATGCCACCATTGCTTGATTCCTGTCCTACGAATATTCCGCACATATCGTATGAAGGAGACCATCGTCGGTGTGGGAGGAGAGGCGTATTTGTTTGTGTTTGGGCATCGCTGCCAGATCTGCTCACGCGGAAAAGGCAAATGTTGCGAGACGAAGGAATACATTCAGTGAAAGTACAGAACTGTTGTGGAAACACGCCAAATCATCCAGCGTCGAGTATTAAGGTAACATATGCTGAACACAATGTAGTGACAAGTGGAAATCCTGACAACGCACTGCGACCACCGGGGAGCTGACGATTAAATAGCACTACACCGATGCAAAAGAGGGATGAAACAAGAGGAAAGCAAGGAACGTGGGCGAAAAACGAATTGAACAACAGACTAAAACCATAAGCGATATCTCCGCACGACGCGTATCATTCGGCATACAGAACATGTTTAGCGGTGCGGTCCAGCCATTCCCGCAGGTCACCGTCGTTCTCGAGACCCACGAACTCGTTGCTAAGACTGTCGCGATACCGGAGAGTGGTGATATTTGCGCCAAGTCTCCCTTGAACCTTCTTCATCAGCTCAGAATGCGTGACTTTGGGGTGGACTCGGATCGCAATCAAGTCATCAGCGACAAATATCTTGATCCTCACGAATGCCGTCTGTGGATTCTCTGCGGATACAGGAGGAGCGTTCAGATTGGTGTTAGCTGCAGAGTGAGAACGGGTCCGTGATGAGGGTTGGGAAGAGTGCATTGAAGACGGTGGTGAGGGTTTGTAGTCGGGTAGGTGAGAATCCGAAGACACCGACCCACGCGATGCCCCATTTTCATGGAAGCCACCCACGGGAGAAGCTTGTGCTTGTGAGCCATTGCGGTGGATGGATGTCAGTGTGGTAGAACGCTGGTGCCCAAGGTGATGAATGGAGTGAACCTGGGTTGGTGGCGTACGATCTTCACCATAATACGACCCATCACTGCGGTCGTCCCTGTCGGACAACCTGACGTCGCCAAGGGTGTGACGGACCTCTTCATCGAAGTCCTGGGTTACGGAGCAACCATCTGCAACCTCCTGATTTCCCCCCCCAGCAGCCAAGGCATCAAGCTCGCTATATCGAGGCTCGATTTCATGCTCGTAGTCACCCGGCTTTAAAGCGAGGAAGTCACGGATCAGTTGATGCTCTAATATGTACGGTGCTCCCATGGAGTTTAGCGCGCACAACTGGTGAAGGTAGGCGTCTAATTCCTCCCGTCGTGTGGCGGTCACTTGGTCATTCACTTCTGATGACGGTCCGGGCATGAAAGGCAAGATGCGGGGCGAAGGAGGCTCACGGCCAGCCTCGTGGGGGAATGTGTCCAAAAGATGCAATTGGAAGTCGTAGAAATCACGGTACGCACGGAAGAGGACGAGCTGCTTAGCCATCGGAAGTTCAGAAGACCCATCAGAAGCATAGGGTTGGAAGATGGCATCAACTCGGAACCAATACTCATTCAGTTCGAAGTGGAAAGAAACGACACTGGCTGAAAGGAGGATACCATCCGGGAGGGGTGTGGTAGATGAAGTCTGAGCAGGTTGCGAAGCCGATGGGGAGGTTGCGTATGGGCTATTCGTGACCGAAGACTTTGGTTCTTCGATTACCCCCAGTGCAATGGAGCTCTGTTTGTAGTTAATCATCGCCCGCTTCCAATCCTCGACCTCGGGAAGGTCTCCGCGATCGATCAGGGCGTTCATGTCGAGAATAGGAATATTCGTTACAGGATCTCGCACTTGCACGAAGGTAGCAGGAATCAAACCCGGTCGACCAAGCCTACCAATCGGCTTGGCAACGAACCATTCACGGTTTGAGTGAGCAACAACTGAGATCGGATCACCTGCTTTCGCGTCGAGTTCGTCTGTGCGTTCTGCAGTGAAGTCATGGATCACGATAGCATAGAAAACGCTAGTTTTTTGGGTTCCCGGGGATTTAGGCGGTCCTAATGGGCTGACTGGACTGCTGGGGCCGACACTGATGTGAGAAGAGCGCATTCTATCGCAAGATGCATGAGGCGGTGAAGAACGGAACACAAGTAGGAGAGGGGAGTGGCTTACGGGTTGGGGCTCTTGCAGAATTCCTCGAACATGTTCTTAGGAACAAGTCCTCGAGCACCTGTGACAGGATTGTGGGCCTCATACCAAGGTCCGTAATTGTCCGGATCGCCAGTGACATAAAAGAAATCGCCCTTTGAGAAGGGCAGCTGAGTAGGCGCGGATGGCCTATGCGAATTGATTGCACGAATGACTTTCTGCGGCGGCAGGGAGGCAGAGAGAGGTTTAGATATGGAAGGCAAAGGCAGCGGGGTGGAGATCTGAAGACGGTGAACATCCTTGTTCCCGTTGAGGGACTTTCGTAGCGACTTCATCATTAACGCAGCATAAACGAGGGGATCTGGGGACGCTGGCTGAGTGGAAGCAAGCGAGCGGACGGGCACAACTGAAAACAGATTTACTGTATGAAGGCTACTTATTATTATCATGGATAGTTCTCGCATTTCTTTCCCACGATAATGAAACATCTCTCTCCCTTATTGTCATGTCAGACACGTCAGATAGACTCTCTCGTTCCCATCTTCAAACATGTACCTCGACATCCCGCTCATGTAGACTCCCCGTCCTGCAAAGGAAACTTGGGAAATAAAAAAAAAAAAAAAGAAAAGAAAGGAGTCGGTGATCACACGTGGTTGTTACATAATCTACAAACAAACATCAACAACGGACCACTGTCTGGTCGATTGTGCTATTTGGAATCTGCCATCGAGTGATATTTCAACCACTGCTGTATTTTCGCGTCTCATTCGTTATGGCAGCAAGGAAACTACAAAGTATATTCGGCCTCTTTCAGCCTCTTTACTCGCGCTCTGACCGTCCCCCCTCTAGCCGAAATCGACCGCACATTAAAGAAGGTTGCTGAGGGTGTCGAGTTGTTTGAGAGCATCTACGAGAAGATGCAGTCCTCAACAAACCAAACACAGAAGGAGAAACTGGAGACTGACCTGAAGACGCAAATAAAGAAACTTCAGCGCCTACGAGACCAAATCAAATCATGGGTAGCATCCAACGACATAAAGGACAAGTCAGCGCTACTGGAGAACAGAAGACTGATAGAAACCGTGCGTGTTTCTGCCCCCTACTCCGTGCTTTTTTGCCCGTGCACCCTCGGATCTTGGTCCGGGCCCATCTTAGGAACGGCGTACGTCTAACCCATCGTTTCTTACAGCAAATGGAGAAGTTCAAAGCATGCGAGAAGGAAATGAAGACAAAGGCTTTCTCTAAAGAGGGTTTGACGCAGTCCGCTAAGCTGGATCCAAAAGCGCAGGAGAAAATGGAGGTTACATCTTGGCTGCAGCAAACTGTCGAGGACCTCACCCTCCAGGTGGAGCAGGCAGAAGCAGAGATTGAAGCTCTCCATGGGAGCGGAAAGAAGAAGGGGAAGGGCCAGTCAGCGGCTTCAAGTCGATTAGAGGAGTTGGAACACTTGAACGAGCGGCGAAAATGGCATATCAACAGGCTGGAGCTCATCCTACGTCTCCTTGACAATGGCTCGTTATCAACAGAACAAGTGCTTGGTCTCAAAGAGGATGTCATCTACTTCGTCGAGAATAACATGGTTCGTCTTATTGCGACGTCATCCATATTGCGACCATTTAAGGGATTTTGGGGAACAGGAGGAAAACTTCGAGGACGATGAGGGCATATATGACGAGCTCAATTTAGGCGAGGAGGAAGAGAAATTCGGCCTAGCTAATGACGACGATGACGGTAGCGATGACTCTGAAAGTGCAAGCGAAGGTATACCTGCTATTTATCCGCGTGTTCACTTCCTTAGCTTTTCCCCAAAGACCACCCACAGCGTACGCCCAAGAAGCATGACAAAGACGATGAGAGTGTTTCAAATCCCAAACGAGAGGAAAGTCCTATACAAAAGAAGTCTGGCCTGCAGCTGCGAAGTAAGTAGGCTGTCTGTTATCCCAACGAGTGTTCACCTCCATTCTCCATATTCAAAGAACCCTCTATAGTGGCAGAAAGTAAGCATAGGCATATAATACTTCACGTGCTCATTCGCATGAGGCAGAAGCACCCAAGCCTCCGCCAAACCCAAATTTTGCGCAGCAACCGATGTCGAGCATTCTCAAGGTAGGGCTACCTTCGGCACCGCGTCCACCAGCTGCGCTTCCTGCTATTCGGTATGCCACTGCAGCTGCTGCCGCAGTATCGTCAGGACCCTCGGCAAGCGCACCGTCGGCGTCATCTGGTTCGCAAGCACCCTCAGGTGCCGTGTCGAGCTCTTTATCAGCAACACCGGCCACGCCAACAGCCCCATCAATAGTGCAGTCGACGTCCCAGAGCATGATACAAGATTCGCAGTTGACATCTTCTCCAAGTCTGACCCATCCATCTGTCACAAGCCCGATGTTGTCTTCTGCGTCTGCGTCGCATCAACCTGACGGCTCTTTCTACTCTGGACAAGACTCACCCGCAATATCCGAAGCCGTCCCAAGCTCAGTGAGTTGTCCACCAGCATCGTCATCACCACATCGTATGTATCACAAAGGTAAGTCGCGTCTACTGCTCGTTTTCAGTGTTAGGTGAGTGTCTCTTCAGATACTATTGCATCACCTGTCCTGTCCACGATTACCTCGGCTGTTGCGCAAGTATGTGTTCCTCTTATTTGGGTTTACGCTAATAACTCAAATACTTGTACGTACGCAGCAAGTGGCCTCATCGGAAACGCAACAACCTCCGCAGCAACAGCAGCCTCTGGCGAATGGATCATCTCAAGTGGGCCAAACACCTGCTGTACAACAGCCACAACCTGCTGCTCCATCTCCACTTCCTCAACAGGCGCAACAACTACTGTCGTCGGGCACTCCAACGACCAACAGTACACCATCAGTCATGCAACCACCGCAATATCCACCAGGAGTGCGGGTACCTCAATCGTTGGAGCAGCAACCAGCATTACAAAGTCAACAGGGACAACAGGCACCAGGCATGCAGAGACCTCCCTCGGCGGTCCCTTCCCATCCACAGGCACCCTCGCGACCCTCAGCATCTGCGTTTCCGGGTTCTTTGTCGGACCTTGTTGCATCATTCGAGACGGTTAAACAGAAGGGTGAGTCCTGTTGTGATACGCCATGTTAGGCTTCTGCTTATTTGTTGATAGCACCCCATCGTATGACTAATCTGGGCGAAGTGCACAAGCTCTTGGAAGGTGGCTACTCGAATGCGCCTCAACCCACGGACACCGAGCGGTTAGCCGACTCTCTCGGGGTTGAATGACGTTTAGCTCATCCTTTTTTTAGAGCCAAATATTACGTGCCGCGGTATCCGTTCAGTACGCCATCTTTCTATCCTCAGACGCCGCATCCAGTGGTCAGCTCGCCAGCACTGTTTCAACACATCGATGTGGAGACGCTATTCTATGTATTCTACTACTTGCCAGGCACCTACCAACAGTACGTTATCTGCCCTTCATTTCCTTCTCTTGCGCATTCCTGATCCGGAGACATAGATACCTCGCTGCAAGGGAACTGAAACGCCAATCCTGGCGATTCCACATCAAATACCTAACGTGGTTCCAGCGACACTCCGAACCACAGGCCATTACGGAGGAGTACGAGCAAGGAGTTTATGTATACTTCGACTGGGAAGGTTCATGGTGCCAGCGAAAGAAAAGCGACTTCCGCTTTGAGTACCGTTACCTTTCTGAGGATTAAACGCCTTTCTTTTTTTTTCTTTTCTCCCAGCTGCAGATCTCCCAGCAACCACCACAGACGTTGCGCCCTTCGTTTTCACTTTCCAAATGTGTTCTACCGTTCCAGTTCTTTTTTAACTATTGATCGCGCCCTCTCAATGTAATCACGGCGCAGGACGGTTTCTTTTTCCTTTTGCCAGTTATTGAATAGTCTTGCTGGGTAATCCAACGCCGGATTGGAAGGAAACTCAAATATATCTATGGTGCATGCGTGCGCGTCGTCAGTGTGGAGTGGTGGTCTACATTAGCATGATTATAATGGATTATTACTCGAGCTCCACCATCGCGCCCAAGGCCTCGAAAGTCTTCTTTAGCTTCTCCGCATCCTCTTTCGAGAGGTTTTCTTTCAAGACTTTGGGAACTGACTCCACAAATTTCTTCGCCTGTAGGTCGAGCGTAAGTAAGCACGAGCAGTTCGAACACACACGTGCACACAAGGGCACGTACGTCGATGAGCGTAAGATTTGGTACCAAGGCCTTCACTTCTCGAATGATCTTGGGCTTAGCACCGGCGTCGAAGGATTTGAGCATGACATTGAAGACTGTCTTCTCTTTGGGTTTCTCCTAGAAAACACATAGGCCATCAACTCTTGTATTCTCGAAATGCGAATGACTCGCCGTACCTCTGCTGGCGCCTCCTCCGCAGGTGCGACTGCCGCGGGTGCAGCAGCAGCGGGCATAGCAATTTCCTGGATATTCAACCTCGACTGTGTGAATGGTGCGTCAATTGGCGCGCGTCCGGGAGACGGGAAGTTTGTCAAAATATTCGTACCTTCAAAAGGGAAACGAGGTCGGCCGCTTGTAAAAGGGTGAGGGCAGAGATATCGTCCACTATCCTGGAAATTTTGGGGTCGGCGGTGATGGGTGGAGGAATTGAAGACGAAGCTTGTGTTGCTTCAGTTGCGAGCCATCTCAACCGACTTGCCAGGGATACAAGGCTGCGTGGTGAGGCAGTATTAGAGGAGACGTGGAGGAAGGACACACGAGCAGGCATGTGGGTGATTGCATACGAGAACGACTTACCGTGCAGAGGATGCTGTCCTGGATGCAGAGGCAACAACCGACAAGCAGCGACTCTAGCAGGAACGGCACATGTTCAGCGTGCAGGCTTCAGTGAAACGAAGTGCAGCTAAGGGGTACTTACTACCATGGCTTGAAGAATTTTTACAGTTAGTTTTCAAGGACACGTACAAATTCGGAGGTACTGTTGACTGTTGTTTATCCAAACGCCTGGCAAGGCAAGGCAGTTTGATCGAAGCGGAGCCCCGATCAGGGCCCCGATCCCCCAGCTGACTACCACACACGGATATCATATGCATGCCTCAGCAAGCATGAAACTACGATTCTCCACCATTCGGTGCGTGCTAACCTCATGCACACAGCCCGAACAAAGGGTCACCGCGTCTTATGTTGCCTGGGACGATCTGCCCAGATCTCCTATGGCGCGGTGCCGTTTAACCGAAAGGCCACCCCACTTATGTAGTAGTGAGTTGACAGCCTTCAAGGGCTGATTGACTTTTGCACTTGGGTTTTGAGTCCTTAACGTGTGGTGGCTAATAACTTGGAATGATGTGGGTCGCTTACGGCTCCCATAAGTTGCTTCTACATGCAGTATCATAAACCGAATCCACCGGAGATTAAGGAATGTCCACCAGGGTCTCCCCTGGTCTTCCTCTTCAAGGCATACTTAGGGACCGAGCGATTACTCTGGGCGCTCCGGTGCAAAGTTCAGTCCGGTACCGCGGAGGAGAGAATGTCGTCAGTTTTTGGTAAATGAAAGGTTCCCCTGTAGAAGTTCGAACTATCACAAGTCGGGATGAAAGCTCCGAACGGTTATGGACGAGCTGAGAAGACGAAAGGTACAGATAAAATTTCCAGGGTGAGGGTTTAGTTGACGGATTCTGTTGGACCAGTGGACTGTCAAGCTGCCCGGAGGTGGAAACTCCGATCTCTCTCGCTAGTATACCGCTACAGCTCAACTACACATGATCAGTCCACGTGCCATCGTGAGCAGGCGCGCCTAATAATATGCGCAGGACATATGAAATTCAATTCGAAGCAAGACTTTTAGTGGACGAAATAATTGGATTTGTAATAAGTTTTTTTATCTCGACTTTCAAATCAAGATTTGGCCTGCATGATCCTGGATATTGTACCTAGGACCTGTGGGGTCTGTACTGCGTAACATTGCTGATAGGCCGTTGACGACCTTTGCGAGTCGCGCGAGCAAGTTGTTCAGGGATAATAAAGCTCGATCGACACTTGGCATATCCCACAGAACCATACAGAATCGAGGGAGGTCGAGTCCCCCACCCTTCGCGGCGTTGTCAGGAGATTTATTTCGAGCGATTGACAACCCAATGTGACGGCGACGGGTATGTCCGCGAAGGTGAACAATCATGGCGGTTCGTGGGGGAGCGTGATTGGTGTAAAATCTGAAACTGCGAGTGCATACTCTTTCTAATGTAGCTTGCTGCTAACACTGAAAGGCTACACGGGTACTGTGATTGCAGAGACAGATTTTCATCCTTTCGAGTTCGAGGGGGGAAATGCTGCCACGGTTGTCCATCAAACCCTGAGCCTGTCATGGATCGGCAAGGTCACCTCGGTAGAGTCCAAGCAGGAGAGCGGGGTTGTCGTGTGATAATGATACTTGATCGATATGATCAATACCAAGATCAAAGTTTTCAAGGTTTTGAGCCTATCCCCACCTTTGGGAGGACCGTGTCCGCCCATCGGAGTGAGGGTAAGCCATTCAGGGGATATGCAGGGGAGTACACGTATCACGAGCCAAGCGATAATTGGTCCCGCAGAATCCAGATTTTCATGGAAAGTTGCGACTCAGCTCATGGGTACTTGCTGTAATATTGAACACTTCAAAGCCGCCGCGATCGGAGCAGATATAAAAACAGGTGTATGTACCAAGGTTCAGAAGGGTTCAAACTAGATGGTGACAGAAAAAATCTCGAATGCTACAAGTCCAAGTGACAGATCTGGCAGAACAACCATTCCAATCAGATCAGGATGGGCCCGACCCCCGTGTCAGCCCGCATCGGCAGAGTTTATCTGCACCAAATCAAGGGTCCAATGCCATCCTGCAGCTCGACCACGGCTGGCAACCGTAACTCTGAATTATGTAATTATATCCAGATTATTTCAATTCCGTTTTCGGCCAAAATGTCGCCGAATATCCCATGTGCGGTCGTTCGCTTCTTTTCACCTCACGCGAACCATGGAATATCTCATCCCTGTCAACCCTCCACTCAAATAGAGGCACAGGATCATCCTTCCTCCGTTGGCTCCCCCCCCTTCACTCTCTTTCATCCCTTGCAGTCATGGCGGTCATAGATTCAACGTATGTTCCCCGTCCTTCCCGCCCTCATTTCCGTCTGATCACCTTTTTTTGTTCTCAAGCTTCGGAGCCTACTTCATCGGTGTCATCATTTCTGCGGTGTGGGTATACTTTTCATTCGCGTCGAGACCATCTATTAATCATCCCTTAGTTTGTACGGCGTGACCTGCGTGCAGGTCTGGTTTTACTACGTGAGTTATCCAAGTGACCCTTGGCATATCAAAACCTTGGTATGTTCATCCCGCCCATGGATCTACCACTGTTAGTAACGCGTTACAAAGGTTTTTGGAGTTTTTGCCTCGGACACTGTGCATCAAGCTTTGATAACCCACTCGGGTGAGCCCCAAACACATGGTCCCCGTCGATGTCTAGGCTCAATCATTGCGCATAGCTTACGTTTATCTCGTGTCAGACATAGGGTCTGCAACCGGACTTGAAGACATCGTCTGGTAAGCTCGAGGCCCTCATTACCTATTGACGCGTCTCATCCTTCCGCAGGAGCCTTATTGTAGGTACAAGGATACTGTCTTCTTGGTCGCAACTGATTGATTTCTGTGTCAGGTCGAAGTCTTGTTCAATGTGAGTGTTGGCCCCGTTGGTTCGGTCGCCCGTCTAACTTCCTCAGGCTATCACGTCGCTCCTGGTTCAAAGGTGAAAACGATGCATTCGTTCTCGTTTTCGCTTGTACTCACTCAAGATTCTTGCAGTTTCCTTGCGATGCGGGTGTATAGGCGTAGGTGCTACCTTTTCCCATTTTGGGTCAGTTCGTTCACACGGCGACACGTTTAGTTAGCAACAAGAGCATCCCCATAACTGCCGTTGTGGTAAGTCCGGAGCAACGGCATCTATGAAGTTGGCGTATTAAATTTTGCGTTTGCAGATGGTAGTTGTTATAGCCGAGTTCGGTGAGTGTCACTCAGCGGTTTCCTTTTTATCGTGTTACTCACAACACTTTAACACAGTGCTGTCAGTCAGTACGTATTGGCCGCAAATTGTGCTTATTTGCAATGCTCACCTCAGACACTCTTTGCAGTCTATGTAGCGAAGGCGTACGTCGAGTTCGAGATTCGTCGGTGGTATAGACTGATCAGGATTTTGTTAGTTTGGTCTTCCAGACATTCGCGGAGTTGCTCACGCTCAAGGTAAAACGAATACCGTGCCCTATCCGCGGATCCTGACGAATGCTGTTCATCAGGATCTCTCTTCGGCGATCAATGCAACCACTGCGGCGTCCGATGTCCTGATTGCCGGCTGTCTCGTCTTCCTGTTGCAAAAATCACGGACGGGTTTCCGCAGGTATTTCCTACTACTTCACAACGTCCTGTAACGTCTACTGAACTAGTACTTAGATCGGATTCAATGATTAACAAACTTGTAAGTGCGGATCATTAATGAATTGTATTCGATGCAAACTTCGTGGTCCAGATGTTGTTCAGCTTGAACACTGGTCTTTTAACTGGGTATGACGTCGTTTTTATGCATGGCCTGGGTTGTAGGTTGACCGTGTGTCAGTATTTTCGCCGTAGCTTCCCTCATTTCGGTAAGTGGTTAGCTTGTGTCAGTGGCCGTGTACTGAGGTCACAAAAAGATCTCCGCGTGGCCGAATGCCTTTATCTATATTGCGTTCTACTTTTGCTTGGGTCGCTGTGAGTTGGTTTGTGCGCCCGGCTAGGATTTGCACGCTGAGATGGTTCCTTGCGCAGTGTACTGCAACTCTCTTCTTGCAACCCTGAATGCCCGGCGCATAATCCGAGCCGCCAGTACGGATGATGACATGTCGCTGTCACTACAAGGTGTGAACAAGACCAACGTTGCTACATCTCAGCGGGTACGTATTTGGTCTCTGCATCAAGGGTTCACGGGACTGAGCGTTTATGGTAGCCCATGCCGAACAATATTTCAATCAAGATCGACACCACCCATGAGCTTGTACGGGATGATGTACGAGACGAGGTGCGAGAACTGCGCGAGCTGTCTTGATGCGAATCTTAATCTTGACAGAAGCCGTACTCTGCGAACGGCGACGTGAAGGCGCTGAACGTTGTCTGAGGTGCAATACTTTGTGAAATGGAACGAGAGGATTCATAGCGTATATACCGATTTAGCGTCTGGGGTAAACTAGTGGCCACGTTCATTTCATAGTGTCAAAATATTCCTTGGTCGGGTAAAAAAAGACTTGTAACATGGTAATACACAGATCGCACGTATAGCCGCAGAACGCTTGATAACATTCCCACTCCAACAACATGCTTGTGGCCTGCTCAGTAGGTGATGGATATAAGTACTGTACATAGGTCAATATACAGCATCACCTTGTTTACAAGGTTACTCCAGCCCAAAATTCGTACATGCTTTTTTCGACGCCTCCGAATACCAATATTTTGTCAATCCGCCGTTGCTTCGCCTCTGGGATCTTTACTCCACTCTTCCGAACCACTTCTGACATAAGAGGTATGTAGTACCAGCTGACTGTTATCTGGGCTGCATGGCATTCTACCCTAGGCAAGTACTATCGCAGTTTCCATCGTGCTTCGCTGTCCCTCGAGAGGCTAGGTGGGCTATTACCACACTTGCCTCGTATTTTCGTTGATGGGTTCCTTCTCGAGTTCAGACGTGAGGCGCTCGAGTGTCACAAGAGCTGTCCTAATAATAGGTGAGTGTGGACGAGGCAGTAAAAAAGAACTATTACCGGTGATGCACTCCATATGTGTGCCATAAATATAATAGGTGTAAGTCGTGCTACGTCTCTCGCTTTTTTTCAGGATTGCGAGATCTTCTTGACAGGCCAAGCAGTTCCAGAGTTATCTGCATATTTGTGGGAAGGCCCACCCTTGAGGTCTCGTCGTTGTATCTCGTGTGTTTCCATTCCGTTTCTCTCGCCTTTCGGGTCCTTTGTTTCCTTCACTCAGCCCTCGCTGGGGACGCCTCATTCATCTAATTCCGTGCAGCTGTTATAGAGATATGACCGTTTTTGTGTTAGGAGTGCTGTGCGATGCTTTTGTGTACACCTCGTGACTGGGTGGTCAGGTTAGTGCGGTTCCCTCTTCTCTGCACATTTAGAGAGGTGTTCCCTACGATCTCCCAGTGTTTTTTGTTGATCCCCCCTGCCGTTGTCATTCAGGCGACTCTCCTCTCCCCACCTTTGAGGACTTGAGATCGTATCTCACGCGTTTCTCCGCTGTTCCTCTCGTTTTTTGGGCAGTTTGTTCCCCTCGCTTAACCATTCCTGGGGATACCTTTTTCATCCAGTTCTACGCAGCCATTGTCGAGATATGTCTGTTTTTGTATTCAGAGGGTGGTGAGGCAACTTTGGCTATAGCTCTGGATTGAGTGGTTCCTTTTTCTGGTGTACGTCTGTGGGTTTCCTGCCATCTACCATAATTTGGTGTTGATCCCCCCAGCTGTTGTCACTCGAGGGTCTCCCCTCTCCCTCCCCCAGGTGATACCTCACCGGTGCGTATGCAATAGCTCGCCCGTTTCTCTGTCCTACTTCTCTCTTTTTCAGATTACGGTACTACTCGACGAGGCCTTTTGAATGGTGTATATTTCATGTGTTTTATTTCTGTTGCTTTCCTTTCTGACTTACAACTGCCTCGTAGTCCGCATTTTTGCATGCTTAGTCAGCACCCAGCAATACATATGCATACAACTTTTTATTATACAATAGATGACTTGCAGCTTAGCCAGAGATGACAGGCAGTTGGAGCAGGCATCTGTGGGCTCAGGGCCTAAGATAACAAGGGATGTATTGTACAAAACATGTCAGACTTGGAAGACATCAAACACTGCAAAAAGATGTGGTTGGTATGTCATGTGATGTCACATGGGGGGGTGGTTGAGCAAGGGAAGCTTGTCACAAGTCACCAATTGGCAAGCAAGTCAGCATTCCTGGTCTTGTTGCAGTAACAAAGGAAGCCCTAGTCTTTCGAGGAGGCCTCAGGTCATGTATGAAGGTCCTTGCAATATTATATAGGTCGTATCTAGCCATAGGGGAGTTCCACCTCGTCGAACGGCCGCGTCGTACTACCCACTGGACAGGAGGTAGCCTGCGAGGTCACCGGACGAACCCTACGGGATTGTGTAGACAACTGGACTGCACTGATCGGTAACCAGCTTGTGCGTGCACATCGCTCACCACAATCTCACTGAGCCACGCTGTCTCCTCGGTTGAGGTCGTCCCCATCCTCGTCTGAACGCCTCCCCGACTCGGACAGGAAACCACGCTAGTGAATCACATTACTTGGCCAGTAGTAGGAACATACTAACCTCTCACTTAGGTACAAGATGACGACCCTGGTTCTGGCCCTGTGGTTGTATCTCGCACGTTTCTACAGCAGTCCTCTCGCTTTTCTGGTCGCATGGCCCCTTTCTTGAACCCTTTCTGGGGATCCTGCCTTCGTCTAATTCCGTGCAGCTGTTGTGGAGATATTCTGCATTTTATGGATGGAGGCACCTTGGGACAGTTTTGGAGATCTCGAAGCCGATTTCACGCTGCTTCGTCGCCGGATCTCGCATCCTTTGGAGCTGTATACTACCCAACCAGGGCGTTCAAACGCCATATCATTTCGTGCGTAGAGGTACCTTCGCACAAATTTATCAAATATCTTGGGACCGGGTGCACGGGTTCATTCCGTTTCTTTTGCGCAGCGTTCTCCATGTTCCTCTCCGCTATCCCCGCTAGTGACATGCGACTTCGAGTCCTCTTCGTTGTTAGGCGGACTCCCCTCCCCAGGACACTGCCTCGTGTATCTCGCCCGTTTCGCCGCCGGCCTCTTGTTTTTTTTTGGGGATGTCGTACTACCCAGTGAGGGCTTTTGAACAGTGTATGCTACATCATAGTAGCTGTAGAGGTTGCGGAGATGTTCCGCATTTCGTGGGAGGGGAAACCTTCAGACAAGTTTGCGAATGTTTTGGGACCGCGTGCACGAGTTCCCCCCATGCCTTTTTTTCTCGTGCTCTGCTTGTTCTGATTTGGTGGCATTTCAAGCAGCCGTTGTTCGACACTCACCCCTTACTCGCGCATTTCCATCCTTCGAGCCACCTTCGAGTTGACTGAGGACAGTCAGGTTTACAGAAGAATCTGACAAGATTGAGACTATTCGAGTCAAATCCAAGGTGCACACAAATCCCAGCAGGATCTTCCTCGAATACCAGTCATGGGTGTGATAACATTTGACTTCTCAGAAAGCTTGACGAACATCTGTTCCAGTAACACCCAGTAAACACTTGCGAAATGAATATCAGTAATTGGAGGATCAGAAAACGGAACATTGGTGGTATTATATCAAGACTTGCCGGGACTACATATCCACGGAGCATATACTTGGTAACTTCTGTCATATGTCATGTTGTAATCATTCGCTTCAGTATTGGTTGATGTTGGGTATCGTTGTGTATATTATTTTGCGCATGCGTCACCTGCGAGTAAATAAGGTGCCTGCTGTTCGCAACGGTCTTATTCTGGTTTCATGTCAAACGCTCCTGACTGCGGATGTAAGGTTAATATCACGTGATTATTTTGCGTGTTGAAGCGGAGCCTTAATTTCAGCGGTTGCACATACCAACCATGCCGTATTCACCCCGCTGGATTTTCTATCCATTCTGCACCTTTCACCCCAGCGTCGCTCTGGTATACTCACTTCGTCACTTTACTTCTAGCAGATTCTTGCAGCCTGTTCTATGTGTGCTTTTCTACAGTCCCATTTCAATTATTTAATTGAATGTTCGGTAGTGGGTGTGATATCGACAGTAGTTTCTGACTGCAAACTCCTACCCAGGTGCCAATGCTATTTTTAGCATAGCAGGACCCCCCCAAGCCGCCTTTGGTAGGGACATCATATCAGAATTCCCTCAGCGGTAAAACCCTGTGGTCTCGCGGATTGGGGAGTTCTGCGCGGAACTCCCGACTCACCGCACGAAAGGTGCTGTTAGGACACCCAGTCGCCTCCGTTTTTGGGCAACGTTAGTCAGTTTGCAATTGTGACATGCTATGTACTGCGTAGTGTAGTACCTGAGAGGCTGTCATGACGAGATGGATCGATCTGCAGGGTGGCCTGTGGGGAGCCTGTGGTTACAAAGGGAAGGCACCTAATGCAGTAGCTGCGATCGTCTTTCACCGCCAGTGACCCTTGCAGTGACTATATACGTGGCCGGCGCACGGCTGTGTGGGAAAAGCGGAAGATTTTCATGAAAAGAATGTATTCTGACCATGAAAGGAAGACATTTACGCGAACATATCCAGTGAAGGTCGGTCCGACATTCGTTCTGGGTGATACCCTACATTCATTATTAGCTCGAGGAGCAATACACTTGATGAAGGTCACCCAAGAAGGAAGGGAAGAAAGACAGAGGCTCGCTTCCTTTCGTGGGCATCATCCAGGTGGCCAAGATTTGTCATTTCAAGCTACACAAAACGATTTCAAATGAGGCCCATGTACTTTACGCTTCACCTCGCTTCACCCGCGTCCGGCTGTTCCGTTTAATATGGTCAAGCTTCAAGCTCCAGGTTGACGCCACTGTCATAACATTGAATCCTATTACACTGCCCTGCCATCACACGGGACGTGGGTTGACCCCCATTTGGAGGGGTGGCCGTTCAGCCTCGAGGCAAATATTGAGGGGTCCCGGTGCAATTACCCAACTTGTCATGGCCAGAGTGGGATGTCAAGTCCGCGGAATGTCGGGCGCGACCATGGTGGGCGTATCCTAGGCGGGGGTATATAACCGTCCCTTGTGTCGCCCTCCCCTCCTCGTCCCCGGTCTCCCTCCTCCTTCCTCTCAAGTCTCGACACGCTCTTTACTTGGTAATCATGATTACCTCCGTCACATGGCTGGATCTCTGTCTGGCAGGCGTTGGTGTTTATCTTATCAGACAGATCGTCTCGAAGAAGAAGCCAGCTCCCTTTCCCCCTGGTCCGAAGCCGCTGCCACTCCTTGGAAACATATTGGACATGCCTTCTGTAAAGCCATGGCTCACCTTTTCCGACTGGGCTAGCAAGTTTGGTGCGTATGTCCGTCGTAAACATGTCCCTACCAACTCCCTGATCTCGTGCATCTCTCCACAGGCGATATATCACACTTGGAAATATTTGGCCAACATATCGTCGTCCTCAACTCTGCAAAGACTGCCGTCGAAATGCTCGACAGGAAGAGTTCCATCTACTCCGACCGTCCGGTCCTCCCAATGGGTGGTGAGCTGGTTGGATGGAGAAATACCCTCGTCCTCTTGCCATATGGTGATAACTTCCGCGAATACCGCAGGAACTTTCATCGCGTTATTGGCAGTCGTGCAGCCATGTCCGTATACCATGCCATCGAAGAAGAGGAGACCCACAAGTTCTTGCAGCGCGTCTTGACCAAGCCTACCGACTTGTCTGCCCACGTGCGCACGTGAGACCGGTCTGATACATGTCCCTTTTTCTCTCCTTGACTTACCTTTCCCTACAGCACTGCAGGGGCTATCATCTTGCGAATCTCACACGGATACCACATCCAGGAGGATGGCGATCCTCTTGTGAGTCTCGCGGACACGGCTGTGGATCAATTTTCTCGATCCACTGCTACGGGTGCTTTCATGGTTGACCTCATCCCAGCTTGTAAGTTACTGGCCAGTGCTCCGTGGTAGCTGTTTAATTTTTTTGTCAGTGGCTTACGTTCCAGAGTGGTTCCCTGGCGCAAGCTTCCAGCGTAAAGCCAGAGAATGGCGTGCCACTCTCCACGAAATGGTTAACCAACCATACAAGTTTGTCCAGGATCAGATGGTAAGCAAACCATAGGAAGACCGCATGACGTTACTCATGATGCCCACTAGGCTGCTGGCATTGCTCCTAAATCATTCACCTCAAACTTGCTGGAGGGTAGAACATTGACTGAGGAAGAAGAGCACATTATTAAGTGGTCCGGTGCTTCCTTGTATAGCGGTATGTTGCCGGTAGTTCCTGCCCATTTTTAGTGCTCATGTCCGACGTTACAGGCGGTGCTGATACAGTGAGCAGTGTGACCCCTTCCTTTCTTTAACAGCCTGATATTTTGCAGACAGTTTCTGCCATTTATGGATTTTTCTTGGCTATGACGCTCTATCCAGAGGCTCAAAAGAAGGCTCAGGCAGAGATAGATGCTGTCGTTGGTTCTGACCGTCTCCCCACCTTTGCTGATCGCGAATCTCTTCCTTACGCCGAGGCTCTTGTCAAGGAAGTCTTACGCTGGTGTCCCGTCGTACCCATCGGTACGACCCATCTATGGTCTGCTAATCTAAACTGATCTTTCTACAGTGGTACCGCACCGCGTCACTGCCGACGATATTCACAATGGCTATTACATTCCCAAGGGAACTCTGGTACTGGCCAATGCCTGGTAGGTCGTCTATTGCAGCTTGAACATTCTGACACATGATAGACCACCTCTCTTTGCATAGGTACATGTTACGTGACCCTTCCATTTATCCCGACCCCATGAATTTCAATCCCGATCGTTTCCTTCCCTCAGGGGGTAAGGAGCCACCAACCGATCCCCGCGACATCTGCTTTGGATTTGGACGACGGTGAGCTAGTCAATTGCGATTGGTTTTTCATTCCCACCCTGACGTCGTGTCTTGCAGCATCTGCCCTGGTCAGTGTGGTCTCAGAACAATATCTATGGTTGAATGAGGCTGTGATGCTAACAAATTTGGTATTTACAGGTATGCACCTTGCCGATGCTTCGGTATGGCTGTCGGCAGTCATGTCACTCGCTGTCTTCAATGTTTCGAAAGTGGTTGAGAACGGGGTTGAAATCACCCCGGAAGTTGATCCGTCAAGTGGTACTATCAGGTGCGAAGCCTTCATTTCCTACGAAATTTCGATCTGAGCAACTTTCACTAGCCATCCCAAACCATTCAAGTGCTCCATCAAACCCCGGTCTGCGAAGGCTCTTGAGCTTATCCAGCAAACCCCTCACTACTGATCGCATTCGCTCTGTGCTTCTCCGAAGGAATCGGGCTATCAATTATACCAAACCCACTATCTACCCATTCACCTCATGTACGATATACCTCACTCTTGGTTACATACCTGCTTGCAATACAGACTCCATCCGCGCTTCATCTTCAAAAATTGTCCTTGGATACCCACGTTATCTCCCCCCCGCTGCCGCATCTCTGGTTGTGCTTCCAATTTAACAGCGGGAATACTGACCGTGTCTGTTTCCCAGTCATGCCAATCTCTTGACGTGGAAATGCCTGTTTGGGTTCTCTGCCACAATGTTAATGAGAACTCCACGGACGGTTTGGCAACAGGTCGTCAAGCGCGCCAAGTGTTGTCAGGTACAACTAGGGTAGCAACTGTTTTGGAGCCCCTTTTTTTTTCCACAACGGCCCACACGGAGTGGCGGCTTTCGGCGATATCCTTCTCTGTTATTACTGTGTCGCCGCTTCTACTTTGCTGGCCTGAGTCGAGGTTGGCACGGAGGCCGGTCCGAGGCTTCCCGTCCTGATTCCAGAATTGTGCCCTTTGCGAACGCACAGAACGCTATTATAGAAAAGACGCAAACAATGCGGGATCCTGCACCGCCGAGCTTAACCTGCAAGGGTGTTGCTTCTAGCGGCAAAACTTGCCCTGGCCGACATCGCATCATTTAGGCTCATTCAGGCCGCCCCCGTCCCGGACAAACCGAATGGCCAACCACGAAAAAAAAACGCAGTAATTTGAAGTAAGCAGCTCAGGCCGCCGCGCAAGCCACATGATGGATTTCGACTGCCTCGGAAAAATTTTGCTATGATAGGCAATAAAATCCAAATCTGATACTTAATCTCGTTAAGCCACCGTAGTTGGCTGCGGGGTTTATGTACCTTTATAATTATTTAGGCATTTTACGGCCGTCTCTGCATGCGTGTTGCAATGCGAGGCTATGAGATGGCGGGATGTAGACAAGATGCAGGATGGGAAGCATGTCACTTGTAACCGAGGACTGTGAGGCTCTGTTGAGAAGTCATAAGCGCCCGTAGCAACATCGACATGCGCAGAGGAACGAGCCAGTTCCCATCATCATGGGAACAATCTTACGACTGCTGCCGCGATCATGTCTGACAGGATGGATGACTATGGCATTACATAACAGATCGCAGGCCCATTGCAAAACCAAACTAAGTACATAGAGCAAAGCCAACGGAGAAATTTGCCCTGCCGGCAGCGTAATGCGTTCTGATAGGTTCTAAGGCGATAAGCAAACACAAGCACCTACCACCGCCTTTCCGGCGAAGGGACTTTCCAGGGTGAGCATCGGGCAGGCGGTTCGTATAGAAGGGTTAGGAAGTGCATTTATTCTGAGGTTAATCACAGGCCAATCTGATAAGTCTTTCTCGATGCTTAACACCTCACGAGATGGACCCCGTGCAGATTTTGAGAAATGGAGACTTCTCACCTTGTTTCGATTAGTGAACATGTCTGTCAGAAGCCGGGCTAATCTGCAACGCCACCGTGCGATACACGTCCCCACCCAACCGCGCTTCCGCGGAACCTGTAAGAGTGTGAGAGGTTCTCAATGGCAAGGTTCAATACTTGGAGGGCGGCAATCAGCTGTGGGGGTAAATCGCCACCCATCATAATACAATGACAATTGACATCGAAACCCCTAGCGTCCCAAGCATTCCACCTGTATTAGGAACGTTTCATGTGCACTCTCCTTGATTGTGGTGAGGGGTAGAATGGCATGCTGTAGGGCGACCACAAGTGCCATCCTATGTATTACATAGGTGCGGTACATACCTGTGTGCCCTAATTATGGTTAGTACGCTGGTCCATTCAAAACGAGGATAACTCCCAGAGGTGCTAACTCGTCCCTGACTGAAACATTGTTCTTATCTGGTGCAGAAATTGTCCAGTTCGTCCAGTTAAATGCACGTACCATGATAAGAACCTCTCCGATCCTCGGACTTGGTCGGATTCAAGCGGAGCAGATTCAGTGTTTTAATGCTAGACCGTAAGTGGGTCCCCGTGCTGTATGCACGAATTCTCCGCTTAGACAACTATAGTGCTTAATACAAGGAATATTCGCCGCCGGATTCCCCACAAGGTAGGATTGCGCCATATCAGCAGATGTGTATATTGGAACGGGAACAACTCGGTGTTGGCTGCCGTGTAGCACATGCCAGCATAGTAATCTATTCCTCTTGCGCCTTGTCTCGTGGTGACTATTGACCAGCTCTGCCACGTGAGCGCGGACGCCGATGTAATTACGCACCGAAGTAACAGTCGCCCATCAGCTTCACTGCTTCTTGTCTTGCTCGTGTGGATAGATGCACTTTCGTAATTTGTGAAGCCATTGGCACAACTCATCACATATGTATCCTTCGGTCTTGTGTCGGGTACGATATGGTATCTTCTTTGTCACGTTTTCGATGGTGATAGGAATAGCCGTCCGACTTCTGGAACTACTGGGCAGAAAATGTGCCCTCCAGGGATACCGAGGTACGTGTCACCGCAACAGATATTTCCCGCCATAATCGGGTCGTCTTCACGACGGACGCCATCCGGCAACAGCAAGAAGAACCACCAGAGAAGGAAAACTCAGTGCCGTCGAGTCTCCGCAATATCGCCATTTGGGAGAGCGAGCTTGGCTACTGGAGCAGCCTTGCTGGCATCCTCTTTCGTCAGGTCAGCAGAACCTTTCAGAAGAATGTCAGCAAGCAGAAGAAATGAATTCGTAAATTGGGCCGGACCAGAGTTTTCGCGGCCTTTGATTTCGCCTAGAATGCGCTCGATGGAAGTACGGATATTGGCAACGAAGTCCGCCTCCGATAACAACGGCGCCTCTGCAACTGCTCGCTCGACGATTGGGTACCTGTTGTATATTGATTGTACACTTAAGTTCTATCTGGAGATAGTTTCGTTCTACGTGCGAACAGGGATTTTTACCTATCTATTTCGCCCATGAGTTCACGGTGAACGGCGTCATGGGGCATATGTATGAGTTTGGAGTCAGAGGCTAGCCGCTGTCGCGCGATATCCTCTATGCGGGACTTGAAAGCAGTGATTCTGTCCTATTAACACAGAGACATGAATCGGGCACTCAGAACCACCAGTGATGGCGTACGTTGTGCTGAAACTGAGACAGGAGTTCTCTTCGCAGCCGATCAAACTCTCCTGACTTTTTGAACCTGGTGCGCGATTTGAGTCTGGACGCAACGATAGTGGGGATTACGACGAACTCACTCGTCTACGAGCTGTTTTGGGCTTGTGGTGCTCATGGTGCAGTACATAGTAGTGTTACAAGGCATAGACTAAGACAGAGTGAATGTGAACAGCACAGCGCCCGGGTAGATGGTGACCAGATCATCAAACCAAGCGCGGACTCGGATGCTCCCATCAAACAACCTCTTCTTTTAACTCTTCCTGTCGCCATTGCAGCCCTCTGGAGCAGTGGTCAGAATATTTTAAAGGCCCTCAATCACGCTGCTACCAACTGTAATGAGCTACGACGACTTTCCGCCACTAAAAAATGATCTCCTCCTGAGGGCCGCACGGGGTGATCAGATCGAGCGTGCGCCAGTATGGGTCATGCGACAAGCCGGGAGATACCTGCCAGGCAAGCCTCTGCATCACCACCGGATTGGCTAGCCCCCCCTAACCAGTGATATGATTGTCGTTCGTGGCGACAGAATTTAGAAAAGTACGAGAGGACCACGAATTTTTCGAGATCTGTAGGACTCCAGAGCTCGCAACCGAGATCACTCTCCAACCCATCCGGCGATATGCTGGACTCATAGACGCCGCCATCATTTTCTCTGACATCCTCGTCATCCCGCAGGCCTTCGGTATGGAGGTACTCATGACCCCGGGCCCGACTTTCCCCAATCCGCTCGAGACACCTACGGACGTGGCGAAGTTGTCGGGGAAGGTGGACGTGGATAAAGAGCTTGGATATGTCTTCGAGGCGCTCAAGATGACACGACAAAAGTTGGAGGGCCAGGTTCCCCTCATTGGATTTTGCGGAGCCCCCTGGACGCTCATGGCGTACATGATCGAGGGCGGCTCGAGCAAGACGCTGCAAAAATCGAAAACATGGCTTTTCAAATACCCGGAGGAGTCGAAAGCACTTTTGAAACGCATCGCTGACGTCTGCGTGGACTTTTTAGTAGGCCAGGTGAAAGCAGGGGCACAGGTAGTTTTCACTCAACAAAGACTGATTGTCCGGACGAGATCATGACCTCATTTTCTTCTGTAGTTGCTCCAAGTGTTCGATTCCAACGCAGGAGACTTATCCCCTCACGACTTTGAAACTTTCTCGGTTCCCACATTGCGTCAAATATCCACTGGCGTGCGGGATCGCTTAACCGAGCTTGGGGTACCCCGTGTTCCGCTCACTATTTTTGCTAAGGGAGCCTCTCCGGCTATTGCAGCTCGGTGTGGCTATGACACAGTAGGGTTAGACTGGACAGAAGACCCTCGCGACGTTGCCAAAACCCTTGACATGGATGCATGCCTACAAGGAAATCTTGACCCTGTGGTGCTGTATGGAGGGCGGGACGCCATAGAACGGGAGGTTAAGAGGATGTGTGCCGCCTTCCGGTCCGCCCGTGGTGGGGTCACCAGAGGATGGATCGCCAACCTTGGTCATGGGATCACTCCTGGGGTTGATCCGGAAGACCTCAAGTGGTTCTTCGAGTGTGTACACAAATATTCCGCCAATGCTTAGTAGGCAGGAGGTGGACAGAAACACCCTCAGGGTTTCAGGGCATGTGATACAATAAATGTTTAGTGTTGCGTATTGTGAGGGGCAACGAGCCAAGTGCTGAGCTACAGGTATGCTAGACAAGGAATGAATTCTCTTAAATACCCGCAGATTCCATCGGGAGAGGAGAGAGAGGGAGGGATGGAACAAGTCATAAATGAATGTAGAAACGGAAAGCATGCACATGAAAGCAAATTTGACAGAGATTCTTAACTATGCAACGACGTCAGCAGCGCTGAAACTGCTCCTTCTGCGCCTGACAGGCCGAGGTCCAGGTCGCTGTGTCGCTTTCGAAGCAGGCACGACGACGGCGGATGCACCAGTCGTCATCCAGGTATCAGACGTTTGCTTCGCTTTCCCTCCGGCTGCCATTTCGGCCAGCGAATTTGGCGCGTTCTGTTGACGCTTTGCTAGAGTTGGGAGTCGCGAAGGGGTTGGCGAGGGTGGGGGTTGGGGTACTCTCCTTGATGACGGCGCACCGGCTCCTCGAGCAGCTGCAGCTGCAGTGCTTCGCGTTGAGGTAGCAGTTGCAAGTCTTGGTATCTTGTTGGGCGGCCGAACAACTTTCGGCGGCGGAACAGCAGGTTTCCGGTGTGCATTGACACCGGCAGAACGCAGGATGCGGGTGGGCCTCTGCTCAGAAGCCGTCCCTCTGGCTCCTGTCGGCCGACTCGTAGTTTTGGCGCGTTGGCGCGTTGCCGGTGGTGCTGCACCAAGCGCAGGTAGAACATCGTCAACTTCATCCGCTTCATCATCAGAGTCTACTGCCACACGTTTCGCCATGGGAGTCTTCCGGGGCTGTCCTGGAGGAGCGATTGCTTGGGCTTTCGCAGCAGCAGCAGTAACATGGCGGCTAGGAGTGACGGGAGGGAGTGCAACAGCTGGGACGTCGTCGACAGCTCTCTGTGGTGTGACCCTAGTAAGCTCCTCTATGTCTTCGTCCTGTTCGGCAGGTGGGGTGGCAGGGGCAACGATAGGAGCTGCTGCTGAAGAAGCCTGATTTCGTCGCATTTCATCTACGGCCGCCCACTTCGCCCACTCCAGCTGTTTCAGATACATATATTGTTGTTGGGGGCCAACGACGCTACCTGGCCGTACGATGCGCATGAAGCCGATGGCCTCCGATGCCGTGAATCCATACTTCCAAATGAGATAGGCACCGATTAGTGTTCCTGTCCGTCCCAGACCTGCTTTACACTGGAGGAGCAAGAACGAGCGTCAATGATGCGAACACCTAAAATGGAAAGTGACAAGGGAAGGTAGGAATGACGCACATGTACCGCAATGACACCGCCGCTCTCCACCACGGTATCAGACATGTCTATAAATGCTCGGACGATCTCGTCTGTCGGATTTGTACCATCGTCGAAATACAGTTCTTGATGACCGATTCCCCGATCTAGGAAGAGTTGCTTATCGTAGAGTTCGGTATTTAGTCTGACGACCAGTTTGACGCCACGTTTCTCGAAGTAATCGAGGCAATTGAGGAAGGGCGTGGGTAACTTGCGTTGCAGGGCATGATTCTGTGAAGGGGATCGCGGGGGTGCGCTCGGACGTAATGGTGAAGTGGAATCTGATGAGGCGAGCTTGGCTTCCTTCTGAACCTTTATCCAGTTAGAATCGACGGGGGATGCGAATGCAATGAAATGGGGGGTTATCCAATTCCAGTCGCCGTTCTCCACTTTTTCATAAAACTCGTATTCCTCTACGCTGAACTCATTCATATCACATAGGCCGTGTTGCATTGCTTTCCACATTCCCCACAGACAGTCCTGAATGTTGAGATTGAAATCCGAGGGACCGCGACCAGCGTCACGGAAGGGCATGAATTCTATTTCTGCTATGGGATGGAATGCATCCCAAGGGGTACGCCGGTGCACGATCATCTAGAAGGCCAATGAAGAAGAAGACCGAACAGCAAATTGAGGGACATACGACGTAAAGGGCCATTAAAAGCGCAGCGTTGGCCTTCCTGCGTGGGTCATCAGAAGAGTACAAGACAATACGGTGTGATGCGAGATCCTTGTCCTGGAGATCGTGGAGTGAGACAGATACGGGTATCGGGGAGCGAAGACGGACGGACCTCTAGTAGTTCGTGAATGAGAATGCACGCCTTGTAGACCATTGCAAGATTCAGTGGACCCCAGTCTTGAAAGAAGGAGAGATAGAGTAATTGGTCGTCGATAGTGAAGTAGTAGTAGGTGACGTCGTCGTCTGGGGAGGCGCTTGGACCAGCCCTGGCATTTGAACGCACGCGAGGTTTGTTATCCGGGTCTTTGGACTGGTTGTTGAGAGCGTGAGGGGTGGGTGGCGGGTGAGGGAATGTGGTGAAGAACAGTCTAGCAGACGATGGTCAATGGCCATTGATATGTGGGGAAAGACTAGGGAAGACACCTGTCACCGAAACAACAGAGCGGCTCGCACTTTGGAGCCATGGGGAGGTGTAGTCGGACGGGGCTGCTCAGTGGTACCAAGCCAACCCTTGTAAAGGCAATATGACTCCCGTGACCGTCGCGTCCACGTAAACAATCCAAAACAAATGCTCTACGGCGACGAGGCTGAGCAGCTGGGCGGGTTTGCGGGGGTGTGAACGTCGAACGGTAATCGCAGGACAATGTATTTGAACCACATTGATCCAGCCAGGCCGAGTCCACACGCCGCCAACATGACAATGGGAGCGTGTCACGCACGAGGCTATCTCGACGGGTCAAACCCTGAGACACGACTGATGGTGGGGTGCCACTTCTTCATTAATGGACACAACAACCACCCCACATCGTACGCGTCTTGGACGCCACGTTGGCCTCCTCGTGACAGTACAATATAATAATAAGTACGATAGGGTACTACGCAATATGAGTGCATCGCGTTGTTTGTTGTTGTTGGAGCACGCGTACCTACGGCAGCCCGCGACGCTCCCCCTGCTAAGCAAGCCGGTCGTTCCAGCGTCTAATAAGCCATCGCTCGATAGCCAGCTCATCCTCAGCCCCTCGTGCACGCGTACAGCTGGCCCAAACCATGCCTGACAACCAAATATTCAAGGTACCTCTCATCTCCGAGTCCCCCGCCCTGCTTACCTAGGTCCCACGTCACACGCAGGCTACCTACAGCGGCATACCCGTGTACGAGATGTTAGTCCTCCTCTCCTCCGTCTTTCGCATCGGCTGACTCCCCTGACGCGCGCATAGGATGTGCAAGGGCGTTGCTGTCATGCGGCGGCGCTCAGACTCGTGGCTCAACGCGACCCAGATCCTCAAGGTCGCCGGTTTCGACAAACCCCAACGCACACGCATATTAGAGCGGGAGGTGCAAAAGGGGGAGCATGAAAAGGTGCAGGGCGGTTACGGGAAATACCAAGGCTAGTCCTCCTGATCTCTCGTCATACAGCGGATTGACCTCTCCGTCGCCAGGTACTTGGATTCCTCTCGACAGAAGTCTCACTTTGGCCAGGCAATACAACTGCGATGCAGTTCTGCGGCCCATAATCGAGTTCCAGCCAGCCGCAAAGAGTCCTCCACCTGCTCCAAAACATTTAGCCGCAACCGCCACCGCGGCAAAACCCCCCCGCCGTACTGCGGGCCCTGACGCCTCCGCACTGGTCAGTGCCCGCTCTCGCCGCCAACTCGAAGGCGGCGAGGATTCCGACCAGGAGGTCCTCTCCGAGCCCGCCTCGGAAGACGGATCTATGACTTCCTCACCTTCCCGCAGATCATCAAGCTCGCGTACTCCGTCCCCAATCGACGAGGGGTATGAAGCAGCGGGTGCTTCCGGAGATCGCAGTCACGCGGACAGAAGGAAGGGGACCAGACACCATCACGACCGCCCCGACAATGCCATAGGAATCGATGACTTGTCACAGGCTGATGACGCCAACGACCCTCGCGCTTACAGTGATCAGATCCTTGAATACTTCATCTCTGACACTAATCAGATACCTCCCATCCTCATCTCACCCCCAGCAGACTTCGATCCAAACATGGCCATCGACGACGACGGTCACACCGCATTACACTGGGCGTCGGCCATGGGTCGCCTCCGTATCGTCAAACTCCTGCTTACAGCTGGAGCAGAGATTTTCAAGGTCAATAAGGCAGGTCAAACAGCCCTCATGCGTAGCGTGATGTTCGCAAACAATTATGACGTGCGGAAATTTCCCGAGCTATATGAACTATTACACCGTTCGACTCTGAACATCGACAACTATAATCGGACTGTTTTTCATCACATCGTCGATGTGGCAATGTCCAAAGGGAAGACCCATGCTGCGCGCTACTACATGGAAACTGTCCTCAACAGGCTAGCCGACTACCCCAAGGAGCTTGCCGACGTCATCAATTTCCAAGACGAAGACGGCGAGACCGCATTAACAATGGCCGCAAGATGTCGGAGTAAACGTCTCGTCAAGCTGCTCATTGACCATGGCGCAGACCCGAAGATAAGAAATCGCGACGGCAAGAGTACAGAGGATTACATCCTCGAAGATGAACGCTTCCGTTCATCCCCCGGTCCTATATCACGCCTCTCTGCCATGTCCTTCCGCAATGCACAGGCTGCATTGCCAGCCGGCGTTCCTGCTGCCACTTTGGTCAGTGGCGAACGTCCGCTGGTACACCACTCCCTTGCTGGCCAGAAGGCCAGTACAAGATGCGTTAATGATATTACGAATATGTTGGATAGTCTCGCAGCATCTTTTGATCGTGAGCTTCAGGAAAAGGAGCGCGACGTCACACAAGCGCAGGTTTTACTGCAAAATATTCAACAGGAAATCTTGGAAAGCCACCGCGCGGTCAACCAACTCAGAACACGAGCAGAGGGGCTACAAGTAGCGAAGGCGATGTTCGAGAAATTAGAGAACCAGCTTCTTGACAAAATGAGTAGGAGATACAGACTAGGTTGGGAGAAATGGGTCAAAGACGAGGAGGACCGGGAGAAGTCGGTGCGCGATGCGGCCGGCGGTGAACTGAAGATCACAGCTGCAATGGTTCCGTACCGGGCAGCAGACGACATGGAAGTCGACGGGACGACAGAACTGGGGAAGGACAAGGGCAAGGGAAAGCGAAAAGCCTTGCCGCAGGAGGGGAATATTTCAGACCTCCTCGCGCTCTATTCGGATGTTCCGAGCGATCCGGAAGCACTGCATTCGACATGCGAAGCCCTGAGGGAGGAGCTTGGGCACCATCGCAAACGCAGAAAAGAACTATTTGATGAGCTCACTGCGTTCCAAGCCGAAGCAGGCACGAGAGGAAAAATGAGCGAGTACAGGCGACTGATCGGGGCGGGGTGTGGAGGCGTGCCGCCTTCCGAAGTTGACAATCTAGTCAGTGTATTACTCGAGGTTCGTTGTGTACACGCGTTTTACTCGCACACTTATATATACTGACATCCAAATTTTCAGACACTGGAATCGGAAGAATCTAACACTTCGGCGGTGTGGGGTGGGATGAAACCAGCAACGACAGTACCGGTGGGATGATTTAAGCATCGGGGTATATTATTTCATTGATTGTTTCACATCTCTCCATTTGTTGTAACTTCATACACGGTGTGCTCTAGATTCACTGCCTTACCTTAAGGCCCCTGCTCCCGTGTGTGGGTGACCTCCTTGCTCCACACCTCCATAAACGCAAACAACACCATGGTACGAAACCGGAGACATCTAAAAAGTACGCGTGCATGGGAAGCTGGCACCGCCTTCTTCAAGACCGGGCGTTTTACCTCAATAGGTGCAGCACTTTTGTCATAATCCAAATACTCACTGTGGTCTGGTACCGTGCGTGCTGCGATAAATGGTGCACAAATAGCACGAAGTACGACAATATCATCGCAGTTGCAAAGCAGTCGTCCCTTTAGCCTCATGGCTCGGTCAATCTCAGAGGGTACTGTATATGTAATATATGTATATCTAATACTTCCACCCCCAGGCTTGGCTGGTCCCGATGCCTCCCTACGTTACGCCGTGCCCCAGTGCGTGCTCTAGGTCCTGATGGAACCCCGATTGATAGTGCCGTCCACACAACGTGAACATATACCCGACGGAACTATGGACGATGAGATATTGACGGAGAGTGAGAACGTCTGGAGCTTTGGACGGCAGTCGATGAGAGCCGCGAGTCCCCACAAAGTGAGGCATGTTGGAGTTGTCTCGCTGTTTGATCTGCGCAAGTGGAGGCTTTCAAAATGTGGCCAACCTTAACCCATCCTCTCGATGAAACAGTCTGACAGATCGATATCATAGTATGTTGTTACCACGAGGGTTCAGAGGTATTTCAGATGGAGACAGGGTTCTATGGTGGACTGTTGGAGAACGAATGCTGATGTATTCAGTAGCACGACCCCGGACGTTATCACGGTACTGGAATGAGATGGGGGTGAGCAGCTCCAGGTCCTGCGAGCTGTTTTCACCGCGTGCAGGACGCGATTTTCAGAGCAGCTGGCATGGAGTGGTGTAAAAGGAGTGTATTCAGTTTTGTTAGAGCTAACGTGAAATTGGCCTCTGCTTCGGGAAGTGATGGTCGACAGGTTTATATGCGTACACATAGAGCTCTTGAACCCCATCCCAAAGCTCAGGACGGTTTTCCAGATCCTCCCAATTGTTGACATCCCAGCTAACGGGCTGTATAGACTGCGCCCAAGGCAACATCGAGGAGGCGCGGGATACCACCTCGGTAAAACCGCGCTGGGCAACCGTAACCTCGATAAACGGGCGGGATGGGGAGCATGGAGTCCATTCAAAGTGGACGGGCAGAGGAAGACCACCAAAGCTCAAACGAAGGTGGGAAATATAACGTCTTGGGCAAAAGCCATAACAGTATCAGCAGCCTGTGGACGTAACATAAAGACCTCCAAATCGTGCATGAGCACTTGTAAATTTCGGGAAAGTGGATCAGGAAACGGGGGAATTTGCGAGGAACTGTGCAACTTTTGGACCTCGTTCAAAGTTGGGAGACCACATGCAATGAGGTGAAGGCTGTGCGTTTTACGGGTGTATCGTTCGATGACACTCCAATCCTCGTCGTTTAAGGGGCGGACAATGGTTGGCATTCATTTGTCAACCTAATATCGTGTCGAGCTCAGCGTAGACACTCACAAATAATTGGCTGGTGAAACGGTCATGCACATCACCCACAAATGATAGGGCAGAATACCAATACAAGGAGATCTGTTGCTGGTAAATTGAAATTATGACGTGTCCGAGCTAGTGAACATAACGTCCTGTTATCGTTAACAAAGGAAATATATATATATGTATATGGCGAGCGATATCGTCAATCCGGAGACAGTGATGGATCGAGTGCGAGTTGCAGGACGAAGATGCACCCGCTAGTGAGGAGAAAAGGATCTGACTCGAAGCTCGAGTTAGTTTCCCCTAAACAGTTGAGGGACAGGCAATAACAAGAATCACTGCGGAAACGAGATTTTAGCAGGGGGGATAATCGGACTCTTTAAATGTAGATAATCCGACCTTAGATTTTTTTTGTAAGATATAACCATTAGTCTGAGCAAAATCCGACTAGATGATTTCTGAGTAACGTGTCCAAATAATCCCATGTAGGCGAGATCCGAATATAGACAATACACCAATAACCTGACCTCTCGCACGACGCATTTCCCGACCCCGACTATGCTCGACTCCATCGGCCATAGTCCAATGATACTGCTATCTGAAAAGCGGCCCTTGCTACCTTTCCAACCCTCAGAAAGACAGATGGACTCAGCGATTTTTTCCCTCGGTCTCCAAGTTCACCGGTTCACCATGTTCACCATGAACAAGCATTTTGTATGTCCATCTGCCTGTACTAATCCATCTGGCATACTTATTCATTCGGTCAAGGTAAATATCGATGCTAATGAGACAGTTTCTACTTCACAGGCCAATGAAATTGAGCTTGTTGATGTGATATCCAAGTCAACCACCATCCAAAATCGGCCCCATGTTATTAGACTTCAGGTTCCACCCAGCATCCAGAACATCATGGTATCTTTTGAGCCAAAGTTTCAAGGCCCCATAGTATGTCATTGGCCTCTGTGTTCTAGGGTTGCGTTCGCTCACCTCACGTATCAGACTGTAGAATTTTCGTTGACTACCATGTTACCAGAAGATCTGTTCATTGCCAACTCCTCTCACATCATTAGTGATCAAAAATGTGTTGTCAATATTAATGAGAGCCTGAATGTTATCACTGGCGAGGTCAAAATTGAGCCTGCAGATGCCAACCAATTGGCCACCACGGTGAGTTACTATGTATTTAATTTTCTTGCTAATGCATTGCATAGGACCCTGGCAGGACGTTGCCTGCAGTTCCAATCTCTGCCCTCTTTGATGTTGCAGGCAACGCTTCTCCCAGTGACAACCATATCAAGTTGACAAGTGCCGAGCCCCTCATACCTTGCACCCCTGTCATTGATAACAGTGAAACTGAGCCTGAAAGTCAGGAAGGGACCCCTAGGCTCCTTGAGGTAAGTTCTAACAGACCGTTCCTCGCTTTACTGATGTCATCTTTTAGAAAGTCACTTCAGAATTACCTGTCTCCGCTGTACCTGCTCGTGGTCCTCACTGTCCCCTCAAGCGTAGCTTCACACCTGATAGCTTTGCCGAATCTGAGGATATTGGTGGTATCAGCACACAGTTCCTCCATGTATGTTTTCTTTTTTTTTCATTTTGCGTCATTATGTACTTATGTTATTACCTAGGACAGATGGGCTCAGATAAGGGAGAACCTCATAGCCAGGCAGGAACATTACAAGCCGATCTTCGCTGATACTAGCACCCCCCCCCCCACCAAACACTCTTGCAAGTAGTACCTTTGTCTTTGTATGTAGAAATTTGCCTTCGCGAGTTGTATAACCATCATGCACATGATCTTTTTTTTTGTCCACATGAGATCCCATTCCCACCCATCTGCACCCACACCTGCACCTGCACCCACTATGCTACATCACCCAGATCGATCAAGCTATAGCCTCGATGGGGTTCTGGCAGTGCCATTGCAAGTCCAAAGGATGCCATGGGGCTCTAGTCCCTGCCCACATTGCCTTTGCCCATGAATGTGCTGATCTCTGTAAAGCTACTGAGGCATTGAAGACCCAGCTGTGCATGGCAGGGCTCCATGTTGTTCCATCAACTTATAAAGACCATGGGTCTGTCTTACGAATGTTTCCACACCCTATATGTGCCCCCCCTGCACCTCTCAATTCCACATAATTGGCAGAAGAGTGGCTGGATAATTGACTTGTAATGGGATATAAGAATGTCCGGTAAGCACATCCAATGAGTAGCATGGCATACTGACATACCTTTACAGCTGTATGATCATTAGAACTCGTCCTTGACAAGGCTTGCTTCAGGGTGACTTCACCTTTCTCTCGAAGTTCTGCAAAGCTCTGTTCAAGAGCGTCAAGGCAAGAAGTCACCGTTTTGTTGTCTTCCCTCAGCCTGGTAAGTTCTTCTTCGAGATTCATCTTCCCTTCAGTAAGGTTTCTAATATCAATCATTATCTGCACAACTGTCACTTGCAAGCTGTGTGTAGGCTCGCATTCATAGCTGCACATTGGCTCATGATCGTAACCGTGCAGGTCTGGCACAAAGGACCTGCTTCTAGAACGATTTGGGGCATACATATGGGAATGGCCTTGCACAAGAACCTCACCATGTCCATGGCTATTCGACTGGCTACAAACAGACCTACTGGAATAGACCAGTGTAGTACATTTGTGTCTGTTTCCATTCCCCTGGTAAGACTTATAGCTGATTGGTTGGTTGGGCTGACTCCCTCCTAGATAGGGATAGGGTGGGGCTTCGTGTGGATCAACAGGACTGGTCATCTCCACATCACAGAACTGATGCTGGAAGGAAAACGAGAGTGTGAATGGCTACAGAGGTAAGGCAAGGTGCGTGGCTATTCAGACAGGAAATCTGTACTGACTGGTGGTCGGTCATTCTGTTGAGCAGGAGTACTAGTTGCAAACAGACCACCTGGATGGCTGGGGAGGATGTGAGAATGCCCCAGCTGCATGCCCGCTCGTATTCGCTGATGGTCTGCCACTTTGACTAGGAGGCACGAATGGATCGTCTGGATGGCCAGGGAGGATGTTAGAGTGCCCCGATGTGTGCCCACTTGGATGCGCCTGAGAGTACATCTGTCTATGGCACAGAAGACGCATTCATACGTGCTGGATTCAGACGAGGGGGCTGGGGGAGCAGCAAGTGAGGGCAGCACCCAGGGGGGGCGACCATTTTCGAAGCACACCGTGTAGTAGGCACTCTGAACATAATCTGATCTTATTATTCTGAATAGTGCAAGTGAAGATGGCAAGGATCGATGTGATTTATATGACGTGACTCATGTACATATCCTATAATCACAGTGTAATCTGCTTAGAATATAGTTGATGAATGTTGGAATTGTCATGGCAATAAGTTCGCGAATCCAACCAGATTACACTTCGAAACGAGAACACCTCACGATGATTCTCAGACATATTATTAGCATTTGCTACTCTTAGGATATAGTATGACTACGGCCTATCACCCGACTATCACCGCACCCGATTAAAATCCCGTTTCCGCAGTGAATGCTCGTTTGGCAAACAGGTTTGCCTAATAAGGGACGCAACTAGTGATGAAGTAAGTACGCCGTATTGGTCTACTTACATAATCCCTCTTTTACTTTCCTCCCGAAAGCCAACATGCCATTCTCTCGCTTTCAGCTTCTGAGGGCGACGACGAGAAGCCCGTGGACGAGAGATTTCCGGCACCTCCTTCCTGTGCCGAAGCACTTTGCCATCAAACAGTCTTTCTATGATCCTGGTATAAAAGCAGTACGCGTCAAGGACCGTATCAAGTTCTGGAATGTCGTTCCGGGTGACCGCGTTCGCGTCCGCGGGGACGGTAGTGGCACAATTCACGAGGTTCTGAGCATCAACAGGTTCACGAACCGCGTTTACTTGAAGGGTACTATCAGAGTGCGTTCGTTGAATACATACTAGCAATTCCGGCGCCCAAATGTTACTCATGTGGTCATAGGAGCCAACAAAGGGCAAGATGCCGGTGAACAAGAGCGTGCACTACTCAAAATGCCAACTATTAATAAAGGAGATGGAAAAGAAGGCGGAAAATGGCACTATAGAGAAAGTGCAGTAAGCCTTCCATTCCATCCATCCATGAAACAACGAATAAAGGTCGCCACTCTTCTCAGCGTCTTTGCGAGGCGTATTGGCGTACGGGACCCCCATTGGAATCCTGAATTTCGCCGGTTTGACTGGAAGCGCGTCGTGCTTGCATCTATACCGGCGCATGTAGAACGCAATGCTGGGAAGGAGATGGTTTTACCTTGGCCTGAACCAGAGGCACCGCCAAAACCGAAACGTAAGTTACCAATTCCCGAAGGCCTTCTGTGTAGCCCAAGTGACCTTCTTCTGCCCGGCAGCCAACATCCTTCTGGATACCCCATCGGAGACCGTTCTAAAAGTTACCTACCAGCCACCAACGTTCCGGACCAGCGGCAAAGCGAAATCAGGGGTTGCCGATGAAAATGCGTATATTAAGACCTTGTTCAGTCCGTCTCCCAGGGGTTTCGATGAATCTCGGCCCGTGGAGCTGCATCTCGCGAAAGAGTTGTCCAATCCGCACAGTCGTGCGAAGAAGCAAGCAAGGTGGCAAGCAGCCCGCCGACGGAAGTCTGAGCTGCTCAAGAAGTTCGTTTCTCGCGAACTCTTGAATCAAGGCGATCGGACTGCCCGTGAGGCACGCGCCGAGGCGGTCTTCAAGTGGCGACAGCAGATGGAGGAGGAACGGAAAGCGGAGAAGAAGCGGAGGTGGTTCACAGCAGAGCGTCTGGCCAAGCTTGCCAGGAAGGCTAAGCGCAAGCAGAGGAAAGCGGAGAAGCAGAAGGAGAGACTTACCCAGTTGGTGCTCAAGGACGCTCCCAACCAGGTTATACCTGGTTCGTCCAAACAACGACGTGCATAGTGTCGCTAGTCCGCCTGGTCAGTTTACGACCTGGTGGTACCCTCTCGATTACTTTATATTCGACTGCTGGATCCGCTTCATTCTCGTTCCCAAAATTTTTCGTGCATCTGAGGTGAGGATGGGATTCTCGTCCCTCTGCTGCAAGTTGTCACACTATTGGGTGGTCCCATGTATTGACTGGTTCGGTACTGAGAGTGTTCCACGGTGAGTGGAATCAAAATTAAAGGTCTCACCTCACTTCAAGGTGTGGATTGTTGGGTATCGGGTATCCGCTGCGCGTGTCTTTCGGGATTCAGACAAAAATGATCTTGGATCACTAGCTAGAAAGTGTAACATAGTCAAAACTACGGCCAGCTAGAAACGTAAAATACACTACAGAACCTGCGCAAGCGCTGGTCGCCCTCACTGAAGGATCGTGGGCAACCGAGCAAATGGACCCAGGCTGCCTTTTGAGCACTTCACGCGAGTGCCCCCCTTCACGATCTTCGGCTTACCGCTCCCTATGGTTGCAACTAACGAGAACACTGTGTATCAAGCCATACCGACGTCGGAGGACGGCGTCCATACTGGTTCAGGACTCAGTACCGAGGATGCACCCTTGACTCGGCACCCGCAGTCATCCACTGCTCCGGTGGACAAACGAATCAGGTGGACCTACTTTCTCCTTGGATGCGCCACTCTTCTTCCTTGGAACGGTGCGTGAAGTGCTCATAGCCATGGTGTGCTCGTATTCGACATGGCGTCCTTAGCACTTATCAATGCGGTTTCCTTCTTCAAATCGCGGCTCGCCGGTACCCCCTTGCGAGCAGTCTTTAGCTCGTATCAGTCCAGCGCTTTTACAGTGACTGGTCTGTTATTCCAGGCCTACTGTACCACGACTTCCAAACAAGTCAGTCCTTCGCTTTATAGCAGCACCCATCGTCTACTGACTTTACCCCTCCATTAAGTCGTCCCCTTCACGCCGTGTATTGGGGTCCATCGTCATCCTTACCTTCTTTGTATTCCTGTTCTTCCTCAGCACGTTCCCTCAGGTCAATCCGTCGATATTCTTTTCGTTCGTGCTTGTTTGCTCAATAGCCATGTCTGCATCGGGAGTATTTCTATCAACCTCTGTCTACGCTGGAGCTGCCTTACTTGGAGGTCCTTACATGCAGTCCACCGTGTCTGGACAGGCTGCCATTGCTGTCATCGTGAGCACAGTTGAACTGATAAGTTCGGCACTTTCAGTTTGGGGTGCGTCTCCGGAGGCCATTGCCACCTTTATCGCGGAGGATGGAATCGGGGATGGCAGGACTGAGGAATCAGCGGCGCAGATTTTCTTTGGAGTTTCCGTACTGTTTATGGCCTTCACCTTCGCAGCCTCCGTGTGGTTGACGAAGCAGCCACTCTACAAGTCGACGGTCGGACTCTTGGATCACCAACCGAAAGCGTCGGAGGTTGCAGAAGATGACGAGGAACGCCATAGACTCGTCTCTGGCAGGCAAAATATCCCGTCACCTAAGCCGAGCTCAGACCTGTGGCGAGTTTTCAAGGACAACTTCCCGTTCATGTTCTCAACGGCCTATACATTTATCGCTACTCTGGTTCGTGAAGGGCCCATTACACTTGCACGTGTTTCTGATCCTTTTCGGTAGGCTGTAGTCCCTGCCATCACTTCTACCGTGTTACCCACGAATCCGCGGGTACATCCGCTACTTTTTATCGATGCACACTTCTTAGTGTTCAATATGGGAGATCTCCTGGGCCGGTACATATGCTCGTTCCCACGTATGATCGTTTGGTCGGCCAATAAGATCCTGGCAATGTCCTTATTGAGAACGTTATTCATTCCCGCCGTACTTCTCTGCAACGTTCAGCGAGCGGTGGAAATTCCTCCTGTCATCGGCTCTGACACGCTTTACATGTTCATTCTACTAGCTCTTGGGCTATCCAACGGCTACGTCTTCACGCTGTCTATGCTGGCTGTTTCGTCGCTGCAGCATAACCATAGACTCAGGGGGTACGGGGACGTGGATATCGCGGCCACCCTCTGTGCATTTGCGGTCATTCTTGGGTTGGCGGTTGGGTCGTTGCTCAGTTTCGGTGTCCGTGCGACAATCTGTGATTGCAATCCGTTCAGTTTGTGACTGGGATAAATGTATAGTTTCAGTATATACAGGATATCGTGATGTGCGTTACCAAGGGTGGAGTCAGAGATCCCTCTCTCTGGGCTATGACATGGTACTGGATGGGATACCTGGCAAACGAGGTGCCAGTGTCTTAGCCTGGGCTGCCTGTCTCCGCTTGCGATGTTCCGCGAGCCGGAGGTTAAAGATATGACGATGGAGGACATAACGTTCATGTGTTGGTCGTGGAGATACCGTCGGTTGTCCTGCACCGGGAGCTTCAGGTTTCTTGTCGGACGTCGACGACTCTTCCGGCACCTTTTGTTTGTCTTGTTCCTTATCATCCTCGCCTTTCGCTGGTTCTGCTGCCTTCTCACCGTCTTCTTTTCTTTTCTCCTCCTTCTGCTTCTGCTTCTGCTTCTCCCGCATCCTCTTCTGCTTCTCCTCCCACTCCTGTTTTACCCTTGCAATTTCCTCGGCGCTCGCGCTAAGCTTCTTGGTGTCATCGTTGTCATGATCTTTAACACGAGTAGCGAAACCGGGGTCTGTCAGATGAACAGGACAGGTGTAGAGGAAGTCTGTCGTGTCGACCGTCGCTAGCACGGTGGTACTTGGCTTGTAGCAGATATAGCAGGCTTTCGCCGTTGCAGCAGTCTGGAAATAATTCTAGTTTGGGGAGAAAGACTGCGAACTAACTCACTCGCTTGTAGTAAACATTCTGCAGCGACATGATCCTGCGTAGTCAGCGTGGAGATCGGGGCTTAGAGGTTTCAGCCTATCTCTAATTCGGATGAGGCGGCGTCCTTATAAAAGGGGGTGGGCTCAGTGCAGTCCTGTGCAGTTTCGTTTCCATCAGCTTTCATCGAACCCATCATGGTCACCACCGCAGGTCAAGTTATCAAGTGCAAGGCCGCTGTTTGCTGGGCCGCAGGCGAAGAACTCAAGATCGAAGAGGTCGAGGTTGCACCTCCACAGGCGCACGAGGTTCGCATCAAGATTATCTACACTGGTGGGGTAGGGAGACCTGGGCGGTACACGATACTGATGCAGTCCATCTCGCAGGTATTTGCCACACGGACGAATACAGTCGCAGCGGGAGGGATCCCGAGGTACGAACAAATCTGACTTGGACTCTGTGTGTAGGGATGATACTCATGCTATCGCCCATAGGGAGTCTTCCCTGTGATCCTTGGTCACGAAGGGGGAGGTATCGTAGGTGTCGGGCGAGCTTCCAATCAGAGGGTCACTGACTACGTTCACAACTAGGTCGAATCCGTCGGCGAAGGCGTCACAGATGTTTCCCCTGTATGTGTTCCCTGTTAGCCGCTCTACTCCGCTGTTTATCTGGCATGCGCATAGGGCGACCATGTCATTCCCTTGTATACAGCAGGTGAGGTTCCCTTTGTAATAGTTGCGCCAAAATGTTTTCTCATGCGACACAAGAATGTCGTGAATGTAAATTCTGCAAAAGCGGCAAGACTAATCTCTGTGGAAAAGGTATGTCGAATGGACTCCATAACGCGCTCCAAAGGCTTACCCTTCATCAAATACTCAGTCCGTGCGACCCAAGGACAGGGATTGATGCCCGACAGGACTTCTCGCTTCACCTGCAAGGGACAGCCCATCCACCATTTCGTACGTGGCTTGCTCCTACTGTATGACTTCGCAGCCGATCCTGTATCGTGTCTAGATGGGAACCTCGACGTTCTCTCAATACACAGTCGTCGCTGACGTCTCTGTTGTCGCCGTCAATAAAGCCGCGCCGCTGGATAAGGTCTGCTTGCTTGGCTGTGGTATTACTACGGCCTGGGGTGCTGTTACCAAACAGCCAGGAATCAGTAGGTGAAACACCTGGGACGATGTCCTCTTACCTTATGCTTGTCGTTCAGGGGACTCGAGTGTTGCTGTCTTCGGGTGTGGCGCCATCGGCCTCGGAGTTATTTCCACTTCGTCAATGGTTGGCGCATCTCGTATAATCGCCATAGACACGAATCCTAAGAAAGAAGAATGGGCAACAAAGATGGGCGCGACCGATTTTGTCAACCCAATGACTCTTCCTGGGGGCAAGCGCATCCAAGATTACCTCATTGAAATTACAGATGGTGGCCTCGATTTCACCTTCGACGCGACTGGCAATGTGAAAGTAATGCGGGCAGCCCTCGAGGCATGTCATAAGGGCTGGGGCGTCTCCACCTGTTATCGGTGTTGCAGCCGCCGGAGAGGAGATCAGTACTCGGCCGTAAGTGATAGCCATTCATAAGCTATTGGAATATCGTGTGACTAGGTAGATTTTCAGGTTCCAACTGGTATGTCCACGAAATTATATCAAAAGGGGTCTATTCTTTATACATCGTAGGTAACTGGTCGTGTCTGGAGAGGCACCGCGTTCGGCGGCGTCAAGGGGCGCACTGAACTTCCCGGCCTTGTTGAAGGTTTTTCTTCGTCTACCAGTCGGCCGCCCTCTTCTGACACTGGTAACTAGAGTATCTCCACGGCAAACTCAAAATCGATGAGTACGTCACCCACCGACGCAAGTTCGCAGAGATCAATGAAGGTTTTCATGATATGCATGTACGTGCTGGAAAATGCGTCGCAAGTTCCCGATCGGTCTTACCTAGTGCTGCAGGCTGGCGAATGCATCCGTTGCGTCGTCAACATGGAATGATCTTGACATGCATACCTTGAACTCCCGTCTTCAACGGAGATTTCTAGCAGGGGTTCCCAAGAGTGAATGTTGAGAGTCGTCAATAAGCATTAAAACTGAGTACACAAGTCAGGTATATACTTAGCGAGAACCATTGTAAGCCAGTAACGCAAGCACGCTAAGCCGCATGTTGTATCAAATGGCGATTACTCCCCAGTAAGGCAGCCCATAAGATGCCCAAGGCTATACTTATCTCTCGCCTCCGCGCCCGCGACTTTCTCCACGCTAGCTTGAGCAGTCCGAGGACTGTCAATATGAATGATATGTCTAAGCACAAGCGCCGGACGATCACGAGGACTGGTGACTGATTTTCACTGTGCAAAAAGAAGTTGAGGAGCCGTTGTAAAACTTCGACACCCCACAATGCTGGCCTCAGCACATGCGCCCACAGACCCATGTCCTCGACGTCCCATTCCAACGGTTCCACTTGTTGTTTTGTGGGGCTTCCGCTCCCCGATCTGCTCAAGGATGGCAGCATGGAATTCGATGTCCGCGGAGGAGGTCGCGTTATTGATGCCTCAATAGAATCAAGACGCTCTGATAATGCCGCCACATGCGCTTGAACATTCTCGACGGCTACCTCGAGAGACATTTCAGCATGTGATGGTGGTCGTGAATCCACGCTGTAGTGACCAGGTAGTGTGAGCAGAGGCTGACCCTTATAATGCGGTAGCGGAGGGTGCGCCTGCGGGCTTAGATCGTGGGAAGAGGGTGTCGGGAGCCTTCCAGAACGGGGTAGCGTTGCGGAGGTCATCGGTCCTGAACGAGAACCATCGAAGGCTGATCGTGTCTCATAAAGGGGAAGGGGCTGCACAGCGGGTACGCTGGAACGACGCGGTGGCGGAGATGTAAGCGTGCTCGTGAGGGGCGTACGGTATCGCGAGGAAATAGAGGAAAGAGGGCGACCTGAGTGCTCACGCAAGGATGGCAGTTCCCGCGCCTTACTGTCAATCTCATCATCGTCAGAGCTACCCTCGGCGTCGTCGTCAATATGCGGAAGGCTACCAGGTATTTCTGGCGGACGGGATACGAATGCAGGGAGTGAGCGGGGACTCTCAGCGGCAGCGCTAGAGCCAGATGAGTCGGACCCCGGTGATGGGGACCTGGTTGATGAGTCTGCGAAGGCACGTCAGTCTACGCGCAGGAGAAATGGTGTCAGACATACGACCAGTATTATAAGCAGGACCGTACGATTGCAGGTCATTAACGAGGCCTTGGGCGGTCGCCTTGTCAGAATGCTTGTTCAAAGCCTGAAATAATAACATTTAAAAAAAAGCTCAGAATCCAGTCCACGAACAGATATTTTAGGGTTAACACCTTAAGCAGAGCATCCACGTAGCGCCACTTTGCCTCGTACGGGTTCATGTCCTTGAGCTTTGCCCAAGCATCCCTACAAATGATTAACACGTGATATCGGTCGGTGACAACAAGGCAGCATGGAACACACCACTTTGCGCGTCCAAGCATATCCAGGAGACCTGGCCGAGGGGATGTGACATTCCCAATTGTGGCTGGAAGGTAATGTGGAATGGTGAGATTCAGCGCAGAGCAATTCGTCATGATGCCCTACCTTGCTTGTAGAGACTGCGCGGAGGGAGGCAGGGGAATTGTCAGCCCACACAACAAGAGAAACCTTTTTGGACATCAGCACACCTGTACATGTTCAGCTTCTCTTCGTATCCGGTTTGTATTGGCCCTGTCTTTGGCAGGGCTTGCACTATCTCCACTGCCCGGTTGAACTGGGCGTCAAGAAGCTGGTGTGGGTCCATTCCAGTGAGCTCAACAGCTGAACAGAAACCGCTCTACTCGAATCTCAGCACGAGAAGTAATAACTAGGTGAGGTCGACCGCTGGACAATGGCGACGGGACTGGGGCGTGTGCGGCCCGTGTGGAGGTGTCGCTTCAAGACGCGCCCGTGTGACACCGGGTGTGACTTGTCTTGTGCGTGACTTCTGATTGGCTCCCCCCTGTCGGCCTCGCAGCTCACACACGGCTCAGTAAAAGTCTATGTCATTTATTCGAGCTCGATGTCATTATGGAACAGGATTAAACTACATCAGATAGCCTCCCAGGAAGCGAGGACAAGTCAGGGTTTTACGAATGCTGGTTAAGCATGTCAATATGCAGAGTAACAAGGATTCATTCAGACATACGCGATATCACGAGCTCCCAGTCGACCAATTATACTTTAGTGAGCCAGGTATCAGCTCCTCACGCTCGCTCACCATTTTACCTGATCCACGTCCGTAAGTTGAGTCAGAGAAGTATGTGTTATCAAGGAACCCACCCTTCCATACTAATCTCCCCCATGCTCTCCCATGTTTACCCTCGAGCTTTAGTTTCGTCCTTGTGACCTGCCAGTAGGAGCTATGAATGCCCTTCTGTGCCCACCGACTTTGATGTACAGTTTGGCCGACGCCATCCCGAGGGTACCTCGACAACACTTGGCAAAGAGTAGCCGGCTTTGATTGAAGAGACGGAGGGAGCTCCTTGGGGAGCAGCGTAAGGATGGCACGGGTCGCGTTGGGTGGTAGCCTGGGTCCCATTCAATAATTGGTTTGCTGTCCAACCTCGACGACGAGTGTGGTTTTGGTAGTGCTGGGCTTTCTTTCCCACGGACTCATCTGTCTCATGCTAGTAGCCAGGCTCCTCAGGTGCAGATATCGTCGGCGGACGACGATATCCAAGCGTCCGCTAACAACGCCGGCTGTCGAAACCGACGCATGTGGAATACCTCTCAATCCAACCTGGTCCGTTAAGGAGCTTCTTTCGTCGTATCCGTCGCCAACCTTGTCTTCTTCCACTTTCCGGCGGCTTCACGAATTATCTGCCCTCATACCACCCGCTGAGGAAACACCAGAACATGCTGAGATAAAGACGGAATTCGAGGAGTTAGTCAGGCTTGTCGAAGCTGTCAAACTCGTTCAACTCGACGACTACCCCAGCGATACCATTCCGGATGGGAGGATATGGGCCGAGGGCAAGGGACTACCTCTAGAGAGCAGCTCTTCCACAGAGGGAGATGAAGTGCAAGGGAGAGACCTGCTTCGAACTCGCCAGCCGAACTTTGGATGGAATGTACGTCGTCGAGGCCAATAGCAAGAGATGATTATGCACGTTATAGCAAATAACTTGCAGTGTGCGTAGAAATAACATCTCATAACGATTTACTCCATAACTTAGCCTATCACTCGGGATCGACCAGGCAGTTGTGGCTAATATGACACTACTGCAATAGGACACCAGCCGTGCAAAAAAGGTGAACGGAGTCCATGGCTGCAAGACTTCTTTGGTAGTGGCATATGTGGTCAAGAAGACAGCAGTTTATGTCCACCTGTAGAGCCGAAGCCATTGCTCCCTCTAGCAGTTTCGTTCAGGCTCTGATGAAAAAAGGTCATTGTGTGTTTGGATAGTATGTGACGCAGGCGCACTTCAACTTCCAACACCTCTGGGGTATAGATTCTCTCGAGGATAAGCTGGGCGATACGATCACCCTCTTGAACTTTGGGACTATGAGGCTCAAGCATGACAAGGGGGCTCCGACGCACCATGAAAATCTGTGTCCGAAAAGTTGTAAAGGAGAACGAAAATTACGCCACGGTAGTCTGCGTCAACGACCCCGGCGCCGGTATCTATCATGAATTTTGAAGCTGGGAATCCCGTTGTCACTTGAGTTACTCGCACAAGTGTGAAATGGGCACTCACCGAGGCCACTGCGAGGAGCGACGCGTCCATATGTCCCTGGAGGTACAGCTATTGAGAGCTGAGTGTCTACCATGGCTTTCCCTCGGGCAGGGATGACTTTGTCTTCGGCACTGCACGATAAAATCAGCGGGAGGGGCGCGTCTTTCGCGACGCGTTTTCTTTACCTGTACAAGTCATAGCCTGCGGCGAGGGCGGAGCCACGAGTGGGCAACCTGGCCTTGTCTGATAATCTCTTGACAAGCAGCTGAGGCTTCTCTCGACGCGTCAGCAGAGTCGGACATTCTCCGTTTTTTGGTTTCAGCAGTCATCGTCAGTTCTGAGGTTTGTTAGAGCGTGTTCCGGCCTTTATTTAATGGCTCGCGAATTTCCTAAATAGTACATTCCTTCACACGTTCATTGACCCACCTCGTCTTTCTTTCTTGTTTCTTTTTTCTGCATTTCAATGCAATTGAATACACGTCGGAGGTGGCCGTGGGTGGAAGTTGCATCACCTGCACCGCCGCCACGTGACCATACACGTGATGCATCCGAGTCCGGTTCAAAAAACGCGCCCCGCTCTGATCACTTTTCCTGCATGGATTTGTCTCAGCAGGAGCTCCCGTTGACGTCTTATTTTGTCAAGGCGGCCAAGGAGTACAAAGCAGTCGACCATCCTTCCCGTAAACGGAAGCTAATCACTACTCATGATACAGGGGCAGTTCAGAACAAACGAACAAAGGCAGGCCCAGTGCAAGATGCACATACTGGTCCAGGTCGCTCTACGCCTGACAATCAGTCGGTGCGCCGTACTAATTCGCGCGTAAATTCGACCCACTTGCCTACACCAACGACCGCCGTTCGTAAACGTCCGGCTGTTCCTGCGGCTCAGCGCGCCGGAGATACCTCGCCGATGCCACATGTGAATCGAAAGGCGGCTCACCAGTCATCCATTACGAGCAAGAAGCTGATCGTGCTATGCGATATAGACCTTACTCTGAGTGATTCAGACGACAACCCTTTAGAAGTCCTCCCCCAATCCAAGAAATCAGACAAAGTGCTTGAAGCCCAATGCTCACCTGCAACCCGATCATTGCCAACCCCATCCTCTAGAAATGTGGTGGCAAATATGCATGTAAAGAATGTCTATACAGGCCCTACCACCCCCGCCTCCAATGTTCGCAAGACCGCTCTTCCACGTATCTCTCCGCAGTGCTTTCCAACAGCTGCACGCGGGGTACCTGCACATAAATTTGCGAATATCCCGCCGCTGTCTTCCGTTACGCCATCTGCACGTACACTTCCACATGTCTTGCCATTGTCTCCAACTCGTGGTCGTTTGTCAAAGTCCACTTCAGAGGTCTTCACGGTTAAGGTTTCTGGTGCACCCGATGGACCGCTTTCCTCTAACCGCACATTCAGTGGCTCACACTCGTCGGATCGACCAGACGACGACAATCCGTTCGATTCCACAGTGTGCAAAGACCCCTCAGCCATTCATGGTCAGCGAAAAGTATACCAGTCGCCTTCAGCAGAGTCTTCCACAGTCACCCTCGACACATCTGACACGCCAACTGAAATCAATATCCCAGTTCAAGCTGTGGCTTCTTCACAAAGTCAATACTTGCTGTCCATAGAGGCAACACCAAAACGAAACCGAAGTCATCCCTGCCATGATTTCGTTCCGGGTTCACAAACACAAGAGGAAGGCGAGTTGTTCATAGGCATGCAGCCATTCTCGGTTCCCAACCGTGCCACGGAGATATCAGTTGGAAACCAGAAACTGACATTGGAAAGGCAAGTCCTATTGGATTTGTCTGACCTGAAATGTTGACACCACCTGCAGAGCTGAGGAGGCATCTCGTACACTGTCGCCTTTCCGTGTTCACACTCCTCGGCTTTCAGGGACCGCTCTTAATGCATCGTCCGAGGGAACCCGACAAGTGGTCGGTCCATCACCCTCATCCAGGCCTCCTGTCCAATGTAGAAAGGCGGATCGGCATCGATCACGCACAAGGTCATACTCTCCCTCCTCAAATACCCTGTCGCGACAGGACTCGATGAACGTTCCCTCCATTTTGAGTGACGACTCTGCGACAGAACCGGAGTCTGACACTGAAATTCGAAATTGCGCAGCTCAGATTGCACAAAAGCGAGCGGACCGGGCTCCCACCTCCCCGCGAGGAGCGCTACGTCCCTTCGTTTCTCCACTGGTTTCTCCGGTCAGGCAGCGGTACACTCCAGAACCATCTGTTCCGAGCTCTTTAGGAGCCCTTATGGAGGACGGAGTGGGACTTAGCGTGCCTATGTCCAATGCGTTATCTCGTTTCCATGGAATGCGTCTTCGGAGACAATCGGACCCATCGGATTCATTACCTTCTGTTGCTCGGAACTTTATGGATATGTTTAAGGGAGACGGTAGCTATCCGGATGATTTCCCAAACTCCCTCCGTGTATAGAGGTTGTGCGTCACACAGCAGGCAAGTTATTACAGACTGTATCATTATAATTATCTCTGTATTTTCCAGAAGCCATTGTACATTAATTACATATTCACGCATCTCGCAGGTGGTATTTCTATTGCGCAGAGGAACGGGAGAAACGAAGAGCAATGGGCAAGAACACTTGCCTTTTGTTAGAATGGTAGTAGTGTTTGATAAACTTGAAATAAGTTTGGTGGGGCTCAGTTGTTGAGTAGACAAGTGAAGAACGAATATAGAATTTGATGGGGATTGAGGAAGAAATCCCCGAGTTTATATACATGAGTAGGTATGCATGGACCAGTAGTGTAAAAGGAAACTACTACTCAGTATAGTAAAGAATAGTGCAGAAGGTCATGGAATATGATGTATAATATGATGTCACTATGACATCATTGTGGAGCTGATTGCTAAGGAATGTCATGTGATAGATAACATGTTGATACACATGTAAGTCTGGATCAATCTAGATGTCGGAACTATTAAGAATATTTCCAACACTCCCCCTCGCTCTAAAATGGTAAGGTCACAAGACCCATTGATGAGCAATTAGTTTCGAACTTCTGCCAAGTTAATGATTTTGTAAGACTGTCTGCTTTTTGTTTGTCAGTTTGAATGTATTCAATACTGAACAAATTATCTTGAACACATTCACGAACGAAGTGCCATTGGACATCAATATGTTTGGAATGTCTGTCCGATACAGGATTCTCTGCAATGAAGCGAGCTCCCATATTGTCACAGTAAAGAATAGTCTTTTCGGTCTTCAACTTGAGTTCATCAAATAGCATAGAAAGCCATTTGATTTGTCTGGCAGCATCGCATAAAGCCATATATTCGGCTTCAGTGGAGGAAAGTGCGATAGTCTTCTGTTTCCGAGATCGCCAAGAGATTAGGGAATTGCCAAGATACATGGCATAACCGGTGGTAGAATGATGTGTGTCTTTATTTGCAGCCCAATCAGAATCTGCAAAGCCATAGATTCGAGATTCAAGTCCTGAATAGTATAAAGCCAATTTTGGAGTAGATGCAATATAGCGAACTATATGCAAGGCTTTATTACGATGTTCTTTGGTAGGATTTGCCATATATTGAGACATGCGAAATAACTGCAAAGGCAATATCAGGACGAGTACCGAGAGCCATATAGAGTAATGACCCTATGATTGATTGGGACTGTGACCGAAGAGAAGATGTGGCTTGATAATCTGATGGTGCTTTTTCTGGTTGATATCCTGAGGGTAATGGAGTGCGAACATTTTGAGCAGTCTCCATGTTAAATCGCTTGATAACCTTTTTAACATAAGGTATCTGGTCAAGATAAATTTCTTTCTTTGACCTATTTTGGTGAATTTGAATGCCAAGATATTCCTTGACTTCACCAAGATCTCAGGATTCCCATTTCTTCATAAATTGTTCCTTCTTGGCTTTGAGAAGATGTTTGTCTGATCCTAGAAAGAGCCCATTGTCGACATAGATGAGAAAAATGACGATTCCAACTTTGGATATGTGGATATAAATCCCAGCATCCACTTTAGATCGAATATAGCCCATTGCGAGTAAGGATTGATGAAGGGCTTTATTCCATGCCAGTGCAGCTTGCTTTAAGCCATAAAGGGCTCTAAGCAACCGATAAACCTTGTGTTCTTGACCTGAAACTTTGAAACCTTCTGGTTGCTCCATATAAATTTCTTCATCAAGGTTGCCATATAGAAAGGCAGTTTTGACATCCAGGGCTTCTGTGTCCCAATTTCTTTGGGCAGCAAAGGTGAGTAAGATTCGAACTGTTTTGAATCGAGCCACTGGAGAGAAGGTATCTTCAAAGTCAGTACCGAATTCTTGTGTAAAGCCTTTAGCCACAAGACGAGCTTTATAACGACCATCACTTTTGATAGCAAAAACCCATTGACACTTTACAGGTTTCCGATCTCGAGGAGGATCCACCAAGGTCCATACTTGTCTTTCTTCAATAGACTTTAATTCATCCTTCATAGTGTTGAACCACTTCTTTTGTAAATTGGGAGATAACTTTAGCACATCTTTGTAATGTTCCGGTGATTCTTTGATCCGGGCAGCCAATGCAAACTCAAAAGGATGCATTTCCAATTGTTGGTCTGGCATGCCTTTTGGCGAATCAGGAGTATCCAGAATAGGAGTAAGTGGAGATCCAGGAGATGTAGGAGTAGTTCCCTGTGGATGTTCTGTCCACTGACAAGGAACTTCAGGAGGAATCATTGCAGGAGGTAACCTTGGAGAAGGAGGTCTGCGTTCTTCTGCATATCTCTGAATATCTTCTCTGGAATTACGAGCATGCTGTTCAGCATTGCAAATCCACTGTTGTGCTTGATCCCGATTTCTTTGAATATCTCTCTCAATATCCACTGGAGGTCTGTCTCCATAGATGTTTCCAGGATGAGATACTGGTATAAAGCGATGTTTAGGATGAGGTTCTCTGTCATCGGCAAGTGGTTGAGCTCTGCAAACATTATGTGAGTCTCCTTGAATAAATTCAGGTTGATGAGGATGCCTAAGATGATGAGGGTCAACTGGTGGTGCAGCAGCAGGTGCTCTTCTTTGTTGAGCTCTGGGCTGGTCTGCAGCTCTCTGCTGTGGGTTTTGTGGTTGTGGTGGAGTATTAGGACGAGGTGGTTGGCATTGATGAGGCGCTGGTTGGATCTGATCAGGATCCGGTAATGAGTGTAGGCTTTCTGAGTCGGAAGAAGTTGATTCATGGTCGTCTTTGGTATCAGGGTCAAAGGTTTCAGATTTTGAATGACCAGAGCAGAAAGGAAAAGAGTCTTCTACGAAATTTTGCAGTGCAAGAAAGAATAATCTTCTGTCCATGTAAGAACCGATATCCTTTTGTATTAGGCTCATAGCCTAAGAAAATCATTTTGACTGCATGCGGTTCCAATTTATCTTTTCTTTGTTCTTTCGGAACCCATACAAAAGCTCTGCAGCCAAAGGTGCAGAAATAAGTGATATCCAGGATTTTTCCTAAGAAAAGTTCAACTGGAGTTTTGAAAGTAATCCTCTTGAGAGGAGTTCGGTTGTACACATGAAGTGCACAGTCAAAGGCGAAGTTCCAGAAGCATTTTGGAACACAAGCATGGTGTCAAATGGTCCCAGCTTTTTCAGAAATGGTCCGATTAAAGCGTTTGGCACAACCATTTTGCTGAGGTTGGTCGGCGATAGAAAGGTAATGGGTAATCCCGCACGAAGAAAGGAGCGCTTTGAAAGTGGTACCCATAAATTCTCCCCCTCGATCTGAACGGAGCGCAAGAAGATGATGCCCAGTAGTATTTTGCACAGACACCATCCAATTGGTGAAAGCAGTATAAGTGTCAGATTTATTGTGAAGGTAGAGACAAAAACCATAGGATGAATAATCATCCAAGAGGGTTAAGATATACTTGGACCGAAAATAAGATTCAACAGGTAATTCGAGAAGGTCAGCATGGACCAACTCGAGAGGTCAAGTAGCTCTTTTCCATGATGGTTTAAAAGCTTCAGAAGAAAGTTTGCCTTGTGCGCAACCTTTGCAAGAGGTAGTCTCCCCCTGTATTTGTATTTCGTGTTTAAGGCCCAATTGGCAAATATGTCTGAGAACTGCAGAAGCAGGGTGACACATGCGATTATGCCAAAGAGACTCTTGTGTATCCTTGACCAAAGGGCAAAGGACCCCAAAAGCAGTGGTAGGTGGAAGCAGTACACCCACAAACCAATGTAGAGGTGAAGTCAGTGAAGCTACTTTTGCTTCAAGGACAATCTGGCCATTTGGTGCTCTGATAGTCTCGCCAGTAAGTGTCGCTGTGCTCCTATACCCATTATTGAGGAGTGCATTTTGTGAACATAGTCACTTTGAAAACAAAGGACTGTAAACAACATTATGAAGTGGTAGGTTACTGCCATTTTCCAGGCGAATAACCACTGTTCCTTGACCGAGAAGTTGAACCTTTTTAGTGCCTGCAGTAGAGGCCAAAGGTGGATTTTTAAACTCTCGATAGGTCAAGAAATCAGTTTTAAAAGGAGTCACATGATGTGATGCTCCAGAATCCAACATCCATAAAGACTCACCCTTTGGTAGGTTCTTTTTTAGATTCAAATATGACAGTGGCACACCCAAGGGGTAACAGTCATAAGAATTGAAGGCATGACCATCAAACTGCATGGGTAAATACCCAGAGGCAGATTCATTGGGATCATACTCAATGTCTGGATTATGCTTTATGCGGAATGGTTTACATACAGGTTTTTCTGGCACAGATTCGTGAAATTGTGCTAAGGACATAGGGCGATTCTTCTTTTTAGAAGAATTTTTTATAAGTACGGATTTTTGGAGAGATCCTCTGTCTCTACTATTCTGTCCTCGAAGTCGAGGGGAAGAGAGATCATAAGTCTGTTTGTTCGCCTGAGGCGAATCGCCATGGTCCTCAACATTCCGAGTCTCCACCAAGTTCTCGCCAGCCAAAATGGAAGTTCCCATTCATACTGAGGGTTCGAGGGAACCACTCGTACATGACCCATCCTGCTCAGCAGGGGGAAGGGAAATCGTCCTCGGATGAGAGTCCGAGTACTTCCATTGCTCTGGTTCCTGAAGGGAAACCACCAGCAGGTTGCAAGTTGTGGCTGATTGGCAACAAATAGAACATTGGCAGGAATTAGAGCCAGGAATGTTAACACGAATCTTGACTGACTCAACTTGATCCAGTTGGAAATTTTGAATTTCCTCCAGATACCAAGGAGCAAGATTTCCGGTTGTAGCATCAACTGGATAATTGGGGGAATTCCCAATAGCTTCCATCGCCATATTTAAATCTTGGCGGGAAAGATCAGGATCATACATCTCAGTGTCAGTTATGACATGTTGACCGAGATATGTATTAAGGTCGTTAGAATAGACTCGTTCAACCAGAGTAGGATCCGGGAGAGAATATTCTGGAGATGGTTTGCGATGTGGAATTTCGAGAGCATCTAGCTCCAAATCGAAATCGAAATTTTCAGCAGCATTCTCGAAAGTAGATTGGTCTGGGTAAACATCCCAGGACCGAGAGTTTGGATCAGAGGAACCTTCTGAAAGTTCCTTGATATAGGCAGTGTCAATTGCTTCTGCGCCTTCTACTTCGAGATTATTGGCTTGGGCTTTGCCCTTGCCTTGGCATCTGTTCTGGCCTCAGCCACGAGAACCAGAACCTTGCTGCTGTTGTTGTGGAATATAGGGAGTATGACCTCCATGTCCATGTCCACAACCTCCACGACCTCTTCCATGACCTCCACAGTAACCGTGAAAGGATCCTGATCCAGATCCAGATTGATGATCGGAAGTATTATGTCCACCTCTGCAAATTTGACAGAGTGGCGGCTTATTCATACGTGCCAGAAGAGAATTTGATTCTTGTTTAATCTGAGTCAAAGATGACCCAGATTTATCCTGTTGTGGAAGCATAGTTTTGCCTGATTTGTGGGCCCAGACTTCTTTCATTTGAGGTATGACGGTATTGGGAGAAAGTTGATCAGCAGCAATAGAAGATAGAATATTGACAGGTGCTTGTTCCCAGGCTTGGGTCATTGAATGGACAAGGATGAGCACTTTCATTTTATCATTTAGGGCAATGCCCTGAGCACTAATGGCAGCTATGAGCATAGTTATTTCTGCGATTTTGGCCATTATATCATCCTTCAGTTTAATTTGGATACGGATTAGGCATTGAAACTCCATGAAGGTTGTCATCGCCGAAGGAGTTCCGTATTTAGTAATGCAGTCCATTTCAAATGAGCAGTAGCTTGTCCATCAATAGACATAGCGATCATTGGATCGCAATACAGTGTAAGAATGCCTTGGGCATGTGTATCAGATGTGACCCAGGCAGCAATGTCTGCAGCAGGACCACCAGCAGCAGGTCTTGCAACTGTGCTGTCAACGATTCCCATAATACCAAGAGTTTGCATATAAGCCTTCATAAGAACCAACCAAGAGGCATAGTTCAAGCTGTTAAGCTTGGGGATCTGCTTGGAAAGACCTTCGGACATCTAGTGTCAAAAGTCCATAAGCAGATGTTCGTATAAGAACGAGTGAGTCAGATGAATTTTAATGGATGGAGGATTAAGTTCATGAATCCGATTCCTTTTGGGTCTGTGAGCAGAAGCTCTAGCAGCTTGAGATGGACGGTGTCAACAAGTACCTTGGGTTTTGAAGTAAGGATGAGGATTTCATCTTTTCTCCATTTTGGTTTGAGGTGCCATAGTACCTTTCTCAGCGAATCTCCAAGATGAGATGCGAGAATTATTGCGCTCTAGACTTAAAAAGTCTAGCGGAGGGAAATAGTGGTAGCTCATAAAGCTCCAGTTGCAATCATGCAACGGTATCCCATCCGAATGAAATCCCAAGTAGGGATCAGCGCAAGAGTATGGTACATTTATGGCAGGAGAATAGCGAAAATGTTTGTCCTTAACTAATACTTCCAGACAATTGTAAGATTCATACAAAGTACAAGTATTAGTTTCCCAATGGTTTCAGCCACCAGATACGTACAGTATGTCCAGAGAGCTTGGAAGAGGATAGCTTCTGATGTATGGCGCAAGCTTCACGAGCTTGGCTAAGAGCGGTGGTGCATATTCTGCGAGGTCGGGGTTCTGCGAGATAATCAAAAGTAGTGTCGTCCATGACACATTCGAGATCGCGTAAAACCTCCTCTGTTCCAGGGCCAGTAAGTGAATCCTGCATTAATGGGGTCTGGACCCCATGAAAGATGCCGGTTGACAGTGTTATATCACAGGGTAACTCCCACATCAGCTTCATCCCTATACCATCGAATAGACCTAAAGAGGTCGCTATCAAACCTGTCTCCTCTGCATCTCCATTCTCGGAACCATCCCGGGATACAGGCAACGTTGGTGCTTCCGTCAACCCAAGTTCCTCTGAAATGGAACTCAAGATGCTGGTTCCAAAGGCAGAGAGGAGGGAGGATACCATTGAAGCAGGGATCATAGAGTGGGTGGATGTTGTAGTATATGTAGCAAAACGTATCGTGGGTGACCGAGAAGGCAGGAACAGTGTCGAGGGAAGGATCTTCATAGTAGGCTGAAGGAAGATCACAACCATTGAAATTAGCAATCGCGTGAGGAGTCGACATATGAGAAAGTTTAGGGAAGAAGTCAGTTAAATAACCGTGGAAGGCAAGATGAAGGCCCGGATAAAAGAAGGGCGATTCAAAACCAGGAAAGTGGGGCATTTGTTGCCACACTGTTTCCACAGTGTCAATGGGAACGAGGTACATCGCAGGGTTTGGCTTCTTGAAGAAAGCCATCAATGAAGGAACCACCTCACACCAAGATGCACACCCTCGTACGTATAACATCTCAGTGTATTCTATGATCTCTTTAACCACATACTTCCACCACTTTACTTCATACATCCCATCCCACTGCTCAGCAATGGCGAGCTCGAGCTTCTTAGCAATGACCAAAGACATCTTTTTACAGACCGTAGATTAGTTCCCATAATTTCATAAAAGAGCCACGAACGAGTGTTTTTAAAGTAAGTCAAACTCCATGTTATCATCAGCGACAACAGCGAGAATGAGCTCAGGATTGAGCAACTCATTCAAGGCAACGATCTCCTCAGGGAGGGGAGTTGGGGCCCAACGTGGAGAAGGCAGATCTCGTGCTTCAACCTCGTCATAAGGTGGAATGGGATCTAGGTCAGTGTCATGGTCGATGTTGGGAAGATGGAAATGAAGGTAATGAGGGGGCAGAGTTGGAGGATGAAGAATGAGATGCTGTAACAGCGCTCTGCGAAGAATCTGCTCTTGTAACAGAAGCTGTCACCTTCACCACCAAGCGGAGAGACCTAGAAAGGAAAGCCAAAAGGCTACCGAGCATACAAACAGCTCATGTAGATTAATCGGATCATAACCACCATAATGAAGTAAAAGAACCGCCTGGTTAAGACCAGCGGCAAGCGACATGGCGAAGACTACTACTACTGTCCCTAGTGCATCTAGGCCTATGACATCCATCGTGATTTGCCCATCGGCAGTGATCACTCAATGCAAATGCATAAATAGCTGACTGCCTAGTAAGGGGCAGGGCTCATAACCTATTGTGCAGAGGAACAGGGAGAAACGAAGAGCAATGGGCAAGAACACTTGCCTTTTGTTAGAACGGTAGTAGCATTTGATAAACTTGAAATAAGTTTGGTGGGGCTCAGTTGTCGAGTAGACAAGTGAAGAACAAATATAGAATTCGATGGGGATTGAGGAAGAAATCCCCAAGTTTATATACATGAGTAGGTACACACGGACCAGTAGCGTAAAAGGAAACTACTACTCAGTATAGTAAAGAATAGCACAGAAGGTCATGGAATATGACAGTATAATATGATGTCACTATGACATCATTGTGGAGCTGATTGCTAAGGAATGTCATGTGATAGATAATGTGTTGATACACATGTAAGTCTGGATCAATCTAGATGTCGGAACTATTAAGAATATTTCCAACAATTTCGGTGTCAGGAACTGCATTAGGCCGAGGAGAAACAAGTCAACATCAGAGGGTCTGCCATTGTCACGTGGATGTGACCGAACGTGTTGGCAAATCAGAATCTCCGTCTCCGATCGTACGAGCAATAAGATAAAGGAGCTCCAATACGACTGATCTGACCGACGAACGAACGAACTCGAACATTCACTAGATCACGATACACGATGCCCGGTAGACTTCAGTACAAGGTCAGATACGTTCAATGCATGGCGATTGTACTGACCGCGATTTGGTATAATGACAGAGTGCCCTGGTCACTGGTGCTGGATCGTAAGTTCATCATGTAGAGACCTGCAGAGCACAGATCTTATCGTTAACTCAGCGGTATCGGCCTCGAGTCGTCCCTGTTGTTCGCACAAGAGGGTGCTAATGTTCTTCTCGTGGATGTTAACCTGGCGGCTGCTGAGAGGAGTGTAACTCTAATCAGAGATCGATTCCCCGAGGTCAGGGCATTGGCGTTCAGAGCTGATGTCGGACTAGAGGCAGATGTAAAGGCTGCAGTTGATCTTGCAGTCAAAGAGTTTGGAAGGTTGGATATCATGGTGCGTTTTAATTGACACTAAACTAAACACAATAGTCCTGAGCCTCAAGATCCGGTTTAGTTCAATAATGCTGGTAAGATCATTCATGCATCCCTTTGAGACTATATCGAAATCGCAACAGGGATCATGCACCCGAATGATGACAACGCACTCAACACAGAGGAGCGAATTTGGGACCTTACCATGACAATCAATGTCAAGGGCGTTTGGTGGGGTTGTAAATACGCCATCCTTGCAATGCGCCAAAATCCGGTGGATGAGATCAAGGGCCTCCGAAGCGGTGGAAGCATTATCAATACTGCAAGTTTCGTTGCTATCATGGGAGCCGCTACGCCCCAGCTAGCTTGTAAGTATCCTGGCATGTACAACGGAAGAAAAAAAGAGAGACTGACCGATCGCAACGAAATAAGATACCGCATCCAAGGTTCGCTTGATTTTGCTTTCTTCGTTCCAAGACACTAATCGGACCAGGGTGCCGTTCTCGCTATGACCCGCGAACTAGCGATGGTCCATGCCCGGGAAGGTATCCGGGTGAATTCAATCTGCCCGTACGCATTTCTGCACCTTCTGAATTGAAACCTACTAATCTGAGTTCAACATAGCGGTCCCCTGAAAACCCGTAAGTGAACCGCGGCTAGTGTAGAGTTCCGAAATTCACGTGAGGCGCGCAGCTCTTCTCATGGACTTCTTGAACACCCCGGAAAAGCGAGAGAGACGCCTCGTTCACCTCCCAATGGGTCGCTTCGGCGAAGCCGTCGAAGTTGCCAAGGGTGCTCTTTTCTGTGCGTAGATCGTCTATCGACTTGACAACTTTTGCCTGACATATTTAGTGGGTAGCGATGATAGCAGTTACGTGACCGTATGTTATCCTCAAACCCTTCCATCGGGTGGTCTGCTCATTAGGTTATCCATTGACAGGGAACGGACTTCAAGGTTGACGGTGGTCTGACATCTTGCTATGTCACTCCTGTTGGAGAACCTGCTCTCTCTCCTCCTGCAAGCCTCATTTAAGAGCGATCCACTTCCAACGAAGTTAAATGTGCACCTAGAACGTCATTTGTGTAATTTTAGATTGTACTGAATGGGACGCTCAAATACTCAAATGAATTGGCCAATTTGTTGGGTCATGCCATGGTCCACCTCGTGCAGCATAGGCAACTGATAACAGGGTCCACCCTCCTTGGTTAGCGATGTGCCGCACAGCAGGCATTTCTGGAGATTATCTATCTCTACAGCAACAACCATACATGGAAACTACATTACAGCGAAACCGATATCAAACGAGGGCCAAGGGTGTACTTTCCGTGATGCAAAGGGCGCGACTGATAGCAAACTTGAACCAACTGATTGTTCCGATCTGACCTTCAAGAGGTCTTCTTTTCAGACCTGCGTTTCTCCGCTTTCTCACGTCGGATCCGGGCAATCTCGATGCCAATATCATTCTTCAGCTGCTTACGGAGCTCGGGGCGGTAGCCTACTGCGAACAAGAGCTCGAGGTGCACGAAGAAAGGGGCGAGAACGATTGCTGCGAAACAATTTCTCAACGTGTGGACTTCAAAATGATACTGATGAACTACGTACCGCCGAGGATGTTATCGAACAGCGCGGGAGCCCGACCCTCCATAAATCCGTGTCCAATGAACTGAGCGACCCATGAGGTTACGTGAACGATAATGGCGTTCCGAATGCCATCAGGACGATGTGCGTAGGCTGTTGCGCTCAGAAGTGTCAAGACCATATGAGGCGTGTAAAGGAACTAGATAAGTGAGATCATAAAATATAGTAATCAGTCTCCGTAGCAGTCGTGTTAAGAGACGAACATACTGCAGCGACTGGGTCGAGGATGACGTAGTAGATGATGTAAAATACGGCCATAAGAGCCGGGGCATTCGTTTCGAAGACAAAGGACTCGTTGAAGACATATTTGATGGGAGGAAGGAAGGCAGGTGGTGGGAGCTGAGTAGACAGCACGAAGGCGCTCCTGGGGTCAAATGCAGTGCTGATTCGATGCCCGTGGACGCAAACAACTTACCAGAGAATCGCTGGCACCCCGAAGATGTGGATCAAGACGTTCACGGGATGGGAATGGTAAGCGCCATAGAAAGCAAGCTAAGTACGAAGAGTTGCCGATGCGTATCAAGTGGTGCATAAGGCAAGGCGACTCCAGAATAGAGAACTCTCAGAGGCGTACCTGCTTACGCACGTCGAACAGGGATGACATGATGACAGTGGATGAAAGTCGAGTCTACGAACCAGGGCGCTGTATTCTGTTTCCATAGAACCTTTAGTATTTATGTGTAGAGTCATCTCCGGGCCCGCAGCAAAGTACTCACGCCAAAAACACGTGCGTTTCGAACAAACCGTACACGTATAGTCCCTCACCCGGCCTTTGCAACTAACAGAAAGCATTTATTTTACTGGTGATATCGAGAAATCGTGCAGACATCCATCGCTCGCTTTAGTTCTAACTAAAGATCGGACTTGCCGTTGCCGCAGTAATCCGTCTCAACGTCGTGGGCATGAAAGGCAGGCTATTGAGTAGACACGTGACCGCAGGTATACGAAATCACGCTGGGGCGACGCCGGCACCAAGCTTCCTCCATTCGACATGGTTCGGTCGACCATAATTGTACGGGCATCAGATGCATTACCGCTCGCCGCTAGCGTAGACGACGAACAGGTTGGTTCCTTGGGACTCATTGTAGTGGCGGGCAGCAGCTTACAAGCCACGTAGACCGAGCAAACACTCCAGGAACACAAGCAACAAGCCAAGCTTATATTCCGTCGCATAACTCCCCATTCCGAACCAAAGTGTTCCATCGAAAGCGGTCGATATACTCTACAGTAATACTTCCTGAACGGAATTTGGCACGCCATTCCGCTGACACACTGCGCAGTTACTTCCTTGCTGATAATGTTGTGTATTTGACTATCGCTGACCAGTCGTATCCTCGTAAGCTTGCGTTTTCGTACCTGGAAGAGCTCGAGAAGGAATTCTCCTCGTCCTATGGACCCAAGGTGGAGTCGGTGAGGAAGCCGTATGCTTTCGTTGGATTTGGTAAGTTTTTTGAACTGCCGCTGGCATTGCTCATCCTCATGCTTGTCGTTTGTGGAGACACCTTCATGTCCAAGACTGCACGATTGTACCGGGACACCCGGGCTGCTAGTGCTTCCCGAGGATCCAACCTGGACAAACTTAATGATGAACTGCACGACGTCACCAGAATAATGACGAAGAACATCGAGGAGCTCTTGCAGAGAGGAGACTCCCTAGACAGTAAGCACGAGCTGTCCACATATTTACATGGCAGTGTCTCTCACACGCCAACGTTTCTTGTAGGAATGTCGCATCTTTCTACTTCTCTTCGGACCGAATCAGAAAAGTATCGCAAGGCCGCAAGGAATGTGAATGTGCAGGCCATGATACGGCAATATGCGCCTGTCGGTGCTGTGGCACTTATTTTCATCATTCTCCTTTGGTGGCGATTCTCATGATTTGTTGACTACTTCAGCCACTGTACGTACTCTCTTATGTACCATTCCGCAGAGTACCTACCCCCTGTGGACAAACGACTGGCGTTCTGACGACAATTGTATGTCCTGCCGCTGGCCACAGGATTACCTGGTACGTACATATTCCTACATTATACCACCAGAAGACTGCGGACCATCTTTTGATTGTGGGAGCGGCGCTACGGTCTTAACATACCCGGCCGAAGTTACTGAGTCCTCGTGATCCCTTCCCTTGATTTGGATCAAATACATCCAAGACTTGGTAGCACCGAAACACGTAACGGAGTTAGGTTTGAACGATACAGCATTCGGCGTTTGTATCCCATATTTCACCTTTGTGGTAGAATCGGTGGCCGTAGGGCAGAGACAGGAGTTATTGATTGGCTACGGCCCAGTAACGTTCAACCCTGACAACCTGGGTTCGATAGAACATTTGGAATTGGTATGCCCTATCACCACGACCACCTGCGGTCCACTCAAAGTATGCTGGGCGCCCTTTCATTTCGTATATATCAGCTGCCTGGCCTGCAGCTACAGCATCCAGGGTTCAGCTGCTAAATGAAGCTGTCAACCGTGCCTTGAGGAATTAATCAGTGATCATCTCGATATAGGCAGACACGAGGCACGTTGCCGGCCGGGCAGATTATCTGGGTACAAAGCCTGGCTGGCTGGCATAACAAAAGGACCCTTATCGTTCTCTGTCTCTCATCATTTCTCTCTAGCACCATGAGCACCGCTGCTGTCTTTGGAGGGCCCCAGCCATACTCACCATCCTTGGGCTCCGGTGGTCAAATCCAGCCAGGTGCTATCACTTATACAACCTCTACAGGGCCCGATGGCGAAACGATCTATCATCCTTTCAAGTGAGTTGGTCTACAAAGTCAGGTCTATCCGGCCTATTGACGAGGCATTTCTTTCAGAGCTGTCCCTGCCAGGTAAGAGATGTTATTGTAACACTAAAAACCCTTACTGACACCCTGCAGCTACCAGACTCCTCAGGGGGTTGTACGCGGCATCCAATGGATCCCCGCTGAAGCGACCTCCATCTTGCCTCAGGGCGCTCAACCAGCTAATGATGTGAGTCGAGTTTGAGCCCACTTATACTCACGGTACCTTACCCATCCGCAGGAGTTTGCGGAATCATGGCGGCGTGACAGAGAGGTCGACAAGTGGTAGGCCTGATTTGATTCTTAACGATCAACATTATTGACACAGGATAGGCAAAGATCAGAAGAAAAGCGCAGAAAAAAAGAAGAGAAGGAGTCTATCAGGAGACTCTCCAAGCAATTCGAAAAAGACAGGGAAGAGAATGAGGTTCGCATTCACAGGGAACGTCGTCGCAGTTTCTACGGGGATGCGCCCCCGCCTCCATCTTATGCCCCGAGTCACGGGGCTTACACTCATAGCCCCAGCAGCGAGCTTGATCGTAAATTTAACGATCTGGACCTCGACGGGAGGACCTCGGCCTATGGCAATCGTCCAAGGAAGTACTCGATGAGTGGAGGTGATCGCACGTACAATGCACCGCCCGCAGAGGCGGGCTATGGGACCTCTGTAGCTTATTCGGCAGCCGGCCCTACTTCCCCCTATCGTCAATCTGCGTATACAACCTCTCCGAACATCCGCCCTCAAGAAACCTCCATGTACCCTGGTGGACCGGATCCAATCACTCGGGCTGCGTCGCCTTTTGCCCGCGGCAATGATCCCATCGCTAGAGCTGCTTCACCGTACGGTCGACCCCCCACGGAGCCTATTGCTAGGGCGGCGTCCCCATATGGCCGACCTCCAACCGAACCCATCGCCAGGGCCTCATCACCTTATCACCCTGGGTTTGTCCCTCGGGCCCCATCCCCTGTTCCGCCTCGTGCGCCATCTCCTTACAGTGCTGCCCATTCCCCGTACGTAGCTCGGGCACCTTCTCCTTATGCGAAGCCGCCACCACCTCATCTCGGTCGCGCGCCATCTCCATACCTTCCCCCTCAGGTGTCTCAGATGTACCCTCCAGGCCACGTCATGGAAGGCCAACCGATGTCGAGGTCCCGTGCTCCATCACCAATGCCTGGGCCTCCAGTTGCCTTTCCGACTTCGCCGCGCATGCCGGTGTCGGTCTCTACTATGGATCAACAACTTTCCGCGCCGGACGCATTCTCGCGCCCTGCTAATGCAGCACAGCCTTACACCCCATTTGGTATTATGAAGATCCAGGACATGGAACAATTCTACGACCAGATTCCCAGAATGCCCCTCGTGTTGGATACCCATGACGTATATCACCAAGATTGGATCAGATTCATGAATGTATGTCTGCGCATCTTGTCCACGTTACACCGTTTCTGATCTGTTGTGGGATACAGGATCTTGCTCTCGGATGGGCTGGAAAGTTGCCCCTCACTGACCTATCGCGCGGTCCGCCTCCTAGGCGTTCCCTACTCGTTGCAGACCTCGTCGATCTATGGAACGACTCATTCTTCCTGCCTCGTCGTGTTGAAGTCATTCTTTTCAAGGGTCACGAGCGCCGTTCTGGTCCCAATAAGGGCGTCATCGATTATCAACTGCCCGGATTTGAGGACTACGATTCGGACGACACTTCGTCGTCATCGACTTCATCGGACTCCGAATCTGACTTGTACCCTGGCTATGGCAGAGGTGTGGACCTTGCAGAGTCTAAAAGACGGATTAAGGAGAAAGTGGAGAAGAAGCTCCGTAAGAAGGAGAAGAAGGCCAGGCGAAAGGCCAAAGAGCGCGAAAAGACGTATGCGCTCTACATTACTTATGTGCCTCCCAGAGATCCTGCCTTTGGGTACTACCCCTAAATGCAACTTGTCCAGTAAACGACCAGGTTTCGTGTCAATATGACGCCAACATTTTCATTCGAATATCTCATATATCGCCTTGTTCCATTTCCCCAGTTATAACAAACCCTGCTTAAAGCTCCCACACATAGCTGACTGCAGAACTTGTAAAATCATTTCTGTACACTTGTAAAAGATAGCACGATGCAACATATTTATATGAAATCCATTAGTGAATGTGGATAAGTTAACATGTACGCTACCAGCCACCACGACCTCTGCCTCTGGGAGGATAGGGACCGCCATACCCACTACTACTGCCGCCGCCGCCGGTGTAACCACCGTATCCACCACGACTTGGTGGTCCACTATGACGCGCGCCGTAGCCACCATAAGTTGTCTCGTTGCCATAACCTCCGTACCCGCCGTGTCCATCACTGCCACCCCCATAGCCTCCTCCGCTGGCACTGGCGTATCCGCCATAATGTCCCCCTCTCCCGTAAGATGGAGGTTGATTGTCATATTGTCCATGACTAGCACCACCATACGCCGGGGGGCCACCCCTTGATGGACCTCCGCCTCTGGGAGGACCACCGTAGGGGCCACCCCGCAACGCGCCACCTCTAGCAGGACCGCCCCGAGGGTGACCTCGTTGGTAGTCCGTGTGTCCTCCATAGTTCTGTATAGGCGGCCTCCCGTTCGAACCGACCCCACCAAATCCAGGCTGAGGCGGAGGATAAGGTTGCCGCGGGGATTGCGAGTACGAGGACGGGCGAGTCGAGTGTGGAGGTCCGTACGACGAGGGGCCATTTGCATTGCTATGCATGTAGCCATTGCCGTAGGATGACGGTGATGGATGATATGACCCGCGTGGAGGTCCGTTCCGTCCACTGGTGTCTCGGTCATATCCGCCACGGCCACCACCACGGCCACCGCCCCTCCTGGACCGGGGGTCGAGGTCCTCTGCTGATAGTTGTCGTGGAGGCCTTCGAACACCAGGAAGGAGCATCGAACGATGAGGGCTGAGTTGCTTGGGGAAAAAGTATAAGGCGGAAAGGGAGCGATCATTTTTGATGTCGTCCAGCTTGACGGCCGTGAGGGGAGAGTAATATGTCGAGCCTGGTATGCAGTCGGGATTAGGGAGCGCACTACCACTAATACCCTTCGAGTCGTTGGCGGGTATCGGTACAGGCTATGGAAAGATGTGTCAATAAAATGCAATGTAGAAGGTAAAATACTCGCCTCCTTGCCCTTCCGTTTGCCGTATAGGCTCTCAAAGAAGGGATACAGCCTATGTTCATCGGAGACGTAGATGACGTTGGTCCCCCAGCTGTTCCTACGCACCTCATCCTCCGTCAGGGCAGCATACCCATCTTTCATCGCGTCCAGTAGCCGTGTCTCATCGATGAACGGGAGGAGTGCTACACCTTGCCAGACCATCTTCTTCCCATTCATGTCGATTTGGAAACTGGTCGGATAAAAATCAATGATAGGTGAGTCAGGGGACATCATGAGATCATGAAAAACGGCGGGTATGTGCTTTCTGGAAGCAGGAGGGAAGACACCCATGAGTTGTTCGTAGGGCTTAAACGGACTTCCCAAGGTGAAGTCGAGTTTGAGCTCATGCAAGTCTTCGAAGTCGGAGGCGAAAGGGGCGAAGTGATAAGGATAGTACCACTGCCACGAGGGAGTCTGGGGATAGCTATAGGTTAGCCAGACTAAGTCACCAGTAGACTACAACATACCCCTTGATAATAGTAGTGCAAAACCCACGCCAATCCTTCCGCATACAAATATGTAATCCTGCCAAGAGAGCGTGTGAGCGTAGAGCCAGGTTGTCCAAGTGATTATCACGCACTTCTTCCTGAAGTCAGCGTCAGAGGTTGGAACTCCAAACTTCTGTTGGTAATATCTTTCCTTGTACCCGGATTCCCAAAGTCTGGTAACAAAGGTCAAACTTGCTATAGTAGTGAAGTGATGCAAGATCCTCCAACCTGACGTTATCAGCCTGTTCCACAGATCCGTCTGCTCTTACAACTAGGGCATATGATGGCTCTTCGTCTGCTGAGGTTTCCTCTTCTTCAACAACAACGTCCTCTTCTGCATCTAATTCTGCGTCCTCAGCTTCAACCTCTGAGTGTTTACGCTTAGTACCCGCCGAGGAAGCGAAGGATACATCTGGTGACTTTGCCTCAGCAGATTCTTCAACGGTGTTATCGCGTCCAACATCAATGATCATGGAAGAACTGGAATTTCCGAGGCCAGGTAGCTCAAAATCATCTGATGACTCTGTTATCGATTCAGATGTTGTCCTCTGGATTTCTGTCGTAGTAATTGTAGTCGTCACAGGTGCGGACACAGAAGCGCTCGGTTTCACTGGCATCAATCCCCCAAGTTGTGCTTTGAGCATCTCTGCTGCACTCATATTCGCAAGCCGGATTGCAGCACGGTTTGCTACTACATCCCTGTTCGAGCCCGCTAGAGCCTGAGCTGCAGCAGGCGCATTAAGACGGGACTGTTCGGTCTGCGGCGCACCGAGGCCGACGGAATCGGCTTTGGCGGCAAAATCATTTGCTGGAGGGCGCGATGACCCACTGAGGCCTAGAGCGGGTGAAGGGCCGGTGGTGTTACGAACATCGGAACGGTTGGATGCGTCGATGCGGCGACGCTTCGTTTCATGGTCTTGTCGGTTCTCGGCTAATTTGGGGTAATATTTTAGATCGTGGTAGATGGTACATGCAAAGCCGGTGTCCGAGAGAGTGCTCACCCTCCTGTCTCTTGCGGAAAATATCATCCTCCCTCTTGGCCAGTCCTTCTAGTATAATTTGTGCCCTCTCCAAAACCAAATTTCCGTGGTTCGTCAGGTATCCGCCCATTCTCGGAAGTTCCTTCTTCCATATGTTTAGCAGTGTGTCTATAGCACCCTCTCTTATTTCCAAGCTAGGCAGATGCGGCAAGAAATCATTTCCCACAAAGAAGATCAGCAGAACCCAATCGTCGATGGCTTGTTCAATGTTGAAGGGAAATGGCACTGAAGGAACATATAGCTCGGCTTCAAGGTACTCGCGTAATATTGAGACATCGAGGAATATGAACGGTTTTTTTTCAGGTGGGGTAGGTTTCGGCTTCTCGAGCACATCGGGCGCTGGACCCGTGCATTGCGCCGCATAATGCCCCTCTTGACCACATTTTCGGCAGGCTGTACTTTTGTCCTGAGCAAAAACATCTTCACGCAGAACTCGGAAGTAAGGCTCATGCGTCGCAAGTGCAAGCATGATGAGGTCAGCATCCTACGATGCCAGTCAGTAAAGTATGGCCTGAGTAATAAAATTATCGTACCAAGCCGTATATGACATGCCTAGTATTGGGATCATGGGCAGGATTCACCCGCTGCCGACGGATCCAGTCCATTATCTTATGCTCTCCCTCTCCGGGAACACTTGCATCCGAGATGATTACTTGAAGCTGAAATGAATGAGCTACGCGGTAAGAAACTTGAAGCGACGACGTACATTCTTCCAACCGGGATCCGTATTCATCTTCTCCACCACCCAGTAACGCAAAGACGCTGCGAGTAGGTCCATGAACGGCGTCCCCGGCGTGATCGCATTCGAATCCCACGCCTCCTTGTTTTTTTCTTCTTCACTAATGGTTTTGCCCATTGCTATGGTGCCAGACGAAGTGTCAGGAACAGGTCTTGGAAGAAAAACGAAAATGCAGATAAAGACTTGCCTTCCCATTCGGCTACAGCGAGCCTACGGGCCTCGGCTTTATCCTTTGCTTCTTGGGCAGACCGAAAACGACGCGAACGTTGTTGGTTCATCTTAGCACGCGGCGCAACACCGTCTGCGGGACTCCGCGTGAGGCATCTATACGAACCAGAGAAACCTACATATACGTACCGATGGCCATGAAAAGGAGCTTCCGTGGTCTGATCATATTAACGACGCGGTTCGTGTATTTGAAGACTTCCAGCATCATTTCTTCCTCCGTTTCCGGAGCTGGCTACAAGGAAGTGAGCATGTGAATCAAACTAGACGGGGAAGTAGAGACTGCATACCTTCCCTTCTGGATGCGTACACGGGTGAACCTGACCATGACAAAGGTATCAGTACTGAACATGAGGTGTCTTGATGAACGAAGGGAACGTACGATACCATTCATATCGAGGTAGAGGTTATCAAACTCGACGCCATTCGGGTTTGGAGTGGTGATGTCCACTGGAAGCTTGATTGGTTCTCCGAGAGCGTCTGGGACTTCGGTTTCGTCTTCCTCAGCAACAGAGGTGACTGTATGTCGATTTCCAGATGGAGAAAAAAAGTGAGAGGAGAACATTTTTAGAGTGTACAAATACCGCACCGATTCTTGGGTACTTTTTGCTAAGCCAGCGAAAGAGTGCGGGTACACCCTAGAAAAAGCAATGAAGATGAGTACCACCACAGAGCTGAATTACATGAATACTGCATACCATGATTTGCTGTCTGTGTCGAGGATGTACAAGTACAAGACCGATGAGTGTCCTCCGTTGGAATGCAGGGACCGTCGCTTATTATTATGTAATGACCAGAACACAGCCACGATATCTGAAACCGGTGTGCTTATGTGATCCGTTCCCGCGGTGACGGATGTGACTCGCTTGGGCGGGTCGATCGCAGTTGCAGTACGTAGATGTCATGCTGAGACTAGCCCAGCTGATCACAACAGACGACGATGAGCACGACAATGACGCAGACAGCGAGCACACAGACACCCATCAAACCGGCGATCCAGTCGTTCACCCAGCAACACAGTCGGGCACGATCATCTAGTAACGCTCTACAGAACGCTGGGAGTAATCCCAACCCAAGCCCTGACAGTGGACCCAAGTCCCAGAAGCAGATGACCAAGGCCGAGCGTCGCGAACTGCAAGAACGTCAGCGAGCCACAAAGGCTGCCGCAAAGGCTTCCGGACCAAGTACCCCGGCTACCAAGCCAGGCGCAACGCCAACTGCTAAGGGCACTACACAATCCCCTGCAAGCGCAGCCAAAAAGTCCGGAAAGACTGCAGACGGGAAACACGTCAAGGGGGAGCAAGAGGATACATCCCACCTTCACACACATGCCCAGGTCGACGATACGACTCGCGGTCTCCGCATCTTCTCGCATTTTGGCCTCCCAAAGTCTCCCAGTGTCACCAAGGGTGACGTACATCCCGCAATTATACGTGTAGGACTCCAGTTTTCAGACTTCAAGATCACTGGAGCCAATGCACGATGTATCGCTATGTTGACTGCTTTCAAGGCAGTATGTCTTCCGTTTCTGCGACGATCGGAGGCTGGTTTATGAAATATTGTGCAGGTCATCCAAGGCTACGTGACACCTCCGAACAATACTCTCTCTCGCCATCTCATGACCCATCTCTCTCCCCAAATTAATCACCTCGTTTTGGCACGCCCGATGTCAGTGACAATGGGCAACGCAATTCGACAACTGAAGCTAGAGATCAGCGGCTCGGATATAGATCTACCCGAGCAGGACGTGAGTCAATGTTACCGATCACCTCCACCTCTCATGACCCCACGAAACTAGGCAAAGAACGCACTCTGCACCAAGATCGATAACTACATCCGAGATAGAATCATTATCGCTGACCAGGTGATTCAAGAAACAGCGGGAAAAAAAATCAAAGATGGAGATGTCATTCTTACCTATGCGAGGTGACTACTACCACCGCCTTGCAACAGATAGTGTGCGCGATGCTTACTATGCGGGGGATAGATCATCTGTAGTGGAAAAAGTTCTTTTACGTGCTTGGGAGGACGATAAAAGATTTTCAGTTATCATTGTCGATTCCAGACCTATGCTGGAAGGTATACGTGTTGATACTTTGGTCTCACCCTTGCCACGCATCTGACGGACGTGCTCAGGCAAGGCTCTCCTCAAGGCGCTCACAGCCGTATCAATCCCTTGCACATACTTGCTACTCCCATCCCTTCCTTCCGTGCTCCCGCACGCCACGACGCTCTTCGTTGGCGCGCACTCGATCCACGCTAATGGTGCTGTTTTCTCGAGGGCGGGAACAGCTACGGTAGCGATGATGGCCAAAGCGCACAATGTGCCAGTCGTAGTTTGCTGTGAGACCTACAAGTGGTCGGAAACCGTTCGATGGGATAGTTTCAGTAAGAACGAGCTTGGTAAATTTCACGTGGACTTCTTCGTCGTGTTTCGCTCATTTTGGATGCAGCGCCCACCCCTTTCCCCACGTCCTGCCACTCCTCTCGTCATAACCCTGACATCAAAACGAGCCACAGTCTCTCGGTGTTATGTCCACTCTATGATCTCACGCCGCCATCATATATCACAGCAGTTGTCACTGAGGTCGGAGTAATTCCTCCGAGTTCCATGTCGTCCATTCCCGCCGCTCTAGGCAGGACGATAGGGATGTGAGGAGTATAATGTATGTTCGTTTTTGTTTCCATGCAGGTGTGACGCAACAGAGGGATGGTATGAGGTTGCGACCATGGGATACATACCGCACGTTCCGCAGCATTTGTCGCAAATACTTACGTAGTCATACTTCAATCGTTCTCGCCCGAATACGTGTCCGCAGTGATGGTATCTTTCTGTGGATAGTGCTTTAAATCAGGGGAGTAGTGCGGCAAGATGAGGTATAGTATAAGCTGGGAAGTCGACTGCCTAGAATTAGTTATCCGCGAGCATCGTCCCCTTCTTGTCTTGCTCCCTCTTTCTTTGCGACCCTGTTAGCAAATGCACGGGCCGCCATCCACTCCCAGGCACGATCGATGGCGTGCTCGACGGGTTTGTCGAATAGATAGGGGAGGATCGGTACGACTGACAGTCCTAGGGCCGTTGGGCCCCACGTGCGCAAGCGGGGATGCTTGGATCGTGAAAAGACGGGTTTGGAGCGGGCGACGATCGTATGGATGGTAAATGCGGGAAGGGCCCTGAATGGTAAAGTGTAAGTCCGAGGAGAGTAGATAAGTGAGTATAGGGGAAAGTAATGGCGAAAAGTAACTGTGCCAAACGCAGTCGAGCAAAAAACAGCAGGATCTTTTTTAAAAGTGCAAGGACCCCGCGCGCAACCGATGCCCGAGGGTTGAAACTTGAAGGGAAAAGAGAACACGTTGCACCACCGCACGAACCAAGGCACGAACGTGGAAGTGGAGTTCAAACTCACATGCTAGCGATACTCTGAAACAGCGCACGTTTGACAGCGACTAATCCAATGCGTGTCGGTTCAGATAAATGTGCTACCTCACTTGGAGATGGACCACGTCTGTGGGCCTTGTATGCCTCATAAGAGACATCGCTGCGAGGTTGTTGTAAACCGAGGACAAATTGGCAAAAGGCCACGTACTTACGCAGAGAGGTATAGCCAGGAGATACCATATGCAGCCTTGACGACTGTGGGTGGGACGAGGGGCCGAAAAGCTTCACCAACGTCACTGGTCTGGCTGTCCTGGTCAATGATCTCGCGACGGGGTCTACGAATGCAAGAGTGCGCACATATGCAATGTACCGATGAGTAGCCCTGACAGCGGTGCGGAGACGGGCACCATAGGCCATATACCTCAGCTCTGTGTCTGTAGAATCGACATCCTTGTCAGCCAAAGAGCTGACCTCGCTCGTCGCCTTCTCTGCCAGCGATGACATATTTGAGAGAGGACAAGTCACGTGCGGAGTGCTCTGGTCGGGATTTGCCGGGTGTCTCACCCTAGACGCTGGGATGCTGGACAGACGGTGTCGACGGTCCTCGATGTCGCCTTCTGTAGTGTCCCCTGCCACGCCCTACAACGACCTCGCTCGCAGCCATGCCCAAGACGGCGACGACGCACCAGCCAAGATCAGCGCTTACTACTCACTTGTGTTTCCCAACATCACATTCTACCTCCAGACCTTGACAGTCACCATCGGTCGTAGGTGCATCCCACCTGGCTCCTCTTCCGTCAATGGCACGGATGGTCCTACCTCGGGCCACAGCCAAGTTGACGTCGACCTCGGCCCTTTGAAGAGCGTGTCGAGGCTGCACGCCAGAATCGAGTACGAGGAGGAAGAGGAGCGCTTTGTTCTCGTCGTCGTCGGCAGGAACGGTGCATGGGTTGATGGCGTATGGTCAGGTGCTGGAAGTCGTGTTCCACTCGGCGAAAGGTGCGCCTCTGCCCATCCCCCCCACCCTTTCTGATGCCAGTCGGCTTATGGGCCCCCTCTAGATCACAAATACAGATTGCCTCTCGCACATTTCATTTCGTCCTACCGCCCCCTCCTGCACCCCAAGATTCCCCCTCTCCGTCCTCCAATTCTTCCATCCACCGTGCACGCTCCCCGTCCGTCGACATTACCTCCATCTCCCCTCCATCGTCCATCCCCTCCCATTCTCCGCCTCCACGAGAAGCTCCACCACGCCCTCCACCGAAGCGCTCTCCTTCCCCGGAACCTCACCTCCCGAATTCCAACGCAATTTCGCGTTCGACTACAAAGAGCGCCGCTACATCATCCATCACGACTGTCACCGCTCCTACCTCAAAGAAGCGCAAGAAGCTCGCACAATCTCTGCCTAAACCCGAGGTTATGCCACCAAAGCCCCCACTCACATATGCTCAACTCTGCTATCGTGCCATAAGGGCAATGGGTGGAAAAGCAACCCTGCAAGATATATGCGGTTGGATGATGGAGAATTACGACTGGTATAGGTACAATGAAGGAGCTGGCTGGGAGGTGGGTCCCAAGTTTAGATTCAATCCAGGGGTACAGTGGGCTCCGAATCGCTGTGACCTTGTCTCTCCCGCTTTGTTGCTATCTGAGTTTGTCCGCCACTCACCTTTTCTTTCCAGAACTCTGTTCGTCATAATCTGTCCTCTGGACGTGCTTTCAAGAAGATGGAACGATCGACGGGTGAACACGGGAAAGGTTTTTTCTGGTCCGTTGACGAACAGTTTGAGCATACCTTCGAGGAACAAGAAGCAAAGGCTCAGGCTCAGTCTCGTGCCCAGCTCCAATCACAGGCGCAAGCTGCCAACCAGGGTCAGGCTCCCCCGACTGCTGGTGGCAAGGATGGAAAGAAGAAGAAAGTAAACGCTTTGGAACCCCCGTTGAAACGGAGCGTGAAGAATAGTAACGGGCCGTTACCACCACCACTTACCTCTACGCCTCTGCCACTGCCTTCGAGAGCCACAACGGGTGCGGTGACGCAGCCAATTGAGTTGGGTGGAATGACTATGTCAGAGGGTCCGAAAGCGGAACCGGTCGTGTCGTCGGGGATTGGTGGTCCAGTAGACAAGAAACCGTCAACTGCCGCTGGAACTGCCACGGATCCCGTGGCCCCGGCTGCGTCGATCTCGGGTGCTCCATCTCCTCTTTCTGCCCTTCCTGCTTCTGTCTGCTTGCCGATCGTGGTAGGGACAGTCCCCTCATCGAACCCTTCGTCGTCCACGAGCTCGACAGAAGAACCACCTCCGATCGTTCTGCACAATAACTCGCTTGTTCTTTCTCCTCTTATTTTTTCTTCGCTTACCCCCGATCAGCTCAAGGCGCTTGAGGAAATGGGTGCCCAACGAGCATTGGAAGTACTGCAAGGACACATCGTCCGATATCTCAAAGAACGGATGGGTCGTCGTAAGAAACGCAAAGCTGTCGGAGAGAAGAACAATAAGAAAGGAGAGAACAAAGCGGAGGGAGCTGAGCGGTCCAGCCCATTTACGACGACACCCCTTCCTCCACGAGGTGGTCAGGGCCCACCCAAACCGCAGCCTCCGTCCACTTCTGCATTGTCGCCACCCGTACCATCGTCGTCATCCTCGAAAGGGTTACTCGCCACGCAGCCGGATTTTCAGATTGCCGGAACTAAGCGCCCAGCATCGGATTCTTCGAGGATCAAGGAGACTGTTCCGGCATCTGTGGACAGCCGGCCTCCAGTACCGGTACCAATTCATTCCGCCTATCTTGCTACCTCGGGGAAATGCCCTGAGCGACCAGCGAGTCCCATAATCATCGTTGACGATGAGGATGCTGAAGATGGGCGAGTAGCGAAGAAGCGACGGGTTGATGCCCTCGCAATGCGCACCGTGAAAGAAGGGGCTCTGCTTGCCAACGACGCAATGAACACTGGATCCATCGTACAAGTTGTCCAGCCTGGTGACGAGGACATCGAGATTGACGTCTGCTAGCCCCAGCGGGGTCATCCGCTCTTCACGCTGATGCCGTCCGCTGGCTTTCGTTTGGTCCTACCAGTTCGTCATTTGTCTTCATTCACAGTCGGTTGCAATTTTCCTCACACCTGACACTCGTCGCCTGGCTTTACATCCCTAGAATGTTTATAGCTTCGGGGTCCGGACACTACTTCGACTTCTCGCTCACAATCGCTCTCATTCATACCTCAAACGCAATGCATTGTTCTATTTATCAGTACACATATCGTACCCAGCTATTCGCGCATTTCATACCTTCGTTGGACATGGCCACTATCCCCTCGATTTCTCTTGCCAACCCTTCGTCCACATCACTGTACACGCACTCTCCACCCCATAGACATGTGCCCCCCTTACGACGTACGTATGATAGATTTCATGAGGTTATGTTGAACGAGGTCAGGCTTTGCCTAGGTTGTTGATCCGCATATCTAGGTTTTATCTTTATGTTCTCGGCGGTCTCTTTGCGTAACACCGACTCAACGGGCGCCGTTTTAATCGGACATCGTTTGATAAGAGTGATGACACGTCAGCGCTTTTCAGCCACGTTCGATGTGAGTGCGCTACCCTTTGTATGTGAATGCTGGATATATGGTCTGGTTCCAAACTGGAGCGGGCCACTTTCGAGTAAGTGTTATTCGTTTTCAATCATGCGGTACGCAATGCTCTCATGTTGCAAACCCCAAAGAAGCTGAAGGAAATTGGGATTCAATCCGTGGTGCAATGATAAAAGTGGCTGAGTGATCTTGAAATAGCACTGCCAGCGCCTCAGCAGCCAACGGCGTATTGGCTCAACACATCCATCAGATCATCAGATAAGCTACGTCCAGACAGAAAGCGCTCGACTACAACATCATTGCCTTTCACGTCGTCACGACACACTACTACTGCTTCCCATTGACATTCGTCAGTTCCCACCACTCCCAGCGCTTCCACCGGGATATCTCCTGTTCAGGAATCTCTGTGCGAAATTGTCTAGAATGCGCCGTCCAATGCGCACAGTCTGTGCCTCGTCCACAGCATCACAAGTCTTGAGCACCAAGTTCAAAATTTTTGCAAGGCGAGTAGATTTCGCTTCTTGCTCCGTGATCCAATTCTTCTTGGCGTCAATCTCTTGCAAAATATTCAACAGTTTCGGGCAGTCTGTCTGCAAAATACCCCTAAGTCAGTTTATCTGCGGAGAGATAGTGACACTGCTCACTGCTTCATCACCAAATATCTCGAAAGTAAGTGTCCCACCCCTGTGCAGCTCGGATGTCCTCTAGCATATCTGCCCATTCCTGCACTTGTTGAATGAATCTGGCAAGTTTCGTGCCTCCCCTCTGTTCTTCTTCCTCATCCTGTGGGCTTTCAACAGGGGGAGCCTGTGTCTTCTCCAGTGAAATGGAACTGCCTGATGCTGTTGTACTGATGCTGCAAGATCTGTGGTGTGATTGTTTGTCCTTGCAGGATCTTGAAAGTTTTTGTCCTCTGCTAGTATCAACTGGTTTGCTGAGGCTGGCAGCAGCAGGAATGGGAAGGGGAAGAGTCCCTCCATCATGTCCTGAACTTTCCCCCTTCATAGGAGGCAGATGACTGATTTCTGGGAAATCTGCAACATTGGCTGGCAAGGGTAGTGCAGGTGGCATGTTAGTGAAAATGCCAAGGTTGTCACCCTCAGAGTCCAAGTTCATTTCCTCCCCACCAACTTCCAAGGTACCAAGTCCATCAGGCACTTGCCCCTCTTGCAGAGCTAGGTGGGATCTGATGACTTTGGGTTGTTCCAAACCCAGCACCTCTGCCTTTCTTTTTCCCAACACTCCATGAGGCTGTGCTACCTTTGGGGGTGACTGTGACAAACTGTGCTGCACCCATGTTCAGTCATGTGTAGATGACCACCAAGTTATGCAACCATACCTTTGATACTTCTGTTTTGTATAGAGTAGATGAGAGATGGGAATCATGGACATGGTATTCTTTTTGACATTGTGCTGGTATCCAGATATCATCACCAAGTGAGATACTGAGAATGGACTATGAAGGAAAGCTCACATGAAGGTATATCCAATGATTGTTGATGGTATGCTTGGATATGATGAGTAGCAAGGTGCCTTGTGTTTACTTGTAATTGTACTCTAGCTGCTGTCTGACAATTGGTTGACATGGAAGAATCATGTCCACCATACTTCCCAGCAAGATCACTGTGGGAACACAGATGACTTCTTGCAGGCCTAGCAAAGGACAATGCAGCTGAGTGATCAGCAGCCATGAATACTGTAACACTTGTCATTAATGCCTTGCTAGATATCAAGCCCAGCATAACCCTACAAGATCTCTTGCAGCACTGGCAATGCTTTGACAATGGTTTAGCACAGTGATGTCAACCACTGCTAAAGTTGACCTACACCAGGAGTAAGAGTTTCTACAGAACACCCCACAAAGTCGAGGTTATATGCTTGTACTAGTCAAGGAGGAAGAGGCAAATATATAAACACTGACAAACGAAGCAATTTATATACCCTCGGTCGGAGCTCGAAAATTTTAACCGCAACAATCTGTAATGACTCAGCCATGCCACCGCTTTACTAAGACATGTTGGAATTGACTCGTTGAGAATAAAATAAGCTTTATGGGGTACCAACTCCTTCATCTGCAAAACTACCTGAGGGAATGAGCAGGTTATACCTGCCTCCGTTTGGAAGTGACTTGTCGTAAGACTCGCTAAGACACTTGTTGGCCAATGAGAGGGCTCGCTCAAGTGCGAAAGAGTTGTTAACAGCCGCGTAGCTGTTTCCCAGATGTTGGAAAAGCCGAGAATCTACGCGACGCTCACGTACGTATGGGTAGAAGGATGGAAACCGGGTGAGAGCGACACCGGAGGGCCGAAAATGGCAAGTCGTGTGGCCCTCGGACTGCAGACTGACTCACATGAGGCAGCGGTCTGCTAGTGCGCAAGATGTGGAAGACGTAAAGATAAACTCCAGGGAGTAAGATATTAGGCGTTACTTATCCATCACGCGATGTTTACGTTGGGGTGGATGGCCAGATCAGACTGACATGTTGGTCAGCACTTAGATATTGTGTCGGGAAAAGGGTTTGGCTTGGGAGTAGATAAGAAAGGCAAGAGCTGTCCGTGCTCGGCCAGGAAGTAATGCTGTACCTAGGGGAGAGAAAATACCCATACCATACGAGACTTTGAGTAGTCAAGACTGCGCTCTATCACCTTGGTACCGATATGAATTTGCAAAACCATGGGTGATGGGAGTGGGATGCGTCTACCCAAATGGACATGCTGAAAGGAGATAACGAGGCGAATTGGAAGGCGAGTCCTGGACCACCGATGGCATGGGGAAAGATACGTTCACTGTAAGATATGGTTGCAACAAGGGGCAGTTGCCAAGATATGATAAAAGGGCCGCAAAGGAAGTAGAAGACGTGGCATACTGCTGGCGGGATTCCGTTTGGAGAGGCTCCGAGAAGAAAGAGGTGTGTGCGGGGGATGTACGGGGTGATCCGTGTGATGGTGGTGAGAGAAGAGGCAACGAATGTTGACGCAGTCGAGGACGAACGTGCGCGGGGACCCGTGGCACCGCTAACCCCGGTTCGGTAGAAAAGGGGCCGAGCCCATCAACATCTGTATGGATTGACTGGACTGCCCCCCCAAGATTAAAGGTTTGCTTCGACCACTCGTTTCATTTTAGACGGGTCGTTCTTGACTATCTTGTCTTTTGTGTCCGAGTGGTTTCACCGGAAAGGCTGCTTAGTCATCAGAGATAATTGGACGAAGGGTGGCACGTGTCTTCCGCCAATATATCGTCATGAAATCACAAAACCTAACTGAGTCTCTCCGTTTGCGTCCAGGCCATTCTCTCTGTTGAATACATAAAAAACTGGGTATTACTTCAATCTGCGCCCTTCTTCCCCACACCCACCCACTTCTCAGAGGGTAACGTCTGTCTACGTTTTCTCTTCGGAAATTTGATCCTGACTCGACTCGGCAGACATCATGCATCATTATTATCACTTTCCGCCGTCTCCGCCTCCATCCGGCTCTCATACCGTAAACTCCTCACCTCAGCGCCACCATTACTCCTTGCCAAACAGCAACGTCGAGCCACAACAACCACCTTTCCGACGTTCCGTATCCTATACAGTACAGTGGTCCACTAAGCAGTCCGATGACATACCCTGTCCAACACTTCCGTCGCCACCTAAATGCTCTGGGCCTCCCAGGAGTCAACGCGCCCTCACCTTACCTTCCTCCCAGCGTGATGCTACCACCGATCGTTCAGTCCTACTGGCACAACAGCCACCGTCACTGACGCGTAGATTCTCCTCCTCATCTGGCTCTTCTTTTTCCTCCGCCAGCAATTCTCCAACTGTCGCCTCCCAACCACTCCCCAGCGCAGGCATAGGTCGCAAGGTCGCAGAATCCCTTCAACTCTTCAAAGAGTCTGCCCCTATCTCCGATTTTCGAGACAACCCTAACACTGATGCGGTTACCAATCTTTGCCGACATTCCACCTCCCATCACGTCGAAAACGTCGCAGAGGCAAAATATGAATTTGTTAAACGCGCTGATTGGCCAGATCCGGAGACGGCCGCAATCAGGAGAGAACGCAGTTCGACGGCCCTAGAGCGCGTCAAGACACTCGATATTAGCAAGGAACCTGATCTGTCCAGCGATCCAGATGTAAGACTGACCACTCGTGATCCGCCTTTCGGTGATCCATCTCAGCGGTGTAGAGAAATCACCTCACATACAGAGTCTTACACACGTGGTAGACGTCGAGACAGGGCGTCCGACGTTCCCGGAACCGTTTTCAGCCACCAACTTAACACCCCTGAACGTTCATCCAATCGTGCCCCACCGTCACCTTGCATTCGCCCTCGTTCTAGAGGATATACACCATCGCCGTCTCCTTCGCGTTGTCCTACAACTCATATCCCTCCCCTAGCCCTCTATAATTTTCCTTCTGATCGTGGTGTTGTTCTCCCACAGCATCACACCTCCGAAACTCACCAGCGACACTCTCTAGAACCCGAATCACTACAATCGCACTTGCTCACTCATACCCATACGCCGTACGGTTCGCTGGCCGCCTCTCCTCCACCGTTCATTCCGTCCGACCGCCGACCCTGTTCGCCATGGTCCACAGACGAAGAGTCAGCTTGGGAAACCTCGTCAATTACGTCAGATGCTTCCATTACATCCGGAACGTCAGAGCATCCTGCCTCCCCAGATGCATTTTCTTCACTTTCGGATGATGAGGCTAAACGCTCGTTGCCGCGATACAAAGAGCGTGAGGAATTCACGGACGGTCCTGATCCCTGGAATGGTGATTATTTGGACATGACGTTCAGCGACTCACAAGAGAGCCTACCACATATCCCTCTCCGACCGTTCCGGAATCAAGTCGGCGGACATAGTGCCATATACAAGTTCACCAAGAGGGCACTCTGCAAGGTAAGTCCTGTTACTTTTTCCTTTGGAATGTTGCTCACTCCCTCCGCCTAAGCCTCTTGTTTCACGGGAAAACCAATTCTACGAGGCAGTAGAACAAGAGGCTCCACCACTACTAGCCTTCATCCCTCGCTACCTAGGAGTTATGCTCGTCACGTATCGACGTGTATCGAAGGGTTCGGTCACCCCACCAACCGCAGACCTTTCCACTACACCGATTGCACAAGCGCCAGTTCCAGTATTCGTCTGTCGCGCAGAAGTGGAAGGGTGAAGGTTTGCATGATCATCCGAGGGACGCCGTATCGCACTCTATCCCTCCAGACCTGCCAGAGGAAGACGGCGCAGAAGACATGGAGTCGGGTGAGGCAGAGATGCCCGAGGTTGTCCTGGATCGAAACAGACATATCGTCCCCAAGTGGATGTTCAGTACGAACAACTTGCAGAACCGCTCATACTCACAGCCGTATTCTTCTACACCGTCCCTCATTGGCCGGGATCGCCTGGGTCCGACGCACGTCAACACCGCGACGGCATCGAGTCCTGCCCTGATATTAAACGAGCGAATATCACCGTCGTTCAAGCGTAGTCCCCTTGCACGCCATGCGACCGTCCCCACTTTTACAGCCGAATCCGCTTCATACCTCCCCGGTGGGTCCGTTCCCGTAGGTTCCCAACCGACGTTTGCCCGGGGATCGCTGGATGGCGAAGCTTCTGGCCGTGACTTGCGTCGGTTTCCTTCTGAATCAAGTGTTTCCCCGTCATCGACGCCGGGCTGGTTTGGAGGTACAGGTTCGACGACCGTGAATACGAAGTTGAAGGATCACGTCTTCAATACCATACTACGACGTTTCCAGCGTCGCGGAAAGCGATGTTTGTCTTCTTGCGCAGCTAAGGTGGAGGACGAAAACGAGCCAACCTTGTCAACGGGCCACGCCATGGGTGTGGTCACTCGTCTACCTCCGTCGACCTTACGCACGTGGCCCATTGAGCAACTGAGGCAGGAGAGTTATCCGGTGCCAACCGTCCGACGAGTACAGAGCGAAAGCGCGATGGGCGGAAATGAAGGACAGGATACTGGTGCCGATCTAGATTTCAGTAATTTGGGTGGCGGGGTGGACCTTGCGAGGTTGTCGAGGGAGAAAGAACTCGGGCTAGGACCTTCCTTCTCGCGTGGAAGGAGTCGTTCGCGATCGTTCAACTTAACCGCGCCACCGATACGTACCGTCTCTCCCCTCCCGAGTAGGCCACTATCTCGCAACCGCAGCGATGACTCGATCACACGCCAGCATCACTTCATCCTCATGGAGGATCTCACGGGTCGATTGAGGCATTCATGCGTGCTGGATCTGAAGATGGGGACGCGGCAGTACGGGATGGATGCGACGTCGTCGAAGAAGAAAAGTCAGCGTAAGAAATGTGATCGTACAACGAGCCGACCTCTTGGGGTGCGGGTGTGCGGTATGCAGGTGAGTCGACGGCGTAGGGAATGTTGGTCGAGCGCTCGCTGATGAATGCCTATGAAGGTATGGAACAATGTCACTCAATCATATGTGACACAAGATAAGTACAGGGGCCGTGACATTCGTGCGGAAGACTTTCCATCTGTGCTTGCTTCTTTCCTCCATGATGGGGAGCATTTGTTAGTGTGGCAAATTCCTATTTTGCTCCAAAAGTTGTATGCGCTCGCACGGATCATCAATCGCCTTAAAGGATTTCGGTTCTATGGCTGTAGTCTCCTTCTCATATACGACGGAGAACGCGATGTACTGGAAAGTTTTCGGATGTCCGCAGAGGAGCAGTTATCGCCGCGCAATAAGAGAGGCGAGTCGTTGAAACGAGCTAGCGCGGGCTCTGCTGGCAACGGCAAGAGCTCATCCCTCAGGCGATCCCATAGCGAAGACTTGTTGTTTGGTCCAGCAGCGAAGCGATCGAGTGGCAAGCGCAGGCGCGGGGAAGTCAACGTCCGCATTGTCGACTTCGCGCACACGACGACCGGACATGATTGGGCCCCGTATCCGCCACCGGCAGATCGCAGGGTTATCCACCAGGTGTCGAGTTCGAAGGGGTACCAAGCGGAAGTAGACGAGGAGACAGGCATTATCTACGCACGATTCCCACCTCACTATCCAGAGGAGCCCGACCGTGGGTTTCTGTTTGGGCTGAAGAACTTAACGGAGGCTCTCGAAAAGATCTGGAATGAGGAACGTATGCGGAGAATGAAATTGTCAAGGGATGACCCTGCAGTAAACGTCTCGGAGCTCCCACCTCTGCCAACCGAAGGCAAGGAGGTGTTTGTCGAAATTTTTGGGACCATCGCATCGGACGAGGACCCTGGCATGCTGTCCACATGATGAAGCTTTGTCAACCTTTTAGGCTCTATTACCGCCGCAATTTATACCTTCTTGGTCGGTGTCATTTTTCGTGCTATTCCTTCTTCATTCATGTGTTCCTGTGCATTTCTTCCTCTGTCGAGTTTTTTTTTTTTTTTCTCCTTTCGTTGTTTTCTTTCCCCTTCATTAGCTTGTTTGTGCTATCTTTGTTCTCCTTTAGCCCCATCCGCATCATTAAGTCGTGTCGCTAGATTTCTCGTTGCTATCATACATACACACTCTGTGCATCCTTTGCATCGTATCCTATCAATTCACTTACATATACATGTATCGCTTTGACCATCTCATGCTCCTTCCCAGCCACCACCTGTCAACATATGACGGTGTTTGGTCAGGTCTCCAGAGCAGGACTGTCAACAGTTGCACGCGGCAGACTTAGAGCTTCGAGTCACTTCTGGTTCCTGAACGTAGGAAATCGATTCAGATATGATGACGCTGACTTGGTGCTTGACATTTGTTCCAAGACTCATAAGTCACCACAGGCACTACTGTGAAACGTTGACAGGAGGACAGTATATTAGGCAAAATGAAACATGGTCTTTACGACTCGTCAGCATCTTGAATATAACGACCGCGGATATCCTTCCATTGCCGCTGTTGCAAAGTAGAGAAAACGTGGAGGGTGAGCGGGAAGGCGTCCACACAGGAACGTAGCGCATCGGTTACTTACGCCTCTGTTCCAATGATCCCAGAATTTCGATACGGCAATGTCAAAGCCGATGTTGAATGCGAACGCACCAGCAAAGATGGCGGGAACAAAAACGCCTGGTGAAGGAAAGGAGGGGGAAAAAATGTTCATACACGCGTCATTTGAAGTGCAGGCTTTCGGTCTCACTATTGCGCTTAACTATCGTGTTGTAGAAAGCGTTGGCAAACTGGGTAGGACACACATTCAGAAGCTGCTAACGAGAGGTTCCTGCGTACTCACGGCCATGGCGTATAGTTTTTGCTGGAGAGATGGTGGAATTCCGGTGGTGTCCGAAATGGAAAAGCGGTGGTGTCGTTCTTCTTCTCACGGCCAAACGCGTCCGAGACTGAGCAGCAGTGTCTGCTGCTGCACCACTTACAGCCATGTCTTTACGGTCATCCGTGCTGCGGGTGTCGCAGCTGGCCCTTCAGAAACCAAGAAATATTCACGTGGCAGCCTCCAGAGCCTCAGTTTTCTCCGGTGACATATTTGCCGACATGGGCGTAGACAGACCGCGTCCGGTCGCACCAGAGGTCCGTCCGAAGGGCCCATCTGAGTGGAACCACGAAAATCCAGTCGTGCCTTCAAAGCCCCTACCGAACAGGCAAGCTGCAGAGCCACCAAAATACCACTTCCATGCTCACTTCTCCGCGAACAACACCAAGATCTACCTCGCTGATCCAAAGGGACGTCCTATCCCACGGGGGTGGTGGTCTGGAGGAAGCTGTCGTTTCAAGGGTGTAAACAGGAGCACTCAGGAAGCGGGCTATCAGTGCGCGGTGCACGCGTTTCGTAGGGTAGAAGAAATAATCCAAGAAAAAGGGCCAATAACGCTTTCCGTTCATCTCAGGGGGTTTGGCAAGGGTAGGACGGCCGTCGAGCAAATATTTTTAACCAGCGAAGGAGAGAAGGTGCGCCCGTTGGTCACGGAGGTGGAGGACAGGACACCTATAAAGGTTGGTGGTACGAGAGCCAAGAAGGCTAGACGACTCTAGTCCTAGGTCAGTTCCCCGATTATTGTTTCTAGTCCGACGCTCATGAGAGTTTTCAGTCCTGGTTACTCTATAGTTACTCTATTGTGGATCCTAGGAATCGTGCATGACGATACAATAACTTCTGTCTCTTTCGGCTGGCATGACATGCATCAAATATGATATCTATGGTATGTACTCAGGAAATCTGAGCCGATGAAGAGTCCTGAGTTTAGGCTTTGTCATGATTGCTGAAGAACGGATCTGAAGTATACTTGTATCCTGGCCTCACTAACGAAGCCAGTGCCACCTTCTTGTCTATCTCTATGTCCTCTATGAGTGCCTCTGTTGCTACGATTGAGCGTCACAATGATGCATATGCTACAACCTCACTTACCACGCGACGTGTAGTCCAACTCGGGGCGAATGTAGCCCAATACCAACGCTCTCATGTTATACCCGTAAAAATCGTCTGAAAACTCGTGCATGACATGAATTTCCTAAGAGAGGGGAAGAGCGATAAACGAGGGCACCCTATCGCGCAGGTCTGCATACCGCAGTCATACGCTCGTTCTTGTAAAATGGATTCCAGCCAAGGCTCATGACCATCGGCCAGACTTGATGGTCTTCGGGTCGCAGGCGCGATTTCTGTCCTTCTAACGGAAGTACCTGTGCATACCCGTAGTATACACCGGGTTTCACTGCTGCTACCATGTCTGGTAGCGATTCATCGGGTAGATTGGCTGTGTATACAGTCATTCTCGCGCCCATCGTAACGAGCATTGCTAGTACTGACCAGTGGGACATCCAAGGTCTTTGCTGCCTCTGCCGAAACCATGCTGGACGACACCCTCCAGCAATATTGGATACGGAGGCTCTGGGGTATCAGGTCCTGCGATACTCGGTCTGTTGGCGCGGAACGATTGCGTCTGAAGTTGAACCGGTCGCGGTAGTCCGTTGGGCAGGTGTGGGTGTGTAGCTGGCATGTTGGAACACAAGGCAGAGAGCGTTTGTCCCATCCTGTCGAAGTAGTTGTATGAAGCCCAGGCTGGCTGCTGAAATGAGAAGAAGCACTCGGTCGTATTGTTAGATGTGGCTCGTTCGCACTCCCCACTACAGCCTCAGACTCTCACCATTATGTCGACGCCGTTCGCAGGGTATCCCATGTACGCATATCAGGCGCCATACCCTGCCTATGTGAATGTCGCTGGAACTGGCCAACCAACCCCAATAGTTTATGCACCACAGTTCCCTGTTCCAGGGTATCCGCCGCTCTATGGCGTCCCACAACCGGTGAAAGCCCCTACAACAACGAACCAATTCCATGTCGCCCCGGACATTCCTGGCATCTCGTCCGAGATAGCCTCCAAGCAGATGCAGAAGTTGATCGTATCGCAGCTACAGCAGTCCCAGTTCGACGCGATAGAACCCCAGGCACTCGCCCGCTTGGAGCTGGAAGTCGTAGCATGTAAAATATCACACGTTCTTGAGGAATCAATCCTGGTGCTCATTTCCTCCGATACAGTCGTCCAGAGATTATACGAAGGGGCCCATGATTATGCCAATCTCGCATGTCGAGCCACTCCAGTAGCGAAGGATGTCTTACTAGCCTTGCGACAATCAGGGTGTGAAAGTCAACGACTTGCACACCATCGCAAGCCAAGTCAAAATCTACTGGTGAGCAAGACACTGAGCAGGTCGCTACGAAAAGCTGAATTCTGTAGCCCCGCCAATGGGGACGACGTTCGAACCTCCGCCACCTCGACCACGTTCCCCTGAACTCCTCCCATCAGACGACGAAGGGGCTACGCCAGCAATACCAACGACGTTGCGGCAGATCCCATCAAACTTCCCGCCGCTACCACCAAAGCATACCTATCTCAAAACTCCGGTATGTGCTGCTGACCTTTTGTCTATTCCTTACTTGACAGTCAAACCAGGCATCCCCACCCAAAAAGGCAGCGTTGCCATCCTTGGAGCGAAAACTGAAGAATGCATCTCTCGTGCAGGAGTCCCTCAAGAACTTACTGACAGCTACCGAGGATAATCTAGGACAAGAAGATGGCGAGCTTCTAGGTCACATCGTAAATTGGGAAGCTTCGACCTACCCAAGAAAACGCTGGAAAATCTCGGCGAATTAGGGCTGTCTACTGAGTCTCACCTCTTGCTCATGAGACGGTGTTCAACCTCGTGCATAAAAAACAGTACAATAATCGGTGGCCATCACTTCAATTATAGCACCACGCACCTCTGGCCCCAACGTTGCCAGATATTTCAGGGGTAGCCGAACTCGTGGCCTCCTGCAATGATTATGCCATGCATCTCCATTCATCAGGTGCGGTGCTTCGATCGGCTGTTTGGGTTATCACGCCCGCAGATCGTGAGGGTCTGCCCGTGCTTGTGATTATTGTGAGTATTAGTGGGAGAAGTAAACTATGTAATATACGTCCCTAAACTTGAGCTTCTTTCTGCTTGATCGATATCCACGAAGTGTGCAGGGATTTGGTCTGTCGTAGTTTCTCGGGAATCAATAGAAGGTGTTGTGGGTGTCGACACCGTGCTATCAGCCGTAAGTGCAGGGCCAAACGTTATCAACAGTTGGCCCTCCATTCCGGCCTGCTTTGGACGGGCCGTTTTTCGTCTTTTTTTGGGAACCCGCTCCACGCTATCACTGCGCAGTCGCTTTTGCCTCTTCTTCCCCCCCTTCGAAGATGGACGATATCGATGAAGGGGTTGATAGTCGTTTTGGTGCGTTCGATGCGGATCCGGGTGGCATCAAGGGTCTTGCGGAACTCGGGGTAAACCATTGATTGATAGTTGGATCCGAGCTAACCACCGGTTCCAAGAATGTCAGTGGAGACCCTTCGTTTTGCGTATAAACCTCTTGTCGCAGTGGTGAGCCTGGAGGTAATGGTCCAGGTGACAGAGAATGTGCATCTGATGGTGTGCATGACGATTCTGGCGTCGTTGTCGCTTCAAAATCGAGAGAAGGATGGCGAGTCACCTTGAACTTCAATGAAGGGAACTTCAAACCTCTTTGAAGCGTCAGGTAACGGTTGCGACACTGGAAAAGAAATTAGTGAGGCATGCAGGACAGGCAGATGCGCATACCATGGTGTCTGTCCGGCCGGTCCCCAGGAGCTTACTGATTTCTTTCCAAGCTGCATTCTCATTTTCACGCACTACATCAAGCAAGGCCTTGTCTTCTTCCGGACTCCATGGGCTCCTGTTGAGGTTGGGATTGACCTGTTCGTTCCACCGATCCCGGCACTGGTCATTGGTTCGGCCAGGCATGGCTGCTGCTACATCCACCCATGATTGGCCGTACGCAGCTGCAGCGATCCGAAGTCGTGCATCTTCTTCAGGAGTCCAGTTGACACGCTTCACGGAAGGATCTAAGCTGCGTTGATATCTGGTGCTGCATTGCACCGGCGTCGCGTCTTCTGAGACATAACGAGAAACTGAGCCATGATATGAGTAGAGAAACCCCAGGAACAACTACAGGGACCTACCCAGTGACCAATTGTGACCGAACATGTGAACAGCTTTAATCAGTCGTTCGTCAGATGTGGGCGTCCAGGCGTGGTTTTTTCGTGTTATTCCTTGACGCATGCAATCCAACAGTGTCCGATTGGTCTGTCCCAGTGTCAGACGCGAAGGAAAAGATGTGACCAAGGACCTACCCCTAATTTTTGAGCTATGTCCGACCAATCCGGCGAGCCGTTTCTACACCCTGCTACGAGCGACTTTAGCCTGAATATCTCTTCCTCGTTCCAAGGATCATGATTAAAGTCCGGGTGTCGGTCTCCAAGCCATCGGATTTCACACTCTCTTGCAGTACGAGTGGTCACCGACACCCTAGATACCTGCAAGAGTAAGAAACGGTGACGGACACCATGAAGGAAATCTGTTCTACCTTCTCCGCTATTCGATCCCAGTCTAAACCTTCGCAGTTGCGCTCCAGGGATTTTGGAGACCGTTCGCTCATATCGTGGGAAGTTGGGAGACCTCTGTTAGGCGGTGATCAGACAAGAAATCAAGTTCAGCTAGTGCACATACATTATCTGCGCGTCGAAAGCCATCTTGCGATAGTTTTCCGTCCGAACGGCTTCAGCCAGAGCATCCAGTTCGCGGGCCTTCACTGAAAAGCGAATGATGAGTTGGACTGCAAACCAAAAAAGAGGGTACGGTAGTCACTGGGATGACTGTCTGTCAAGCTCTCGTACCGATCTCGCCGCAGAGCATCACCATGGAACGGAGAATCCTGACAACAATTAACTACGAAAGAGAAATATTGAACTTCGACACACTGGAGATTCCAATTCTGAGGAGGGAATCGCGCTTGCTGCTCGTACGGCGCCTGGCACGAGGACGAAACCCGGAACGTCAAGATCGGAGTCGTCTTCCATTTCTATGTTAGCAGCGTCCTGAAACAACGACGATAGTTTTAAATCAGGGTATTATCCATATGATGAGAGAGAAAAATAACGCACGATCAGTCTTTCGACCATCTGCAGTTCGGCCTCCAGCTTTTCGATGTAAGTGTTCAGGGCCTGTTGATGCTCTCTGTTAGCCTGTAGTGCCTTCTGAGCGAGTTGATGGACATGGTTGGCTTCTTGCGATTCCACCATGAAGGCTTCACTACCAGGCTTCATGAGATGCGAAATGAATGGAACGAGCAGTACACATGTATGTAGTGCTGTGCGGAGAACCACAAGCAGCTCTCAACAAACAGTGACAACGGCTGTTTGCCAACTACCGCCATGGCCAAAGGTGCTGCTAAACGCATAGGTAAACAGATGATCCTTCGTTCGCATACCTCGACCAATGATCTGAATTGTAGCTGGTCAGAACGAACGGGCCATTAAACATCTCCGTCTGGGGATGGTCATCCCGACCATACTGTCGCTTGTCCTTCGTTTGCTGCTTAGACGGGACTCATTACCACCTTCGAAGGGCTCTCTGACCATCTATGTACTGACATATCTTCCGGCTCTCTTCCTGTCGCGGTATTTGGAAAATATCGGGACTTCTCGCCGCGATCCTACAACGGGAGCCCTTATTTCCTCTGGCGAGGATCTCAACCAACCCGGCGTCACAGAATGGTGCTTTGACATTCTTTATATTACCTGTGGGTTTTTCCAGTCTACCTAGGTTTACATTGCTGTTTGACCGATTGGTCTGCGAGGCAGGGTCATGCCAGGTTGGCAGTGGGGCATTCGGGGAGTGGTTTTGGTATTTCTATCTGGTGGTGAGTGCTTGCATGAATTTTCGGTCGGCGTCGAATAATGTGAATTTACAGATACCACTGTACGCGGTCTTCAAAGTCTGGACCGGTTTCGTCGGTCCATACTTGTTGCCGTCGTCAGGCAGCCCGCCAGCGGACGACGCAAACAAGGCAGAGACATTGAGCAAACGACAAGAAAAGCTGCGCAAACGCAGCGAACGAGGGGATCCGCGGGTCCGTGCAGTGCACAAATGATATGGCAGGCGGATTTACTGTAGGACCTCGACCTCAAGCATATGATCAGCATTCGTCTGTGCCTACCATACAGTCAAATGTTGACCGATCTGCATATCTACTGTCCCGAAATCCTGTATTTAGGTACGTATATGTCTGTCAAGGAACACGAACAACCGCTAGAGCCAACCCTGCGAGGAACGACCCGATGGCATCCATTTGTGCCAAGGGTCGGTGAGACGGGCCTCCGATGGCAGAGCGCTCGCTGTCGTTCATTGGCACTTACCACGTGACCCGACACGGTCGTGCTTCCAGCTTCCGCGCTGTTAACGGTGACCGGTGACCACCATCATGCAGCCAGCGATAGAGCGACCACTCGAGACTGATTCCAACCTATTGAGTGCAGACAGTCCCTGCCATTCAGGCTCTGAGCTTGGAGATGCTCACTCACGGAGTGTAGGTGTCATCATGCATATTCCTGGGGAGGTCTCATGCGCATACATCTGCCTTTATGGACCATTAACATGCAGAATGAACCGGAGTTGCCCAGTAATGGCGGAGTCAGCCCCATCTGTACCACTACATCGCTGTCTCTTCTCGGCCTTGCGATCGAAGGAGTTCCACATGACATCTGCGCTACCGAGCTCGCACTGCGGGTCGGCACTGAGCAGCACTCCGCAGGCTATATGCTTGAAGCTCTTACTACTCGAACCCACCACCTCGCAAGTGGGTGCATCAGCAGTAACTATGAGGAGAAACATGCAAGCACCACCGAGGCCAGTGAGCGCATAGAAATTACAGGGGGCTCTTGTGTGAGTGTCTCGGTACAGCCTTCCCTTTCATATACGGTGACCTACACAGGGGACGCCGTTTCCGCTTGCTGAGATGGCCAGACATGCTTTGCAGGACGATGATGCTTCTGGCGCCGTCAGCGATAATCCACCTTCTTCCTCTTTGCCTCCGAGCTCAAGTCCAGCCCAAGTGTTCTCGTCCTCGCCACTTGCATCTTCCCAGTCATCGTCCGTGCCCAGTGATAAAGTCTCAGGGGTAAGAACATTTGGGTAACTTTCCTGGTATACTAGATCCCTCTCCCAGATCGCAGAAATGGAAGAGTACAGTCCTCCCAATGTCTGCCCCGAGACAAGAATAAGAATGGGTACGTGCTGATACCAAGTCGATAATGGTCAGACAATGATATGGTATATGTAACAGCACCAGAACCCTCGGTATGCTCTGACGTAAGAAAAAGACCAGCCGAGGCCAGCGTATGAGTCGATCTTCCCGTCTATCAGTGACTCACAGTATCAGACAGGATTTAGTCCCATTGTCCGAGATCGGCACAGAACAGATGTCGCCGCAACCAAAGCGCATAGTAAGCTGCTTTTATAACATGCTACATGAACAACCGACAATCCTCCTGTTGCAGAAGGTAGAGGTGGACGATGCGCCGCTACCCGTTCCCAAACGGCTGACGCAAGCATCGCAACAACGACAGTACAGAAAATTAGTTACACCGTTTCGGTCACCCCTCCTGACCACAACTGGAGAGCCTTCCCGCAGGGTCGAGTGCTCATCCGTAAAGTCAGAACCGGTTCGCGGACCTGGTCCAGCCACTAGCAATTCCTTGTTCAGGCAACCCCATTCAAGTCCGTCGCCGCAGGGACATTTTGTCCGCTCGAAAATAACGACAGGGACAAGGACAGGAGGAGCCGCCGCCCAATTCAAGTCGCCCGTCATGCAATCTGCAGGCTCTTCCCCTGGCGTGTCAAGTCGACCATCTATCCGTCTGACGCCCACGGTACAAATGCTTGAGCACAGGCTACAGGTTCTTCGGCGCGCCGTAAAGGTCAAGGAAGACGAGGACGAAGAAATTCTACAGCAACTCGTGACGAGGTGGACCGACGCAGGAAGGGAGGCAGCCTATCAGCTATGGGATCTTGCCAAAGACACTGGAGATTTACAAAGCAAGTCAACGGACCTTGGAAGCATTTGGAGTCGCGGTGCGACGACTTCCAGTGACATAAATTGGGGGTGGGATAAACCTGAAGACGATGTTAACGACCGTGCAGATTGGCATGGTACAGAGGAGATGGCTTGCGAGGAGGATGAACCTCGAAACACATTGGGCACGATGCTCCGCCAGCTTCGAATCGACCCAGTGACGTTAGGTTGGGATGAGCAGACAGAAACATTTATTGACTGACTCCTGTAATAACAATCCCTGACACAAATTACTGATGCCGTTGCCACAAAAACACTCCATGTTGTGTGTGAGCCTTCGTGTGGACCTACTGAGCATTGGAATAAATAGGATCAACCAGCCCAACAAGTGTGAATTATGAAAGCTAACAAAAAGAAATCATATTTCAACTCCAACTAGTGGAGGAGATTCTCAGAGCAAGCTGAGGTCTGAAAAATTGGGTAATGCGACATTGAGGTGAGGGCAACCCACGGAACGCCCTAGTAAAAGGCGAGGGCGTTGTCTGTTTGTGCTGCCCCCTGTCGCCGATATTTAATGCTGACAAATTCTCTACGGTGACAAGGCTTTTGTATTTGCCTTGGCTTGCGGGTTGAGCACACTTGCCTTTTGAAGTAATCTCCATAGCTACTGCCAGGGGAGACTCGATTATTACCAGGTCATCATGCAAGATGACCAACTTGCAAGTGTGGTATCTTCTGTCCTACGCGAGGCGTTTAGTACAGGCATTCTGTCAGCTCCCATCAGCTCTAGGGACCTTCTCCTCCATCTCATCTCCTCCAAGGCCGGGACTGGTTCACCAACGCTAAAGCTGACGGACTTACGTCGGGTGGACACCGTTTTGGAGTGGTTGGAGAACCACTGGGAGCACGGAACGATAAGAACCAGTCGCGATGACGATGCTCTGACTATCGTCGATGTATGTCTTGGCAATACCCGCGTTAACGTATTGAACCCCCGGAAGCGGAAGCGGGCAGTTGATGAGGAAGCCGATTCCGCTGCTGGTGATGAGAATGATGAATCCTCCTCGCGTAGTCTTAGTCGATCTCCTCCACCCTCCAGAACGCCGCTGGGAAGTCTCAGCAAGGAACTAAAGGAAGTGTATGCCCTTCTCCAACGTAGTACCGCAAAGGGGCGTCTCTTGGCTGAGCGTGTGCGTGTTTAACAGATTTATCCCCTGCAACGCAATCGCTGATGCTCTACCGTAGTTTCGCTCTGTTCATCCAACCTTCAATCCAATCTGTCCGCACGTCACCAAGGATGAGTGTTTCAAAGCCCGTCGCGATGCTTCAGGGGGTTCTGGTCCCGAAGCTACACAGACGACGTTGTCCGCTTGCGGTCGCGTGCACTTCCGACCGCTCATCCGACCACACACCGATCCTTCTCTCGGACATTGTTCCTATCTGAACACCTGTTATTCCGAACCCACATACGCACAGTCTCCTTCAATACCGTCGTTCCCGTCGGGAAGCGCCACGAGGTCATCTTTACCATCAGGACTTGGTGCGGGGGGTAGAGGTAAAGAGAAGGCACCGTGTCGTTACCTGCATTTTGAAGTGGACTGGGACGAGAAAGATGGAGCTGCTGCCAGCGGTGATCATACGAGGGAGGCATTAAAGGCAGAAAAGCCGTTCAAGTTGGAAATTGGCCTCGGTCCATTCAATAAAGATGCACAGGTGGTAAGCTTTCCTTCCGAGTCTGAAATTCCCCACTAAAACAAAGTATTCTAGCTGCCGCCTCAGTGGATTAATTGCGACCTGCGCCATTTCGACTATTCCGTTCTTGGGAAATTCCATGTCATCATGGCCGATCCTCCATGGGATATTCATATGAGTGTATGTTTATTTACCATACTTTTGTTGGCTGAATTGACTAACTCCGTGCGAAGTTACCCTATGGGACAATGACCGACGATGAGATGCGAGCCATGCCAATCCCTGCTTTGCAGGACGAAGGTCTCCTCTTCCTATGGGTCACGGGACGTGCAATGGAAGTCGGGCGGGAATGTCTTCGTGTTTGGGGTTACACACGCGTCGACGAAGTTGTTTGGGTGAAAACCAATCAGGTACACTTCCTCAGATCCACCAGAGAGACAGTGTTCACTTAGCAGGTGAATTGTTCAGCTTCAGCGCGTTATTCGTACAGGGCGCACAGGCCATTGGCTTAACCATACCAAAGAGCACATGCTCGTAGGAGTGAAAACTCACCTCGATGGAGCAGGAAATCTCAAGTTTCCGAGCTGGGTTAACCGCGGCCTCGACACAGATGTGATAGTAAGCGAGGTACGCGAGACGAGTCGCAAGCCGGACGAGGTATATGGCCTCATCGAACGGATGTGTCCCGGAGGCCGGAAGGTAGAAATCTTTGGACGTAAGCACAATACCAGACCAGGGTCGGTGCATTTTCTCGCGTGAAAAATCTTTCTTCTGCGTGTTGACGTTTGATGTTCGTGGTGCAGATGGCTCACGCTCGGGAATCAGCTCGGCCCAGATCAGATATTCGAGGAAGATCTGGCCGCTAGGATCCGAGCCCGTTACCCAGAGAGACTCGGGAGTCTTTCTACGGGACCATTATAGCTTTGGCGGTCCTAGCATGAGTGCATGATGCAGTGATCTGCCCATGTCATCAGGTGTACAGTATTACCAGAAGTTTTGGGAGTTCGTGCTTCTTAAGCTGGTTGGCATGTAGATATCGATGATTCTCGTGTGCTAATAAGTTACATAGAAATCCGTTCCAGTGGTGTGGCGGTCAACAGCACAAGTACACCGTTATTGGCCCGCCTCTACTGTACTGTATCTTGTATGATTGAGTCATGTAATTAGTACGTGCATATTAACATCGACCGACTTGAGTCCACCGGTAAAGTACATCTACATAAAGTTAGGTATGCAGAGCGAACAATGAGGAAAGTGGACCGAGTGCCCGAGTGCGTGGCCTTAGCGTTGCTTATCAGTTGAGTCAAGTTCTTGGGTCAGGAGGTCATTAACAGCTCTTGGATTGTCCAAATACTACTGGAGTATGTCAGTCTCGAACATAAAAAAACAGACGGAAAAAGGCGCACGGTGGTGTCCAGCACCAGGAATGACGAACATTCGCCCAAAGTGATTACCGGCTTCACGGAGCTGCTGAAGGGATTGAAGCCCGCCGACAGGGTCCATCCAATCATGTTCCCCGTCTGTGCATGCCACCACCCACTCAGCTCAGAGAACCTGTATAGGAAACATGTACTCACAGGCGAAGGTTATGGGCATTTTGAGGGCCGATATCCGATCTACTAGTGGCATGCGGGCGTGTGCAAACGGCGCAAGAATGTGAGCTGAAAACGATTGACATGAGATAAGAAATTGCACGCATGCAGCGGTGAGACTGACATATGCAATACTCGCCAGATCCTTTGGCTAGTGTGATGTTCAGGATATATTCGTGCATGTCGCGTGTTTCATCCTCGGTAAGAGCCGAAAAGCGGCGGCTAGAGTACTAATAACCATCGTCGGACAGCAAGTTATGGGGGAGTATAGGGAGCACTCACTTTGCCGATTAACATTGGGCCCCAAAATAGAGACGACCGCACCAACTGAAATGGACTCCATCCCTCTTCCCACAGATACGTGACTAGCCTCATTGTCCGGCTTTCCTGCTTCCTTGCCGCCCTTTGCTCGTTTCGTATATGATTGACTGCACCGGTTGAGGCAGAAGTAGCAGGACGCGCAGCTGGCGGAGCTGGCTGAATCGCCCGTGTCCGTCAATTCCCTGGAAGGCATGGTAAGGTTGTTTGGATCGCGAGTTACACCAGCAGGTGATAGCAGGATGAGTTTGTTCACACGCGCGGGATAGCGCAGAGCATATGCAACGCTGAAATATGCCCCAAGAGAATGGCCAATCAAAGTCATTTTATCCAAGCCCATCTTGTCTCGCCACTCCTCAAGCGAATCGACGAAGAAGGATTCTGCCTCACGCACGCGACTGGCCACGTCGTCACGTTTGGCTTTCACGTGGAAGGGGACACGGGCAGACCGACCCATACCAAGCCAGTCAAGGGCGTGGACATCTGTGCCTCTGTGGCCTGCCCAGGTAGCAAGGTCGGGGTAATTACGGAAGAAGAATCCTAAGCCTGCTCCATAACCATGTAAAACGACGGCAGGGGGTGGTGCATTTGGAGCTTTGTTAGTTGATTTGATGGATAGCGTATTGAGGTAGTGTTTCGGAGTTGCGAGGGCCATACGTTCCGTGCGCGCGATAACAGGACTGTCCCCGGCAGTTGATGTGGGCATCTTCTCAGGGACAAAGAAGGGCAGACGCCTGAAAGATGAATCAGCTCCTGAGAGGTGAATTCAGTTAAGCCCAGTTATGCACCTCAGGAGGCGCTCCTCTGCGGCTGCACCTTGCTTCTCACCGGCATACCACCTTGGAATATCGAATGAGGACGATGAGTATGTTGAGTTATAATCAAGCGACACACCAGCTCTTCAGACTAGCAGTGAATGTCAGGGGTATGTCCCTGGCTGGTGGGATGGGGAGAAAGGGGGACGAAGTGGCCGCGACTGACGCAGACATCAGTCCTCTACTAAATGCTTTAACAATGGAGGGTATCGTGGATGATGATGACTTGCCAGACGAGGCGAGGGGACGAGGGGGGACTTATAGGCAGTTCACAAGGATGACGTGCCGAATCGGCATGGGTGATCGCGTAAGCACACATCCGATTTCAGAGTCCGATCCCGTTCGGCATCCCAACCACAGCCATATCGGCCTCACGGAAGGTGCATAGCAAATAGGAAACTGGGTTCTGTACTGGTACTGATAGCTTCTCGACAGTGGTTATGTTCAGCGCAACTTCTCTGTGCTGCGCATGCACCAGACTTCGACAGACACGCGAGATATAGCTCCATCTAAACGCACCTCCTGGAGAAGCAAAATGTCTGGAGCGGCAGCTCAACCTCAAGGATGGTGGGTACGTGCCCCCGCTAACTTCGGCCAGCGCTGACAACTCACCTGTCCTCTCTCTAGCTTTGAAAAAGCGGAAATCCTGGTTGGAGTCCTAGAGCTGCGCGAAAAGCTCAGTGGAAATCTCGCTTCACTTTCAACGACAGCCAACTCTAAAACCTCGATACGTATGCTATTACCACTGCAGAAAGGCCGAGCTCAACAAGATGGCATGTGGCCTCGGTACGAGAAGGGGGTACATAGAGGGAAAGGCTTTCGGCCGTGAAAAGCAAGAAGAAAACAGGCTATGGCGTATGGTGGAGCGGGAGATGAAGAGAGATGAAGATCGTATCAGCATATAGGAACAGTGCGGAAGATGGCAAACTGAACAAGGGGAGGGGGAGGGGCAGATAAAAGGAGAGGAAGAACGAATTAGGAGAGAGCAGCGCGAAGGAGAGCAAGAACGTGCATGGGAAGGGGAAGGGGAATGGCAAAGAGATCGAGAGTGAGAGATAGGGATTGTAGGGGAAGAGAGCGAAATGAAGCGGATTACCAGAGAAGAGAACGAATGTTACCACGTGTACCATTACCATCGGTCTTCCTCAGGATCTCGTCGTCAGCGTTCACCGGTATCCACGACGCCTCAGCAGATCGTAAGCAATGTGAGTCACCCATGAGGTGTCAACATGTCACCGGTCGATACACAGCGATCACTGATGGGGATCCAACATTCGTGTCCGCCTCCCCGTACCTCACGGACGTGATCGTCCAGTCTACAAAGGACACGCGACTGCTCAGCGCCCACCGATCACCAAGCAGCGATCACGAACATAAAGCTCTATTGAGGGCGTTTTAGTATGCGCGGGCGTAGTCGCGAGCACTCCTTGCCCGCAGGCTCTTTTTCGCCCGTCAGTTACTTTAAGCCGCAGCCGCCCGAAGAGTCGTAGTGACCGAATGGTTCTGACCTGGACCATTAATCTGGTAGCTTTATGTGACTGCGATTATCTATCATAGTACGTCGATGTGAGAGTGTCAACAATATCTACGCTTGCCATTTGCCTGGCTGTAAGCCTCTTGTGAGTAATCGGCTCGGCTGTTCATTAACATTTCTGCAACGCTGACCGTGTTGATCCCTCGGGTGCTCCAAACTAACAACCTATTCCCTGCGCTGCACAAAAAAATGCGTTTCACTCACCCCCGGCACCCAGTCGCAACTCTTCGACCTCGTTTATTGGGCAAAAGTCCTGGCGCCAGGACTTTGCCGGCTCGTCTTGCATCAAATTCTGCAGCGGAGGTCCGTTCGTATTGTCCTTTGATTCCGAAGTCGATATCATTTCAAGCAACAGATCCCCTCTGAACCAAATACTCGCTATCTAAAACCGACTTACGATTTCTCCTCCCCTCCGTCCATCAGAACCGCCAGTACTCTGGCACTCGGAGAGCAGTACCTCCTCCCTATCTACGCTCGCCCACCAGTGGTACTGTCGCATGGTCGCGGATGCTGGGTATGGGACACCGAGGGACGAAAGTATTTAGATTTCAGTGCAGGTATTGCTGTCAATGCACTGGGCCATTCTGACCCAGGTGTGGCTGAGGTCAGTCAGCTTTGCTGGTTACGAAATACATCCTGATTAACGGTAGTAGGTCCTGCACACGCAAGCTTCTACCCTCCTTCATTCGTCCAACGTCTACCACAACGAATGGACTCCAAAGCTAGCAGAGTTGCTTGTCACTCTTACCGCGTCAGAAGGCGGCCTCGGTTTTCCTACTGGTTCCACACCTACTGAAGTCAGGGTCTTCTTTGCCAATTCTGGAACGGAGGCAAACGAAGGCGCCTTGAAAATAGCTCGTAAAGTTGGAAAAGATCGGTGGGCGGCAGTCACCGGTAAAAAGCCTGACGACCAAGCATGCTCCAAGACGAAAATCGTGTGCTTTGAAAATGCGTTCCATGGCCGTAGCATGGGTGCACTCAGTGTCACCTCGACAGAGAAATATCAGGCACCGTTCAGACCACTGATTCCTGGTGTCGACGTTGGGAAAGTCAACGACATCCAATGCCTCCAGAGATTGATTACCGATGAAACCTGTGCAGTCATAGCTGAACCCGTACAGGGCGAAGGTGGAGTCACTGCCGCAGACGAACAGTGGCTAAGGGCGCTGCGGGAGCGCTGCAATGAGACGGGAGCTGTCTTGATTTATGATGAAATACAGGTCAGATCATTTAGTCATCAGTTGTGTATGAGCCTGATAGCCTTCTGTCAGTGCGGACTTTTCAGAACCGGGACAATGTGGGCGCATTCTGCTCTCCCAGTAGACTGCCACCCAGATATCATCACTATGGCAAAGCCACTGGCAAATGGATACCCCATTGGTGCAGTTCTGCTGCGCGATACTATCGCGTCTACGATGACAGCTGGTGAGTGATGGTGATAGTGATGGTTCGAGACAACGGTCTGACACAGTTTGTAAGGTACCCACGGAACCACTTTCGGAGGATCCCCGTTAGCTTGTGCAGTGGGTCACCACGTGCTTAGTCGGCTCAGTGCACCGTCATTCGTTACTCACGTTCGCGACGTAAGCGAATACTTGAACACACGGCTGGAGCTATTGCCGAAGTGGTTCCCTGATATTCTTCAAACGGATGTTCGAGGCCACGGGCTTATCCGTGGCTTGGGTTTAAGAAATGAGACACATCCTGGGAAAATCGTGGAACTGGCGCGGGAACGAGGTGTCCTCCTCTTAACAGCTGGGAAAGACGCAGTTCGACTTGTGCCTTCTCTTACGGTTAGCAAGGAGGAAGTTGAACTTGCTGTGAATGTACTAGAGGGATCCCTGGCAGCTCTCCAGAACTAGTATGAGTACTGTTATGTACCCAGAATCAGCGCAGTGAAACACTAGACCATATCATCGTTGTCTCATATTTGACACAGCTTAGCTATCTTTGTTCCATGCTTACCGGTTGGCCTAATGTCAACACGTGATCTCTGGAACTGCCAATCACAGCTGTTCTAATTCACAAATATGATTAATCCGCCTCCGACGAAAAGTATCAGGCTATATAGGCATCTGTACCTTTCCCCTCTCTCCGTTCGCTCCCGCATTCGTGTCCATCAACTGCGCCCTGTAAGTCGCTCTCCTGTAGTCTTGGGCTCGTCTGGCTTGGTGAATCCGACCGTTAATCAATTTTCAGACTTAGAACTTGAAGGTCGCTGTCATGGAGAGGCTTTCCGCTATTTCTCGTTTCAAGAACATCTGCCCGTTCTTGGGTAGAACGCAAGTATCTACTTTGCGCACGTTGTCTACTTCATCTTCCCCCCGGTTTCCCTCTCTGTCTTGCCTCACCGAGAGCGCTACCAAGTGCCCCATCATGGGTCCGGCCCTGCAAATGCGTTCCACTCAACTTGTTGCCGGTTATGCTAGCGTAGCCGGCCAGGAGGATGTTGAAAGAATCCATCATAGCAAGGGAATTTATCTCGGGAATCCTGTTACCGATGCCGACGTCGCTAAGTGTCCGCATGCGTCCGCTGCCCGGGCAGCTGCACGTATGGCCGAAGAGCTCGCTGCTGCTTCTACTGCGGAAAAGGGAAACGCGAAGGCGGAAAACACGGGAGCGGGAGGCTGTCCTTTCTACAAGGCTGCTGCTGCTCCTAAGCCCGTTGTGATGCACGATGCCGAACCAGTAATTGAGCAGCATGCCTCTGGGACCTTCGATTATGCTCAATTCTATGCCGCGGAGTTGGAGAAAAAGCACAAGGACCAGTCCTATCGTTACTTCAACAATATTAACAGGCTTGCGGCCAAGTTCCCTGTCGCTCATACTGCGAATGTGAAAGACGAGGTCGAAGTGTGGTGCGCCAACGACTATCTTGGTATGGGCAATAACCCCGTCGTTTTGGAGACTATGCAGTTCGTGAACATTGATCCTATGCACCTATGCACTTGGTTCTCATATTTTCCACAGTCGTACTTTGGACAAGTACGGTGCCGGAGCGGGCGGGACACGAAACATTGCTGGCAACAGCACTCTGCACCTGAGCCTCGAAAATGAGCTGGCTTCGCTTCATAGGAAGCCTGCGGCCCTTGTATTTTCTTCGTGCTACGTGGCCAATGATGCGACTCTTTCGACTCTGGGGGCGAAAATACCTGGCCTTGTTTATTTCTCTGATGCATCCAACCACGCCTCTATGATACAGGGCATCCGTCACTCCGGTGCGAAGAAGGTCATTTTCAAACATAACGACCTTGAAGACCTCGAGTCCAAATTGAAGATATGGCCCCGAGAGACTCCCAAGGTCATCGCATTTGAAAGCGTCTACTCCATGTGCGGGAGTATTGGACCTATAAAGGAAATCTGTGATCTAGCTGAGAAGTATGGTGCCTTAACTTTCTTGGACGAAGTCCATGCGGTTGGCTTGTACGGCCCTCGCGGAGCTGGTGTTGCCGAGCATCTTGATTTCAGCGCCCATCTTGAGGCAGGTCAAAGCTCAGCAATGATCAAAGGAAGCGTAATGGATCGTGTGGACATCATCACTGGTGAGTAAGAAAACTTGTATATAAGAGGCGACCTCAGTGACACCTTTCGAAAGGAACCTTGGGTAAAGCTTATGGAACTGTCGGAGGCTACGTGGCCGGCTCCAAAGGCTTCGTCGATATGATCCGGTCCTACGCACCTGGCTTTATCTTCACCACTTCTCTTCCGCCTGCCACTGTTGCTGGAGCTCGTGCTTCCGTCATTTACCAGAAACATCACATGGGTGACCGCGCTTTGAAGCAAATCAACGTTCGGCAAGTCAAGGAAAAGCTCGCGGCTATCGATATTCCAGTTGTCCCAGGTCCTTCCCACATTGTCCCAGTCCTAGTCGGCGATGCCGGGTTGGCAAAAGCAGCTAGCGATAAACTCCTCATGGAGCATGGTATCTACGTCCAAGCCATCAATTATCCTACGGTCGCAGTTGGCGAAGAACGCCTCAGGATTACCGTTACTCCTCGCCATACCAGTGAACAAATTGATGGTCTAGTCAAGGCACTTGACGCGGTTTTCGCTGAGTTGAGCATTAACCGCGTTAACGACTGGACCAAACTCGGTGGCCGTGCCAACGTCGGGTTCCCCGAAGCCTCCACTGTAGAGCCGATCTGGACAGATGCACAAATCAGCGTGGCGGGAAACCGGAAGACGTTGCATGATGGACAGGAAGCTGTGATCGATACTGCGGCAGTTGATGCTGTCCGTAAGGAATTCGAAGCGTTGTTGGGTCCAGCAGAGATGAACGAGGTGAACAGGGCGGCCGACGCGGCGGTGCTCGCAGGGGCGATGGAACTGGTGGCCGAAGCTATGCCCAGGAGTCCTCCGCGCTCTTCCATTCGCTTCGACCGTGCTGAGGCTGCTGCAGTTGCGCCGATTGCTGTCGCTGCCTGAACTTGATCTGCCTCCGATTTAGGTGTCGCAATTGTCTTTTGGTAACTCCAATAATCTAGAATGTGCAGCTTAGAATGTGCAGCAGTTGGTTTTGTGTCACAAGTAATGTAAGGGCTTGACGCGCGCAAGATGTTGGCGAGCCTCGGAGAGTAGTCTTTGGATTATTATCCCACTATGGTTCTTAAATAAAGATAAATCAACTTCCGTAGAAGGCAAGGGTTTCGTCGCCGGCTCCTTGGCTGAAACCTCGGATGAAGAAACGGAAGTGCGATGACAAGTCGCATGTCCACCCAGTGAAGTCAACCAACCTCCACCGCTGTCTACCTACATCTCCTTCCTAACCACAATCGAACACAGGTGTTTTCAAGCGAGACGCCAGTTACAGGCGAACCCAGAAAACGTAGTACGCACTTGTCTAGGAGTAGTACGACACGTGACCGGCGGCAGTTGTTTGCCTCAAGCCACTTTCTTATGCAGCGTAATAACTGCAAACTCAAACGCTTTCCTGTGTTCAGCACTCGGTGACCATCTTCAGGCACTCATTTTCTATGGGCCTCACATTTTCAACGCTGTTCCAGTCTCTGGCACAGCTAATGCGATGGAGTAAGGACCAGGATGTTCGCATTCTCATGTTGGGTCTTGATTCTGCTGGGAAGGTGCGGGTTAATGGGGTGGTAGCGATGATCTCCGTGCTCACCACGATGACAGACTACTATTCTATACCGACTACAAGTGCGTAGCGTGCTTTATATCCCATATACCGAGTGCTAACTTGTCAATAGATCGGGGAAGTTGTCTCGACGATACCTAGTGAGCTTGCCCAATGCTGTGTTTATGGAACGTAGCTGGCTGACGTCAGTGTCTGGAAAATAGCGATTGGCTTTAATGTCGAGACTGTCCAGGTTCTCCCCGTTTGCACGTTCGGTGGGGATTTCATTACTGACATCTCATCAGTACAAGAACATTAAGTTCCAGGTTTGGGATCTTGGAGGGCAGTCAAGCATCAGGTGCGTCTCGCTTTCCGTTACTCTACAGAGCAATGCCGGATCTCTGGTTCCCTAGACCGTATTGGCGGTGTTACTTCCCGAATACGTCGGCTATCATCTATGTCATCGATTCATCTGATCATACCCGGTTGTCTACCTCTCGGGGGGAGCTTCTGACGATGTTATCGGAGGATGAGCTTTCCGGCGTTCCCCTTCTCGTTTTCTGCAATAAGCAGGATGTTGAAGGTGCATTGAATCCGGAAGAGATTAGCGACCGGCTAGGCCTTGCGGGTAAAGAGACGTCGAGGCAATGGAGCGTGCGCGGGAGCTGTGCCACGAAGGGGGAAGGTTTAGAGGAGGGCCTTGATTGGTGCGGTCTCCTCCATTTTCGTTTCGTGTTGGGGTTCACAATATAAACAGGCTAGTGAATGCCATCCAGAAGTAGTGGCTGCCCAACTGCTATCTCATCCGGTTTCTTGCACGTTCGTTACCAGCTTTGTTTCTATCGGACCCTGGGTCATTGAGGTAGCAAACACTTACATTAAGTACTTCTAATATACCTACTAGACTTGCTCCTGGAATAACAGTATCGTTGCAGGGTTGCGTAGTACGACGTAGCCCTGACCATTGCTTCCGATTATTCACGGACCGAGTTACTTTGGCCAATTCCGAGTGGCCTGGAAGTACCTGACAAGCAGGTTGTACAGGATATCGTGAAGGCAGCGTGAACTCGATCAGCTAGGGTAGACTCCGGTCGACCATGACCACTCCCAGGCTCTCTCCTCCGGGTGCGCTATGCAATCTTGGTATGCGTCGAGGTCTGGTCTCCACACGCGCACAGTTCTGTCATCAGCACAGGAGGCGATCATGTCGGTTGCCCAGTCAACAGCGCCGACCTCACCGGTTTGTCCACGCAGCTCCACGGCAGTGGTTGGAGGCACCGCAGAAGAAAGACGACCAACGTTGCTAACGTCGTAGAGAAAAAGACTGCCATTCTTTGCCGTGCATCCGCTGGCGAGCCATCTTCCACACGGTGAGGTTGCCAGACGAACATAAAAGCTAGACAGCATGTTGGGGTGCGTAATCGATTCCACATGCGTCAGCGATGAAGAATCGTAAGCATGGATATAATTATCGGCTCCGAGCGCGAAGAGAAGACTTGATGTGGGTCCCGAACCGGCACATAGGGCCATGAGGCCGCGCGCGCGGCGAGCGCCGTGAAGCATCGTTGGATCTGTGGGAGATGTACACGCTGGAGCCATTGGGGGAGACTTTTTCGTCCGCTTTCCAGTTGCACTAACTTTCGGCTGCCGGAGGTCCCACATATTAAGAATACTGCGCTTCAGGTCAGTGACCGCCTCGTCGGGTCGCAGTAGTCTTACCCATGAAATGATCCACAGCTTACAAGAGTGTCGGGATTGCTATAGAGCAGGCCGGTGACACTTCTTGGCAGGTGCATCGTTTTCCTCCTCCCCCCTTTGTTCTTCTCCTGTCCATGGGCGGCATCAATGGCTATAACCGGGCGCAATGGTGAGGCGTTTTCGCCTGTTCCAGAATTTCCATCATTGGCGGTGACCCGTAAATCCCAGAGGTAGATATTTCCGTCTCGGCTTCCCGTGCTTAGCAGATCGGGATGCGATGGGTTCCATGCAATGCACTTGACAGTGCTTGAGTGTCCCTGAAGGACTTGTATGACTTGCTGAGTCTCCACGGAAGTGATGTGAGTCCTTTTGTCTCCTGATGCTGTTGCCAGAATAGAATCATCCAGATTCCACTTGATATCGAATATGCCATTATAATGTGGTTGAAAAAGTGCTCGTTGGGACTCTACAAAAATAAAGCCGTCCGTCATTTGGATTGACGGATACGCATGGAGGTAATTACCAAATTCCCAGTCATGTCGTTTCGAAGTGTTCAGGATCATGACACTCCCCTCTTCAGTAGCTACCGCGAGGAATGGAGTGCTGTTGCGTTTTGCGCCTAGAAACTCGTCAGTCGGGGTAGCAAGACATTGATCTCGGCACACTAACCATTGGAATATGCACAAGCATAAGGTGGAGTGACGAAATGGCTATCCGACAAAGAATGACAGGTATACACATCGGATTTGTGTGATGATACAAATGACTGCAAAATCCGACGAGAGGGGACTGGGTGGGGGTGGACTCTACTTCAGAAACAAACAAAGCACGATATATATATAATTGACGTACGGATGGTTCGCGTGGGGCCAATGAGGGAACGGAAGGATGCAGTTCTGAGCAGGTTGAACATGGTCTGGCGACGTGTTCTGCTATTGACGACTTCAACAACCCCCATATCGACATCACCCTGTGTGTTCTGGGCAGTCACGACTCTGGGTCGTTTGGATGGTGTGTCGTCGGGTTGGGCAATTCTACGTTTGCAACCCACATCTTGCGGAGGCGTCGGCAGAGCCGCGATCGCAAAGCCAACTCTGCTAGCCGGATCGATGTTTGTGGCATTTGACAGTGGTCTGCAGGGTGTGACGTTGGGTGTAGGAAGTGCCATCGCCGCTGAGGAGAGGACAGACGACTTGCCGCTATTACGACGCGTTGTCAGACGCGCCAATAAACGCGTCGTGTTTGTTCACGTGACAATGAACATGCTGCTGTCATGATGTTGTCCGATTGGAGGCCGATTATTCGGTCAACCGTCTTCCTCAATCTTGTCCAGTCCAGCCAAATCACTAGGAATTCATGGCATTTAGGACACCTTTTCGCTCTGTGTCCACAAGGGCCAGGCAGACTCTCAGGATTGGCATGATTCCCGCAGACGGTATCGGTCACGAAGTCCTGCCGGTATGTCTGCATTCAATGCTCTAGTCTCGCGCTTTCCAAACTCTTGTTAATAGGGTGCAAAAGCTGCAATTCAAGCACTCGGATCATCTATCCCGAAAACTGAGTTCGTTGATCTACTCGCGGGGTTCGAGTACTTCACAAGAACGGGAACTGCGCTGCCAGAGGACACTGTACAGGCATTACAAAATGACTGCGACTGTGCCATGTTCGGTGCAGTCAGGTGAGTGAGGATAAGGCAGACCTTTTTTCCGCCAGGTGATTTTTGGTTGTATTAGCTCCCCATCTCGTAAGGTGGCTGGGTACTCGTCACCCATCGTCGCCTTGCGCAAAAAATTAGATTTGTATGCTAATGTTCGGCCGGTAACCTCTGTAAGTTTTTTTCTGTCACAGTGCAATGGTACCTGAGGTTTGGTGTCAGGTTGCTTCGAGTCCTAACGGACAACCGGACGTTGATTTAGTGGTTGTGCGAGAGAATACCGAATGCCTTGTGAGCTCGCGAATCCGTTCAAGAAGGTGGCATGCTGAAGAATAGCGTAGTACGTGAAAGACGAAACGCAGATTATTGGTCCAAACGGCAAGGAAGCTCGTGCTATCCGACTTATCACTGAACGGGCATCGCGGCGAATTGGCGAGATGGCATTCAAGATCGCCCTAAATCGCCCCCGCAAGGTATGTCCGTGGACACCGTTAATTTTGTATTACTCAGTCCAGGGCGGTTTTAAGCATCTCACTATCATACACAAATCCAACGTTCTTTCAATAACCGACGGTCTATTCCGTGAAACTGTCCGTGCTGTTCCCACGTTGCCTGGCGTAGACGGCAAGTACGGTAGCGTCACGGTGGCGGAACAACTCGTGGACAGCGCGGTTTACAGGTTGGGTTTGGCATTCTTTCCTTAACGGACGATCTCTAACGTGGCATTAACTTCCAGACTGTTCCGAGAACCACAGTAAGTGTCTATCATGATGACCTGTACAGACTGATACAAGCCTGGGTGGGGCGGCCAGTATCTACGATGTGATGGTTGCACCGAATCTCTACGGTGATATCATCTCGTGAGTCTTGGAACGATAAGGTTCATGGTGACTTGCTGAGGCTGCGTTGCAGCGATGCTGCTGCAGCTCTTGTCGGATCTCTGGGTCTTGTACCGTCCGTGAACGCGGGAGACACGTTCGTCATGGGTGAACCGTAAGTAGAGATGCGCGAAGGACACGATCACGGGCTGAGTTGGCTTGCCCCTGTAGCGTCCACGGATCTGCACCCGATATAGCTGGTCAGAATATTGCAAATCCGCTTGCGGCCATCCGTTCAGCAGCGTTGATGTTACGCCACCTTGGGTATACGGACGGAGCAGATCGGATCGAACGGGCGGCAGATGAGGTGATAAGGGAGGGCAAATGTCTGACGCCTGACCTGGGGGGAAAGAGCAAGACCACCGAGGTAGTGGATGAGGTGGTCAGGAGGATATAGGGAGGACTGCGATGCTAGCTCGGACTGGGGCTGAGATGGACATACTAGTTGCTGTATTCCCACATGAACACCTCGTGTTTGTTCACGGGACGAATCGCTATGCCATGTAAGGCACCGGAAACGTGTTTCATAGGCACCCTCGGTGGGGTACATAATGTGGAGATATCTCATGATCAGAGAGCTCTTATTACATGCCCTCTGCCACGATAAGTAGCGTTCACTTCGCGTGTTCCTTGAGTTTTTCATTTCGTTTCGCGTAGGTTGCGTGCGTCACCGCCCACGAGGCTAGCAATACTCGTTCTCTGCCTACGATTGACTTCGCGAAATGGGCAAGAATGCAAATAAGAAGGGGAAGCAGAAGGAGACTGCCCCCGCCGTCCCTGCCTCTACGCCGGCGCCTCCCCATCCCCCTCCCCCTCCCCCGCCTCCGCCTCCACCTCCTTCCACTGTTCCGATAATACAAGCACCATCTCCACCCGCTGCAAAACACATACGGCATCCCCCTACCACCATGGCAGTGATCGAGGAAGAAGACGCCCAGGCGGGCCCCTCCGGTGAGTCTATCCGACTATACTGCAACACAACCAACAGGAGTTGGTTCATTCACGGGCCAAAGGCTAATCAGATCTGCATAGGGGACTCGTATGAAGGTACAGAGGGATGGCAAGATGTGGGTCAGCAGGAAGACATGTCGGACGCGGGGTGGGCAGTGGGATCCATGATGGATCCCGGAAATGGTAATGACAACTGGGCCGTTGCTAACGACGCTCAAGGCTGGGAAATAAATTCTGCTGCAGCACCGCCTGCTCCTCCTCCTCCACCCCAGCCTCAGCAGCAGAAACACCCGGGCGGAGGCAAGGCCCAGACTAGGCATCAACAGCAGCAATTTGCTCAGCCGCAACAACATCGACACGAACAACAACACCCGCAGCATGTTAACACGTCGTCTATGGGACAAACAGCTTGGAACCACTCAGAAGGCGTGAAGAGGGCGACCTGGAATACGGCCAAGAATCCCAACATGAAAGATGGCGCTTGGACTACTTGGGCTAACGAGGGCTCGTGGGATGTCCAGTCTGCAGCACCGGATTCGATGGAAGACTGGAGCGAAGGCAATAGCGGGAACGACCTCAACAACTGGGGTCAAACGGGCTCCGCCTGGGGTCGTTCGGCGTCCGTTCCGTCTGCACATACACATACAACATCGTATCAACGACAAAGCGGGTGGCAGAACTGGAGTGCAGAGGCACAGAGGTTACCTAAGGTGACATTTGATCCAGCTATTCCCCTCTCCCCTAGCACTGCTGGCAAGAAGCCGGTTCTCTCCCAACACCAGCGGTCCCAGATTTTAAATGCGTTGCTTAACCGATCACAACAGAATTCACCAACCATACACTATTCCCCAAGATCGGGGTGGAACATACCCTCAGGCTGCCAATGTAGGCTGGCAGCAGGCGCCACAGGCGTGGCCACCGCCAAACACGCAGAAAACTGCTCACCAACAACCTCCCAACCACGACGTGCAACACGAATACCACGACGGAAACGGAAACGGGAACGGGAAAAAGAACAAGAAAAACAGAAAGCAGAAGAAACAGCAGCACCAAGAAAGTAACGACGTTTGGGGTCTCGGCGGCGGTTGGAACGACCAAGATGAAACTGAGGATGACTCCGTAGGTGATGACTGGGGTCGGAAGGTACACTTCCCTCCATCTAACAACGGTGTCCATCCCGCCCCCCCCGCACCTCCCGCACCTGCACCTCGTGCGCCCGTTGATCCTTTTAGCATCTACGCTTCTCCGACAAACTCGCTGGGTATTACTTTGTATCCTAACGACACGCCAATGTCCAAAACACTTGCCTATGCTTACCACGGTACCGGAGCATCACCGGGCGGCGACACCGGTCGCATCGCAATGCGCCAACTTGCAGATGTGCACTTTATCGAATCGCACGGGAAGGCTATCCAAGGCGTGTGGAATGCTTTTTACAACCGACGGCGCAAGGCAGATGACCGCTTTCACTGGTTGTTCCCTCCTGGGAAGGATGAACGCGTCGCTGGGCTCATGGCTTGGATCGACATGGTATCCGCTGCCATTGCGTCTTATGGAGTCTGTTTTTCCCCCCCTTTTCCTGTCAATCGGATGTCCTTATCCATTGCTTAGCTTCAGAAGTTCCTACAAACACGACAACGCGGGGCGCTGTTCGTCAATGCTGACTACAGTTCCTCCCCAAGCGCCCGACGAGCCTGCCTTAGACTGGATGACTTGGGAACAGATCCAACCCACCATGGATCGCGTCTTGCAGGAGTCCGTCGGGTACTACAAACCTGCAACCCATGTGGTCATTTTTGTCTACCTTTCATCTCCCTCTGGAAATAGTGTCGCCATCTGGAGGCGGAAGCTTGCTATACCCGATAACGTTCGACTTGCATACCAAGCCCAGATTACGCAGATCATATCTGCTTTGCCTGCAGTATACCGTGTCTTAGTTGACGAGTACGTAGATAAACCGGTGTGTGCCAGTTTTACGTGCGCTAATGTTACCGCAGGTTACCCAAGAAACCCGACGCTGCGCCGCCCCCACCGCCCAAGGAAAAGAAAAAACGGAAGTGGTACAAGCTATGGTTATTCTCATGACTTCCTTTCTCTTCCTGTAGGAACAGTATCGCTTTCCTCTTTGTTTGTTCTTCATCTTCAGATACGGGTATGTTTGTCTTCTTTGCGCTTGTTCTGCAATGCTGTCGATTTTATCTTCCACTGTCTTCATATACAATTAGGTGGTTCCGAATGGAGTAGCATTTGGGATACAGTACATCAGTGTAAGTTAGTAATAACGGCGGACAATGATACAAAGCCTGTTGGGATAGATTATCCCCTCATAAAGGTCAGGATGATGTACTACTTGTAAATCGACTCCCTAAATATCATCTTGAGGGTTGCTTAGCGGTGTGTTTGAGTGAGGAGGTTTATACAATCTCAATGCAAGGTCGCGCAGCCTTTCGATACCATGCTTATCTGCAGCTGACGTCATCCCCATGGATAATTGTACTTCATGCATGAATTCTGCGATATTAGCCAGTGACAGCCCAAGCTGAGGGAGCACACTATACAGGTGCTCCCTGAGGATTTAGAATGTAGCAGTATCAGACGTCACAAAACGAGAAGTAGACTCGGTGGCATATGTAGCTTACCTTGTCTGCCTCAGTTCCGAAGAATGCTTCAACAGGTCAGCTCTGATGGCGACGTCGGATAATTCAGTTCGAGTGCGATGGTACTCAGAGTTCTGCCGGAGAAGCAAGAGCTCGTTTCGTACGACGTCTAGTTCCTTCCGCAGTGCCGCCTCGCGGGCCAATGTCTGCAAGTTCCTTTGCATCACGTTCGTGCTCGCAGCCCATTGCTCCAGTTGTCGGGACAAGTGGGTCATGCGTCTGTTGATAAAGACGTAAGGAATGATCGTGAAGGGTGTTAGAAAGGTAGCGAGGACGGCGAAAGTGGTAATAGCTGGATGCTGCTGGCGGATATTCCTCCCTGAGGATGGGTTCGCGTCAAGGGCTGGCATTTGTTGGGAGACCTTAGAATGTTTGCACCGATGACGACGACGATTCTGAATCCGCTATTACTAGTGGTGATGGGGTCAAAAACTGTAATTATAATTAGCAGCCCGGGGAATTCTTAGGTAATCTATACTGTTGCAACCTTGACCATCATTTGCCTCGTTGGAGTCAGGCTGCAAGACAGCGCCGGGTTTGCAGCGTGCCCGAGAGAGCAGTCTACACTACTACCATCCCGGGAAATGCTGCATCGTTGCGGTTGATTACTTCGTTTGCAGTCTCAAATCTTCCATTCTCTATAGGACTCCATGTGCTCCGACACTGAGGCCGTGCACACTTTGGCCCCCACACCCGACATAGCGTCTGGTACGCTTCCTCCTGTCATCTCCCATCAGGCCTTCGGTGGCTCTGAAGTCCCTCCTGCTATTTCTGAGGATGCTTGTAACCCCCAAAGTTTCAGAAGAAGAGACCCTGGAATCCCACGAGGTGATCGAGCTTCAGGCATTCAGCGAACGGAAAGCATGGATAGAAGGAGAAAATTAAAGTGAGGAATCGCGTGGCTCCGTTCGCATTTGGGTCTCATTTCATTCCTACCCAGTTCTTGGAGAGTCTTCCACCCATTGAAGTGTTCGTTGGCATTGACGCCTTGCGAAGTTCGGCCGAGGTTATCCCCGGTTTACCCACGCGCCACCAGGTGGAAGAGTGGCTTGCTGAACATGATAGGATTGAAAAGGAAACCGAGATATTTGATTCTGGCGAGCTTAGGAAGCTTAGAAAATTCACAAAGGGTACGAGGCGACATTACGACTGCAGTCTTCGTTCGCCCGGCTGACGTGATCTCATAGCGGCCACTCAGCGCCACCTGTCACCAGAAGACACTGATCTAATCGAGCTTACGCTCACTACCATTTTTGAGTTAGACAAACTCCTCCACCTCCTACGCGACCGTTCTGAAAACCTCGATCTCCTCGATGTCCGACTCACCTGGGAAGAGCAAAGAACTGCAGCATGGTCAGACCTTCGCAAGATTTTCGCCGACATCGAAACTTTCCTTGTTACCCGTGCCAGGTGGTCACCATCCATATATGAGGTCATGACAAAACACGAAGAGAAACCTTCGGCGCGGCGCGGTTCGGTCGCTTCTATGGCTTCGGATACATCTGCTACATTCGGTGCTGGCTTCTCTCGTTCTGCACGCTTCAAACTCGCGGAACTCCTCTCACGTGACGCAGCTCAGATTGCTGGCAAAATCTCCTCTCTCCGGCACGGGAGAATAGCCTCGGCAGGCAAGGCACTAGACAAGCTCATCGAAAACAGCCGTAAGCCGGTACCAGAAGAACTTTTGGATGAACAAGACAAACTCGAAGAGAAAGGCATCAACGACATGGAAGACGTAGGCAAGTTCGTTATGAGCATAGTCACTCAATGGCGAAAGTAATATCGCAGACCATCTCTCTAACATATTTCAGGCTGATGTTATGTTCAGGGCCGACGAACTTTATGTCGAGACTGTGAAGGACCGTAGTGCAGCACAGAACCTCGTGGAAGAGATAGAGACGGCCAGGCTTTACCACCCGACACCCCGTCAGAGTGGCAGTTTTATATCTCGCGCGGATACGCTGGTCAAGCGGCTTGCCCTACGTGGGAATCCGTTTTTAGACTCGAGCTTGTTCCCCCGTCCAACGCACTCTTTGTTTCTGGAACAGGAATCCTTCAACGAAAAACTCGTCCAAAGTCTTTCCTCAGATTTGTTTAGCACTAGAGAACTTGTCTCCAAGGTCGAATCCCTTGCCAGAGAGTATCGGGCGGGCTATGAAGCGGTGAAGGAGATCGATACCCTTTCACAACGCGTAGAAGAATCACTATTGCTGTCCCGCTCTGTCGTCCACAGACTTTCAAATGGCGTCGATGCCTCAGATGGGGACGGTTCTCCGCCGGATTTATCAACGCGCTATTGCTTGGAACCGACAGCACATGCCGCTTTCCTTACTCTTCTCCCTTCAATATTCCAGGATGCGGACCAGGCAAAAACCACTATCACTACGCTCACTAACAGGTACCAGTTTGCTCTGCTCAACCTAGCTCGTCCTGGTATCGATCCTACGTTTAAACAAAACGCCTCGACTCCACTTAATACTCTTCTCACTGCGCACAACGAGATTCTTGCAGTTGTCAGTGAGACAAACACTCGTGTCGGTCGCCTCCGACTCGCGAGGAGGGTGTGGTCGATGATGGGCAAACTCAAAAAGTCACTGCAGAATGTTCAGCAAGATCTAGCTGAAATTATGGTTAAGGAGCGTTGGACGCAACGAATGGATATCACGGAGCCCCTGACACCGAAAACCCCAGAGGCAGAACTCCCTTCTGCATGTCCAACTTTGTCGGACATTTCCTCTCGAATTGAAACTATACGACATGCTCTCTCCCACGACATCGAGGAGCCTCTCTCTTCTCTATTCGGTTCTCTGGAGCAACCACTGTCCGACTTCCTTGTGCGAACATCCACGGATTTGATGGAGCGGTTAGACAATTTGAAAGAGATGATACCCTTTGTGGGGGCCATCCAATCACAGTCTTCTACCATGGCCTCTATTCAGGAAGATGTTCATGATTTGCAGGTGAAAATAGAGGATCTGAGAATTCGTTATGACGTTGCCATTGAAGAGATCTTGGCGGGCGATGTATCAAACGACACCTTGACGGAGGAACAATTACACCTTCAAGCAGATACAGATTCACTCCGCGAGGGCGTTCGAGCTTTTACCGACGGGATTGTGCAGCGAGTACATTTCGTATCACGTGGCCCTTATTCCGAGACGTTCTCCAAAATCTTCCCCCGCAAGAAATCTTCCTTAACCGACATCTATGTCGGCTCTGAGTTGGCTCCGATGATCGACTGCCCCTTCACGCCTGGAAGTCTGGACGACGCTGTTCGCGCAGACTGTAATTCGTTCACGATGAGACTGGCAGGAGAGTTGGAAAGTTTGGACCGGAAAGCTGGCGACTTGAAGTTGGTATGTATGGCCAAGGTTGTTGATGCAGGGGTCGCTTCTGCTAGTGAGGATATCCGGGGGGTTTATCGAGAACTTGAAGAGTTGCGATCAACACTCTCCTCGGTTTCTCATGGGGAGGAAAAGCTTGAACGAATACAGATGTTGTCTCAGGATGTCGAACGCCATGCTTCCAGGCACAGATCCCGCCTCTTCCGCTCGCTCTCCTTGATAAGGGACTGTCTTCGACAGATGGAAATGGTTTCCAGCCCGCGAGCTACTCACGAGCAGTTGCTCACGTCTCGCAGGCGTGCTGTGGATGATCTCGAGCTCAAGGTTAATACCTGGGGAGACCGCGCCGCGGTATTGCTAGGTGAAATCTCCGAGTCCTTGCTTATGGAGACTCGAAGGCTTGAGGCCATCCGCGTGCAAAGAGAAAGAGAAGCAGAAGAGAGACGACAACACGAGCGAGAGGAGAAGGAGCGTCTTGCCGAACAGGCGAGAATCCTGGAGGAACGCCGCCTGGAGGAGGAACGGAAGGTGCACGAACGATTGGCTCAAGAGCAGCTCGCCCGTGAGAGCGCCGAGGGGCAGGCCCACGGGCGACCCGCCGATGAGGAGGCGAAGATAGAAGCCCAAGAGCAAGCGGCTCACGGACGGACGGAGAAAGACGCTGGAGAGCGACTTGCTTCTGAGAAGACGGCCGTAGAGGGCTTTACCAGGAACGAAGGCGGTCCATCGAATCAGTTCCAAGAACCCGATCTCTCCATGTCCCTCGACTCTGAAAACGAGAAAGTTCTGCGCGACACGATGGACCATGGTCTTCAAAGCAGGGTTCACCAGACCTCTTCTCCCAAGAAGACACCTTTCTCTTCAATCTGCGACGACGAAGGTTAGCAACTGTCGACGGCTTGTCTTTCTTTGTAGTAAACTGACCTACGTTCCAGATGTTTTCGGCCCGTCAGTGGTGCCTTCATTGTCACCTACCAAGGCTGACAGGACGGATGAATTGTATACTCGGATCGTTTCGTTGAGGAAGCGTCTTCGGTCGATCGGCATCAACGAGGTTGCAAGACCACCAGCAACAAACGCCTCCTCTCTTCGATTACCCACATTAGAACAATACGGAAAGATGAACGCTCGATTCGCATCTATCCTATCCGAAGCTGCTGAACTCCCTACACGCTGTACTTCTCCCATTTCAGATTTAGAGCTTCGCTCCCTCAGGACCGAGGTCGAAGCTTCTGAGGAACTTCTGCAGCGCATTCGCCAACTTGCAGACTTGGCTGACGCCGCCAACCGTGCTGACAACTCCTTAAGCGATCTTCTGGAACACATCGACAGTTATCCGTCCCCTCCAGCTGGACCTCTATCGAGCCCGCATATCTCCAACCCTCATCTTCCACCAGAGGAGCAATTGAGTGCTCGCATCGGTTTCACGAGACGTGGTGTTACACAGGTAACCACCTACCTTGAACCGGTAAACGATGATACCCGCGCCGTGGCCGAACATGACCGTGTTCGGCAAACTTGGACGGAATTAGAGGAGATGGCTAATGACCGTATCAATGGAAGAAAATCACGACCTTCTAGTGTGCTTAGCACCAGTAGGAATAGTAGCGTATCCAATCGCAGCTCGCACTCGGCGGTCAGCACCCCCAAGAGCGGTCCAAGCAGTCATCAGAGGAAGGCGAGTGGGTACTCGAGTCTCTCTGTGAAAGGTACCCCAAGAAACAGTTTCCTTACACCCAACCTTCCATCGTCAAGGCGCGCTGTATCGGGGTCATCCGATACCGGCCGCCGGCCCTCCAGCAAATTGTCCATGTTGTCTACATCGAGCAGTCGCTCTGTTTCTGGACCCATAGGACAACGGTCTACGCCAACTACGTCTTCCCTCTATAACTCTACGTTCGCATCTCGCCAGCGTACTGCTAGCTTATCCTTTAATGCCCCCACCCCAACGCCGCAGCCTTCCCTCAGTACGCGGCCGAGAGCGCAAACCAGATCTCGGGCTTCGCCAACCCCTTCGGAACTTTCAAGTAATTCTAGATCAACTCACCACCGCTCGTCGTCATCAATGTCTACGTGGTCTCGCGCTCCTAGACAGTCGTTTCCATCATCTAACAGAATACAAACCCCGCCCCGAAAAACGCAGCCTGCTCCCAAAAAAGCTTATGTCGCCAATCCCCAAAGTAAGCTCGATGTTGCTGTTGGCGACGTAGTAAACAAACTACCTGTCAACATCAACGTAGAGGTTGTTGCGGACACTTGGCAAGACCAGAGTGGCAAGTACTGGATCGGAGATCAAGAGCCGAAGCTATGCTTTTGTCGTATATTACGATCTCAAACGGTTATGGTGCGTGTTGGCGGTGGATGGCAGGAACTTTCGAAGTACGTTTTAGGGATCGATTTAAGACCACATTCTCATAGCTTGCGTAGATTTATCAAAGATCACTTTGCAGACGTGTTCCGGATTATGCCCCCCGAGTCCCCTAGTCGCCTTGGATCACCCCGCCTTGGAATTCGAGAAGAAAGGTGGATCAGTTCCGCGACATTATTGGAAGCTCCCGAGATTATCACTTCTCCCCCTCGTACCCCAGAACCCCGCTGTAATCCGATCCCGTCATTCATTCTCTCGACTCCAAGCGGTCATAGTCCACATTCGGTGAAATCTACACCTTCGTCAGGATCGCCGTTGGCCCCGCTGCAATTTTTGAGGCGTGCTGCTCCAGATGCAACCTCAATTCGGCCGGTCACACCTTCGAAGCCACCTACTCACCGCCCTCGTTCTACCATACCTAACACTCCGGCGCGGCGCACTGTCTGGAGACCCTAATATCCATCGATTCCCCCGAATATTATTAATTATTGCATTCGTGTTCCGTTTGACGACAAGGACGTTTACTGACCATACCATTGATCGCTGTCATACATTTTTCTTGCTTTGTACCGGACTTGTTTCATAGACTTGTTATGACTACTCTGAACTGGATAACTCTCGAACACGGAATCGCCTTTGAATAAAGGTCGTTTGGCAAAAACTGATGGGTGTGTGACATTCGGAGTTGACCGTCGTGTGGCTGTGCCCTAAATTTGAACTTGCCCGCCGCCGGGCCCCTGATGGTTTCACGGTAAGAGCTGCGTGCCGCGCTGGAGGAATGGACACGGACTTGAAGTGCAACCATCTGAATTGCCGAAAGCCCTTGATTGACAAGGCAGTCGTGGTGAGCTTGCCTTTTTTTTCTTCTAATCAGGCAGAGAAACTTCGCTTGCTGAATCCCCGTCTACCAAATGATGCGACCTCGGCGATGCTAGACAACATGTACGTCCCGCCGTTAAAACGTTCACTGGTGAATTGAGCGGCTCAACGATTAATGTTGCGCCAGGTTCCCACATATTTTGCGGTGAGATTGCCAGGCATATGCATAAAACACCAGTTGATCGGAGTTAGTTGAATGCGCCAACGAATTATTCAATGCCTCCCGCCTCTGTCCGGGTAGGATGGTCTCCATCTCCCTCATACACACCCTGCTGATTCTCCCAGCCTGCGAATCTTCTCTTACTGAGCCGTAAGCAATCCTCAGTTGTCTAACATAGGATCCGAGGTTGAATCTCCTGGCCGCTGATTAGCGACGATGTTGTGGTAATAATCTGAACACCTGTGATGTTGCCTTGTACGCTCAAAAAGAAGACAGGTATGCTCTCTGCATCCCACGGATGACTACAAGACGGTGCGTATATGCATGATATCCTTGGACCGTCCATAGTTACCAATCCTTTTCCCGCCAGTCCGTGCTTTCGGGACTTAGCCCTTCCATCATCATGGAAATTTGTAGCCGGTTTGCTGTCTTGTCGACTTGGACGCCATCTCTGTTACTGACCTCAAATGCAGAGCGCTTTCATTTTGGCAATACCAAATACATCAAGAAAGGTAGAGTGTCCATAGTTAAAACGGTGGACGTTGTGTGCATTTGCTGGCCAGCTCTTTCCAGCAGGCAGTCTCCCGCAACCTAAATGACAGAAATGCGCAGTTGCAGAAACAACTGGAGAACGTGATCAGGGAAGGTAAGGTTGCCTCGACTCCTACACACATCCACCCCGACATGGTGAGTAGCAAATGGGGAGATCCGTCTTCTAGGAGATAAAATCACAGGTGAAAACCGTTTAAAATAACCGGTGCCTCGCTGGTTTACATGTTAGAGCTGGAGCGTGACCTCGAACTTGAACGCCGGAAGGTACGCGAGCTGCAAGATACCTCACGCGAAAGGGAGAAGGAATATCAGAGGCTTAAAGTTAAAGGCGTTTAGTCTCTTATTCACCAGGCTATGACAACGCACACGCAGGCTCAACTCGACAAAGTGAAAAGAAAGGCATTACTAGGCCCGGATAATACCACCCGCGCGGTCGCTTCAGGTGTCAACGCTCCCAATCGCACACCGCTCGACAACATCTCAGTTCAAAGGCAGCCGCTAGGTGACGTTGGCGCGGTGGTGGGTGGAATGGAGGCTAATGGTGTAATACTTTTTGCCATCCCCCGAACGAAACTGATCCTTTCGTTTAGATCCAGCGTACCCCGCTCAACAACCGCACGGTCCCGATGAACTTCGGGGGACAGCCAGCTTACCCATGGTCAAGTAACCGGGCTCGCGCACCCCCGTTGGCGGGTCCCCAGCGCCTGAATGCTGCTGACCGTTCCTTCAGGGCAAACTCTATTTCCGATCAGTCCGAGAGCGCCAACGAAGTAGAAAATTTGCTTCTACCTAATCACAATCGGGGAAGGTGTGGCGTAGCTCCCAGTGCGAATGCATGGGGCGCGAGCTCAGGCAGAAGTGAACCGGTACAGCAACGACGTCCGTCATCCAAGGTATCCACTGCGTGTCTTCTAACCCCAGACGCAGCCTTCAACACTGCAGCAAAACGTGGGTTCACAAGGTGACACGCCCCTTCCACGTTCTTCTCCAGAGTGAATCGCGCAAGTTTTATATTGCATCCAGCTGAGAAGTCCATGGGAAGGCATGTTAAAGAATGGTACATGTATCGTACGAACTCAAACCCAATAGAAATAAGCAAATAGTGCACAGCTAGGTATCTAAATGTGAGCGAGCCAGAAACCAACATGTATTACCAAGGTCAAGCTGAATCGTAGCGATAAGTGCCATTCTTGTCATCCTCTATGTACTGTCCAAGAGCCAGCATATCCTGACCAGTGTGACGCAAATAGGTAGCAAGGAGGCTCTTGTTCGCTCTGGGTAGTAGTGCAGCAAGTCTGTCGAGTTGTCGATTGAAGTCAATTTCTGATGTAGCGTTAGACTGCTTTTCGGGGTTACTGTTACTTCCGCGACCACCAAACAGCGAAGGTCTGCGCCCTGTCGTACTAGAACGTTGAGGTATTGTGTTGTTTGGGGGTGGTTGCGGAGTGAGTATGATAGTTTGGGATCGTTGCACACGATTGGGAGGCGCACGTGGCCCACCGGGTATAGAAGGCGTCACTGGTGCGACGTTAACGGGCCGGGGGGTTGGCTCAACCTTCGGAGGACTCTTTGTAAGCAAAGTCCTCACAGGTGACGACGGGGTATTGAGGCTATGTTCCTTTTTCAGACTGGTCTTGCGACCAAGTGCTGAGAAGAACCCTCCAGGAGATTTCGTGGAAGAAGAGGACGAGGAGGATGTTACAATGATTGTGGATGCCCTTGAAGGTCCATTGCGTGGCGCAGCAGCTAATGCGGGGTAGGGGAGAGGCGGAGGAGCGTTGGGAGGACTGCCATCACCCGCTACTCGCGAAGACAGATCTGTGGCAGAATAAGCATCTGGTCGTCTCGGAAAGGTGACACCAGAATCAGTAGACGATTGCGAGACATGACGTCGCTCGACGGGCGGAGCAAATGTTGAGGGAGCAAGGGGCCTCTCACTATTCAGTACAGTGCGTTTCCCAGGTCGACTGCGGGCGGGTGGCTGATAATGATTTTATCAGCCAATTTACGCGGAAGGACACTACGGAGTCATACCTCTACACCTAACTTCAGCCATCCAACCGCTCAAACCGCAGTCGTAGTGATACAGTTCGTTGATTTTGCGAGCATATCCTATGGACCGTTCTAACGCAGTCTTCTTAACAAGGACGTCCGAGAAATACATTGCTGAAGGAGAAGCGGATTTTATTCTGCGCACAGGGGGTCTGGCCAGCAAAATGGGACGATCCACCGAGAGTGGTGGACTGCCGGTGGACTGCTTGCTCGTGGCAGAGTGCCGATTAAGTGAGATCAGTGATGGAGTGCGTGGGAGCGTAGAGAAACGCTTTTGGATCATGCTCTTGATCTTCACGTCTACGTTCAGGTCATCCCCCGCTGCAGGAACCGGTGGTAACACCTTGTCAAGGGGCGAACTTCTGCTTGTGTTCTCTTCGGATTGAGATGGCGAGTGGTCAGCTCTGGACGCCTCCGTTCCGACGCTGTATCTTGCCTGCTCTTTTCCCCGTAATTCAAGACCTTGCCTTCCATTGTGCCCCTCGTGATTTCGGGGAGGCTCAACAATAGTTGGCGGGGGCACGTCATCAGAGTTAATGATCCCCATGTCATCTATGGCAAGTCCGATTGTAGCCATAAGATCATCCATGGAATCGGACTGGGACACAGGCAGAGTAACACTGTCCACACGAGTTGCCGCATCTCCTCCGTCAAGTGTGCACAACCTTGAGGGCGGAAAAGCGCCCTCGCGAGTGTGAATTGGCTTGGGGAGTGAATCAGTGCTCTCTGCCATGCTACATGTAGGTGAGGGTAAGGCTTGTACTTGGATCGAACATGCGAGAACTGACCTAGCAGCCTCTACGTTCTTGTAAGATGGCAGTTCTTTAACAGAAGAAAGCTGGGGACCCATAGGACTCAGTCGCTTCCGACTTGGGACTTGACGCCGCCGAAGACGACTTTGCTTTGAGAGCAGCCGAAACGTGGCGAGGAAGTTGCAAGGCCTCCTTGATGGCTTCCATGTCGCCTCTGCGACGGATAGGGTATTGCCTGGGAGGTCGAGGGGGAGGAGGGGCCGTTGGATCGATGTTATAGAGGGCCATTGGAGGCGGAGGGAGGGGTCCAGCAGTTGCATGAATACCGGGCTGGTAATGAAGGTATGGTAACATGTCTGAAGCAGGAGAGGTGGGAGCGGTTGATGGTGAGAATGGATCAGAAAATATGACGCTAGAAGCAGTGGACTGTTGAGACGTGGACCGTTGGCTTGTAGACCTTGGGCTCGGTGACGGGGACTCAGGGAAGAGATTGATGATAATTGGGCCTGCAACACGATCACTTATATGCTTGGAGTCTCCTATGTTTGGAGTGACCACAGGGGTTGAGCCTTCTTTAAGTTCCTTGATAGGGCTGACACCGAGTGTAATAGCATCCTTCCTTTGCCGTGCGCGGTATGCAGAACTACTGCAGTCCGAGACCTCAGAAGTCCCGGGTGACGGCGACCTCGACTGCGGCATTTGGAATAATGGAGGCTTGAGTGCGTCCAAGTGGGGAGAAAATTTAGACCATTGCTGTAGATCCGATGCAGTCCCCTCAGGGAAGCCAGCGGCGGTGCCAACGATTGCCACCTCACGCGAGGACTTACGAGGAACATGGCCCATGGCTTTGTTCGAAGCTCTGACTGCCTCCGATGACGACCGTGTGTGGCTTCTTGAGCTTGGCACAGACTGACCATCCTGCGGTAAACTGGCTCTGTAAGATGGCAAAGCTGAGTAGCTTCGGGGCGACGCGTCTGGCGGTGCAACCAATGCAAGACCACTACTGGAGTGAGTAGCACGATGGCGAGAACCAACCGAGTCGGACGTTTGCCTGTGACTCGAATCTTGATCATTTGCGTCATGTTCCACGATTGCAAGACGTCTTCTATCATTGCCTCCCTGCGTGGGTATACTAGGTCGGCGACGCGCGCTAACTGCGGAGGGCGGTTCTACGCATGGCTGGATAGTGTGGATATCGGTGGACGTGGAAAGGTTGTCTGCAGCTGACGCGACGGAGTAGTCGGACGAGTACGTCGAAGTCGAAGTCGAAGTATTGGAATTGTGACGAGACTGCGCACCTGCTCGTGGAGTAGTAGCCACATTCGACGAGGCAGCGTCCCGGGTAGACCGGTAGTAGGACAGGACGTCATCCGTGTCCGTGTCCGTGTCCCGGCTGGCGGTGTCAGAATGAATCGAAGAATGGCTGGCTGCTGTGAGGAATTCGGACAACTGGTTAGTTGGCAAGCTCGCGTGGGTTAGAATGGATGGCCTTCGCACCATACGCAGCGGCCCCGTGTACGGTGTTTGCAACGGGAATGCGGTGGTCCACGATGGAATGCATTGTGGACAGTTGGAAAGGAACGACCTGCGGTAGATGTATGGCAGTAGCTCTGACCTCACATGAACGCAGCCGTTGCACGGAAAACCTTGTCAGGGGCAGGACCACTAGAGCGACTGACAACCAGTCAGTGCCACTGGGGCGCGATGATCATTCAACACCGCCTTCTACTCTCACTGGGCTGTAGCGAAAAAGAAAGGGGTGGAAAAAAAAAAACAACGCCCAGGGAGTATAATCGCTTCCACTGGCAGCGAAGACACTGCATTGTTGAGTAAATGGTGGTATTACAGAACTGCCACCAAGCTAGTACAACAGAGACGGCTCCCCCTGTCGGCGTTCTCTCTCTTCACTGCCCCATCAAGGATGGTCGTCACCACCATCACATCAGCGTTTCAACAGTGACACACATCACCGATCTCCCACCCAATCTCCTTTCCAGTCCAGAAGGGGACCACCCGGTCACCGCCTAATGGCCATGTGTCCTCTACCCTAATTCCCTGTACCCTTCTGAGAACGATCCTGCGGGCATTCGCACCTGCCGGCCGTCTGTAGAAGGCTCGCCCGTAATCACTAACAAAACCTTGTAGTCTATCGAGGGCGCCGAACGACTCCAGTGTATGAGCAACAAATGGCAACAAGATCGGAGACGTATACACTCCCGCGGCGCATGGCTGAGAGGGCGTCGCTACGGACTTGGTGCTTGCAGGGTGTGGCGCTGAGTCTGAACCCAGAAAGAACTTGGGATGACCTGCCAGTAGTGACATCAGTGTACAGGTCGTGGGACGGATCAGTTATTTCAACCTTGACGAACAACCTCTTGCAAAGCTTGGCGGTCACTGGGGTACTTTGCCACAGGTTTGCAATAGTTCCATGACTGCCCAGCCCAGTCATCGACCGTCATGGCCAGGTGGTGCGCAGTGATAGTGCAGGCTACTGTGTCACCAAGCGATTTAACCATGTCGACCGCAGCCCGAGTCGTAGCATGCTCGAGTACAATTCGCAGCTTTGGAAACGTGTCGTGGAGCTTTTTCAGGTGTGGAAGGAATGCGTTTTCGGCATTAAGCACGCAGGTATTCTGAACCTCTGTTTTAATGATGGGAACAAAAGTTTCACTGCCTGCTTACTGAAGCAGCATCTGATGGCACTTCTCCATGAAGGTTCAAGACCAGATCGCACTTCTGCATCTCCTCGAACACGGGATAGTAGATTTCGTACGATTCGATACCACCATCAGAATTGGTAGTCACGCCTCTGGGATAGGATTTGACGCCAGCGATCCCAGCTTCCTTCGCCTTCCTTACCTCCTCCGGAGTCAGATCCGGTGATAGATAGAGTGACATTAGGTAGTCGACACTGCTATCGATAGCCTTTAGCCGTTCTCTGTATGCAACAGCCTGTTCCGTCTTCGTGATCGGAGGCCTGAGATTAGGCTGCCATTCACGTTAGGACGATGGGGCCCATCAACGGGAGATCGCTTGCCATAACATAAGCCAGATCAAATCCACCTGTGCGAACTTGCGGAGTAACTACCTCAGATAGCTCTCCTTCACGCAGATGGACGTGAAAGTCTGCGGGTGACTCGACGGTTACCTCGGTGGGAGCGGACATGGTCGACTTGACTTTACGCGAGTTAACGGCGAGAAGGGATAGATATGGAGCATAGCACGATCACGTGACTGACTCGGTGGACGCGCCTCGTGTTTGACGTTGACTTTTGGATTGGAGTTGCGTTCGGTCCCACTGTTCCTCAGTACCAATCAAGAACTAAAGTCCACGGAAGCAACATCTATATATTATATACTACAGCCGCTGGCTACAAGCAATGGTCGTTGCTGGATCAATCACTGTCGCAGGTATGCACTCCCATAGCTCTTTCTCGGCATTCAGTTATCGACTACCTTTCGTAGTCCGCCTACGCCCCCCCACAGCATGGGAGGCTGCCAGACTGCCCGAACCGTGCTATGACACCACAATACGCGGAGATGGAACTCTCGCAACACACGTTAGACCGGTCACCGCAACAGCCCCCTTGCGAGAGATTGTCCAAATCATCGACGATCGTATCCTCACCTTCGATCCCGTGGACCCCGACAGGGCGCGTTCGTTTGTGGAACGCGGCTTTGCTCCCCCGGGTACAAAACGATACAAGGACAAGAGATTCATGTTTGATAGAGTCTTTGACGGCGAAGCTCGGCAAGAGGAGGTGTACGCTGCCACCGCTAAGCCCCTACTCAACGGACTACTTGACGGTTATAATGCCACTGTGTTTGCATATGGCGTAAGGTTTTCCGGATCCCTTTGCCCGCTCTTGTGACCAACTCCCATTACAGGCCACTGGATGCGGCAAGACCCACACGATCAGCGGGGCCGAAGCAGATCCAGGCGTAATTTACCTCGCCATGGCAGACTTGTTCCAACGAATTGAAGATCGTAAGGACGAGTGGAACACTGAAGTGGTGGTGACGTTCTTGGAGATCTATAACGAGGAGATTCGTGACCTTCTCGCGGAACCTGGGACACCCACCCCACGAGGTGGTCTGCAAATAAGAGAGGACAAGTTCGTCAGGGTCATTGGCCTCGTTGAGCATCACCCAGCCTCCGCGGAAGATGTCAAACAGATTGTTCTCCTGGGTAACTCCCGTCGAACACAATCACCCACCCATGCGAACGAAACTTCTTCCCGCTCTCATGCCGTTCTCCAAGTACATGTCACTCAAGCACCCCGGACTGCAGCGTTGTCAGAACAACGTACAATGGCAACGCTCTCTATAATCGATTTAGCTGGCAGCGAGAGGGCCGCCGCCACTTCCAACATGGGTCAGCGGATGGTAGAAGGGGCCAACATCAACAAATCTTTACTTGCCCTTGGTAACTGTATCAATGCTCTCTGCGAGAGCGGGGGGGCCGTTCGGCACGTACCGTACCGCAATAGCAAGCTGACACGGTTGCTCAAATTCTCGCTGGGAGGCAATTGCAAAACTGTCATGATCGTTTGTATCGCCCCCACCTCACAGCACTTCGACGATACCCACAACACTCTCCTTTATGCTGAACGAGCGACAAAAATAAAGACAAGAGTTATCACGCGCAATGTTGTCAACGTCGACCGGCATGTAGGACAATATGTTGAAGCAATCAACCGCCTCAACATTGAAGTAGCAGAACTCAAAGCCAAACTCGCTGGGAAGATCAGCGCAGAGAGCGAAGTCCTCAAACGTCGGAAGGCCGAAGCTCAGGCAGAGGTCGAACGAGCGAAGAAGGACATGCAAGCTCGTATGGAGCAAGCACGGGCTTCTATCATTGACGGTGCTTCCTGTACCGGAAAACTCAGCGCGGCCGAAGTCACGCTACTGCTCCATAAATGCTCGCCTAGCAGAGATCGAAAGCCAGTCATCCCTATCGTCCGATCTCGAAGCAGAGCGTGCCCTTCTGCGAGCTCTCGCAGGCCCACAAGAGCAAGCGGTCAAATCAGAATCACAACTGAATGTTCGGCTCAGCCGCTCTCAGAACTCACGCAACATGTTTGAAGCAACTCTCCGCGCAGTATGCGAGCGTCGTTCCGACAACCTGGCAGACGTTAGCATGGAGAATGTGAAGGCTGATGCCATATGGCGCAAAGCCGAAATGGAGCGTGTCAGGGCAGAAGCCGAAAAGGATGCCGTCAAGGAGTCCTTCCAGTCCCAAGCTGACATTCTGGTAAACTTGCTAGGGATGGTTGGTCGATGCAATGTCGTTCTTGGGGAAGCTTCACGGATACTACATACCGCTGTGGAGGAGGGCCGTGAGGGCTTGGAGGGCACAGTGAGGGCGATGACAGCGTCACTTAAGAGTGTTGCCGGGAAGAACGACGATGCTTTTGCCGCGTTGCTTGGCCAGACTACGGCCGCTTATACCCAGAGCGGTACATCGGCCATTGACTGCGTTTGCGCCCGGGCCGTTTACTCGCGCACTGCCGGACCAAGCATCCCAACCAGTTTCCAAGACATACCGTCGACTGTCATATAATACTATCGCTTCCCCCCCTAGAAGAAGCCACAAAACTCCTCGCAAGTCATTACGTTCCAGTATTGGGCAGCCGTATCGTCGTGCATCGGATAGAGAAAGGAAAGTTGTTCAATGGAAAGATGAGGCGGGTCAGGGCGACCTTGATGATGGCGGGAAGAAGAGCATTCCACTGTTATCCGTCACTTCCGTCGACAACTCTGAAATTATCCCGCGATGTCAATCAGTTGCTGGTTCAGAAAGTGAATGGGAAGACGAGCGGACCGATGACAGCCTCAATCTTAGCTTCATCTCTGCTCCGATCCACGGGTCGCTGTCAGCCTCCTGGTGCCAAGTCAAATTCGGATCTGAGACCCAGCATGAGCAGGCGGTCACGGCCGAGCCGACTTGATTCAGGGTTTCTCCCAACCAACGGACAGGGTTTCCTTGGCTCCCTCCAGGAAGCAGATGAAAGCGCCTCTCCCGCACGGCACCCAGTCCCCGCTTTCTGATCGCAGTATGAATTGCCTGACCAATAGTGAAGGACGCAAATGCTGCCACACTCTGTATCCCCAAGAAAGGCGATCCGTAGTGCAAGCCCCACACGGCGCCTTCCAACATCTGCCCCGAAGCTAGCGCCTCCCACGAGCAAAACCGCTCGTCGAAGATCAAATATTGGCCCTGTTAGGCACGAGAAGACACGTCGGCGCTCGAGTATGATCCCTCAACCTTCACCACCTGGCGAAGATGCGGGCGAATCAGGTGGACCACGTAAGGGGGAGACCATTGGACGTTCACCTGCGAAACGGCCCAAGCGGTTGTCCTTACTTGCAAATGCGTCAAGGTCACTGAGGGTAAAAGGCCCGAGCCCCTTTGCGGCTACTTTGACTATCCCGACCACCAATGCAGACTGCATCAGTGCAGACTCTAGCATGAGAATCCTCGAAACCATCATGGCGATGACTTCACTGCTGATTTTTTTTTCTCTCATTAGACCTCGAATTGTATTCTGTCACCTCACTTTACTCCATTCCCGTATCTTCATGCATCCTATCGCTTTGCCCTCGTCGTTATACCCTCATGTCTGTCTTTGTTTTACGTGTTGTAAAGGAAGCCGGTTATACCTCTTCATGTCGTCCATTTCTGTCATCGATATAACCGGCCACGTACCGTATATGTCCATAGTACACTATCCTGATACTATACGTGTAATTTTGCAGAGCTTTCGGTTCACCGGACGCACATACATACCGCAAAGTACCCATGTTTTCCACACAAACGAGGAAATCGACTGTAGCTGATCGTGGTGCACAAAGGCAACGTCGCTGGAGTGCGAATGGTGAGAGACAATCCCTTGTCGGAGGCATGGATAGTGACAGGTCGTTCTGATAAACTAGTGTGGAGCCATCGACGTATCAATGCGTGTGCCAAATACGATTACTATATCAGATTATGCGTTTCACTTCGAAAAATGACTAGCAATCCTGTGAATAAAATCTTCTTGGATCATCTCGTACACGGAACTCACTTTTAAGTAGTATATTTGCCATGCGACAACAGAGAATAAAACAATAGCTTGCAGAACAGACCACCACTTCACACGGTCGTTCGTAGACTCTGCAGTGTCTCTGTGCCTGCGTTCCCGAACAACGATGTACTCTTGTTCGTCTTTGACTGCCAGTAAACCTATGGCTAACGAGCGAATTTCGCGCTCCACAGGTGCAACGATGTCCGCTGCGGACTTTGTTAGGGGATACAACAGGGAGTGAAGTCGACCGACCTTCTTCAGGGATATATATGATACCGTGGACGTTGAAACTGTAGGATACGCACAAATTAAATGCAAGAGTCTAATTATGTGACGATGGAATACATACCTGACCTGCTTGTCAGCCATGGTGCTCATCTGGTTGGAGAAACAGTATTCATAGCGCCCATCCTTTTCTGCTGTTATTGACGCAGAACCAGTGCTTTGTCGAATTTGTTTAGCCAATACGTCTCCTTCCGGGTCCGTGAGCTCAAGATTCAAACATGTAAGTCATTGAGAGCAGAGCACCAGGAGTGACCCATACCCAAAAATCAATATCCAAATGGCCACCCTCCCCCACTTGGTATGTGACGGTCATCTGGTCGGTTCGTCAAGACTCCACGCGCCATCATCAGAAACGCGGTGGCAACAGACCTGGTCATGCTGATGAAGGTCCTCGAAAAAACACTCCTTCGTGGACGCCTCTACAGTAATCTTATGAGCCGAAACGAACGTAGACAGGACGGAGAGCAGCAGAATGCAAAGGAGGGTCATTACAGAGCGTCGCGACACGCTGAAAGCAGGGCTTGGATGTGATGTATGGCAGTAAGACCCCGGGAGTACTAGTGTATGTGTCTGGGGGTGACCGGGGTCAAACACGGTCAATCGTTGATTTTTTTGGCACAGATTAGAGTCTGTGATATTCAATCCACCCTTGCTCCCTCATCTTACTTTCGCCGCCCAAACACAAATCATGGCCGATGCAAGCGATAATCCACTCGCACCAAAGGTTAGTTGGAAAAACCATTTTATACAGGGCAGATGCGTTGTGCCATCTATCGAGATCATCCACGCTGATCTATCACCCCGCAGCAGCAAGAAGAAGACACCGAAGTCCACTTCGAGCCTGTCATCAAGCTTACTGAACAAGTCGAAACAAGGACCCTTGAGGAAGATGAAGATGTTATGTTCAAGATGTAAGTATGGCCGTTACCGATTGCACCGTCATCGATCTGTGTCTTTTCTGATCGCCACAATCACAGGCGTGCCAAACTATTCCGATTTGATACCTCAGCAAGCGAGTGGAAGGAAAGAGGAACTGGCGATGTTCGTCTCCTCCAACACAGGCAGACGAAGAAGGTTCGGCTGGTGATGCGACGTGACAAGACTCTGAAAGTCTGTGCGAACCACCTAAGTATGACCTTCAACTTTGTTTTATAAAGAGTCGGAGAGTTGACTGGCATCGTATAGTTACTTCCAGTATGCACCTCCAACCCAACGTCGGATCTGACAGGAGCTGGGTGTGGAAGGTTGCCGCCGACTATGCTGAGAACCCACCCACTGCTGAAACGCTGGCCATCCGCTTCGCGAACTCAGAAAGTGAGTGAATTTTTTGTCCATCGATGGGTTTGATTTCTGACGGAACGCGTCCAGATGCACAGCAATTCAAGAAAGAATTTGAACGAGCTCAAATGATCAATGCAGGAGGGCTCGACTTTGACGAGAAGGAAAAGGAAGTTAACAAAGAAGAGAACGTAGAGGAGGAATGTCATGAAGAAGAAAAGCAGGAAAAGGAAAAGGAGGCAGCCACCGCCGACGAGAAGGAGTGATCGGTAAAGCTGCTTACCCTGTTTATCTTTCGTTGGTCATCCTATCCACTTCCGAGACGACAACTCCGGGATTTCTCATTTGCATGATGACCCAGCTTCCTCGACATTTCTCTTTACCATCCACTCTCTCCACTTGATAGTGTAGAAGAACCAGTCCGACATTTACTTAGGCATGTCCACGAGATACCGGGAAGAAGTCGTTCCTTTCATAAACCAGCTTTACTTGAGGTTCCTAAACCCTGTGGCGAATAATACACACAAATAACATGAGGTACAGAATCATATTAATATTCCTCTTACACTCGCTTTCCCCGCTCCTCACACATCCACGCTGCTCGAAAAGCCGCGCCTTCCGCTCTTGACCAATACACGGCTGGCTTCTTTCCTAGGGCCACGTCCTCATCGATGAGAACATGCCGAACACTCTGCGACAGCCCACTGATATTTAGCAAGAAGAATCCACCTTCGGGAGCCACTTACTGAGCCTCTGAAAAATTGGTTAGATAACCCACGGCAAAGGGGACAACGATGACTTACGGTACCTCGAACATTGGTTCCAATAACAGACCCTCCTATACACAGTACGTCGGAAGCCGCAGACTGGATCGGCTATCCAATAACTTACCATGATCCCCCGCAGACCCCTTGCACCCCCACCCCTCTCCGAAGCCTTTCGACATATTTGCTCGAGGGCTGCACTAGTGAATTTTATCTCGACACCCGAATAGTTAAAGAGAGCGGTATATTGGGAAATAAGCGAGCCCTGGACTTCAGTGAGAATTCGGCGAAGGTCCGGAACAGTAAGAGGGGACAAGGTTGCGATAGACGGGATGCGGGACACAAACTCTGGTATGAACCTAAGTAGACGATTAACGAAATGAAGAATGGAGGCAGTAGGAGCGTATTACCCATATTTCACGAGGTCTGTTGTTCATTGCATTAGTAAGCGACCAGTTCAGTATCAATCGCACGCCTACCTGTCGGTTCCACCATGTCAAGGACATTGTGGGACGATCCTCGATTGGAGGTGAAAAAGGGTACAGATCCTCCACTTTCTGATTCATCTTCTTTGGGTGCCAAGGTAGCAGTAAAACCAATGGACTGAGGAATAGCGTAGAAGTGTCATCGCAGCGCCGTAGAAAGAGTGGGACTTACCCCCCTAGCCATCCTCCGCTTCACAACGGCATCTAGCCCAACAAAAGCTCCGCTAAAGATGAACAGAACATTCGACGTGTCGATGTCATGCATTTCGGGTCGTGCTGTTATTGCAGGCATGAGATATATGACCACGGAAATGTGAATTCAGGTATCACTTACGAGAAGCTTGGCTCTGTCCTCTCGCTCCAGGTCGTGATCTAACTTCGCCAGCACCGATTGGGGGTACATCAAGTCCCGATGATCTGCCCTGCACCGTGACCATCGATCCTTCCATCATGCGCAATAGGGCCTGTTGAACACCTTCCCCACCGACATCCCGAGAACCTTCGGTTCCGGCTCCCCCAGACTTCCGCGCAATCTTGTCGACCTCATCAATGTATACTATACCCATGCTACCGGAGTGTTCTCAACCTTTTTTTTAGATACGAGGAAAGAAAAATACGGATACCTAGCTCGGGTAGGGTCCCAGTCAGCTGCTTGCAACTGTGGAAATTGAATCATTCGCAAAACACGTAGCTTCAACACAACTCACTAATCGTTGTATGGCCATGTCGACATCCTCCCCCACATCTTTATTGGGTTAGTATATTATAGTGGGTTCTGAGGGGTGAACTGACATCCAGCCTTGAGTGGAAATCGGTCAGTGCGAAGTTGCAGACACACACACACACACACACACACACATATATATATATATATATAGCCATGCGCACCTGTGTAAATGATGTGGCATCACTAATCGAAAACGGAACGTCTAACACTCGAGCGAGCGTACGTGCAAGCAATGTCTTCCCTGAGTGTGTTTATGGATTATCATCATACGCAATTTTAATGCGTCACAGAGCGTACCAGATCCAGTCGGTCCGCTTGACAGCAAAATTCTTAGAGGGTGTTGCTAGAACGTAGACACAAGTAGTCACATTACTAAAACGTTACTCTTTTCAAGCATAGGATATAGTTGAGAGGGTTGCCACGAAAGTTGTCGGACGCGTTTGGGATGAGGATGGATTTGCGCAGTGGTCACTGCTGGGGACTGTTGAGGGCCACTCGATATCGATAGTCTCGGGCAACCTACCACCTCGAGAGCTCGACTCATCCCAACTTTGTGTGTCTACCTGCTTCTCAATGGCGGAGAGATTGGCACGTACTCGGTTATAGTGGTTGAAAACGCTGCATGCTGTCATGTACAACCTCGAGTCATACATCGGAGAATTGGCACCCACGCAACAGAAAGAATCTTCTTCGCCCTCTCTTGTCCAATTACGAATTGGTTGAGGTAGTGGACTAGCTACTCCGAGAGTAAGTGGATACCCTGACCTCAGTCCAATGCAGCTCACCTGTCTTGGGGTTGTGAGACTCAATGATCTCATGAAAGCTTCTTCCTCTGGCTCTTCCGGTTGTAAGTACTCATGGCGCGCTTGGGTTCTGAGATTGCGAACTGGAATTTGAAGCGAACAAGCACACCGGGTCAACTGACGGCAAGATAACAGCATCTGGATGTGAACAACAGGGGAGCTTGTCCACGAATGCAGGTTACTAACAAGTTCGACTATGTCGGAGTAGCGAGAGGTTGTTATTCCATGGTTTCTAATCCAAACAACCCCAAATACCATTATGTAGTATTAAGCACTTTCCTGTTTCCATCTTCTGCTCCCTATGGCTGGTTACGCTTCTCGGTCACCCACAAGGCGTGAGAAGAGTTTTGAAGCAAGCCCCAGTGGCTCATATAGAGACGAACAACGGGTATCTGCGCGCAGAAGGTCAGACGACCGTAAAGAACGTCGGCGGAGTAGGAGCAGAGAACGAGATGGTCCCTCGAGCCGCAGAAGAGTCTACGATGACGTTAGGGATAGAGATGATGATTACGTGCGGAAGAGGAGCCGCAGCCCCGGCAAAGACAGAGATGAGTGCCGGAAGGAGAAGAAGTAGGTTTCCCCATGCCTATACTCTCTATTCAAATTCAGTGCTCTGTAGGAGGAAACGCGACAAGTCGGAAGAACGCAGAGTTAAAAAGGCTGAAAAAAAGAGAATAATGGAGGAAGAGGAGGCCAGACAAGTTGCTGAGCTGAGCATTTACAGTGCGACCGACAATCCATTCCACGACGTTAATCTTGGTCAGCAGTTCCGCTGGCACAAGAAAAACGAGAAGGAAAAGAAACTTGGTTTAGTCTCAATTCGAAGCTCGGCGGAGGGATGCGATTCGACGACAAGAAGCCGAAGAAGAACTAGAGCGGTTACATAGGCGCAGAGCGGAGAGAGAAGCGGAAGCAACGCCTCCGTGAAGAGGAGGAGGCAAGGATGCAACGGCTGACAGGAATCTGTTCAGATGACCGAATGGCTGGCAAAAGATGGTCAATTCCAACTTGAGCAGGAGCGTGACCGTGCAGCGATTCGCATCAGGGAGAAGAGGGCGAAAGCTATCGATTTCTTGGCTTTGAACCTACGCTATGTACACCCGATAGAAGGTGAGGAGGATGATACCGGGCTCGAGATCGACCTCGACGAGCCATACAATATCCTTGATGTGCGTGTCCTCAGACTTCCTTAGGTGTTCAACTTATACCCTCAGCAGAATCTGAATCCAGCTCAAGTGGAAGAGCTCCATGATGATATCGAGCGATACCTTAGCCTTGAAGAATCCGAAGTAAACATTGATTTTTGGACAGTAAGTTTTTATAGTGATCCGCGTTCCCCATGCAAACCCCATCACCTACGTTAGAACATGATGGTGGTATGTAAGGATCGCCTAGACAGGATAAAAGGCATTACCACCGCGGCAGCTGCTACCGTCGAATCGGATGTAACCGCACTTTTGGCCGGAAAGAGCTATGAACATCTTGCAACACTGCAGAAGCAAATCCAAGCTAAGCTCTCCGGTGGAGAGCCAGTAGATACAGACTATTGGGAAGCACTTCTGAAGAAACTAATAGTGTGGAAAGCCAAGGTATCTGTGATATGAGTAGCTGTTGTAGTCAAGGTTCTAACGTCTTTTTGCAGGCGAAGTTAAAAGGCCTCCATGAGGTTGTTGTCCGCAACCGTCTAGAACAGTTACGGAAACGCCAACGAGATGAAGCGCTACAAGCCCAGGAGGAATTGCTTGCAGGGGTTGCACGGTCCGCTGCACAGCATGTGAAAAGCGGGCGCCCGGTCGCGGCCGTCGCCGGGACAGGGGAGCCAGATGTGCCGCTTGAGAGCGTGGAACCTTATGACCGTTCTATGAGTCCACCATTAGTCGATGCTCAGAAATTGAGTGTCGAAGAGCGAGCATTTGAGATCGTGCCTCAAAAGGATCAACTGCGGTCACTGGTACTTCCGTCTTCCGTCGGTCAGTGATTTGACTTATTTAACTTTATTTTCAGCTCGAACAACGGCGTGCAGTGGCAGCGTCTCGATATGTTCCTAAAGCGGTTCAACCAGTTGTCACGACTGATGCGCCAGAAGTCACAGCTAGTACCGATGTCGCCGACGCTCTTTATAAGGCAGAGGCAGAAAGGGAATTGGACGAAGAAGAAGAGCTCTTTAACATGGAAGAAAACATAGCTCAACCAGCATCCTACAGTTGGGAAGACAAATGGCGGCCTCGCAAACCTCGTTACTTTAATCGCGTGCATACTGGATATGAATGGAACAAGTACAACCAGACGCATTACGAGTATGTCACATGTTAACATCCGCCTCTTGCTGGTATCTGATAAATCACAAGTTTGGATAATCCACCGCCCAAGGTGGTGCAAGGCTACAAGTTCAATATATTTTATCCAGATCTCATCGACAAGTCAAAGGCACCAACTTATAAAATTGTCAAGGAACCTGGCAATGAGGATACTGTCCTATTACATTTCAGTGCTGGGCCACCATATGAAGATATTGCGTTCCGTATTGTAAACCGAGAATGGGAATTTTCGCACAAGCGGTATGTTCGCATTGCGTTCACATGTAAAAGGCTCCTCGTTTGATGCCTTATTGCAGGGGCTTCCGAAGCAGCTTCGACAGGGGTTGTCTATCACTTTGGTTCAATTTCCGCCGTAATGTATGGTCTTCCCCAATTTCCTAAATGATATATACTCAATTTTTTTTCCAGTTCTACCGCAAATAAACATGCCCGTATAGTTGAATACGTGTACCGCGACCTAACGTCATTGTAGTATTTATTTCCTGTATCTTCACCTCGCCTATTTGATTGGTAACTGTTCGCACAAGTATGTCAGTTATTTGGTGATGTGAAACAAAGGCTGCTAATCGTGGTCTGTTGAAAGGTTGATGCTGTGGAGACTTGACCACCGTTCGGAAGTTCTACACTTGACTCCTGCTATATTCGGTTAATCACAACTCGAGTAGTCCACAGGTCAGCAGCCTTCATACAAATATTTATCCCCATGTTTGCACGCATCTATGGCTCTGGATGCCCGAGTGCAGAGGCTGTCCTTTCGTTTCTTCTACTCGTCTCGTCCACCCATCAGCTGTGGTCCGGTTGCTTTGTTCAATGGGTCGCGGCGCCACGAGCTGTGGTCAAGGCTGACCACAATTAGTTCTCGGTGCTTCTATCAAAGTGGTCCACCTGATGATCGACGGTCGGAACTAGTACAGCAAGACTTTTTCCCCATAACGGCCTTAGAGCATTCGTCGCGGTTCGCCGAGCCGTCCATACTGGAGCTTTCTCATAGGCAGATTCGTTTGTTATCCAAACTTTCACTCAGTTTAAGTGGGTACCCACTCTTGATTTTTCTCTGCCACCCAATACCATCTCCAACGCACGTATGAACAACATGATTGTGCCATGCACATATAATCCCACGGCTATAGAATCCCTTTCGGCTGGTGTATCCACATGTCGCTTGCCCAACGCATGTCTGCACCACGTATACCGCACGGCCTCGCACCCCTTCTGGGTTTTGGGGCCATGACTCTAAGGCGTGGCCTGTGGGGATGTCCAGCCAGGGAAATGGGTGTCTTAGCACCTTGACCTCTAGTTCAACCTCCGGGGCAGACTGCAGTAACGACTCTTCCAAAACCGCCGATGACGTCGTGAATATGCAAGCTTTCGTTCCTGTAATGCCTGCTTCCTTGGACCCCACCAAGGGAGGCGCGCAGGCCGCGTCAAGGTGCCGGGTACGGAGGTGACTTGATCCTACCTTGTGTCTTAGCGCTGGTCGCTCCGTTGCACTCTCGCAAAGCATCCTTAGATCATGACCACTGCAGCGTCAGTGGTGGCTCGGCTGTTTTATCTCACAAGGTTCTCGGCCTCCCACATGAGGCTTCTTTGCTTGACGTGCCGAACCCTATTCCCGGCAAAGTTTTCGAGAACCATCCCAAACTGGTCACGACATTGTCGCACTGGGCTGCTGAATGGTTGTATTTACTCATAATCCAACCCTCGTCGTGTCCGAGGACATCCCTTCAATTACCGAGGGATCCCCGTGGATGTCTGTCCCGCTCTGGCATCACTTATTAGTAGAGTCATCCGAGATATGCAAAGTCCGGCGCAGGTCATCGTCCACGCGTTGTGGTACATCACCGTACTCACAGGGGACGAAGATTTTTCAGAGACTCCCGTCTTCCATCTTCTCCACTCTAAAAGCCCGACGTATGCCGAAGACTTCTTGCTACAAACTTTCGTCGTCTGCGCTATGGTTGCGGATAAATGGGTTAATGATAATCCATTTCCCTTGAAAGTTTGGTTAGTTGGATAGCTGATCTTCACCTATTGTGTATCTTTTTCATCGATTTTCCAGGGCCCGTGTTATTCAATTGCCGACCCCCGTTCTCGCTGCAATGGAGTCCCTTGTTCTTCAAGGTCTCGATTGGAAAGTTCACATGACCCCCACGCAGTGGAAGGACATGCTCACAACGCTTCGTTCATCTGAACCCTCTTACATGGAATTTAATCCCTCCGAACTTGCTCCGATCCAAAGGCGGACAATAGTTGTCCGCATCCTCGACAGATTGGCCCGCTTAGCGGACGCGATGGAGGCATGCACCGAGTACGACAACTTCATGTGTTGCATGCTTGGCCCTGCACACCAGAGTCTACTTCATGTTCATGCTCTGCAGCCTATCAAACCAAGTGCCGAGTTTTTTGCGTCCTTGGAATGGTGTCCTGAAGCTGATCCCATTGTTAACAAGAAACCCAGGATTATTGGTATCGCCCCAGGTTCTGAGGATCAGTACGTCCCGAAGCCGTTGACTGTAAGCGAACTCGTGGACTCGATTCTTAAACCAAATCATCCCACCAAATCGATATGTTTTCCGCGACCTGTTCGCACTTCACTGCACGGTGGACCCTTCGGTGCGATCGGCCAGAGACTGGCTCACACAGTCAATCATTCTTGGTCAAATTGGTTTCCTGCTCAAGGTTGACGTGCTGAGTCCGAAACATGCCAATGGGGAACACTTCGCGAAATCTCCAACTGATAGGAACCGGCGCTATTTTGATGAGCTTTTGACTGTGCAGAGATGCGTGCGCGGTCATGCATATGGTACATGCTCTGGTTTCGTCTATTTTGGAGTTTGATCTATTGCTACTCCACATTTCTGCCTGCTCCCTCCTGTACTGGTTTCGACATTGTATCAACATAAGGCGGTCGTGCTTTGGCTGATTCAGCTGCTCTTCCTAAAATGGTATCCCGTGCTTGCACCCTGAGTCGATGTGACACTGGTGTACATCCAGTGGCTGATATCTTGAACCTTTCCGAATTCCACCACTTCCCAACCTCCTGTTCGCATCAACGATGTCAGATACAGCTAATCCTGCGACAAAGATGGATATCGACGAGGCTGAGATCGACGAGGGTCTCTACTCTCGTCAACTGTAAGTGGTACTCAAAGTGGTCGAAGGGGATCGTCTACATCGCTCACGCCAACCTCGTGCAATTGATTAGATATGTCCTCGGTCACGAAGGTAATTTGTAAAGCTAACTATCCGACGATGGCTGAACCATTGCGGCCAGCGATGAAGAAGATGGCAGCGTCCAACGTACTGATTGTTGGCCTCAACGGGTTAGGCGCTGAGATAGGTGCGAGGGTTGATCTAGCCTTTGATAAACTGACACAAATGCCTTTGTCATAGCAAAAAATGTTTGCTTAGCAGGTGTTAAGTCTGTCACGCTATATGACCCTGAGCCAGTGACTTTGCAAGACTTGAGTTCGCAGGTGAGTGACACATGGTCTTGTCGGACATTTACGAACGGTCACCAGTACCTCCTTCGAGAGGAGGATATCGGAAAGCCGCGCGCAGCAGCTACGCTACCCCGCCTATCGGAACTCAATGCATACGTTCCTGTGCGTAATCTCGGCGGCCGAAGTGGTCAAGAAATATCTGTGGACATGATTCGACCATTCCAAGTACGTTGAAATGGCGTTATTACCTCTACCCTGCTCATCCTTCCGTCGCAGGTAGTCGTACTCTGCAATGCTTCGTATGAGAAGCAACTCGAGATCAACGACTGGACTCATCCAAACGGCGTACACTTTATCTCGGCTGAAGCTCGAGGTCTGTTTGGGTAAGTTAATAATTGCGTTACGCTACCCCGCCTTCATATTCTTCAGATCCTGTCTTTAATGACTTTGGTCCCAAATTTACGTGTGTGGATACCACTGGCGAGCAAGCGTTGACGGGTATGATCGTCTCTGTCGATAAAGTGAGTAGCTCTCATCGATCTATGCGAGTATTTTTTGACACATTTTCCAAGGACAAGGAAGGGCTTGTGACTTGTCTCGATGAGGCACGGCACGGTCTAGAGGATGGTGACTTCGTGACATTCACCGAAGTGCAAGGCATGGAAGAATTGAATGGATGCAAACCGCGGAAGATCTCAGTGAAGGGCCCTTATACATTTACGATCGGGGATACCTCTGGTTTCGGTGACTACACTCGAGGCGGTATATTCCACCAGGTCAAGATGCCTAAAATCATCGAATTCGTGAGTTTCACATACCCTACGGGGTTGCCTTAGACTGACTTCTTTCAGAAATCATTACGGGAATCATTGAAGTCGCCTGAGTTTTTCATCACTGATTTTGCTAAATTCGATCACCCCGCTACCCTCCACGCTGGCTTCCAGGCACTCTCGCAATTTAGGAAACAACATCAGCGTCTTCCTCGTGCACGGAATGCGGAAGACGCAGCGGCTCTCGTTTCGCTGGCTAAGAAGATAGATGCGGATGCTGACGAAAAGGTACTCACAGAATTAGCGTATCAAGCTACAGGAGACCTTTCCCCTATTACTGCCGTCATTGGTGGCTTCGTGGCCCAGGAGGTTCTGAAAGCTTGTTCAGCCAAGTTCCATCCGATGGTTCAGCATATGTACTTCGATTCACTGGAATCACTTCCCTCGACGCTTCCGACGGAGGAGGACTGCAAGCCAATCGGAAGTCGACATGATGGCCAAATTGCAGTTTTTGGGAAGCAATTCCAAGAGAAGATTGCCAGCCATCGGCAGTTCCTTGTAGGCGCTGGGGCTATTGGATGTGAGATGCTCAAGAATTGGAGTATGATGGGTCTTGCCACTGGACCTGATGCCAAGATCCAAGTCACTGATCTTGACACCATCGAAAAGAGTAATTTGAACAGGCAATTCCTTTTCCGCCCGAAGGACCTTGGCAAGTTCAAGTCAGAAGTGGCTGGAGCCGCAGTTTCGGAGATGAATCCCGCACTTAAAGGCCACATCATCTGCAAGCAAGAACCAGTTGGACAGTCGACAGAAAGTGAGTCATGTTTGTGACTCCACCACAGACGATGACTTCTAACTTAACCTTGTAAGACGTTTTCAACGATGACTTCTTTGCTGCACTTGATGGTGTGACCAATGCTTTGGACAACGTTGCCGCACGTAAGCATTGTACTGCTTGACCAGTCTCAAGATGTCAACATTAAACATCTTGTCCTTAGGCCAATATATGGACCAGCGTTGTATTTTGTACGAGAAACCTCTACTGGAATCCGGGACCATGGGCACAAAAGGGAACGTTCAAGTTGTCATACCTCATCTCACGGAGTCGTATTCGTCCTCACAGGATCCCCCAGAGAAGCAGACGCTTTCTTGTACTGTCAAAAACTTCCCCAACGCTATTACGCATACCATCGAGGTAGGTAGATAACTTACACATCTTCCCGTGGCCTTAACCATGGTTTCCATCCCAGTGGGCTAGACAAGAGTTCGACGCAATGTTCGTGAAGCCTATAGAATCTGTCAACCAATACCTCTCAGAGCCTAACTACCTGGAGAACTCTCTCAAGTATTCTGGTCAGCAACGTGAACTCGTGGAGCAAATCGTGTCGTATCTTGTTACCAGCAGGCCCCTGACCTTCGAAGAGTGTATTGTCTGGGCTCGCCTTCAGTTCGAGGAGAAGTTCAACAACGCCATTCGACAACTTCTCCATAGTTTGCCAAAGGATCACCTAACAACCACAGGGCAACCATTCTGGAGTGGCCCTAAGCGCGCACCAGATCCATTGGCTTTCAACTCGTCAGATGTGAGTATATCGCCTGAAGTGTCATCGGTGATTCTGATGGTCCCTAGCCCACTCATTTGGGTTTCATCATTGCTGCGGCCAACCTTCACGCCTATAACTATGGCCTCCGAGGCGAAACCGATCCAAACGCTTTCAAGAAGGTGGCAGATTCTGTTATTGTACCCGAGTTCACACCCAGAAGTGGCGTGAAAATACAAATCACTGAGAATGACCCTGTCGATCAAGCCGCGTCTGGTATGTGTCTACAAAGTTGGGGTAGCGTCTTACCTGATATCATTTGAAGACTCGAACGACTCGAACGACCTTGTTAAAAAATTACCACCTCCGTCTTCTCTTGCTGGTTTCCGCCTTACGCCAGTTGAATTTGAGAAAGACGATGATACGAACCACCACATAGACTTTATCACAGCAGCATCAAACTTGCGTGCTTTGAACTACAAAATTCCTGTTGCCGATCGTCACTCGACGAAACAGATTGCGGGCAAGATTATTCCTGCCATAGCCACCACCACCACTCTGGTTGTGGGCTTGGTTTGCCTGGAACTCTACAAAGTGGGACTAAGTACCTATTACGAAGGAAAGGTCTATTGAACACTTTTACAGATAATCGATGGCAAGAGGAAACTCGAGGAGTACAAGAACGGCTTTGTCAACTTGGCTCTCCCGTTCTTCGGATTTTCTGAGCCGATTGCAGCGGCCAAGAACAAGTTCGGTAATACTGAGTGGACGCTGTGGGATCGTATCGAGTTCAACAACGATCCCACCCTTAAGGAGTTCATCCAGTGGTTCAGGTCTACCCATGAGCTTGATGTTACTATGGTCAGCCAAGGCGTCAGTATGTTGTGGAGTTCATTCACGGACAAGAAGAAGGTAAAGAGAGTAATGGGCACTCTGATTATTGACTCACTGATCTCTTGTACAGAGTGCGGAGAGACTGCCTATGAAGTTCAGTAAGCTGGTCGAACATGTCAGCAAGAGGCCAATTCCTCCTCACACGAAACATCTTCTTGTGGAAGTTATGTTGATGGACGAAGAAGGGGAGGATGTCGAGGTATGTCGCAGCCTGCGTAGAAGGAGGCCGTTCCTGCGGCTGACCACACCTATTGCAGGTTCCTTTCATCTTGGTTCGCATTTGAAACCGAAGAATGTATCGAGAGAAGCACGAGGACGCTAATCCTGTATAGTACCGGAGAATAGAACAAGTGTAGCCATTTGTTTACTATCGTCTCAAACATGAGAAATCACAAGTGGTTGTGTTCGGAGCATAGGCCAACTGGCATTCGTAGGTGGTATGTAAGGCTTCGCACAGTGAACTATCGCACTACTGGCTCTACACATGAAAGCCTGTTGGAAGGAACAGATTGCATAACTACTTACCTACCAGAGAACAGACGGTAGTAAAGGGTTTAACGTCGAAGAACAAAGCCTAGCTAATCGACGAGCCGTGAGGTAACCAACGGCAAAGAGTGAAATCAGTACGAAGAAAAACGGCGAACGGAAGGCCGAAGAGGGTTAGCGAAGCAGAATGTTTTTGGCGTTACGTATTTTTTTGGTATGTTTTTTGTAGTTTCGTGACGTGTTTATGTAGAAAGGATGCAGAGGGAAGTAAGAAATGACCAAAAGCATAAGAGGCAGGTGAACTAGTCATCGAAGGGCGATTAGGTTTAGTAGCGTGTGGGTACTGGATGAGAAATGGATACATCAACAGGGTAACAGCAAACCAAATGGGTGCCAAGTGTTCAATCCATGAACAGTAGCAGTATGGGACAGAGGGAAGTCCGAGGATATCAAGGGGATCATCTGGCCGAGCGACGACTAGGTCAGCTGGTTTGAATAGCGAGTCGCAGAAATATCGTTTACGCGACGAAGATGTCGAAATGTCAAGGGTGTGTTTGGGTCCTCGAGACGGGATGGATATGTCTTGATGTGGAATGGGGGACCCAACAAGTATAAAACACAAGACCAGGGCAAAGAGAAAAATCCAGTATTCACAAGCCAGGAAAAGATGGACGTGCATGTGCAAGCGAGTGGAAATTACAGCATCATATAGGGGGAGACTGGAACCAATATTAGGGGAGACAGAGACAGAGGTAAGAATTCTATGCCGGAGGAACCAGGGATTCAGGCGCGAAACCAGTTCGTTTGGTAGTTGACAGGCGGGTGAGCGCCGAACGGTTTTCCAGAGGCCGCATTGCCGTATTGTTCGGATGGACCCCAGGATGCAGTCATGTAAGCAGGATACCCTGCGACGGGAGGAGTCACGCGGGTGTCGGTGCTATAGCGGTCCAATCTTCCATGGAAATATCCTCCACCGTGACCGGAGGTCCGATAAAGATCTGTGCAGTAACATAATTGGGTTTGCTGAGGTGCACAAGCACGCGGAGGACACCAGCACGGATCTTGGGATAAAGGCAAATAGTTTCCTGTATATTCCCCATCAACATGGGCTTTTTGCGGGAAAAATGTCGCAGGTGCAGTAGGCCAAACATGATACATCGCGGGAGCCGCAACGTAGCGCGCAGGAACCGGAGGGAGTGTGGCAATGTAGATAGCACCAGTGCGATCGCTGGGATATTCACCGCCAGGTGAACTCCATCTAGCAGGCGGGAATAAGGATGTTGATTGACCGCTGGGGGGTTGATAAGGCTGCAGAGGACGACGGTCGCTAACGGAACTACTACTGTTGCTCGCGCGACGCCTCGGCAAGTACTCCTCTCGAAGAGGGCCATCTTCGTCCAGATCGATGTCAAACGAATCCCAGTCACCACAACTAGAAACGGAACCGAACTTCTCACGAAGTCTCGTTTCTACTCCGAGGAAAACTGGTTCATCTGAGGAATGTCCCAGAGGGGCTTCCATGATTTCCTGAATAGACCTTCGGATGATAGAATGGGGATTCGACGACGGACGAGAAATAGGCTGCGGGAAGAGAGAAGGTGATCGAGAGTGATGGTAGGACAGCAGATGGTTGAGCCACTCAGACCAGACAAAAGGCGGAATCGACAAGTTATGTGCCAAGATATCCAGCGCAAAATACTCAAGCTTGTTCAGCGACTGCACTGGCACGTTGGATATGGTATGCCTATGGAAAAGAATTAGCAACAGCCATGACAAAAGATTTCATTGGAAACTCACCATGTCTTATTGGAGAAGGTATGGTCATCAAGCCACTTATTTGCCAACATAAACCCTAGCACGATTAGTCGAAAAATTGCAGCATCTTCACGACGTTCTCCAAAAAGATTACCGCGGGTATCACCGAGTAACTCCACCCTGAACCGCCGCTCCTTCACGTGCTCTGGGCCTAGACCAGCTGCACCAAAGTACACTGGTAGGCGCGCAATGTACCACAACGCCAACAGAATGGCAGATGGTTGCAGCAACGTTGACATTAGTAAAGAATGGACAGCACTGGTCAAATGCAGTGGCGCAGGCAATGACAGGTGTGCTGCGCTGGTTGGCCTGGATAGCATTTGTCAGTCTCGGTCATGGGAACAAGCTGCGTAATCAACGCACGTGTAACTGCTGGTAGAGTGCGGCAAAGCAATCCCATTGGTACAGACCTTCCAGACATATGCGACTACCCATTCTGCGATTGGTTCGGCGAGCCGCTTGTAGGTGAGAGCGGCGGTTGGCGGTTGGTTTTCACCTGAACGAGGATCCTCCTTCGCTGAAGTGTTGAGGTAGACCCGGAAATCACTAGATCCGGAGCCACAGGGGCCAAAGTACAACTCCTGAGATCTACTCTGGACGAGTGGATCGAAGATGGCTGGAGGGTCAGAAGAGGCGACTGCGCGATCAACATACTCCCCAAAAGGCGTAAGAGGTTCGATGGGACTGGAGTGCAAGTCGCCATTGACCATGTCAGATGAGTCATCTTCGAGGAGAGGGGCAAAAGCACCCGTCTCGTCCTCTACACATAGGTTAGGAGTGGAAGACCAGCCACGCGTGCCTCTAAGTTGCGTTCCATCGCCCGACTCGCCAGCCAGATCGGTGGGCGCTACCTGGTTTCTTACATCAGATGTCGTCCAAGAACCAAGCTTGATGGAACCTACCTGCGGGCCACAGTGACGAACAGCGGTGGACAAGGGCGGAATACACGCTTCCGCGTGAGCTCCTTTAATGGCGGATGCGTTGATCGCACCAGTCAACCCATGTCGAAAACCCTGTTCATAACATTCTACTGCCGTGGCAGGGCGATGGTGGTCTTCCAGGAGTTTGGATTTTTCCCAAGGATGCAACAAATTGAGCCACTGGTCGCGACCACCGAGGGATGGTGGCAAACCAGCAGCGGAGAGAGATAGGGTGCGCCCGTGATGAGAGGAGTGAAGGTTAGCCTTCAGGGGGATGGAGTGCTTCAGGGCTGGAGCGGTGGTGGAGAGAGAAGGGACCGGAACTGGCATCTGCAGGAGAGTGGAGTGACAAAAGTCGGGACTGCCTGATTGCCCGAGGAGCAGGAAGCAGTCGAGATCTCTTGTCGTAGAGCGAAAGGCCCTAATAAAGGGTAGGAGAAGAGAAGAAAGTCGTAAGCAAAGTCGTAAGAGGCTCCAGGGTACGAGAGATCTAGATTAGGAGAGAGACAACCGGAGGGCGGTGGATGGCGAACGCACAGCAAAGGCGTGCCTTTTGTCTGAGCAGAAATGAGAGGAGAGAAGATGTCCTGGAGAGCTGGGGGCCACTAGCGGAGGGGACGGGCCTCGTACCGCGCAGGGAGAGCAACTAGGATGGACTAGTAGGGAGAAAAAAGGAAAGAAAGAGTTGACCACGGTGAGAGAACTCCTTGAAGCTTCCTCGACGACACAGACGCTGTCGCAGACCCGGGTTGAGACACAGAACACTCTCAGAGGAAAGTTTTGGGGGAGACCGACTGCGACAAGTCGATCCACAGCCAAGTGCGGTCCTGGCAAGCCAGAAAAACATATTTTTGTTCATCTTTTCTATGCGGATATTATCTAATACTATCCCACGGGGCGATGCTGCCACGCAGTCATCCCCGGCGATGGCCGCCACCCCAGGACTCATGCCAGTCACATGCCATCTTCACTGTCACACTATTAATCTTGTCAAGCCAACGTTCATCGGGACTCACGTTGCCATTGGGACAGACCTGCACCGAAACAAAGTTAGCTCGGACTTCCCTGAGTCATACCCCTTCACGTGACCGAATCTTATTATTTGTACTTGTTGAATTCCCAAGCCGTCGACAAACATCCATTCATTGTCACATCTGCATTCCCGAAGACATGCAGGACAGTGCGAATGCTTCCCAGCAGCTTGGCCTCGACTCTATCACTCTGGGTCAGCTCAGAGCTATGGTCTCGTCCGCCCCAAAGCCAAAGGCATGCTCACACAGTCTCCGTCCTGGTCGTCCCTTACCTACGCGTATTGACAGCAATCTTTTTATGACTTCCGCTACGACGACGAGGATACAGTAATGGAAGAGTTTGATGAATTTTATTCGTACGTAGAAATGCCCCAGGTCGCCGAAAATTTAAAGGCGTGGCAAGGCTCGTTCACCGGAGGTACGTTGCGCGAGCTCCACGACTACATCTCCATCCTTTGTCCAATCGCGTTCATTTACACCAGAATGGACAAGTCCAGAAACCACCATTGCTCAGAGAAAGGCCCATGTCGAAGTCCTCCTGGAAGGCCTTGAGCACCGGGATGCCGAAATAAGATTTACCAATGCACGCCGTCTGTTTTACGTGCTACAAGGTTCATTGCCCCGCCCTTCAGCACGGGTGCCCGACTGACGCGTGTCTTTTAGGTACTTTTGCCGAAACTACGTCACCAGAACATCAGCTGCACTGGATTTACGAAAATTGCAAGGTGGTCCGGGGTGCTAACGGCTTGAATACAATTGTAGAGTCTATGAAAATCGCCAGTCAGAAGCATGACTTGCTCTGGTACGTTTTTGCGCCCTCAGTTCACCCACCATTCATTCCGGTCTTTTTCTAGCTCCCTCTCCGATGCGGACGCCGCCCGCTTCCAGATCACACCCACCGAAAAGACCGATTTCATTGAAGAATTCACGACGGAGATTTCTGTTTACCTAGGAATGATGTACCATATCATCGAAGTGTTCAAGGAAAGAGATGACTTTCCAGACGAACTCAGTGAGTAAGTGTTATTGGATGCTTCCGCGGACAAACAATTCGAACACGAACACCAGTGAGCATGGATCCCCCCTTACCAGTTTACCTCTTCAACGTCGTGTCCGGGTTGAAGGACAAAACTGCCAAGGGGTATCCGATCAAGAAGGTCGGCATCCATCCTCGTGGTTTGGTTGTTTGAGCTCAGTTCATCACAGCTCCTTCTTGTTTTGTGGAAGACGCTCCTCGCTTGTTGCGGAGGAATAAGGGATTTTGACCGCGTGAAGAAGCTTGCGCGAGAGCTTGCGTCGCTTCCTCCAGTACCTGACGAAGGCAGGCCCTTCCCTTGACATAATTTGATGCGTGTACCGATTTACCTTGCAGCTATCCCCATCAAATGTACTCCACTTGACATTGAGGCCTTTCGTCAGGAAACCTCCGTCAAGTATCCAACATTCACAGTTCCACCCACCGGAGAACTGCCCTCTGACAAGCCTTCAGTAATTGGCCCTCCCTCTAGGCTGGCACAAGCGTACTCCCCTATCCCTGTCCGACATCATTACCATCACGACGAGTCCGACCTGCAACAAGCAGGGCTGCCCAACGTGATCAACCAATCATTCCAGCAACAAGCTCCAAATATGAGTTTTCGCCCTAACACGCAACCCCTAACACCTGCACCCTCGCCCCCACCTTCCCCAAAGCCCAAGAAGCAGCAATACCAGACAGACCAAAACAGACCATTTTTGTTTCCATTCTCTCGAAAGAGTAGATTTGGGCTCAACAAGGATCGACTGGTGCCGTTTGCTATTGACGAAGCCGATAAGCTGTATAGCAAACACATGTACGTGAGCCTGTCACTATGGCAGATGTGGCGAACGAGAGAAGAGTGTATGACTGCTGAAAGCGGCCTGGAACGCATGCCCGGGACTGAAGGCAGCGTAGAGCCGCCGAGGGTCACCCCAGGTGTAAGCCAGTATTTTTCTGACCTCAAACAATTATCTCAATTCTAATTTCTTGAGGATCCTGAATCTGCGGAGCCCCTACCTGACGTCGCATTGCTGGACAGCAAAATCGCTGAAGCAGAAGCTGCTATTGCAGAGGCCGCTACTAGTAGTCAGGAGCGCAAAGCAAGAGAAAGGAAAGAAGACCTGATGCGCTTGAGAAGGGTTGAAGTGATCTATGTCAGTCCACTCCTTGTTGTTCATTAACTGCTAACAAGAACATGCACACTAGAGTTCCGTTCTCCCCGTGCTACCAGGTTGGGTGCTGACCTTACTGAAGCTACTCCTCGCGACCGTATCTGCTGCTGGTAATCAGCAACAGGCCCCCCAATCGTCAACATCTTCTGTATTCCCTCCCGGCGTTGCTTCTCGTGAGTTGCAAGTAATAACAGCCGTGGAAAGATGATATACGTGTGCGATGCAGCATCAGAACAGCCGCCTCCTCCTCCCCCCACCCTTGATGAAATTGATGTTACACGTCATCGCGAGATCACTTCCAAGGCGGTGTCTGCCATTCTCCTACTAACCATGAAGTGGTTCAAGGTATCTCGTAAGTTACTCGTTACTTCACTCCTGTTCATGACATTGACGCCTCTTTATTAAGATGTGATGAAGTTCCATCACCTTGGACAGCTTCTGCTCGATACAAACTGCTTACTTCTCATTCTCAAGTTGTTTGGTCTGCAGGAAATTGCGAATTCTATTGTGTCCAAGGCGGACTCCCCAAATTACAAGTAGGGTGTAGCGTTCTTTTCTCGCAAATCTCTAATTCTCTGCAGTTTCTTCCGGTACTGCCAACTACATCATGCACGAGCGCGCTCCTCTATGGAAGACGAGAAGCCACGACCGCCGTCACAGATCGTCCTTCTGGTTAAGACCTTACCGAATGGCCAGAAGCATGAAGAGGAGGTGGAGATGCTGAACGAGTTTTCTTGGCGCAATTTTTTCTCTGCTATCAATTTTGCAAAAGTTATGCAGAAGTTGTCCAAGAACCGCTCACATCGAATATGGATGCTTGTTCAATACAAGAGCTCTGTACGTGGGGTAACTTTAACCTGAGCTGTTCCTACCCTGACACCCTGTTTGTTAGGCTGTTTTGAAGCGTGTCCTACGCGTGTCTCATCCCATGCTCCAGCTTCACGTCCTGAAACTCATCAAGAGCCAGGTACCTTTCTCTGGTCGGAAGTGGCGTCAATGTAAGTTCATCGTTGTTGCGTAATAACTTCGAAAATTTAATGCGCCGTGTGCAGCTAATATGAAAGTGATCACCTCTATATACCTGAACTGCCGACCAGATCTCCGTGACGAATGGCTCACAGGCAATGAAGTTGATGATCTAAGCGATGCTCAGGTGCGCCAATTCTTTCCTGATAGGCATACATACCCTTAAGTGCCTAATTTAGGCCCAGGAGTACGCGCTGCGCCACCTGGTCAAATTCTGTACGTGTCTCTAGATGCTGTGTGGAGTTGGTTGATTGATTCGTGAATAGACAACAGCAGGCGATACGGCGCTCAAGCTGCGCAACATGCCCAAGCACACAAACGATCCGTCAGTATGACGCACAACATGGATGGCTTACCGCCGGGTCTGGAACTGAGCAATATTATCCGGCCATTGGGCACGCCAAACATTGTCGAAGCAGATGTTTTCCCTCCACCGCGCTCGCAGGCGCCTGATCCGTCGATATTCCTGCCGTATACGACGGAGGATCTCGCGTTCGAAGAGGAGTATGAAGAATATTTATCCGATCTCGGTTGGTCGGACGAGCAGATGTCCGGCACGGTACCGCCCTCGACATCTTCGACCTCAGCATGGTCTAGGTTACCCGAGTTTGTATCGACTATGACGGACAATATCAGTGACAGCGAGAGTGTGGTATCTATTGGCGACCTCGGTGACGACACAAGACTTGAAGGCAGGGACGACCGCGACATCCCCGATGAGAACATGAACAATTGGGAGGTAGGAAACAGCCCCTCTGACCCAATCTTCTGTACAGCTTATGCATGCACCCTACAGCATTTGAGTCCCAAGACTATGGCCGCCCTCCCCAAGTCTCCAGCAGGCAATCGTCGCTCCAGTTCGGGAACTGGACTCCGTCCCGTCCTGCCTTTCGGTCTCGATGATGACAGTGCCCTGGACCTTGGAGATGACGAGGAAGGAGAGGTTGGTCTGATGCCTCGGGAACAGTCTGGTCCTTTCGCTTCCGGAGGAGGCGTCGATGAAGTCGAATATGCTTATGGGTGAGTCTTGCGATACCCTTGGAAACGACCTGATCTCACGAGTAACGTAGTGTTTAATGTAGTAGACATTACACTGTATTCAGCGCAAATACACACTACCTTGTCTGGACATTAGGCCTGTGAGCTTGAGGGCATCCAATGCTCTTACTGTAAGTGTAAAGGATCAAGGGAAGACTCTCAGAGTGCCTCGATAAATGAAGCCTTCATCCTCGCAGTAGCCCAAGGACTGCCAGCCGCGTAGAAATCCATCGGGTATGTCCCTTTCAACGCTTGACCATCTCTCGACTCGTCCATCCAGCCCCTTCTCTGTCCCAATGCCACACATGCTTCATAGGGGCTCAACAGTGGTCGAACAAACGCATATCCCCAATCAATGGACAAGCGCGGACAAGATGTTTGCACGAACGTTGAAATATGAGGTTCAAATAACGCAAGCTTCGCTGGAGACAATTCGGATAGGAGAATTGGAACGTGGGGTATGGGAACAGTCGAGGAAGTAAGCTGATGCTTGATGGCCTGCAACTGTTTGAAGCTGCCCTGCCGACCTAGCGTGCCTAGTATGACCCCCCAGATAGGTATGTCTAGCGACGACTCAGTCTCATTCATGTCAGAGGAAAAGGCCAAGGTGCTCTGGCGAGCATTTCGGACTGCCTGATCCCGTACATCACGCATTTCATCGTGACTATAGTGCTCCCGAGTTAGTTTCTTGAAGTACGGATCATATCGGAAAGCAGGGACGGTTGGATTGGCAATCATGATGGACTCGAGATGAAAACGGCCATCGCCAAGATACCTGCTGAATGTCAGTGGGAATGCAGATGTGCCCAGGGACGTACACAAGAGCGTCAACGTCACTCAGGGATGGAGCGGTACAACCCAGAATCTCCCCTGGAGACAATGGCTTCGAACGTGGTATTACTGCGTCGTATCTTCCGGACCACGGTCGGAACCTCCGGACTGCCTGCGTGTCGTCGGATTGAATCACTGGAGTCCCAGTGTCATTGACTGACGCTGACATGGAGGGTTCACGATGTTCCAACGTGAGGTCTTCCTTGAGCTTTTGTAAGGCCGCAACAAATTGAATGGTCGAGACCAACGTCAGTCGCGTTGGCACTTCATGCCCATCACGGGCTTCTGGTTCCTGTCGCGGATCGGAGTCCCCAGCTGGGGGCTCCGGATACTCTATGCGAAGGTGAAAGTTCCCACCAGTATCCGCGCTGGCAGGTGTTTGTACATTGGACCCTTCGGTGTTGAGTAGCTGCTTGTAAAAGGTCTCCCGGTGGCTGGGTAAGTTTAAGCGCACAGTTTCTGCCAGGTGGGCGGAGTCGATGCCTATCTCCACGAATACATAGAGCGTCTTTATCGTGGTTTGGTCAATCGGTACTAAGAACCGCCGAGTAAGTGTCACGTAGTAGAGTTATCACGAGTGGCGCTAACCGAGACAACTGTGTCCGTAATGGACGAGCATGTCGCAACCCAAGGCAACGGCGGTATAATCATCGATACAGCATGCACCGTATGTGACATCACCCATGATGACCGTTGATGCGTCGGTAAACCTGAATTACGGTTAGAAAGATCGACTGAACCGCTGGTCGCTGACAGTGCAGTGTACAACCGACATACCGTTCGATGATGTCCGCAATAGTACAGGCGAACATCTGCAGGCCCTCCGGCATCTGAAGAGCTACTGCCTTCGCCTTGTTCTTCCGGACGTGATGTATCGTTTTGTGTATCTCGAACGAATAGTTTGAAGGCAATTGCTTGACTGCCTGGTTGAGCAGTCCATCTGACAGGATATCGTCTGGTATCTGGTTTGCGATGCCAGCTGCAGGGACGCCCTGGTTTCGATGGTGTGGAAGACTTTGAGCCTACGAAGCGCTTCCGTGGCTTTGGAATTCCGCCCGCTTGTTGCTTGTTTTCTACCATGCCTGGTGCTGAGGAGCTGATCGTAGCCGTAAATCAATTGTGCAGTTCAATCTAATCAGCGAGTCGCACGGCACGTGACGTCTTCACGCCCAAAGACGCCGCATGCAGGCGGGAGTCACTCTCGCTTCCATGCTCGGAGGCTAGCTCACTGCTTTGTCGTCTTGTAGACCATCCCTTAAGTCATCGTTTAAACGACAATAGTATCATCCAGGTCGCTGTCTCACTATGTCAGACAGTACCCCAGGCGAAGCGCTAGGGCAATGCGCCATGCGGGGGTCATGCGGCTCGAAAGGTTGGTTTGGCCAACAGCTGCCGTGCCCATACGATGGCCCACCATTAGAGGTATATATATGCTCTGAGTTCTGTCATTCATGCTCATGCGCTGTCCTAGCTCGAGGGGAGTGAAGGCCGAGACATGCTCGTATCCTTTTGCGGCCCAGAATATGCGCAGGGTCCGACTTGTTGCACGTCTGACCAAGTTGAAACATTGCGAGATTCCTTGTCCCAGGCGGAACCAATCATTTCGTCTTGTCCCGCTTGTCGGAATAACTTCAGGTCTTTCTTCTGCTCATTCACATGCTCGCCCCAACAAGGCTCTTTCCTGAACGTCACCGAAACACAGAAATCGAGTACAGGCGAAACTGCAGTCAAGTCTGTTGATTTCTTTGTTGGAGAGCGGTTTGCTTCCGGTTTCTATGATAGCTGCAAGAACGTACAAGTCGGGGCAACGAATGGGTACGCTATGGATCTCATAGGAGGAGGTGCAAAAACATATGCAGAGTTCCTCAAGTTCCTCGGGGACGAGAAAGATATCGGAAGTCCATTCCAAATCAATTTCCCTCAAACTCCTGCAGGTGTCAACCCATTTACCTCGATTCCCAGGAGCTGTGTGGACAACGACCTCGGCAGTCGGTGTGCATGTATTGACTGTCCGGACGTATGTCCGGAACTCCCATATATTCATCTGCCAGGACAGGAACCGACATGTCTTGTCGGCCCTTTGACTTGTCTGTCTTTTGTCTTGACGCTGGCCTACGTCCTCGCAGTTGTTTCCTTCCTTTTTGGATACTTCCTACAAGTTGCCATGCGAAGGCAGAGAGAGAAGAGATACGAACGCATGGTTTTATCTTCGGATGCCGCGTCGACCACTCTTTCGCCAAAGAACAGAACCCGCAGCCTAGTTGGGGCTTCATCACTCTCACAACTCGACGGCGATGACTCACTCGGAGCGCATTCAAACGATTCAAGACATCTCGGTCGCGGAGCATCCCTACTGGACCCAATTGCAACATCTCAGCCCCGCCGATACCACTTAAACAATCTTCTCGGGCGAAAGTTCTACCAACTTGGCCTTCTGGCTGCTTCCTCCCCCTTTCTGACGTTTGCTATTGTGTTTACCGCTATTGGCCTCCTTAATCTCGGTTGGAAGAAGTTCGCGATAGAGACAGACCCGGTCAGGCTATGGGTTGCTCCAGACTCTGAAAGCAAAATGCAAAAGGAGTTTTTTGATGCGCACTTCGGGCCGTTTTACCGCGCACAACAGATATTTGTCACGAAGGCAACGGATGCTTACACAGTCCCAGAAAATGTGTCGCTTGTGTCGACATGTGGGGCTGTACTCTCATTTGACCACCTCAGGTATTGGTTGGCCGTCGAAAGCGATATACGTGAACTGCGTTCATCACCCAATGGCTACGGGATTGAAGATGTTTGTTTCAAACCTGCAGGACCCAGTGGCGCGTGTGTAGTGCAGTCCATTGGGGCATGGTTCTCCAACGATCTCAGCGGTTACGACGAGGAGTCATGGAGAGATCGTGTTCTCCATTGTGCGAATTCCCCAGTCGATTGTCTCCCCGATTACCAACAGCCTTTGGGGCCGCGATATGTGCTGGGTGGCGTACCAGAGAACAGTGCAGGAGAAAAATCATTTCTTGAGGCCGAGGCCATGGTCATCACATACGTGGTGTCCGACTCTTTGGATCCCAACGAGCAGGCGAAAGCTATGGAGTGGGAGCAGGCCCTCAAAGAGTACCTGCTGGAGCTCAGCGATACCATTGATACTGATGCCGGTTTGCATATCGCTTTCTCGACTGGCGTGTCACTGGAAGAGGAAATCAGTAAGAGTACTAATACTGACGCCAAAATTGTCGTTCTCTCGTACTTGGCCATGTTCTTATACGTCTCTTTGGCGTTGGGAAAGTGGGAAGCAACCGATGAAGGAGTCGTGGCGTCGTTGAACCCATTGGATACGCGGTCTTCCTGCACTCTTTAAGCGTTCCAGCGTCGGGTCGTCTTCGATATTTGTCGACTCACGGACTTCACCACGCATCTTGCCCCGCCTGCCTCGTAGCCTCTTTGTGAATTCCAGGATGTGCCTCGGCCTATTTGGTATCGGACTTGTTATTTTGTCGGTGTCATCTTCCGTCGGTCTTCTTTCTCTGCTTGGGGTGAAGACGACTTTGATTATAGCAGAAGTTATTCCTTTCCTTGTCCTCGCCGTGGGCGTGGACAATGTCTTCATACTAGTTCACGAACTTGATCGGCAGAATCTTCGTCATGGCCCCAATGCAGTGCAAAATTCTGCCGCCGGGGGGCCTCGCTCTCCTACCCAATCTCATCGTTCCCCCTTAGATTCAACCTGGGAAAATTCCGTCGACGCTGAATCCATACCGTCCTTCCGCTCCGCAGAAGAACGCGTAGCGATGACCTTGGCGAAAATGGGGCCCTCTATCCTCCTCAGTTCGGTCACTGAGACGGTTGCTTTCGGGCTGGGAGCATTGGTTCCAATGCCAGCAGTTCGAAACTTTGCACTATATGCGGCTGGCAGCGTATTATTAAATGCTATTCTGCAAGTGACGGTCTTCGTTAGTGCACTTTCCTTGGACCTGAGGCGAGCGGAGGTGAGTTCTCGACCTCGAAGCGTGTCCCCATACTTATTCCTTAACAGTCCAGTCGGGTTGAATGTCTCCCATGTATACGACTGTCATCCCGAATTGCATTGTTGGACGCTCCTAACCATCGGGGACCCGGCGGAATTGCACATTTCATTCGTCGACACTATGCACCTTTCCTCCTACATCCAGTCGTCAAGGGTTTTGTGGTGCTGCTTTTTTCGGGACTGTTCGTGTTATCTGTTATATCCATGCAACATGTCGAGCTCGGCCTTGGTGAATTTTTTTTGTCGTATGCAGGTTGTTCCCTTGTCTGACTTCTGGGCAGATCAGAGACTAGCACTTCCGTCAGAGTCGTATCTCAACGACTACTTTGACCACCTCGAGGTCTACCTAGACATTGGCCCACCAGTTTATTTCGTTGTGCACAGTACCGACGTCACACAACGTCCTAATCAGCAAAAGCTTTGCGGCCGTTTCACTACATGCGACGACCTCTCCGTTGCCAACGTACTTGAGGCTGAACGAAAGCGACCGGACTCTTCGTTCATCTCCCAACCAACAGCATCGTGGATAGATGACTTTCTCAAATGGCTCGACCCCGCTATGGAGACATGTTGTCGCGTCCGAAAGAGAGATCCTTCCAGGTTCTGTGCACCTAGAGATTCGGAGCGACTGTGCCAGCCTTGTCTATATGGTAGAGAACCCCAATGGAACATCACAATGACTGGACTTCCCGAAGGGGAAGAATTTATGCGATACCTCCAGCAATGGCTCATCTCTCCCACTGACGAAGAATGCCCGCTGTCTGGCAGAGCATCTTACAGAAGCGCGCTCTCCCTGGATGATGAAGGTGTGGAAGTGGTGGCCTCCCACTTCCGCACAATGCATTCTCCGTTACGGTCTCAAGCGGACTTCATTAACTCGTTTGCAGCCGCCCACCGCATCGCGGATGACATCTCCGAGCATATGGGATTGAAGGTGTTCCCTTATTCACTCCATTATGTCTTCTTTGATCAGTATGCCCATATCATCGCCATCGCGCAAGAAATCCTCGGTCTCGGTCTTGCTGCGGTGCTAGTCATCACAGCACTGCTCTTAGGTTCATGGCGGAGCGGTACCATTGTTACCGGCGTAGTCGCGCTCACTGTGGTAAACGTGATGGGCGTTATGGCCGTTTGGGACATCAACCTCAACGCCATCAGTTTGGTGAACCTGGTAATATCCCTCGGAATCGCAGTGGAGTTTTGTGCCCATGTTGCAAGGGCATTCATGAACCCTAGCTCTGACTTATATGTAGACCAACCAGCGGGACAGAAGGAAAGAGACGCAAGGATGTGGGCTGCCTTGGCCGATGTTGGCCCTTCGGTAATGTCACCTTCCGTCCGCCGATGATAGCCATTTGCTGAAACCGAGCCAGGTTTTGTCTGGGATTACTTTTACCAAACTGATCGGCGTATCTGTTCTTGCCTTGACGAGATCACGCCTGCTAGAGGTATGCCGGATGTTCGATGCCACAAAGTGCAATGAATAACATATCGTTGATAGATTTACTATTTTCGCATGTGGCTTACGTTAATTGTAGCGGGCGCACTCCATGGACTGGTGCTACTCCCAGTTGTTTTAAGCCTTGCCGGAGGACCAGGCTTTGCACAGGAGACGGATGAGGATTGGATGGCCAAAGTCATTCGGAATGAACATACGTAAGTGGTTAACATTCGCTCTAAATATTCGATCATGGAACCTTTCGATTAGACCGTTGCTTGCCGACGACTCCTCTGTCTTGAGCGACTGACCGCTCTTCTTCGCAATGGATACCAGTAGTTGTCCACACCTAGAGTACTGTAACTACTAGTCATGTTAACTGAAATACTATTCTGGTGACCTGGATCTGCTATCCCTGATATCATCCCTACTGTAGCTTCTTCTGCCTCGACTGACTGACCTAGACCGAGATCTGCTTCGGGTGTACCTCGAGTACGAAGAATAAGACGCAGATCGCGAACGAGTGCGCGAACGAGAACGGGAACGAGAGCGTGAAGGGGTAAGCGAACGCGAACGACTTGAACGAACTGAATAGCTTCTGGAGCGACTGCGTCGTCCGCGACCATATCCTGTGCCTCCACGCTCGTAGCTCGGCGATCTCCGCCGGGGAGGAAGACGGTCAGCCCTTCTGTACGGGGACCTGGAACGAGAACGTGAGGGACGGTAGATGTCTCTCGCGGGAGGGCCGCGACGACCGAGAAAGCCCCTTGAGCGGTATGTGTCCGGGAATCTCGGAGCATCGTACCCCCGCCTGCGATAGGGTGGAGAGCGAGAGCGTGTACGAGAGCGGGAACGTGAGAATGAACGACGATCACGTCCGTTGCGAACAGGGCGAAGACGCGAGCGCGAACGAGCACGAATAGGCAGATCAGACAATTCGACCTTCAGGACAAGGCCGTCAAGCTGACCGCCATTCATATGAGATACGGCCTTGTGAGCAGAGGCTGCCACCGTATATTCTAGCGCCGCTTTTCCTCGGTTTTGGCCAGCTAAGCCAAAGCAATGTTAGAGACCATGAAACCGGTCAAATCAGAGTGAAGACCTTACACTTTGAATATAAAGGTAGGTCGATTTTGATGATTTCGCCGTAGAATCCGAATATTGCTTGGAGGTGAGATTGGACAACATTGCGAGACAGACCATTGACGACGACGACTTTGACGTCCTTTTGACCGGAGCCGTTCTCCATGTCAATATCTACATCTCTGAGCGGCTTTGGCGACGGGGAACGTCCCCTGTCCGACATTGTTGCACAGAACGATGGTCTCCTTAACTCGACAAGACGGTGGCTTGCGAGGAGTGCCGCTGTGACATGTGACAAGGACCCGTCACGACACCACCCCTATTAGCATTCCGGCATATTTACGGTACTAGTAACTAGTCGATATCCAGTTTGACCCTCTTTTCCATTCGCATTTCAGAAAACATGTCATCCCAGATCCAGTGCACTCTCTTCAAATGCTTCTTCACGAGATCTTTCCGAGAAAATCGCCGTCCACAGACATCGCAACTATACGGACGGTATCCGCCGTGACTGGCTTCGTGTCGTTTACATTCATTCTTGCGTAAAAAACGATCCGAACTAGTCCGAGAGATCAGCACACGGGATGAGAAGCTGAAGTCAAACTACGAACCACACGGAGCACGCGAACGGTCGTTGGTCTACGTGAGCCCCGACATGAACCAATATATGATCTTTGCGCTTATTCCGTTGCTCGCACCCGACAACATAACACCGATAGTCGTCCAGTAGCTCGCCTCGCTGTGACAACTGTCCAGCAAAGTGGGCAAGCCACGACCGGGTAAGATCTTGGCCGGGATTATTTAGGCGATATTGCTCGGCTCTTCTCTTAAGTTCGCGCAATTCGACCCCATGGTGTGCGTTTAGGACGGGAGAGAAATGCATTTCATCCGGGGAAGAAACACGAGCATGATCGTCATGATTCCCCAAGGCTGGAGGTTCAGGGAAAATATACGTATGATCATGATGCAAATAACCAACATCCGATTTCGGCGACGGCTGTTGGGACTCCCTGATCGGCTCCTGTGGGGTGGACGGACTACAATTGATTAATTTGTCTTCCTCAGAAGCCGAGGGCGTAATTGAGTGCTTAAGGAGATTAAAAGTTGTCGACGACGGAAACTCCCGTTGGGTGGGGATGATTGGTTTGTCTTCTTCGGAAGTCGATGAAAGCTCCTGCAGGGTGGCTGGGATACAGATGACTGGTTTGACTTCTTCGGAAGTCGACCGCGTGATTGAGTGCTCGAGGACATTGAGGGTTGTCGACGACGGAAACTCCTGCAGGGTGGGTGGGATACCGATGATTGGTCTGACTACCTCAGAAGCCGACCGCGTGATCGAGTTCCTGAGGACATCGAAGGTTGTCGACGACGGAAAATCAAATGTAGGACTTTCCGTGATTTGGTCAGCCGCGGTCTTCGTGGGAAGCAGGGGGGTTTGATTGAGCCACTCGGGGTACGGTGACGACCGAAGCGTATCGACAGGATTTACTGTTGCGAGAGGAGGAACAACAGACAAGTAGAAATCGTGCATGTTTACATCAGCTACGAGTCCGATGGGGATGGCGGAGATATGCCTGACGTCGTCAAAGAGGTCTATCGGCGCGTCAAATTTGAATCTTGAACTGCAAGGCATAGCAGAGGTTAAAGGATGGTTCGCTGCGTAATTCATGATTGAAGGAAGCGGTGACGAGAATGTAAAGGCCATGGTCGAGGGGAGATCCACTGGGGGGGAATCCATGCCCTGGGTCGATGGAAGCACCGGAGAAAAGCCCAGCACGCCTTTTCCGCCGACCTGCATTGGATTGACCAGTTGCTGACATGGGTCCCTTCGCCCTCTCGAGTCTCCCTTGACCGAAGTGGTGTCTGTGGTGTAGCTGATTCCGAGACCTGAGATAGGATGGAGGGCGTCGGTATAATCTTGTATAGTGTTCAGATACTTAAAATGTAGAGTTGATGTTTCTGTAGGAGGATGGTGCAACGCCGGCGTCGCACGGGCATTTCGAGGCTTGAAGTTGGTAGTCGTGCAGTCGGATGATATATTCGGAGAGATTGTGTTCCGGTATCGTTTCATGCTGAATTAATCCTGAATAATAGAGTAATAGAGACGTGCGCAAAGAACGACAGATGCGAAATGGCTGGCCGTGGAACTGACAAGCGGGGGTTTACTGATTGAGACATGTTAGGGGCTATTTGTCTGTGTTTGGTACCGCGTTCGACTTCCAAGCAACACGGATTGGGAAACACATAAATGCTCGCGCTGTGTCGTAGAGCACAGGCGAGATGGCTTTCGTCGACGGCCAGTAAGCCCGGACAGAGACGCGTGCTGCTAAAGCCATCAGTAGTGATCGCTGGAGTGTCCTCCGCCATTGCAGCTTACCTCGCACTGCGCGACCAGCCATACAGTCTGCCACCTCGTACGGAAAAGTCGTTGAATCCATCTAAATTCACCCCTGCAACCCTCGTTAAATCGGTCCAAACATCCTCTGATACGAGATTGCTGACGCTCTCCCTGCCTCTGGATGCGATACCCCAGGACAACCGAGAATTAACCCCGATATGGTCCGTCTTCGTCAAGGATGACGATATTCAGGTGGAGAGGCCCTACACACCCTTAGAAGGGGTAGATGAAAGTGGGAACATGTCGTTTTGGATTAAGAAGTATGATCACGGTGAAGTGGCCCGCTGGTTACATGCAAAGCAACCCGGTTCTTCTATTGAATTACGCGGTCCCGTGAAAACTTGGACATGGAAAGATGACACTTGGGACGATATCATTATGGTGCGTACCCGCCCCCCTTAGGGCATTTACCAACATCTGATGTTGAACGGCTCCAAGGTTTCAGGTGGTACGGGAATCACCCCCTTCTATCAGCTTCTGCACCATGTATTCTCCTCAAAAAACGAGTGTAAAGGTCGCCTAACGTTGCTTCACGCGTCGAAGACCCCTGCAGACCTGCCACCTGCCAACGTGATGGAATTTCTTCACGGTGTAGCTGAGCAGCACCCGAACAATTTTAGGTTCCGTGTCTTTGTAGACTCCCTAGACGTCTCCCAACAACATGAGGTTAAGATCCCTATGGACATTACATGTGATCGCATTGGAAAATCCGCGTTACAAGATGCACTCCGATTAAAGAAGACAATGCCGTGGTGGAAGGCGCTCTTTTGGCCGACGAACGTCCCGGCAGTCGCTGAAGATCGAAAAGTGATTGTCCTGGTCTGTGGACCAGAGCAGTTAGTATTGTCCTCACCCGAGAGTAAATGATGCCATTTAACAGAATCTCACACAGAATGGTGAATGCGATCGCTGGTCCTTATGGCCGAAACTATGCGCAAGGGAAGGTTGGGGGAATTCTTGGAGAGTTAGGCTTGCGGTCACACCAGGTCTGGAAGCTCTAATGCCTAACGATATGTTGATACTGTTCTGAGGGCTCAGTTCTATTTTTCACCTCGACGGTATATTCGGAACGTGGTTTAGCAGTGACTACCATCGATACATCAAGCGTTACGAACACTGGTACCATCACCTGGATGGCCAGGACATTTTCCGCTAGACAAAGTATCATAGACCTACGAGAGCGTGGAAAAACCTACTCTATGCCCCCTGCGAACCTGTGAGTTGTGTTTCAGATGTCTTGTCGTCTCAGGTCAAGCAATCCCTTCATGATAAGCTGGACCTCCAGCACGGCCTCTATGGCTGAACGCACAGTGTTTGCTTGCATCTGCCCACTCTGGGGGGCCGTAGTGTTGACCGGTGTTGCTGTTTTGACTTCCACTTCCCATAAAGTATCTGTGTGGGCTGGAATCGGCAATGATGTTTTGGGGTCCACCTACAGAACCAGAACCAGAACCAATTGAGTGACCGCACACGATTTGTATTATGAAGTTCTACCTGCCCCTGCTGGAACATCTGGATGATAAGGGGTCCGCGACGAAAGACATAGCCGCGTTTGTATATCTGCGAACGTTGCCTTGGCGGGTGGTTCATCAGACCATTGGATGCGCCGATAAGCAATCTTACACATATCCGAGGGCACTGGCAAGACTTAACGCGTCCCCCATGACTTCGCAAGTTGCCCATGGGCGGACTGTTGCTTCGGGGTGTACACGCACTGATTCCGGTTTGAGATACGAGTAGAGTGTCCTGGAATGGCTGGAGTGGGTAACCCTACGGGGCAGCCCGATAGCTAAGTGACTGACCATCCGCTTTCTCTCGCATCGCTATCGCCAACGTCTTTCCTCGCCCTTAACAAGACTGGCTCTTCACCTTGAGACTGTAAGAGATGGGTACCGAGATGTTCGAAAACGATTTCGCGGGTATGCATCGGCGCCGCAGACTCCGTGTGGAGAGTGATCCGGTTGAGAATGGCCTTGAGATCGCGAGCGAAGAACTCGCCGAAGAGTGCTACTTCGTATGCATAAACTTTCGCTTGGGTCACACCAGACAACATGAAGGTTGGGTGGATGGATGGTCGTTGTCACGAGTTTGCGTCAACTTGGTACACGACATTAATTCTATCTTTCTGCAACAGTCCACGATGGTCGACACCGATCCCCAAACTGCGTCTGTGTCTGCGCCTCGCACATGTACCTTGTGCAGCTCGCAGGCAAAGTACACATGCCCCAGATGTCGCACCCCGACCTGCTCTCTACCCTGTTCGCGAAAGCACAAACAACGCACAGGCTGCTCTGGGGAACGTAACAAGGCCGAGTATGTACCCATGAACGCATACGGCTGGGGGACCATGATGCGCGACTACGGCTTTCTGGAAGATGTCGGGAGGAAAGTGGGCGAGTGGGGCAACGAAATCGCTCGCGGGAGGTACCAGGCGGAACGGGGCACAACGAGGAGGGTCGATAGTCTAGGAAAAATGAACGGGCGGGGAAAGCGGATGAGAGGCACCAAAAGAGACACCCTCAAGTCCTACCTAGATTCAATAGATATCGACATCGACCTGCTCCCCAATGGCATGGAACGCAGAGCCTTAAGTCAATCTACCTGGGACCCAAAGTTTGTCTCTTCTCTTCTGGGACGTGCGGTTTCGCTGACATTTCTTTCACTCTGAAGAATGGGACGCCCTCTGTTGACAATCGAATTCAAGTTCTATCCTCCGTCCCCCGTCTCACCATGTACAATTGAGACTGTCCGAACGCAATCTCATACTGTCATCACACACCGCAATCCGATATCGAAGATATTGTTGGAAATTCTACAGTCTCACATACCCCAACAACCTCTCCAGTCCCGAAAGCACAGAGAGCATTCTTTACCAGATTGGGTGCCTCCTCTGGTGCATCCTCACCCAGAAGACCCGGAAGGCTTCCTCCACCCAGATTGCTATGTCCGCGCCAATCCGAATTTCCATTGTCAGCCAACCTCCCAAGCCGAGTTTTACCATAAATTAGACCCAACGCTGCCTCTCTCGGAGCTACTTCGGAATACTCATTTCGTGGAATTCCCAACCATTCATATCTTCGACCGAGACGCGTCAAGTTTTTGGGGCACAGTAGTAGATAAGACCGGACGGATTACTCGGCATCGGCAGGATGACGCATATGGAAGAGCCCTGAAACGCAGGAAAACCAATGCCCAGGCCATTGTTGGGCTACTTGGAGATTATGGGAGCAGCTCCGAATCCGAAAAAGACCAGCCTCGGAAAAACGATGGTCTCCTCATGCTTGGAAGTTACTCAGAAAACGAGGTTATGGAAACAAGTTCTGGGATACATTTACCTCACGACGTTGATGATGAAGCCGGTCCCGAAGAATCGAGTAGCTCCGACGTTGAAGAAACACCGATAGAACCCGAGATGCTGCTTGTGCTTATGAAGCGAGCACGTCAGGCTGCTGACGAAGATGTTGACTGGGATGACGAACCACAAGACGACGGGGAGTCTCCCTGATATTTTGAGATGATCTTCCGCATGATATTAAGTTATCTATATACCCCTAATACGTCTGCAACATCATTTGCCTTAATGCCTATCGTACGTATGTTAGAAAGACTCGGATGTGAGTTGTATAGCGCACTTGCGGCTTGCAATGCCGCCCGTCTAGATGTCATCCATCGACAGATTGAGTTCCACTTTCTCGCCAGGGTTGAAAGCAGGTAAACCTGGACGAGATGTATTAATGGACGATTCGAATCAACATTATTGAACTTACCCATGTAAGGGCAGCTCTCACATCTGAAGGCATCACCCAAGAAACAACTACCACAGCTGCTAGTAGCCTTGGGAGCAGCCTTGGCAGCCGCAAGCAGTCTCTGCTTCTTCCGTGTCACCACTGCCTACCTCTACTACACCGTCTGCATCCAGAAGTACGACCTTTCCCGTCCGGGACTCTTCCACTTCGAATTCCGCAAGGCCGCACGTGCAATTTTTGCAAGCTTTCTTTCGCCTCGGAGCACTTGGGTTAAACGGCTCACACGTAGGCACCGGACGAGCGCGATCAGCATCGGTCAGTAGCGCATCGGCATCGATGGTGGGCGTAGAAGGCGATGAAAATGTCCAGACAGCTTTTTTCGAAGCCTGACGTGCTGGGTCTACCTTTCGCCTGAGAGGCAGGGCACCGTCGGTAAGAGGCTTCGATGGTGTCGGAACAGGGGTTGGTGCCACAGGTTTCTGAGCGACGATCTTTGCATCCTCGCCTTCCGATACGGTCTCTATGATCGAGAACCCCGCCAATGTAAGCTCATCCAGCAGATTCAGAAAACCGGGGGTAAGGTTAAGAAAATGGAGTCTTCCGAGTGGACCAAGGCCTTCCAGAAGTTGTTTGAGCAGTGGTCTCAGGTTCGGAAGCAAAGAGGAATAGTCGGTAGGTGTAAGTATAAGGAAGATGGACGAGTAGTTCGACGGTGTCAAGGTGACAGCTGAGGTTAATGATAAGCACACCTAACCGTCGAAAGAAATAAAACCGGACCTCCATCAACCAACCGGTCGAGTAGTTGTCTCTCGGTTGTTCTTCCGGGGGCTTGTTCGTCGAGGTTAGAAATAAGAGCTTGGTATTTCCCGTCCTGTGCTGTCCCAAGAGATCCGATGATAAGGTCGGACGATGCTGATAGTCCATTCATCGCAACCGACCTCCTTGTTTCCGTACTGTAGACAGCTGTTGGTGCCATCAAGGTCGCACTGAGAGTCCAGGAAAGAGCAGTGCCAGTCACAATCAAAACGAGCACCTTCTCTGATATCCAAGTCGCTTACATAAACCAACGTCTCGGCCGTCGGACACCCAGCACTTTCGAAGTCGTAATTCTTAGACATTATAGCCAAACTAAATGGAGAACCAATAGTGGTGTACAGGCAACGACTAAGGAACAACAAAACGAAGTTTGTGCATAGAAACTGCAAGGGGAAAAAGGCACCTGTCACACGTCAAACTGACTGTTGCATGGATTGTTGCATGTCGGAATTTGGCGGCGGAGGGTGCATTCCTGGGGGAGGATGCATCCCTTCAGGGTAAGCAGGTGGCATGAGTGCGCTTCGAACGCGCAACAACATCATGCGATACCATTCCTCATCTGCGCCTGCTTTTTCCTGTTCAGCAGTTATCTGCTGCAAGTTACTGAGCTCCTTAATCCAGCTGAGACGCCAAGACAAGTTGCCATTCTCGTCCGCTTCGAGGTTATCTATCGGCACAGCAGGAGGAAAGCCCCCAGGAGGTGGAGGGGGGAGCATTCCAAAATTGGGGTCAAAACTGAGTGGTTGCATGTTAGACGATGCATGGGAGATGAAAGAATGGATAGACGAATCGATACTCACGCAGGTGGATAGGGAGGCGGATATGGGGCTTGCCTGCTGGGACCTGCTTGATCAGGATGCATTTGAGGAGGTGGCGGACCCTGTACATATTGTGCATGGGGATCGGGAAAAGGTGGTGCTTCGTTTGGGTGATAGTCGACATCGTTTTGTTGTTCTGACGACTGACGTGCTTTTGTGCCTTTTGGCTTCTTCTTCCTCACACGGTGAACACCCGTGCGCGGATCAACGTTGTCGTTAACCGTCCAGTATGAGCCCTTCCCGCGGTCGGTCAGGGGACGGGGGACCTTCTCGAAGCATGGGTTTAGGGAAAGATTGTGGCGAACAGAATTCTACATGGGAACACAATATTTAGTCCTTGTTTATTCCGCCAGGTGGAAAGCACCAAAACAAATATGAACACAATCAAACAATCAACATCGCGGTCGCGTCTTCGCGTATATAATGCACGCGGACGCGATATGTGACACTCTGATGCTTCGTGATACTCACCTTCCAGCCAGAGGGGGCGCTTCGAAAGTATGGAAACTGGGTGACGTGGCCTATCAGTAAAAAAAGGAGTGCCCACGGAAAACCCGGAGGCCAGACGCACACGCGATTCAATGGCATAATAAATGTCTTCCAGCAAGAGTTTCCCAGTCGGAGAGCCTTTGATGGCATAACTGAGAGAGAACAAGACGGTCAAAACTTGAGGGGGTAAAAGGAGACCGACAGAAACCGTCACAAACCGGATAAGGGTCGAGTACGGATAAAATGGCTTGCTTCCAGGCGGACCATCTCGCAGCGAATCCAGGTTCATGGGCAAACCACCAGTGAGGTCGGTCGGTTCTTGTGGGTAGTATGAATTTGCCTGGGCAAGCTCCGCCTCGGCGGGAGACAACATATTGGATGGTACAACGGTTTGCGGCTGCGGCTGTGGCTGAGGCTGCTGTGGTTGGGACATGCAGGGGCTGTCGACGGACAGGTCGGTGGCGAAGGCGGACGCGGGAGCCCTGCGTATCGGAGGCTCGGATGTTGGTGGTTGGGAGAAAGCGTTGAAGGAACACCGCTGTGGCTTATGTCATGCGTGAGAAAACGACCGCGCACGGGCCATTTCCTCCCCTATGACATAGAGCACCATTGCTGGGCGACGTTGAGACCGTCTTCGAGGACACCATTGACGACGGGCACAGAGAGACGACGATGTTTGTCCGTCCCGCACCCACATACTTGAATACACTGTCCAAATTGTGGAAGACAGGGTAAAACAAAATCCAAACCAGCCACGCTCTACAATACACAAACAAAGCAGAGAGGATCTGTCAAGAATATTCACCCTCAGTGTACCTCGGACGTTCCCCAATTGCAGTCGTTGGGACGGTGTCGTCGCCTCAACAGCCCGTCATGTTGGCAGTCGAGACTCGTAAGTCCTCATTTCCAGCCTCGGGATCTGTAGCAACAGGGCTCATGCCCGGAACTGCCACCTGCCTGGGATGTCTGCTGAATGGCCAAGCCCTTAAGATGAGCTTTGAACAATTTCCTTCTGAGCCCGGTTCTCAGATAGTCTGCACAGGATGAGTTGAACATTGCGCAGATGGACTGCATTCTTGTCTGAGGTACGACCTACGGAAGCGCATTTTATTCCGATGTACGTCTGTACACCTTCGATTTTGATTTGCTGTTCCATCCTCAGAGCCTCACTTCCAAGAAGAAACTTTGTAGATTGATCTTAAGGAAAAGATCGCACCCTTATTATCGACCTCTTGAAATTATAGGGTCGCATGCTTTACCCCATTCGCCAGCACATCTGTTCTTCGGGCGGCGCTCTAGCCCCATACTCTCAGTTGTGCATGGATTGGTAAGAACACAATTACCGTACGATGGCTGAATTGTCGACGGTCTGAGGGCACGTGGCACTGCCACCCATCAGTCTATGATAATACATTTGGCAACGACTGGAGCATCTTATTTGAATGTCGAACCAAGGTGGACCATATCCTTCAGTAACAGGTATACCATTTTCACGGTACCCATACGCGGCCCAGCGGTCAATACGTGGCATCACCAACCATGACCATATATTATCGTAGACGGCAACTGTCACGACAATGCCGACTGGTTGAATGAGGCTGGGCATCAGGGAAGTGAGCTACGAACATTCAACAACGGAAAATTGCAATGGATACTTGCCTCGTTTCCTAATCCCTCCTGTCCGCGATCGGCGGCCATTTGAGCTTGGACACGCCTAGCATTTTCCTTGATGGCTGTCCACGACGGCTTTCCATCCCTTGTTGTGCCCATGAGAGCCTCGTATATTCTATCTACCCGCTTCTCCTTGCTCTCGGTCCATCCGGGACCCATTTGCGAAGAGTCCAAGGCGGAGTGAGTATACAGGTCTCTACCAAGGTAAAATTTGGGAGACTGCCTTTGTTGCGCCCGCATGTTCAATATTTCCGCGAAGGAGTGCCTCTGCGAGTCGCCATCGCCAAGAAAATTGTCCTGTCTCGTAAATGCCCGGTCAATGGCGTCGGAAAGAGTTTCTGGTGTGATGAAGCGGTCAGATTGGTGATAGAGGTTGACGAGCGCGTTCATTTTGACATTGTTAAGAGACGCAGATGATTTATAGCGGATGGCGGGTCGAGCTGTTGCAGCTGTTCGCTGTCCCGTTCTGCAGAGCATGGCAAACTGAGTACATAGCCCCGCCGACTTTCAAACGGAAAAACCCATCATTTGATTAGTCACCGAGCTGCTGCACCTTATCAGATAACTCTTTGACAGGTGTCGAACTTGACTCCAGCATGTCTACCTTTGGGAAACTCAAGCGGGTTTTCACCAGTCAAAGCAGCCAAGCAGACTCTGTCAGCGCTCGATACGACGCACTTAGATCCGTAGACGTCCCCGTGACGGACGATGACTGTCGTTTCTGCCCAGACCCGTGCGATCAAGGTGAGTGGCGTTGTCCTCTCATTGTTTGTGTCCACCAACTTGCAGCAGACCATGACGACTTCACTAAAATGAGCATCGACACGGAGACCGACTTGCTTGGGTCGGTGAAGCCATATAGACGCCAGGCAAGTCAAGCTTGTCCAGACAACTTCCACACCGAACTAACGGCCAAACAAGGTCGTTATTTCAACCGGAAAATCAGACTGGCACCAGGAAGTAACTGAAGCCGATGGCACCCTCGCAGCCTTCCTATGCAGTGTGAACGAGCGACGCTCTGCCAAATCCGATAACATAGGGAAATCTGCCCCCAAGGGCAACAAATCTCTTCTATCCGGCCTCTTCACGCAAGATACCAGCAACCGCCTTTCCATCCTCAACGGAAGCCACCACTCCCTGTCTTTACATCATGACTCCACCTCAAAACTCGAGACGGTCATTATTTTGCCCGATTACAAGGTCATTACAGACGTCCCCCGGTCCCTAGAAGGCGCGGAAACGCTGTGGAAAAGCGCAATAGATCCCGCTTACGGGAGGACCGGTTCCCCGGAGAGATCGGATACCCTCAAGTCGTGGGTTCTACCTTACTCATGCTTAATCTTGCTCTGTAAGCGTCCGCAGGGGCTGACCTCATCCCGTTTTTGAGCCAACTGCGGGCTAACTGAATATGTGCTAGGCTCGCACAAAAGGCGAGACAAGCGTTGCGCAATCGCAGCCCCAGTTCTTGAGAAGAGTGAGTCTCTTCCCCTGTGCCATCTGCATAGTTCCTGACAGAGGTTCCATCAAGCGTTTACTCAGTCCCTCGAACGGGAAGGTTGGGAAGTGCACACTGACCTGGAAGATCTGTCTAATGAGCCAACACTGGAACATCTACTCGGCGTGGGCAACGCCGATGGTGCGGACCCGGAGACTGTGTATCAGTCACAGCTTACAGCTCTTCCCGGGCAACATAGAGCGCTTATACTGCGCAATTCTCACATCGGTGGTCACAAGTTCGCGGGCAACGTCATCGTGAGTTTCTGCGTGGTCATGCCCGACTCAAATTCTTTACATACACGCAGATACACACGCCGGCAGGTGCGAGTGTGTGGTATGGGCGAGTGACGGCCCACCACGTCGAGTCTATCGTCAGAAACACCATAATCGGCGGCTGTGTGCTCCCGCCCATACTTCGAGGTGGCCTAAATTTAGCAAGGCCAGGATGTGCGACGCTCTATGACTGGTGACCTTCGCACTCGTACAGTGCATCTCCCAGGCAAGCTGTCTTGGGGAAAGGTGTGCCACTACTACATGTGACGTATGTACACAGTATGTTCCACACCGCAGAACATAACACACTGAGGGAGAAATAAATTGTTAAAAAGAGGCGACATAGCAACAACAGCAGGACTTCTGTGAAAAGCAAGAATGAGCATTAAGAGGAAGCATGTATGCTCCATAAAAGGTGTGACCCTTAAAGAAAGAAAGCAAACCATATGCAAATGTGAAGAGGGAAACAGTTGTGCAATGCAAGCATGACAATATGAACACGCAGTCGCCATTCCCTTGAGGTCCATAAGGAAGATAACTTGTGGAAGAACGAGAGCGCCTGAACGCGATTAGTCTGCGATGCCGTCCTCAAGCCTCCTCCGGCTGGAATACCGCCCAACAAAACTCTCATCCTCATACTCGTCTTCCGTTGTCGGCTCATTCACCCCTTCGTCATCTTCGCTCTCGTCGTCATCTTCCCGCGAGAATCCTGCCGGCACAACAAAACTCTCTCCCCCCGAATACGTGAATCCACGGAAGTTCTCCTGTACGCTACTCGTGAGAGGTGTACCCGCCACGTCAGGATGCTTGGCTTTCTTTATTTGAATGCCCTGACTACGCCCGTTCACTCCGTTCGGCTGTTCTAGGCGCTCGCAACCAAGAGGCCCGTTGGGTGTGTGAGGGGGCTGAACACCAGATACGGTGTGCGTCCAGTCGTCGCTTGGGTCTTCCTCATCTGGACTGCGGTCTTCGTCAGTGTCGATCCCAAAGGTCCGTATATCTGCGGTCGTAAATTCGGGATCGAAATTTGACGTGGACTCGTCTGACTCAACGACGGGTTTGAAGGGTGGCGTTACTTGCTTCATTGAAAGAGCTTTCCAGTCAATGCTAGCAAAGAACGGATGTTCCTTGAGCTCTGCTGCATCGCGTTGTGCGCCCAGGCGATGCTTGGGATTCCTATTCAAAAGCTGAACAACATCCTATCTGTCACCGATTCACAAGAGAGAGATGAACAAGTACTCACGCCTTTGACAAATAACTTCCCCTCCTCACTGATAACGTTTCGTGGGAACCTTATCTTGCCGAAACATATATTCTTGTACATTTGCTGCGTGTCTTCGGCATAAAATGGACTCCATCCACAACACATTTCGAATAAGAGGACGCCCAGTGACCAAAAATCAACCAGTTTGCTATATCCATGTTCGTCCAATAGCACTTCGGGAGCAAGGTACTCCGTCGTGCCGCAGAACGTGGTCGTAAGTTCTCCCGATCGCAGATCAGCCTTGGACAAGCCAAAATCGCAAAGCGCCACGTGTCCTGTAGCGTCTAGAAGGATGTTCTCCGGCTTGAGGTCCCGGTAGATAATGTTGTACTTGTGCAAGTGTTCCAGGGCCAGCACGAGCTCCGCGACATAGAATCGGGCCCGCTCTTCCGAAAAGCGCGTTTCCTTTTGAAGATGCCAAAAGAGTTCCCCACCACTCTTGAAGTCGGTGACGAGGTAGAGATCAGTGTCAGTCTGGAAGCTGAACTTGAGACCGACGAGGAATGGGGACTCTAATGACCGCTGCAAGATCTTGCGCTCGCCGATGGTGTGAGCGACCTCTTTCTTAGCGATGATTTCCTTCTTGGACAAAATCTTCATTGCGTATATACGTTTCGTGTCCCTTTTCCGGACTTGGAAGACCTTGCCGAAAGTTCCCCGGCCGATGAGTTTTAGAAACTCGAAATCTCGTGGGATGAGCGCCCGTTTGGTCTATTGCGTCACAATGAGAGAATCATAAGCATTTTCATCCACATCACTGATAACGTGTGCGAAGGGGAGATGCCGAACGTGGGATGGGTGGGAAAACAGGTCAGGGAAGGCACAGACTAACCTTGTATTGTTCGAAAGTGATCTGAACACGCATCTCTCCGGTAACTACCTCGTTCTCCAGTGGCAGAAGCCTTGATTAATGAAAACCCGATATGGTGGATGGGCGGAAGCACGAAGGGAGACGGGAAATGAGCGGAAATGAAGATGAAGAGAGGAAGTAAGATGACACCCACTTGTACCATTGGTCCACCGGTGTGGTCATTCATAAGTACCGGTTTTATTTGTACGGTACCCAGGAAATGGTGGTCAGAGACACGGTCATAGACATTGAAGGTGACGACGGAGTCTTCGGAGGTGACATCGCTGGTGGAGCGATTGAGCTTAGAATAGGCTGCAGTGCTGGTGAGCTTACAAAGAAACCTCGTGTTTCCAGACGGGATTGTGGGCGGAGAGACGCCCGAAAAGGCTCTGGGTGGGGTGGGGTGGATTGGATGATGACGATGGACCGGAGTGCAAGGACGAGGTTGGGGAAGATTCAGTACTCGACTTTCCGGCTGATCGCTGTGGGCCGATTGTGGCGACAGCGTTCGAAGAAGAGGTTCTCGATAAAGCTGTGGCAATCCCTTTGACTTCCTTATCCATCTCGTCGGTGGGATCGCGACTGACGAACTCGTTCTGTTCGAACTGGACTACAACGTAGGGTCTTGCATGAACGGATGTGACACTGAGACCGCGCGCAGATATGAGTTTGACGTGAATTTGGCCCTTGGAGGTGACGGAGCCTCCCGAGGGCTGTGATGAGGGGGCTGATGAGGACGTCGTTCGTGCAGTCGAGGTGGTCGATGACGATGGAGTCTTGGGCTTATTTTCCATGGCATTTGACAACTGGGACTGTTTTTTGGTGCTGCGCATGGAAAGGTCTGGCACATGAAGGGAAAACTGAGGTGCAGGGATGGCAGCGGCAAAACTACCGGAAGGAGGCGTTAGGGGGCCTAGCGATGTGACATCGGCCTGGGCCGGACGGGACACCGAAGGAGTGCCTAGAAGATGGTGCTGGATGGAAGACGTCGATGGCCCCGGCGTCCGCTGGCCGTTGCTCGACGTCGCTGCCGGCGACGACGGTGTAGACATGGTGGTCGTTGGGATTGGTGCTGGCGTTGGCTGGCATATCGAATGGATTCGGCTGCTCTCGGCCATCGGCGGAGGCCCGGGGGGTGAGCTGATCTAGCAAGGATGGCCAAAGCCTCATCATGGCTTTCGGTATGGGCAGGTAAGACGCGAGCGACGACGACGAGGCCTTGTCGGTGGCAGTGGCGATATTGTGGTGGTGGTGACTTGGCAGCGGTGGAGTCGCTGTTATCATGTCTGATATATGTATCTTCCCGCTCCAACAACACAGGAGTCTCAGGGGGGAAAAAAATATTCAAAAAAACAGAAGAACAGGGTGCAGCTACCCCACACAAGATGTCCTGTTCAACGAGGCTCTCAGTACACGTAAAACTCGCTTACGACCGCCTCCTGGTGTACGGTACTAGGACCTAGTCATTACTCGCGACGGTCCCTCTCAAGTAGCTCCGAGTCCATCGCAGTAAGCCCATGCATCCCCCGACGAGAGCTCCGAGCACCACTGTCCGCCTTGCCGTCCGCCAGGCAAGCCAATCTGAACGCGTCCCCCCACAAATTGTAGCTCCTCAGAGACCATGTGCGACCAAAAGAGACCCACTCACACACGCTCGAAAAAGCCAAGGCAGTACCCACACCAGCCCCAAACTCCTTCGCTTCCGCCCACGGATGTCCGCATCGCTCCAATCCATCTTCGATCCCCACCCAGACTGATGTCGCGACCCCAAGTCTCAGCGCGTCTGCCCCTCCATGTTTCAGCCCTGCTGCCATTCGTCGGTAATTTTTTGTTTTGTTGTAAAGATACCATCCCCGGATAGTCGTCGGCGGTCGGTGTGCATTTTCTGCCAGGAACCTGAGTGCCGCCATCCGAGACCCTCGCACGGCTCCAATGATCGTCCCCACCGCCGCCGCAGAGACAGGCAGTATGAAGTAACGCGACTGGACAATTGGAGTCACATCGTAGGCGCCCCTTGTGCGTGCATCGTCGTCGTCGGAAGTCATGTGGGTTTGTACAGTGATCGTAGGTCGAGACTGGCAGTGGCGAGTGTTCTCGACGATACACCACGTAAATGTCACACCATCCGTACAGTACATTTTACAGTACCAGAACGCGCTCCTATAGGCAAGTAGAAAGACAAGTCCTACAAGCGAGATTTGATGCCCGCTTTCTCAAATACAATCGCTTCTTTCTGCCTGAGCTCCTGAGCACGTTTCCGCAGTCCATTGGCACGTCGAAGCTCTCGCTGTCCCACTTGCTGTATGTGTACCTGAATATGAATAAAATGTAATGAAAATGCCTGAGCTCGCAGCCACAGGTGGCTTACCGCATCAGGACCCTGAAACACCGTCAATATGAAAGAATGGTCAGAGGAAGGATCAATAAACCACCACATACATCGGCCATTCGAAGCGTCCGAAGCTGCGCGTACATATTAGCCAGTTCCTGGTCTTGACTTAATCCCTCAGCCCCAAATGCCTGCATCGCACGGTCGACAACCGTGCAGGCCATTTGGGGAACCACGAACTTTGCAAATTAAATTGTCCAGCTACATTCCCCCCATTTCAAAACCAAGTGTTCGACCAACCTTGGCAATGCCAATTTCTTTCAACGCGCCTTTGGCTTTGTATTTGTCGATCTGAGATCACATTGTGCTCATCTTAAAAATGGATCTGGAACTTTTGCAGAATCACTTACCTGGAGTGCTGCACTCAATACCAGCAATCGAGCACCCTCAATCTCGGCTCGGGACTTGGCTATTTCTGCCACAACAGTGCCTATCGTCAGTACACAGGTGACCAATTTAGTCCCCGGCTCGACGACGACGTGAAATGAATCGTACCGTGCTCGTACAAGTACTTTCCGAACGTTTTCCTCGTGGGATCAGTCACCCGCTGGATCATCAGGTCCAGAGCGTAGGAAGCTACACCTATGGAACGCATGCAGTGATGAATGCGTCCAGGCCTACCGACGCAAAGGTCTCGAGTCAGATTGGAAAGAGAAAGCAGGGTACTGACCCCAGTCGCCCTTGAATGATCTGCGGCGAGCCCCTCAGCAAATACATACACGTCAACTAAATCGAACCCACCTCGAATCCCTTCCCCCAGCCTAACACCAGATTCGAAAGCGGAACTCTCACATCATCGTAGATTATTTCGCAATGTCCTTCTGGAGCGTCGTCGTAGCCGAATACCTCCATAGGACGAACGATCCGCACCCCGGGAGTGTCTGCAGGTACGATCACGATGCTGTGCTGTATGTAATTGTCCTGGTTGTCCGGGTCGCTTTTGCCCAAGACGAGATGAAGTCGCGTTCGGGGGTCCCCAGCACCCGATATCCACCTGCGTGATTTTCCAAAAAAAAAAAAAAAACAAAAGAAACATTGAATCAGAGGGGAGGCGTCCAAGGATGGCGTAAAGAGAACCGGGCAGACCATTTGTGTCCGTTGATGATAATATCGCTGCCTTCTCTACGAATAGTTGTTTTGATATTCCGTGCATCGGAGGAAGATACTGAATGGCCGGGACGTGTCAGCTTGAACAACCCCCTGTTAAGAATCGGGTGGACGACTCAACCGAAGCGCTCAGTCATGGCAAACGCAGAACGTATCTCGCCATTTAGGAGTGGGATCAGCCACTTCTTTTGCTGGTCAGGCGAACCATACCGAGCGAGCACCTCTGTCAGCGATAGTCGGAATTGTAGTATGAAGAATATCAACTATGGTACGCACCCATGTTCCCCGTGTCCGGCGCAGAACAATTTACAACTTCAGAAGCTATATGCCCTCCCCGCCCAAGTATCTCAGCCATGACCGCATACTGCGACGTTGCTGCTTCGAATCACCAGACTCGCAAGATATACAGAGGAATCCCATACCTCAAGGTTGGACAACAGTACGCCATGTTCAGGATAATGCGCCCTGCTCAGGAACAGGTTCCATAAGCCGAGTTTGCGCGCTTTCACCTTGAGTTCCTCGACCACAGGTATAACCGTGTTCCATCGCTGGATAGGGTCTTTAGGGATCTGGGCGTGCGCTAACCGGACGGAGGGGTAAACATCGTCCTGCCAAGGTGGTAATCAACAGTTAGGGGAAATTGTGCGGGGAGCACGATATGAAGACGGTGTACCTGAAGAAAAGCGACGAGCTTTGCAAGGGTCTCCTTCCCATATGGAGTGAACTTGTCCTCGACCTGCACAGGGGAGGTTGACTGGTCCGCGTCACTGCGGCACAACGAGGATACGTACGAAATTCCACGAAGCTTCTGAAGTAAGCTCTACAACGGGGTGCTTGGCCATCATGGGTGCTGTGGTGTCGCGTGGAGAGCAGTGTTAAGTGGTTGGCTGAGACGGCCATCATGCATCATCACCGGCTATGCTTCCTGAATTACCGGAAACCCAATCACAGGATGACAGGCAGGCAAGGTGCATCAATTGTTTCAAACGAGTAACTACGTGGGTTGGTAAGGTAACTGCGGAGCAACGAAAATGTGCGGCGGTACGTGAGTGGTGATACAAGCAATGTCTCGAAGGAAGGGTACAGCAGGAAAAAAAAGTTGCAGAGAGAACTGCGCATCCCACAAGGGATACGTCACTAAGGACTAGTAAGAAAGTATTGAAAGGTCATTGAAGGCGAGAACGTAACACTACGAGGAACGCATTAGTGATGAATATCGAGAAGAAGACTGGTTGTAAGGTAAGTCCAAACCCCTCGGTGTGGATCTGCATATATGGATACAAGTGTTGTCTTAGGTGCAGTTGTGAGCCATACAGCAGCAGTTTGACACAGGGAGGTGAATTAAAAGCCCAGAGAAATCGGGCTAGATATTCACCGATGGGACTCGGGCGGGGACTGCTGCTGTCCCTCGTGAAGTTCTGCTGAGTTCTCCATGAGTGTGAATGGCAAATCCGGGTCAAGGCCGAACGAACGTGCGTCGAACGTCTGCCATAATGAATCCTGATCCCCCACGAGAGAGTACCCATTCGAATTGTAGTTGCGGATATAGTCCAACCCGAGGAAAGGTAGTCCGGGTCCAGGGAATGAAGAAGTTGGGGGCGTAGTGGATAGGGTTGAATAACCCATGTCAGAACCACCATACCATGACGGGCCCATGCCCTGATGTTCGTACGTTGCGTATGGCAATGAACTACCCTGGCTGGCAGATTGATACACGTCAGCGTTATGAGGTTCGCCAGAACCCACGTCCCATTGATGTGAGCTCGAAGACACCAGAGGACTTTGGTGCATCCCATAGTCATACGGCGAAGAAACGTGGAGTGGCGAAAGGGGTGCACCTGGATAGCTGTAAGGCGATGCACCCATCATCCGAGGACTTCCGTCCTGGAGTTGTGATGCCTCTATTGCAGACGTTGAGGGTGAAGGTAGGTTAACCGAAGCAGGGGAACTATGGGGACTCGACTTGGCCCCCCCGGACTGCGGGCTCGAGTAGGCGTTTGGGTAGCACGCCAGACTGTTCGACCCCGCAAGACCCTCGCTCTCATCATGGCCCCGCTTGCGCGACGTCGAACGATTGCGCTGCGCTGCGGCCCATGAAATATCAGCAAGAATCATTAACGAGGGCGTGTCAGGCTTACAGTCAACACGATATGGCGAGGACATCGGGGGGCGTCGGGTCGAGTTGGGATCCCGTGAGCGACTAATTCTCCTAGGCTTCGTCTTAATTGGGCGACTGACTGTCGGTACAGGCGCAGAAGATGAGACAACGAGAGATCGCCGGCGCTCGAGCATTGCGGGGGAGACATTCTGCGCGATAGCTACCTCCTGAGCTCGTCGATCTTCGCCATTGGCCTTCCTCATAGCATCGTCGGCAATATTTGTCAGTTCTGTAAGCAATTCCTTGCATTTGCGGGCACCGGGCCAATGTCCTTCCCAGGATTCTATTGTAGGAAGACAAGTCTTTGCTTCCTCCATTGCCGCTGCCGCGGCCGTTGTGTCGGGAGCGTGCATGGCATATAGAAGGATGATGACAGCTGAACTGAAGAGGTGTTGGGTGAAAAAAGCGAGATGGTGAGAAAGAGGAACGGCATTGTTAAACGACGGGGCAAGCCGGATGCAAGAGCGTGCTGACGATACGGCTTTAGCGACGGAATGAGGTGCTATTGATTGATCTTGATCCCGTTTGACAGGCAGGAAATTGCGGTGGAGGGTCGTGAGCACAGAATAGTAATGGCTACACAAGACAGCCGTCATAGAAACATGTTTCTCAGTGGGGGCTTCGTTCTTGAATGCAACAGGTAACTCTTGACACCACTTGCTAAGTTCAAGGTCGAGAGTCTCAACCGACCGCTGCAGTTCCGCCCGCGTTTCCGGTTCCAGACCTTCCTTACAATTGTCGATCGAATACACTTGTCGGAGAACTCTACCAGCTATCTGGTAGAGGGTCGCAAGAGCTATGGTGCCTGACACGAGTGTCGGATGTTTCTGAGACACGTTAACTCCGCTAAAATATTCCGGCAGATATTCATCGTCAACGTCAGCAGGAAGTTCGACATCGCAGTCGGAGTCCTCGACGCCCAGGGGTCTGCCCAATGCGAGGGCAAGCATGCGATCTAGACAATAAACGATCCACCATATCTTGCGGCGGGTCTCTTTGTCGACAGCTGGAATCAAAAGACGTCGAGGGGAGCGCTAGGAGACACGTCAATAACGAAATGGAAAGATATATGTGGCGTCTTACGTGTAAACCGAGGTCTTGTGCAGTACGTACCGCCTGACCAACAAGGATCCAAGCTTGTGGCAGGCAGTTAATGGAGCACAAAAAGGAAGACATGAGAATGAAGCTTTGGACGTGGGAGATTTGAATCGAATTGTGGCTAATGTAGTGCAAAACCAACGCCCTAGTACATAACAAGTGTAAGTTTTACTAGACTCACCACTTACTAGGGGAAGTTAATCTCACCTTTCATAGTAGACCATACCCATGCCGCCATCATCGGGGTTGTCTGAGGATAACCGCGGGTCATCAACCAGCTTGGCAGAGCATGCGAATACGGCAAAAACGACAGATGTAAAAGCCGCCTCAGTTCGGATAAAGTTAGTATCGCCCCGCCGCTGCATTAACTTCTTATATCGAGTCATGAAAGACGGTTTGTCGAGTACCGGCATCAAAAAATGCAAGCGCTGGAAGTACGCGTCGACCTACATGTCCGCGGAAATCAGAGGGGAACGTCACTCCAAATCATGAAAAAGACTCGCCAGCTTATCGCATAAATCTTCTTCCGGATACTCTACCTCTTCAGGGCCGGGAAGGGCGTGTATTTTCCCAAAGAAGACAGCTGCTGGGAAATACAGTTTATTTACGTTGGGGCCCGGTGCTTGTGGGTCATCTTCTGTCGGAGACACACGTTGAAGAGGGTTACTCGTGAGAGCACGGAAAGACTGGATGAGTGACATAGTTGAGGAACCGCCTATCCAACGCATGTGACCATGTTCGTCGAGAGCGAGTTGCCCAAACGATTCAGAGACATCGTCTTCCACCTTGATACCCGAAGATTCTGGGGAGGCACTGCTATCAGTGCGGGTATCGGCGGCAACCTTAGATGAGAGTGCTTGCAGTACGGACTTGGCTTGTTGAGGATCCTCTTTTGAAATGCCAGTGGCAGAAGCCTGTCCTGAGGAGGAAGGGAGATTTAGGGAAGGACCCAACTGCTCGAGGATGGGTGTTATCTGAGTGAACAGCGATTCCATGTGCAAGAGACGGGCTTCCAGCTCCTGTACATAACTACAGAAGGGGTAAGATGGAGAAGTGAAGGATTGAAAGGATGACCTACTGTCGACTCAAAGCCGCCCTGTCCTTGGTCTGCAACCATGTGCACTGAGAGCCTGAGGACTGGCACTGAGCACAGGTGGGCTCACAACCGTCGCACTTGATCTTCTTGCGTCTACAATAGATGGGGTAAGTACAGTCGGTGAGACACTCTGCTGAAGCGATGCGAAGAGTGGAGACTGACCTGCAGCTTTCACATGCCCGCCAAACTCTCCTACGCTGCAGTTGTATTGGTTTGGTACCAGCATCGGCGGGGAGGTTGTCTTCGTCGATGCGTTTCTTCTTTGACTGGTGCGTCATTGAATAATAGTCGCCTTGGTGTACGATAAATCGAGTGTCGGGAGAGGCGTGCGCTCGCTGGGCCTGCGAGTGGCTTTGTTGTCGAATGACCTCGAGATATCGTCGGAGGGCAATCGGGTCGGCCCGATATAAGGGGTGACTCAGCGTGTCCATTTTGGGATACCTTTTCCCACACGTCAGTCAGCCTGCAGTCCACAGCCACGGCGTACACGCACCTCTCGGTGTCTGCGGGAACACAGAAACAAGCTGAGGTATGTCTGGGGAACAGACTAGTGATACCAACATTCCCTCTCCCCTTTTATACCGGCTGCAGCGGAAATGAACTTCATAAAGCGATTTCCTGTGACAAGTCGAGTGGTTAACAGTTATCCGAATGTGCAATGTCTTCCGGACCCCCATGTCACCCGATTCCGTGGAGAACACTCTCAGGCCCGAAACAGCCCATCATAGCCCCTTACTATTACAGGTGGGTGGCCTTCCCCTCGTTATTTGTCAAATGTAAGCGAGTGAGGCATTGCTCGCCTGACTAATTATGAACGCCGATGACAGACTCACCTTGTGCGTTTCTCGTTTCTTCTCGATCACGATGCGTTGCTTTCCTTGCTAAAATTTCTTTCCCTCTCCACCTTTTTGTTTGGCAGCAGGTTTTTTTTCCAATTGTGTCTTCCGTTATATTTCGTCTCCCCGGCAACATATCGGATACGGTTAGGCACATGCTCTTGCGCCTTGTATTAAGGGACTAGTGCTGCGTACTATCCTTTTTCTCTTGGACACAAGCGTGTGGAGACAGTGGCTCAACCATGACTTATGACCACTCCGGACACCGCCCGTCGCCGAGCGCAAACAATGATCGTTACCTCGACTTCTCCCTTTCTGTCCAAAACTTGATTGTGACATGTCTAGCCACGGCTAAAATGCAATGGAAGAGAGGCTGGAAGAAATAAGCAATATATATGTCATCCCCCACTAGATTGTCCTTCCATCACAATGAATGTCATTGGTTCTGTCAGGTCTCGCCACTTGATCGCCAGGGCCCATCATTGATGGCTTGACAGGAATGGCTCCAGGCCGAGAGCAGACTGGGGACTGTAGTACACAGACGGCCTACTCTTACGATAAGAAATAGGTGCTGTCATAAGAATTCCACTTCCTTGGGACTAGGGTCAACACGAGTCATAAAAGATAGCGAATATATTGCCTGGTCAGTGGTTCCATCCTAGTTGCCCGCGTTTCACGCCCATTTTTGCTACCCCACGCGTGCGGTCATTTTCTATGCGCCTTATCGTCAACGTTATGCCCCTCCTAACGCCCTACATGTACCCAAAAACTGCTCTCCGTTCTTCTGGATGATCAAATGTAGCCTTTCAAGATCTGCACACCGCGATAAAATACACCACACATGGACAGCTCGAACCCTCCGTTCACCCTACCCCGACGTTTACGGTTAGAAGCAAATGTAAATGTAGGGAACTGGCGTGACCTCGCGGTACATGTCAGCCCTCAGATAGGTCTGGTATGATCTGGTAGAGCAAGCTGTAGGTAACCCATGGTACGTGAACTATTTCCAGCATGTCACCCCGATGCATTCCATGGCGCTGCCCAAAAGAGGTATCGCAATGCCGTTAGGTTGTTATGCACTGGAAGGAGAAGCATATTATTAGATGAATAGAAAAATAGTCCTGACACTCATAAATGAGAATCCAATACGGGAACCCATGCGATTGCGGAAGTCGCAATAGGTGGCCAATAGACCAAGCAGCGAGTTGAAGACTATGAGTTCTGGGCGCCCAGAAACGCTGGTTATAGAGGTCCTCGGAGTTAAAGATACCCTTCCAGACAGACCTCTGATAGAAACACTGAAAACACAGGGCGTCACCCTGCAAGCACATGTTTCGACCCAATTGACTGGGCCCGCCCTAGTTCCAGTCATGACTTGTGAGAGCTAATCGGCAGCGTCCGATAGTTTAACAGGACAAAAAAGAGAATGCCGGTTAGTGGTGGAAAGTACTTCGCGAGCTCGTCACAGAAGCCTTGCCAATCCTTTCCTGTGAGGCTGTAGTGGAATCCGGGTGGCAGCTTGAGACACCTCGTTTTTTGCGAGTTACTACGTGGCGCCCGTGCGTCACCGCTGTTCTGCGTCAAAGCCTCATTCTTGACATCTGCGGAGTAGGCAAACGTAGTGGCGCATCGCGAGACACCAATATTCCACAGGTAAGGGGGCTGAGCATTGTCACTGCAAGTTAATTCAAAAAGCCATGTGCCGCAGCCACGCTGCGAGACACGTTGGCGGAACGCGAGACAACGTGTTCCTCCGGCTCACCATACCTTCCAAATTCGATGGTGGGGTATTCAAGAACAATACCTAAAACATTCTGAATCTCGGTGAGGTGACATCGCGGCTAGCAGTAGAGGGCGAGAGTCGGAAGCGAAGGACCCAGAATTGGTTAGTACAGCGGCCATCTCGAGTGACTTCTATGAGTGGGACACAAGTAGTGGTCGTGGTTGGGATCAAGGTATATCAGTACCCCAATTATTCACAACTCGAGTAGAGACATAAAGGGTGTGACGTGTCAAACTGGTTTCAATTTCAGTTACCTCGTATGTTGGTTGGTTCGCCACATGCTGTAGTTTCTGGAAGACGAATGGAAGCATTACAATTGATCGTCGTTAGCTGTTGTCGCAGCTCGGCGACGAGCCCCCTAGAGAGTTTGTGTATACTTGTTTACACCACAAGCACGGTTCAAAACTTTTGTCTCTGCCACTGCTAACAGTACTCGCAAAACATGGCCGACGTTGGCGCTACGCAGGCACCGCTGAACGACAGTACGGACCCCACGTTCGATGATGCAGAGGAGGCAGAGTCCAAGGTTCTGCTTCAGTTGCCTACTGTGTCACTGGAACACTAAACAATTCAAACATGTGCGCTCAGGAAATCCAACTCATGAAACTGCGCGTGGAGGAAATGGAACGGGAGGCCAAGAAGCTGCGAGAACTGCAGGCCGCAGCGGAGTCGGTTAGCTCTGGGGCGGGTGGATCTGACCAGGGTGTTCCGATGGAAACCGAGGAAGATAGGGCCATTGCAGACAGTCGGAGTATCTTCGTGGGCAATGTGCGTTTTTGACAGGGCTCGTTTGATCTATTCTTTTGGGCCTTCTCTGAATATCATGATCAGGTGGACTATGGCGCAACGCCGGAAGAAATTCAGGGTCATTTCCAAGCATGTGGAACCATCAATCGAGTAACAATACTCTGCGACAAGTTTACTGGGCACCCCAAAGGGTACGGATAATCCCCTATTTCAGCATGTTCTTCTTTTTCTTGTTTTGACAAGAGTTCCATTCTATCCTGTAGGTACGCTTATGTTGAGTTCGCAGAACCCGATTTCATAGACGCTGCATTAGCAATGGATAACTCACTATTCCGTGGACGGCTAATAAAAGTGCGCTTTTCTGATGCTTCAGGGATTTGCCGTGCAGCCTCACCACGTTTTTTTTTCTCACTATAGGTTACAGCAAAGCGCACTAATGTCCCGGGTTTCAACCGGGGACGTGGCCGAGGAGTTCCCCGGGGTGGATACCGAGGTGGATACAGAGGGGGGCATAGAGGTGGCTATGGGTACAGCCCCTATCGTGCACGTGGCAGGTGAGTGTCAATATCGTGCTCAGGCAACATGTAAACGTGTGCTCATTTTCCGGGTTCGGAATAAATGCTACAGGGGGCGGGGACGCGGGTTTTGATGCAAAAGGTGGACGGCAACAAGCAATATGTCATATCCCGGGCCAAAGTACTGGCATTTCTGCAATTGCTGGCCGCTACATTGTTCCATGGCGAACTGCTATGTGTTTGATCGTGTCTCTGCCGTGTATCATGCAAAGTAGATTATAATGTTGTCTACCACTCGATATTTGGACTGCCACTCTCCGAGACCGGGCCGTCGGAACTTTTTTATGATGAGCTGACGGATACCACGTGACGCGCTTTGTCATTCACCGTCCAACTCCACGTCGGCGACGGTCAGGATAAAGGCCCGGCTACGGACTTGACGAGCTTGACGGGGTGGCACACGCTCACTGCGCTCCGACGTCGAGAGTGGACTGAAATTTTCTGGTGCGTTCTCGTGTTCCCGGCACCACTGACCGAAAACCCTGTAGTTGGCACACTCGGCATCACCCTCTACCGATCCTCGCGAAATGTTTCGAGGTGGGCAGTGGACGCGTGCCAGGATCTTACGATGAAAGATTCACACGGGGAGCATAGCAGAGCTCGCAGGAGATTTCGCAGCAGGCACCAAATCTCCGCCCACAGTCATAATGACGTTCGCCTGCACCGCACATGACGCCAGTGGGTCCTGCCTCGCCTTCAGGGGGGACAAACTCCACGTCATCTGTGTAAGGAAATGAGACCGGTGTCGTTAGAGCAAGGGCCAATTGGAGTACGCGAACGGCGTTTTGGTGCAGAGTCGATCCAAAATGGCCCATGTGATGGATATAGGAGAGGGTAGGCGAGAATCAAGCATGTCGCTCGACGACTCGGTGTGTTTAGTTATTGATACCATATTGGTCCATCAGTTCGACTTCTCCATAAATTTATGTGGGCCTGTGTGGTGCAGAAGGAGGATGGGAAGTCGGACTGCAGGTAAATCCGGCGAAAAAGGACCCTGTATTTGAGGTTTGTTCTTAAAAGTCTTCTGACAACACTCTCAAGTTCTTTCCCCCGACCCCTCTGGAGGTGAAACAAGTTCATTTACGCCTCAGATAACATAGAATACGACGTCCGCGGGGACCTGTGTGAAGGAAGAGTTTTTAACGCTTTGGACGCACCGATATGCAATTTATGTCGCAGATGCTAATTTGCCAAGCACGTTGCACCTAATCGAGATGCTTGGAAGAGAGCTACGATGCGATTTTTGCTCAGCGAGCGGTTTCGATACAGTCCCTAACTTCGGGCGAGGACATTTGCAACTTCGTCGCCTGACGCAGAGTGAGTTGCTTTGTGGTTCGGAGTGACTGAGTAGGTAGTGTTCGTACTCGCCTCCCTACCCTTGCTCGACCGCTTTGTGGTTGGCGCGAAGCTTCAGTCACGCTGATAGGCTCAGAAGGTGGTCACCTATCAAACGATGCCCCAAGAGCGTTCTACCCTTGGTGCTTGAGTGGGACTTGAAGGAATCAAATGGTCTACAAGACGGGAGGAACTCCAGCCACCTCGAGTTCTCGTTGGGTGGTTTGATAGCAACGCTTGCATAGTCCTTGAGCTGACTTTCATATTCATGTAATGCGCGCAATGTCTCCGTGCGAGGATGCTGGCCATACGAGTGGTGACCGTTGACCACTCCAGGCTTCGAGATTTAGCAGCAGAGACAGGGTTTTACGCTTGGCCAACACTTTGTCTGAATATGTTTCCTATCACTAAATGCTTGGAGGATGCGAGGGCCTCAGGGGAGTTGTGCACCAAATCCGGCTATTCCCAACTCAGTGCCTTTTGCTTAGTCATCGTCACGCTTTCCTTACAGACAATATTGCCAGGAGCCACTTGTCATGACTTCAAGGGTGTTCAAGCTAGGTGACGAGGCTGGCGTCATCGAAAGCCGGTCCACTCGAGTACCCTTTCTCGAAAAATGCCTTGCTCCCGGCCCCCCTTGCGGTGCCGTCAGACCGCGCCGATGCGCTACGGAAAGGAAGAGGCTTGATGTTCTTCCTTCAGCAGAACCTCCCGGAACCCAAAAAACGACAGTGGCTACAGACTCTCTTCTCCCGGCAGCATCCACAACGCCTTTTACCTGGTTCTGCGCTTACCGTTACACTGGAACACGCCCCTGGAATCTTCTCGGGTGTACTGATGTCGGTGCGGCGACGCGGACCTGACACGTCCTTTGTTCTGCGGAATGTGGTCCAACGGACGGGAGTGGAGATGCAATTTTTCGTCAACTCGCCTCATCTGAAGGATATTAGAGTCATCCAGCGAGCTGGTGGGGGGCCGGGCAAAGAGGGCAGGAGGCAGAGACGCGCGAAGCTGTTCTTCCTCCGAGATTCTCCCTCCAAAATGAGTGCGATCTCCGCAGGGCTTAAAGGCTAGCCATGTAAGTGGATCTTCGCTGGTGATATCTTCGTATTCAGCTTGGTCGACACAGACACCCTTTCAAAGCATGCCTGGGCGGCGGTTGGTTGCTGGACTGAGAGGCGTTGTGTACTACGTACGAGGATACTACAATGTTATTAGATCGGTCTTACGGTGGTAGTAGTAATGGGACGAGCCTCTGACTGACCATATTGGGACCGACGTCAACGTGACCACGCAGGCAGACACAGAGCGCTGCGTTCACCCTGTCTTTCTCGGCTTCTCCGCTGCCAAGTGCTTGCTTGCTTCGACACCAACTGGCCTCGTCGTCCTGGAATGCCTCGCAAGCCTCGTTCTTTGCGCAATCTGACGTTGTCACCAAAGCGCTCTTCACCTCCACGTTCCCCTTCACCCACGTTTACAGAAGTTACTCGTGCCTCCGACATGAATTTTGGCGCAGACGGCCCAGAAAAGATTATTACCCGCTCAAACCTCAAAACGAGCTTACAAGCTTATGATGAGGTGTGTCACCTAAGGCCTCACCCACGGGCCGTGCTGATGCATCGAGTTTTGTGCAGCTTATGACTTCCAGTGCGAATTATCGTGCTGCACTGCTGCACATGTCCAAAGTCACCGCAGCTTTTGCAGATGCTATCGAAAAGTGCGCAGGGTGCGTTTCCAACGTCCATTTCCGACGCACGTATTGCAAACAGTGCTTGCCAGTCTCAAGGGACCGTCTTACGAAGCCAGCACACGGCTTCAGGCTGCTTCAGGGTTGCACCACCTCGTTGGAAACCACTGGCATGTCCTGGTCCGCAGTATTTCCTCTGTGCGATTGTCCCCTCTCACGTACGACCCCCGTACAGGCAGAGACCCTCGACAAGAATTTCGAGAAGCCCCTCCGTCAGCATTTGGACACTTATCGGACCATAGTCCATGTACGTGCGTTCCCACAGTTAATGCCCTGGTTTCTGAACAGTTCGTTCCCACCTACAGGAACGCTCTGCATCGTATGAGAAAGCTCTTCGAGAAAAGAGCAATATTATCCGCCAGACTGAAATGAGCAATTTGAATAGGAAGCAACGTAGTAAGAACATTCTCTCACCAGTTAGACCCTCGGAACCAAGTATTCTTTTCAGACCTTCAAAGTTTCAGAGAAGCATTGACGGTCCTTCAACAGCAAGTCAATGAACTTGACGCCTTGAAATCACAGCACTACCAAGAAATTATGGAACACGAAGAAGAAGTCTGGGATGTAGTCCAAGCGAAGGTAAGATCAACGTTGCGGCTGTGCCCTCAGCTCTCCAACTCTATTAGGTGTGCGTTGCAGTGCGCTCTACGATGGACGTATTTGATCGGTTTACGGCAAAAGCGTATGTCTACTGCGCACCAATTGCACCGTCACAATTGACTCACCCCTCGAACCTTAACTTAGTTCCGATCCCGTTTTGGAGCATATGCTTCAGTCGGTCCCAGATCCCTTCGATTCGTATGGGCCTCCCCAAGCGGAGGACCAAATATTCACCATACTCCCTCCACTTGCTGTTATTGCCAACACGCCCTCGCCTTCGGCAACACCGCTAACGACTACTCCCCCTGGTGCGGAGGCTCAACCAAGCCACTCTAACAGTTCTTGGACCGCTCCAGGGACGTTCTTTCCAACTCCATCATCAGAGTGGGCAGACACTCCGCCCCCGTTCTCCGACTTTGCGCGTTCACCTTCACCTTCCTCCCTGAAGCGCCGACAATCACACCCCTCGACGGCAAAAGGTCAGTCACGCAAGGCAGACTCAAAGCTGCGTAGTGTCGTCGCTCTTGTCGACGAAACGGATATACGGCATCCGCCGGACGCGTCGGAGGTTGAAGGTGCAAGACCGCAATCCGATTCATGTAGAGAAGAACCACCGCCTGAGCACGATGTATGGGCCGTTTCGGGCACCAGTAATGCATCATATGACTCCGGATATTCTGCAAGTGGAGAGACAACGCCCCGTCGTTCAACGCTATCGATAACTTCTCTTGATACGTACACTGATGCAGAGAGAAGTCTGACTTCCGATGATCAACCTGATCATACCGTACAGCTCGTGACTTGAGCACCTTCGCAGCTTCTAGTTCGTTTGTTTTTATTCCTTCCTTCGATTGCTTTAGGCCAGCAAGGCAATGTAAAGTAACATTTACCCAATCTATTATCACTCAGGATCGTGCGACTGAATACACTACGTCCTACGGACAGGTTGGATACCATATTGACGAAGAATATCAGACACGACAACTGCCGGGCTTTTGAAAAGCGGGTCCGTGCCTGCACCGGTTTTGGGGAATGCGATAACGTCTCGAATAGATGGGGTCTTGCAGAGAATCGACATCAACCGATCAAATCCTGTCCCCCGCGGGGACACGTGGGAACATGTTATCAAGGTACTCCCTACTGCGCGCGACCATACATACCTATCGCAATTCCACCATGGGGCGGCGCACCACATCTGAGGGCATGTAAGAGGTGCTCGAAAGTGGCCTTCTCTGAATCTGTCAACTACCGGTCGACGTCTAAGAGGAATGCAGGTACAGAGTGTGCGGCAAGCCATCGTACCTGCAGCACCTGGGTGAAGATGTAATCTTGCATGGCAGCATCATGAACTCTGACAGATCCTCCTCCAATTTCGACGCCATTTAGTACCAGGTCATAATGTTGTCCACGAACCTAGCACAATGCGCTGGCATCAGGTACACAGGTGACATAAGACAAATGCAGACCTGGCTTATGCGCCCAGCGTACATAGCTTCAATGTCTTGCCACATGGGGGCTGTAAAAGGATGATGCGTGCTGCTCCACCTTCCATGTGCTAGGAAATTTTTATCGGGGTCCGCTCTGGTAAACAAGGGAAATTCGGTAACCCATAAGAAGTGTGGAGTAGCGGGAGGGATATAATCCCCTGCGACATTGTTACGTAGCGGCGTTAGATGTGCACCAAATGGACGCACCTAGCTTCTCCGCGATCTCGGCAAGTTGGATTCGAATACGACCCAGCGCCGTAGAGCCACCCTGCAACACACGTGAGTGATCGGGTGACACGAAATATGTGGAATGCACCTCTATTCTCGAACGGCGCTGTGATATCCGGATACAGTCACCTGGCCGCACTCCTAGTGCCTGGTTGATTGCTGCGTACTTCTCGGCCGCCAATGGTATTTCGAATGATACGACTCTGGAATTGTCTAGCCAGTTGACTTCATTCTCCGTGGTGATAGTAATGCGATCCTACCAGTTGGGATTAGGTTGGCGTTGCATGGAAGAACAGATGAACCTACTACGCCAAGCTCATTTAATTTGCTTTCGTTCGCTCTGAGGAATGCCTGGCAGTCAAGTCGGCGGATTACCAGGGCTTCCAATGTGACTCCTAGGCCTTCCAGCCGTCCGCGGTACTGATCCGGAAGTAATGAAGAGACATTGACGATCTGTATCCCCCAAAAAGGAAGGTGAAGAACGCGCGGAGAAGATGTACAAACACAAACCTTCAACGGGAATCGAGTGTCAGGTTTGTCTGATCCATACTAGGCACGAATTAGTCTACCGGATGATTGGCGAGCGACGAGCAACTGACGGATGACATGGCTTCCGCGTAAGTCATAACGTCGAACGAGCTTGGCAGGGTCACACCCTCGACTTGTTGCCATACGTTACGGATGAGAGACTCTACTACCGTGCGTACCTCGTGACCACCGATCTGCCAGTTGTCTATTTGGGACTCGGTTTTATGCCGGGGTGGTCCCCAAGAGACGTATGCCATTTCGAGATCGATTTGAGTGAACTCGGGTTGGCGATCCTTGCGACTGTCCTCGTCTCTGAAGCATTTGGCAATCTGGAAATACTTGTCAATGGCTCCAGAGCAAATGAGTAATTGCTTTGGTTGCTGTGGTGATTGGGGAAGGGAATAGAATAGAGGGTGCGTGTGTGCTTCACTGGTGGATCGGCCGACCCTACTAGGGACAAGAAATTCTCTAGCCCCTTCGGGGGACGATTTGAGCAGCAGTGGAGTCTCGACTTCCAGGAAGTCTGACCGATGGATGTTAGGGTTCCCGTTGTAGCATGACATGCGACATACACACACCCTCGTGATGCAGGGTGTCACGGATTATGCGAGAGACTATACTTCTCTTCTTGATGTTGTTGGTCAGGGTGGCCCTGCGTAGATCAAGATGGCGGAATTGGGCCCTCAACTCTTCGTTTACCTACAATTGTGTCTCCATCGGCGAAGGAAAAGGCGTGCGGTTGGATGATAACTAACCAAGCAGTGCTCATCCGACGGGACGAAGGGCAGATTACGATCCGCTGGATTCAAGAGGACGAAATTGGACACCTCGACCTCGACGTCCCCGGTACCATCCTTACGAGAACATGTCAGGGCCAAGTCTAGAACACACCACGCGAGGCTAGGGTGACGACAATACTGACATCTCGTCGCGAACTTTGAGGTCTCACGCGTACTTCACCCTCGATCAAAACGGTTGATTCGACGGGGATGTCTGACAGCGCGGCTAAATGGTCACCAGCACATGAGTCGCGTTTGCGACGCACGACGAGCTGGGTGACTCCATGTGAGTCCTTGATAGGAAAGAAGGACATTGCTTTGGAGACTTTGCTTGATATGGTAAAACGTGAGTGATTGAGTGATTTGGACAGCAGAACGAATGGGGCAGGGAAGTACCGTTCCGGGAGCAACCAGCCCGCGAGGACGACACGATCGCCCGCATGGTCAGCAGAGAGCTCGCCACAGGTGTGTGTGCGAGATGGATATGGTGCTGGCAAGACAAGGTTAGATTTGCGGGGAGAACGCATGAAGCCACCAACCAGAATGAGCGACGAGGCGCTTCACAGTGGAGAATGCTCGACGCATGGGTGAGAGGGAATGGCAATTACATAATATCCGGGATATATAATAATTAAATTATATTTTGTTTTGTCTCCATCACACTGGCTGGCCACGGATTTGCTCGGTGCTCGGTTGACCCTGGCCCACTTTGCTCTGTTTCCCTTCACACGCGGGCATCAATCCCGAAAAATAAAATAAAATAAAATAAAATATCAGGCCGTTGGGAAAGTATATAAGGACCCGTGTACCGTTCGCCCCTACACTAATACACAAGTGCCATGTCTCTCCAAGGCCTCCCTATCGAACTGGTGCACATCATCGCTCAGGACCTCGACATCCACACCCTCGCAGCTCTTGCCCAGACTTGCTCTTCCTTTTGTCTGGTGGCACAGTCCCTGCTCTATCGGCGCATCTCTGTTTCTGCGTGGTCTCGCAACCTATCCGTCGTGCCGCTCCTCGCCAAAAGACCCGACATCGCACGCCACGTCCGGTCATTCTATATTGCCGTAGACTCTCCCCCCACAGTCTTTTCTGCTTATTACGGCCTTCTAGCAAAGGCCATCCAAAATATGTCCGAGTTGACGTCCCTTAATCTTCTTGTGGATTCGGGCGTCAGCTGGGTTCTCAAGGAAGCATGTACCCACACATCGTACCCGTACCTAACGCATTTTACGTGCTCTTTCCCATTCGACGAAAACGTCATCCAATTCCTCGGAAAAACTCCCTCCCTCCTCGAACTGGAGGCAGATTCTATACCCTCTACCTTCGCACTCAATCCACTCGGCGCCTCTCTCCCCCCGACCACCATTCCACTTCTAGAACATTTTATTGGATCACCCAGGACAGCCCGAGCACTTGTCCCCGGCCGGCCAATAAAGAGTTTGCACCTCAATGGCAGTGCTCTGACAGAAGACGACATCGTGCTGCTGGCACGGGCGACCTCCCCCGTTGTGGTCTTGGGTGCAGCGATAAACTCCTCTCCCGTACCCTTTTTGGAGCATCTACACCGGTATCTACCGCATCTCGCTTACCTAAGAATCATGACTATGCAGACCATGCACGAACCCCCTGCTCCTGTGAGTATCTCGATCGCGACGTTTCAGGCCAGTGTTTCAAAATCAGTCCATCTAATTGTTTCAATTCAGGAATTCTACGAACAAGTCGCTGACGTACTCGCTTCATTTCCGGAGCTTAGTGCATTCGAACTCTCCGGCATGCATTGGGGTTCACAACAAAAACGTGGTGATGGCTCGAAAAGGGTGTGGCAATCATCGCCCCTGTCCACCATGACTCAACTAGATGATAATATATTACTCGAAACACATAATTTTTCTTTCTACTGATAATTTCCATGTAGACGTCCCTGTTGTATGTTTGTCCAAGGTCTCGTAACATCACCACGAAAAAGATTCCGACCCCCATCGAGATACCGTAAACCCTGTATTCCCCACTATAGACACCTCTAGTAATGTGATACTCAGCGCCCAGCTAATTCAATTCTTCTACGGCCCGATTGACGAATGATGCAGCATCGTAACACACCAAACTGCCCACGTCCAAGTCTTCCATAGTAAAAAACCGACCCCCTATGAACCGCGCGGCGACGCCAACGTACTTGTTGCCACTTTGCGCGACTTCAAACTTGCGGAATTGCCATCCCCTGACGAGCTCGCCGTCAATGGTGACAGCCTCCTCTGGTACGTTGTACTGTATTCGCCGGAAGTCGAACCCCAGACCCATCCCGAGCGCCTTGGTGTATGCTTCCTTCAACGTCCAGATCCAGTAAAACCGGCGCAATGCTTCCGACTGGGGGATGTCTGCTAACACCAGGCCATGTTCTAGTGGCGTCAACTACGTAAAGTCCCGTGAGTACCGGAGAATATAAGATGGATATCGTTACCTGGCCGGAGACACTGTCGACAAAATCGGCGAACGTCGAGTTGGGGGGAATTTTGAGCTGCATGACGTCGACGCCCACGGTGAAGGCGGGCGGACCGAGGTCGCCCGTTCCGAAGGCCATCGCTACCACGCCCTCATCATGGGTCACGTTAAACCCTAGGGGTGGGTCGATCCCTGGAGCGATCTGGAAGAAATCCCCGTGTTAATATCTCTCACACAAAAAAAAAAGTCAAGGGTAGCTTACACAGTATGGTTTTCCGGTGTCAGTGGTGGCGAAAGTCAATGTGTCCTTCGGGACGCCTCGCTTCCTGAGCAGCACTCGAGGTAAGAGATTACCGATGAGAGATCCTTGGGGACAGAGCAAGCGGAAGCAATATTTCAGATTTACGAGATGTTCATGGCGAAACACAGACAACGCACTACAGGCATCCTCGCGGCGATGAAATCTCTTGATCTTGGCTTGTGCTGTCTGATCGACGAGGGATAGAGCACTATGATAAAGCTGGATAGCCTGGCTCGGTGCCACCGTTGCATAGGAGATGAGTAGATCATACGTACAGCGTCTGGAAAGTTCGCCTTGTCGTATATGACGGCCCACACCTGCATCACAGTGGAAATCTAAAAAGTTGTCGGCGACGACCTCGACCGTTGTTGCGGATGGCAGTTACCCACCACTTGCCGCTCTGCCACAGATACATACCCAAGTCGTGGCCAATGTGGTGTCCCCCGAACAACACTTTTCGCACGTACACTACTACCCTCCACAACATGGCGGATGCCCCCGATTTCGTGACTCTTGGCATGTTCATTATCGACGAATTCTCATTTACCGACCAGAACGGAAAACCGACCGGGAAAACCTTGCCCTCACAGGCATGTACTGGCTCAAACGGACCCCGGGCTCCTACTTACGTCCTCGTATGTAGATCGGGGGCGGCGGCACATACGCCGCCATCGGGGCTCGGATATGGTCTGTAATCCCTCCACTCCAATCCGCGGCCCAGGCAAAGTCAACGCTTTACAGGCTACCTCCCCACAGAGTCGGCATGATTGTTGATCGGGGTAACGACTTCCCCCAGGATGTCCAAGATAAACTCTTATCTTATGGAGCCAACATATGGCATTTTCGCAACCGTGATGATCGTGGAACAACTCGTGCATTGAATTCATACCGAGGTGACTCCCGAGGGTCCGAGAGCTTCCCTTGATTTTAGTTTGTACCGCATCTCAACGCTATGCGTAAAATTCCCGCAGGTTCCAATACCTCAATCCTCGAATCAGGACTTACACCGCGGGATTTGCACGAGACCCGCTTTGCATGGCCCAGAGCGTTGCACTTCATTTGCTCGCCAACCCGTGCCCTTGAAATTATTTCTGAGGTTGAGCAGGTCGATAGGTGGGAACCAACCATGATATTTGAACCGATACCTGTTAGTGAAATCAACGTTTTCGCGCGCTGGGGATAAAGTGTCCATCAGTATAGATGCGTCCCGGAAGAATTACCCTCCCTCGTAAAGGTGTTGCCATTCATCTCGGTTCTAAGGTGAGCACGCCATCGCCGCCGAGGTGACCGCGATCCGAGGACCTCTCTCAGCCCGAATGCAGAGGAAGCCCTTTCATTACTTTCTATGCCAACTCCCGTCACAAAGGAGTCCGTGGAGACAGCGGCGGTTCGCTTCCTGAATATGGGAATGGGAAGTGCGGGGAAAGGATGCGTCATTATCCGCAGCGGTGCGCTGGGAGCTTATCTCGCGACCAAGGCCAGCGGAGGCCAGTGGGTCGATGCTTTCTGGACACCAAATGACAACGGAAAGGTCATCGATGTTACTGGTCAGTTTGCAAAGGACGTACTGAATTTGCATCTAAGGCGATTTTGCCAATTCAGGCGCAGGTAATAGCTTTTTGGGAGGACTTGCGGCTGGTTTGTTGCTCACTGGGGGTGATTTCTGCGAAGGTAAGTCGACTCACTTCTGGGGGATCTGTGTGGTTTCTCAACAGCGAGGCGTAGCCACACTCTACGCTGCCGTCTCGGCTTCGTTCGTGATCGAGCAGAGCGGCTTGCCAGTGTTAAGTGTACATTCGGAGACGGGACTCGAAGAATGGAATAATGATATACCTCAGAGAAGGGTGGATGCGTTGCGGCAGCGTCACCTTCAGCTCGACAAAATACGCAATAAAGATCATTAGAGACGCTGATGTATACAGTCCAGACAATACAATATATGTAGGTGGGAGAGAAATGCACGCAAGGATATTAAGCCAGGGTGGAAATAATGCTAGTGTCCTATGTCTGGGGTTGTGGCAGTTGCTGTTGCTGTTGCTGAGGTTGCGCAAATTTTGCACGGCTGAGAGCAAACAGTTCCTCCTGCTTTGCTTGCAATTCCTCGGGAGTTAGTCCGGAGTCTTTTATCTTATCAGCCTTCTTCTCCCTATCCTGTGACAGAACTGAGCGAGAAAAAATGGATAGACAGTGGGGAAAATGAGAACCTTTTGCTGCTGTTTGTGGTCTTTCAGGACGTCTTCGACCTCGGTCGTGAATGAGTCGAAACCAAGACGCTGGAATGGACTTCACAGGGTATTCTATGTCTGGACTGAACCGGACGTACCTTGAGCGCGCCAATGATATGCTCTGGTGCTATAGTTTTCTTTGACTCTTGCTCGCATATTTCGTTTGCTTCGGAGGATATCAGGTGAATAAACTCTGGAGCGGAGGGGTGAATCTCAAGCACAAGCGATCGAGCAGTGTGGTATGTTTACCTACACAGCACTCGATGACCAGATCTCGTGTCTCCTTTGCACATGTGACATCGCTTGGGAGTAGCTCTGGGGATGATGCATGTGAGTGGCGATGTATGCCATGCTGTATAGAGACAAGTGCATACCGTTGATCATCTTTGCGACTGTCGCCTTGGGCAGCGACAAATCGTCGTCGGACGATCCTGGGCCTATGTGACCTTCTCTATCAGACATTGTTGGTTCTACACGATGGTGGCCAGGCTGCGATGCTGGCCTTCGTCTGTGGGCGGTGATGTGACTCCCGTTTTGGTGGTGCCGGGCTCCATTTCGAAGTCCGCACGACCGTCGCCTCTCGTCGTCATCTGCCAGAATGTCGTCGGTGAGTGCATATATCCAGCTGATCGCTGGAGGGTCTGATCGTCGTGCAGGTCAACCCGGTCAATCCAAAGCCATTCATGCAGGAGCTGACGGGGAAACCGGTGTTTGTCAGACTAAAATGGGGACTCGAATACAAGGGTTTCCTCGTAAGCACGGATGGCTATATGAACCTCCAGGTGTGCATCGATCCTATGATGGTCTCTGCTTTCTGATTCGTCGCGCGCAGTTGGCGAATACAGAGGAATTCCAAGACGGCCAATCCACAGGGAGCCTTGGGGAGGTTTTCATACGGTGAGTGACATTTGCGTGTTATGAGCGTGCCCTGATCTTTTTTTTTTCTCTTTCTTTGTAGTTGTAACAATGTTCTCTATATAATAAGTATCGTTCTCTCGTTCTTCCCGCGTCTTACTGACACGGCTGTATGCACAGGGAAGCACCATCGGAGTGATTGTCGTGTATCGTAGTTGCATTACTGGCCTTCGCGTAGTCGTGTTGTTACATAATCAAGTGACCATTGTCGTCCATACAAGGAAACAACGCTTCCCGCTTTTATACTGTTACGCTCGTCCCTCCCACTTTCATTTCACCCATGCGTGTTCAGCGTTCACCGCCGTTGATCTCCCATCCCGTCGCTGCAGAGCTGGCTCCTCTGTCTTCGTCTTCTCTCGCTTCCCCGCCCACAACACCGCCGCGCGGTCACAAGCACTCTCTTTCAAAGCCAATGTCATGGTTGGGTCGCAGTGCGACCTCGACTTCGCTCCCCCACCCTCGTCACCAAGCACAGAAACCAGTTCGAATATCAGAGCCAAAATTTGACAATTCCTTGGAAATTTTCAACATCAAACGTGGGTCCCCGCTCGGAAGTGGCGCAATCGTGGTTCGCACGCCTCAGGAGGCTTTGTGTGGTTCTCAAGTCAGTCAGTTGTTTGGGTCTCTGGAGGAGGAGGAGAATGAGCAACAACGGACCATCGATTTGGTAGACGAGAACGAATCCAGGATTCTCCCGCCTCCCCCTGGCAGTCCGCCTCTCCCGCCGCTCCCAGCAGAGGAGGATTCTCCGCTACGAAGTGGTTCCGATCCGGCTTCAAACAGTACGCTCAGCCTGCCTCTACAGCAGCTACCTCTTCCCCGCCCGTCGCGTCCTCCCCCACCTATATCGGATGCCATGACTCCCAGGCGCCCATCACTGAAACATAACAGGGAGTCGGCGGATATCGTTCCTCCAGTTCCTTCCCTTCCGGAAAACATACCCCCCATTCCTCCCCAGCCTCCATTCGAAGCCGTTCTCTTGTCTGCCGTACCCGACGGTGCTGTTGACCCAGTAAAAATTATTGTCACGCTGGAAACCTGCATGACAACCTACCGAACCACCTTGCGAACCTTGACTTCACGACCGTCCCATCTTTCAAAGTATATCGTCTCCCTACTGTCACATGGGTCTGAGACCGCTTCCGTCTACTCGCATGTCAGCGAGGCGGCGTCCGCCATCCATCACGACAATGCCTTTAGTGCCGCATTCCACGACCATCTCACTTCCGTAGGGTGCTTGTCTCAGTCCTCTTCTAGCCTTCACATCTTCCTGGATCGTCCAAGTGCTCCGTAAGTTCCCTTTAAATTGGCTTTGTTCATACCTACCTTGTAACTAACAAATCTATTCCAGGTATTCACATATTCTCACATATCTCCGATCGTCACCCGAGAACCCTGAGACTCTCCCTCGAGCAGCTGCTCTTCTTGGTTCCGCATCTCGTGCGCGTCTGGAGGCCCTTCTGGAGCTACGCGACGAAGCCTCCTATTTGGGATTGGACGAGTTGTATAAGTTATGCACGCACGAGATAAACCAACGCCATTCCATTTTTGGTCACTCCTCCAATGCCAGCAGTTCCGCGATGTCCATCCGATCACTACATACCGTCATCGAGCAGAACCCGTCCGTCCAGGGCTCCCGCTTATCTCAGATGTCAAATGGCACCTCCAAGAGTGGTGCTCTATCAAGCGTCCCCCACCACTTAGCCCTCCGCGAGCGGAGCGCTAGTAGGACTCCCAGTGAGTCTGGTGGTGGTTCAAAGTTGCCGCCGCCTGGATGGATTTAGCACTAAGGTATATTCTGTATTACTTGTCTCTCACGAATTTCTGTAGCCTCCAGCTAGCTTCGTTCTGTCCATGTTATTTTGTCATGTATCTATCACTTATGTTTAGTATTAGTATAGGGTTCCTTCAATACGATTTGAGGATTTATCAACGTAGATTTGAGTATACTGTATTTTAAGGACCGATGTTGTGGACTCGCGAAGCGTTAAATCTTCCACCATGCGCTGTAACGGGACGAAAAAGCCTACGCAACAACCGAACGGACACACGTGCGACCACGAATATATATGTACGTGTACGAGTACAAAAACCCGGTGGATGGACAAGCAGTTGGAATGAAAGAAAGGGAAGGGGAAAGGAAGGCATGACTACCACATCAACATTTATCGTACAAGAGATCCATTCCGGTAGAAAAAAAAGAGGGGGGCGTAATTATTTCCATCACTTCTGCTCGGTGTATGGATTGACACTGTACACCTTGATTACAGGAGGACTTTTCGTCAAGTCAGCCGTCACGATCACCTACTAGGGTCAGCATCCTATGAGCGACAAACCCAAGAATGTTACTCACAGGGACCGTCATCAATTCTTGGATCTCTTGAATCCTGTGACCAGTGGCCGTTGTCTTCAAACCCTCGAAAACTGGTTGGACTTTACTCGCGGAAAGCAAGCGCTGCTTAGAAGTCTCGGTTTCCTTAACAAGCTCACTGTCTCTCCCCAGCACAATTTCGTCGTCTTCGGCATCGTCCTCATCAAAGAGCGCCTTTTCATCGTGCACTGAACGCTGACGCGACCTCCATCTTCGTGGCATGTGCCTCTGCATTCTGTTTCACCTTCTTCAGATGCTCATCATCACTGTTCTCTGCGAGCCAACTGATCACGTCCTTGCCAGACCAATAAATTTGAAGGGTATGAGAATGCTCATCGTAGACATGATTCTATACGTAATGTCGATTCAGGGTCCTTAGCTGAAAGAAAAATAAGCAATTTGACTCACGTCGATGGGCATTTGATCAACGTGGACTCTCTTCTCAATACCAAATTCAGGTACGTATACGTCAAACGCTGCATCGAGAACATTGACAACCTTGGCTTGACGGATGACTGGCCCATAGCGGTGAGTGAGATCAGAAATGAGGATGCACAAGTAGAGGTGAGTAGATTGCTCTTGTGCCAACCTCGCTGAGTCCCGCTTGCTATAAATGACGATCAGATATCTATAGTCAGCTGCACGCGGTCGGAAAGTACGAACATGTTGCACTGCTGAGCAATCTTCGCGACAGCGTCCCGGTCCATCGTAAATTTCGGATCAGCTGCGGTTACAATTAGTGAGTCCATGTTTTTTCCAGCAAATGCAGCACAACTCACGACCACCCTGGAGAACCGATTCGAGCTGGCGATGCACAAGAATATCGGCATAGCGACGAATTGGGGAGGTAAAGTGAGTGTAAAGAGGGACACTCAACGCGTAATGACCGTATTTCGCTATGTCCAGCATCCCCGCACAGAAGTATTTCGCGCGTTGGGTAAATTTAAAAGACAGCAACTCAAGGGTCATACGAGCGGCAGGGTTCGTTATCGCATTGAACGAGCGCATCAAAGCGCCAGAGGAAGAGGTTTCGACTTGGATGCCTAAACGCTTGGCACGTTCGCTAAAGGCATTCTGCAAGGCCTTCAGTACATGTCCACGCTCCATACAAAGTTACTCACTAGGCGCCTCTCGATTGGCGTATCGTGTCTGCGGAGGAGTGCTTGCTCGGGTAAGTGAACAGCAATACGTTGAGCAACGGCAAAGTTAGCAAGCAACATGAGCTACGACGAAATAAGTACTCCGAGCATCTTCAAGAAACTATAGCGCCATACCTCCTCAACGAGTTCCTTGGCTTCGTTACCCTCAGATTGTTCACAATCTACTGGCAGACTGTTGTCGTCCAACGTAAATTTAAGGCGATTGGAGTTGAGAAGTAAAGCACCGTCTTGCAAGCGTTTGGTACGCAGCTGCTGAGCCAAACCATGGAGAACTTTGAGGTCGTGCTCGATAGCAGAAGCGGAATGCTCGGGGGATACAACAATATCGCTTAATAGGTGCCCGTCGATCGCCTTCTGAGCCTCAGTGTAAGACAGCTTCGCCGCCGACCTGAAAAACTTGAGCAAGAATTCGACATAAATATAAGTACCACCTACTTGACTATGGTCTTCCCAAACCATTTGTTGAGCACTTTACCCTCCTTAGACATCGTGAAAATCGCAGAAAAAGCAAGTCGCTCTGCGCCAGGGGCAAGACTACAAACTTCTTCACCTAGGGTCGGGGGCAGCATTGGAACCGCTCGCTGGACGAGATAAACCGTCGTAGCCCTCTTCCGAGCATCTCGATCAAGTGCAGTATTGGGTTTGACGAAGTAGGAGAACGTCTGCAACATGAACACCGACATCATAGGTGCCGTCATCGTTGGCCTTGATTGAAAGGGCATCATCCATATCTTTGGCATCCGAAGGATCGATGGTGAAAATTCTTTCTTCGCGCAAGTCTCTGCGAACGTCATGTTCCCTCTCAGGGATGCTATCTCAAGTATAAGTGAATTTGTTTCCCTTCCACCTAGAGTTACGTACCTCCAAGGAGTTGGGGGCAAACACTTGAGAACACTGTCAGAAAACTCTTCCGTAGGGAAATTACAATCCTTGAGCAACGCGCTGGTCTCGACCTCGACGTCACCGATAGGTCCTAGTTCCTCCACCAGAGTACCGAAGGGATGGAGGGAAGAAATAGGCTAAAGAATGGTTAGCCGAAGAAGACATCAACCAAGAACATCTTAAAGCTCACGTGACGCTTGATACAAGCAACAAACAACCTGTTAGCGTACGCCTCCGAATTCTCCACGAAGTCTGCTGGAGCTTGCTCAGTGGGAATAGCAATCAAGGGCACTCGCTTGTCGGTGGGCTTGAACCAAACGATTTTGGGACGTTCGATAGGTCCCCGTTTGGGTTCTTCTCCACGGTCACCCTCACGCTCGCGGCGTTCAGCCTCCTGTTTCTCTTTCGTTGCAGCAGAAGACGGGCGAAGGAGACCAAGTGTTCCAGAGAATAACTGTCCGGGCATACGTTCAACGACAGCAACCACGTGGCCCGCATACTGCGGTTTCACTTCGTCTGTCACCCTACAACTGGTATATCAGTAAGCAATTGGAAAGTTGAAGGGAAAGCAGCAGTGACGAACTCTTCGTCCTCAAACAACATGAGACCTTGGCCCTCTACTTCGACGTCATCCTTCTTCTTGTCATCTTTGCGACCAACGTTGGTCTTGTCATAAGCAGAGTTTTCTTCCTTCTTGCGCTTCTTTTCCTCTTTTTCCTTCTTTGTCCCCCATACCTCATCAACGTCGAGCAACTCCACAGCAACAATGTCACCCTCTAGAGCTCGATTACGGTCTTTCGAACCGCATATATAGATATCAGCATCGAGCACTTCGGTGGCGACGTACGCGTCGGACCTGTTGCGCTTGTTAACTCGAAGGATTCCAACAACTAGCTTGCCGGCTGCGAGGAGCGGTGGAAGTGAAGCTTGCGGTAAGTAAGGAGCGAACAAAGATTTGCGCTGCGGCTGAGTAGATTGTTGCTGCAATTGGGTCTGAAATTGTTGTTGTTGTTGTTGTTGCTGTTGCAACAGGCTGACACCGCCCAAACCCATACCCATCAAATTAGCAGCCATCATATTCGGGAGCATATTTGGAAAAGCGAAAGATGGCATCTTGTGGTGATGACCACCGGCTGCGGCACGGAATTGCTGCAAACTCTGGAGCTGCGCCTGGGCTTGCGCCAACTCTGCAGCAAATCCACTGTTAGCTTGGATGCCACCCACACCACCATCTACATAAGGGTTTAGCTTGCGGCACAGTACGTGTGAAGCATACATACTGATGCGCCAGCTAGAATCAACTCGGGAGGTGGTACGAGAGTGACCTCCAAATCCGGGCGGAGGAGTAAAACCATCGTCGAAGCCATCCTGGCCGGAGTAAGGGAAGCTTACGGAACCGAGGTTACCATGGGCAGTGTTCGACTTATTGACCACGTTAACACTGTGTCTCCTACCGTGGCCGCGGGGCAGGCCACCAGGTTGGTTATCAAGTCCAAGTCCCAGACCACTCATACCGTTGAACTGTCCCATAGCAGCACTGAAAGGGGGGAGATTACTGGTGCCCCCAAGGCCCATCGGTGCAGTGCTCTGGACGCGTCTATGTCTGTTGCCCGCTAACCCTTGCAACGATAGAACCTGGTTTGAGGCAAGCTGCTGCTGATACAGTGCCTGTTGTTGCTGTTGGAGGGCTTCAATTTGATTCTGGATAGCGATCTATTTGACATAACGCGACAACGTGAAGACGGATACAAGAACATGAGGTATGACGCACCTGCTCTGCCATGATGCCTGTTATGTCATTTTCTGGCTTTCGGTGGGTTGGCTCATTATCCTGAGAGAAATTCTGCTGCTGCTGCTGAGGGAACTGGAACCCAGCATCTTCTTCGCTGATAGGCGGACCTAAAGGAACGTTGGAGCTAGTCCTTCTACGAGTACCAAACATGAAATTGGGGGCAAGCTGGGGACGGCCGGTAGGGCCAAGGGCATCTTGTTCCTGTTGTTGAGCAGCCAAGGCAGCAAAACGCGGGGCCACGAAATTCTGTGACTGGGTTCGAGGATGATACCCAGAATTGGGAAAGAACCCTTCGGAGATCTCTCCTTCCTCGAAAGCACCGGTGCCATCTTCCGCGTCTTCCATCATAGCACCGAGGTGAGGTGAAAACGAATTATAACTTCCTGAAAGAGCGGAGTTGCCAAGAGACGCAGCCTTACGATGGCGGGCTGCTTCTGCAAGATTAGAGCTAGTAAACATGGAAGCGTTGGACTGCAAAGGAGACTGATTGGAAGTTTGTTGTTGTTGAGGAGCATGGATAGAAGCAGCAAGAGTATTAGTTGGGGAAGGTTGACCCGAGGGAGAGGTGGTCTTCAGGTCTGCAATGACGCGTTGGAGTGAGGACAGAGCATCACTGGATTCCGTAGCTGAAACAGGCACAGGCGACGGCGACGGTAAAACACGGTCCTTGGACTGGCTAACCCGATTAGGTTGCGCAGTAGACGCCTGTGCTTTGCGATGATTTCCGGTACGCTGGCCGCCGCTGGGCTGATTCTTGCTCCGAGAATCGTTCCTCTTCACCTCTTGGGGTTTCTTACTAGACTCAGAACCCGATTCGGTGCCGCCGGTAGTTGAGGCATTGGCAGGTTTCTTGTTACCTGCCCTGGAGGAAGGTCTGGAAGCGCCTTGTGGATTTCCGGCAGCAGAAGGCCTTGCGTTGGAAAATGTTCTCCTTGGACCCTTCGCTGTGCCAGAGGCAGGGTTTGGCTTCTTAGTTTCATCTTTCGTAGCTTGAGATTGCGTAGACTCGTCTGTCATTTCGTTCGTACAGTATTAGTATGTCAGAAGAAAACAAGTTGGGGTTTTTCTGTTCTGATGAGTAAGAAAGCGCTGCGACTGTCGAGACGACCAGTCAGTCCCACCTTGAGTTTTGAATGAATATCAAGGTAGGATTTGCCCTGCAGGGCGAGTGGGGGATTAATGGAGGTGGTTGCCGTGCACGGGCGTGGGGGTTTTTACTGATGGTTTGGTCGTCGCAGACAAGGCTTAAACGTTTGGGCACCAGTCATATTAGCGGCATAAACATTCCCACGGTGGTCCACACTTCGGGTGCCTTGGCGAATGCAAGTAATGATGTGCTTTGCATTATTACTTATGTACTAACACAGGGGCAACGTTGCTGTTCACGTAGTACGGCCTAGCCTGTTAATAATTGCCGTCGTATACTCCTTCGTCGTCGCCTTACCCCCAAGGTCACCGGTAATAGATTTGCCTTCGGCGATGGTCTTAAAAGACAAGTCATGTGAAAACGAGTTCCTTCGGATCAATCATGGAACCACTTACGTCCAGAGTAGCCTTCTCAATCTTAGCTGCATGCTCATTCAGGTGCATGTGCCTTACATCCACATCGGATTAAGCGGTAAACCCTCTCGCCAATAACGCCAACGTACCTTAGCATCATAAGAGAAGACAACAGCAAGGCTGTCGGATTGGCTAATCCCTTGCCTGTGAAAATAACAGTCCTTCAGCCGTCGTCCACACCTCAAGATTGCGTAACATGCCTGCAATGTCCGGGGCAGAGCCATGAACTGCCTCAAAGATAGAAGCGTCCTGCCATACGTTAAGTGGAAAAGGAAAGAAAAACGTTTTAAGAAAATTTCATGACCCACTCGTCCGATGTTCCCCGAAGGAGTAAGGCCAAGCCCACCGATCAAACCGGCGCACATGTCCGACAAAATATCACCGTAAAGGTTGGGCATGACCATGACACGGTTGGAGAATGGTAGAGGATTTTGTACAACCTACACGGACTGTCAATATAGTAACCTCTTTCACCAGCATATAAGACTTGTACCTGGAGGCATACTCGGTCTAGCAGGTCTTCGTCATAGGCAACATCAGGGAATTCTTTCGACACCTGCCGGCATGCCGACAAGAACATCCCATCAGACATTTTCCTGTTGTCATTAGCAAGGAGGAGATCATCGCTGGTTGCACGCACATAATATTCGCTTTGTGAACAGCAGTAACTCGCTTTCTTCCACTAGCTTGCGCGTAGTGGAAAGCGTAACGAGCGACGCGCTCAGAAGCATCCCAAGTGATGAGCTTAATAGACTGGACCACCCCATCGACGATCTATATTTTGTACATAAGCATAACAACAGTGAGGGGCGAAGAGTCATCACCTCGTGTTCGATACCCGAATACTCTCCCTCCGTGTTTTCACGGATGAGAACAGTGTTAACGTCGTCGTACGGAGTCTTGTACCCTTTAATAGAAGCACAAGGCCGGACGTTTGCAAATAGGTTGAAGGTTCTACGCAGGGTCAGATTCAGGGAAACATGGCCCTTGCCAACTTATTCTCGCTCAGTGCAAGCAAGAGAAGAAGTGAGGGCAGAGACATACTCGGTGTAGCCAGGGGACCTATCCGCAGCCTGAGTACTGGAACTCCGGAGATGGGAAAAAGCTAACCTTTCAATGCAACAGTATTTCTCTTGATTGAGCTGATAGCAGCGTCCGGGATAACCGTCTTGCCGCCTTTAAGGACAGGCGTGACACTGACTTCTTCCCATTCTATGGGTACCTGTACAGGTTCGTAAGTAGAATGCACAGAACCAGAAGCCAACGACAGAAACAAACATCTGCTGCTGCATATATGTCTTTCACGGATTCGCTGATCTCCGGACCAATGCCTGAAGTCCAGCATTAACACTTGGGACAAGAGCCTTTTAGAAACAGTTCTTACCGTCTCCTGGGATCAGTGTCACCTTGTATTTTCCCTTGGACCCACGTCAACTGCGAAGACACTGTCACGACGAGGCGATTCTCACATTGCTTTCTCTATTCCCTGTAAACGCTGCAGTTGGCGAGGCGGACGCGTACCCTCTGGACGGCTGTATTCCAACAACGTAAGTGTGACGGATCTTTGCATGACGAAAGTGAAAGCGACCGCACTCGAGGAAATCCGATCGCGCTCTGCGCAGACCTGGCGAACCACCTATTGGCCAACATTTTTCAACAGATGGAAGCACACCCGGTACAAAAAAAAAGCAGGCAGGGTTGTTGACTTCCGGGTATAAACGGGACGTCACTTTCTCAAGCCAAACCCGACGACCAATGATGCTTGACTTCCTAATTTGAATCGCATCACGTTCCATAGGCATACTACCAATAAGTAATACAAAAACGAAATGCGGTCCATGAGTATGGTATACAGTGTAAGTACATAGCAAAGAGAAGCAGGAAATTAACTGCTCAGTAGGCCGTTGAGTTGCTGTCGATATTGTTCCATAGTTCGTTCCGTTTCTTCGTCCTCGAGCGTGTCCTGGGGGGCCTGGTCAAAATTGAGAACTTGCCATTCATTCAGACACCTGGACAATTGACTCGCCTGCAACTCCGCACCAACTGTGCCAGCTTGGCCAAGCTTGCCATTGGTGAGCTCAAACAAGACCTTATCTACCTCGGCATCGGCTTCCTCAGATATCTCTTCATCTTCCTCCGCATCAAGAACGTCCTGCAGCATTTCTTCCATAACGCCAGCCTGAAAAGCAAATCAGGGCTGGATTGCTAGCTCCATCTAACAGGGAATCAAACCTTGGTCATTTCCATACTCATTTCTCTCATGCTTTGGCTTATTTGCGGCAGTCTGATCAGCGAGTTGGACAATTTCATGATCTCCGTGGACTTCTGCAGGGATCCAGTGACCTTCACCATTGCTGAGAGCAAGAAAAAGAGTAAGAACTCTTCGGACGGAAGTAAGAAACAATTTACCAAGTTGCTGCGTCAACTGCGTCCCTATGGAACCTAGGCGAGCTTTGCTAACAGACAGGCGATCCTTCTGCTTGTTGCTCCTTACCACCTCCCTCGCGAGTATTCTTGCGGATTTAACATCGCCCTTTGCAGCGAGCTGCTTCACTGTTGTGCGGGCTTTGGCAGTGGCGGCGTCAAGCTATAGTCGTCACCATCAGCGAATAGTGTGAAACTTGTGGCCGGAATGCCGACCTGCCTCATCTCCCTATCCAATTTCCGACTCTCTGCACGTAGCTTGGCCTGCCATGCGCGTACCCTCTCCTCTGGCGTTGGCCCATACAGGAAACGATTGATGGACTGCATGAGGATGGAATGTGACATACGGTACACCTAAATACGGAAAGCCACTGCTTGCCTTACCGGACCCACTGTAATATTTAGGAGTTCACGTTCTGGCCTGTGTCACAAGAGCCTTATTTTGCACACTGCGGCGTCTGCGCCCGCTTATCTGAAGGAGTCCTTCATGGGTGGCCCGGAAAATTCTGAGCGGCGGCGTCGGTGGTATCGTACAGTCCAGGCTGTGCTACGGATGTGTTCGGGGGTCAATGTCACATCGAATCTCAAACCATAGTCACGCGGGCGGTACAAACAGCCATACATTGATGTAGTGCACTGAACTGCAAACAATGAAGGACGAAAGTTACAGGAGCCACTATGACAGTATTTACAGAAAAGATAGACAGATAGATGCAAGGACCAATTTTCAAATCATCGTGCGATCTATACAGGACCAGCCTTGATTTGACTGACCAGCGTCTCCCAGTACGTCCAGTCGGACCCGTTGACATTTAGGACAAGGTTTGGGTCAGTCGCTGCAGGCCCGACCCAACCTGTGAAGTCTGCACCGCCTGGCCCTCCCCAAGAGAGTGCAGGCATGCCCATCGTTCCATCAACAGTGCCTTCATTGAATGTGCTGCACCAATGATCCAGCAACGACTGCGCTGCTGATTCGTCTTCGCTTGGGCTGCCCGAGCCCGCAGGAGAATTGAGTGATCCATCAGTGGAATTATTGTACTGCAGACGTTGTATCGCAGGGGACTGTGCGAAAGGTGAATTTGGATATGGAAGTGCCGCCGACAGCTGTGGAGATGCCGTGGATGTGGTGGTCGCAGTCGCAAGAAGGGCAGGGAAAGCTGGTTGAGCAGAAGGCGGAGGAGCAACAGCTGTCCGCGTGTCAGAAACTATGATTCCAGAGGAAGTCAATTGTGGATCAATTGTGGATGGCGAACCTGCGGACGCAGTTTCGGGGGCAGACTCTGCAAGCTGTACAGTTCTGTTCTTGAGGAACTCGATAATTTTCAACTCCCTGCGAGTAGTTTCGTCCATCTCCCGAATTCCCTCGTGATCCTTCAAGAACTGATCTAGAATGGTGTGCATCATCTCTGCATCTGGCCCTTGAGGATATAGGACGAGATAGATGCCACTAATCATGGCTGTTTGAAACTCCCTGTAAGCATTGTGAAGCGATTCGCGGTTCGACCGTGATTGGCGGAAAGCATGGCGAACGTGAAAGTCCTTCATGGCGGACTCGAAGCATGCTTTGCGCGACCGCAGGTAGCGGTCACAATTCAACCTACGCAGCAAGTAGGGGCGATGTAAGCTGACTCTTACAAAAAGAGTCTCCGTGATCAGCAGGAAGCGATGAACGGGGATAAACTTTTTAGTTTCGTCGAGAGATGTATCAGGGTCAAGAGCGAAATGAGGCGGTAGGTTATTGACGAACTTCATGAGTTCATCGTCGAGAGCAAGAACATCAGAGTAGTGGCTCGGAGTCCGCACTTTCTGAAAATGATGGACCATTCGACCGATTATAGAAGCGAGCTGGTGACGGAGGATTACAAATGTCATCGGAGTCGGCACGCTCAGTTGGGACGGACTGGGGTTGACAGTTGGGGTAACGTCTTCTTCGACGTTGAGGGGCGGCAATGTGGAAGTGTAGTCATCTTGAATAGCATGCGGCCTTCCCAGCACAAGCGCATAGGACCGGTCAGCATGGTAAAGGTATGACCTGATACTACGTCAGCACCGATTTCAATGCAATGCGAGGGGGATGTCATAATTTACCAGATGCGCCGTCGATTCTCTACCTGCGCAGGATCCAAACCCTGATCGTAGCTGAGAAAAGTATGAAGCGATGAATGTATACAACACACCGTCGGTGCTGCATCACGGTGAAGACCAAGTGCCTGAGCAGTTCGCACAGCTGCACCAAGCTGGCTCCAACACTCCGTAATACGGCGGTCGAATGTCAGAAAGCGAGCGCTCTACGACGGCATAATTATCTGTACCTGAACACATCAATTAAAACCCTCACCAACAATCGCGCTAATACAATGTCTAAAGAATCGGGCTGGATGGCAGCAGCAATCAACAGGGAGCGCCGAGCTGGAAGACTGTAAGAACATGAAGAAAACAGGGACGATCGCAGAACACACATGACCAATAGTACCTCAATGAAGTCGTTCTCCTAGTCCGTATGTCGCCAGCCAGATGTTCTGGGGCAAGCCTCACAGATATGGCTAGGACAACAAACAGAAGAGGAAGAAAGCGGGCGTCATTGGTGTTTGCACCCACCCCATTCGCACAAAGTGAGGCATATGCTGCTCGGAAATCTTTCTCGCATACAGGGTACCTTGTCCAATTTCTACGGCGAAAGCAGGCATTGAACAGAAACCTGGTGTTCGTGCAGAAAGTTGCTTACATGTCGGTGAAGTAGTGATCAATCAAAGCATCTGAGAAGCGTTGTGGCGGAAGTTCTTGTAGAAGCTCTGAAATTTTATGGGGCGAAACACCACATTCTTGAACCAAACTTTTGAGGTTATCTGCTGCAGAAGGTTCCAAGTCCTGCCGAACAGAGTCTATAATGGACGGGGTCGCAAGGGACGACTTGGGATCCATCCCGTTGACCCCGACCTGTGCTGAAGGTAAGGTGCCATGGAGCGGAGTAGAATTCTTGGTGTCCCACTGGTCTTGACGCGAGCAGCCAACCACTACGTTTGCCAACTAATGGATCGTTTGTCAGATGAGGAACGATGTAAAGTTCATCAAATCATTCACTTGCTCCAAAACGGAAGCTGGGGCAACACTCCCTGAAGCACTGTTACCGTACCACTTTCCACTCTGGAAAGTGCCTCCGCTCGGGTCTTGATCATCAGTGATCGAACGATTGTCTTCGTCAAGATATTCTGAGCTGGATCGAAAGTGTCTGTCACTGGAGATAGTTGGTGTCGTGGTGCCATTGGCATATTGAGGCAAAGCAAGCTCGATAATTTTTTCAAGCCTGGCCAACCGTACACTGATATCCTGATCTGTTTTCCCGGGTGTATATGCCTTACATAGTTCAGGAACTTTGCGTGCTATGCACTAAGACGAGAATTTGAGAAGAGCGTGGATAACAAAAGGGCGAGAACTCACGTGTGAACAAGGAATCTGGCGATCACACTTTGGGCACAAAATGCGTTACCTTTCCCGATAGATACTGGTCTTTGATCTTACCTTTTGCTTGCGTCGATGACATTCACCGCAGGAGAAGCTTGGTGAGGCGGGGTTAGTGGGCGGTCGACGTACGGGGGAACAGAACATGCGGCCTTACCTCACTCTCGTCCTGGCTTTCTTTGCCTGCTGACTATCGAATTCTCCGTCTTCCATTTTACGTTTTTTCAAAGTGTTGTTGTCTAGGAAGGAGTGGTTAGACTTCACCATGGCCAATGACTTGCTGGTGGATCGGTGTGAAAGATGCAGCTTGATCATTGGACACCGGGGTCGCACGACCACGGCCCGGTCACGTGCACGATAGGCTCACCATCGCGTTAAGCTTTTGTCATCCACGTTCCCAAGCCAGGTCAGCCCTGAGCCTGTGGCCCTTGTCGTCGTGAGCTTGGCAGTAGAGTGACAGCGCACTAGTTAATAGTTGCTGGGGGCAAGAGACCATTCCAAAAAGACATGGAGGAGCGGGACTGGAGGAAAACCAAGTTGTCGCTAGAACGGCCGTACAAAGACGACCAAGGTGAACGTATACCCGTCCTGCTCGACATCACTCCGGATGGTGAACGGGTGTTTGAATCGTAAGATGCCTTGTGCCTCGTCCATCTAGCCATGCTTGCTGACGGGATGTTAGACCAGAAAACCCAACAAAACTGCTGGGGGAAAATCTCAGAAGAATCTTCTTCGAAAGGGGTGTCGATTTCTTTGAACGTCAAGACAGCTTACCTTCGGGGGTAGCCCAGTCGCTCGAGGCTGCTGACCAACCGAGTGAGGACGAGGAAAATGCACTGGACCCGGCTAAAACAGTTTTAACTTCCGAAGAATTGCTCAGTTTGCGCATGGAATGTATTCCCCGGCTCTTGTGGGTGAGACCACGGGTCTTCGCTGCCTATCGCTCATATGGCATTCCCCAGCATCGCCCTTGGTGAGATGACCGAGGCCCGCGACCTTTTGTCTTTGTTGCTATCCTCGGCCCCGCTACGACATCCCTCCACCGCCTCGTCTTTACCCCCTTTAGCTCTAACTGCTACCGTCGCGACGAAGCCACCTCCCATACCCTCCGTCGAGGTGTTTAACGCGCAACTCACCATAGGTGGGAAAGACGAAGCGTTGCGAAAAGCTGCAAATGTCTTCAAACAAGCCGCCGCCAACCTGGAAAAAAGTCGCCAGAGCAGCGAAAACTACTGGGCAGACGCGTTGAAGATCAGAAAAGCCAACTGGGGTCTTGTCCCTGCCCCCTTACCCTTGGGTGCTCCGACGGGCAAAGGGGCCGATAAAACGTCGAAAGACTTCTTCGTTTCTTTTGGTCTCGAAGAGTGTAAGTACGGCTTCCTTTACGGCTATGGTTGCTCACGACCACTCTCCAAAGCCCCGGTACAGTTCCGAAGAAGAGCGGTTGCCCATATGGGAACGTACGATGCTGAGTCAAATACCCTACAGTTTCCTTATCGTCGACATTATCGCTTGCGAGTTTCGTTGGTGGTAACAGACAATGGAAAGACGACGTGCTCCTCTCGGAACGCCCCAGATTTTCTTAGCCCTATATCCCCAAATGAACCTCTCGCAGCTGCCCAGAAAGAAGTAGTGGACGAGGAAGTGTTCTCCGTGTTGATTCGAGAGGCTAGTAATCTTCCTACAGCTTCCACTCGCGTGTCGGAGCGATTGATTGTCATTGATGTGGCTGAAGGGATCGAACTCCAATTCGAAATGGTGGGTACCGCGATGTTTCGATCATAAATACGTTTACCGATGGCGAGAGAAACAGATGGATGATGACGAAAACAATATCCTTGAAATCTCTCATCATAATGGTGTCTTGACTCTGACTTGTGACTTGATCTACCATACACTTCACGCCCTTCTCCTCTGTATGCACACTGCGCAGAAGTCACAACGCATACTTTCGACTGGACCGTCGAGGTCGCACGCGTCAGCAATCCCACGCGGTCGATCCGTCCTGCTTCAACCAATCATTGATTTACTTCAATATCAACAATTCTGTTCAAGAATCAAGACCGAGTTGAACAAACTGACTTCGGCCCTTCGTTCTGCTGGTGTTCCCTGTGCATTGAGATTTGATCCGGTTGGGGAAACTGGCCAGCACTTGCAGCAGCGACTGACTACCGGTGATTCGTCCTTGAAGGTTGGCGGTGAAGCTCTCTTGCGGATCGACGATAGGTGAGTAGGCGGTGCCTTTTTTCCCCAACGGTGGTTAAAGCTTTGGGTTGTTGGAGACAAACCTTGCGCCTGACGTTTGGATCACCGTCGTCCCTGACTGTCCACCTCCCGCAAGCAACATTATCTATTGCCTCGGTCCCACAATTATGTCAGCTGCTTTCCGATGAAGCAGAAAAATGTTTGCTCAGTAAGCTGTGCGAAACGGGCGAGCGACATGACAGGTCTAGCGCTGCCTCTACGTGGTTTGTCGACGCCGTTAGTGGCAAGACGGTAGGCAGGTGGGAAGGCTGTATCGTGTACGTACAGTATCTGCGATCTTTTCGTCATCTGATTCGGCGTAGCAACTTTTGTGTCTCTTTCACCCAGGACTTTACAGTTCATTCGTCGGCGTACCGATTGGATAGGGGAACTACGGACAAGTTGTCTCTGTATGACACGTATTCCCCCCACACAACAGTTTCTTTGATAGTCTGGCAACAGAAAGTCTTAGAAAGAATCTTGTCAGAGCATTAGTTGCAGTGTGAACATAGATGGCATGACATGCAGGTTGACTACATGGAATCATACACATTGCATTTTGAGATGGTAAAGGATGCAGGAGTTCCAAGCATTACAGCGGCGGTATCTATTCCTCGTCCTCGTCCTCGTCCTCCTCCCCTGCAACTTCTCCGCCTGAAGCCTGGAATGCCTCAATCTTGGCTTGAATAGCAGCCTTGCGCTCTTCCAGAGTTCGTTTTGGTTTCTTGTACTTGAGCGTTTCTGCTTTCCAGTCTTTGGTCTTTTCAGTGGGCTTGAAGGTAGGATCTTCCCGGATAGCGGCATAAGCATTGGTGTACATCTCCTCGATATCTTCTGAGCCAATGCCGTCCGCGAGGTATGAGGAGAATTGCTTCTTGAAGCTGAGAAAAATGCATAAGACAGTGAACCATATTATGACAGGCTGTTGGCCTACCGCTCATCGTCTTCCTCCTCCAACGACTCCATGTACTCAGCAACATGACCACCGTAGATGTACTTTTTCAGCACCTCGGCATCAAGTTCCTTGCTCTCTGGGTCGTAGCCGGGGAAACGTTTGTCTGAATGGGGAATGAAAATTCCACCGTCACTGGCACCCTTCATTGCACCGAAGACACGGTGACCGGTCGTCGTGCGTTTCAAACCAACATCGAGGTAGCATTTGAACGGCCGGGGTGCGTCCTCCTCATCCAAGGGTTCCGTCAACTTCAACGTACCATCGGGCTCCGTCACACCCTCATATTTATCAGCGAGACCGAGCTTCGTTAAAGCGCGGCGAGCGCAGAGCAAACCAGTAGCGTATGCTAACAGAAATTAGATGGGAACAGAAAGATAGAAATTAGGGCTCCACCTGCTGTCCAGTTGGTGAGTCCATGAGAAATGCCGTATCTTGGAAGTTCGGCTGAACGTGCGGCGGTCAACACAAAGTCACCTTGCAGTCGGGCATAGACAATTTGCACGATGATATTCTTGTTCGTGAAGCGTACTACTAGCCGGTACTTTGGCGCGTTGCTTTGCATATGAATCAGCCAACACCATCGGAGGGATACTTGATACTTACTACTTGTTCTTTGCCTGAGTCACTAGGCGTTTACGGGCATAATCTAACGACAGTCAGTACATCATCGCCATCGGTCGTCGACGAGAAAACCACTAACAATCAGTTTTCCCCTCACGGCGTCGACGGTATTTGACTTGGAAGCGAGAGAAGTAGGCGTCCGACTTGACCTTCTTGACGAATGGCATCTGGTGGAATTTGGTCAGGTACTCATCCGAGGACCACGCCGAGCATCCATCCGCCACGGACCAGAAAACAGTTGAAATAAAACCCTCGTCAGTTGTCGACGACACGTCCAGGCCAATAGAAAAAGCCCAAACGAACACTCACCTTGAGGGATTTGAGGAACGGCAGCGACAGCGAGCTCGGGTATCGCTGTGATGACGATTTACAGTTCCAGTCGTTGTTTACGTGTATTGATTTCTGTGTCCACACAATTATTTGATTTTAGAATTTTGTTGGCTTAGCTAAGCTGCCTGCTTCCTGCCACCATGGATCCCTCGCAACAATACTACCAGCAGTACAACCAGCAGCAAAGCTACGACGTGAATCCGTACCACCAGCCTTACCAGGGTCCGATATATCCTATTCCCGGCTCTTCCTCTCACAGCGCGCCGGTTCCTGCTAATGCATACGAGTACGATGTCGGCATCGTCGCCCAACAGAGTGTGTATGTTCCCGGAGCAATGATTGATAAGCGTGGCGGTGCAGGTGGGAAGCTAGCGAAGGGCGGGAAGAGGTTGACTGTGCTGCGCAAGGGCGGGGGTAAAGTGTGGGAGGACCAAACGCTTCTAGAGTGGAATCCGTGTGAGTATCATTCAAGTTCATTTTCGCCGTGCATATGTGTTGAGGATGGTTATAGCCTGGTTCCGCCTGTTCGTTGGTGACCTGAGCAACGATGTCTCTGACGACGTCCTTGCAAACGCTTTTAATAAATACACATCATTCCAGAAAGCCAGAGTAATACGGGACAGGCTAAGTGCAAAGGTGTGTGGTCGTCTCCTGCCATCCGACATTTCTTTGACGCAGATATCATAAAGGCCAAATATGGCTTCGTCGCATTCTCTGATCCGGAAGATTTCCTAAAAGCCTGGAAGGAGATGGATGGTGAGTATCGCGCTGTCCATGTGTACCCCCATGACACTAACCACGTTGCGCAGGTAAATACGTAGGTAATCGCCCTGTGAAACTTAAGAAGGCGGACGACACTGCGATTAGACCCGTAGAAATAGGCCACCGCAAGGCAAAGCAACTAGAAAGAGAGCTGAAGAAGAACAGGCGCAAACCTTACTAAGTGTCCAACCGAGCGTTTTGGTAGGACGTCACTAACAATGCAAGCATGCCAATGGTATACCCGAACACTTCAGACTTCCCCAGCTCTACGTTATTGTCATTCACCGCTCCAAGGAGCATGACTCCGTCCAATGTATTACATAGAATATGTATACACACTATGCACGCACGTCCTTCTGCTGTGTACACGCAAATTCTCCGGCGTTTGAGCACGTCACGTGGCGGGACGTAGGCAACGAATGAATCCAGTCGCACTTTACCCCTGCGTAATAGGGCGACATGGACGTCGACAAGCTCTTCAAGGTAAAAGGTTGCCGGCCGTTTATTTCAACTCCTCTCATTTTGCCTTGTTCAGGTACCGAAGCTCCCGACTGGAGTAAAGCGCAAATTACCAGATAACCCTACCCCGGAGATGTTAAAGAAAATGCGGCTGGATGCTCACGGTCAGGCCGACTCGGACCATGATGGTCACGATGCTATACTTCCGAACCGGCGAGCTACAGTGGAAGATGAGCCAGAAGAAGACCAAGACACCCCTTTTGCCCCTGGAGGGGACGCTGATTACTTCGCCGAAGAGGACGAAGAGGGTCGCTTTTATGGAGGGGGTCTTACTAGCCAACAAAAAGAAATCTTGAGCATTTTTGAGAAGGCCGAGGGAGAGGGGATTCAGGACGAGGTACGCCTTTCCCACTCTTACAAAGGGGGGATTTACGAATGTGACCGTAGCCAGAAGAAGTGACACTTCCTAGTATACGGAGGACGCTTACCCGCTTCGAGCGCGCGGTGAACAAAAACCAGGATCAGCGGTCCAAGTATCCCGATGATCCTACAAAGTATGTGATCCGTATTCTGCGTGGATATTGACACCTTCACGTCGGATAGGTTTATTGATTCAGAAGCGGACCTCGACAGCGCCATCAAGTCTCTGTTGCCCCTTGCCCAGTCGCCGGTACTCGCATATCCGGAGATTGTTCGTACGGGAGCGCTCACGCTGTTGATTGGGCTTCTTAGTCACGAGAATGTCGATATTGTCATCGACACTGTGGAGCTTTTTAACGAATTAACGGACGAGGATGTTGGCAGCGAGGGCGAAGACGATGCTGAAGAAGCCCAGGCCGCTTTGAAGGTTCTGATAGAGGCATTGGTAGGTCAGGTTTCTTGGAGAGTCAGCAATTACAGTGTTTCTAATATCAGTACAATAGGTGGAGCATTCAATACTCGAACTACTAGTTGACAATCTCTCTCGTTTGAACGAAGCGGAGGAATCGGACAGACAGGGCGTCTTTCTCATCATCGGTATTATAATTTCCCTCCCTTCTGGATATTACTGATTAGCAGACAGGTGTTTTCGAGAATGTTCTTGGATTTAATCCGGACCTGTCTGAAAACCTTGTGGCTCAGACAAAGATCATGAATTGGCTTCTTGAACGTATTCTATGGAAAGCTCACGACGAGAACCGCTGCTACGCCGCCGAATTACTTTCGATACTTCTGCAAAACAGCTCCGCGAACAGGGAGGAGTTGGGTAAGAAAGACGGCGTTGAGAACATGCTGAGAGCTTTGTCGGTGAGTAGCTCGTGAGAAGAGGGTAATTTTGGTCCAACTTCACGACGCATTTTAGCAATTCCGTAGACGTGATCCTGTTGATGCTGACGAGGCGGAGTTCATGGAAAACCTCTTTGATGCCCTGTGCTCAGCTCTGTCTGACCCTGGGGTAAAATCCCTATTCCTTGCTAGTGAAGGTGTCGACTTGATGTTACTGATGATGAAGTAAGTCATGCCCTTTAACCTGAGCTTACTTTCACGCCAGTTTTCCAGAGAAAAGCTTCAGTCGAAATCACGCTCTATCAAGGTGCTCGATTACGCGATGTCGGGACCGGCGGGATCCGAAGTTTGCTCGACTTTCGTTGAGGCACTAGGGTTAAAGACGCTCTTTTCGGCATTCATGGGCAAAGTGAGCTCCACCATACCTGCCTTGAAGAGCATTCGCTCACGACCTCAGGTATCGAAGAAGCAAAAGCGTAACGCCGGAACCCAGGCAACTGAAGACACATCTCACATATTAGGCATTATCTCGTCATTGTTTACGAATCTCCCTTCGGCCTCGTCAGGCCGAATACGTTTGCTTGCCAAATTCGTGGAGAACGAATATGAAAAGGTAGACAAACTGCTGGAAATTCGAGAACACGCTTCCAACCGCTTGAAGCAAGTCGACACTGAGATTGAAACAGAGAAGAAGGTATGAGTTACCTATGAATTTCGCTATGATAAAATGCCTCATTTATCTGGTAGGATTTACTTGCCGACGGCGCTGTTGAACCGGAACACGAAGACTTGTGGTATCTTCGACGCTTAGATGGCGGTCTCTTTACTCTGCAAACCGTCGATTATATTTTGACCTGGATTGCAATGGAAGATGACGGTGTATGTTTAGTTCTGAACCGAGCTGCTTCATTGACTGGCTGACTATCATTTTAGGCACGAGCCCATCTCGCAAAGATGCTTGAGCGCAAGAACTTAAAACTTGAAAATATCAAGCAGACGTTACAGATGTATCACGATAACGTCGACGCAGATGACTCTGGTGGCAAGAGTGCCATTGGGATGCCACAGAAAGAAATACTGGAGCATCTCGTCGCCTTTTTACAAGAGTGTTCGTGACATTTCCCTAGGTACATGTTCTCCTGTTTCCTGTGATGCAGTCACCAGAGCAACACAGGAAAACACCATTTCTAGTGTACCCTTCGTTTTTGTTAATTCCTTCTGCAGTCGAATTTCCGCAAGCACTTTCTTTCGTAAGCGAAGTAGAAGAGAGTCAACTAGAGGTGATTGGCCAAAAACTGGCGAGTAGAGCTCTGTCGGTGCGTTCTCATTACAGATGCCCAGAACAATTGATAAAAGTGCGTACCAATAAGCAAAGAGGCCATGTCACAGACCAAGTCTCCAAACCTAGAGTCAGTCACATGCTTGACGAGGAGTCGTAGGATGGGTTCCAGCAAAACATCATCTCGACCGGACATCGCACTTCTAAGGCCGTCACGATGGATAAGTTCCTGTATGAGGGAAAAGGTGGCCGTGGGAGGGACATTCTGTGCTGGGATGAGAACTTGGCTAGGGGGTTGGGAACGACGAATGGAACACACCTTTTGAAGGACAGCGTCCAAAGCTGCGGAATACTTGAACGCTTTCAGGAAGCGATCATATTGTTTCAGCCGTTTAGCTCTCCTGCTTTCTATTCTCAGTTCGCCCGCATCTCCAACAGGTTTAGATTTTGTCTTTGATTTTATGTGACCTTGACCAACTAAGGGCAAGGTACCACCTAAGAATGTCTCGTACGTGCCCGCCTTCAGCGCAGTGGCATACTCCATGCTGGTTTCAGAGGCCGTCGGCTGCCGTCGACGTACCGAGAGTGTGCCATCTGACATCCCGGCGGCTATGTGCGTTTCATCTGGCTAAGATGACGTGAGTCGGGCCCTCTCAAATTGCAAAAATTGGGGGCTTACAGAAATGGCAAGGCATAGTACCGACGCTGCGTAGCGCATTGTGTGGACCACTTTATAAGTAGATATATCGTATACTTTTACCATTTGGTCGAGGGAACCGGTCAGAAGGCGACCAGCATTTGCATCGTATGCAAGGGACATTACAGTTTTTTGGTGATTGGACAGTGCTCGTATACATCGTCCACCAGCATTGAGATCCCATACCCGCAGTATGGGTCCCGCAGCAGACAGGGCAACTGTGCCGGATGGCAGCATGAGGACTGCCTCTACAGGAGAAGTATTTGTTGCCTTCCCACTCATTATCATCTCGCATTCCCCACTCCGAGAGTCATGTAACCTCATTGTTCCATCATATGAGCCAGTCAAAATAAGGTGAGGGTTGGAAGGAGACACCTCCCCCGATCGAACATAGTCCGTATGAGAAGTGAAAGTGACTGCTTCCGCTTGAGACGGCACGTCCCAAAGTTTTACAGTCGTATCGTCCGAGCATGAGAGAACCTGGGTATGCGAAAGGGGAGAGAATTTTGCTACATGGACCGGTTGCTTGTGGGAGTCAAATGTGCGCAGTATTGCCCGGGAGTTGATGTCAAATATCTACGCGCATGAGGGAAGATGCTTTGTGAGTGACAGAAGAAAAAAGGAAACCGCACATACCTGAACGAGACCCGTGTCGTCGCCCGCTACGACAAGTTTTCCGTCTGAACGAATGTTGCCACTGCGTGCCACGTCTTTGAACCGTGATATTGTCTTGGCAACCTTTTGGGTGCGCGGGGCGTAGATTTGTACGCGAGTCGCTGCAGTAACAGCATATCTGTGGGGCTTGGCAGGGGAGAAGTGGATGGAAGTTACAGGAGCATATTCCTTCACGAATACGGGGTGCTTAAACTGACGCCAGAACCTGGATTCTGCGCTGTGCTTCGTCGCATGTGGCCTTGCATGCCTCTGTACGGTGACAGCTTTGTAGTCCATCGGGAGATAGATGCACGCGTCACGCGTGACGTGACGGCGGTGAAAATGTGAGTCACATGACCAGCACAGCAGAGATAATCGATTCCAAAGTAGATAAGCCGACACTTCACTCAAAAGTTCTCTTTTGCGTTTTACCCTTACTGCATCGCGATGCTGTTGTACAAAGACATCTTAACTGGGGACGAGATGTTCTCTGATGCATTTCCAGTGTTCGTTCCGATTCTCTGTTCTCTTAGGCTCAGCTGATCGGACTATCGCCGCGACGTAGTAAAACAGTCGACGACATCGTCTACGAGGTCGACTGTCAAGTTATTACCGTGAAGCCAGGTGCTGATGTGGACATCGGTGGGTTTCATACATTCTGAAGCAGGGTGATTGTCTCGAACTGACGACCTTAGGCGCAAATCCGTCTGCCGAGGAGCAAGCTGAAGCCTTGGAAGAGGGTTCCTCTCAAGTGAACAACGTCATTCACTCTTTCCGACTCGAATCGACCGTTTTCGATAAGAATAGTTTCAGAGCTTACCTCAAGGTCGGACAACCATCCGCTTTGTATCGTTCAGTTTTACAATCCCAGAGAACAGGCTTACATGCAAGCCGTAAAAGCGACGCTAGTCAAGACAAAACCTGACCGGGTTCCGGACTTCGAAAAGGGTGCATCGGCTTATGCCAAAAAGATTGTTGCAAACTTCAAGAACTATGAATTTGTAAGTTCCTCTAGTGATCAGACTGACCTGGTCCTGAGTCACACAGTACACTGGGGAGTCAAGGAACCCTGATGGCATGGTAGCACTGCTCAATTATAGGGTAAGTGCAGTGTGTTCTGTCTCTCTCTGTATGCTCAAATGTTACCCAGGAGGATGGAATAACACGTGAGTACTTGTCCGATACTTGTGATCGTTGGTCGCCAACATTGCTTCAGCCTACTTCACATTCTGGAAGGATGGTCTCGAACAAGTCAAGCTGTAGATCTTGTAACCTATATTGTTCGCATACCGAGTTTATGTTCGTTCCCAAGAACTAGCAAACATTGAGCATTTGCCAATAACCAAAAATACTCGATCAAGATACGATAACGATAATGAATACCACATTCTACCCATCAAAGCTCATCATGGGCCTCGCTTGGCTTTGCAAAGGTAGCCTGCGCTTCGTCCTCTGGAACCTTGACCTTTGGTGTGAGATCGTTCTTCGCACGCTCCTCCACGAAGGCGATGAGACTTTCCAACGACCGGTCTCCGTCGTAATCAATGAAGTCGCGTGATCTGGCAGGCTTAAATTTCAGGGTGGGGAAACCGCCGATGCGGAAGGGAACCGAAGGCGGTAGATCATTTTCCTGAGCTTCCATTTTTGCGCTAAACGAACGAACGGGTGAGACAAGGCATCGCAATTTCAGATGGGCTTACATGACGACACGATCCTTCACTTCGGCAAAATGATCACCGAGAGAGTCCCATATGGGCTTCAGACGTTTGCAGTGGCCGCACCTAACAGACATCAGGCTGTAAGTGACCACGCACAGTGCAAAATGCGACATAGGACACGAACCATGTCGCATAAAACTCAATAAACACGTCCTTCGACTCGTCGAAGGCAACCTCATCGAACTGCTCACCGACTAAAACGAACACACTCTCATCCTGACTTTCTGGAATGGGCTGGCTCTTCAACTTCGGCTGCAGTTTACCATCGAGGTAGTCGGTGACCATGGTTGAGACAGCAGCAGGTTCGACTTCCTTGCTTTGATCATAAGGATACTTCAACTGCAACCGCAGATCCTGGATGACGAAGCTTGGCCACTTAGGCTCGGCGAGATTCAGAGCCTTCGCATGATCCCCAAACTTGGTAGCGTCGATCCAAACGAAATTGAGCTTGCTGCGATACTTGGAAGCGACAGGTTTAAGTGCCTCGATGTATTCTTGGCTCTTCTCGTCGTTGGGGTCGACAAACAAGTATGCTAAGGGCCGTCCACTAGCGACGTAGACGGAGTACGTATCACCATTGACTTCACCAATTGTTGGGATGGCCAATTCTTCCAACCAGGTACCAAGATCATTAGCAGTTACGGAGGAGATAGGGTAGGGGTATTCGGACACAGGTTCATCGAAGCTACGATAGACAACGATCGCGGGAGCTGAGACGCCCGCAGCTGCGATTGCCTCTGGGTCGGTGGTGATACCAAACAAGTAGTCCTCACGGTGCTTCTCAGCGGCAGCGCCGAATTCTGTGGCAGGGGCGTCAGAAGTCGAGGTAACATATGCGACAGCGACGATCTTGTCAGCGTGTTGGAATTCAGTGAGGTTAGCCGCAGTCACTTGTGAGACAGCGGGAAGAGATTGTCTGTTGCAAAGATCAGCAGGGAATTGTCACTACGTGAACGGAAAGTGTACTTGATCAGATAGCTGACGATACCATCAGCCTTACGGGGGCCAGTGTAGTCGGTGGCCTCACCACGGCGGAAAACTTTGAGAGTACTGCAACGGTATCAGTGGGATTTCGGCATTTGGAGGATAGCGAAAGCATACGGGTAGCCCTGAATCCCATGGGCCTGGCAAAGCTCTGCCTGGTCGACACAGTCTACTTTAGACAGCTTGATGTCCTTTTCCTTCAAAATAGTTGCCGCCTCCTCGTAATGAGGCGCAAGAGCCTTGCAGTGTCCACACCTAAAAAAAAATGGATTAGACGATATGAGATACCCAAAGAGACTGCACGCGCCATGGGGCAAAGTACTCGACAAGAATCAATGGTTCGCTATTGACGACGGCCTCGAAGGTCTCTTGGGTGATGTTGATGACATCGGACGGCTTCTCAGCGTCGGCATCGGCCGCTGCGATGGAAGCAAGAGCAACAGCAGAGGCTGTCGAAAGGAGCGAGGAGAACCGCATGGCAGCAGACAGCAGACAGCAGAGCAACGGTGGTGGGTGGGTTTAAATTGCGGGGATGACGGTCTTTTATGGACCCGGCAAAAAGAAGTGTCTACGTGTCCACTTGTACTATTATGTACATACAGTAACATTGCCACTCTATGCCAAGTATACAAGTATACTCAAAGCAGGATCGTTCGTGTAGATGATTCTCCCATCGACCAAGCGTTCAAACATTACGATGTCACTCCAGATTGGAGAGGTCGAAATCTGAGCCCCGTTGGCGGCCACCACCATAGCTCTTCGCACCCGGAACGAATGGTCGAGGGGTAGGGAAGCCATCGACCGGAAATGTATGCCCTCCAGCGGTAGGAGGCGGAGATGGAACTGTAAAAGGGCCATTTAAGCTTATTAGCACGAGGGCCGATGTAAAGATTTACTCACTTCTTCGTGTCGGCGGCGGTTGCCTGTTACCATTGACAACACCATGGACAGAAGTCCTCGGTTCGGTCTTTGGAGGTCCCGAGACTACCCGCGGCCTATGAGGGACCGAGGTCAAGGTCTGCGCTAAGGATGCTCGAGCGGGCGATGGTCCAGGGGGCGGTGGGGCAGGAGGCTCCACCTCAGACAAGGCTCTCACACGCGCAGGCGGAGCTGGAGGTCCATCTGCTACGGGCGGCTTTCTCGGAGGGGGTGCAGGCACTGCTCGAAAACCCAGCGTACTTCCAGAAGATGGCCTGGGTGGAGGAAGGGGCGCAGGTCTACCAGGTGTCGCTGGTGGAGGGGGGGCCCGCCGTATCGGGGGTACAGGAGAATTTCCATTGTTCCGGGTGGGCAAAGGTGGAACTGCCCTTGCAGGAGAAGATATTGTAGTGGTAGTGGGAGATGAACTGCGTCCGCTCACTGGGGGCGGTGAACGGCCAGTGTTGGTAGGCGAGGCTGTTCGGGGAGGCGGTGGAGGCCTACGAGGGGTTACAGACACACTTGGAGGAGGGGAGGGAGTCGCTCGAGGTGGTAACGTTGGTCGGGTGCTCACAGATCCAGGAGATCTCGAGGGTAATGCGGGTGATGGTCTGCCTGGCAGCGCTGCGGGTGGTGCTGTTGGTGGTCTCGGTGGAGTCGGCCTAGATGGGAGAGCAGTACTTGCAGTAACGGCTGGAGTGCCGCGCCTAGGTACCAAAGGTGGCTTCCCGAATGTCGGGGGCTTAGCTGTGCGAAGTCGGTTGTCTGTGCCTCCAGAGAATAGATCTGCACGGACCTAGATTATTTTGCCCTGCGGGTTTCAACTTGGGTAAACCGCCCGCAAACAGGTTACCAAGCTGAGGGGGTCCCCCAACACCCGATGACGGCCGAGCAGCGGCCGGTGACGAAGACGCCCTTGCGACTCCGGGTGCCCCAACCATACCTCCTCCACCGGATTTGGTCTCGACCATCGGTGCGCTGCGGTCATTTGTTTCTGCCTTTCTCAGCTTTTTTCCTGCCTGGATCTGCTTCAAGAGTTCGCTAGATGCCATATCGAAAGGTGATGAGCGAGGAGTCGGCGCACTCTGGACTCGGAAGTGGCACACCGTAGGTAGTGGCTGGGACTCGCACGTGACTGGTGGTGCCCCATGAAGCCCGTATTAGTGGTCTCATGCCACACTCCCATTCTAACTTATGTCCCATTGGCACGGAACCGACGATGCAAGATCGCGTTTATCTCGTCAAGTTCTGGATATTTATCAGATGGTCTCCTCTGACCTGGAAACAGCCAGTCCAGAGCATGAGGTGTGACTCAACTCCACCTCCCATCTCTCACACGAGCATGTGCTGAACGACCAGGGCTTGACACGTTGCGTAACAGGGGCTGATGCCGAGTTGCACAACTACCGTCTCAACACACATCACCCTCAATAGTGTGAAGCCTGCAGTGGTATATATCACAAATCTCTTTCTAGTTCCTTCAAGCACTACCAAAATATTTGCAGTACCTCGACGCTATGCGCTCACTATCACTATCGACTTAGTGCCTACTGACATGCAGCGCACGGAGTATCAACCACCAGGAGTCGGTGATGGGGTACAATGGTCTTCACGAGTGACTCCTAAGGCTTAACACTCCTTGTAGATATCATAGGGAATATGGTGTAGACCCCATACAGGGTAGTGTCACGTGAATTTCACGTGATATAATGGCCAAACTTGATGCCAAATAGACTTTCGGGGTTTCTGGACTCGTCTTAGGGCACAGGACGTCTCAAGCACCTGCTCTTGCAGAGTGTTTCACACACAGACGCGCAGCAATGGACAACATACCGCAGCTCGGTACGGCTGCAGACTTGGAGTTACGTGCAGCCCGCATTGCCGATCCCGGAATTGGTATGCCTTGTTGACAGTATATTATCTCCTCTTGACATGGAACTCGCGGTAGACCTCAAGACGAAGCACACAGTGGCATGTGAACTTAGAGAAATGATCGATACTGTCCGGGACGCGGATTCAGCGCGCGTGTTCCCCCAGATGATACCTTTACTACTTGCAATCCTTCGTTCGGGGGATGCGTCCTTCCAGAAGGATACTCTGGAGTTTCAATTCCGTCGCGTTCTGTTGGAAGTACTTCACCGCGTACCGTATAGCGACGTTATTCGGCCACAAGCACTCTCACTGCTGAGTGGGATGCTGCATATACTCCATCATGATAATGAAGAAAACGGCGTTACCTCTTGCAAGATCATCATTGATTTGCTTCGGTCTTTCAGAGCTCTGACCGAAGAGCTTGTTGCCGAATTTATGTCGATTCTCCAGGAAGTTTTCAGGAATATTAAAGGCCTAGTCGAGGAGACTCTGTCTGAGGAGTCACCCGTTCTTGATCCAAATGTGGTGATGCCGAGCACACGCAGCTTCAAGGTATTGGCGGAGATGGGCATGGTTGTCGTAACTTTCTCCCAGAGCCACCGTCCTATGGTTGTTACACTGATTCAGACGACACTTGGACTCAACTTTGAAGTACTGGCTCTCGAATCCTCTGCCCAGCGGAAAGCACGCGAGGACTACGAAGCGATGGGATCCTACTGGGCTGGAATGGCTCCAACCATCAAGAATCCTTCCGCATATGCGGATTTTGTTAACGCGCAAATCAAGGCCAGTGTCGCTGCGGTGATTCTACGTCTATCTCTGAATTTGTCTTAGATGGTATCATATGTTGCCTATGTCATCCGGGGTTTTGGGGAGCAGTTCGAATCATTTGGAGAACGACTTATTTTGTCTGCCCTTCGACTGTTACAAGACTTGCCTGCTAATAGCATCCAAGCTCGGAAAGTTCGTTGCATCATCTTTTGCATGTAGTTCCTATTAACGATTTATAGGACCTTATGGTCGTCTTACGCCACCTGATTGGCACCCCACATCGCAAGGCTCTGCTGCCGCACATAGACAAATTGTTTGACGAGCAGGTTTTACTTGGCACTGGTGTTGGTAGTCGAGAGACCATTCGGTTTGTTCTATGCTTCTACCTCAACGAATGACCTGATCTGGCTATTGTAGTCCTGCGGCTTATGCTTCTCTTGCTGACCTTGTTCACCATCTTCGGGGGGAGCTCTCAGCAGAACAGTTAGCGAAGGTCGCAAAGCTGTATTCGATGCTCCTTCATAACCCGTACCTTGGCCACAATCTCCACACCCTATTTTCCAAGATGATGTTCGGTCTTATTGAAAACATCACAGCCAAAGCTACTCCCCAAGCTGCTGCATGTATACTGGGCGCCATGTTTGAGACTTGCGTGGACAGGGTAGAGGCGATGACAAACATATTGGAAATGACGACGGAGCATGTGGAGAACGCGAAACGTGGTGAAGAGTCACAGACGTTGCCACTATTGATAGAGAGGGCACGTCCGGTCGCCGGTGCGGCATACGCTATAGAGAAGCCTGAGGAGGTTATACAAGGCAGGTTTAATTTGATCCACGTTGAGTGACTAATTCTGACCATCTTATAGAGTGCCGTTACTTGTTTCGCACCCTCTTGCATGGCTTCCGTGTGTGCCTCGCTGGTTTGAAGAAATGCGATGGGGCCATCCCCGATGGCACTTTAATCTTCCGCCTTTTCGCCAGTTGTGTCAAGTGTATGGTCCTTGTGGATGCGGAACCGAGAGAAGCAACAGAGATCATGGATTGGTTTAGCGCAGTTCTTCTTGAAGTGAATCTGCACGTCTTCCAGGAAGTTTGGACCCATAAAATTGAGACATTCGTCCAAGCATCGGTAAAGCGAGCGACACTCCTCCATATCTGCCAGACGCTGTTCAGTCGAGAGGCAGTCTCCCCGACTCTCGTAGCCATCGTCTTGCGTTTCTTGATTGACCGACTCCCTCAATTAGGCGAGTACGAGGACCCAAGGGCTGTGGTCTCAATCAGACTTTTCAAGATGGCATTCAGTGCCGTGACCGCGTTCCCGATCTCCAACGAACCTATATTAGCGTCCCACCTCGCAAAGTTGATCATGGATTGCTTTCCTTTAGCAGCCAAAGCCACCAAACCGACAAACTATTACCATCTCCTTAGGGGACTATTCCGCGCCATCGGGGGTGGAGGGGGGAGATTTGAGCTGCTGTACAAGGAGGTTCTGCCTCTTTTGCCTGAGATGCTGGAAAGCCTTAATCGACAGCTATTTGCTTCGGATGGAATTAGCAGGGAAATGATCGTCGAACTATGTCTCACCGTTCCGCTGCGCCTCACACACCTTCTTCCTCACTTATCATACCTTATGCATCCGCTTGCGCTTGCGCTGCGTGGATCACCGGAATTGGCGTCACAAGGACTACGGACCCTCGAGCTATGCATTGACAACCTCACCCCAGATTTCCTTGATCCCACTCTGAACACCGTTTTGCGAGAACTTATGGAGGCTCTTCATAGTCACTTGAAACCATTGCCGGCAAACCATCACCACGCACACACGACAATTCGCGTACTTGGCAAGCTTGGTGGCCGGAATCGGCGTTTGTTGAGCAAAGAACCGCTGCTGGAGTACAATTCCGTTGCTCGACCGGCTTCGATCATTCTGTCATTTGGGGGAACGAATGAACCTGTCGACCTAGGTGCCATGTCCAGCTTCGCAGCTCTAACGTTATTGAAGACTCCACCACCCAATCCATACTGCGGTTATGCCTATACCTTCCTTGAGACATGCATCAATTCATTGCTGCACGAGGTTGGTTGACTTCTACAACAACGTTCTTATGCTCGCTGACTTCAACGATCAGCATAATTTCAATGAAGCCCAAGCAACTGTATTTGTGAGATGCTTCGAGGCAATACTCGATGCCATTCACATTCCCGAATACTCGCAAGACGCCCAGAAGTTCACCCGGGAACTCTCCAAGGTTATCTTCGCCATGGAGATCAGAAAGAATGCTACCAAGGAGGCGGGCCTGAAGCGCTACCCTACCCCCTTACTTTCCTCTTACCTTGAGGCGATACCACATGCTCTTGCGCGCGAGAGTCTAGAGGACGCAAGACGTGGCCAGGAAGTATTCATCTTTGTAATGCAGGATCTAGTTGCCATGATCAAGGAGCAGGCCGTTAATCCACAGGATGTTGTTCCAACCCTTCATCAGCTGGCTAACCGGTTCAGTGCCATGTGCCTAGAAGACTCATGGGTCCACAAGAGTGCTGGTTGTAACGGCATTCGAATTTTAACCGGTACTCTCGACTTGGGTGTGAAGTGGGTTAGCGATCGCGAGGTTGACTTCATCCGTACACTTCTGCATATATTGAAGGACCTTCCTCACGACCTTCATCGCGACGTGGGTGAGGTGACAGATGTCCTCAAACAGGTTTTGCGGGTTGGCGATGTGGGACCCCTTGGAGACACTCCAGTCACATCACGACCGAAGCTTTTGCACCTCATCGGTATCTTGTTTGCGGAGCTTTCGAGTCCCAACCCCGTTGTTCGTCAGGCAGTTCAAGGATGCATCGAGCTGCTGGTAGAACTCACAGGCAAATCAGCTTACGAACTGCTTCTATCTCATCGCGATCGCATGTTAACGGCTATTTACACGAAACCTCTCCGAGCTCTATCTTTCCCCATTCAAATTGGCATGATAGACGCTGTGAGGTATTGTATAAGCCTCCATCCGCCACTACCGGAGTTAAACGATGAGCTTCTGCGCCTATTGCACGAGACGTTGGCATTGGCCGATGCTGACGATTTGAATTTGGGTCGCGGTAACCTTCGCCAAAATGGGTTGGAAGTAATCAAACTTCGCGTTTCTTGCATCAAGCTCCTCACTGCGTCTATGCCCGTGACTGATTTCTTCACAAAGCAAATCCAAACAAGGCAGAGGTATGTGACTACATTGCGCAAGCGTTTCTTTACGGATGGTGTTTGTGCAGAGTTACTGGTGTATACTTCAAGTCTTTGTACTCGCCATCGCAAGAAGTGAAGGAAGTGGCACACGAAGGGTTACGTATGGTACTGGCTCATCAAAGTCGCCTTCCTAAAGAACTCCTCCAAACCGGTTTGCGCCCTGTGTTGATGAACTTGGCAGACCCGAAGCGCCTTTCAGTCTCTGGGCTCGAAGGCCTCGCACGCCTTTTGGAGCTGCTTATCAACTATTTCAAGGTGGAAATTGGCCATAAACTGCTTGATCATTTCCGTATTGTCGCAGATCCACAGATGTTGCAAGCGTCGTCGCGCCTCCCTTTGCCGGAAAACGAGGGCATCACCAAGCTAGTTCAACTTGCCAACATCTTTCACCTTTTGCCCTCCACTGCCCATATCTTCCTCGAAAACCTTGTCAATGCCATTGTCCAAACGGAGGCTCAGATGCACTTTTCCGACCGGAGTCCCTTCTCAGAACCGCTGGGAAAATATCTTGACCGTTATCCGGGGGAGGCTCTTGACTTCTTCTTGAAACACCTGCACTTCCCGCGCCACGTGAGGACACTGAGGAGCATCTTACGGGCTCGGCTGGCACCTAACCTGGAACGCGAGCTTGCCTCGCGGACACAGTCTCTTGTTGAACTCTGCCTGAAGAGTAATGACAAGAGTTTACTTATCCCTGGCCTTTCCTTGTTTGATGAAATTGCTGATATTCAGCCAAGCTGGACTTTGGAGAACCTTCATGTGGTCGATGTCCTGGTTGAGGTATGGCGTTCTGAACGCCTGGAACTTGCGCAGATGGACACCATGTCATCCGACGTCATCCACCGACACTCCCTCCTCCTGTCAATTTTCAAGAAGACGTTGCAGAGAACATCACAAGTGGATATCCTCTTTGAAGTTGTGGACATTTACACTCGCAATCTTGCTATGGACCTAACGCGCCTCACGCAATTCCTCTATGACCACGTCGCACTCAACAGGGATCTATTTTATCGCCGCAACGTTTTAGCTCGCTTTCTCGTATGGTTTGAAGACTCCTCTGCGTCGTGGGCGGCCAAGACCTACTTCCTTCGCTTTATAGTGACACCTACGATTATCGTTCAAGCTAACAATTCTAGCAAGGACGGCCTGCTTGATTCAGAATTCATATCGGCTGTCCATCAGACCATCTGGCAGCCCATGATAGACGACACAACTTTTACAAGTGCTGACGATATGTTCAAGATCGAACTCCTGCATTTGACCACTGTACTTGTCCATCGCTTCCCAGAACTCTTGGAAGACGTCAAGAGGGATATTATACGTTGCGCGTGGCACTACATTACTTCCGATGACGCTGTGGTCAAGCAGACCGCGTATCTACTCGCAGCCCGCTTCTTTGATGCGTTCGATACTCCACAGAAATTCATCTTACGTGCTTGGACTGGACTACTTCGTCCTCCCCATACGGAAGGCAAAGCGCTCATCAAACAAGCGCTGGACATTCTCGCGCCTGCCCTTCCAAAATCTGGTGCCAATGATGTGGGGTATCCACAGTGGGCAAAGACTACACGTCGACTTTTAGCAGAAGAGGGCAACGGATTCCAACAGATTATCATGATTTACCAGCTCTTGGTCCGGCAACCTCACTTGTTTTATCCTGTCCGCGCGCTTTTCATCCCTCACATGGTCAACTCTTTGACGAAACTCGGTCTTTCTGGGACGGCTTCGACCGAATCGCGGGCTTTGTCCATTGACATCTGTCAGGTCATATTTGACTGGGAACAGAAGCCTATGGACACGGAATCGCAGCCTACCACTTCTCGCCTCCCAACATGGACAACCCCTCTTGCTTTTCGGGAAACCATCGTCAGTTTCTTGGTTCGCCTAGCGACAGCACCAGCACCGCTGGATCCACAGTCCAAGAATTCTTTGGTTTCCCGTGCACTGGCGTTGCTGTGGCAGATGGTTTCGCCTGCGGGCTGGAGCGACGTGACTGTGAAACTGAACTACTTTTCCCGTGCACTTGAACAGGTACGTTACATGTGATTTAGTGTGTCTGATTTACTTATCAGATAAATAGCTTGAATTGGACTCGGAATCACACCTCAACCAGGCTCTTAGTACGGCCAAAGTGCTGCAGGTGGTGACTAGCGACAAAGATGATGCCTGGTTTGTCGCCAATTCAACCATCCTTCAGTCTCTAGTACGCAAAGGGTTGATGACTGACGAGCCGGATCTGCATGACACTCTGTACCCAATATTCGACCGCCTTCTACGTCTCTTTCCTTTGCCCGACAGAGACGAGAAGCAGGGCGAGATGTCGGATTTCCACAACTTCGTGTACACTGCCATTGAAGATGGTCTTTCAAGTACTAGTGCAATACGTGGCATTCTCCTGATGTTGAATTCCGTTGTGCGGGTTGCCGCAGAACGCATCCAGCCGTTTTCGGCTTCCTTGTTGCGACTGCTCAGTAGGCTCGCCAAAGACCACGTCAACTCGGCGCCGAATGCTAACGGATTCGACAACGTTGTCCGACTCATCACGTCCATCATTGACACTTGCAAAGCTACCATTCCACATCTAGGGGAACACCGCAAAGCGTTCCTGGGAGCGTTCACAGCTCTCACCGAAAAGTCAAAAAGCGTCTCACTATGCCGTCACATGCTCGATGTCATGCGCGAATGGGTCCTTGGTAGAAACAACACCTATCCGACCATGAAAGATAAATTGAACATCCTTCAGAAGATGACTGGCTTTGAATCCCGTGGAGAGCAGCTGTTCCACGATTACCTCGAGCTTGTATATGACATATACGTAGAGCCTTCATTGAGAAGGAGCGACCTTACTTCCCGTCTGGAGCAATGCTTCCTTCTCGGTTGCCGCGCAAAGGACACCTCTTTAAGGGAGCGATTCATGGATCTGTTGGACGCGAGCATCCCGCGTTCGCCATCATCACGCCTCGCGTACATTTTGGGAGTTCAGAGCTGGGAACCACTAGCTGACCATAACTGGATCTTCCTTGCTTTGCATCTTCTTCTCGGTTCGGTCGATGTCGAAGCCCCCCTTATTCCGGAACGCAAACTAGCATTTGACCCTCTGGCTGGCTACCTTAGTGCCCGACAGAAGGCCGCTTCGATCGTCCGCCCTATGCAGCGTCTCACCTTCCTGGATCCCCACTCCGCACACGATGTCTGGGTCTCCGTATTCTCCGTTGCGTGGAAGTCATTGTCACGGAGAGAACAAGCCGACATGACACTCCACATGATCAATCTGCTAAGTAAGGACTACCATTTGAAACAAGCGGAGCTGCGTCCCAACGTCATACAGACACTGCTTAGTGGTGTCCGGGCCTGTAATCCACCCATGACACTGCCCCCCCATCTGGTCAAATATCTGGCGAAAACCTATGGTGCATGGCACGTTAGTCTCGAACTTCTGGAACAATCCGTTGATCACGTGCGTGATGACGACTCGGGCGTTCGTGACGCTGTGTACGATTCTTTAGCGGAGGTCTATGCGGAGTTGGGTGAGGAAGACATGTTCTATGGACTGTGGCGACGCCGATGTCTGCACCTTGAAACCAACATCGGTGTCGCGTTTGAACAGAATGGCATGTGGGAACAAGCCTCGCATACATATGAAATGGCACAGACAAAAGCCAAACATGGAACCATCGCGTTCTCGGAGACGGAATATTGTTTATGGGAAGATCACTGGATGCTCTCCGCGGAGAAACTGCAGCAATGGGACACTCTTTACGAGCTGGCAAAAAGCGAGGGCAACATCGAGCTTATGCTTGAAAGTGCCTGGAGGATCAAAGACTGGACGGAACAAAGGGAGACTCTGGAAGATCAGATTAATCAACTTCCCGACGTCGCCACTCCTCGTAGACGAGTTTTTGAGGCGTTCATCGCCCTTCTGAAGCTACCTGGCGCTCTGGACAAAAACACGGAGTTTACAAAAATACTCGAAGACGCCATGCAATTATCGCTTCGTAAATGGGTGGGTTTACCCCCTCACCTCTCTGTGGCCCATGTCCCTTTGCTTCAGCACTTCCAGCAATTCGTCGAGCTGCAGGAAGCTGTTCAAATTTTTGGGTCGTTGTCGACAACCAACGCGCAGAATTTAGAGAAAAAGTCCTCAGACCTCAAAATGGTTCTCCAAGCCTGGAGAGAGCGACTTCCAAACCTGCAAGATGATATCAGCATTTGGAGTGACCTCGTCGCATGGCGTCAGAACGTCTTCAACGCTATCAATAAGGCCTATATTCCACTGATCTCCAACAACAATCAATCCAGTAATACATCTACCACGAACTTCAACACTGCTGGATATCGCGGCTACCACGAAACGGCGTGGATTATTAACCGCTTTGCTCATGTCGCCAGAAAGCACGATTTGCTTGACGTCTGCTTTAGCTCCCTCAATAAGATATACACGCTTCCAAACATCGAGATTTCGGAGGCTTTCCTTAAACTCCGAGAACAGGCTCGCTGCCACTACCAGAAGCCCAGCGATCTGGTTGCCGGCTTGGAAGTCATCAATAACACTAACCTGATGTACTTCTCCAACCCTCAGAAGGCCGAATTCTTCACACTCAAGGGAATGTTCCACGCGAGGGGCGGACGAAATGATGACGCCAATCATGCGTTCGCCCAAGCGGTGCAGATGGACATGATGCAGGCTAAGGCCTGGGCGGAGTGGGGCCGGTACAACGATCGCATGTTCAAAGAGCACCCTACTGAGATGTCGCACGCTGCCAACGCTGTCAGCTGCTATCTCCAAGCAGCTGGGCAGTACAAGAATAGAAAAAGTCGACCGCTCCTGACACGCGTACTTTGGCTTCTTAGCGTCGACGACACAAATTTCACTATCTCTCGTGCCTTCGATACCTATAAGGGCGAAGCAGCCTTTTGGTACTGGATTTCGCTAATTCCCCAGCTATGTCTTTCTATCAATCAGCGGGAGGCGAAACAAGCCCGGTACATTTTGTTGAACCTTGCTAAGCTGTTTCCTCAGGTCCGTACACTCATCGATTTGCATCATCAACTAACATTTCCACAGGCTTTGTTCTTCCCTCTCCGAACCACCAAAGAAGACATGGTCTTTGTAAAGAAACAAGCCGCGGTAGCGGCAGCGGCAGCTCGTGCCTTTAATGCCAACCACAATGTGGCGGTCAACGGTGCCAAACGTGGAGATGGAGACCAAGTTATGCAAGATGCAAATGGTGAAGTCGGCAGTGAAATTACGAAACGAGATACTGGTGTTGCAGACGCCAGTGGGAGCCAGCAGTCTTCCCAGTCCTCTCAGGGAGACACGACTAGTGCAAACCTCCCCACTTCTCAGATGGCTTTGCATACCCCGACCGAAGGACAACCCACTTTTGCTATCCGCCACGCCTGGGAACATGTTGAAGAAGTTGTTCAAATATTGAAAACGGCATTTCCCCTTCTGATATTGACCATGGAGACCACGGTTGACCAGATACTCCAACGCTTTAAAGCTACACCTGAGGAGGAAATCTATCGCCTCATTTGCATGTTATTGCAAGATGCGATCCAGGTATGCCACCTATGAGAAGACATCTTAGTGCTTCACCTGACGCACCATAGAACTACGTAATGCGAACGAATGCCCCTGACGACGATGGGCAACTTGCGCCCCACACTATTAGCAACATAACCAAAATGGCGACCAACCTTGCTGGCCCAATGAGGGTGCGACTTCTGTTTCCGTCCGATAGTAAATGATAGCCTCACGGATTTTTTAATACAGAAAGAGTATGAGGATGATTTCTTGAAGAGCAAGCCCACTCATTACGAGTATATTCGCCGACTGCAACGGTGGCGCGATCGACAGGAGAAGCACCTTGACTCAAGACCACGCTTCCAATCTCTGGACTTGTTGAGTCACTATTTAACGGAGTTTCAGTATAGCAAATTTGATGACATTGAGGTTCCTGGCCAATACACGGAGGTAAGATTGGTAATGAGCCGTGGTCATCGTGATGTCTTTAACGTTCTTCCAGGACAAGGACAGCAACCAGAATTTTATTCATATTCAGAGGTTCGGTCCCAAGTTCGAGAACTGCAGATCACATGGGTACTGCTGGAAACGTTTCACTGTCCACGGCAACGATCACTCTAGGACTTCATTCTCTGTACAACTTCCATCTGGTCGCCATTGCCGCCGTGAAGAGCGAGTCATGCAGGTGTTCCGCATGTTCAATGGGTACGTTTCATTTTCTACGAACCCAGCACAAACCCCTAAACACTCCATACTGTGTAGAGCACTTTCCAGAAAAAAGGAAGCGCGCAAGCGGAACCTCAACTTCCACATCCCTGCTGCGGTCTCTTGCAGCCCGAGCCTTCGCTTGCTTCAAAACGATTCATCGTACGTCACTCTTGGTGACATATATGATCGGCATTGCGAGGAACACGGTATAACACGTGAAGATCCTATTCTCGTTTCCGGTGAAAAGGTGAAGCGTGTTCTTCTGGACTTCAAGCAATCAACGGGAAGAGTAGTGCGTTTCTCTTGTCGGGTCTCTTGAAAATATTCATAATATTATTCCAGCCCAACAAAACCGAGTACTTCACATTGCGAAAAGACATCATGGATGAAGTCGTTGCCAAGCTTGTGCCGGATGACATTCTTACTAAGGTAGACTTGTTTGTTGGGAACCTGCTCGAGCTTCCATTTACGTTCTTTTAGTATATGACTTGTGTTATGGAAGGTCCTTCAGACCTATGGAGAATGCGCAAGCAGTTCGCCTTGCAAGTGGCCGCCACGAGCTTCATGACCTACGTATTCTGCCTTACAAGCAGGTCACCGTCTCGGTTCCACATATCGCGTTCCACTGGCCTTATTGCAATGAGCGAGCTACTTCCTGGTATGTGAGACCACGAGTAGTGCTGAGAGATTGCTAATATGTGCACAGGAGTGGCAAGCCAGGCACCCGTCTTCGCATCAAATGATGCAGTGCCATTCAGGTTGACTCCAAATATGCAACGATTCATTGGACCCATATTGACGGAGGGTCTTCTTACCACAAGTATTTTGGCGATCGCACGCTGTCTGACAGAACCCGATGTCAGTCCATGACCTCGTCCCCCCGCTGTATGTAGCATTGACACATTGCTTGCAGTTTTGTTTGGACCAGCAGCTCTGTCTCTTCGCTCGAGACGAGGTTATGACTTGGCTGCACGGTAGAGGTCAGCCTTGGACGTTCGACCTCTCTTTCCGAACAAATGTTGCTGCCAATATTGAAGGTGTCGTCAAACGTGCGGAAGTGATGGCATGTAAAGTCGAGCGGGACCACGTAAGGACTAGAATTGCATTGCTCGTCCATTTGCTCATTCGGTTTGGTAGGCAACTGCCACGAACAGCTCGAACCCCGGACCGACGCCCGTTGTGCAGACCGTCACTAACTTAATCTCCACTGCTACAAACCCCATGCAGCTCATGAGAATGACAGAAATCTATCACCCGTGGTTTTGATTCACTTGGCATGTATTGTAGTAATAACATCATTCAACAAGTTGTCTTAGGCATAGATGTACATGAAACATAGGGAATCAAAGCATGATAAGACTAAGAACGATGAGCGCTTCGAACAAACCCTTCTGTTTGACGGAAGGTATTGATATGTGCTTCGCTCTCCAACATCATCTACAAGTGGCATTAGAGTTGCAAACGTGAATTAAGGCTCGACAAAACCTACCTCTTCCGCCATCTGATAGATATCGCTGCCAGGACGATTGTACATCATTGCATTGGCAAACATGAGATACACGTCTCTTTGAAACTCCAGCGAATTGGTGATGATGCCATCTTTAACTCTTCCCTTGATGGTCTTCAGGTCCATGGGGCGTTTGATGATTTCATGATAATCGGGAGCTTCTGAAATTTTGATGGGGTTATGGAAGATATTTCCATTGCGGTGCTGAGATATCTGGCTGTGAAGCATCCCAATGACGGTTTGGAAGCGTTTGTTGGGTAGCGTAGGTGGGACTTGCGCTTGCCCGTGCTCGCTACCTATCGTTCCTCGTCTTCGGCTGGACGAGCCCACAGCAGAGGCAGTGGCACCTGTCATGGGCTGCGTGTCCAAGCTCTGTTCCTCAAGGTCGATCGATGCTGATTCTTCACGGGGCCTTTTCTTTTCCCTAGTATTGTCGTCTAAGTTCCCAGCATCCGAGGCCTTTCTTTTACCTTGATAACGGTCAGGTATAAATTGAGAACAGAACAATATGCTAACGGGACTTCTGACCTTCGCGCGGGGGTTCTGAATCTGGAACAGAAAGATCCTCTGGCGATTCGAGAGTAGAAATCTCCTGTGAATCGAAAGCAGAGACCTCTTTCGTGTGTGCAGAGGAAATATCGGGCCGGGCGTCAGACTGGACAAACGTTTGCGAATCGTCCTGTTCTCTTGCTTTCTCAACCTCCGTCGCGTCGGTAAGCGGAGGCTGCGATGACGAACGTTCAAGGAGTGCTTCAGCAACGATTTCATCCGGTATCTGATCTGCACCCGTGGGCGAGGTATCCGGTTCATCTGCAAGTAACGATTCCTCTACCTCCACAGCAGGAAGGTTATCAGCGGATTGCACTGACGGTTCTAGGTCAACGTGTGACTCAGAAGACCGGAGCTCCTGTAAAGAATATGATGAGAGACCAGAACCTCCATGAAGGGTGACCAACTTACTTGAACGTCTTGGGCTGGGGGAGGGCTAGTTTCCTCCGGACGAGACACCCCATCAGAAAGCTTGGTCCTGATTTTCTCATCCCAACTTCCGCTGCGTATTTCGTTGATCTCCGCTACGATACGTCTGCAGACAACAATAAGCGTGGGTCAAGGATTGGATGCATTTCCGCACTTGAACTTGGTTTCCTCTGCAATAATGAGGTCCCGTAGTTCCAACAGACGAGCAGAGTAATGGCGCTGCGCAAGCTTGAGGTGAAGGGGCGCTGCAGCCAAGTCAACGGAGGGATGCAAGGAAAACGACCATGACCTGTCTCACCGTGAGGGACGTTGTTGGCATCTGAGCTATCATTGGGTGGCTGGATAAGCAAGGGGTCGATAGACTGACGGGGCGCATCAACCTCACCATTCGAGGGAAGCCTCGTTCATGAGGCGAGTATATATTGCTTGGCAAAACTAGATTACAGCGAGAAACACTGAGTGCTACCCATAAACGACGAGTGAACGAAGCTAACTTGTGGACTGAATAACTTGGAAGATGACTGGGTCAGACAAGGGTGTTTCGAGACGACCTGAGAAACTGTGTGCCACGCGTTGGCACCGTACTCGTAGACAGCCTGGGCGAGGACGAGCTGTTCGATATTTTGGAGGCTTGCCAGCATATCTTGATCAGTCGAGAGTTGTAACAGATTGTCGTGCACGGACGCTGCATGTCGTGTTGAACGCATGCCCGACGCCATCGACGACGACGACCAACTTGCAGAGGACGCGCAAGCCTCCAGAATCCGACGGGCCGACCCCAGTCCGAATATGGAATCTGGGGTCAGGATTCCTCCCTGGGTTACCATTTAAGGCTGACCGTGGGCCATTTAACACCGGAGAAGTTGCCCAACGGCTCTTTCTCCTCGCCCACGATGTTGCTCTCTGCATTTGCTGCGCTGCTGTTGCTCCCCTTCGCCTCTGCAGGCGTACACAAATTCAAGCTCCAGAAGATGCCCCATGTCGCCCCGGGACACGCTCTCGAGACAGCATACCTCGCCGAGAAGTACGGCGTCCAGGCTCCCCACCAACTTCCTCTCATGGGCGCGGGCGGCGCTGGTCGCAATATACAACCACCCACTGACGATGACGATCTCTTCTGGACGCAGGCGGAACTCATCGAAGGAGGCCACCATGTCCCGCTCAGCAGTAAGTCGGTATCGCCAAACGGGCTTTCGTATTCAGCTCGAATTCTTGATCCATAGACTTCATGAATGCTCAGTACTATACTGAGATCGCCATTGGGTCGCCTCCCCAGAGGTTCAAGGTCATCCTTGATACAGGGTAACAGGGTCTCCACCGTGATACCGTGATACGTTGACACTCAGTGACCGTGTAGTTCAAGCAACCTTTGGGTACCGAGCGTCAAGTGCACGTCAATTGCATGCTTCCTACACGCCAAGTATGACTCCAGGTCATCCAAGTCACACAAGGCAAACGGCTCCGAATTTTCCATCCAGTATGGCTCTGGATCTATGGAGGGCTTCGTTTCTCAAGATACTCTTACCATTGGAGACCTCACCGTTCGCCATCAGGATTTCGCAGAGGCAACCAAGGAGCCTGGTCTCGCGTTTGCCTTTGGAAAGTATGTTCCGCATCCTCTGTCGTCTTACCTATCCTAAATCGCTATCAGGTTTGACGGTATCTTGGGGCTGGCATACGATACTATCTCAGTCAACCACATCGTTCCCCCCTTTTACAACATGCTCGACCAAGGTCTTCTTGATGAGCCAGTGTTTTCCTTCCGCATAGGCTCTTCCGAGAATGATGGCGGCGAGGCGATCTTTGGCGGTGTCGATGAGTCTGCCTATAACGGTCGTATCAGATATGCACCCGTGCGCCGCAAGGCTTACTGGGAAGTTGAGCTCAACAAGGTCGCTTTCGGTGAAGAAGAACTGGAGTTGGGCAACACCGGCGCAGCGATTGATACCGGTGCGCACATTAGCATCATGTTGAACCTCACTCGAACAAGGTTCCAGGCACCTCATTGATTGCTCTCCCCACCGATATTGCGGAAATGCTCAACACGCAAATTGGTGCTACCCGCTCATGGAACGGCCAGTACCAACTCGACTGCTCTAGAGTTCCGTCGTTGCCTGATTTAGTATTCTATCTTGACGGAAAGCCATACCCATTGAAGGGCAGCGACTACATCCTCAATCTTCAGGGTACTTGCATCTCCTCATTTACTGGGTTGGATATCAACCTCCCCGATGGTGCTCTTTGGGTCATTGGTAAGTTACAATAAATTTTCAATATGAAACACGACTCAACCTTATCGTAGGTGACGTCTTCTTGCGTCGCTACTACACGGTGTATGATCTTGGTCGCCACGCCGTTGGCTTCGCGCACTCGCGGGCCAATCTCTAACTTCCATGTCATAAGCGAAGTCCCTTGTCTTACACGCCTTGCTACTTTGTAATATAGTGCTGTGATATGTGTATGGCGTGGATATATAATCCTGGTTGTTGCGTGAATTTCAAGCGGAAACGAGATTCACCACTGTTGCGTCCCATGTCGTTAGCCTGAAAACCTGCGTCCAACTTCATCTGCAAAACTACCCGAGGGAATGAGCAGGTTATACCTGCCTCCGTTTGGAAGTGACTTGTCGTAAGACTCGCTAAGACACTTGTTGGCCAATGAGAGGGCTCGCTCAAGTGCGAAAGAGCTGTTAACAGCCGCGTCGCGTAGCTGTTTCCCAGATGAAAGACCGTCTCTGCCAGCGTCTACTTAATTTTATTGACTGGCCCAGAACAAACCGCACATGATGGATATCGACAACGGTTGTCATTCTCCATTGCGACTTGGCAATATCTCCGACGAGCTTTCATCTGAAGCTCGTGGGGGTTCTTTAATATCGTCCACCGTTCGCTTAGCTGAGGACCCCCCGTTCTCCGCGAGAACAATCAGGTGGAAGCGACACCAACTGAGCAATGTTTGGGCTCGATACTTGGACAGGGTCCATGTGCTCGGGAACCATGATCACGGCCACACTGGGTCAGTGTCACTACTCACATTAACGCTAGCGGTCTAGTCATCTGTTAATTCAGATGTGTAAATGCCCTGAGCTGGGCACAAGGTGGGGAGCTGTTAATCAGCAGTGGGGACGATCAAGAGTATGTATCAGACGTACTGCAGTGCGAGTCCTGACGCTTCACCCAAACCTAACTCTCCAAACCCATTTGCCAGTATACGAGTGTGGAGAATGGATCCTTCCGCAGACGCCAGCGAATATCCATTTTCTTGCCAGTCGGTAATACACACCGGTCATACTCATAACGTATTCAACGCACAGATGCTACCTCATTCCTGCCGAATGTGAGTACCACCCGTGAGCATAGCCGATCTCTCGTAAACCTTTTGCCCATTCCTTCAGAGCAACCGTCTCAGGGGACAAAGAAGTCCGGGTTTTTGACGTTGGAGGGGCTGTCGGTCATTCGCCTACAGGCAGTGAGATGACGTATGCGACCCACGAAGCTTGCATCCGCATCCTCCGTTGTCACACCGGTCGGACGAAGCGCATCGTTACCGAAGACAGCCCTGACCTCTTCCTCACGGTTGCTGAGGTTTGCCGAGCGGGATTTCCGACCAGAGTTGTTGCTGATCTGGTTTCTATTTAGGATGGCACCGTCCGCCAACATGACCTGCGGACGTTTCATGTGTGCGGAGGCCGCGGCTGTCCTGCACCTCTTGTGAAACTCTCGCACGACCTTTCAACTATCGCCTTGTCTCCCTTAACGCCATACCAGTTTGTGGTTGGTGGTGAGTCGCCCTTCGTAAGTATCGCGTTCGGTCTGTTCGGTTGTGTCCCAGTTTCTTAACAGCAGTTAGGCACACCTATACGACCGACGCCATATTGGTCGTTACTTATACGAAGAGTGGGGAATGTCTCCTGCTGCTAACGATGCAACTACGTGCGTCAGGAAATTTTCGCGACATTCACGTGCTCCAGGAGAACCGAAAGGAGGTGAACATATCACTGGCGCAAGAATGTCGGCTTGGAATGGACACGAGGTATGCTAGCCCTGAGTGTTACATACCTATTAGCTGATAGTCGGTGTAGTTACTACTGTGTCAGTGATACGCCGATTGCCATTGACATTCCCACTTATCAACATCGCAGCTTTCAATTCTGATGCAGTGTATCTCTACTCCACTAAGGATGAGCCAGGAAACGGTGAACGTCTCAAGAAGCCGTCTGTATTGGCTCCAAATATGAAGCTTAGGAACCGAACCGGTGTAGGTATCCCGTCGATATGAATGATGCATTCACACGGCTCTTCCCAGGATCTTGACACAGGAAAAGGTAAATCGGAGAGATACCATGAATTTCCTCCGATAAGGGGTGCTGACCACATGAAGAGAGTACCACCATCGATATCGGTGATGACCACGACTCCAGCTCCGACTCCGAAGATGAGCATGAAGACTTAACTATTGATGCAGAAGAACAGGACGGTGTGCCAGCAATTTACCCTCGTGCGCGATTCGCAGGGCACTGTAATGTTAGGACCATAAAAGATGGTGGGGATGTGTATAAATTCTGTTCCGGGCCGTTGACTCCTCCCCCATTGCAGTGAACTTCTTAGGTCCGTATGACGAATATGTCACCTCAGGGTCAGATGATGGAAATTTCTTCCTCTGGGATAAATCTTCTGGTGAACTGGTTGATATTCTTGAGGGTGACGGGTCTGTCGTCAACGTTATCGAGGGACACCCAAGTTTACCTCTCGTGGCCGTTAGTGGTATCGACGCCACTGTGAAGGTGAGTTGGGTTCCGTGAATGCGGTAGGAAACACTGGTCGTGACAAATATCTCAGCTATTTGCACCGTCTCGCGGTCGCGCAGAGTTCTCGAGGGTGAAGCAAGCCATAAACATTGTAAAGAACAACGCCCGCACCTCGCGGAGGGGATTGCAAGCCAATGCTAGGATGCAAATCGCCCACCTTTTCCTTCATTACAGTGCACTGGCGTCGCGCAGGAGTCATGACGAAGATGGCGAGGATGCAATGCAATGCATCAACCAGTAAATACGACATTTACATGTGACACCCGACTATATGTACACGGTTCCGGTCGATGTTGAAGCAATATTGCTGACGAGAAACTTGGGTATCGTGACGAACCTGCCACTTGTTACTACTAGCGCACGACGATTACTTTGTTTTCTGGCGAAACTGGTTATACCGGGGCGGTTCCTTGCACGATTACATTGAACTCGGCTGTCAAATGGAAGATTGTCTCGGGGCTCGCCTCTCGAGTGCACGTCCAGGTTTGATGATAGACGTTGAGTCGAGAAGCTCGTGTGTGTTTGGAGGCGACTGGCACTTCTCGGTTTGCACCACCACAAAACCCGCCACACACAAAACTCATTAGCACCAGGCTTGGAGCCTCACAGACTGAAACGCCCATTGTAGGGAATATGTTTGTGAATCGTTCTTGAATCCGTTGTCGTCGTTATGTAAGTTACCGTTACCCTCATTGTTTTGCTTGCTGCGTCTGCAGCCAATATCTACTCTGAAGTCTTGCTAACAACATCGCCATTCCCCTCTGCTTTCCTTAACAGCAACTTACATTCCTCGACTGCTGTCTATCTGTGTTACTTTGAGTCTTTGTTATCCAGTCGTTGAGGTGCTTTCGCTTGACCTTCACCCGTGTTGTCTGTCTGTGCCAACACGTCAACAAGTTTTTGTTTCCAGTTCTCGTCCTTCCTTCTTGCCATTTCACAACCACCCGCTCTACTCTCAACACAAGGATGAGCACGTCAAACAACAGATCTCGACGCAAGCACCGTGGCAAGGCTCAAGGCCACGACGACGAAGGAGGTCCGGCTCCGTTGGTCTCACGGGCGGATGCCAGCCATACTGACTTTGACTCTGGAATTTCCCCTTATTCGTACAAAAAAAAAGATACCTACATTCCATCATCTTCCAGGTCCGGTTACAGTATGAACAGGGACGGTCCTTCGTCCCATGCTGATTCACAGGACCGCTTCTATAAGCACCCATCGGAAGCCCATCATCGAAGCGGCAGAGACGGGTATGATACCGCCGATTCGAGGGATGGTGACCATTGGGGGGCTCGGAAAACTCTCGACACTCATCAGAAGGGCAACAGGGAACGGACGACAAGGGAACACGATCAGGGCTATTCAACCGTTCCCCGCGGTGAACTACAGAGATGGGGAAAGTCTGGATTCTATGATGACAGACCGCACCCCAACCGCGAAGCACCGGATCGGAGGCGAGGGGAGCCCGATGATGAGCGGGGAAGCAACTGGGAGTCTCATGGTCGAGGAAACCGCCGATGGCAGAGCGACAATGGGTGGGATACGCGAAAACGTGACCGTCACCAGAATAGACGTCCGCCAGACAATCAAGATGAAAGCCCCCAAGCAACGGAGGACCGTGCATGGGAACCTGGTCCAGGATGGCAATCCCGTGGCGGTGGCCAAGGACATCGGAACCAACGCCCTCGTAACAACTACACCCAGGGTAAGAACAAAGGGAAGAAGATGAATCAAAACCGCCAGCGACAACGGGGAGATAGGGAGCGTGATCGAGGTCGACATCTGGACCGTGAACGCCGACAACCCGAAGATACTTTAAACAAGTGAGTTCGCGTCATGCAACTGCTTTGCAGGACTAATTCGGAGTTCTGCAGCTGGCAAAGAAGAGAAATTCATCCATTACCCCCCAGACCCCGTAGCCCCCTTAAGAGGGTGCTCACTCCATCACGTTCTCGCTCCCAATCCCCAGAGTCGTTCTATTCCAGGCGGTCGTCCCGCAGTCGCTCGCGGTCGCGATCGTGCTCACCACGACCCAATACATATTATTCCAGTCCTCCGGGAGCTCGTAGTCGAAGTCCACTCGGGAAAGGGCGAGAAGAAAGCCGATCAAGATCTCCTGCATCTTCACAGCGGAGTCGTTCAAATGAAGGGCGTCTGTCTCGTCGAAGAAGCATTTCCTCGTCATCGTCGTACAGCAGAAGTCGTAGCAGGAGCTCAAGTCGCAGTCCGGATGACCGTCCAAAGGCGAAGCATCGTTTGCCAGCCGTTACTTCTATCATGAACATATCATTGTCGATGTCTAAGGCTGCCCTTCACCAGCGCTCCGAATTTACGAACAGTCGGGGGCGCGCCTTTAACCGCAACGGTAATCTAAATGGTAAACAAAGGGTGCGTCGCCACGTCCTTCCGTTGTTCTTCCGTGGCTATAACCTTCGCCCAGGTCCGCGGACCGTTGTCTCCAGAGACAGAGCGTCAAGCCAGCCGACAAATGCCTCCACCTGACACACCTCCGGCTACGGCCGCCCAGGTCCAGCAGGGTAGCGCTGCAGTCTCACCGACCTCGACGCTGCATGATATTGGTAGTCCGTCCAAGGCGCGCTTTGGCCTTACCAAGTCTGCGGGTTTTAAACCCATAGGGCAAGCAAGCTCCTCCGTAAAATTGTTCTTCCCACAAGACGATGAAGTATCAGAGGGACCCAGATCCCCACAGCATTCCGAACATATCTCGCGAACAGAGCTCCCCATTAAGCGCTCTCGCCAAGATATCAGCTCTGACAGAGAGGGGGATGATAGAGACTATCCCCACAGGGCCGCCTCGGTGCAGCAGGGCGAAGTATCATGGCAGTCAAAAGAGCCTGGCATGGAGCCGATGGCACCTCCATCACCGTTGTTGCGCGACGCTACAAGGGCACCACCTTCGCCGAAACACGCACGGAGCGGTGATGTCACAATATCTCCAGGATTACATGCACGTCTTCCGGAGCCGGAGGTGGATGGCATCACACGGCCATCTTCTCCTTCAGCATCTCCCAAAGAGTTGTATACAATTGTCAGTCAAGTTGGCGAAGGAACGTTTGGAAAAGTATACAAGGCTCGCAACACCATAACCAACGTTCACGTTGCCCTGAAGCGGATCCGCATGGAGTCAGGAAAAGGATGGCTTTCCTGTCACCGCTATGCGTGAGATCAAACTCCTCCAGTCCCTTCGTCACCAGAACGTCGTTCGCCTTTTTGAAATGATGGTTTCTAACGGTATGTATTCTAGCTCGCGGCACGACACGCATTCATGAATTTCCCAGGATCTGTCTTCATGGTATTTGAGTACATGGACCATGACCTTACTGGCGTCCTCTCCCAGACTCAGTTCGCATTTTCGGAAGCCAACTTGAAGTCGCTATGCAGCCAGATGCTTGCCGGCCTTGCATATCTCCATCACAAGGGGGTTATTCACAGGGATATCAAAGGTTCCAATATCTTAATTAACAATAGAGGGGAGCTCAAACTTGCCGATTTTGGTCTGGCTCGATTTTATCAAAAGCGCCGGCGTAACGACTACACCAACCGTGTAATCACGCTTTGGTACCGACCTCCTGAATTGCTCTTTGGTGCTACTGTATACGGACCTGAGGTGGACATGTGGAGTGCTGGGTACGTCATTGTCGTTTACCCGGCTTATTAGGCTCACCTTTTTGGAACTAGATGCATCATGCTCGAACTATTCACGAAGAAGCCAATATTCCAGGGTAATGATGAAATTCATCAGCTGGAAGTGATCTACCGGGTTTTTGGGACGCCTACTCCGGAGCGTTGGCCAGGGATCACGGAGTTGCCGTGGTATGAGCTTGTAAAGCCAAAAGAGGTTGCCCCGGATCACTTTAGGGAACTCTTTCAAAGATGGCTCTCTCCTGCAGCGCTCGACCTTGCAGAACAACTGCTGACCTACGATCCTGCCAAGCGAGTCACTGCGATACAGGCTCTTGAAGCCCCTTACTTCAAGGTCGAGCAGCCACCCCCAGAATTACCTGTCGGGTGCGTATTCTGACATGCTGCTCTCATGCACCTTTAAAGCAACCACCTTCACAGACTGTCCTTATTGGAGGGTGAGTGGCATGAACTGGAAACCAAGCGGGAGCGGGCTAGGAAGCGACGTAAACTGGAAAACGCTTTGCAAGAACATCCTATTTAATGTACCTAATGCAAGGACTTTGTTATCTGCTATCCCAATCCCGCTCACAACCGTGCATTCACTCATATGGAATTTGCCGTCGTTCCCAGGAGGCCCTTCACCGCCAGATGCTGAACGATCGCTTCCACCTATACTGGTATGAGTGCCTAGAAGGCTTATTTCGGGCCCACCACATACGTTCGCTGCTGTTGTTCGTATTTGCATGTCCCATCGTTTGGTGAAAGGGGCGCCCGTATCTTCGGTGATTTGCTCGACATCGCCAAGACCACCTGCTTTACCCTGAGCATCGTCTTCCTCTTTCCCGCCATCAAACCAAATGAGCTTATCGACTTGATCGATTGAACCCTTCAAGCGACCCTGCTCGATCATCTTTCGTGCCATCGTCTCTGCTGCGCCAGGCGACAAGTCTAGGAGCGCACCTAATCCGTGGAAAGTGATGTTATTATAGATTTTGGAACTAGCCAGGAGATTATGCTCCATCACTGCGCGGTCAAGAACTGTGGAAGGTCCCGTCCGCCTGCTTGCGCTCGTCAATGAAGACTCTTCGTCATTCACTGCGGATGCGAGACGATCGTTGGATGAAATGGCGATGCGGGCGAGTTGATGTGGCTTGAGCGTTTGCTCGAAACTTTTGATTTCACCAGGCCGGAGGATGTGGTCGAGGAACATTTTGGACAGAATATTGTACGTTGGGAGTTCAGATGAGCGTTCGTCACGATATAAAGAGGCCAAGACACGAGACCGATTGGGTCCTGCGGGTGCCAGAACTGCACAAGTAACAGCAGATGATCTAAGACATGACAATGAGGAAATCGGACACAGGGATGGGTCGATCACCCACAGGAGTTCCTTGCGCTCTTCTTCGTCAATATCTGCGGCCCAACTGAGTTCATGATACCTCATGGCAGCTTCCAGGAATTTGCGGGAGTAATCGCTGATCCGTGCTTGACACAACTTGAACTGTAGTAGTGTTTCTCTATCAGTGGTAGAATTAGAGAGAGATGCAGCACGATTGTAATATGTTTCTGCCTGAACAGAATCTTCGTCTTCGAGCAGTAGCCGAATGATGCGAATGTAAACGCGGAACTTCTCGTCGTCCGGTAAGGAACTGGTCAGCTCGCCCCTTAATCTGATGAAGATGCCACTAGAGAGAAATCACCAACCGCGAGCCTGAGTCAAGGGATATACCCATGAGCACACGGGCCGCCTCTGTCCATTCTTCCTCCGCTTCGAGGAGATCTGCCAGCTGAAACCTGAGTGCGTTGACCTACAGCGTGTTCATTAGCCCCTCACCAAAACCAATGCGATAGGGGATATGGTCAGACCTGCTCCTCATAAATCACAATGCGAGGCTGAAGCACGTTCAGGGTGTCTTGGACGATGCGCTTTCGTAGATCGTGATCGGCGACAATACCGATGCCAAGACTCTTGACGAGCTCGGTGAGGACCTGTCTGCCAACCACAAAGCCAACGCTTTCTTGGTTGACGACTGTGTCTATAAGAAGCTGGAGATCATTGGGTGCTGAGCCTTGGTTAGACTGAGCTAGTATATCGGGCAGGAGAGCGAGGTAGCCGGCTGTCTTGTCCTTCTGAGAGAGTGTGGCTAGTTGCGATAGCTTTGCGTCCATGTTCAAGGTCAAGTGTGTTGTACTCCAACGCCACAATGTTAGTACATGCATAGATTCAATCGTAGCGACGACCAACACGGCTAGTTACTACCAACATGGTCTGCAGTAGACCAAGGTGATAACCTATCAAGCTCAGCTCTCAACGGTGAGCTCGTTTTCCAAGTTGTCCTTTACGCGCTCCCAAAGTCGTGGCATCTCGCCGCAGCTAGGCAGCTCCGGTGTGAAACCCATTGGCATATGCAGGGGGAGACACACTGTCGGTCGATAGGAACGACGACGCTTTCACCAGTCGTGTATTAGTTCCCAAGTTAAAAAGACACAGTCGCCCTCAGCGACCACACACTCGTTCTGCGCGCGAAATCCACGCCAACGCACCTCGGAATCTGTTCGGGTCTACATATCCTCCCAGAGTAACATGCTGCTTTGACGCATTGGAATCATATTTAAGCCGCATGAGCGATTTACTTCTCCTGTCCTCGTTTACATCAGTCCCATCACCATTCGTTACTCAGTCTGGATCGCCTTGCCTGACAGGCATTGACCATGCTGCCTCGTCTCTCGGATCCTGCTGTCCACGCAGCGTGTTCTTTTGAGAACGAATCTCTCAGCACCCCAGAATGTGAACAAGGTGCTCTACTTCCTCTGCAAGCCTCTGGGCCCGGTCCCAAAATTCCAGAAGTGCTAGTCAAACTTCCAGTGGCATACCCTAATTTTACCCTTTGTAAGCATTCCAGCTCGCTCGGTTGATCAAAACTGCATCATTCTAGATCCTCCCGGGTACCCATTTAATGTATACTGCATTTACCCGGACATTAGGCCCAGCGAGAAGAAACTTTCTATTTCTGTTAATCTCTTTTGTCAGTATCCATGGTTGTATATTTGTGAGTATGGCATGCTACGATGTGGGTAGCTGACAGTACGGTTTGTGCCAGACGCTTGGGAATGCCCTTGCATTACTCCCTACCCTGACACCCGCGCAGGTGTCGGTTCACCCAGTGCTTCTCACGGAAAATCCGCACTAGGATGGAGACCCAAATATCCAACATTAGACATATGTAACTACATCATTTCTTGTCACAGTTGTCTGTCGGATTTAATGCTTCGCAGGTCCTCCCGGTTACCCTTGGAACTTGGACAACATATATCCTCCAACAACAGACGTCAGTTGTTGCGGACTCGATGTCAATATATCGCGGGGTCATTCGGATAGTTGTAGACTTGATTCGGGGACTTCCCGGACTTTAGTGGCATGCTCTTGTAAGTTGTCTCCCAATAAGATCCGACACCGAAGCTGATCGTCCTTCAAGCCCAGCACTCTGTCACAGACTCAGGGAGCCCTGACGTAACTGATGGCACCTGGCTAGATTCGACAGCTGCTGGGCGGTGTTTGGTGGAAACAACACTGAGGAAAAGGAAAACACATGCAGAACTTCATGTCGCAGTCTCTCCTTCCTTAAAAGAAGCAGCCAGGGCGAGATCCCAAATCACATCGTGAATTGCATGAAAAGGTCTTCGAAGATCGTGAAGTGTGGAGTCCAAGTGGCAGTGGGGAGATCCTTCCCTCCTCCTTTCCGAATAAGAGGACTGAACATCCAGCACACCCTCCGACTACAACAATTCCTGGGAATTTACTTAAAAGGATGGCAAGTGGCTGCGCACGTTCACGGGCAGCAATTTTTCCCGTGCCGCGCTTGCGGGAGCGCATCATGACCCCCGTTGTTGCACCTCCGGCTGTTCCACCAATATACCTGTCTGGCTTTCGCAGTCCTGGCCTCCCTCTGCCACCGGTGCTTGTTGTATCCGAATCACCGTCCTCTCGCAGCCCACTGCATACGCGTCCCCCGAGCTCCCGGTTGTCCCAGGCTATGAGATGCATCGTACCATGTTTGCAAAAGAGCAAACTTAGTAGAACTCCGAAGACTTTTAAATCTCGTTTCTTTGGCAACGAAATAAGCTAGTTTCCATCAGCCCACCAGGTTCATGTCCTCTGATTGGCTCTACAGTTATCCCCAGCCCCAAATGCCAGTTGGTGATTCCGTAGGACGGTTTAAATCGTCTGCGAGTTGAAAATCATTTTCATAAACGGGGAGCTTAACGTCGGGATGCGAAAAAAAGGAAAAGAAAACACCAAGTACTAAACGCCTGCCGCAATTTGGATATGCCTATACCGCCGGTTTTCGCTGCCAATTCGATGGACAGAAGTTATCGAGATGAGAAAAATGGTGCCCTCATACTTTGAAACTGCACTCGATGCTCATGCTACATGGTGGCTCTGTTGTAATATCAATACACTTTACTATCGTTATACGCCGGTCTAATAGGAGAATCCAAGCATTTCCGGTGGGTGACTTTCGGTGGTGACTACTCATGTTGATCGACATCGGGGTCTGGCGATGCGAGCGAATGCCCAATCCCCGGCATGCCAATTTCTGGTAAGAGAGACGTATCCCTGTCGGAGGTAGTGTGACTAGGGGTTTGGTGTCCCCCGTTTGCGTTCTGCCTTGCCCTTTCCCTGCTGTCGCGCAAAGCCTTTGTCTTCCTGTCATCAAGGAATGCGAGTTTCACCTGCCGTCGGAGGGCCGAGTGAGTGAGTTCACCTGCCGAAGGCAAAATGTTTCGGATATGTACGTGCATTTTGTGCAGCCGCAGCGGCGGCGGCCCTCTCTTCTGCTCTACTTCGTTTTAGACGTTCTTGCTTCTTTTCTTCCAGGTCAATAACTTCCTCGAGGATGGCTGCGCCGATACGCAGATCCGTCCTATGTCGCGGGTTGAAAACATAGTAGGGTTGGAAATCTTTCACCTGCATTCATCGGTGCAGTGGCTAACCATCTGATTCTCTGTTTGAATTTACCTCTGCTCGAAACCCAAGCTATCGTGTGCGATGTAATTAGTTTGTCTGTCTGATGTTGGCAGCCCGGAGAAAACGCGACACTGACTTCAATCGCATACTCCAATGCACCTTTGGGATCTATCAATTGGTGTTTGATGAGATTGTTAGTCGGTTTGAATTGTTGAAACTTGGGATTGTCTGGTTCGTCGAGCAGATTGTTGGCAATCTTGAGTAAAGTCTGCGAAGTAATTCCGTCGATGGTCGGAACGTTCAGCGCTCACCGCCGTCGTCGGCAGGCGAAAATTAACTTGCCTTCAGTGAAGCCAAGGCCTGATCTCTCGAGTTCGGTCGAAAGATTCCGGGGTCAATTAAACGACGAAAGTGCAGTCGTTTCTCGTACTCCTGCTCCTCCGAATTGCATGTGTTCGGGCTCCTACTACGCTGCACAGCGGCAGTTGCTGCTGCTGCAAGCACTTCCGAAGTTGGGCGGTCTGCCATTCAAGCCCTCGAGGCGATTGAGATGAAACCAAACTAAAGGTTAAATGTCTGGAAAGACACATCTGCCCACGAGAAACACTTGTCAATACAAACCCCTAGAAATCAATACATATGTATCCCTATATTATTGGGGGACGTCAATAACTTCTTTAAACTACAGGCTGTGGCATACAAGACTACCTGGCCATGTATGGGCTAACAAGCATCATAGTAGAACTACAAGTATTCCAGCCCAGCACCATCCGCATCGACTGGAACATTAGTACATGTCCTATCATCAAGCGAAAAGCCGTCCTCCGATGAAGTATCACTACTCCACGCAGCACCCTCTCTGTCCGGACTAGGCGACCTACCAGAACTAGCCTCAGAGAATTTTTGCTGTGCAGAAAATGGCATTTTCAACGCGCTAAGAGAGCTGCGACGAAGCCTCGTAAAAAAACTGGGTGACGCGGGGTGATTTGCTCGTCGTGGATCTGCTGGAAGTGGTGGGTCTGGGGTGGGTGGACGGTTGCTTGGGGAAGGGTCATCAACATTGTACCGCTGATCAAGTAGGTCGGAAGCCCATTTGCGACGCAACGTAGGGGACCGAAGCGGGTCATTCTTCAGAAATCCGTCACAATTAGGTGTGGATCCGCCGGACTCCACACTGGCGGCAGCTGTAGGACGTCCACGCCTAAAGTACCAGGCGGTGCCCTTGTCAGCGAACGCACTCTCGGTGTCAGTGTCCATGGGAAGTAGAGGCTCAGTATCCTTCATTGCGGTGGGAAGATTGATCCCAGTGATGGGTTCGGGCGGATTGTTGCCGTTCGCAACGATACCGTCGGTATCAACCGCACTTGGGCTTGGCTGGGCACGCTGGATAGCCCTACGTACTGCTTGTCGGCCGAGCAAAATTTGTGTCTCTATCCGGTATCGGTTCTCAATCATATGCAGCTTTATGTGAAGCAAAAAGTGCAATGAGGAAACGAGTAATCAAACTAAAGTCTCTCCGAAACACACCTTGGGCCAAGTGACAACTTGTCCAACCCGCATCACTCTTTCGAGCTCTGTGGGGTCCGGGTCGCTCAAAATGCGGAACCAATCCTAAGGCCCCTGTCAAAGCATGGAGATAGGACGAAACTTCACCACCTACCCAGAGGCGAGTCTTTGGCCAGATCCTGTGAATGTACATGCTTGAGAATTAGGCAAGCAGTTCGGAAAGTAGGACATACGTGACTGCGCCATCAAAACGCTGTAAAAAGACGCTGGACCAATCCTGACCAAGGATTTGGGGTAATAATTCCAAATCACGGATAACCTAATTGACCATCTTTTAGAAGGTCACTAAACGTGTAGAGCAAACATGGGCATTCCTTGAAGTTCTTCGTGAGTTCTAGCTTTAGCCATTGCTCGGCAGCGGACAGTAAAAAGTTCCCTCTCCAACCTTGCAAGTGATTAACAGAAGAAGAGAATACACTGTTGAACCCACACCTGTACCTTTCCTGTGAGCTACCGGCTTCCCTGCCGAACCTCTGGGAGCAAAGAAGAACAAATGAACATGTGGATTAACTTGGGACACCACAGGGTGAGTCACTAAGCAAATTGTTAACCGTGAGTATGGGGAACCAGCGAAAGGTGATACCATTGAAGTAGAGATTCAGGGCTTGAATAGGGATATCGACCCTTTGTGAAGGACGTTAAGTGTTTGACATTCTGTGCTCTCCACACAAAATGTACCAGGCTCACCTCAATGATCCGTCCTTAAACTTGCTCCCCCAATTCCATGGCACAATCCGACCGTCCTGAAGCTTCTGCATAAGGACGACCGGGTTCAAAATTCCAGGAACTGCAGCTGAAGCAAGCACCGCCGACCAGATTATGGTATCAGGTGCTGTAAGATAATTTAAAAGCTTCGTTGGACTGCAGGCAGATTAGTGTGTCAAATCATGCGATGTATAGACGTCACTGACGAATGGCGGTCCGCTGGAATCACGGAAATATTAAGTATCCGCCCTGTTCTCATGTATGCTTCCCGGAAGGTCATCGAACCTCGAGTGAGGAAGGTACACTATAATGATGCAGCGGTAGGATCAAGATACAATACGCAGCCAGAACAACATACTTTTCTGGCCCACGCAACACTGTCAAAACGGGCACCAGTCTTCATAAAACGTGTGATCCAAATACTGAAGGGTTCTTCGCACGCGGTTAGCTTATGTGCAAGCTCTGGAACAAGCAAAGTCCGCAATTCCGCATCCGTTCTCGTGCACACCAGTGCAGCAATAAGACCACCAGCAGAGGTCCCTGTAATAACGCGAGGTAGCAGGCCAGTGTCAAGGAATGCTTTAACAACTCCGAAATGATCTTGATATCACATATCAATACTCAGACCAGAAAGCAATTAGGCTAACACTCACAATAGCCGAATGATGCACCGCCCGATAGGCAGAGGGCAGAAGTACCGAGATTAGTGCTCGCACTTTTGAAGAAACGTTTTTTTTCCTCGTTAGACAGCCCCCCTGACTCTCTTACAAACTGAAGTGCCCTTTCCTGCTCGTTGTAATAGGCTGGTAATACGCTTTACCATGGCCACGTGACTCCGAAAACATTATCGACTTACACTCGATCAAAGCCTTGCTTCCAAAGAAAGTCTAATTTCAATTTCATCAGGCAAATGTCGTGGTGCAGCATGAAGACTCACTTCGCTGTATAACCTGAAACAATACAGCGCAAAGCGTTAGTCCCCTCCTCTGAGTTACATGATACGTAAACAGGTCACCTGGACGACTCCACGCCGGCGAAGTTGTTCCTTACGCAGGTCTCGAGCACGCCGAGTACCCCACGCACGTCCTTCTTCTCCCTCAGAATTCTCAGCGATCGGTTAACCTAGCGAAATGTAAGTGTAAAGATTTAGAGTACCCGCGGTATCCTTGCCTTTCTGATCAGCTTCCAGTCGTAAAAAGAATCCTCATCCGTCTTTTTCCATTCATCGAAACCAAGATATTCGTCCAATGCTTGTGCTGCAGCTTTCCATTCCTGGTACATGCAACGTGTCAGCAATCAGGGCTCAGTGAAATAGTAGATGAAATCCATACGTCATATGTCTGTGCTGCGCGAAGTCGCTTTCGAAGCAATCCCTTCGGACCTCGCCCTAATGCACGCCACAGTCAATACGCTGCAGAGTATAGTATGCTACCTCAGACACACTTACAGGCCGTTAGCCATTCCTTCGTATTGACCAGTTGCCTTATTACCACATAGAAGCTAAACTGGACAAATATCACCGCAAAAATAAAACACTACACAAGCGATATCAGCAATGTAGCTTTCGGGGGCGTAAGCCTGGTAGGCATACCAAGAGCGGCCATCTCAGAATAAGAAATAACCAATCCTGCCTGAGAACAGCTGGTTTCTCTCCTTTCCGACGTCTGTGAATGCAAGTAAGAAGAATGCAGCAATAACATCAGAACTAATGGCAACCTTTTAACTTTGAGGTAAACAGGAGCGAAGTCGGAAAGCGCAGAAACTTTCTGACGCGCGGACTGTGTGGAACTGGGGTGCTTGGATGCATGTTTGGTGATGCCGCGGCTAGAAGATCCGTCCCACCAAGTTCGTCAGAACGAAGCGCGGCGACGAATGCATCTATATGACTTTCGCCGAGAGTCAACATGAAATCAAAACAATAGCGCAGGACCTACGATTCATCTACGTAATCTGCATCGAACAAACTGGAGGTTTGCTTCATCCCTATTCCATCCGAGGGTAAGAGTGTAAGTGAAGAGAGCAACGCTGTGGTAGTGTGAAGTGAGCTTGCCCGGACGGGCACCGGATTGACGCCGGAATGATGGGCTACCATCTTGATGCGGGGCAATGCGGAGCACGTGAAGCGTCAAATCAAAAATCACGTGCATAATACAGGTGTCCATACACACAACCCCGAAAGAAGAGAGTGAACTAACACGCTTTGTAAAACCATTTCTTGAGACTCGTCTGTCCCGCCGTGTCTACCACCTTCTTCAAGACTTCCCTTTCCACCAAGCAACGATAACGTACAAATTCGGGGGCGATGTTTACTGAAGCAGGGGCCACTCCGAGAAACATTCCAACAGCAATAAGCCGTTCGAAACTCTTAAGTAGGATCTGTTTAGGATGGACAGTACAATTAAAGGGGTGCAGAGAACTCACGGTCATGAGAACCTCACGTGTACACCGTGCCATCCCAATACTCCCACCCTCTATTTGGATGGGGGCAGCGGCAGATGCTCGTAACTGTTCCCTGAACATGTCATACAGCATTTCAAATGTGACTTGGTCGTGACCAGCTGTCTGAGCATGCATTGCAGCAATGAGAAGACATATCGAAGGGTAAGGCAGGGCTTGACAAATCAATAGGGTAGGTGTCTTGTCAGAGAAGATACTCCAATTACTTACTACAAGGGTCCGGGAAGTGTGCGCTACGGTGTGCAGCTAACGCGGAGGTAAGGCTCGATGGCGTTGGGAATGGGGAAGAAGGCCGGAGCTCCGCCACTACCCGAACCTGGTCGAACATTTGACATCCATGCAATTGAAGGGAAGAACGACCTACGAGCAAGTTTTGCAACATTTTGACATCACGCGTGAGAGCGAACGTATCTGCGATCACCTCGGCAACCTTTCGGTCAGCAAGGAACTTGTCTACGGCAAGGTTCCACATATCGACCCATTCTTCATCACCGCTCTCGATAGGTACGCACAGCGCTCTTCGACTCAGGTTCATCCAATGACATAATTTAATGGGAGGCGCTGTCCGCAGTACGCGCCCTGAAAACCGACTTTTCACCCTTTTTTCAAGTAAGCTAATGGCGTCCAGCCGAGAAGTCACGCCAATGACAGCCAGTCCGTTACTATCTTGCCCGACCCTGCAACTTTGGACAGTATCCAGGAGGCAGTAAAGTAAAGACTGCCTGGCGTGCTGCGCAAAAAGGTCGAATGCATCCAGGATAACGATTATGGGACGAGACAGTGTTGGTAACATGGAAACCAGGGCTGGGAGATGAGACGGTGGAGGGAGTGATGCTGAGGGTATGGGATCTGAAAAGGGATTATGATTTTCATCTACCGCGTCGACATCGTTAAGGAAGGATCTGCCGGTCTGCAGAGACAATTGGCGTGCAATTTCACGTAGAGCTGATCGGTCATTGCGTTGCGCATGACCTGACAAGCGAACGACTATTGGCTTGTCTGACAACGATTCGATTGCCTGTTCGATGAGCTTTGTGGTCCAGGGTAAGTGCTAAATTCAAGAGGGAAACTTGTTTTTACCGTTGTCTTGCCGCTCCCACGCGGTCCAAGGAGGAGGCAACTATTTCCCTCTCCTCGTATCACCGAGCCAGTTAGCAAATCCTGTAGTTGACGGGAGGCGATGAAATTTGCCGATGGCGGTTCATCACCGTCTTCGTCCGAAAAAGGAATTGACGTTTGGAGTGATGCAAGGATAGCACGCTGCTGAAGTCGCAGGTAGTCTGTCAAATCTACCGGCAGAACCTGTGACGAGGATTGAAGGGGTCGCGACAGACTGCCTGAGTGGTGCTCGCCGTGTAATTTCCTCTTCGCCACTGAAGGTTTGGGTGAATTCACAGAAGCCAAGTCGTTTTCTGGTCTGGTGCGCTTGCAGCGCGCTGCACGTGGGGTAACCGGCGCGTCTACAAGGGTGCGTTGCTCAGGGGCAAGGACCGTACTGGGGATTCCCTGGGAAGCTTTCGCAACAGATTTGGAAGCCTTGTGGTGGATGGTGCGTTTGGGAGGAGAGGGTTGAGTAGCCGTACTGGCATCTTCTGGTGCTTTGCGTTTTGGCATTTTGAATGGAATGAGGACAGCAGCGTGTTGTCACAGAACGTGACTGTCACGCGCCTGTCACAACGTTGTCTTGCAAGTTGCCAAAATTCCTTGAATGACTTGATGGGCTTCACTGGGTGAGTGCAGACGACACTTGTATTTAAGCGGCCTACAACCGACCGCCGACCAGGCTGGCACGGTGGATAAACCCTCCTACTTCCGGCTTGGAACTCATAACCGAAAATATCGTTCGAAATCATCATGTCCGTAGCACACCAACCCACTCCCTATTTTTGAATTATCAGTGACTCCTCTCCTAGGGTCAAAGTAGAGGAAGATGGAACCTCAGCATTCGGTCGTACAGGTCTACCTTCGGATCTATACCAGGCTTACAGATTCCGGCTGAACGTTCGATATGCGCTCTTACAATGAATGATAATGTTTTCGTATTGCTCGAAGACCCAGCCGCTCCCACACGAGCAGACGTTCTTGCGGGCATACAGAATATAACATCTCCAGCGGACGGTGGTCCCTCGGCTTCAGCCATGGTCCCTCCACACTATCGGACTGCGTATTTGACTCTTCGGCCCCCCGGTGCTTTGGAACAAATCCTCGGTCAACTCAACGCCCGCTGGGTACCTGTTAGACAGGTTTCTACTTCCTCACAACGATCTCAAGGCACAGCCCAGCAGCTTTCCGTCGAAGGACACGTCTTCGCTATTGGTAGCGACTGGCTTGTCCGCGTTGGGAATGTTATACTTGCTGGAGGCGCCGTGAAAGGTATGCTGTTGGAGGTCAGTGGTCTGTTTACCACAGAGTGACATGCACCTGACCGCCCAAGCTGATCCAGGCTGAGTACCTCCCTCTACCGGTTCTTCACTCACAATCAGCGGATGGTACTTCTGAATTACTATCTAACATGCTACTCTCAGTTCTTCCAAATATCCGGGACGCGAAAACGGTGGCAGTGGCAGTCAGTGACTCCCAGTGGGAAGAAGTGCTCTGGGACCGCGAAGAAGAAGAGAGGCAGGGCCGTGAGACCAGTTTGCCTAAGGATCTAGATGATATCTTCGTGACCGGCGACGAAGGGCTTCCGTGTCAAAAAAAGGGTGATTGGATCGGCGCTGACAGAGACCGTAGATCAGCTTTCTTGATTATTGGTGCTCTGAGGTCTGAGGGAATACTGTAAATTGGTACTGTGTTATATATATATGTAACAATTTAGTGACTATGCTGTCATGGACTCGCACAGTGCACCTTTCCTGGTGGAGTTGATGGAAATGTACAAATATAGTGGACACAAGGAAGTGAGCAATACTTCTCAGGTTAACTACATGCAGATGGCACCTCATTGCAATTCAAAGAACATGGTAGTCAAGATGGGTTAATCCAACGAGCAGTTGCAGCAATGCGAAAGTCAGTTGGAATGACAGTATGCCTGCATATTCATATTTAATGCATAATGGAACCCAATGCTCAGCAGAATACTTACTCATAGTGGATTTGTACACCACACCCTTCCATAACAAGAACATTCCCCTAGAGCAGTGCATAGTTGAGTAAAATCCTGCAGAGAATTTGTACACCTACATGACGAAGAATCAATGACATGACAATTTCATTTGGATGGTTCTGGGCTGCTCCACTTGTGTGGTGGCGGAAATGCATCACTGCAGGAGAACCTAAAGAAAGGGAAGCAACTATGGGTCCCAGGCCCTTCTCATCATCACTATGGAACTACAAAATGAAATTCAGAGGAACATAGAGCAGATCATTCAGTCATGAATGTACTTACAGACATCTTCTGGTGTGCCAGATAGGCTGCAGTGAGAACCTCATTGAACTGTGATTTTTGGTTTACAGCCAGATCCACTCTCTTCTTGATCACATCCAAAGCTGCTTGGACACAATTTGGGGCTTCATGAAGTGGCACAGAGTTTGCTGTTTCTCCTACATACTACGAAAGTGTCAGTAATGCAAACTGGCTAACTGATGGCATGAGTACCTTATATGGTTCACCTGCTGTGTGGCATGTCAGATGGCCTAGGAAAGAGCAATCATAACACTCACAGTTTTGGGAAAAATAATTTGCCAAGAGTGTTCCCCGAACTATACAGGGCATCAAAAAAAGTATCAGGAAGGCTATTCAAAAGAGCTAACCTTTATGCTGATACAAATTAGCCCAAATGACACTAGCAGGATGAAAGAGCCTCACTGATCTCAGGGGGTATCGTTGAAGTTTCAACTCACCACAAGATGCCTGTTTTTGGTAGCCCTGAAATATCTCATCCACTTCTCTATTTGACAGGGGGCCAGTAGTGATGAGGTGTATCTTGCCTCTATACACTCAGATAGAACAGCAAACCAAAACTCATGTATGAACTACATACCTGTCAGATGGCAGAACAAATGTCTGTCTAGTCATGAAACCTCTGCCTCCACCCATGTCAATGACATATGGCAGGCTTTTGGTGATACCTGTCAGATAGAGTTAATGGCAAAGTAGAGCATGGTGGCCAATAGGCACCTGATTTCCTGGCAATGCGAAGATCTGTGAAGTAATTGGTAGGACGCAAGTGCCAAAAATCCTTTGCATGTCTTATCTCCCACTTGATTGGTTGGTTAGCCTGGGTCTGATCAGTTTTCCACATTTTACAGTAAGCATCCACAAACTTACCTGACAGTGAGCACATTCCCAACATTCCCATTTAAACCTGCCATTTACTAAGTTAGTATTTGCACATGGCAAAACTCAGGAAGATCCTCACCTGCTTGAAAGTCGTCCACAATCAGTGCAGTGCCAGCCTGGGCAGGAAAGTGATGAAGTAATCTGGTGGGTACCAGCAGCAGGAGTCAAAGTGGGCAGAATTTCAAATGTTCTTGGCTGTAACCTCAAGAACTCCACAGAATATTCAAGGGATTTAGGTTCCTTCCCATTGATTTTCCAAAACCCGGCACAACCAGGAATCAAACACATCCCACTTTGCTTGTAAACAACTGGGCTCTCCCACAAACACTGTGTGCAGTGAAAATCAGGATCTGTTTCGCCAACCAAAGGCTCAGGCAATGATGCCACAACACCCTCTGGAGTTAGCCACCATGGAGAGCCCTGGTCCTCACACCATTGGAAAGCAAACTTCCAGCGAATGACACAACCGGAATTAGTGAGTGTTGGTTGACACTCAGCTGAAAATTCTTAGTAAAACAATACATAGGCTAGCAAGAAGAACATACCCCAAGCATGGGATATCCAGTATATGCCAAGCACAACATATGTATATCCAGAGGCACTGAGATCATATGGGAAAAGTGTATACTGGTCATCGGCAAGGAGGACAAGTGGCCGTCCTTCCTTGTAGTTTCGCAGTAGTGCACGCACTGATGTGTCTGACGTAGTTTGATCCTGAGCTGATCGCAACTGACGGCCTTCCTTTGAACCCACAAAGTTTTCAGACTTTCCACCTCTAACCTAGAAGTTAGGTTTTATTTACGTGCAGAAGCCCACACCCACCCATGCGAGATTATGAGTTTCCCATCATGACAGAATAGGTCTCGGCTAGAAAAATGAGCACATAAACACTACGCCCTTGTAGCATGGGATACACACCTAGCCGCAAAAGCACCAAGAAGATAACCCCTGACAATATCGTTCTTAAAGTACACTCCACCCTGGTAGCTGCGGAAATACTCCAGATTTTCACATATTTCCTGGCGGGACTTTGAATAGTCAAATCACTGCAACCATCTTCGTGAAACAGCATACCCCAGCCCAAATAGGTGGAGAACGAGGTAGCTGAGGCTTAGCAGTTGAATCGGCTTGGACAAGTCCTTCATGAAAGCCCGGTTCGTCTGCCAGTAGGACACGCATGCTACCTGCGCTGCATTTTACCACCCTTCCAACTGCAGGCGTATCGGGAACGTCTTGTGAATCCTGCAGAGCTTGAAGCAGATCTACATCGTCAATGCATGCGTCCTCGGCGGCAGCTTGTAGGAAATTTGCAGTGATAGTATCATTTACACCGTCGATGGTAACGAAGTCGTCGTCCTGGTGACAGGTTACAGAGCCCCGACGTAACTTCTTAGCGCTAGGAACTTCAATGCTGTTACCCGGAATCTGCTCGCGGGGCATCAGTGACGAGTTTTGAGGATCGGCAAGAGTCGACGTCTGCATGGTAGGGTAAAGAGCCAAAAGTGGTTTAGAGGGATGGTGGTGCTCACTACTTGAGTTGCGCATATGACAATTTAACGACAGCGCGCCCTTGGACCTTGACTCACACTCACTCGTACTTGCGCGTAGCGTTGATGACAGGTGGACTCAGTGCTTTCACTCTAGCCACAAATGTCATGGCAAGCTTGCTGTTTTCTGACGAAGAATTATGCCAGCATGCAAAGGGCAACCTGCTCAAGCAGCCCCGGTGACGTTCGACGGTCCGTGACCACTGCATTGCACTTTTATCAGAATCGCCAGTTGGACCTCTATGCGTCCAAGCAAGCTCACAGGCTGAGCCTACGGCAACTTGTAAAATTTTACCTTGACCTGTCGTTCAATCGCTGATGTGTTGTAATCCAAGGTGTTCTTCGGGCGACACATGAATGAAGAGCGGTTAATCAAAGTATGCCCCGTCTTCGAGTGTTCTACATATATCAATTTGAACACGTCCCTAGAGCGCCAATTATGTTCGTACAGAGCTGCCCGTACGAATTGCACACAGAATACGGGACCTTCAAGCCCTTCCATATGTTATAGTCACTCAACCAGACGTAGCCAAGGTCTACGAGGTAAGCCATTGGTGCGCTGACCGGACTTTCGAGGACTGAGTTTAGGACGTGGAGCTGTACTGGTCTGCTTTCGAAAAGTATTCGACTTACTTGTCTCTGACCCTTACGCTAAGTCCCGCAACAGATTCAGACGTTTCCCTCCAATCACTAATTTATCCGACAATTCCAAGTTTTGTGATTTCCTGGAGACCCTACTGGACGAGCAGTAGGTCATCGAGAATTAGTGAATGAACAGCCTGACATCCATGTTAGTGCGCCTGTGATACCAAGTCTGTCTCTTGGATTGTCTCTTTGTTCGCCTCTTCTTCCTCCCGAGTCCCTTGATTCCTTTATGAATCGGATGCTGATTTCGCGTATATCAAGACGCGTTCTCGCCGAACACCATTTGGCGCTTAGCACGTCTTTGGGTCGCGACTCTCTGAATTCGGAGGATCCACATGTGGGGATTATTTCTACTGCCCTCGACGTGAAACGCAGCATTGTCAAGTGTGCATACCTTCTGAGAAGTCGTCCTCATGGTATCGAAAACGATAATGGGAAGGTGATCCCTAATAGAGGTTGGCCTGAGGTGGTAGTCGAGGGCCAACTCGATACAAAGTTCGCTTATATACGTGAGCACTTGGAGTAAGTCCGCACTACGTATGTATACGAAGGCTGCATGAACTTGTAATAACGTTTGCAGATATATCCTCTTCGAACTTCTCAAAAATGTGCGCCACCAACTTTTTTCTGCGTGAACATTCATATCTGATGTGGTAGGCCATGCGAGCCACTGGGCTCAAACATTGGCACGATACAACCCTACCACCCATCTACGTCACCGTCGTGGCTGGGAAGGATGATGTCGGTATTCGACTATCGGATCAAGGTGCGGGTTTATTCTATCAAAGGACATCCAACCTAACTGTCAGCTTCCAGGTGGCGGGCTGAATTCGAATAGTATCCAATCACCTTCTGATCTATTCTCATTTTCCCATACCCGCAATGCAACGAGGATTGATAAGCGTCGAATTAGAGCCCTAAGAAGAGCAAGCTCCAAAGGCGTGAAGGCCACGGTCGCCGAGCAGGTTGTGGAGGAGGATGGTCACAATGCTAAAGACCCTGAAAGAGGAGCTGGCATTGCACCACACCAACGGATGGGTCTGGGACTGCCTATGAGCAACATATTTGCAACGTGGGTTTTGGCGGCTGCGCTCCTTTGCTGGTTTCGAACTCAGACTCGGTGTTCAGATATTTCGGCGGCTCTCTCCAACTGGTTTCATTGGATGGATGGGGTGAGCGGCGGTCTCTTCTATCCAGAACACGACCGACATGGTCTTTCATAGGCACCGATGCGTACTTGCAGCTACCGAAGCTGGTGGGTGGCCAGGAATCTTCACCTGCAGCACGACTAACTCGTTGAAAAAAAAGGGAACGAATTTGGAGGGCATCGAGGTTTAAACGGGTTTTGTCGGACTGGTTCGGAAGCGACCTCCCGACATACAGTGCCCGATGCTAACAAGGGCACCTGGCCTTTGGCCACGTATCCCGAGTCATGTCCTATGACTGGTACCTTTTCTTTATGGAGTATTATGAATTTAATTCCACGCGGGACGAATGATACTCGGGCATAGATCATTTCCCGTATGAATGAAAACTGAGAGTATCTCTGCAGACAGTAGTTCCCGATTGGAGGGACGAGCACGACGAGGAGTGCTGTACAGATTCACGGCAGCTGTGTGTCTATGGAACTCAAACAGTTCTCTGTGAGTGGGCAGCTGAGCCTGTGTCGCAGTAACGAGGGAATCTGTTTGGTCACGTCATCCTGAGTGTGTGCCTGACCTGTCAAACATAAAAACCACGCTTTGGACCTACCCAACCTTGGGCATTTTGGACATCTCTGCCAGTTTCTTCAATGCACGATCCTGGCCTGACACACTCAGAAGCTCAGCATTCGCAACCATGAGCAACCCAGAATTTACACACTCTCCCCCTCCGTACGAACTTTCCTTACAAAATGACCCAAAGATCAGTCAGTCACTACAACAGGACGAACTCAAGAAGGCGCCTGTTACAGACGACAAGCACGTAGACTGGGAACAGACCAAAGAACACCCTCCCGTCCAGCACAGTTTTCCTGTGGAGATCTCGGTGCGACCCCTTCGCATTCAGAAGCGGGCACCGGCATCCGTGTATGGCGGAACCCGTGGTCCGAGACCCTTGCCGCCCTGTCCTACTAATTCAAAGACGCAAAGTATTCATGGCAAAGAGATACCCCGGCTCAAAATGGTCATGGAGGGCAAGATGCACGAGGAATACACTGAGGAACATTTACCCCCAGCCCCTCCGCCTTTTGCCCCGGTGGGTCCAAGCCTCGATGGCCCTCCGTACAAGGACGTCAGTGCCACACCTCTTACAACTTCCTCTTTATCGGAACGTTTTGGGCCGTCATTCAACGGTTCACGTCGTCGGCGTGGAAGTCATCCATCACAGTTACCATCCGCTTTGACGGACCCTCCCAATGAGCCACCCTCGCGCAGCGGATATAGCGCCGTGCAAGGCGCTGCAAGAGAGACAAGGGTGCAGAGCAGGACTCGAGGTTCCCGACTGGCATTTGATCCCTCGGTAGCGTATGCCCATGACCACCAGTACGGTTGTGTTGGTGAATCTCGGGCAGTGGATGCTATGTCACTGTATAGGTCAGTATTAGCCAGTGAGTGAGGTTTATCGGTTGTGCTAACGAGCGCTATTAGCCATGCTGTATCCTCCCATATCCAACATTCCCCCGCAAATTCCGGGTCACGCTACCCCCACATGTAAAGAGTCCTTTAAGTGCTTTGGTGTTTTTCTTATTCCTGGGAAAGCAGGTCCGCAAACAGATCTTCTACACGACCTTTCTCCTCAAATTTCGATTCCCGTGTTCGTAGCACTGCAGGCCCAATGTCCTTACAGTTTACGCCGGCTCTGTCGATCGGTCCCTCGGTCTCAACGCATTCGCTCAACCATTCCCCTCCCACGATGGATGCTAGATGTAGCTCGAGGAGATGGGCAGCCTCGGAATACGACATTACAACCCACATATACTGTGATTAACAAACGATTCCTGTTCCGTTGGTTCGGATGCCTGGTTTTGTGTACCACTAACGAATTACTTCTGTACCGTATATACCCATATCATGCTATGTAGCTCCTTTTCGATATCTGATGCGACACCACTGACAAGGTTCGGATGAATACATTTTCTGTGCTTCAAGTTGCCATCACAACCTGAGAGATGTTGCATCATGATTCCAGTTGGCAGTTGCAACTTGACACCACTGAGATATCTGCAAAGCTTAGCTTAGATCAAGCTTTGACCATATTTGCCAGTCGCGTACCTGCACCATGCAACGTTCCAGCACGAGTAGTCAGTCCTCTGCCCCTGGGACCCAGAAACCTGCGGACTATGTGTATTTCGATCGCAGCTCAGCTGGCTTCTCGAGTGATGCAGTCCCTCACGCCAAAGCTGCTCAGCTGAAACTCGAGCATTACTACAAAGTCGCGGTCGATGCCGCGATCGAGCGAAACACAAGGTGAGCTTTCCACGCTGCCTGTTAGTTCTCTTGCTGGCGGTTTTTATCGTGGCTCTGCAGACGCGTTGAACTCGAAAGGAAGCTTCAGGCGGATGTCTTGATGTCCGAAGAGAGGAAGCTTCGTTGTCTTCAGCAACTTGGCAGAAAAGAATCTAGTTTTCTCCGTCTTCGGAGGACCCGCCTGGGCTTGGACGACTTCAGGACGGTCAAGGTGATCGGAAAGGGGGCGTTCGGTGAAGTGAGGTCACCGATCATGTGTTATCTATTGAGCTAATTGAATGGATCTTTAGGTCCGCCTGGTCCAAAAGGCGGATACAGGCAAGATATATGCTATGAAGACCTTGAAAAAGGAAGAGATGTTGAAAAAGGACCAGGTGAGGCATTTTTTTCTTTTAGGTGTGATTTCTACCGCCTGAAATGCCGTTCTCTCTGTTTAGTTAGCCCATGTCCGCGCAGAGCGCGACGTTCTCGCAGAGTCTAACTCCCCTTGGGTTGTACAACTTTTCTATTCGTTCCAGGACACCCAGACTCTCTACTTAATCATGGAGTTCCTCCCCGGCGGGGATCTCATGACCATGCTAATCAAGTATGATACTTTTTCGGAGGATGTCACTCGCTTCTACATGGCTGAATGCGTCCTTGCCATCGAGGCCGTCCACAATCTTGGTTTCATTCATAGGTACTGATCTCCTCTTTTCAACCGTTTTGCGACTTACAGTCCATTCAGAGATATCAAGCCGGATAATATCCTTATAGATAAGGATGGACACATTAAATTATCGGATTTCGGCCTTTCCACAGGGTTTCATAAGCAACACGACTCCAGCTATTATCAGAAGCTCCTTGAATCCGCAAATAATACTCAGACTTCTGCCGCGAGAAACAGCGTGATGGTAAACGCAATCCATCTTACTATATCCAGCAAAGATCAAATTGCAACCTGGAAAGCCAACCGACGCAAGCTGGTATGTGTTTCTGGTTGGTGTCAGATGTAGCGCTGGAGCTGTATATCCAGGCATATTCGACGGTTGGAACACCAGACTATATCGCTCCGGAAATATTCCAGCAGAAGGGGTATGGGGACGAGTGCGACTGGTGGTCACTTGGAGCCATCATGTTCGAATGCTTGGTTGGATATCCGCCTTTCTGTTCGGAATCCACACACGAGACCTATCAAAAGATCATGCAATGGCAGTACTACCTCGCATTCCCAGATGATGTGCATCTCAGTCGCGAAGCTGAGGACGTCGTTCGGCGGTGAGAGGATATTGCTTCGCGTTGGAGACAATTTGACATTGAACTGTGGGCTAGTCTAATCACTTCGGCTGACCGTCGGCTCAGAGTAGACAAGATCAAATCCCATCCGTTCTTTTATGGTGTCAATTGGGATTCTATCCATCAGATAGATCCACCTTTCGTCCCAAATTTGCGCTCGATGACCGACACGCAATACTTCCCCACCGACGAAATCGAGCAGAATCCTGCTGAAATTCCAGCCCCAGATACTAATACCTCACAAAAGGACCTTGCTTTCCTCGGGTACGCTATTCGTTCCGTATAATGCATTTGACACTCACTAGCCGCTAGTTATACTTTTAAGCGATTCACCATTGCGTCCCATGCTTTCTAAACGGGGTGTAGCTGGCCGCTGCGCGGCAATATGGGTGCTTGGGTACCTCCAACAACCTTGCTCGTAGTATTGGGGTTCCTTGCCACTGGTTGGCCTTGATTACCATATGTTCCTGGACGCTGTTGTATTCGGGCAGTGTATGTTGTTGTATTCGTGGAGCGTCTGCGGTGTTGTAGTAGTTGTGTTAGACTCGTGTAATGTTCGTCACGCAGGTACCGAGCGTGAGTAGATCTGACTGAAAGCCTATTAATGGTGCCAATCACCTAGAGGCCGCTACTTGGGTACAGTGGCCAAACTGGTTGGGATGAAGCCTGATGTCAACCCTAACCCTATGGTAGTCACATAGTGTAGTCACATTTAGTCACAACACATGGGCAGCCTGTGTGCCAAAACACCAACACTTATATAGACCCTGAGATGGGCCTGCCTAAATAGATTAGCCAGTACACATGGACAGGCCCAAGGGACTAAAGTGAGAGTAACATATGTATGGGCCTGTAAGTGCATTACCACAACATATGGGAGGGCCCATGGTGGGTAAGGATGTTGAAACATTTAGATGGGCCTGTGACCAATTAAGTGTACTGAGTTGCTGTAAGACATGGACAGGCCTGTCCTGGTAGGTTACACCCCTGTTGCAACATCAAGGCAGGCCCACCTATCATAACATGGAGAGGGTCACAACATAAGGATGGGCCCATCTATGATTAGAATACAAAGTTGGCAACATATGGATGGGCCTGGGAGTAATATCATTTATGGTGTTGCAACATCTAGACAGGCCTGATCATAATAAGCTGTACCCCTGTTGCAACATAAAGATGGGCCTGTCAGTAATGTCATTTCATAATGTCACAACATATAGATGGGCCTGTCAACAGTAAGATGTACTGCTGTTGAAACATAAAGATGGGCCTGTCACTAGTATCATTTAATAGAGTCACAACATCAGGTCAGGCCTGTCAGTAGTATTATGCAACATATGGATGGGCCTGTCCACAGTAAGATGTACCTCTGATGAGACATAAAGATGGGCCCATCAGTAATCTCATGTATAGCATCACAACATATGGGTGGGCCTGGCCCCAGTAAGATGTACCCTGTCAAAACATAAAGACAGGCCCATCACTAATATCATTTAATAGAGTCGCAACATATGGACAGGCCCTTCAGTAATATTATTTATATTGTCACAACATAAAGACAGGCCTGTCAGTAATTGCATGTATAGCATCACAACATATGGATGGGCCCTTCAGTAGTATTATTTATATCATCACAGCATATGGGTGGGCCTGGCCCCAGTAAGATGTACCCTGTTGAAACATAAAGATGGGCCCATCACTAATATCATTTAATAGAGTCACAACATATGGATGGGCCCTTCAGTAATATTATTTATATTGTCACTTGTGGTTGGCAACATCAGTTTTGGAAGGGGATAGGGCAGTCTTCCACTCAGGCCACAGGTGCTCGATCGAGCTGAGGTCTTCATGCCACTTTAAGAACATGTCAACACTGATGAGGGTCATTGGAATCTCATCCATCCTAGCAATGAGGTTGCATGCAGCATCCTGAATGCATCAGTTTAGTGAAAAAAATGTGATGATGCTATGACACACTAGTTCATCATTTATCACCTTGATGGCACCTCTCCACTTCACAATCTTGTCCACCTTTCCCAGCTTGCTGCTTTCCATGATATCCTTGAAGTAAATTTGAAGGATGTGGTTGGCTGCAGCATTGAGCTCAGGTGATTTCTTGAAGAGCTTGTGAGATGACAATGATGACATGTTTCTGATGACAAGATGATGGAGTAGTTTGATGGTGAGAGTGGTGATGGTGATTGGAGAGTGGAAGAGTCAGAGGTTAAAGATGGACAATGAGATATGTGGATGTTGCATTTTTTATTCCACCTATGAATGATTCCCACAGCATGATGGCGATACTGGTACAAGTCAATAATCCTGAATGCATATATGAAGCAGAGGCTCAGATAAAAATATGATGCGTTGTTCTGGAATAGCATTGCTGTTTGTTTTGCATGTTTCCCATCTGCTCCAATGGTGGAGCCTGGCTTGCAGCTACATAGACCAGCACCTGAGATTCCAACTGAATAGGCAAATTGTCCAACATGAAACACAATTTATAGTGGGAAATTCAGGTACTCTATAGTGCAAGAGGTTCCACTTTCTTCATTTCTTGTCTTCCTGGGCCCGTCTTATATTGTGACAGGGGGATAACCCAATTATGGATAGGCCCATCCATTTGTGGTGAGCTATCTATGATATGACAGATTGGCCCATCTTATGCAGTGCCAAGGGTTTGTAATCCTGTGATGGATGGATCAGCCTGTCTTATGTTGTAACACTGGTTTTTGTTTTCCCTTATCTGCTGCCTGAGAATGCCATGGATGGGCCTGTCCTTATGTAGATCCCTTTGATCTCCCTTTCTGCTGCCTGAGAATGCCTTACATGGACTGTCCTTATGTAGATAGCTTGGATCTCCCTTTCTGCTGCCTAAGAATACCATACATGGACTCATCCTTATGTTGCAACAGGGGTGCATCTTGCTAGATGGGCCCATCCATTTGTTGTGATGATATGCATGATACTACTGAAGGGCCTGTCCTTATGTTGTGATGCTATTAGATGATATTACTGACAGGCCCATCCATATGTTGCAACAATATAAACAATACTACTGAAGGGCCTGTCCTTATGTTGTGACACTATTAAACAACATTACTGATGGGCCCATCTTTATGTTTTGACAGGGTACATCTTACTGGGGCTGGGCCTGCCCATATGTTGTGACAATATAAATAATACTACTGAAGGGCCTGTCCATATGTTGTGATGCTATACATGAGATTACTGACAGGCCTGTCTTTATGTTTCATCAGAGGTACATCTTACTGTGGACAGGCCCAACCATATGTTGTGACTCTATTAAATGATATTAGTGACAGGCCTGTCTTTATGTTTTGACAGGGTACATCTTACTGGGGCTGGGCCCACCCATATGTTGTGATGATATAAATAATATTACTGAAGGGCTCATCCATATGTTGTGATGCTATGCATGAGATTACTGACAGGCCCATCTTTATGTTTCATCAGAGGTACATCTCACTGTGGATGGGCCCATCCATATGCTGTGACAATATAAATAATATACTGAAGGGCCCATCCATATGTTGTGACTCTATTAAATGATATTAGTGATGGGCCTGTCTTTATGTTTTGACAGGGTACATCTTACTGGGGCTTGGCCTGCCCATATGTTGTGATGATATAAATAATACTACTGAAGGGCCTGTCCATATGTTGTGATGCTATATATGAGATTACTGACAGGCCTGTCTTTACATTGTGGCTTGACATTGTCAAGCATTGATATGACTACCACCAGTTGGGCCTCCCTATGCCCCATGTGGTGCCAACACCAACACCACCTGCTCAAGAGACCAAAATGCCTATGAGTGACAAAGGAAAACAGAAAGCAACTGAGGCAGAGGTGGAGAAAATGATAGTGGATAGCTTGCACAGGATGGAGGTGGATGATGAGGGTGAAGATGAGGTACCAGAGAAGGAGGACAATGAGGAAGAACCAGCACAAGGCAGGCAGAAGCACAAAGCTGCCACAAAAATGACATCCCATCGATCCAGATGTTGATCCCACTCTAGGAAGGCAACAGCAGAAACTGACAATGATGATGATGTTCCTGCTCAAGGCCAATCAAAATGCAAGCCTTGTCCACTGTCAGACAGACTATATGGTCATGCTGCTGTAGCTGCCAGAAGGACACCTTCCCCTGATGCCCATTCCTGTGAGTTGTGCCACAGATGCAAGGTCTGATGCTACAAGAACCCTGGGAAGTCCTGCTTCCTGTATGACAGTCACAAGATTCAATGTAGCCATGCCAAAGGCAGGATTGCCACTTCAACTCGATGGAATCCATCATGAGCCAGGGGAAAAAAGTGAGCTTGAAGTCTGTCCCTGATGATGGAGGCCCAAGAATCCCAAAGCCCAAAGGAATGTCCCCCAAAGTGACATGTTTTGATGGCTTCCAAAGCTATCAATGCTGGGGTTGGGCCCTCCAACCAGGGAGAGACGATCCCTGAGGGATCTTCACTCAGTATGTTCACAATTTCATGTATTTATGCTGACTCAAATTTTATTCAGAGATTCATATTCCTGCATTCAAATGCAGGGATTCCCGCCCAATCCCAGCTGCTGTATGAGTGGATTTGATCATCAACGCTGGCCCATCCATTGCGCAGGAGGTAGAGGAATCTATGGCAGCAGGTACATTTAATCACTCTGCATTTACACTAATTATTGCAGTTAACCCTTGTATTCAAAGAAGACACCTGCCCATTGACAACAGTAGCACCTGTCCAACTCACAACTGCTGCAACTCCCAGTGCACCATCACCTGTCTGTGCCCCAATTGCTGAGGTGTCACAAACATCCAACACAATCGAAGAGCAAATTGAAAATATGGAACATCAACTCTGCGATGCTGAGGCCCACTGCCAATACTATGAGGATCAAATGTATGATTTCCAAATACAACAGGACAAAACCATGCAGACACTGGACAGGATGGCTCATGAGCTGGAGGCTCTGCATATTTGGGTATATGGATGAGCATTGGGTGATGATCTCATTGAACTCTTAGGGCCTCTGGCAGATGAGACAAGGGTGGATAGGACAGCAGGGTGAATGAGGCCATCTATCATTTTACTCCTCTGTGGTACATACAATGTCATTTTGTATTTCCACTTTAATTGACCACTTGTGCTGCATTGTATATTCAACCTTTATTTAAGAGTGAGAAACAGACAATAATGGCTAGACAGCCAACAGAATTGTGAAGGATAATCTCATTCTACTAAAACAACTGCTAATGTATCCTGATAGGTGGAAGCTTAGCAAATGCATGGCTTTGTGACATAGAATAGTTAACTTGAAACTTAAAAAATGAGATAGTGGGATGGTCTCATTCTGCTAAAACCAGAGCTGATGGAACCTGATAGATAGAACCTTTGCAAATGAATGGACTGTGCGATATGTGATAGCAACCTGCCATCTGACACAAATGCAATTAATAGTCTGATATGGCCAACACATCTGAGTCTGCTAATACAGCCACTGATGAATCCCAATAGACAGACACCTGGCGAATGAGCAGGCTATGCTATTTACAGCATTCACTTGGGAGTTACAAAACAAGATAATGGCTAATAATAGGATAACGATGCAAAGAAAGATGT